ACAAGGACGTTAATAACGACACGGGCGGCGGCGTTGGGGGTATAACAGTCTCGACGCAGCAGCTTAGTCAATCTAGCATAGTAGCAGCAGCAGCACCAATACCAACAGCAGCCGCACCCGATCAAAGCGTTGCGTCTCAATTCCAAGCGTCGGCGCAGCCGCGGCCTCCTCCTAGCCCAGCTGCTCCCATGGCAGCTTACGCCCAGAACCCCAACCTTTCAGCCCGCAATTTCGCGCAGCACCAGCAACAACAATCATATCTGCAGCAGCAGCACCAGCAACAAGGCCTCGCGCAACACCAGGGAGGAGCTGCACCCGAGGCCAATGTGCCGCAGCGCCATCCCTCCTTTATAGGGCTTCCGCCCATCCGCCGCGCATCGACTTTTGGATCGCTGCTGCCCCTGTCGCCCGAAGGATTCCTTCTTTCGTCCGATTCCATCAACAGCAACGGCAACGGCAACGGCAACAGTTCCGACGCCAACCCTCGCAGCCCGCCCCAGGGATCTGCTGCGCCGCCCGCAAATTCTTCCCTCTCCTCAATGGCGACAAACCACATGATGGGCGGCGTCGGCGCCCACCCCCAGTTCCTGTCCAGCTCGCCCCCGCCCCAGGGCCAGTATGCCCAGAACATCTACCGCCCGACACAGACACAGGCGCAGGGACAGCCACAGGTGCAGATGCAGCAGGGCGGCTTTCAACAGCGCGGTCCCGGGGCCGGCTTTCAGACGTCGGGCATGCAGGCGCAAGGCGGTTATGCATCAGGGCAGATGGCTTCTCCTATGCAGCAGCAACTACACCAGCAACAGCTGCAGCTGCAACAGCAGCAGCTGCTTCTGCAACAACAACGGGGGTACGCAGGAGCAACCACAGGTCCGCCCCCACCCCCGCCCTCGATGAACGGGGCGCCGCTTCAAACGGCTCCCGGCCCACAGTTCATGGGCATGGGCATGGGCTCCGGCATGGGCTCCGGCCGACCCGTCATGATGCCTCCGCACATGGTCTCGAACCAGCTCCAGAGGCTGCCGACCCAGGGCGGCTGGAACTTGCAGGAGTCGCATCTGTCCGAACCGCTGCAGACGTCGAACCGCCATCGGCCCTCGCCCAGCAATTCGTCGTCGCAGCCCTACTTTGGCATTGATAAGGAGACTGGCATTCCTATATCTGGCGGCTTCTCGCCCACGCGCCAGACACCCCAAGATGGCCGTCATCCGATGCTCCAAAAGGACGTCCCGCCACTCCCCCATCAGCAGCAGCAAGGCCCCCCCGGTCAACGCCTTCTCGGGGATCCCCTCTCGCGGACCCAGACCAATGACCTGTCGGCGCCAGGCGCCATGCCCGGTGCCGAAGAAGCGCGGAACAGACGCAACTCAGGCATCTTCTCTGGCCTCCGGGACAAGCTCACGGGCGGTGGCTCGTCCGAGGGACGGAGCGATTCCCTCACTGGTCCGCCGCGGTTCCAGACCGTCCCGGGCGATGCCGTGTCAGAGACGAGCGTCATGACCCAAGACACGACGGGCCAGAAGAAGCAGCGGACACCGTGGTTCAGCTCGCGCAGCGCCATGCAAGGCTTGGACAATGCGCCCCCCCACAGCAACGAGAGCACCATCGTCCACGGCCGCCCCGGCACGCCACCGCCGCCGAGCGATCCGATGCCGCCCCCGTCGCAGTTCATGTTCCCGCCCCTCGAGAAGAAGCGGACCGGCCTCTTCGGGCTGGGCGGCGGTGGCTCGGGCGGCTCGCACCAGCTGAAATCGTCCAAGGCCGAAATTCCCAGGGTGTCGACGTCGAGCAGCATCCCCGCCGACCCGCTGCCGGCTGGGAGCGTTGGCGGGCCGCCCAAGAAGCGCTTCTCGGCTCTCAAGGACATGCTCCCCCGGTCGGCCAAGCAGGACGGCCCCAAGAACTTCGGAAACGCTTACTCGACCAAGACGCCGGCCCAGGGCCAGGCACCCACCCTGCCTCCTCCCATCAGCCTGGGGCTCCAGCAGCCGGGCTTCATGAACTCGCCTCCGTCCGTGCTGAGCCGCGAGCGGAGCGGGAGCATCCCCGGCTCTCGGTCCACCACGCCTAACCCGCCCGCGTCCGCGCCTGCGCCTGCGCCCGCGTCTTCGGGTGCTGCAGGGCCTGTTGGGCCTCCCGGGTCTCCTGGGACGTCTGGCCCGTCTGTGCAGCCCGGACAGACTGGGCTGTCTGGACCTTCTGGACCGTCTGAGCAGTCGGGGCCATCTGGGTTGTTTGGACCGCTTGGACAACCTGGGCCATCTGGGCAGTCTGTGCCATCTGGAGCGCCTGGCCCATCTGGATTATTTGGACCGCTTGGGCAATCTGGACCGCCTGGCCAATCTGGACAGTCCGGACCGTCGCCGCCACCTGGACCGTACGGGCCTCCTAGACTTAGTCCCCAGGCGCAACAATCCGGCTTCGCACAACAGGGAACCCTCTCGCAGCAGGGCGGCCAGTCCCCGCAGCCCGGCTCCTTGCAACAGGCCAACATTCCCCAGCAGACCGGCTTCCTGCAGCAGGGTAGCTTCTCGCAGCGAAGTGGTTCTCCCCCGCAGGGCAGCTCTCCTCAGCAAGGTAGCTCACCACAACAGGGTGTCTCCCCCCAGCAGGGCCCCTCTACTCAGCAAGGCCTCTCCCCTCAACAAGGCCTCTCCCCTCAACAAGGCAACCTGTCTCAGCAACCCAGCTTCGGCCAGAAGAGCAATCCACCTGAGCAGTTCGGCTTCCCCCAGAAAGGTGCCTCGCCTGAGCAACCCGGCTTCCCCCAGCAGAACAACTCGTCCCAGCCAGGCAGCTTCCCACAACAGGGAAGATTGTACCAGCAACCTAGCTTGTCTCAGCAACCCAGCTCGTCCCAACAGTCCAGCGTGACCCAGTACCCCAGCTTTTCGCAGCTAGATGGTACATCACAGCCAGGCAGCTTATCCCAGCAGACCAGCTTCTCGCAACAAGGAAGCCTCTCGCAGCAAGGAAGCCTGTCGCAGCAGAGCACCTTTGCACAGAAGGCCACATTGGGCGAGTATGATAAACACAGAAAGCCTAGTGGCGGTTTCTTGAGCCTTTTCAAGTCGAAGAACCAGGGCCCTCCCCCACAGGCAGCGTCAGCCATGGGTCAAGGACGACCTCCTGTCCAGCAACTTGGGAGAGGAATGTCACCATCATTCCCTCCCGGCCAAGGTCAGTTCCAAGGACAGACGCCTCTCGGTCCAGACGGAAAGCCGCTTGGCGGCCCAAGTCAGTACCTCCAACCTAGCCAGCCGATGCCGCCGCCGCAGTTTATGCAACAAGGGCCTCCAGGTCAACAACAGGCGCAAAATCAAATACCAGGGGGTCAGGCCATGCTACATATACGGCGCCCATCTCAGGAGTCCGGCCAAAACCAAGGACAGCAGCAAGTAAACGGGCACTTTGCAGGTGAGCAGCAACAACACGAGGCCCAGCGGCGGCTGCAACTGCAACAGCAGCAGCAACAGCCGCTGCTAGTTTCCGGGGCCCCGGTCCAGCCACCGCCGACTTCGCCTCTTCCGCAGTTGCCCCAAAGCCGATATGCCCCCCAGCATGAGCCGATAAAGGAAAACGATGCGCCGTCTCTCGGCACCGAGTCGCCGCAGGTTGGCTCCCCTGTTTCGCTAAGATCCCAGCCGGCTACTCTGTCGCCCACCGAGCCCAACCGCCCCCAGAATGCCTCTCCAGTCGGTTTCAGGATGCCCGCGCCCGCGCCCGCGCCCGCTCGACAGCCAAGCCCTACTCAGGGGTTACAGTCGGCCTTTTCCACCTTACAGGCACCCACTCCATCGACCTCTGGCCAGCTACCGGTGCGAAAACCGGTACAGGCTACTGGGAGACCGTCTGGTGATCAGCTCAGACCACATCCTCCTAGCTCCGAAGGGGGACAGCTGCGGCAGAGCTCAGGGTCGATTGAATCTCAGGGCCATAGCAGCACCCTCTTTACTCTGCCTATCCAGGGCGTCGAGTCGGACCACGGGCGCATAGTGGCGACTCCGTCGACTCCTCATGCCCAGAGCGCCCACCCCAGCATTGATCACATCCAGGACACGCCAGACCGCGCCCAGCCTGGTCCTGGTCCACAGCAGCCCTCGGTAGAAAACGGCACGGCTCAGCCGGCCCCTTCTCGTACCCCGACCCCTCAGCAGTCTAGCTTCTCGCAGCGTCCGGCCAGCCAGCAGTCGAGCCAGTTCCCCAATCGTCTCGGCGGTGGCCAGCAAGGCGGGCAGCCTGGGCCCGGTCAGGGCTTCCCGCCCGGGCAGCCGCGCCCGGGACAGCAGCAGTTTGGCTTCGGCGATCCTCGCCAGAATCCCATGGGAATTAGTGCACCGCCCAAGGAGAAGGAGCAAAGTACCATTTCGAAGCTGTTCAAGGGGACTAAGCCTGTGGGGCCGGGATACTCGGCCCCCGAGAAGCCCGAGAAGGAAAAGAAGTCCGGCTTCAGGAGCGCCTTCAAGAGGGGCCACAAGCCGTCCGATTCAAGCTCGGCGCCCCCGTTCCCTCAGGGCCAGGGCCAGTTTATGCAAGGACAGCCGTCGCGGATTGCCCAGCAGGGCTCTCCGCAACCGGCGCAGCTGCAACCGCAGATGGGCCCGGGTCCCGGCGCGGGTTTCCAGCAGGCTGGTCCCGCGAACCAACCCCCGCCTCAGAGTCTGCAGCAGCAGCCGCAGCCGCAGCCGCCTGTCCAGTTTGGACAGCCTGGCCAGCCGTTCCGTGCACAGGGACCATTGGGACAGCAAGGACCACAGGGACCACAGGGACCACAGGGACTACAAGGACCACAGGGACAACAAGTGCAGCAGGGACAACAAGTGCAGCAGGATCATCAGCCGCAAGCATTTCAAGGGCAACAAGCCCCCCGTACAGGCCGCCCGCTTGTAGAGCCGCAATATGCTCAGGTTCCAATCCCCCGCGGCTATGGATATGTGCATGGCGAGGGGCGAGTGGCACCCGCGCCAGCTCCCTTCTATGTCGGTCAAGGACAGAACGCAATGCCCTATGGCTACCCGGCTGGCCAGTTTGGCCCTCAAGGACAGCAGCCGCCGCAGTGGCCACAGAATGGTGCCACTGGTCCTGGCGGTCCAATACCTGGTCAGCAAATGATGTACCAGCGACCTGACCCGGCCATCGAGCCTGCTTCAGCTACACAGACTTCCCACTCGGGCAGCCTACATGCACCCAGCCCAGCCCCGCAGGCTCAGGCACAGTCTCAGACACAACCGCCAGTCCAAGCTGCCCCCCCCTCTCTAACATCGGCTTTTTCACCCCAGCAAGCGCAAGCGCCCCCGCGGCAACAGCCGGCAAACGAACAGGTCTTCGTCCGGGCGCCTTCTTCGGCTGATCGGCTGCCTCAGCAGGCGCAACCTCCTCTGGCACCGACCAACTTCGGAGCCTCAGAGAATCTGCCCAAGTCTTCTGGCCCAGCGCTCACCCTCCAGGCAACCCAGGGCGCATACTCAGTGTCACGATCCCCAGGTCACAGCGCGCAGTCCAGCGTGTCGGGCTCCCGGCCAGAACCCGCCCGGCTCACCACGACGTTAAGCCAGGACAGGAATATCTCGCCAACACCTCAGCTCCGGTATCCAGGACAGCCACCTGCCGATTTTGGTTCGGCGCGCAATCCGGCAATCTCAAACCCGCCGAGCCCGTCGCAGACCCGGGGACTAGGCCCAGGACAACAACAAGGCCAGCTACAGAGCAACCTAGGCCTAGTTCCTCAACGCCAGCCGAGCGCCGTCAGCCAAATCTCAACACAGCCCGGTGGAGCCTCGCCGCCTCAGGGCTCAGAGGTCGTCGCCTCACCCATCTCGCACGCCAGCCTCACCGGGCAGTCTCCCATCACGGCCCCAAGCCCGCACGTGACGCCCGAGAGAACCGTCAGCCCCGAGCCCCCGGCCCAACAGCAAGCCGGCCCCAAGCCCAGCATTCTTGTTCAAGACTACCGAAGGGCCGTAAGCCCGGAGCCGCCGTCCCAGCTGCTCGCCCCTCCCAACTCGGGCCTAGAGCAACGACTGCTCCAGCGCGTCGACGAGGACAACATCTACGACGCCACCCCGCGCCACTCGGTCCAGCCTCCTCTTCCCCTGCAGCAGTTACGCCGCGACGATATCCCCAGCCAGATCAACAGTTTCGGCCGCAGAGCCCCGCCCGGCAGCACTGCCGAGCCCAAGACGGCCGGTCTGTCCCACGACGTGGTCGGGGCCAGGTCTAGCAGGGAGACAAACAACCACAAGCCGAGCGAGAACATAATTATCTCAGCGGCCGACGACGCGGCCGCGCGGCCGCCCATCTCGCCGGCATCGTCGGGTCCGCAAGATAACGACCGGGAGACGGCTTTTGCCCGCGGCGGCGAGAACGGCATCATCATGCCATCATCGTCGTCTCGGGAGGCTGAACAACAACAACAGCAGCAGCAGCAGCAGCCCCCGCAGAAATCAACGCTCGTCGACTTTGTCGAAGAGGCCAAGCGCAAGGCCCTCCTCCGCGAGCAGGAGGAGAAGATCCCCGTCTTCCCCACCGAGCCCGACATGGACTTCGCCGCCGCCGCCGCTGCCAAGAAGAAGGAGCAGGAGGAGCTGCCGCAGATGACGGCCACGAGCTATCCCGGGCAGGAGTGGAACCCTTACGGGGACGGGCTCGAGGAGTGGGAATAGAAGTGTTCATTGTCGTTAACTTCCTTTTTTTTACTTTGTCGGTTCTTATTGTTTCTCTTGTTTGGTCTGCCGTCTTGTGGTGTGCTGTGCTGTGTATTGGTGAGGCTGAGGTTGCTTGATACCCGCCGGGAATAATTAATGCATGCATTGTGTTGTATTGCTCTCTTGCAAGAAAGAAAAGCAAGCAAGCAAGCGGGCCTGTTGATATTGGTTTTGATTTCTGGTTTCTACTACTACTACCCCTTTTTTTCGATTTGGATAGGTACCTATGACGGGTGGGGAAGAAAATTCTTTTTATTTGTTTTTACTTTTTCCTCTTTTTTTGCTCAAATATCGGCTTGTCTCTTTCGTAACCGCAACCGCAACTACCTTACACGTATAAATAACAACCAAAAAGTTAGGATCTATATTCTCAGCAACCGTTTTGATTCTTGTTTTGCTTTGGTTTCTTTTCTACCTACCTACATATGGGTAAGACTCTTAACAAGTTGACAGCGACTATTATCTCTACTAAGTACCTAGGTAACCTAGCCTTTGTTTTACTTCCCGTGAACCGAGAACAATCGCCGGTACCCATTAATACTACAAAGCCGCCTCGATGCCGAACGCCCAAGGCCACTCCATATATTACCGTGTATTATATCGATATGCTATACCGGCACCCCCACCATCGTCGAGCTCGCCCACCCGCCCGAAAACCTCTCTGTACGTTAACTGCTCTTGAGTCCCAGGACAGTGTTTCGACCAATATGGAGAATAGCCATGACATTCCGGGGTTTGGCGGTCCCGTGAACATGGGCAGGCAGGAGGACACTCTACTCCTAGTTGTGATGGTCCTGGATGAGTACCGACGACAGGTTCGGGGCCGATTCTTTTTCCGAGTGCTCCTGGGTGGTTGCCGGCGAGATTTGGGTAGCGGGTTTATTCTCAACGTCCTGGGGCCTGATTGATTGTCCTGGTTGATTGCCGACGACCGGATCGGGGCAGATTCGTTTTCCATGTGCTGCTGGGAGTTGCCGGCGAGATTTGGGGAGCAGGTTCGTTCTCAAGGTCCTGAGTGCCGGTTTGATTGTCCTGGTTGATTGCCGACGACAAGCTCAGGGCAGATTCATTCCCCAAGTCCTCGGTGCCCGGTTGATTGTCCTGAATGATTACCGACGACGGCTGCGAAGAACCATCTTCATCACCCACATCCCGCATATCTGACCCCAAAATTGACGCTACCTCAACAAGACGCTGCATGACATTGGCGGCCGAGAAGGCCCACGGCCGTGCCGATGAGGATCTTGAAGACCGTGAAGAAGGCTGGGAACATGGGCTGTATGCTGTGGACGTCGTACAGGAGAGTGGCGAGCTCCCAGACATCACTCTCGGTCGAGGGCAGGTAGCCGAAGCAGAGCTCTGGGGGGAACGAATCGATGGGCACTCCCAGGCCCGAGGGCGGGCGGTCTGCGAAGAGAGCCTCGCCGAAGTCGGTGATACGGACGTTTGCAAGCAAAGAGAAGTCCAAGCCTGAAAACCTGGCAAGCTCGATGAGGACCTTCGGGGGGTGTGGCGAGCGCGAGCGCGAGCCGTCGGGCTGCTTGTGCCACCGGAGCTTCTTGAACCTGGTGGGGCCTAAGACCTGGAACAAGCGAGCTAGAGACAGACTGAATTTCCTCTAGAAGCTCAAAGACAACATTTCCAGTAGTAAGATCTGCGGTTGATTAAATATGATTAATTATTACCTAGCATGATTTAGAGCGGTTGAAAGATAGAGCACGAAAACTTACCGCCGTGGTAGATTCCGTGGCCATGGAGGAACGAAATGGCGCTGGCAATCTGGCAGCACATCTTGTATCGCGTCGGACCCGACAGTGCCTTCATAACATCGCACACGTCGTTTCGAAGGGCTGGCCTGAGGACTGGGAAAACGAGACAGTGGTGCTCGCCGATGTTGAATGGGGTGAAAACCGCCGGGAACATATTTGTTAACATATTCGGCTTCAATAGGGGCAGGCAGGTTTCGAACCATTTCCCACGTTGGAAGGGGATAGACGGGCGTCTGCGCTAGTCAGACGGGCGAGGTGGTGTATGCTATGGCTGGATTTGGGAAAAAGGGTACTGAAACCGTCAAGGTCGAAGAGGAGACCGATGAGGTAATGTTCACTGTTATGCTGCCGCCTCCGTATACGCCTGGAAGCGCAGTTGTAACCTAACTCTTGGTAGGTTGTACTAAAACTGGGGTTGTTGCGACCTTTCCATTGAACGAGATGCAGCTTGGAGAGATGAGGGTGATAAGGCGGGCGCCCTCGTCTGATCAGCGGTGTGAGGCTTATCCGAAATGCTAATGTCATCAATGTCCTCTTGGTCATCTACGGGGCCGTCCTCACAGGCCCCTGTGTAGCCGTTATGGTCGATGAAGCCGGTTTGGAGTCTGCCTTTGGGGCCTTCACTCGTGATACACATTCGGACGCCATTTTAATTGTTGGAACCACATTCTGAAGCCGTTTGTGCGGTTCTCAGGGAGCTGAAGCAGCAGTTAAATTCCGGCTGTTGAAAGATTGAACATGAGAGAAATAAAACCGCGGCAATACTAGCTATAATATACGAACCCGTCAGGTAGTTGGAAGCACTGTATTAGCCAGACATCGTAGGACCTTAGTTAAAGAGGAAGAGCAAACGTAAGCTCTAATGACGAAAAGAGCCTCCATTTTCATTTCCAAAATATTATCATAACCCAGAACCACTACCTAATAGCTACTCGTCTATTAAACACTTATATCATACACCTCAGGTTAACCAAAAGGAAAACAGGGACAAGGAGACAGAAAAACTCCTCCCCAACGCCCAATTGTGTATATGTCGTCCAACGCTTTTATCGACAAGAAAATAAAAAACACAAACGCCAGGTCCCCTCCTCTATTATCCTTACCCTGGTCACCGTATGGACAGACAGGATTCCTTATCTTCCCGGTGACAGCCTTCGGCGACTAATAGGAAAATGGTATAAATACAGCTTGGCGGCGCGTGGTGGGGGTAATTATGTAGTGTGCGCATAGAAATTGGGTGGGCCTTGTGTGAAGTATGATGTCGTTGTGTCGGCTGGTTCAAGCACCGGAAGATAGAGGAATCGTCAACGACAGCCGCTTCACCTCAGCTCCCTCGGCGCTAGATTCAGGTCCGGGAACTAGTGACTGTGTCGAGTTGCGAGCACTCAACGGCACGACTTCTTCGGCCACAGCCGCGCCGCCATCGGCATCAGCCGTTTCTTTGGCAGTGGCCTGCTTTGGTTCTTGAGTGTCCGTTAGGGCCGCTTCCTCAATGACAGTCGCAATATCCAACTGAGGCTGGCCTACCGGCCCCAAAGACGGCGCGGCTTTGTCGACGCGGTCGTGGCTCTGCCGCGGGCTTCTATCTCCGCGAAGACTGGGGGTGGCGCTGCAGCTTGATGGGTGAACCTGACTCGTAGGCAGAACGCCACCGCCGATTCGACTCCAGAACATTTGCTCTCGCAGGCGAACGCTCTCTTCCCACGCAGCCTTCTCGGCGTCTTCGTCGTCCGCCCGCCAATGGCCGTCCTTGACGATGCGGAGAAAGCCAAGGAAGTCACACGTTGACCGGACGCGGAGGAGGCAGTACCTGCAGAGTGGATAGCCGCTCTGTGACGAGTCCGACTCGCTGGTACGAAACCGGTGGGTGCGGAGGTACTCTTCGTCTTTCCTCGATTCCCCGCACAAGGAGCATGGATACAACTCCGGTTTGATGATCCTGCCAAACCTGCCCGTCGCGGTCGAGGGGTTGGGCTCTACAACGAGTGTTCCTTCGGACATGGCCGTGATCACGCCACGCCGAGCTAGCCAGGAAAGTCCCGGAGCCGTGTCAAGCCGAAGCGTTGGCTCAATGTCCTCGGTGAGCACCCTCTTGTAGAACCTAGTCTCCTTCAGATGAGGAAATATGGGCGCGGCGGGCACCGACGAAACACCGCTGATAGACGATGCGGGCGTATTTGGTGTCTGCGGCGAGGTCGCGGGCGGAGACCCAGCCGCAGACAGGGAGGAATTGGACCCGTTTCCGGTTGTAATGTGAGATGACGTCGAGCCTGGGCCAATGCTGAAGGTGGTCAATCCCGGGTTGGAAGACACGGGGGGGAGGCGCTGGGCAGACAGCCTCTTGGAAGTCCGAACGAGGTCCTTGAAATCGCCGTACGCAGCCAGATCGGTACGGAGAACAGGCTGCAGCAAGTGCGTGAAGCTGGTGGGGTAAGAGGGAGAGAGCGGCACGGCTAGGCTATGATGCTGCATGCCATCCGAAGAACCAAGATCCCGCGGATCAAACCTGCTAAATCCTGGCGATGATGGAACGGTAGGGGGAGACTGTTCGTCCTTCTCGATACTCATGGCCTCCATGACTTGCTTGAGCTGGGCGAGCTGCTCTTGCTGGGACTTCAGAAGGCCCTCGGTATCGGCAATCTGGGCCTTGAGCTGGTCATTCTTGCGGTGCAATACCTCTTGCTCGGCCCGGGCTTCCTCCTTGGCTGTGATAACCATATTGTTTGCTTCCTCAAATAACGCCGCCGTGAGGTTCTCAAGCTCTTGCTCGATTTTCTTCTTCTGGTCCTCCATGTCGAGACGTGCTGCCTTCTCTTCGGCAACTCGAGTAAGCAACGTTGTCTTCTCCACCTCGACAGTCTTGCGCCTCACCCACACGTCCCCAGCAAGCATTTCTCTCTGATCCTCGATAACGCGCTCGAGCTGCCGTATCTTGTCGCGCGAGTTCTCTAGTTCGGCCCTGGTAGCGGATAGGTTGTCGTCCAATGTAGTCTGGTGATTGATGGCGTTGATGAGCTTCGTGCTCAGCGTCGCAACCTCTTGGTCGAGGTCTGGGTGGTGCGGAGAGGCCATCGCATGTGCATTGGCAGGGCTCATAGCCCGGCTTCTGGGGTCTGGGATGGTGCTCAAATCATTATCGTCGTCCAAGGACTGGGAAGAGAAGGCCCGCTGGTGGAGCGGGGTTGAGGGGTTTGCGAAGGTGTCGGCCGTCATGGAGGGAGAATCCGAGGGTGACGCCGGCTTGGATTGCGTCTGGGAGGGCTTCGGCGAGGCGGATCTGAGGATGCTGGACAAGGATCGGTTGTGACCGAAAGCCGAGCGCCCGTTAGACGGCATTTGGTGCGAGGACCAACCGGCCACGGTGACAAAGCTTTGCCACAGTCCGTTAGTAACAGCCATATGCGGAAAGCAGATAAGCAGATGCGAGAGGCCCAAAATCGGACCCGAGCGGCCAGGCCGACGCCACGACGACGCAAGTCACGCTGATAGCAGTAGAATGAGGCAACCATCGGGCAGCGGTAAAGATGCCCTGAGGATGGTGGGAACCTTGCGGTCAGATTTCTGCACATACGGGTAATCCAGTCTGTCGGACTGTGGAGGACCGCGCCAGAATCTGGCGGGCCCTGGGAGTCAGATAAAACCTATTCCTAGCTGTCCGAGTTTCGCGTAGTCCGGATTGCTGCGTAAGGGGATGTCGCGGCCGTTGATGAGCAACTGAGCACGGGCAGATGAATGTCTTGTGCTTGGTCGAGAGGTATGCAGCTATAGTTCTGAGCTTGAGTCGCGTCCAGGTTTTTTGTTCGGTTTATTCCGTAGAGCTGGCGTGTTGTGAGTGGGTGCGACTGTTGGACGATGGGCAGGTTATCGGATTGGAAGATATGTCGAAGAACCCTAATGTGGGTGAGGGCGGGGACGGATTAAAGACGGGGACTGGAGAAGAGATGCGCCCCGACCATCGAAGACGGTTGCAGTGCGGGTTCGGGTGTGGGTGGAGGTGATGGCGACCTGCAGCAATCGGCCACCCAAAGCAGAGGTCCAAAGTTTGCAGGCTTGGCGGGCAATGGCCAAAACCCTTGACTGTGATCGGCAGGACGGGACGGGGGAAAGTGCCCCAGAGACAAGGGTCGTGCAGGTTTTATTGGGTCGAGGCCATCAACCGACGAAGCGGGCACGACCAGGCAAGACGGACGGGCATCTGCTCCTGCCCGGTCTGCTCTGCCAAAATAGATACCTAGAACTAGAACTAAATTAATTGATATAGTGCCGCTCTGCACCTTCACTACCCAGTGGACAGTGCAGTGCAACGCAGTGCAGTGGCAGAACAGAATCCTTTTGCTGCTAGTCGGATGGCAAGCGGCGAAGCCGCAAGCCTCCGAAAAGTCAATTGCCGGTTGAGAGGTCAATTGGTGCCCTGGCGTTCGCTGTCATTGACTTGGGCACGGCCCGTCCACGACCGACCCCGGGAGGGCGTCATTGGCGTTCAAGCATTGACCAACAACAAGAACTCATTGACTTTCAGCTCGTGCCCTGCTCTGAGCTGGCAAATCTCAACGTCGCGACTAAGAGGCTTCTTAGGCAGTACGGGCTAGTTGATGCAACCGCCTAGTCAATTTTGGCGTGGCGTTTCTTTCATCTCTTCTTTCTATCATCGGAGAGATGGGCTGTGTAAATTCCTGCGGAACTGTCGGAGACTAGTATCGTCATGATGACCGGGATTTATAAGTTTCTAAGGCCTGTGCCGCTTTTGTTTCGAGCCTCGCCTTCTTGTAGCTTCTGGTGTTTCGCGGCTCAGCTGTTCGGCATTGTATTCCGTAAGCACTCATGTCACGGTGCGCATTGAGGTCTTTTCCTCCGCACTCGGCTGGCGTTCAATTCACCCTCAGCTCACTAGCCCCTTCCCGCTCTTGAACAACAGCTCACCTCTGCGAGCGTCTGGGGACGGACGGCCTGTCCACCTAGAAAAGTGGACGACAGGCGGCGGCCAGCGCACGGGTAGCCATGGCAATTACAGGTGCACAGTGGCGAGGCGAAAAGGCCGCAAATGTGACCAGTCCGCGTGCACGCTTAATTTGGAATGAATTGAAGTGTGGGAGCCGACCAGGATCTTGGTTCTCGGTTCGATTTCGACGGGTAGCATCGCGGGAACGCAACGCAAATCTTTGGAGATCAGGCGCGTCAAGAGACGCCCAGCCCAGCCCAGCCCTGCGCAGCTGCATCCAGTCTTGGGCTTGACCAAACCAGACAAAAGGGATTATCTTGATGCACTCGATGCAGATGAAAAAGCTGCAGCTTCTCAGGAGAAGAAGTTACTAATATTGAGACCCAACGGAGGAAGTATCTGCGCTTTTCCCTCGAAACCAATGCAAGCAACGCATCTTTCTTTCCTACTGCCGTGCGAGTTTGTCTGAGCGACAGCACAGTAGGCAGACAGGATATGATGCAAACCTTCCATTGTATTGTGCGTTTGGTGCACTGATGACATGGGGTGACTTCCATGCGGGCGAGGCGCGCTCGTATTAGTACTGGGTTCTCGAGGCCGTGGTATTCATATTGCGGGGAAGGCCCGCAGAAACGGGCCAGACGGAAGTAACTGTACATATATATCCATTATGGAGGTTGGACTGAACGGATGTCTGCAGGACCATCGTGTTTCAAGAAATGCGATCAATCACACCATGGCAGCACATGGCAGAGCCAACATTGCCCATCAGCACCGTCACAATTCATGCAGCTGTCCATCACAAGCAAAAGACATCCGCCCAACTACCGGCAGCATTGTTATCAGCGCACAGACAGACGATTGCGGTTTGGCAATGCATACATTGGATAGATCCTTCGAGAAAATCCGTTTATAGCATCAGGAGGTGGTAGTCTGATGATCGCCTCATGTCTCACCCCGTCCCGTCTTTCGTTTCCCGTTTCATATGCATGCATCTCATTAGTGACGATTGCTATGACTTCCATTGCTTACAGATCACCCTGGTGTTTAGTTAGATTGATCAATATGTGGTAGTCAAAGTATTCTTCCTATTATCAATCTACCGATTCGAGTCTTGAAACGGGAAGAGTATTCTCAACCTGTGAGGTGTCTGCTTGAGTTTCTCATTGATGCTTAGATATTTGTTCTCCTGGGAGCTCACTGAGCCAAGATGACGAACTCCCAAGCTCACCCATGGAAATTCCAAAGATAGTGGGATACCTAGTTAGGTACGAGATGAGAGAAGCAGAATTAATACGGCATGATAATATGGAGGCGGAAGGTTGGTTGAATGTCCTTCGTCCACTAAGTTCATGTTTATGCCCTCATCTTTCATTCAGTTTTATAGAATACAGGTTTACAGCACTGCTCTAGCTTGTCAAATGGGGCGGCATTGTATTTATTAGGACGAGCGCAGTTGAAATTCAATATTCTAGGGAGAAAACATGTGCCGCGGTTTGGGTTGCCGCTTTTAGACACCCTGAATTTCTGCAAAATCCAGTAATCACAGGGATTAGCACAAGGATTGACACAGAGGTTATTACTATATTATCGTGATCCTGCTGTAATGATCTACTTCAGTCGCAGCACCTTTGTATTATCCCTGCCTAGTCTCCCGAGTCTACACCCTGCTGCAGTATGACCTGGCGCAAAGCTGTCCTGAGCTCCACCTCAAGAGCTGGTTCCAGGTGTACCTTAGTGTAAGGGGCGGTTTCCTCCGATGACATCTGTGGTGGTATGATATCAGGGGCAGTCTCCTCTAACGACTCCTGTCTTCTGTGTCTTCCCCATTCTCTCCAGTCCATGTCGTCCATATCAGTATCGCTATCCCCATATAACTCTGTAAAGCTGTCTTCGCTTTCTTTTGGACTGCCTTGTACGGACCTCTTCTTCCTCAGATGTAGCGGGGTTGCCGTTTTTGATCCTCCACCGCCGTATGCGTTCCGAAGCTCTATCCCAGTACAAGACATTGTCTTGTGCTCTATCTTGCCATCTGCATCTCTAGAGACTCGGATGACGTGACGACGTTGGCCTGCGATGACGAAGAGCTTGGCCCGGAAAAGGATAGCCCAAGCGAAACGGGCAAAGAGGTAAGCGCGAGACTGATCATGGAGGGACTCGACGAGGGTGGTATGATATGTAGCCCATACTTCCGCTGCAGACTCTGAAATGATATGCGTGACGTATTGAAGGGAGGGATGAAGGGAAGAATCGATAGTAACAATCCTTGGAACAATAACAAACCATCGAGCGTTAAACGAGTAGTGTATATCCTTCCTAAGAGGAAGGAGATTGCCTTGGTTATTGATATCGCCCGTCCCATACTGTTGCATTTCATTATCCATATACCAACGTTCTTCCTCTTTTGGCACAAGATGGGCTTCTTCGACGGCATAACCAGCGTTGGTAATACTGCAGTCTCTAGTGGTAACAGAGCCGGCGTAAACAGGAGGCCACCAATCGGGGATGCGGTCGTGGGGGAACTCACAGTCTTGGAAACTAGGGACGATAGGATAAAGCACTAAAAGGTTAGCGAATGCCGCTCAAAGGGAGGAGGGAGTTCTTAACGGAGCCTTCAACGATGAAGTAGTAATCCTTGTCTATTAAGATACCATCAAGTGGTACCTGGGCTTGCTGTTGACCCGCCTTATCGAGAGAGAAATAGCTATTGGCGAAGGCATTCCCAGCGATAATCTGGCATGCTAGCAGGGCTGTTCTATGATGTACGCCGTAGGTAGAAATCGATGTTGTACTATCGACGCGCGGGAGAGTTAGGAGGAGGTTGTGACTGCTATAACCGGGATGGCGAAAGCGGATATGTTCTCGAGAGGTAAATCCGAGAGCCGGCTTAGGGGGCCGGCGCCGGGCCTGGGGCGGTTCCGGGGGTTTGCTGATAGATTACGAGGATGCGAGGTTGATTGGCGTTGTGGATCCATAATCCGGGTGCCACTATTGCATGTGACGAATTTAGAGCAATTAGAAACCGGCAGCCCCGACCACGGCACATGCATTCCAGTATGGCAGCAAGCTGTATTTCGCCACCAGGTTACCGTCATCCACGGCGACTGTTCGTGGTATTCCGGAATGGTTCGTAGTAGTACTACTGTGGGGGGGTAATAGTTGTTCATTGATTGTCTACAGAAGTAACTAAGGTTTCTGGGTGGGCTTACTTTTGGTGGATCGGCACGCAGGTCCCTGTGCGCTCGCGTACCCCTCCCTCCTGCACCAAAAGTACGGTCATGAATGCCGCTGTTCCAACAGCGACCTTACCAGGGTTAAAATAAGGAAGTAGTAGCCAGACACCGAAGCTCAGAATACAAAGTGGACTTGAATCCACAAGAGGCCCGTGTAAAAAAAACAGAGAGAAGTATATAAGCTCGCGGCGCAGCCAAGGGCAGAAAAAGATCCGAGGGCTAATTTCTGTCGGCGAGGTGCATCTTTTCTGAGACGAGCTTGGCAAACACTACACCGACGATAGCTTCTGGCAACACAAGACATGTCTCGGAGGTAGGACCCTTCTGACTTTGTCCATCTCTTGCCGTCGCCCACTTCTCCGGATCTTGATATCCAAGAGGGCCCGCGCACGGCATGTTCTTGCCGAAAATCCGCTAGCTCTCCCCCTAGGTTCTTGTATCCAAAACTAGGTTTGCTGAAGAGCCCAGACCAAATGTCCTACGTGAGAAATGCCGTGACACAGAGCACAAACTTTTGACGTATGGACATACAGATCTTAGGAGTTGTCAAACACCCCAGCCCCAGCTCTCTCGAGCGGCGCTATTCGCTCGATTAAGACCGAAGGGAATGAGACTATCGATCGGCCCCCAAATGGTGTGCGTTGCCGTCACAAACACTGCGGCTGCAGCATCTGCCATCACCTCGGCCTGGCCAAGCCCTAGCCGTGCGGGAAGGAATCTACTGCCCGCACTACCATTCATCGCCACGGGCACTAGCTGAATCTGATGCCCAGAACCATTCATCGCCACGGGCACTAGCTGAATCTGATGCCCAGAAAAATACCAAATAGGAAATCTTGAGCGGTCCGGACAAGAACAAGACGGAAGAAAAAGAAAAGAAAAGCGCTCACGGCAAAACTCACGGGCTCTCTTTTGCGGACGAAAAGAGTGCGGGATAGGTGGATTTGCAGTGCTGAAGATCACTGCAGATCTGCACACAGTGTTGTTCACGTCCACTTCCATGCTGATTTGTTGTCCGCCCAGAGACTGGTAGTGTTGTGTGCTTGGTGGTGTGACATAGCAGAAGAAGCAAAGTGAGAACTCCTACTTGAGATGCCACTCCTGAGCTGTTTTACTAGACCTAGATCTAAATCTAGACCTAGACCCACCACCAAATCTCGCTCTTGTCCCGGATCTTGGAGCTTGCGTTCTGCAAGAAGCACGGCCAAAGCGCCAAAGGGGAAAACCCGACGCGGACCAGCTGGCTGAGGCTGCTGCCGCCGAACGGCTCTCGTACCGTGGTGCGCGATGGCCAGCAGGGGCTAGCTCGAGTGGCGTCAATCTCGAGACAGCTATGGGAATATTGGTGACTAATCACCCCAAGGAGAAAGTAGTTTCTGGACTGGCTCTGGAAGAGCCATCAAGTGTATGTAGGTTTGTAGGAAGATGGAAATACCCCTTTACCAAGAGAGGGTATTCGCTCTCTCGGTTTTCTCCCCTTTTCCATTCCTGGCTGTTAGGCTTGCTACTATCGTATACTTGTTTGCCCCTTATCACGTACGGTATTGGCCGTCCCTGCCACTGCAGACGCCAGCCACCATAAACCAAGCACTACTCGAACCAAGACCGCCGTCTGCAAATTTCAAAATGGAATGTCGGCAGGCTTAGTATTCACCAGAGGCTCGTATATCACAGGAGACATGGCAAGCAGCGAAGTTGTGGCTGATCTGCCAGACATGGAAATGGGGGCGTTCCAAGGGGACGGGGGCATGGACATATCGTAGCTGAACTATGGAATGTACTGACTAAGCAATATGGTATGCCGGACTCACACCTTCCACCGCCACCCAAGAAGACTCGCCCTCTGTTCAACCCTGCCATCAAAAGCGAGAGAGAGAACATGAACTGACTCAACGTCCTCACGGCGACGTACACAAAAGGCCCCCCCTGACATGGTGAGGTTCCTGTCTCAGGAGACGAACCCTCTGCCATTCACCGACGGCTGGCCGACGCCCTAGCTCATGTACAACTACAACACTCAGCCCACCCTCGAGGGCATGTCGGACTACATACTCATGCCGCCGCAGCCGCCACCGCCGCAGCAGGGATACTTACCCGCCGCTCTACGGCGCAGCCGGCCCGGGGCTGGCCATGGCGCCGGCGGCCTGGACGGCCTAGGGCTTGGACGGCATCGACGTTGACTTGGACATGTACATGTGCCCGCCGTGGTCCGGCGAGAGCAGCAACAGCAACAGCAACAGCAACAGCAACAGCAACAGCAACAACAGCAACAGCAACAGCAACAGCAACAAAGCATGCGAGGTGTGCGGGCGGTCGTTTGCGCGGCCGACGGAGCTCGAGCGCCATGTCAACACAGTGCACAACAAGTCGCGCAAGTTGTTGATGTGCCCGCTGTGCGACCCGGACCCCAACCCAGACTCTCAAACCGCCGCCGCCGCCGCCGCTAGCGCCCAGCAGACGTATTCTCCCCGCGATGCGCTGCAGCGCCACTTCAAGCGCGTGCATACGAGCTGGTGTCTCGATTCCCTGGGCAGGGCTTCCCGCCTCGCTGTTCCAGCTCTAGCCCCGGCCCCGGCTCCTGCCCCGATCCCCAGCCCAGCGGCCAGCGCTGCTCCTCAGCCGTGGGGTGAGCCTCGATGAAACAGCGTCGAGGGGGTGGTGTGTGGTTCACCGACTACCTACCTGCCTGGCTCCCTCCCAGCCTACCTGATTAGACACGTAGAATATAGAAGGGGAACCAGGTTTAAGATATAGCGAAGAGAGGGAGCTATTTGTGTTGCCGCCAGGGGAGGGAGGAGAAAGAGGAAGAGGAGAAGGAAGAAAAAGGCAGAATGTCTGTCGTAGATCGTGCTCGAGCTATGACGGGGCCGTGGGATGGCGCAACGTCCGGATGCAGTGGTAGCAATAGTAGGCACGTTCAAAATGACGAGAAACGTTTTATCTTCTACACCCAGCCGCTGATGGCATTTAATTAACAAAAGAAACAAGACCGTCCGTCCCTCGGGTTTACTCCAACCCGCCTTTTCCCTTCCAGTTTCTTGTTCGTGTCCATTACGTTGTGTATGTGTAGATGTTACTTCGCTGGCCGCTGGTGGTACAAGAGTGAGAGTTTAGCAAGAATCTGGTGCGCATGCACCCCTACATGCGCGTATCCGTGTACGCTCCTCAACAAAAAACAAGTTGAGTTAGAGACTTGGTATGGCAACCAGAGTCTAGGAGGCCGCTTGAAAAATCCATGGCATCTTATTCGTTGGAGCTTTCAGAGCCAGTCACAATGTCGTGTGATATTTCCTGGCGGTTGGTGCGATCTAGGCGGCCTCCTTCGCCGTTGCGTCGTTGCCCTCGCTGGCGGGCTTTGCGAGCTTTCCTTCACGCTCTTTCTCGCCCTCGACGCTCTTCTCAGCCGAAGGGATTGGCTCGTCAGGAACAAGTCGCTTAGGCGTCTCTTGGTCAACCCCTACGTGCCGAGATGTCAAGTTAGTACTCGGCATCTGCAAGAAGGATCCAGATGGGTGGTCGACTTCACACTTGCCTTGAACATCCGGGTGAGGGGGGGCAACACTGGCAGCATCTTGCGCCGGGGGGCCACCTTCGGGTACAAGGACCTCGTTGCCGTTGGCATCGACGACACGGGTGCGCGTCTCGTAACGTGTCTTGAACTCGACCTTGCCCTCAAGCGCCTTGACTTGCTCCTCATTGAGGATGTTACCGTTCTGATCTCTATACTCGACACGCTCCTCGCGAGAAACAATCCGCTGGCCAGCGGCAAGGGGGGCTCCAGAGATAGCCGGGTTCCCGTCTTGAGCCGGCGGCGGCACCGGCACGTTCCCGATAGGCACCTGGGCCGGCTGGCCGGCAACAGGGAATTCTACTGGCGGGGGAGGCTGTGAGGAGATGGACTGCTGAGGCGTCTGGGCAGCTGGAACAGCAGGCAGCGAGCTATAGGCATCGTACTATACCCAAGGCATTGTATTAGTGGAAAGTGCACTAGTTTTGATTGGTATGTTTGTAATTCTAGCCCGGCATCCGAAGTATGCGACCACATGAGACCAAATCTCGCTAAACTCTCTCGGGGAGCTTTCTCTCGGGGATCACTTCAGGGGGGATGCTACTCACGCTGTCCAAGAATGTGTTACAGTCAAAGTCCCAAGTGCTGAAGAGCTTGACACGGTTGCACTCGGCCTTCGTCCACGCATTGCCGTACGCAAGAGGCGAAAAGAGGCCAAAGACGACCATAGACAACACCAAAAAGCTAAAGGCGCTAACCCTGTTGACGATAGGGTTCTCCTTGACACCGAAACCGGCGACTCTGGCTGTGGCAAAGTCGAAGACCTGGCACAAAGCGATGATGGCAAAATATAGAGCCGGGAAGTAATGGTGGAGGAATAACTGTCGCTGCATGAGAAAGAAGGGGAAGTAATGGAGGGCCCAGCCGAGCACCGAGGTGCCAATTTCATAGTCGAAACGCTTGAAAATGGGGTTGGCATAGTCGTTGCAGCTGCGCTGCCAACGGAGGACAGCGAGTCCCTTGAAGAGAATGTAGAGGGCGACAGCCGCAGTGGCACTCCACCAGATAATGGGGTTGCCCATCAGATAAATCTGGCGGTGGTCCTTACCCCAGAAGTTGATGCCACGGCGGAGAATAGGCCACGAAGGGGGGCGAGAATCCCAAGCATGCGACTCGACAAGCCCGGCGTTGGTCTTCCACATGACCTTTTGAAGTTCCCAAAACTTTCCAAAGAAGCCGGGATTGGCGTAGTTGACCTTGTCGGCACTGTCGCCAAGCTGGGGGTGCTCGTTTGACTCGATATACCAGAGACTGTTGGGGAGAGTGCCGCCTCGGGCGCAGGTGACCTCCTGTTGCTCCGAAGCCCAGTCAGGAAGCTTGACCTTGTGCGAGAACAGAACACAGCCCGTCATCAGGTGGACGAGGCGAAACTTGGTGTCAATGGTGCGGAGGCGGTCCTGAGAAATGCCCGACCTGGACTTCTTCTTGACAATCTCAACGCGGAAAAAGTCATTGGCGTCCCCGTCGAACCCTTCATAACCATAGGCCGAGACCTCATTTTGCCACTCAGCCTCGGTGATTGGGGGGCGCACATCGTGCGAGTGAAGACGGCGGTGGGTAGGCTGGTGGTACAGGCGAAGAACCGAGCCGTCCTTGATATAAGGGGGTTCAGGGAGGTTGAACCATGCGGTCGTCCCGTTGATGGGCTCACCGTGGATATCGAGCGGCTGCGTCTGATTCTCAAGCAGCCAGATGTTGTTTTCGTCCTTGTGGGGATATAGGGTGATCTGCTGTTGCTTGGATCCCGTGGGATACATGAGGGGATGCGAATGAAGATAACCGCCCTGTGTGTTAACGTGACGGATTGTGACGCGGCTGCCCATCAAGACATCGGCCGGGACATCCTGCATGCCCTTGGAGTTCAAGGTCGACTGGAACTCAGAGCTCATGAATCCATCGCCATCACCGGGGTTGGACAGGCAGAGGAAATGGATTCCGAACATGGCCATGTAGAAGGTGAGGGGGATGACAATCAGGCAGAAGACGCGGGCCATGAAGTGCTTGGAAAAGGCGCGGATGGTGACGTGCTTATAATCACCCAGCATAACCCAGAGCTGAACTAGCGTCAAGAGGCCAACCCACGCAATGGTGAACAGGCCGACCCACTTGATACTGACAGTCGCTCCCAGGCCGAGGCCAGTCATGACGAGCCAGAACCACCAGCTGGGCTGGAAGGCCTTTGTGGGCCCGAGCTCCTGTTGGTTGGTGAAGCAGGTGAAGGCGAGGGCGGTGAAGGCAGTCGTAATCATCAGGGGAGAGTCGAGCAAGATCAGTCTCGCTTGCGTCAGGAGCCCGTTCTCTGCACCAGAGGTTAGCAACACAGCCAGCCGTTACGTGTCTTGTGTGACGCGGTCCAACGAACCAAAGATAATGAGGCCTGCGCCCAAGATGGCCGTCGAAGTGCGGCAGCCGGCAGCCTTGAGGGTCAGGAACATGGTCGGAGCCAAAAAGATACCGCAAAGGGCGGGGAACAGGCGCATGGCGACATAGGGGACGCCGGGCTCGAGATAGTCCTTGCCAATTTCCTTGAAGTCGAAGTCTCCATTGAAGCCGGCAAGCCAGCCGAAGAGGGTGATGAGGAGCTTGGCAAGGGGGGGATGTACGTCCATGAAGAAGCGGCCCTTGATGTACTTGGAGGCAAAGCCGCCGAAGCTATTATAGCCGTGTGGTCAGCTCTAGGTGCATGGTGGAGGACGGACGGAAGAGGGAAAGAAGACAATGGGGAATGGCGGTTCGATATCGACGCGCGGCAGACATACTGGACCTCGTCAAAGACAACGCTGGTGGGCTGGTAGATGCGGTACAGGCGTACAAGGGCAGCCACGATGGTCACCGCCAGCGTAACCTTGTAGTCAGAGACGGGCAGCAGGAAGACATCGTTGTCGTCGACTCCCTCCGAGGTGTAGTCCCTGGGCTTGGAAGCCTTTGTCTTTTGCTTAGAGTGGTGGGTGGGCGGCTGCTTCGCGGCAGCGGCAGCGGCTCGAGCCATGATTCGAAAGTCGGTCGACCGAGGCCGCGTCTACGACAGAGGGCAAAGGAGGTCTTGGTTGGAAACGACGTAGATGGCTGTCGTCGAGCGATGGCCCGGGGACGATTGGGAATCGTGGATACGGGACGAGGCAGCTTCAGCCGAGAACCAGAGAGACGTGGAGCGGACCATAAAACCGGGAATTAACGAGAGTCGAAGGATAAGGTTCATTACAAGGCTGTCATTGGATCGGCGACGCAGCAGCAGAAACGGCGGATCGCGTATGGGGAGCACGGGGGGGAAAGAACAAAAAGAACAAAAGAGGACGACACGTCGAGAATATACGACTTGCTGGTCAGTCCTGGCGTCGAACCTGGGCTGAAGGGAGCTGGAAAGGGGCTGTAGGCTGAAGATGGCGCGGAATGGCAATTCTTTGGCAATGTGCAATGTAGCTTAAGTGGCCTTATCCCCCTGTCTTGGCCCGGCCAGCCGCTGGCTGCTGCCCCTAAAAATGTCCAGCACCTGCGCCAGAGCCTAGCCAAGGGAGCTGCGCTCAAAGAGAGGAACGCGAAGAATTGGGGCTGAGTGGAGCCATCCTATTGGTCCGAGATTCCTAAGTACCCAGGTATACCTGCCTTTCGTCGTTCCTTCGCTTGGCACGGCCCCACATACCCATGTACTTACATGCACTTACGGGCATTCAAAACGCTAGACTGAGTATTTTGCTGATCGACAAGATCTTCCCCACCACCTATTAGCTGGCCTACTGACTGACCAGCAGCCGGCAAGCAGACAGAACCGAGCAGAGCGACTGTTTCTGCCGCGCCGGACGCCTGTCGATCCACCCGACCTAGCCTTTTTAACAAAACCGCAACTGAAGCAAGAAACCCCAAATCCGCCATGGCTGTCGCGACAAATGGCGATGCCGCGTCGGCAGCGGCTGCTGCACTCGAAAACCTCAAGCCTCCGACTGGCGTCATCATCCCGCCGCCGGGCGAGATCCGCGAGGCCATCGAGAAGACGGCCGGCTATGTCATGCGTGGAGGTGTTGGGCTCGAGCAGCGCATCCGCGAGAACCATGGAAAGAATCCCAAGTTCTCTTTCCTCATGACGCCTACCGACCCCTACAACGCGTACTACGAGTGGAGAAAGGCCGAGATCAAAGCTGGCCGAGGCACCGCTGTCGCCGCCGGTCGCGTGGGCGAGAGTGCCGCCGCGGCGGTTAAGCAGGTCGTCAAGGGCCCAGAGAAGCCCCCCGACTTCCAGTTCTCTGCCCGTATGCCCCGCATGAGCCAGAAGGACTTGGAGATTGTGCGCATGACTGCTTTGTTCGTCGCAAAGAATGGCCGCCCGTTCATGACACAACTGGCTCAGCGCGAGGCGAGCAACGCCCAGTTCCAGTTCCTTATTCCAAACCATACCTTCCACAACTTCTTCCAGAGCATGGTCGACCAGTACACAATTCTTCTCCGCGAGGGTGGAGTTAGCGGCGAGGAAGGCGCCCGCCTCCGGGAGGAGCGCATCGCCGCCCTTCGGCACAATGTCAAGGACAAGTACCACATGCTGGCGCGCGCAAAGCAGAGGGCCCAGTACGCCCAGTGGCTGGAGGCGGAGAAAGTCAAGCAACAAGAGGAGGAAGAGCAGAAGAGGGTCGAGTTTGCCAACATCGACTGGAACGACTTTGTTGTGATGGAGACCATAACCTTCACCGAGGCCGACGACCAGGCCAACCTACCCCCTCCAACCTCCCTAAACGATCTTCAGTATGCCTCGCTAGAGGACAAGAACAAGATGTCTATCAGCTCCAACTTCCGCATCGAGGAAGCTTTTCCATTTGAGGATACCAGCTACAACGCCTATCCCCCGCAGACGTACGGCACCCAGGCGCCTCCTACACAGCAGGAACAGTCAGCTGCCACGCCGCCAAACCAGGCTTACGGCGCGCCTTATACTGGCGGTCGTGCGCGGACTGCTGCAGAGGAGGAGGAGCTGCAGCGCATCCAAGAGAGAGAGCAGGAGCGCGCCCGCATGCACCAGGCACAGGCCGAGGCTCGCGGTGGTGTTGCGCCGATGAAGATCAAGGAGAACTACGTGCCGCGTGCCGCGCAGCGAGCAGCGTCCAAATTTGGCACGCAGACGGCGCTGTGCCCCAACTGCAAGCAGCAGATCCCTCTCAACGAGATGGACGAGCACATGAGAAGTGAGTCTTACTTGATATTCTTTTTATGTTTACCTTCCACTTTCCAAACCTGTTCAGTCCGCTAATAGTCTTTTGCATCACTAGTTGAGCTCCTGGATCCGCAGTGGAAGGCGCAGAAGGCCAAGGCCGATCGCCGATACGCGGCAACCAACATCTCGACGGTGGACGCTGCGTCCAACCTGAAGCGCCTGCGGGACCACCGCAGCGATCTGTTTGACGGCGTCCCGGCCGAGACCATCTCGGCCGAGGAGGAAGCCCGCCGCAAGCGCGTTGCTCTCAACAGCTTCGACGGCAACCCCGAGGGCAAGAGCCAGGCCCACATCAACCACCTACAGACGTTCAACCTGGATGAGCAGATCCGGGCGATCCACCAGAAGTTCGCCCCAGAGAAGAAGTGAGGCAAGGCCTCTGCGTTTTGGGCGGAGAGGTGCGGGCCGCATGGGAAGGCGTCGGCGTTAATCGGGAAGGCGTCTGCATTGATCGGGAAGGCATCTTCGTTAATCGGGCATGTATGGGTACCATCATCAAGATGCATAGTTGTTTATTTACTTGGGCCTATACCGCGAGGATATAGGACCTATTATAGGCTAGACTAGGCCTAGTACTATTGTGTACTATATGTATAAAAAATGAAATGCCTGGTTTTGTGCAAGTCGCGCCTTTTTTGCGCGCCGTGAAGATGCCACGGAGCTAGGATACGTGAACGGGATTTGCTAGGCATTGAGCTTCCTATAAGAGTGTGCTTGTTTATTACCTTGAGTTAGAACGTGCAAGATCGTGCTCGGCTGCGGTTTCGTCCTATGTGTTTGCCTCTCAACTCTAGGTCATGGGGACTGCTACTGCAGGCACCATCTTACCTAATATCATCCCCTAAAGACGACTCCTCACTTGCCCCAAGGCCTACATTGCCTCGTTACCCCCTACCCCCATCATACGCCCGCAGCGCCGCCGCCACGATACCCGCAATGGCGAGCACCTTCTCCTCCTCGAATTTGCGCGCCACAGCCTGCACGCCGACGAGCCCGCCGTAGTATTTCTCGGCATCGTTGGCGTCCCAGTTGAGTTTGCCGATTGGGCTCAGCGGCTCGTACGACGACGACAAGCCGGAGCCGGAGCCCGCGTCGAGGTGCATGTCCGCCTTGGTGACGGGGATGACGGTGGAGCTGTAGTTGAGCACGTTGATGGCTTAGCAGTAGCCTTGCAGCCGTGTCAGCGCGGCCACGTCTCTGCTTCCGGGGTATCAGGTGGAGGGTGGGTTGGGGTTAGGGGGGTATCTGGACTGGGCTGGGGTTGAGGGCACACACCAGTGTGGTAGAACTTGCCGGGGATGACGGCAGCGTGTGGAGCTACCGGCATGATGACGGCGTCGACGACTTGGCCTGTGTTGTTTTCCGCTGCGTGAGCGAGTTGCACCAACTGTCACACAAGTACATTTCCGCCGCAAAGATTTCACGCGGCAAAGGACGGCCATCGCGTTGCCGACTTACCATCCTCGTTCGCGGTCGAGTTCCAGTAGTCGGAATACTCGAACTCGTACGCCAGGCCCTCGAGCGTCGCCGCCTGATACTCGAGCAGGCTGGAGGGCGGGCGGAGAACGGCCTTTGGCTGGAGCAGGGGCTCGCCGGTGAGGTCGAGCTGGGTGTGCACATCGAGAAACCTATCAGCCCTCAAGAATGAAGACCTTTGGGTGGAAAGGGATTCGGTGTCAGCTCATCCGCGAGTTCGTGTTCATCGTACATGGAGCCAAGACCTGATTTACATGTATGGCGACGGCCCTAGAGTGCGCAGGGGGCGTCCAGTCCACCACGTGGCCAGCCTGCTTCACAGCCTCGGCGACCATTTTCAGGCCCCTGTGGATGGGAGGATGCGGACGCATTATGCCGTCCGTCTAGAGGATGCCGAGTTTCAGCGGGCTCGCGCTGTTGCCGGGGTCGGCGCGTCGTGTGTACTCTTCCACGACATGCTGGCGGAAGGGGATGGGCACGATGGCCGGATCCCGGAGCCAAGGCTGAGCAGAGAGGGTCGAGCGCAGGGCCAGCTGCAGCCCCATGAGCGAGGTGGAGAAAGCCGACGGCGGAGCGGTACGTGTTCTGGCCGGGGTTAGTGTTGGCGGCGTCACGGTATGACAGGTGCTCGGGCGTGGGCTTGAGGCCGAAGACGCTGTTGAAGGCGGCTGGGTTGCACACCGATCCGCTAATATTGGTGGCTACACCGAGCGAGCTGCCGCCGAGGGTAAGCAGGGCGCCCTCGCCGCCCGAGGAGCCGCCGCACGGAGGTTGTGGTGGCTGTGCGGGTTCAGGGTCTGGCCGTTCATGTTGTTTTTGGTCTCGCCCAGGATCAGCCCCTGAGACACGCTGGTCTTGCAGTCGGCTCCGAGCGAGAGGAGGTCGGTTGTGATATGGCTCTTGACCTGGTGCGCCTGGCTCGGGTCCGCGATGCCGAGATTGCTGCCGATCCAGCCGACGTAACCCATGGTGGTGTCGACGCCCTTTACGTGGAATTGGTCCTTGAGGCTGATAGGGAGGCCGTGCAGAGGCCCGATGGTGACCTTCTTGGTAGCGAAGTGCTCATCGAGGTATTTTGCTCTTTCCAGAGCCTGGTCAAAGAAGATTTCATGACGACAGTTGTTCTTGGAAAGCCTCTCTAGTCAGAACTGTGCAGTGAGTGGTACGGAGTATGTATATATACTAGCTGCCAAGTGCAACAGGGTTGAGGCATCTGGAGACTCACGATCTGGTGGGCGATGGCTGCCGCCTTACAGAAAGCGGTAGTGATCTGGACGGCCGTGAGGATCCCCTTTTAGATAGCAAGAACAAGCTCGGCACTGTTCTTGGAGATGGTTACTCAGGTCCCAGGAACTGCTGGATAAAGAAGCCGGTCAGGTCTTGTTGTTTGGCGGCCCTCTCAAGGTCTGCCGGACTCAGCCTCCACTCCCGAGGAATCCGATCAAGTGTCCTGACTCGGTTGGCGGCGGCCAGAGTCTCCCACAAGGAGCTTGCGATGACATCGAGGCTGTCTTGCTGCTAGTCTACTGATGGTGACACTACTCACGTCAAGAGATCAAGAAGTTCACAGAGCAAGATGAGAGCATACGCGTATACTTAGTCCCTATATATATGCACCCAGCCCAGGGACGGTAAGACGCCCCCAACCACGTGCATGGCTTTTTCGCGGCGTGATCGTCCGGGGTCCTGAGTTCCATGGATATATGCATGGAGGACGCGTGGTGTTCTTAACCCGGGTGGGAAGAGAGTCGTGACGCCCCAAGGATCAAAGAAAACAAAAAAAGTACTGATGACTGGTGAATGATACAAATGCCCCTTTTTGACCTTCCCGGGCGTCTGCCAAGGATGTGTTGGGATTCAATACCTGGTCCCAAGATTAACATTGTGGCTGTACATACGGAATACGTGCAGCACAAAGTCGTCGTCACTTCCATTGATTATGGCAGGGGTTGGTTCGGTAGCCACTCTTGAAAGGGATGATGTTTTGAAACTTTGTTCCGCAAGGATGCTTGCTCGTCGTCGGTCGATAAACCAAACTTCTTGCAGACCGGGGAACGTAGCTCTATTTTCGGATAGGTAGGCTTATGTACGGTATATACACTACTACGGAGAACGGACTAAGAAGTGCTTCAGCATTTGTATCCGTACCCCGTAATCCGTATTCCCCCACCTTCCCAAAGTCCAGCGCCCGGCCCGGCACCTTGGACCTGCCAGAATAGCCTTGGGCCCCTTCTGTGTGTTAAACGAGTGTGACCCCTCCTCCCTCCAAAAAATTGCGAGATAGGACGATTACTTGGCAGCATCTCGAGTGTTTAAACCCCTCAAGGACGGCGACGTCATCACGAGAGCAGAAGCTCAGTCAATTGCGCCGCGCGCCATCACCACCACACTTGTCTTCGCGACAACTCTCTTGCTGCAGGAAGCTCTGGCGCCACAGAGCCACGACCACACCAGCACTTAGACGGGGACAGGGGCTGCCGACACCCCTCCGACACGGCCAGAATGGCGTCCAGCGACCAGTATGGTTCTACCGACCCCCAGGACGATCCCTTTGGATCGCCCGCCCTGCCCAAATCGCCTACGTCTCCCACGTCGCCCACGTCGTCTGACCCCAACAAGTCGCCCACGGCAGCCTCGGCTGCGGCTGCGGCCCGCCTGCACAGGCCCATCATGCAGTCTATGCCAGACACGCGACAGCAGTCGTTCGACGAAATCTACGGCCCACCCGAGAACTTTCTCGAGATCGAGGTGCGTCTGCTTCCTTATCTCGGCCCGGCTCTGTTTTCCCCATGCCCACCTTCTATGCTGTACCGTCTATAGGTGGACAGGAGCCGGCATGCGACACCTTTATCTCTCCCCTTCTAGAATCTTGGGAGGGATGAGTAAGGACCAAGAAGTCGCAGAGATGCTAACAGCTACCGCCAAACATGCAGGTCCGCAACCCGCGCACCCACGGCATTGGGCGGCACATGTACACGGACTACGAGATCCTCTGCCGAACCAACATCCCGGCCTTCAAGCTGCGGCAGTCGTCGGTGCGGCGGCGCTACTCAGACTTTGAGTACTTCCGTGACATCCTTGAGCGCGAGAGCGCGCGCGTTACCATCCCGCCGCTACCCGGAAAGGTGTTTACCAACCGCTTCAGCGACGACGTCATCGAAGGCCGCCGCTCCGGCCTCGAGAAATTTCTCAAGATTGTCGTTGGGCACCCGCTGCTGCAGACGGGGAGCAAGGTGTTGGCAGCGTTTGTGCAGGGTGCGTTGATAAGCGCCCCCAAATCCAAGACCAGACGGTGTAGCCGTACTGACTTTGTACAGACCCTAGCTGGGACCGCAATGCCTGGTGACTCGTTTGGCTGGCCCGTTTCGCAGCGCCTTCTTCGGCCTCACGCTCCTCTTCTTCCTCGTCGACGTTTTCAAACGATAGCGCCGCAACCACGGCCACGGCCACGACTGCTTCAACGACTACAACTTCTTCCCATGATAACCACCACGACTATCTAACATGGCAGCACCAGCACCAGCACCAGCACCAACACCAGCAGCAACAACAAGAACAACAGAACAACCAGAAATACCCACAGCAACCACCTCCACTCTCTCCTCGCGCCCCGAGGAAGCTGCGCAAACGGCCGCCCAAGGGCTGGGCGGAGACGGAGGCATTGCAGAAGCTCGGGGGCTGGGATGGCGGCGACGACAGCGGCAAGGGAACTAATGACCACGTAGAGGAGCCCGCACGCCAGGACCGCCTTGTCTGAAAATGGACCACCTGCACGGATTATGGGCAATGGAAGCGAGGAAAATGGGAGCAGGCGGAAACTCTTTTTATTTTACTAGGGACCTTTCTCAAGGTATTTATGTAAGGGCTGCGAGGAAGGAAGGATGGCCTTTTTTATTATTTCTTGTTCCTTTTTTTTTTTTTACTACCAGTATCAAATCCTCCCCGGAAGCTTGTTTTAACTTTTCATCATGGCAGAATTGGTACCTATTCAGGGGCCAGGCAGGTTCTATTGTTGTGGCTCAAAAGCGAGAGAGAGACAACAAACAAAAGCTCGCACCGAGGTGCCTTTTCATTGGTGTCTGCCTATTTGTCAATTTCCTGCTCTTATGCAACGGCTAATGACATTGCTTTTTTCCTTGTCTCGTGCGCATGGTGGGAGAGGGATTCTCTAGTTGCAGAGCAGAGCAGGGCAAGGTTAGGTTATGAATGGGGATGGGATATGGGAATGATTAAGTTGCGGATCGTGATGTAGCTTCCTATTATGTACCTAACATGGAAGGGCTACTAGGCTCTGTACTATGCTGTGCATTGCATTGCATTTGCTGCACATTAAGGCATGCATGCTCTAGAATGTCTCGCATCCATCCGCTCCCCCATATCTTCTCCTTTGTCTCTCGTCGCAAAGGTTGATCAGTAAAGTCTCGAGAGCTCCCCCTGTTCGATGATATATTGTATGGCGTTGTATTATAGACCATGTAGTTGTAATACACAACACAACCCAGACCAGATTCGATCGTCCCGCTTTCTCCCAGCCTGAGCGGCAGCGCAAATGCGATGACTGTTCTCTTTTCCAGCCCAAAGAGGCTCCTGGTCTAGGGTTTCGTTTTCCATTTAGCTGCTCTCTTTTGCGGCAAACCCCCAGTGGGAGTATGCCAAAAGCGCAATGCACTGCATGATAGGTGCTACCTCCTCTTCCACAACCAACCCCAGTTCAAACCCAACCGGGCGCCAACCAAAAACGCCGAATGCAAAACGGTACAAGACAAGAAAGAAAAAACCTTTTGAGTGAAATGCTGCTACTAGCCCCGCGCCCGTTTTGTATACAATGTTTTTCCGAAATCCCCGTCTATGACTCGTCCGAGTCCCGTTCCATTTCTATGCATGCAGCGGCTTTTTAGTCGTGGCCGAAATTTTGTACAAGCTAAATGAGAGTTGTTTTGTTGTTACAAGGGGGGGCGAGGAGTCGGGGTATGCGTATACCCTGACAGGCCCGGTTTGGCTCAACGGAGAGAAAAGCGGAGAAAAAAGAAGACGAGAATTGAGCGGGATGGGCGCAGGTACAATATGTACGTGCTTGGAGAGGACCTTGCCGGTTCGTCCTCTACCTTTGGTTGGTAATTAAAGAGACTTAGGCCTTTCTCTCGGCCCGCTTTACCTCTTCGCTAAGGAAAGGCAAAGGAGGAAAGAGGCGGTGCAGTTCTTCCCTGTGGGAAGGTAGATAGGGGATATGACGAGACTGGCTCGCCTCCCTTATCTGAATTATATTCATACAGCGTCGATTCTGCTGGTGGTGTGTGGTGTATACTAGGGTGAGCAGTATCGAGCGAGTTGATTCGGTCGGCCGGGGGTAGTTGATTCGGGGCGCAGGCTCAAGCTGGCGTGTCGAGCAGGCGCAGAATGCCCTCGTACATACCGAACATGATGGCGGCACTCGGAACGGTACGGAGCAGGTGCGGAGTCATTCCTCCATACAGGCCGACCATGCCCTCCTCCTTGAAGACGAGCTTGAAGCACTGGAGGAGCCCCGTGTACTTAGGCCGGCCGTCGGCCATAGGCGCCTGGCGGAGACGGGTGCGGGCGACCTGTTTTTTGGTTAGTTGCTACATGTATATAACGAGAGGGAAGGCCATACCTCGTGCGGGTAGGTCAGGACGGCGGCGACGAGCTTCGCGCCGCCAGCAGCAAAGACCTTGCCGGTCCATTGAACCGTGTGGTCCCACCAAGTCTTAGGGAGGCCGCTGCGGAGGACGCGCTCCTCTCGCTGGGCCAGGGTGCGCTTCATGTCCTCGTACAATACCCATTGCAGGGTGGACTCGGCCACGCCCAAGTAGCTAGCGCTCATGCCCTTGTAGAGGCTGCGGATACCCTCGTCTCGCAAGATCTTGCGGATGCAGTCCCAGCTGTTCTTGTAACGGCGCTTGGCGGCGACGCCGCCATTGGCCTCGGCGGCCACGTTCTTGTCGAGCTGCAAGCGCGTCTTGATCATCCATATGGGGTTGGTCGCGGTGCTGGTTGTGATGCCAGCAATTATAGCGGACGACAAATGGACCCAGGCCGTGTCGCGACCGTCGTTGAGGTTCTCGGCGATAAGGCGCTTGCTGTTGCCGTAGGCGAAAAAGTTGATGGACCGCGCCGGCACCACGCCGATCATGTTCGGCCCCAAGCCCTTGAACAATGCGCGCGCGCCCTCCTGCCGGTATACGCCGGCCAGAATCTGTGCCGTCTCGTTGAAGTGGTAGGCGACGGTGCGCAGGGGGTTCATGACGGTGGCGACGCCGGTGGCAGACCCTTGGACGGCTGCTGCGCGAGAGGCGCGCAGCTGGGATTGGTAGAAGTCGGACTGTAGTCGTGTCTTGAGTACGTCAAGGGGCGCCGTCAGGGCGGCTGCAGTCATGCCGCCGATGCTAGACGAGAGGCCACGCATGAGTATGTCGCATCTACGGAGCGGACGGCTTCCTCGTCGGCGCCAGCGCCAGTGCCGGCGCCAGCACAGAAGGGCTGGACTTACCCTCCTGCCACCATGTGCGGCCATGACTTTGCAAATGGCGTGCCTTTCCCGCCCTGCACAGCGGGACCGGGTTGCAGTGTCTCGGGAATTATGTCGCCGGTTTCGCGCGACTGGACGAGGGGGATGTCATCGATGCTGGCGCCGAGCTCCCTCTTGTCGAGATGGCCACCAGGAAGGGCCCGGGCGGCAGGTACGGAAGCCATGGTCTGTCTCCAGCTCCTTCCTCGGTTTCAGTCGGCTCGTTCAATCTGCTCATTCAATCGGTCCAGGACGCGTGGGTGGTGGCTCGACCTTTGCAAAAGCTTGGCGTAGCTTTCGGAAAAAAAGAAGAGGAAAAAGGAAAGAAAAGTATCGACAGGGCGCGCGCAAGGACGGGGGCAGGTCGGCGCGACTGCGTAAGATGGCAATTACAGTGCAAACTCCGAGTAAATTACACAGAAGCCGGCCCCGTGAATCAGCAGTGAGGTAACGGAATTAAAAGAGCGTCTTGAGCCAAGCGGAAGCGGTGCATGGAAAATGTGAACTACCGTCTTGGGTATGGTATAGAGAAGCCGCGAAGGCAAATATCTTGGTTATATGTCATTATCGCCGATAACGACGGGCCGCGGGCCAGGATCATCGCGATAACTTTCTTCTTCCCGGGTTCTTTAGCTCGGCTCGGCTAATCCCCGGCGTTGCGCACGTCACTCGTCACTCGTCACTCGTCACTCAGTGCTTGGCGATGCGCCCCTTTTTCTTGACAGGGATTCCCGGTCAAAACAAAAGTGTCGCCGGTTGTCAAGTCGAAACTCGACCAAAATAACAGCTTTTCCCCATTTACCGAGAAGTCATGTCACGATACAATATCGGGATTAAAAAGAAAAAAGAGTAAAAGAAGACTTATCAAAAGTCCAACTCGGTCAGTTCCTAGGTAGGTAGGCAATACGCCCAGAACCGAACCTGCATCGACGCACGTGCCGCAGTGTCACTAAATTGTTCAGATCAAATCCACAAACGATCGATCACTGAATGTCAAACTGCTCCCCATGCGCAGCAGTGAACGAGAGATAATGCTCAAATCAGTCCCCCCTCAATGGCGGCGGGCGAGCGCGCGGAGGATGACGCGCTGCATGGCCGAGATCTCGAGCTGTGCTGCCTGAGCCAGGGTCATGCTATCGTACGCGGGGCCCTTGGGCATGCCGATTTCGCGGCCCAGGAAGCCAAAGTAACCGTGCGCCGCGCTCGCAAACGTCGTCAGCTCGGCGCTCATCTCACGCGAGTGGTCAGCCTGCTCTTGGGCGTGCATGATGGTCTCCTCGCGGATGATGGCGATGTACCACTGGACAGGGGTTGGTTAGCTATACCATTTTTCGGCACTGGGTTTGGGGGAGAATCCTCACGTCAAGCAGGTCGGTCGGGATGTTTAGGCGTGGGCACAGCGTGAGCAGATGGTTCCACTGGTCGGCATGTTCGGGCTGGTTGAATGACTTGCTCGTGGGAGCGTCGAGTATGGCTAGCGCGGCGATGCAGTCCTTCTGGGTCACCGAGAAGCCGGGGCAGAGCATTGCCGCGGTGACCAGGCGTCGCAGCAGCTGCGGGGTCAGGAGGTCCACGTTGACGAGGGACCGGATGCTGTTCTGCAGGATCTCGATGAGGGTGTAGGTGGCGTCGTAAATGGAGTGGCGCTGGCGAATGGTGATATGGTCGGTCATGTACCAAGGCATCTTCTTGAGCGTAGAGATCATGCACTCGTAGATGCGCTGAGGGCTGTCCTTGGAGAAGGGGACCTGCAGGCAGAAGAAAAGGTGTTAGTATCTAACCAATGACGAAGGCGTAGTAGAACATGGTAAAAAACAATAGACCTACACGGCCGGGGATCTCAGCATGCTTCACAAGCATAATCATCTCCTCTTCGGTCACAAAGCCCTGGAAGCTCATATCCTTGGTTCCGTTTGCTCCCTTGCTGGGGTTGTCCTGGATCTCCGGCCGTGCGCCCTCCCATTTGACACTGCGTGCATACGGGAAGAGGCTCTCCATAAGTGCCGCCTGGGTTGAGACCTCGAGGACGACGGGGCGGTTGCGGAGACGGGTGTAATGCCCACGCTTGACGGCATCGTGGTGGCGCGTAGCCGCGTTGAGCGCGTCCTTGAGCGTCAGGAACTCCACGTAGACGTCGAGTGTCTTACCGTTCACGCGGTCCACTATTATGTGAACCGGCTCCATAGTGTCGCTGAGGATCTTGGAGTTGCGGCCAAGGCATGCGATCATCTCCTGGCGGTTTGCGCCAAACGGAATCTGGGATATGTCAGTTCTACCCTGTAATGTATTTTCCTATCAGAAGAAAAAGAAGAGGACTGTGTTAATAAAGACGTACGTTCCGAATCTTGACCACGCCGTACTCGGGAACGTAAGCCAAGGAGAAGCTCTCAATGAAAGGGAAGTACTCGGGGCTGAGGGCCTGAGATGCGATCGGCATGTAGTTAGGGCCAGAGGTCAGGTTGTTGAGCTCGCGCGAGCGCAGGACCATGATATGCGCAGGCACGTCGGGAATGGACGCAGTCCGTCGCCGCTGAGTGCCGCGCATAACGACAGTGGACGATGATCCGCGAAACGGGTCGTTATCGGCCACTCCGCCAGCCTGGGCCATCTCCTTGGACAGGTTGGCCAACGAGCCAAGATTGAATGCCGGCGGTGGTACCTGGTCACATCTGATCATGCGAGGGGCAAAGTTGCGAGGCTCCGTCTGGTTGTACGGGTTGCGTTCCTCCGACTCCTGGCCAACGTGGGGAGGCGTGATCATTGCAATCGGCACCTTCTTGGCCGTCACAGGCGCAGGAGGGCTTGCAATGGTCGTGATGGAGGGAGGAGTAGAGTAAACATTGCCCCCCTCCGCTTGGTTGTCTGCCGTAGGCATGGCCTTGCTCCCATTCATGTGGCTTGCCGGTGCAGGATCTCCAAGCAACACCGTGTTTCCGTAGCCCGCGGGCGTGTTGCCACTATAACCACCGTAACCACTGAAGAGAAGCTGCTGTTGCGTGTCTGCAGAGTACTTCTGGTACGTCTGGCCATAGGCCTGTTCACGGCCATGCTCAGGCTGGTTGTAGTTATTCCCATGTCCGACGAGAGCTTGAGGCTTATAGCCAGGTCCGGGAACGTATGCATTTCCAGCATTTCCATAGCCTTGTCCGGTCGCATAGCTTGAAGCAGCCTGGTATTGTAGGACTTGAGGACCAGCTGGGATTGCCGGTGTAGCCGGGGCCTGCTGTGTATAATTAGCCAGGTGAACTCACACAAAGTTGCGGACGCAGGCAATAGCTGGGTACTTACTGGGAACTGGTTGGGGTTGGCTTGCGGATAGGCACTCAGAGCCGGGTAGGCCATTGACGACTGCGGCATGGTAGTCTGGGCACTTCCATGATTACCATGAGCCACGGACTGGACGACTCGGGCCAGTCCTGGACCGCCAGGAGCCGTTGCCTGAGCACCATAAGTCATATTCTGCGCAACTTGGGCCAACCCCTGAGCGTCATGAGCCATGGTATGGCCTCCCTGGACCATTCCTTGACTACCATGAGCGATGATCTGACCAAGGATTTGGCTAACTTCAGCCATTCCCAGTCCACCATGAGCCATGGCCGGGTTGTTATGAGCCATAGCTTGACCGCCATGGGCCGTAGCTTGGCCACCTTGAAGAATGCCTTGGCCTGGATGTTGCATGTTGTAGCTTAGCTGGGGTATCACAGGCATCGCAGGTCCGGCTTGACGCGTCATGCTCGAATACTGGGTGTCTGCATTTATGGCCCCGGCGGCACGCCAAGCAGCTGGGCCGGTCGGGGGCTTTCCAAGAGTGTTAGCGCGCCATGATAGGCAAAGCAGTCAAGTGGTTTGTGGCACAGGCCCAATGGCGAGTCTCACCTGGCCATTGGGGAAGGGGTTTGCTCCATCAGACTCGGCTTGGGCGGCCTTCTTCTTCTTCTTGTTCTTATTGTTATTTTTCTTCTTCCTCGACTTGACCTTCTGGAATGATAGATCTTCTTTAGTAGCGTTGCTGCTGACAGGGCCGCCGTCGTCAACGGACGCGACGTCCTCGTCAGTCGAGTGACCGAAGAGAGGAACGCCGCCACCATGGCCACTGTCCGAGTCTGACTCCGAGACGGATGTCTCAATGATGGGAGCCCGGAGCATGGCGAAGCGGTTCGCAGCCGCGTGTTTCTGCTCCTCGGCCTTCTCAGTGTCGCCCTCGGCGAACAGTCTAGCACCGCCCATTGCGCCTACTGAATATCCGAATATACGCGCTATTGGCCTTGAAAAGTCTTGATCCCAAATTGTCAGCTGTGGAACTCGAGAAAAAGCGACCTGACCTGCGCGATGGTGGAAGGGCATGATGGAGGAAGAACAAGAGGGCATGTACGATTGTTGGTCAGAGAGGGCCAGCCGGATTGAAAGCCCTCCATTATCTGCTCTGGAAATGGTGTGGGCCGGCTTTGACAGTATTCGCCAATGGCTTATTTTCGCTGGATTCTCAAACAGTGATAGTGAAAGACAAGACAGTGTAATTCAGGGTTGCAGGTAATTAGGCAGTCAGTCGCAGGTCGCGATGAAGAAGACAGATAGTCGACGCAGAGAAATCAAACAGTAAGAGGCCCAGGGCCCCGCGGTTCTTGCGAATATATGTGAAACCAATCGATGGAGGGCAGATTGCGTAGCTAGACCTTTCTCGATTTGATTGAGGGAGGGGTGTGGGAAAGAGAGCTTACCAGATAGAGATATTTCAGTTAATTTATTTTGGTCAGGTGCCGATACTGCACTGCACTGTCATGGACACTAAGCACTCGGGTCGCGGACCGGTCAGTAAGTTGAGATTGATTAGCTGCACAGAGTAAAACGTGAGACAATGACCGGTTTAGTGGTTGGGATCAGGAAAGTGGCGGTAGACGGCGCGGTTAGAAAAATGAAACAAGGGGTGGAAAACTGCAGCGAAGAGAATCTCCACCGTTAACGGACTGCCGCGGGGTATAAGGGAAGTTGCGAATTTATTCAGTCCAAAGAGACGGGCACAAGGTCGAAAACAGGGAAGTGTGCCAGTGCGATTTCAAAGGCGTGGGGGGAACACGTCTCCAGATGAAACCATGGCCGACCACACGGGTTGAAAGGCATCAGTCTTACCGCAGAGGAGGGTGACGGTGGCCTGAACCCCGTCGATGACGATGTCGAGAGAAAGAATGTGGATGATGAGGAAAAGAAGGCAAGGGTAAGAAGGCACGAAGATATAGAAATTCTGGTTCCTCCAAGTGACTACTGGCCACAATAAATCAAACGATGGGACAATGGTGCAGCGACCCAGGGCCCTCGCTTTTGTGCGCCAATTGTTGAGGTGGAGGGTAAGGGAAAGAGCACCAAGTTCAGTCACTTGGGACGAAACTGCTAGGAGTGGTCGCCACAAGGGTACAAGGACGAAGGTAAAATGAAGGAAGGAAGGCCACGAGATGCGCGAGGGTAGAAGAATCGTTTTGCAAGACTTACCAGGATAAGTGTTTTGGTGTAAGGTTGAGGAAGGAAGAAAAGTTGAGCAGGCGGGAGAAGGTGTGAAGGTTTTATAAGAGGCACGGCGAGGAGCCTCCGCGACCAGGAAATGGAAACAATAGCAGTCCGGCCTCAATTCACTCTGATTGGCTCCCTATTGAAGCCCTTGCCTATTGTGTGCCTTCCGTTTTCAAGTCGAAAGGAAGCATTGTGCGTGAGACGAGGGCCCCCAGGCAGCGGCAACGGCGTCTAAAGGATTCTGATGACGCAGTGAAACGAGCAACATGTAGTCCATGGCTCGTTCGCTGAGGCGGTGGCTCTATTCAGACAGATACACCAGATGCTGTAGATGCCTTTCAAACAGTCCTTTCCTATACTAGTTTGGGTACCGTGGTCACGCTGTTGTGAAGCCATTCTGAAGTGCTTTCTGCGTATGTCTCCCGGGTAACCGCCCTCGACACCTCACCACAAGCAAAACGGCCCACAGACTTGGCTATCAGATTTTATCAGCCTAGTCATGCTCGCACGAAGACTTCATCTCTGACTTCGGCGTGATCTACGTAGATATCACGATAACCTCCCTCTCCGCCGATCCCCAGTGGAATTGTAAATACATGTTATACTGCTAGGGATTCGTCCTTACAGTTAACACGAGGTAGGTAGATAGCACAAAGTCGGCTGCTTGACTACTGGTATATGTGGGATCTCGTCATCTGGTCGGTGTTGAGTGATGTCTACCATCTGGGCGGCACCTCGTGCTCGAGTCGGAAGCCCATCGTCGTCCCCGGGCCACCCAGAGTCTTCAGACGCCGGGGAGCCAGAGATGAGAGCCATTATTCGTCGTTGTTAGGATTGCATTCATTACTGCATAAGAGAAGTATCGACACACGTCAAATTCGGCGTGGAAAAAGAAGTTAGCGCTGTAAATCAAGTACCCACGAAATACTAGGCGTGCATGGACTGCCATCTAGGACACTAGACTACGACACTGGACTAAGATGTGGCCTTATCCAAACGTTGCCTGACAGTAGAAAGGCCACCTTCCCGCCGTCAGGAAATTCGCAGACATTCGGAGACTAGCCAAGTCCTGGCAAAGCTTGCGCAACGTAGGACTATATTGGCTCCGTTTTTATGGCCAGGCAGTGCATCCAATCCAGGGGTGAATCAATCTTTCATTGACAACAACCAACATCCACTCGGTACCTACCGTCTTTATGGGCGTGGCAAGTCAAAGCTGCCAGAGAGTTACGTACGACAGAACAAAGATTTCAGGCGCTTGGACGAGCAAGGTAGCTGACCATATAGGGCGACCGCCCTTTACGCACCGACTTGGGAGCACCAGAGCCCGCGCCAGTCATCAGTGAGCTACGATAGGACTTCGGAGGTTTCGTGTTCTTTAATGACGTAGTAGATCTGCACGATACGCCGACTGTCTCCCTCGCCATTTTGGGCACAGCGTGCCAGGGCGTGTTCAAAAGCTTTAAATGACAGGGTCACGGGGAGGAGAGCGGTGGGACAAATGGTCGTCCATGCGTGCGGAGCAGCGGCAGGAGAATGGAGTAATATCTAATAGATCAACACTGCGGCGGCCAGACTCGGTCAGAGTAATGGCCAGCTAAGCTCTCGTCCTTTTTTTCGCCTGCTTAAAAAACGAACGCCGAGCGCAAATGCTTCCAGGTTCGTAGCCTTCATTTCTATCAGACATCGAAAGCAGCAAGGGGGCTTCAATGCCGGCATGTCGGCGGCAAATATCGTCAGCGATTCATTGAATCATGGGTTGCTCGTTTGAGAATCGCCCACTCAGTCAAACTGGCGCGGGTTTGGAGCAATTAGTCTTAATGGCTAGCGGGAGGGGGCGGGGGCTACAGTTGGACGTACCGGTGTTAAGAAAGACTCGGCCACAAAGCGCGCCCGCGCATTTAGCTGATTGGAGTTAGCATATGATCCTTGCCTGCATGGGTGTGACTGGAATGGAACGTACGAATAGCTTCATCTCGGAGATCTCCTTGTCCACTTCTTCCATGAATTGGATAATAAAGTCTACCAGCTTATGCTTCAACATCTCCTCGGTATGGAAATTCGTAATCAAGAAAGAGATATCGTATCCCTAGATAGAATAAGGTGACAAAGGTTAGAAGACGAAATGAACCCCTTGCCACAACTTGTTGAAAGGGGGAAAGGTGTGATGTGACGGGAAGGGGCGCACCTTGATAGGCTTCCTCCGGAGAATGAAGAATGACTCTGCACGCTGGGTCAGGAAGCGGGTGAACTTGTGAACGAGGATGTGCTCGATCTCGTCGGCCTGCTTGATCTTGATGCTAATGCGTATACTGTTGATGCTGGGCTCGATGAAGACGCGCTCGTTCTCGTTGCGGGCAATCGTCAGGGGCGTCAGCAACACCTCGGGCGACGTGCGCGCCTCGACCTCGGGCACATTGTGTCGCTCGGCCGTCTGCGAAGCAAAGTTGGAGAGACAGAGGGCCGCCGTTAGACTGCTGCGCACAGCCTGGAGGTAGGGACGAAGCGATTGCGACTGCGCGTTGGGAGAGACATCAGCAACCAAGTCCCGTCGTCACGAGCAACCACCGAATCAAACAAGTAAGGTCTCGTACCATGGTAGAGCGGCGGATAACGGATGGCGCCGCTGCTGCCCAGGGGCCTTTTATGTGTATTCGGCGGTAGGATAGCCCGGCAAGATGTCGGCCTCGTGGCCCGTGGTCAGGGCCGTTGGGTGGTCGTCGAAGTCGGTTGCGAAGGTCGACCCGTGGCAATCGCTGTTGCGTCGTTGTCGTTGTCGTCTGGGAACAGACAGGGCCAGGCAATGCGGGCGGACGTGGGGCACGAACTGCGCCCTGCCAGCCAAAGTAAGGTACAGGGTATCTCCGTAAACCGCTGCGGTTTGCTGCACGCCCAGGTACCTGGTACAGTCAGTACATGTACTGTGTGGGGTGCGGCGTAATTCACCTCCAGCTGCCCTGTGGTGGCTGGAGCTTGATCCCTGTTAGATAATGTGGCTTTGCGGACCAAGCGCTGGCGAATAACTGACGCGCTTGATCCCTGCACCCGACCCCGCGTTGCTTTCCTTCGCCTTCCCACAAAAACAGGCCAGCCAAGACTGACGAAGCACGACGCTGCCTGAGCAGACGGACCGACCTTCTTTACGTTCGGTCCTACCTATAAGAAGTCAGGTCTTTAAAGACTTTGGTAGGGTGGTACCAACGCAAATCTCTCCTCTTTCTTCCCCAACGTTCCTCTTTGGGAGATTTCTCGGCATTGTCCTTGTGCGCACTGCCAGCCAAAAGAAAAGATGGCGGCAATCAATGGTGGGTGGCCCCTCCAACAAGCAAGCAAGCAAAGACCGAATGAAGCTATCCCAACGTGCTTCCACCCCAGTGCCCCCCCACCAGTTCCCCGTAGATTGTTCACTGCTGTGCATATAAGCGTATGCACTGCTATTAGCAGCACCATGCTGACGCCCGTGTTACACAGTGGTGGTTAAGCACCAGGGCAAGAAGTACGACATCGAGGTCGAGCCCGATTCGGTCGGCGAGGAGTTCAAGTACCAGCTCTACAGCCTGACAGGCGTCGAACCCGAGCGCCAAAAGATCCTCGTCAAGGGCAGCCAGCTCAAGAATGATGCAGACATGTCTAGGCTGGGCCTGAAGCCTGGCCAGGTCATCATGATGATGGGTACTCCCGGCGAGGGCGGCGGAGCCATCGCTCGCCCTTCGGAGAAGATCAAGTTCGTCGAGGACATGACCGAGGCCGAAGCCGCTCGCCAGGCTGGCGCCACTCCTGCCGGCCTCATCAACCTCGGCAACACGTGCTACCTCAACTCGACCCTCCAGGTCATCCGCTCCATTCCCGAGCTGCAGGACACGCTTGTCAAGTACGAGTCGAGACCGAGCCCCGCGGTCCCTGTCCTTGGCCCTGACCTGACCAAGCAGCTCAAGGAGCTGTACAAGGACATGTCGGAAACACAGGAGGGCATGCCCCCCTTTGCCTTTCTGGCTGCTCTGCGGACAGCCTTTCCCCAGTTCGCCGAGCGTGCAAAGAATGGTCACGGCTACGCCCAGCAGGACGCAGAGGAGGCCTGGTCGCAGATCATTTCTCAGCTCAAGCAACGCAATCTGCCCAGTCCCGACGCAGACAGCAGAACGGGCACCGAAGACTCTAACCTCCCTTTCATCGATAACTACATGGCTGGCGAGCTTACATCGACCACCGAGTGTGATGAGCCTGCGGCTCGCGAGGCCGGGGAAACGCCCACGACGACCAAGGAATCGTTTCTCAAGCTCAACTGCCACATCGACGCTCAGACCAATCACTTGCGTGACGGTATCCTCAACGGCCTCAAGGAGCAGCTCGAGAAAAAATCCGAGACGCTGGACCGTGACGCCACCTATACCAAGAAGTCCAAGATCTCGCGGTTACCGAAGTACTTGACTGTACACTTTGTGCGCTTCTTCTGGAAGCGCGAGGCGCAGAAGAAAGCCAAGATTATGCGCAAGGTGACGTTTCCTCACGAGCTCGACGTGATTGAGTTCTGCACCGACGAGCTCAAAAAGTCACTCGTCCCTGTGCGCGACAAGGTGCGCGAGGTCCGCAAGGACGAGGAGGATATTGATCGCGCGCGGAAGCGGCGCAAGAAGAACCCGGAAGACGGCGAAAACGATAACAGCACCGCCGCGGCCACGAAAAAAGACGACAAGAAGAAGCCCGCCGCTCCCGCGGACGGCAACGTCGATATGGGCGACGCGTCTATAACGTATAAGACGGATGCTGAATTCGAAGCCGAGAAGGACGCATCGCTGCTCGCGGCCAAGAAAGAGCTACATGCACTCATCGACCCTAACCTAGGCCCTGGCACCAACCAGTCTGGGCTATACGAGCTGCGTGGAGTCGTCACGCACCAAGGCGCCAGCGCTGACAGCGGCCACTACACTGCCTACGTCAAGAAGACGGGTCCCAAGGACCCCAAGACTGGCAAGGTTGGCGAGGAAGACGGCAATTGGTGGTGGTTCAATGACGACAAGGTGTCCGAAGTGACCCCTGACAAGATCGACACCCTGGCTGGCGGTGGCGAGTCCCACTCGGCGCTGATTCTGCTGTACCGTGCCATCCCCCTGCCTACGGCTGAGGGTCTAGTTGAGTGATTTTTTGTCCGGGACTAGGTCATTGCGATAGGGTTAAATTAAACGGCGGATAGGCGCGTATGATGTATTGGATCTCTTGGTTTGTGTTGTTTTTCTTCTTCCAGACAGCGCTCCATTTTGCGGGTTTGCTGGAAACATGTCTATGTTCTCTTGCATTGCCTCCGACATTGATTCTCAACATCACAGACGCAGGGGGGTTGGAGTTCGAGCAGGTTGGCCCGGGACACATTTGGGACATTGCGACTGGTGTACCGGGGGAAAAAGCATTAATCCATGGGAAACGGGATATACAGAAGTTGCGCATGGGTAGAACTCGAGCCTGGCCTTTTCTTTTGCGTAGACTCATTTTCCTTCTTTGGCAAAACAAAATTAACCCAGAAAGTGTTTTTACCATCACGAGATAGCCAATTTGACTTGGTACATTCACCGTCTGTATGGGACAGGAGCTATTATGGCAGTTCTATATATAATGCACTAGTTTGGTCTGTATCACGACTTGGTCGCGTTACAATGGCGAGTACCTCTTATATCCCCTTTAGTTATCACCTTGCGCTGCCGCCAGCCTCCATCCACAATCATGCTTTGCAAGCAACTTGGAAAACGTCACCAATCGGGGTATAAAAGCTAAGTTTCCTCAGTTGCCCGAGAATCGAGGCACTAGTTACCTTTATATTAAGCTGTACATCGTTCCGATGTATGTCTATCAACTAGTAGGCAGGGTACTTGGTAGCTATTAATAACCCGCACGGCAGTCTAGTAGCCACATCTATGAGAACAACGGAGCATCCCAACACCGATTCACCTCGTTGCTTATTCATAATTTGAAATGTTTCGCTTCGCCTCGCTTCCGCATTCGTAGGTAGTCATCATAACGTCTGGAACGAACATGCGCGCAACTAGCCCTTTCACGCTGTAACGGAGCAGCAGAGAATAGCGAGATGGCCACGTGCGCCTCGCTCTCTCACTTTCGTTCTTGGTCGTTCGTCTCCTCTGTAGTGTCGAGCGCAACAGTACAATCAGCGGGTGCGGGCTCACTCTTGTAACCCAGGAAGGGGGAAACTGCGTACCAGCAAGGTCGACGGTGAAGGCGCCGCCGAGGAGAATGGCCGGCTCGTGGATGCTGTGGTGCTCGTAGCTCAGCGTGCCCACGCCTCCGGCCTCGAGCAGGAACGTCGGCCCGCGCTCCAGCGACTGCCCGGCCCAGCGCTGCGCAAACGCCCGGAGGATGTGCCCGTGAGCCACCACCAGCACGTCGCCCATGTACGCCGCCCCCGCTGGATGCGCGCCTGCCATGGACGTCGCGTGGTACTTGTCGCGGATGTCCTTGATGAGCCGGTCGAGGCGCGTCGTGATGTCAGACGGGCTTCTTTATGATAGAAAATCACACCCGAAGAAGTTGGTCAGTGTGATCAACTAGTCGGTTTGAACCTGCTAACAAGACATAGGTCTGGAGCTGGTTGGTGTGAATACAGTTAAACTTACTCTCCGCCAGGGCAGCCGTCTCGCCAAATGTCCCAGCCGGGGTCGAGCCCCTGCTGCCTGCGCAGCTCGCGGATCTCGGGCGTCGTAATGCCCTCGTAGTCGCCGTAGTCCCACTCGCGGATGTCCTCGGTGACCTCGACTTCGGCCGCGCACGCCCGCTGGTCGGCCGGCTTGTCTCCGTGCGCCGCCCACGGCAGCGAGTGCGAGTGCCCGAGGCCCAGCAGCTCAAAGGTCCGCTGTGCGCGCTTCCGCGGAGACACGTAGCTGGGGGGTTGCGAAGATAAGAACGGGTGAGTCTGTTTGTGTGTGTGTGTGTGTAGGAGAGGCACTAGTGTTTACAAAATAATGCACATGCACAGGAAATGTTGCATGACATATAATGGGCATGAGATGGGATGCCACAGAGTGAAAGAATGACTTACACGTGTGCCAGCTTCCCCGGGACGATCAGGCGGTCGTTGCCGACGAGAGCCCGGCCGGTAGCCCTGACACGCTTCTCGCCGTTGGCTGTGAGGGGGATGTCGGTCGACCCGGTGTGGCGGCCGTTGAGCGACCACTCCGTCTCGCCGTGGCGGACGATGAAGACGCGGGGCGTCGTCATGTTTGGAAGCAGGAAGACAGGGGATCAAAATACGGGGTATGTACCGGGGGACTTTAATCAAGCCCAGGTGTTGTTGCTCCCTGCAAGCAGCCGCTGTGTTGAAGTGATCAGATAACCAGTGATTACTTTTTGGCGCACTACTGTAAGACTGAGACGCGATATGATCCAGAAGCCGCCCCCTGAGCGTGTACGGTACATACCTGACCAGGCCAGATGCGACCGTGGTGGGGGTGAGGGGCCGGCTGGAGCGGCGGTTCGAGGTGTTCCTGCTGCGATGATCAAGTTCTCTGATGGAGAAACAAGGTGGTCAGGCAAGATGACTTGAATTCGTGAGCAAATGTCTGTCTTTACGAGTTTCGCTCAATTCTGTCTGATGTCTAGAACGCCCAAAAAAAAAAAAAGGAGCAGAGAGGTTCACAATTCACAGAATCAAGGGCAGTAACCGAGTCTGAGTCTGGGGCAAGCAGTACCGCAGCTCGTCCTTTTTAGCGAAACGGGCCGTGTTTGAAACAATGGCGGGCCAGCTGTTCAGGTCAAGGGCCAGGGGATGTTGGGGCAGGTCGGAAGGAAACCTGGAATGCAACCAGGGACAATAAGACGAAGGTCCTGAGCTGATAAATTATTGTTTTAGTCGAAACTCCCCCGAGAAAAATCTCCCTCGAAGCAAAAAAGAAAGAGAGTGTAGATTGGAACACGAGGTGAATAAGCTTCTTGCCGCTTCCCATTTCAGGTTCCATCGTCAATCGTCCCCTCACGATGGCCGCCCGCCCCACTAGCACCCGGACCAGCACCACCGCGGGCTCCGGCAACAACAAAAGCTGCACCAGGGAGCCTCTGGTTTGCTGCGGTAATATCGCCGTTGTTAGTAACGGGCGCGGATCCATGGGATTACTAAGGGCGCTGCTCGTCTCATCGTCGTCGCTCCCGCTTCTGCCGCCTCCCGCCCCGCTGGCTCAGGCACGCCGCGTTGCTCAGGTGCTCGCGCGCGCGCTGCTGCTTCTGCAAGATCCCGCTCCAGCAGCTGCTCGTCTGGACGTGGTGGGGCACACTTGCGCTGGCGCTGGTGCTGACTCGCCGCCGTTGGAACTAGCGCCCTATCCCTATCCCTGCCACAACAAGCTCCAAGGTCCAATTTCGGGAACCTTGCGGCTACATCAGAATCTGATTCCACCTACAACGAAGACGGCGACGACAACTACCAGAACCTCGAGAAACATAACAGCGACGACGACCAGAGTCGACTCGCAGCTCTATACGTTTCCACCACCCGAGGTTTTCAGCCTGTCAGCAGCAACAGCAAACCCTCGCAGTAGAGGAAGCAGCGAAAAGAGCGAGACTTTCCCCAGCCCGTCGCCGTCGTCGTGGGCCGACGCCAACAAGATAGGGGCATCTGCGAGACGGAGGCCAAAGAAGAGCAAGAGCGAATACGAGCAGGACTGTAGGACTCTCTGGCGCCAGCATTGGGACTGATTCAAGTCTCTGGGAGGGTGGGAAGTCGCCCAACTATCTCGTCTCATCGATAGCCATTGGCGCAAAGCCTTGACTCGAACAGCTTTCAAGCTGTTTCGTACACATTCGCACACGCACACGCACACGCGCAACCATGCCGTACGGACCGACAGGAGCCGGCGCAAAGCCCGCTGCAAAGGCCGCGTTGCCTACCGCCAAAAATGCCATGGGCCCCCGCACCGGTCCATCGCCTGGGGGCCCTCCGCGGTGGAAGGTCATGGTGTGGACGGTGTCTTTCGCGTCTGTGGCATGTATGGGCGCCTATTACGGTGCCGGCCTCAAAATAAAGCAGGAATACAAGGCTGTACGTCTGGGGGGTTTTTTTTCTTCTTTCTTTCTTTTTCTTGCCTTATACCTCTGCACCAAGACCTACTCAAGTTCGCCCCTACCTAACACCGTCGTTAGGAAATGCAAAAAGCCAAAGAAGAAAGTGGCTTCGACGAGAAGCGTGCTCTCCTCGAGCTTCGGCGCACAGCCCTACTGAGACAGAAGACGGAGATCGACGGGAAGCTGGCCGACTTGCGCGGCCGCATGCAGGCCACGGCTGATGGAAAAGAGTACATCAGCAGCAGAAACGGCGGCCGTGAGCGGTAGCTGTGGCCCTGTCAGGACTTGGAGGGATGGCTGTAGGCGGAATGGGGGGGGATAGACTTTCTCTCGGTCTTGAGCCTTCCCCTTTATGCCACTCGTAGTCACGGCGGCAGTTATCTGTCTGTTTGTCAACCTCCTTTTCGACCTATTTGTCCGGCTTAGACTACGCTTGCCCGTGGACAGACTGGCCGGCGCTACGGTGTACACAGACATCTGTGTTGTACGCCCTCCGCATGACATTAGACGAAAACAAAGCAGGCTGGCGCCAACTGGAGACATGCCACCTTCCTAAACAAGACGACAAGCGCGCGCCCTGCGGCAGACAAGTCCCGAGTCGCGGTAGGTTAGGATAGTCTCGGCAGCTGTTGCTGCATTCGCAGACAAGGCAGCAGCTATATTGTGTCTATAGGGTATGCCGACGGCCTACCATAGGGCGCCGAGTTAGCGGGGAAGCTAGGTATTGTTGGAACAGAGTATAAAGAACCGGACAATCTGCCTCCTTGACCAACAACGAGCAAACCGACCAAATGATTGAATAAACAAACGAGACAAATATATACATACTTACTCAGCTTCCAACTGCTGCTCATGGTTAGTGCAGCGAATGGAGCAGATCATCTCGACCCCGCGGCTGAAGCTGAAGCTCATCACCCAGGCAGGGAGCGGCAGCACCGAGCTGGCATGGCTGCACACCATCTACAGCGATGAAAAGGCCACTTTCTGGAGGTGAGGCCGCTGTCTCCTTGTTGCGCTTGCCTCTCCTATACGACTTGACTCACGCTTTCCCCCCCGCAGCATCTACGGGCGGTCGCAGTCCCTCGCCGACACAGAAAAGGCGGCGAGCAGACTGCTGGCCTCGACAGAGGACGGCGTATTCAGCGCCTCCTTTGCCGTGCACAAGCTTCCTGGCGGCGACAGCGATACAGCCCAGGCCCCTCGGGATGCAGCTGCTGCTACAGCTACAACTTCTGCTAGCACAGAATTCATCGGCCTCGTCACCCTCCGCTCCGTCTCGCCCGCCAACGACGCCCAGCGCCACCTCGACCTGCCCGCGCACCTCGCCAGCCTGCCGCCGCCGCCGCCGCCGCCACATCCTACCGTCCCGAGCAACGCCAGATTTAGCGGTACCACCGCCAAGAAAGACGAGGCCGGCCCGCCCGAGGATGGTGGTGCCGGCGGCGCGCTCACCGTCGAAGTGGCATACATGTTCCTCCCAGGAGCGTGGGGCCGCGGCTTCGCCACCGAGGCCGTGAGCGCCTTGCTCCTCGCCGCTTCCGCCTCCTCGCTGCTGCTGCGTCGTCCCTTGTATGTCCGCGCCATCGTCAACGGCGACAACGCCGCCAGCATGCGCGTCATGGACAAGGTCGCCGTCGCTGGCAGACGCATGAGCCAGCGCGGCATCTATCACTGGGCCGGCGAGCCCATCTTCCATGGCGGTCGGTGGCGCGCTGAGGCTGACTTGTGGGTGTATGGTATGTACTTGGTTTGGTGATTGGTCTCGAGATAGTATATATATACTAAATTATTCACGTTATCTTGCTCTTCCTGAGCGGCGGTCTTACGAAATACCTTATCGCCTTTCTCTCGCGCCTGTTGTTGCTTTCGAATTCGATTACGGTCAACTCTCTTTAACGTTCAGATGTGTCCGCCAAAGCCTATGCGGTCATTTTTGGTCTTTATTCTCATTCAAAGCGTGACCGTGTTGGCTCATAGACAAGTTTGAGGAACGTCAAGTCCTTGATTTCCGAGATCCTTGGGACGGTGGGCAAGTAGCTGTCAACATAAGGGGTGTTCTTGCACACTTTCTCCTTGTCGCTCATTGCCAAATCTTATCAGGCTCTCAAACGTCATCTAATCAATTGTCAACACCTCTTACTTCCAGTTAACATCATTAGCTGGCTAACGAGCCGCTCACCAGATTTTACACCGACTTCTCACTCACTCACTCACCTCTTCAACTCACAGCGGGCATCACCATCTCAGAATCCGTCCAACTAGCTAGGACATGAGTTATTTCTAATGCTCTTTATTTACCGACACTTATTTTGGTGCAACTCGCCCCAATACGGCAAGGTCGGGTGGTGGTACACGAGTTAGGGTGGTGTCACAGAGACAATAGTTCGTGTTTATTCTTTTCTTTTTACGCGCCTCGGCAGCAACAGGACCTATGCATGAAGCGCATCCGAGGTTGCGTCATGCAGCTAGAAAGGCGGCGTCTAGCCGAGACCGGGCCCCATATAGCACGGCACACAAGCGACATGGTTGTATACTCGACAATGAGCAATACAACGTGAAACAGGGTTGGGTGTCTTTTCTGAAGAAAAATCCCGCAAAACTGTCTTTCTTAGTCCCACTTGAATAGCGGGGGAGGGAATGTCTGCCGCTTGTGTCCTATTGTGATAATCACTTAGTCAACTTGTTGATATTAGCAACTAAAGGCTTGGTCATGGATTAATGAGATGACCTTCCTCCTCTTCACCACTCTAGTTTCAATAACAGATGCATTCTAAGTTTCGACACTCCATGCAAAGCCGCCAGAAGACATTTTCTGCACTTCCGTCTTTTCCACTCATTACTCCCACCCTTCAGCAAAAGAGGGGCATGTGTACCCCCGTCAGTCTTGTTTAGATTTGGTCTAGGTGGAATGGGGAAAGGAGGAGACGCAGAAGCATACACAACGTCGTACTGCAGAGGCCGATGGGTACCTACCTACCTCGCTGTGCAATAGAAATCAAAGAAAATGGACCGACAGTGGTTTTCAACTTTGCATTCCGCCTTCTTTTATTCCACCAATTTTGGATGGCCTGGAATCATGTAGCCTGAACTGGTGAGCTTTGAAAATTGTCGTTGGGCAGTATTCAGACCGAGCCAGTCCCTTGAAGATATGTTTTAGACTGCAGTGCTTAGATGGGAGGCAGGGTCTGTGTTTAGTGAACGTTTTCTCGAGGAAAATACATGGATATGCCGTGTCTTTGATGTCTTCTTTTGAGTTTGCAGTGAAGGTCTGTAGCAGTAGGTTCACGAAAGCGGACCGGCAACACTGGGGAAGAAAGTATCAACGGGTACTGCTGCGAGGGCCAGTTTCTTATTGTTCTCCAGTTATCATAACTGACCAAAAAACATAACGCATTGAAATTGAACACGATTCAACAATTACGGTGCGTTTTTATCAGACTAGACCCGGGTTCTTCTCGAACACAATCGGACAATCATGTCCATCTTGAGCCGCACACGTTAGTTCATGTGTCATCCCTGTCATGTAAGGGCCGTTTACTGATGGGGATGAGATTATAAAAATATTCGTCAGCAGCGGCTTGTAACACCATCTTCCAGACTTACATCAGCTAGAGATTAGACGTCAGAACTTGATCCCACTTGCGCATCCAGGCGTCCCAGGGACCGTGCTTTTCGAGTGTTGGACTTGTTTGCCTACGTAGGTAGGTACTGTACTTCCTAGGAAATTACACGAAAAGAGAGCGAGAGTTTGACTCTATTTATTTGTCAGACGACCCTCCCCTGTAGCGGTAGCACATAGCTGTTAGTTGGCCAGGCTTGAGAGCTATCCCAATGATTGGAGGCTTTGAGCGTTCCGTAAATAAGCCGGTACATAACAGTACATTCCACCCATGATACCAACGGCTTGGGGAATAATTCAGTAACAGGCGTCACATATCACACACTGTACCCTGGGAATCGGGGTCTCAAGGCCGCCGCAACTCCGGGCAATCATAATACCGGCGAGGAATTTTGGTGCGGCCCCCCCCCTGGAAGACAGGGGGGATGGCTGTTCAGCCTTACTGCAAAGGAGAGAGGTATCATTGACATCTGAAGCCGGCTCAACAACTCCTTTTTTAGGAATAGGCGGCCTGCATGGGGGCCCCCTGGAGGCGGGAGCAAGTAATTGAAATCATTGCCTGCCGAAGGAACGGAAGCACTGACTGCCACCGACACCCGTCGCCCGACCGAGCAGGCATGGATGGTAAGCTTACGGGGACAGCCAGGGATTAGCGGCTAAGGCAAGCCACTTTCTGATTTCTAACGGCACGCTAGACGACTCCGTAGGCGATAGACGAGACGACAGCCACCAGGCCAGGCCCAAGGCGGGCCGCTCCTTTCCCCAGCTGCCTGCCTGCCTGCCGCGCGCCGATCCTGGGTCTCGACTTTGGCACTAGCGCACTTCAGGCGCTTCTTATACGCCACCCGCGATACAGTCAGCGTCTCGTCGAAGGGGCAATCACACCAGACAAAAAGACCTCACTGCTACTGCTACGAGGACGTTCTGCTTTCCCCCTGCTCTCCTGGCGCTGACTAGCTGTGCACGCCTATCATCTCCCGTCGGGTCGTTCAGGTCTGACGGGGAAGGCTCTGCTGTCCGGTATCCAGGACGGGAAGCTCTACGAGCGAGGGCAAACACGGATTTTGTTGCCGGACGAGTCGTAAAAGCCGCCTCCCCGGCCGACAGAGCGCTTGGCGCAAAGCCAAGGTCAGAAACTCTAACAAGGGCCCAAGGTACAGTACAAGTGTGTACATACATACTGAGCACTTGCCAGCCTTTGCCGAGGAATACCCCTTAGTTCGGCAGTGGGTTTGAAGCCCCAAAGAGTAAGTACTGTACGAATACCCTTGACTGGACTACGGTACTTCACTTTTGACAACAATAGAGTTACTGCAACAAAAAGTAAGCCAAAAAGACTTCCGTCGCCAACAAAAAGGAAACACATTGACTAAAACAGGAAGGTGTTGAGCGGGCACCCCAGGTCAGCAGAAGATAAGTATCCCTAGGCAGCTAAGGAAACTCCGAGAAACGATTGGCATATGTTGTATACAAACGTGACTGTCTCCTGCATGTATATACTTCGTCGCCGTCGCAGTTGCAGTGTGTACTGCAGCACTCTATTGGTGACACACAATGCATCAAGCATTCGTTCGGCAGTTTCAATGCTTCGAGAATTGTTTCCTCCCTGGGCAACACTGCCTCTTCGGCGAAGCTCGGCATATGTATGTACTATGTAGCAAGCTCAGGGGGCCCCTCGTAGATTTTGCTGACCACCGCCGCTCACCGTATCTCGCCCACCCCTCCTTTCCATTCCATGGCCCCCACCGCCTTTCACTCTCCACCTAGGTGAGAGGTGAGAATGTGCGAATGTGCAAAGCCAAGAGATAACGGAGGCAGCCAAGCTTTGCTCCTGTTGTCGGAGGGATAGTGCAGGCGCGCGTCAGCGCGGGCGTTGGGGCCGGAAGGCTCGGACTCGGATCTATGCCAATAGGTGGTCTCCCCTCCTTCAAATCCATCAAACGATCAAACAGAGGGATCCTAAAACCCGAGAGCTTCCTTTTGGGGTTGTTTTTTCTGTCCGTATGCTCCTCACTAGGGAAACATCCGGGCGTCAGTTACTGACCAACACTCCCCCATATTTCATGCTTTCCTCACCTTGTCATGCTTTGGACGGTTCGGCCGTTAGACTTTCCTACCTCGCGTTGAACTGGACCGGGCCGTGACCGAGATACTGAAAAGGTCCACGCCCGATAGCCTCTGTGTATCTACGTACAGGTACAATGCGCCACATGGCTTGGTGGAGAGTTTGTTTCTTGGCTTTCCCAAGAAAGCCAAGAGCAAAGACTGTTAACAGCTAAGGGGGCGGGTTTGTCCATTCTAGCTCAGAAGACAGGTATAGTAAACTACTTAATACTACCTGTCTAATTACCTCAAAGGGTTAAATATCGACAAAACTGGAGATGGCTTGCAAAAAAACCAACAAGATATATGACACTTCTCACCAGACCCGTGACAAAATATGTGAAGACAAAATACTCTCAGTTCCACCCAACCTTGAAGTGCCTTGCAACAAGTTTCCAAAAGAGACAAAATCCGGCCACGAAAACGACTAGTACCGACTTCAAGGAGATACTTATCAGGAAACTAGAGTTTACTACAAACGCTCTAGACTCTTGACGTGGCAGCCCTAGCGTGCGTACATGAAACCACCCGGCAAAAGAAAAAAACAGAGGAGAAGCGGCTTTAACGATTTTACTTTGGAACAAAGGGAGTTCCCGCGCAAGCGCAAGGGAAACGTAACTCTGGGCTCTCCACCCCCACCCCCCCCCTGGCCGCCCCCCAGGGCCGCGTACATACCTTACGTACGAACGAAACGGATACAGTGGATCGGGTGTTGATATATCAGGTACATACGTACTACGCACACCCTGTCAGGCCTGCTTTGCCAAAACTCTCTCTCAGAAGCGGGCGGGCGAGCGGCTCTTGCGGGCTTTCCGCCCTGTCACGCATATGTACATGTACGGTACGTATTTATTCCTTCCGCGAAAGAAGAGAGAGACAGACAGAGCTCGGGCACCCGCAACTGCTGGGCCACATTGATACCGATGACAGCCAATTTCTCCGGGGAAGCATCCTTCTTTTTGGGAGCGGCGGATTTTCAGGGGTAATAACTCGAGCCCGGCCGCGGCCCGCCAGAGTACCATGTCTGAGTAGCTTGGCTGGACGGGTAAGGCTAGGGACTTCCTATTGGAATCCGCCCGTCCGGTCTTTTGGCCTGGAGACAACCGCCCGCCCCAGGCATTTTCGAGTTATGGTTTGCCGTGGAGACCAGCCACTTTATTGCTAAATGGGGAATTTGTAAACCTGGGCAGGTACCCGAGCAGGTATACCTCCCCCCACAAGTACTTGGCGTGTATAATTGATGGCCGTGTGCAACGCAATCACGTTACCGGCAGATACACATACATATAGCACAGAAAAACAAACAAAACTAAAAAGGGAGAGCCGATCGCTGAGGGAGGAGACGGCTTACACACACAAAAACTTCGTGCCTCGAGCAGTTGAGTTGTACAGTACAGTAGGGAGATGCGAAGGCAGTCACCTTAGACCCTGGGATCACAGTGCCTCCCTCGACTTGTTTTCTCGCTACACTGAGACAGGAGGGAGAGGGCCTTTCGAACCACGAGGTAGCTAGCTGCCTCGGTGACCCGAGAGGTCCAGCCTGGATTTCTGGCATTTCCGGTCGCGTCGCACAGGAACGGCAGCGGCGGCCAAGGCAGCAATTAGGTGGCTAACTGCCTTGACGAGTGCGTGGAATCTCTCTCCTCAGCACATGAAAACCTAGACAGGTGTCGACGTATTGCTTGACTCGGATTTTCGGACTGGTGAACGGTGTGTGGTGTCCTCATCTCGCCCGCCGCCTCCAGCGCTCCTTTCCTTTCCGTCAATTAAAAGGGTGAAAAAGAATCCCTTTTAGATGAGATTCGAGAAGGCGCAATTTGTTCTGTCGCGTAACACGCTATTTAAAAGTTTCCTTAACCCTTGTTGTGCTTGAAGCGTGGGACTTTTTTTTTTTGCGTTGCGGCACAGCTTTGTGACCGTCCATATGACGTGACGTGACGATGGTGTGTGTGAGGGGTGTGATTTCTCTTTTTTCCCCTGTTATTTTTACACATTTTGCCTCAGGCGCGGGAGGAAAAGAAGAAGTGAAAATAGGTTGAAATATTTATTTTTAAACGCGCGAGCAGAAGCCCCAATTATCACCGCCGCAGCCACCCTCACCAGCGGGGAGAAGATAAATTCGGTAGTTTACCTATCAATGTCCGGGAGGGCGCGCCCCAGATCTGCAGCTTATATTTAGCTTCTCCCCCCGACCACAATAAGGGGCCGAGAAGAGGAAAAGAAAAAGAAATAACACGGCCATTTTCGGGCCCGTAGGCCCCCCCCCAAAAAAAAAAAGAAAAAAAGACAAAAAAGAAAAAGGGGCTAGACTACCTAGGTAGTCTTGCGATTCCAAATACGTCAGACACGTATGGGCGCGCATGCGTGAGTTTCGTGTTGGAATGGCACGCTCATGTATCAGCAAACCAAGACAGAGGCGGTTAGGTTTCTCTTTGATACGTTGATGTGTATGCCCTCAAAGCATCGCACATGGCCTCAGCTCGCTGTCTAGCCGGGCTGAGAGAGGGAAATGAAAAGCAAAGAGAAAGAGAGGCAACACCCCTCGACGCATCTCAACGTTCGAGGCCAAGGGAGCAAGATCGATGCAAGGGAGGAGCGTAGAGCTAGGTAGCTGGAACTATCCAAACGTCGACGCTGAGATCTCAGACCCAATAGCACTAAACCGGTTGACCGCCTCTTGGTCTAGTTTAGTCTCGAACTTAGACGGCATCAATGGCAGTCGAGCTGGGCCGTTAGACGCGTGTTCCAAGCGCGAGGCGTTAGCCATGGCGCCGTCCGGTGGCGAAACGTGCGGGGCTTCGGGCTGCAAGCAGCGAGCGACACAGGGCGAAGACCGTGCGAACTGGCGTTGATGGTGATTATAAGTGGTAGCGGTGTGGTAATGCCTCCTGCTCTGGGTGTCGACACTCGACTAGGAGAAACCCGGCTCGGGCTTCTGGTGTGCTGTACAGCTTCGTTCGACTTGTTGCCGTAATTACCGTCTTGCAGCTAGCGGTATCTCATATCTGCCAACATGTGGCAAATAAGCAAGCCTGCGTGGAGATGGAAGTGCTGTTCTTGGCTAGTTGCCGGCCAACGGCAACTGTTCTAAGGAATGTAGCTTGAAAAGTATGAATCCATTCTCGTTCCTGTGCGGGCACAAAGGGGGCAGGTTTGGGTTGGCTCAGCGATCAAGCGCGAAAAGTCATGGCTGCCACCGGGAAGCAGCAGTCCAAGCTTGGACCTATCGCTGCCGTGTTGGCTCCGTCCGTATGTATCCCGCAAAAGCTCGAAAAGGAGGGAGGGAGGGGGACACTAGCTCGCTGGGAAGGCTGCATGTCACGTCAGCTACCGCCCGGCTCGAACACAGACGCCCGCTGACCCGTGCGGGCTGGACTAGCGGCAGCATGGCCATGACCAGGAGAAGGGCTGGCTGTCACGGTCCATCGCGCAGCATCCATCAATGGGGCTGCCGGGATCACGATATTTCTAAGCTGCCTGTCTGGGCGTTCGGGAAGGTAACACAGACTATGAGTTTCGGCCGCTCGGGATGGACGTAAATCGGGACACGGTGCGACTACAAGCCAAACGCCCACTGCGCATGGCAGCGTAGGCACTTGGGTACGCCACGGCTCACCACCCGATGCGAGTATGCGACGCTTATCCGTCTGCAGAAGCAGAGGCTGCTGCAAGATGAAAGCAGTCAGCGAGGCAAAGGTTGTTGGAAGAGAAACGAGGTCCGTGGTTGCCCTGCAGCCCTGTCGACGCTTGTCTGAGGCACAACAAACCAACCCCCTGCAAGCCACTTAGTGCTAACGGCAGTGTCACGGAGAGGACGGGGCTCGGTTCCAATGTTGGTTGAGTTTGTGACTAAGAAAAGAATCGCCAACTCAACCATTCGCCGATATTGTTAACTACATTGAGCGTAAACTGCATGCGATAATATCTGGCCGGGACGAGGCGTTAACCGGCGCAATCCGGCCCAAACCGCTCCTGCCTGTCAGGTGGCTGCCCCTTTTCTTCGACTAGACAATCAAGATCCGAGCTTGTTGGACGAGACTTGCCTGTGTTCACACACCAAGACCAGTCTTGCATCAAATTCGTGCTTCCCGCCCCGTGTTACCTCCCCAGAACAGAACCTCAAAGTCCGCTTGTGCAACGATCCCTGATCGATGTCATTAGGCGGACAGTATTGTCGCAAGCCTTGAGCCGGGTGCCAACTCGGGCACCGCCCTCTAAGGAAAGCCGATAGACTAAACGAAAACACGCCGCGAGACCCGAGTAAAACGCATTGCGCCGTGAGGCAATCCCAATCTTTCGCCACAATCTCCATTGCCCTGTGATGTTCCCGTAACAAAAATTGACACAATGGAAAATAAAAATGAAGTGGAAAACGGAATAGGAAAGAATAAAATAACAAGAAAAAAGCAAGTCCTGTGTTTGGCCAGAGTCTAATCCATTGCTGGTAATTATCTGGGGACCGCTAGGGGATGTTTTGCCGACTTGCAATAGGGCCTCTCGGGGCCCTCGCACAGCCTTAACCGACGTAAAATCAACCTCGGTCCAATTTTTGTCGTAACGGCATTAGCAAGAAAAGTCGAAGACGGGCGGCTGCGCGACGCCGATACCAGCATAGGCAAAAGCTGGAATTATGTAAAGAAATATAAAAGTCATCTAGTGCAGCTTGTGTTGTGATTAAGAACCACTCCGCCAAATGTGGTGACTGAGGGGTTGAGTAACAGATCGAGTCTTCAGCAGGTATGAGGCCCATTAAACCCGGCTCCTCCAGCGATCGTATTGAAACCGACCTGGCAGTCCCCCTACGATCGCCTGTTAAGCCGTCCAAGCATATTCCGATCAATTTCGCTAGCGGATCCGCGGTCCCGAGATTCCGGGGCGCCAGGGCCGGTCGGTCCGCCCATGAGGTGGTTCAAACTCATCGGATTAGAAGTCGTCGGAAACTGGGGCTGTGTTTGTGGCTGCTGCGGTGACTGAGACTGAGAGGGTGACTGTTGCTGTTGCGGAGGGGGGGCAGGAGCTGCCGCCTGTGTCGGCCCAGAAGGAAGAGGACCTCCAGGGCTATGCCGAGGTGTAGGGGTTCTGTCTTCATATCCAGCTTGGTACTGGTGGTATGAGTTTGGAGGGGTGCCGTTGCCTTCGTTGGAAACAGGGGAGCGCCGGCGGGGATCTTCATCTGGGGGATAGTTTGGAGGCGGAAGGCGTAGGCCGTGGCCCTCATCTGAAGGCCGAGTTCTACGACGCCCCGGATCCCGATCCCTATCGTCGTACGGAGGCGGGGGGTAGCGACTTGTAGGCGAATGCAGGGGAGGCGGGTAGTCAGACGAAGATGGCGGATAGCCTCTCGGCTGCGGTGCCTGACCAGCTGACGGAGGCAGAGGCTGGCCATAGGCGCCATAGAGCGGCGTTCCCGGCGGTACCCCTCCTGGGACTGCTGATACAGGAACGAACGCGGTAGACGAATTCGATGAGACGGGCTGAAAAACACACTCGATCCGCAGCTTATCACAGTTCGTGCATTTACCATTGGGAGTATTAGCATACCCGCTGCATCGGATCTTTAGGGCATGGAGTTAGCGTAACGGACAGTAAACATGTCGGAGGAAGACATACCTTTCTCTTCCTGCAATACCGGCAAGCAATCGACGTCCTTTGTCTTGGCGCAGCTTGCTGTTGCGGCGGCTGTGGCTGTTGTGGTGGCGCGTTCCCATAGGGATAGCCTGCTGGCGGCGAATACCGGTAGGGGTACCCGTCGTTTCCATACGATCCAGCCCTACCTTGAGGCGGGGGGCCTTGTGCCTGGTAGTACTGGTCACCATACTGCCTCCTCTCGTCAAACTGCCTCCGTTCGTCGTGCTGGCGGCGCTCGTCGTACTGTCTTCGGTCCAGGTGGGCGGGGTGGGCAAGATGAGGCGGATGCGCAGGGACAACGGGAGCTAGCTGAAAGCGCGGGTCCGGGTGAGGTGGGGGATATCCATTCGCGTTCGTTGGGGACTCCGAGGACCAGCCGCCCCTCTGGTCCTGTGCGTAGCGCGGGTCAGTTGAGTAACGCGGGTCAGGATATCGCGGGTCTGGCGTATATCCCGGAGCTGGGGGCGAATACTGCAGCGAGGGTAGAGTCATGGCGCCTGGTGCCGCGGGCGGCGGGTATTGCCGTGCTCTGTCGTCGTCTACTTCGGGAGGTGATGGATACTGTGAATTCTCCTGATGATCTCGTGGCGGATACCCTCTTCCTCCTTGCTGATCGTCTGCCATACTACGAAAACCCGTGGCATGCGCCAGGTTGATGTAAGAAGCGTGCTCGACTGTCGACGATAAAAGCCTGCCTGGGTAGGCGGGTGTGATATGGGCAGAAGCTGGAAGCTCTACGGCCTCTCGATTAATATTCTACGTCTCCGATGCTCAACTGCCAGGTTGAACACTTTAACAGAACAGGACTGAAAAAGTCATGCAAAGAACCGAGGGACCTGCGCGGCTTTTCAGTCCAAGGGCCCCAGCACTGAAGGTCGAGGCTGGGGAGGGGGGGGTTGGTGGTTAAAACGGATGGAGATCGGCGGCAGGGCGGGAAGAGCCTTGATATTAGTAGGCCAGTGAATCCACCTGGGCGGGAGCGCGATAGCGTGACGTTCCCGAGGGTGGGCGGGTAGGGTCTCGAGCGTCAGGGCCTGGCAGAATGCCAAAACTGGAAAGGGAGCAAATGCGCAGAGAGGTGGGCGGGAGGAATGTGGGCGCAATTAAGAGCAGACGCGGGAGTGGAGGGTGCCCGGGCGTAGCTCTCAAAATGACCTCGGAATGCGAGAGTTGAGGCGGGCGGGTAATGGTGGAAGCGTGTGCGCCGGAAAGGCGAGACGGGGCCTTTTCAATGGCGGGAGTTCCCTTCTTGCAGACGGCCTGGGTCCTAACGTTATTAGCTCTAGTTTCGAGGCGAGTCTGATAAGGCCGGCTGGGCTGAAAGCCAAAATGGTACTGGGGAGCGTAACTTCTTGTGGCCCCAGGAAAATCTAGACTAGAAGGCTAAGGGGAAACAGAAGGAGAAAAAGAAAGGAGAGAAAATGTAGATGAAAGAGACGCCTCAAAAGGTGGAAAGCAACAAGCAGGGCTGCCCGCTGCGTAATGAATCAAGCAATTGACCACGGGCGCGCCATGCTACACCCCAGCGGCCTTCGGTCGCTTGATGGAGGCAGGGCACCCAGAGAAGCGTTGGCTGACAGGGGAGGGATGAGCAGTGACAACAACAAGCAGCCGCAGCAGGAACCGAAGGGCACAAGTTGGAAGGGTGGGCGCAAGACCAAGCCGCAACTAGTTCGGCCGATGGGAATTATTAAAAAAGAGGAGCAAAAAGCTGACTCGCCGTCGCCTGTGAGGTGTACTAAGGAGCGAAGTTGCCTAGAGTGCACCACTAGGAAGGATGGCCTTGCCTTTTCGCTTCCTTCCTGACCGCCTCTCCAACCAAAACGCTCCACTCTCACAACTCTCCCTCGTGCGGGAGAGGAGACGAACGTTTGGGCTGTCCGCAATATGAAAGCCTGCCAAAAAAGATGCAGAAACTTTGATAACAAGAAGAAATTTTACACGTACCTCGTGGCAGATTCAAACACAGACAAACTCTCTTTCTCAACGAGAAAGAAAAATAAAAAGAAAAACCAGAGGGAGAGAAGGGGGACACAACCGAGTACAAGGTGTACTGCAAACCAGTGTGTGAACGTGCAGTACGGTCCAGCACAGCACGGCAACACAAGGCGAGTCTATTTGCCGCCAACGAGCAAAAATGCGCTGCAGCTGTTGGACGAGGACCTGAAAATAAGCGATCGGCTGCGACGCCAACGCGGCGAGGGGGAGCCTGCGGGTTCGGGATTCAGTTAGTTGTTGCTTGTCTTAGTTGTTGTTGTTGCTGCTTGTTGGTCTCGTTGTTCCTCCAGGTTGAGCAAGCTTTGATGGTTGTGGCACTGCCAGTCCCCACAACAGCCCAGAGGCGGGCAGGGCGTGGGAACTGGGAAAACAGTTGGGCTTGTTCCGCGTAGCGGGCGGGCCGAAGGTAGGTGGCGGTAGCTGTTTCTAGCTTCTGCACTCAAAGATAAACTCCAAGTAGGAAAAGGAAGATTCAGTCGATGCTCCGGAGAAAGCTCACCTTTTGCAATGTGGATCGAAAACTAAAGGCAAGACGGAAAGAGTCACCTCGCGCCGTTCCAGGTTGCGTGACGGGGGTCAAGCGGCGAGCGGTTTAGCTGGCAGCGCAGTGGACGGCGGACGTGCAGATGTAAGTCCCAAGGCTCGCGCCGACTAATTCTACGTCTTGCGTGCAAGGTTGGGGAGACGCAAGGTCGGGAGAAACGGGCTGGATGAAAAGGGCCCGGCTTATGACGGATTGGTGCTTGGGGGGTGTGGGTAGGTTGGGTCACAGGCTCCAGCGCCGTGCCCTGTCCCAGATTTCAGACCCAGCGATGGAGGTTTGCTGGGAACTGCTGCGACCGGGGTTGGGTGCTAGCGGGGGTAGGTGGAGGGTGGTGGGCTACTCAACCCACCCACCCATGGAAGTACGGATACGTACTGTACATACATGCCTTGGGTACGGAGTACAGTACCTTGGGCCCCTACTGCCCAACTAACCACACACCCTCCCCTGGACTGCGGCTGGTCCCAGCCAGCGTGCGGAGCGAAGGAGTGGCCGGGTGCAGGTGGCTCGGAGCGAGGGGGAGTGGGTAAGGTTGTGTGGGCGCGATTGCCGCAGGTGCGGACCGCAGTTCCAATCAAGTGAGGGCATGGGCCAGCGCCCAGTGACGTTCCAGCGCCCGAGTGCTGCCCACGGCCTGTTGTCGCGCGCTGTACGGAGTACTTGGTACTGTAATGTACTGTACTTCCAGGTTGTCGAACCCACCAGGGCGGCAGCTCGCGGGCGGTGGTCGCAGCTGGGGCCGCAGGACCTTGGAGCCCCAGGGGAAAAAAGAGAGTTCCCAACAGCTGCCCGTCGGGTGTCTCGTCTTGATTTGTCCCTTCCGTTCAAGTGCCAGCGCGGTGCGAGCCACTCCCGCCGGGACACAACTTTGATGGGCCCTCGCCGACCCAGCCTACCCGACGTACGGATACCCAAGCTCTGAACTACAAAGAGGCGAGGTGGGCCGCTCAACATCCATGCGTTGCGCCTTCAACGCTGAGAAACCTTCCGGCAGAATGTGGCCGTCTGCTGCGCCGTTTCCCAGCCTCGGACGGATATCAATTCATGCGGTGCACCAACGGCTCCGAGCCCTGGCTCTGTGCTTGTGTGCTTGGTGCCTTTGTGTTTCTGTGATTCGGGCCCTGTTTATGTGGAGCTCTGCCATCGAGCAATCCGTACTTTACGTTCCCGCCTTACTCACCTAGGTTCTCGGTAACACGTTACTCAATTCGACTGAGGGAAGTACTAACACCAGGTTAAGTTTTAATTGCACTTGGCTGCATAGCACACACAACACAGCAGGCAAAGGAGTTTGGGGGCCGAGCCCAAGCCCAAGTGCTCTTGGGGACTCGGCGAGCCAGAAACACGGGTGAGACCTGGGCGCGACCGACGGCCGGGGGTGGTGGTCTTGTAGCGGCAGGTCACAGACGAGGATGTCGATGGCGGTGCGAGAAGATCCCTGGGTTGTCGGACTCCACAGACGAGGTGACCTGCTCGGAATAATATACGCTCTCACCTCACTCTCACTGAGCCGCCGCCGAAGACAGAACCAGGCACCAACCCCCGGCGCCGAGCGAAACAATGATCGACCAGTCCAGGAAACGTCAATGGAGACGCTGAACAGCCTCTGCAGCGCGCATGGGCCTTAGATGACTGATTGTGTCCGATCTCACTGGTATGCTACCGTAAAGTGCAGTGTTGACATTTGATCCTGTCTTACTTGTTTCGTTCAGGGCAGCAGCTTGAGGCGGGAGAGTGGCCGTGACTGGCCCTGAATGCACCGATGCATTTGCCGGCACAAGCTCCCGCTGTGGCCCAGTGGTCCGTCCCGGCCAGTCGGTTCGTTTGGCTGGGGTTCGATTTGGGCCCAACGCCACCGTCGACTTGATCGGGGCAGGAACTTTCCCAGCCGTCCCATCACCTCAGTCAGTATTAGGTGGGCATGTCGGTGGGAGGGAATGCCCGGCCGTATACTCATCCTCTGATCTGACTTATTTGCATTTTGTTTTTGTCTCCCCGACCGACTCGCCTTTCTGTTCCTCATCCGCCCGCCTCTCCTAGTTGCTGTTTCAATCCTTTCCTTTCTCCGGCCAATAGAATGCTGGCAAAGTGTCAAGTCACTCGCGGCCTTTTCGGCACTGAACTGTCTCGATCGCGCTGCTAATCTGCTCCAAGATTACCGCCGGCATGGCAAAATCTAGATGGGAGGCGCGAGCGAGAGCAACCCCGAGACTAAATTGACGATGTTGCCCCTGGGGCATACCAGAGGCACTTATAGCCAAGGGCGGCCGAGCCGGGCAAATGACCTTCAACGAGCGAGTGCCGTGGGAAGCCGAGGGTGACAGCAGCAAGCTACTCCTGGACGCATTTACTAGGTCACTCTACCTTACGTATGGCCATAAAAAACAAACCGAGTGATTTGATCTGTCGCTGGTTGCTCTTGGTGCCAGTGTTCTAGAGATTGATCGCAACCACCTATCGTTTGAGACTCAATGGGAAGGTCAGGACTAAGACCTGGCAAGCACTATAGGCATGCATCTTTCAGTTATGGTCCGGGGAGAACCCGAGCGGTTTGAAGGAGACGCCGCAACAAAAACTCAGGTCGCCGAGGAATAAGTTGGCAACTCCTGAGGCAACCTTCCATAAAGGTCAGGACATATCCGTATCCACACCTTAGCAAGATATTCGTACTGTAACTTTGTGCCTCACATAGTATGTACTTCGCACTCTGGACGGAGTTATGCTTTCTCAGTTGGTACTTGCGCCTGCGCTACACTAACTTAGCTGCACCGGGCCGCGGCCGGTCTCGTTCCGACCTAAGGCACTCATGGGAAGCTAAAAACTCTTGACGTTGACGGAAGTTGCGATGGGAAGAGGCTTCCACGTTCTCTGCGCGCAAGAGCACGGCGTACACGGGAGGGCGGGCGGGCGGGAAAGGGGTACGAAGGTTGATTGATTCACGGCCTCTTGGGCTGCCCTGCCCTGGTCCCGTCTTTTGGCTCTGCGCTGGACGACGGCACGGGTGCGCCAGCGTCTGTCCTGTGGGGAGGGGTACCCGACCAGGATAGTGTGGGTTTTTCCTTTTTTTTTCCCGCGGCCTCACGGCTCACGCCGATGTCTGTCGGGTACCAAGGATGTCACGCAGACCCTGGTAGGTGGCCAATGGAGCCTGGGAAGTTGGGCCCGAAACGGGGTCATCTGAGTGCATGCACGCAGCACTGGGGTTCCCACGGGTGGGTGCCGGGGCAGGTACAACCGTAGGGTCGCAAGCAGGCGTGGACCGTCCCGCGAGCTGCGTGTAGGTACGATGAAGAAACAGGATGCGGCCGGACGAAATGCGAAACATTTCCCGCCTCGTCGTCCCTCCGCCAGAACGACCGCAGCAAAGCAGCCCGACAGTGGTCAGTCGGACAGTCACCAGTTGGCAGTAACACTTCCAAACCACCAACAAGGGCCTTTCGCTTGAGCACAGCACACATACACACACACGCCATTTATCCTCCCTCCCTCCCTGAAATCAAGGTCAGCTGAGTGGTGCAGGCCCCCTCAATGCTGGTCTCAGTCGAGGGGCAAAAAAAGACTCAGATGCTTGCCATGGCGTCGCTATTAGCAAACGCAGGACCGCTGGTTAAATTTCACAAAACAGAGGCGAAGCAGGAGAAAAGAGGCGAGAAACACACGTCAGTGGCCTCCGGCATGACAATGGCAAGATGCTAGCTAGCCAGCCAACTTGCGCGCACGGCGATGACGTGAGATAAACAGACCGGGTAGTTGCACCTCGTTGTCAAAGTCAGAATCTCATCCAGGACAACGCCGCAACAATTCTCCGAGAGCAGGATCCGATCTTTGACTCCACAGAACCTCCCGAGAGCAATAAATCGTAGCACTATCGTTGCGCCGGAAAGAGGAGCATTTCGAAGAGGGGAGGCGGCACCGAGGTTCATATTGAATGTGTGTGCCCACCCCGTCGGCTCTTGCTCGTGACGAGACACGATAGCCTAGAATTACACACATCAACCTAATACGGATATCGCTCCCGAGTTGCCATTGGAAGAAGGGATTCGGTGTGAGCCCATGGGTGAGTAAGTGAGTCGAATCGACACAAGAGCCTCGCATACAAGACGGCCCTCCTTGCCGCCTAGCCAAGATGCTGAGATACGATCAGGTCACCAGAAGACTGGAGCTAAGTAAGGTAGGGAGGCAATTATGGAAATAATCACCGCCGCGGAACACCAGGGAATGGCACACCCACAAGGAGAGACACAGCAACACAACCTCGCACATGCCGGGACACAGAGCGGAAAGGCAGCACTGCATCTCGGTCTGGCTCGCATGATAGATCCGGCAAAAGCCCAGAAACCTCATCAGGGACGAGACGGAACGCTGCTGCATCACCCGCCGCCCGCCTTCCAAATCCGTGTCGCGGCGCCTTTTTTTTTTTTTTACTCTCATTTACGTCAAGTGACGCTGCGAATATGGCCACCACACCGCGGTCTGCTCCTGTCGATCATCCATGGGACAAACCGGGCCGACAACATGTTAATATCTAAACTTGCAGAGCACTGACCACGCTCCCGCGCTTTCGAGATCGGGTTGGTCTCAAAACTCTTGATGCCAAGTTAAAGTGGCTCCGCCAAAACGGCCGGCATTGTCCAGTGTCTACCGCGGTGCTTTGGTCGCCCAGTACGGATTGCACTCGTTCATGTCTTCATAAAAATAGACAGATTCCCACGACTCCCGCGAATAGTGTAACTGCATTTCGTCTCAGCTAGCTTGCTAGGTTCGACGCTGACAGAGACATTTTACGCGGCATCGACCGGTGTCGGCCATAGCACTGTCTAGCATCGTGGCATTTTGCAGGAAGCAAGGGGAGCGCTCGCAGGACCAACACGCGCATCCGAGAGGGGCGCGATTCGAAAATGCCGTCGCAATTTAGCGCATATGGGATGCAGACACCAACATGCGGCCAAGGACGGGCAAGGCCTATCAGGTACCAGCTCAAGGAACCTTCTTTGAAGGGCCTCGCCTTCCCGGCTGGCAACGGGCAGTCCTTGCCGCACCGAATTGAACAGGAAATAACCGAGCACTAGCAGCTGCCCCTCTTCAATGACGAAGTGATTGCCGCTTCCCAAACGGCCCAGGCGACCCAAAAGCCACAATGCCCGCTTCTTAAGGGGATCCCAAGAATGGTGTATGTACAGTACAGTACATTGGGAGGGTGTTGGGATACACGTCCAGGGTGTGCCGAGTATTCTTCCGTCCCCATCAGTGGAACGGGCCCGTGGTTCTGGTGCCCCCCTTCACCCCCCCTTCCTCGGCGGGGCACAATGGGGAATTTAGACAGGCAGCGGCGCACTCAATCGAGGGCACGACGGGATACGCAGCCCGTCACTAGTTCCTAGATTATTCCATAAGTCGGGTTAGTCCGCGCGTCTGGTGGATCTGATTTGGTTTATGGGCGGCCAAACCCGCGCAACACGACCTGAGCCTCTTGTCTCTCGATTCCACCAGCCATGCCCTCGTGAGCCGCCAGACCGGGATGTACAGTACGTATACCTAGATCACGCCTACGACGAGACTTCACAACCTGATGGTCCTCAGTCCCCCGAGTGGAAAGAAGAACAGAAAGAGAGAAGAGAACAAGGCATCCTTGTTGCGAACACGGGCATTTCCGCTTCGTCTCTTTTTCCAGGTCTCTGAGGGACAGTGTAGACCGTCGCTACGAGATTGTTGTCGGTGTGAACAGGCCGAATGTCTTTATCTGGAAATGTGTGGACTAGATTCGCGACGGCCAATCGTGCAGACTTATTCCAGCCTCACCCATCTGCCACGCCGCCGCTGAGCGGCCAACCACTGTGAAAGCATCATGTCTTGGTAATGGCAAAACACGGCCCGCTTGGCCATTCAACCCCGCCGCAGCACACCCTCTCGGGTCAGCCACAGGACCACCATGGCCTCGACGATGCAACAGATGGCGGCGGCATTTGATGATGTGTCGACGCGCAGCGGACCGAAGGGTGTGAGCTCGTTTGGCAGGCACATCAGACGAGTGAGCGACTGGGCCCAGGGGTCTGCTGGACGTTATGCACCGCCTTTATGGCACGCACTTGTTCTCGAATCCATCCCAGCGGCGTTTCTGTTCGAGAAGGCGGAAAGAGCATTTGAGAAGCTCGTGGCTTTTCCCAGTGGCCTGTGCTGTGGTCCGGCGGGTGTCCCCTCCCCCTGCCTCACTGCCTGTCCGGGACAGCGAGGAAGGTACGTACCCTAGAAGGTACTGTACCCCCTTGGGCGGGAAGGGCTGCTAACGGGGCAGTGCAGCCAAGCAGGTGGGGAAGCTCCCGGCGGAAGACACTAGCGAGCGGGTGTGCGAGGGTCGCCCGTGCTCTGCATTCCCGCATCCCGTGGCCGCTTGGGTCGAAGAAGAAAAAAAAGAAGAGATTAGGTCATCCCCGATGAATCATGGTGGATCCCACCTCCAAAGGCTCGAGTTCTCGACCGCCTCCCTCCCGTCGTCTCCCCACCATCGAAGAGGGGAACAAAGAGCAAAAACACCAAACCAACGAATGACGACTGCAGCAACACTCGCTTTCCGCTCAACAAATGATTAACTAGCACAAGCAACAAGCAGCAAGAAAGCAAGAAAGCAAGCAGACACAGGCAGACAGGCAAAGTTACCTTAGTCACCATCCCCGTGTCACTGTCATCTAGCGCTGCTGCATGCTCCTTGATGTCAAATCATGGCCCCTCCGCGAGCAGCAGCAGTAGCAGCAGTAGCAGCACCAACAGCAGCAGCACCGTTTGTTCCCGACGTGGCACCCGTGCGCCGTGGTTGATCAAAGAAACAGCCAAGGGCGAGATGAAGATTGATTGACAGACAGTGCAGCATGGATTCGCGTGCCGTCCGACTTCCCCTCCCCCCTTCCCCCTCTTTAGGCTCTTCCCGTCGTTCTTCTCCCGGGCCTGGCCGCCTATAGGCCCCCCAGATCTGCATCCTGGCACCTTTTCGACTGCGCCCGCATGCACAAAGACGCTTCCTTCTTGCTCTATTTCTCCATTTCTCGCTTTCGAGAGTTTGGGCCTTGTTCTCCCACTTGACGACGACGGTGGCCGGCGATGATGGCGAAGCCATGGAATGATGACGATCGTTCAAGCCACCGCCGCTACCGCTGCCGCTGCCGCTGCCGCCCCCACCTCCCGTCGTCCACCTCATCTTCATCCTCCTAATTCGGCCCGGAAGCCCACTTGCTGGCGGATGGTGGTGCGGTCTGGTGACTCCAGACGCAGTGCGCCCTGCTGCATTGTCCATGACCTCACGCCCTCTGATGCCGTCCATGCTGCTGCTGCTGCTGCGTCCGTTGCATGCATATGGGATTCACTCGGGCCGGTCAGGCTGGTTGATGTGGTGCAACCGTGTCTGTGAGAAGGTGATGAGGGGACCGACTGACTGACTGGCTGGCTGGCTGCAAGCTTCTGTCGCCACGCGTTACAGCAGACCCGTGACAGGAGAGCGACGTTCTAGGGCCCTCGTCGTGCATCCGCTCCGCTTCAATTAATCGCGATTTTGTCCTAATCTGAGAGCAAGGACGATGCTGCTCCGGCCGGCCACCAGAAACTGTTTAGATGGGCGTCCGTCCTCAGACACTAGGGCACACTACGCAGTAGGGACACTACCTCACACCGTATGTGCCAGTCGGGTCGCTTCGGGCTGGCGCCCAAACTGTTATTTTCGTGTAACATCAGGGTGGAGGCCAGACCGGCCGGTACCAACATCTGAGTTCTTAACTCCTTCCATCGAGATTCCCTCATTTGCTGCGGGCGGGCCCGGGACAAGAAAGGGATTCCTTCGAGTTTCGACTGTCTGTGTCTCAGACACTTTGCTTGGCTTGCTTGCTTGCCGTGTGTACCTCACCTCTTGGAGTCTAGAACTTTGGCCTCTTCTTTTTTCTGTCATCTCACGGGCAAGCGACTTCAGCCGCGGCTCAACCAGTGCGCCAGAGCCAGAGAGCCAGAGCCAGAGAACTAGAGCCAGAGCCAAGACCAAGGCCGAAGCCGCGCATCGGCAGCCCTTTTGCTCTCAGCCAATGCATGTCAACAGAGAGAACGTGGAACCAACTAGGTTGCAGAGGTAGGGTGTGCTTGTGTGGAGACGGGTAACACGGTACGGTTGCATCTCTTGCGAGCTCGGGCGCATTCCAAACTGCGACTCGCATCCAAGTGTGCTCCCGTGTTCCACCTAAATGAGAGAGCGCAAATAATAAAAAGAAACAACAAACGCGGGATTGCCCGCCCCGTCTCCGTCTTGTGCCCGCCCGCTGGAGGCTGCCCTTTTTGTGTGGGGAAAAAAAACATGGGAGGCCACTACCCGTCCGGCCGTCACTATCAGATCAGGGTCAGAACACCGGATGTGAAAAGCTTGGGTCGGTCTCTCTGAACGTCATTTCATGATGTCGTCAGAAATGGGGAATATTTACGCAAACCCTTTTTTGTCCCCTTTCTTTATTTTTCGGCGCCCACCACGTGGCGCCATCGGCAGCTGGCCGGTCGTCTTCACTTCGTTTGTGCAAAGAGTGGGTGTGTAGCGACATCTGGCCAATTCTCTAGCCCACCTCGTCCTCACGAAGGGGGTTGGCTAGACCAGACATATAGAAATGTTGCAATGGGCGTCGACTGCTCTGGACAACCCTCTCACACTCATTGCTCCCGCCAGCCACCCAGTCAGCCAGCAGAGGGTGCCGTGAGCAGAGATGAGCGTGGATGTGAGGATGGGAAGGAGAGACGGTAGCTTGCATGTTTTAGTTCCTACTGTAGCCGGTCACAGGAGCTCCGTCCAAACGAAGCCCTCTTTAGGCTCATTGGCCTTGGCTGGTGTGGGACCGTGATTGAATGGACCAAGCCAACGCGCGCTTACGCCGCCGCGCACAGATCGTTCCCACCCAGTGTGTGTTGTATTTGTATTGTACGTGTACATACATGCACCCCTCACCCAGACCGGATGATAAGGGACAGGAACAGGGCTTGCAAGCAAAGCATTGCTAGCCGAAGGGAGAACGGGGATTTCCGTTGTGGCGGTCAGAGGGTATCATCGCAAAGCAAAACCCCCGAGCCAACAACGCTCCCGGCCGGGAAGGAAGAGAGGGGTAGTGTCGAGGTCGGATTCGCATGTGGGGATTGGGGAGCCAAGGCCGGGGGCCTCTGGTTTCCCGGACATGACTTTGCTGTTCCTACGAATATAGAACTACCGGTAAGAAGAAGGAAGGAAGGAAGGAAGGAGGGAAGAAAAGAAATAACCGTCCGAGACAAGAGAAGAAGAACTTTGCTTGTCTAAGACATGTTTGTAGTAAACAGGCGACATGAGCCGCCGAAATAGGAGACAAGGCTCTCGCAATACAACTTGTCTTTTGGCTACCTACCTGCCTTATTTACCCCTGCGGATTTCAAACCCAGTTTCAACTCAATAAAATCCGGAGTCGGGATAAGATGGGCGGCAGGGAAAGGAACGTCCCGCGCCCGTTCCTTTGTGTTGGGACCCTCTAGCTCCATCCATTCAGGGAATCACCCCATCTCAATCAACAAACCCGGCACGGCTTCATCAGGCTTGGCCGGAACTAGCCTAGGAGGCGCCCACGCATTATCGGGCGCCGTCTGTCGTGAGTCTTGGCCTGGCCCACTAGCCTCTTCCAATTCTGACTTGTCGTAAAAGCCAAAAGGATGAGCTGCATGCCACCTTGTCACGGACATGTCAAGTCTGTAGACGCCGCTGGTGACTTGAGGTTGCGGCAAAGCACCTTAGCTTGCTGGGGTATAGAAATGAATGGCGGAAGAAGTAGAAAGAGAAGAAAAAGGAATAAAAAGAAGGACAGGGGACGAAAGCTACAGGGGGGCTGACCCCTGACCCGACCCTCAGCGCCCTTGTTGAAGGCTTGCGGTCAAGCCACATTGTTTTGTAACATGCACGTAGTAACTTCTTGGTAATCCTTCAGCCACCAAGACCAGACTGAGCTATCAGTTGTCACAGCTCAATCATCTGGATCGTGCTACAAGACGCCCCTGAATGAACCAGACCACAATCCATCGAGGCGGATCTGAACTGTAAGTCTTGTAGTTGCTCCTACCCAACTACCAGACAACTTATTAATCCTTCCCACTCTTTCATTCTGCCTCGTCTCACCAGTGGCTCGGCACCTTACCAATTGGGAAACTGCTGCATGAGAATGACTGCCCGAGGAGGACTGGCAAGACCCCCGAGGTCGAGCCTCGGGCTTTCCTCCCCCACCTCCAAACAGCTTTGGCTCAACCGAAGCGGTGGTGGCTGGCTCTGGTTGACTCCGAAGCTTCGCCGCCAAATGAAAGCTATATTCCATATTCCGGGCTTAATTAACTGCGCCGGGCGGCATCTTCCTCCCCGACAAGTCCCCTCTTAACCACTTCTCAAATGTGCCCGTTGGCCATGGCCACGAAGTCCTGCAAACACAGAGCTATATCCCTTGAAATCCAAGTCGCGTCGAATGCAAGGCCAAGATGAGCCATGCAGGTGCCCTCGAGGAACATGCAGTAGTCGAATTTAGAATACTCGCTGAGGAAGGTGCTCCCAGTTTACAGCCGAGTTCTTCTCCCTTTAAGCCTCTAGCCGTGCTGGCACAACAACCCACGAGAGACGCCGATTCTCGAGGGGTTTCGGAGCAAGGCAATAAACAGAACACTGGCTATTATTGGGTAATAACTTGAGTATCCCGTTGTCAACGACCTCGCCCGAGATGTCTTGAGACACAAGGACCGAGGGGAACCAACATGGGAGCCAACGCGCATGTTGGTTGGCTCACTGTGGCTTTCCTTCTCCGGCTAGGTCGGCGCATTATGCTTTAAAGTGCCTCGAACGAGAGCACCAAAACAGCAAGAGGTCGTCAACTGTCCATGGCAAAACGGTATACGTATTTGACACTCCCTCTAGCATCTTCGTGTGCCTTGTTCTGCTTGCATGTGGCGAGTTCATGCGCTCGCGGCCGTAAGCTCCTTCTTTCATCCTAGAAGACAGCTGCAAACGGGAAGTGGAGGAGGAGGAACGGTCAGCAGAAGCAGCAGAAGCAGCAGCCAGAATGATCAGTCACATTTCGCAACAGCAGCTCTCCCCCCTCCCCCTCGTCATCCCCCTCCCCATATTGTGTGCGTGTCTGCACCCACGTCACAAGCACAGTGGCCAATTGCTGTATGACTCGATCAGCAGGACGTCGCGAAGAATCCTGTCAAGAAATGTTTTATTTTGGGATGCGCTTTCAGTCTGCGGGAACCATTTGCGCGTGGTGCTGTTGATAGGAGATATCCCACCAGTGACAGGCGACAACCTTGGCGCACACAGCACGGCAAAGCACAGCACTGAAAATAATGTAGTCAGAGAGAAGAGCAAGCAAATACCCGGACGCTTGGGCACACGGAGCTTATTAGAGCACCTCTCCCGTGTTTCCATGGCCCGAGGACGTCCATGCTCCCGCGTTCCCGAGGGCCGAGCCCGCCGAAGGAGCCAGACTGTCAGAGCAAGGGCATGGTTGGGCCCAGCGGCGCGTTGGCTTGCCACGGGGGCGCGCGCACGGCGTAGAGACGGTCGCGTCTGCCCTTGCTGGCCCAGGTCCGACAGTTGCGGCGCAAGAAGGTGAGCTAGAGCAGGTGTGTTTGAAAAAAGAGTCGCCAGCGAAGGCAGGGATTATGGGATTTGAATTTAATTTTGGAGATAGGTCGACCGGGCCAGATGGGTTGTGCGAGCTTGCTTCTCTTTCCCCCCTTCTTCGGATGAATGCGACGGCACAGGGCATGAGTGCAAACAGGCCCATTGCGTCGGCCCCGAAAATAGGGGGCCAAACGGGCAGCCAACACACTGCAGTCGCGCGGCACAAACATCGCCCAAAGACTTGGCCAGGCCAGCCCGCCGCTCCTTCCCAAAGACGCCCGCACCAAAAGGCGGTCTGCGCAGTGCGCGCAATTGAAAAAAAACCCCCCCACCCACCAAAACCAAATTGAACCCTCGGCTGGCCTTCTCCGGCCCCAGAAAAACTCGCAGGTTGCCACACTCTATCGATCCGGAGGCGTGCGCTGTCTATCAATAGGGCGATCCCGTCCGCCAGTTGGCTGGAGTTTTGCGGGCGTCGAACCGACGGACGCTTGCTGGGCTCAATCAGACCGCGCTGTCGGCGCCCCTCCCCCTCCCCTGCTCGGCGCAGGGGTTGGAGAGACGAATGAGGACTCTTCTTGGCAGTCACGTGCAGCACTCGTCCTGTACTCCACATCATCCCTTCCCAGCGCGCGATTTCCATGGGGAGAAACCAGCGGGCCAGAGACTACTGCCCTCCTTTGGGAAGGGGGGGCTGGGGAAGGACCCGCCCGCGCATCGCTGTTCCGACAGGCAAGATCCATGGACAGGGCTTGTTTAGCCTGGGCAGATCCCAGCTGTCCCGGCCCTAGTCCTGCCTACCTGAGTTAACTTTGTCAAAAAAAGATAAAATCGAAGAAAAGAAAAAAGAAAAAGAAAAGAAAACATCCCCGGACCTGTCATTTCCCATACTCGCTCGAGCCTCTTGGTTAATCGGAGCCCCCATCTTAAGCGACCCAATAGAACAAATTCGGTAAGCAGACGGACAGGATGGACGGTTTCTGATTTATTTTCCTTTTTTTTGGCTGGTTTGGGTTCTCCGTACTGGAACAGCTGCACCAGACGCAGCTACAGCTACCAGCCTGGCAACTCCAAATCGCCATGACGCAAGCGCTACGCTAAAATGGGAGGTCACTACACCCTCCCGGTGCTGCAATGCTCAGCCAGAAACTGCCTTGAAGCCGGGAGCTCCCTGTCACTGTCATTGGTCTATTTCCAGGCGGAGCTCCGTCCGCATTGATGTTTGGTCCATGCTCCACTCCTCATCAGTCGAGAATGAGATCCAGAGTTGTTAGCCGTCTAGATGCACGTGGCGCAAAACAATAGTAACCAAGGCCCCGGACACTAACTATCCTTCCTTCTGCTCGACCTCCCGACCGGCTAGCTATTTTGGCCGGGACACGCCTACGCAACAATTCCAAGATTGGCTCCAGCATCAGCGTGGGGCAGGCGCTCATCAGCCATAGCGGCGCTCGACGCGACCAGAGACGCAGTCCATTCTCGTAGACTAGAAAAAGTTGGGGTGGGCTGTCGAGCCACGTTGCACTGGGGGCCAGACGGAAATGTACCTTCCCGTTCTTCCCGGTTGGCATGCCCGTCATTGCCTCTTTCCTGCGTCACCCTGGAAGCCCTTTCCCTTTGGTGGGTGGACTGTCCGTCCGCGACAAGGGAAATGTTCCTTTAGTGATCCGTATTTTGCAATGCGGTAGGTACGTATTCGTAATCCTACTAGGTCATTGAGAGGCCCAGGTCTGTACTCCGTACACCGTTGCTTCCTGTCACGGCCACACGGTCAAGAACAAGCTGTCCATCCCAGCACGACTCCTCCCACCGGCCCTCGCGCTGCGACTTCCAGGTTCCATTCCATGTTCATGATCGACTTCCAGGGTCCGGCCCGAGACGGCACTCGCAAGGCATTTGTGGGCATTTACGTTTTACCACGTCTCTAGGGCTCCACAGCACAAGGACCCTAGAAAGTTTCTAAAATGGCGTTGGAAGTCACCGGCCACGCATTTGAAACTTGTACCAGGGCACTAGCAACCGTGGAACGATGAAATACCCGTCTACGCGGATCCGTGCTGTGACATTGGCAGAAAAAAAATGACGGGATTAAGAGCAGCACGCTCTTCGCATTTCGACAAGACATCGACTGCTGCAAAGGTGCCGCGCACACAACGTACACACACACACGCGCGCGCGCGCGAGTGATCAGACACTTGATATATGACCTTGTCCGGTCATGGGAACAGCAGAAACAGCCGCAGCGTACTAACATCACCCCCCCCCCCCTTCTCCTTTTTTTTCCCTCTCGGGGCTCCTCTTCCACTCCTCCTTTTGCCCGCTAGCTAGGACCGACATTCACAAATGCAAAGCGACCTCTTTTCCTGCGGGACTGCAGTAGCCAGCAGCAGCACAATCTGAAAACGGAATAGCTCTTCCCCCACCCATGGGAGAACAAATGAGGCCCTGTTGAGGCGCTCTCGGACGCGGCCGGCATTGGAGCTTTCAATGACCTCGCCTCGGCTTTCATCATCATATGTAGCCCCATGCCCCCTTGAATAACGCCTGCAGCAATACCCGAGACCGTGGCCTATCCTGTCAGACCAGCCGTGCCAAGCTCAGTGCACTGCAGTCAACCGATCTCCTCGGTCCAGAGAAACATCGGCTCGCACGGCGTCAGTGCGCGCTGAACAAGACGCCACACGGCTCGGTCACAAAACTTATAGTATATCAGACTATGACTAACCCCAGCCGGTGTGCTTCGCTCGGCTCCAGCTTCGAACATCTACATACAGATGCGGAAGCCCCAATTGTATTGGACAGCGTTCGAAGCAAGGGCCCTACAGCCTAGTGTGAGTAGATTAAGGTGCCTCGAGAGGGGGGCTCCCGGCTGGGCAAACGAGCTGCGCGTTGTTGGGATTCCTCGCCTGACGGTCGTTCCCTCAATCAGGAGGTGCCGGCACCATCCCGGTTGTTTGTCTGTCTCTCGGTCGGCCTTCACTAGCCGCCGACTTGCTTGCCGCTATCGATCGGCACCCAGGGCGCCGCATCCAAGTCATCTTGCTATGGCATCCCTTACTGAGGGCGACGTATGCAGTGCAGGGGGTTTATGTGGGACGGCTAACAAGCCTGACCCGAGTGACGTGTTCCACGGCCGAATCCGAGGATTGTTCCAGTAAATGAGATGGTGACGGCCTCGACCTTGCTGTGCTGGTCTGACGGGGCTGCGTCCTCGTGGTCTGGTCCGTGGCAGAATAGCTTCCCCCACCCCCTCCTCCCTCGGGGCGAGGGGCCCTAGGAGCGGCCGCCTTGGCCAGCCAGCCCCCAGCCCCCAGCCCAGCGGCACATGTTATTCGCACCACAGATAACCTTCTGCGACGGGGACTTATCGTTTCAACATGTTTATAACCATCCAGTCCTAGGACCAACGGATGATTCACGGCTCTGTTTGGATTCACTAGGCACAGCTACCAACTCACTAGGGGACCGGGCACGCCTCAAAACCCGGACATCCCCGAACCGGACGGACAGACCAAACGGCGGTGAGACCGGGCCCCTTCCGTGCCATTGGATCTGGAACTCTGCCTCTAGCCAGTTCTCGCGGGCAAAGCATGCCGCCACTGTTATGATGTTTCTGGCTGCAGTTACTCGCTTGCATCCGTACATGTATGTGCATACATACAGTGCAGGCCAGTACAGACCATGCCCGCGCACCAGACTGTCGTTGGGAGACACTGCCGCATTATCGCAGCGGGCTCGCCAAGGCCAAGGGATCTCCCCATGTGATGGGGCGACACTGCAGCCACCACTTACTCACACCTGACTCTAGAGTCAGCGATTCAAGTTTCGTCCCGCTCTTGGGATGAATGGGGCACTGCAGTGGACAATACCATAGCATGGTGCGCCGAGCCAGCGGCCCGCAGCAAAGTCGTCGTCGCAGGTCGGTCCCCAACGGGAAGACCCCCCATGACGGACGGGAGGCATGGCGGCCCAATGGACGGACGCGGACGCCTTAAAGCAAGACCCGTTGCAAGCCGCCCATCCTGCCGCGCACCCCTTCTCTGAGCAGGACCGGGGTTGCACCGCAGCAATATGGCGCGGAGCGGGTATTATAGTACTGTGCCAGGGCCGAAATGTGAGATCTGACAGTTCCGCCATCCGGACGGGATCAGTGTTCTTGTGAGACCCCCAAGGACGAGGCATCGCCAACCCCTTCCCGCCCCGTCATACACGACGCCCTCTCTCCACAAGAAGCCAAGCAACAGCCGGCCGGGGGACCGTGAACGTATGGGGTTTGTTCTGGACTACTGGCCGGCTACTAATGAATAGTAAATATGCGCCTGCTTGGACGAGCTCCCACACCAACCAACCGCCAACCACCGCCGCCGCTGCCAACCAACAAACGAAACAAACCCTGCCCTGCGCGCTCATTCACACGCCGCCGAGCACACGCCTAATTCCATGTAGAACGTTGACGAGACAAGGAATCCGAAGAGAGCTTGCACATTCTTCGTTCGGACCTTGGTCTAACTTGGTCATCCAGCCAGTAGGCTCCAGTTCCCCCGCTTCTCATCGAGAACGAAGCGTGCAGGAAGCATGACCAGCAGGCCATTCTGTTGTTTGCTTTGCGCTTGCAGCAAACGAAAGGCCACGCCAGAGAAGCACCTATTACTCCTGCGGTAATACCACAGCAAACGGATGCAAGCCTAGCCTGCCCTGCACGGTAGAGCGGATGGTAGTTGGTCAGCAAAGCAAGCATTATCCAACATGCCTCGCTCGTCTGGCAAGCGAAGGGGTGGGAGGAGAAGACCGGTGAACGAGAGAAGGCCATAATGTAACTCGTCCTCTCGCTTTCGCTTTCTTCGTCTCGGGACAGGCGTGAGACTGCTTGCGATCCCGCAATCCCCCTGTCAAGCCTGACCGTGTACGGAGTACGATGTGCATATCGCCACAGTCCGAATATGTCGTTGACTTTGACCACATATGTTGGCTGTTCCTTACCAAGAGAGGGGGAGAGAGGGAAAGAGCAATAATGGCGAAAACGGCAATGAGCTGATGTGGAGAAGCCAACCTCAAACCATCGATCATCGGTCATCGATCATCCTTCCTCTCTTTCCCCTTTTTTTGCCACGTATAGGATCCCCGTCCAGTAAAGCGCAGGAAACAAGAATTTAAAAAATTAACTAATGCCGCCCGCGCCGGGACGTCGCCGCTCGTGACTGCGGACCGACGCGCGCGAGCAAGACAGGCATGCCTGGCTGACCTGGCCCGCTTAACTTTGCTCCTTGCTCGCCTGCTGCTGCCACCGTCGTCGTCGTGTGGTGCGCACGCACGGTTGGGCATGTGCGGGTTGGTACGCTATTATCCATGAAAACAGCTTTGGTAACTTTGTCCGGCATGCGGGATCGTCGGCGGTCAACATTTAATTCGGAATCCCCCTTGTAGCTCTTTCCCCCCCTCTTTTCTGGTTCCATAGCCGGCTTACTTGCTGGACTACCGGCACTATTTTCCTCCTTCCCCACCGTTTGTCTGTCTTATTGACCTCAACACCCACCACCACTCGTCCGTCTCTGCGGCTAACCTTCTCTCCCACCCCCCTCTTCCCGTCTCTCCCCTCTCCCCCGCGCGCGCCAGAAAAGCATCAACCCGCACGCATGCTGCGCGCTGCAGGGTGCTAGAAAACCCCGCTTAGGATTGCTTTTTCTTCCTGCATGGGAGTGTGTGGTGGTAGTGTGTGTAGTGTGTGTGTCGCCTCTCGCCCTTCTCCTCCCGGGACAGCACATCGTAAGTGCTTTTCTTAGCCTAGCTGGGAACTCCGCTTGGCTTGGCTTGGCTCTTGATAGGGCTACGGGTGAACAGATCTCCCACCTACTATGGATCAGAGGTGGACGGAGAGTGGAGAGACAAGAATAGCAATGGCGAAATGACCGGCCGAGTGGGTGTGGGAGACGGCCAGCACATACTTGTCAATTGGCAATCACAAAATACCTCTACGAGAAGATCAAGTCTATCTAGGCCGAGTCTAGAATGGACATACACCCTCTTGACTGCCTGAGGCGCTGCAAGAGTCCAAGTGGCTGTGTGAATTGACTATCGATCAACTGGCTCCCTTCACGAGGAGAGGCATCTTCTGATGGATGTGGTGTGTGCGTTTCTGTGATTGCAGCTATGCTCTATTAGGATGCAGGAGGGACTTGGGCAGAGGGGAAAATACTGCACATTGTTCCTCTCTCTTTCCCGCCCTCGTGTGAGAGGAAGAAAAGGAAAACTCGTCTTTTATACGGAACCAAGTCCTGCATCTCCGTGTTGTTGAAGAGTGCGATATGGCTCGCCAGGTGTTAAGCCACGCAGGACGTGGTAGAGCTGTCTCGTCTAACTCGGGGCGAAGACGTAGCTTTGTAAGTGGTAGTCGGTTCTCTCTCTATTAACATGACTGAAGACATGATCACATCTTTCTTTGGTGTTTGGAGAGAATTGTGTTTACTTCTTTGCCACACGCAGCTAACAAAAGACAACCTCTCTCCACCCCCAAAAACCAGCTCGCAATGGGGTTGTACATGTACTAGCAAAGATTGTGGATATTTCGGTCGCATGAAACCCGTTTTACAAATCAGCCTTTGAGCCTTGCTGGCCGAGCCAGTCAGTCAGTCAGTCAGTCACCTTAGTTACAGCTTGCGCAGCAAACCGACGACAAAGCCGCCGCCGCCAAAGAAAAGTGTCCGAAATGTCACCGGGCAATTGGTAGCGGCCGCGACGCGCATTAAAGAGAGAGCGGGGAAGGCGAGAAGACTTTTCTAAAGTTGTCAAGAGCTTCCTCTCTCCGTTCAATCCGTGTTTGTTACCTTTCTCGCGGCTGAAGAAGGCCCAGTGCTTATTCCTATCCGTTGACGAAAACCCGCCCAGGATATATGCATGCAAATGCTATCACCAGGTAAACAAATCGCCACGCCATAGTATCGGGACGCAAGGCAGCGCTAGTCCTGCCCACCACAGGCTGTATCTGTCTTCCTGCTCGCAATCCGGGCAACATTGTCTTTTCATTGCGTAGTACTAGGTTTACTCCTACTGCACGGCGAGACTTGTCCCTACGTCATGGCGTCCGCTTCCCCTTCCGCTTCCGCGTCCGACCAGAACAGAGAGTTTTTCAAGTGAGTTAGTCTGTTTTATTCCCGAACCGACAGCAAAGGCTGTTCACTTTGGAGTTTCGAGGTCTCAAGAAAAAGGAGAGCTGATTTTCTTCGTTGTTCTTCAGCAACGAGGCCGCGTCGTACGACGCAAAGCACGAGAAGACACTCAGCCAGCTGGTCGAGGAGATCCGTTCCCGGCTCGACTTTATCGGGGCGGACTTGGTCAACGACGACGACGATGATGACAGTGATGACGAAGACGGTGATGGGGCTGTGAACAAAGACGCAGAGGCAGCTCGGGAGAGGGCGGTGCGGCTCTTGGACTATGCCTGCGGGACCGGTGTTGGTACGACTCCCCTTTTTCTGTGTCCGTGCTCCCATTTGCTTGTCTAAGGGCGAGGGAAACTGGCTTCCCATTTTTGGCCTTTCTGTTTCTCATGTGACAGAGACCAGCTACACGCGTTTCTGACTTCAGCATTGCTAACTAGGGTTGCCACTGGTCATAGTATCTAGGGTAAGCGACTTTGCACATGTCTAAAGAAAGGAGAGAGGATAGAGGCTATATGTCTTTTCTTGTGCTGTCTACCTGCCAAACAAGAGATGGTCAGCGTTGGAAATGTCCAGTATTGACCCTCTGTAGGCATTGGCCCCCTACACAACACAATGTGTCGGGGTCGACCTTTCGGAGAACATGGTCGCTGCATACAACGCGCGAGCTGAGAACCAGGTCAGTAAGAGCCTCCGGCTGTCTGTCCTCTCTTCTCTAACCGTATTTCCCCTCGTCACGTCGAAAATTCCCAGATTGTTCGCTGGGTTGTTAGCAGCTGACTGGAGGTGGCTTCGGATAGGGGCTCACGGCCGACGAAATGCACGCATACCAGGGAAACCTCTGTGTGCCCGACGACCCTAGCCCGCCGGCCCTGGCGGGCCCGACCTTCTTCGACTTTGACATTGCAGCCGTCGGGCTGGGGTTCCACCACTTTGACAACCCGGCGCTCGTTGCGCGCAGGCTCGTCGAGCGCCTCCGGCCCGGCGGCGTCCTCCTAATCCTCGATTTCATGGCCCATGGCAAATTGGACGTGAGTGGACTGAGTCTCGAATCCTCTTTTCTCTTGCTCTCGTCGTGGCGAGGCGCCCACCCTCCCCTTTTCATGAGAAAATATGACGCAGCGCGGAGAGAATAACAGCTGACATACCTGCGGTCTCAACCGCAGTCAACGCATGCTGCCTCGCACACGGTCATGCACCACGGCTTCTCCGAGGACCATATTCGCCAGCTGTACGAGCAGGCCGGCGCCGGGACCGACTTCAAGCTCGAGCAGGCCGGGATCGCCTTCAACCGGGCCACCGAGAGCAGGCCCGAGATGCGCAGGCAGATCTTTATCGCGCGCGGTGTCAAGGCTTGAAGGCTGTCTTTGGCGAGAGAGGGCAAGGGAAGTTATTTCTGTTAGGCGGCCGGGCCATCACGTTACACCTAGATTATCGTCGAAGCGGGCATTCCCCTAGGAAGCGCATCTTGTACCGTTTGCTTGGCTTGGGTTGTAGATGATAGTAACCTACCCGTCCGCCGGTTTGGATGTTGTTTCTGGATCGGGGCATCAGTTGAGAAACCCGCTACAGGATATATTTGGACCAAAATACAGCTAGATGAGATCTAGCTCACACGACTCTCTCCATCATATGTTGCTTGAATCAATGAAAGCCCACCTACCCACCTTGCCACGCGTCTTCTACTCTGCTGGACTCGAGTTTGCTTGTCTTTATAGCCTGTCTGCTCGCCCCTACTAGCTAGCCAAGCAGGTCCTTGGTCTGTGAAAAGGGACGGAAACAAAAGGTACATGCCCAGAGTTGACCGTTATCTTGATATTGAGCGGACCAGACAGAGATAAAACGTGCGCCCATGGGAGATTTAAATCCCTTAGGCGAAGCCAGCAAGCCAAAAGGGACAGTCAACGACTGGAGCCAGGGGAGCAAGGGAGCGCTTGCCCGAGACCATGTAGCATTGTCTCGGTCAGTGTTCAGACACAGACAGAGTAACTAAGCCGCCTTAACCCCCTGATACTGTCCCCGAGAGCAACTCGAATCGAGGCCGAAGATACAGCCGGAAAGGCACGTCGGCTGCTCTGTGGATGGGACCGGATCTCTAGACAAGTATACCTGAGTTGGTCCAAAATACCGGGCGTAGCTGGGTTTCCCAAGTGCCAGACAGAAACTATAACAGCTTATCGAGAAACTTAATCAGGTCGAAATTAAACAACAAACACTAATGCCACAAGACTCTCTGCATTTGGCAGGGCGATATAGTTATTGACACGGAAAAAAAGGGGGAAACGTAAAATGGCTAAGAAAAGAAAATATGGCGGGAAAGAAAAGGAAAGAAAAGAATAATCGCTCTCATTATAAGCAAAACACTACCCAGATAGATAGATATAGCAAGCAAGCTAAATGCCGCCGCAAACGACACATGGCGAAAAGCATGACAACTAAAACTGCCAACGACAAAAAAATGCTCCTTCTCCCCCTTATCTCCCAGTGTCGAACCCTCCCTGCCTGTCTCTTTCGCAAACGTAGAAAGAAACCAGGTCAAGTACGTAGGAAGAAACTACCGCCCTAGAAGATATTCTAGAGACGGAGAAACTTCAACAACATCCCACACTTGCCCGTGCTGCTGCTGCTTTTTACTGTCGGGCGGGCTAGTAACACCCCCACACAACACTCGATTATCGGGGTCCTTCCTCTAGTGAACTGCCCCAAAAACCACCACAATCTCAAGCCGCGCCCGTCGCTGGACACGGCAAACCTGAGCTCGTCACGCCCTCGAACCCGAGCCGCCTTACCAGAGACAAGCGCCTCACCAGAGACAGGCCGCACAACCCTAACCCTGGCACATGCCCAAAGCCAGCCAGATTAATACCTATAAACAGGCTCCGCCGGGGTCGGCTTCTTGGGCGTGGCCGAGTAGGCATCGTTGTACGTCTCGTAGATGCCGCCGTCGTCGCTGACAGGCGTGATGAGGTCGTGGCGGGGCTGGCCGCCGGCGCCGCTACCAGCGCCGGTACTAAGCGTGGTCGATTCGCCAAAGGACGCGGTGAAGCCGCCGGGGTGGTAAGGCTCGTAAGGCAGGCGGGGGCCCGTCTCCGAGTCGGCCGAGGTGGGGGTGTCGGCGGCAGCGTTCCTTGACAAGGACTCGGGCACTCGGCGGGCAGGCGAGGGGTCGCGAAAGGGGTCGGCTTCGTTCTGTTGGGGGGTGCCCGTGGCGGAGCGGGAGGGGCCGGCGACGGCGTTGTCGCGTTCCCACAAATTGGCGCTGTCGGCTGTCGCCTTGCCTTTGCCGTTGTCGGTGGGTCTCCGGCCCGGCGGCGGTGGCGGCGGCGCGGGCAAATCTCGTTGTTGTAGTTGTTGCTGCTGTGAGGAGGACTGGGGGAATGAAGCGGCAGCTAGGGGGGCTAGCGATAGCTGGGGCGGCTGCTGGGGCTGCGGCTGCCACCCGCCGCTTGAGCGGGACTCAGTGTTGAGATGCGGCGGCGGTGCCGGGCTGGGGTTGTTTGAGCGCTCCCCGACGTCTATCTGCTTCTTGGCGTTGAGCACGGAACGCTGGTGTTGGTTTAGAGCCTGTTGCAGCTGCTCGTTGGTGTCTATCAAGCTCTCCATGGTGTCGTTGTCGGGCGGCGGGCTATCGGCCGTCATGTACGACTGGATGCTGCGCGATGCGCTCAAACACCGGTCTGAAAACTCCTTTATCAAGTCGTTGGAGAGAATCTCGGACGGCGGCGTGCAGGCCACGACTTGCTCGAGCAGCTTGGCCGACGTCCGGGCCTCCTCCAGCCGGTTTGCCAACTCAATCGGGTCAGGTAGCCTCCTGTTGCTGTGGGAGCGCGAAAAGTACTCTTGCCGAGCAGGCGCCTGGCCACCTCCAGGTGGGAAAGCAGGCCCGTTGGGCGCACCCATAAGAGGAGCCACGGGGCGTCCCTGAGAGCAAGTATCAAATTAGCGGGACACGCCTGGCTGCGGTGTGTCAAAAGGCACTTACGCCGTATGCCTTGTATGCCTTCTCCTTCTCCTTCTTCCACATCTCGATTATCAAGCCGAGCCCCTCGTCGTAGCCCTTGGTGTTCTCAAAAGCGTCAAGCGTCTCCATGAGCAGCTGGCGCACACTCGGGTCACGGCCCGAGCGGAGCAGCTCCTTGGTGACATCGACAAACTTCTTGTCGAGGTTGCGCGTGAAGGTCGGGCCCGGGTTGTCCGACAGGATGCGGATCAGCATGATGGCGTTGTACTGGAACGACGGCTTACTCCAGTAATCGTGGTGGAGGAACTTGCGGATCAGGCGCGCGCTCTCGGCCGCCGCCGCTGGGGACGACTCGGCCGCGTCCACGATGTAAGGTAGAAAGGTAACGTCATCGCCCTATATGCGCCGGCAAAAGATATGGTTCAGCTTCCGTTTCGTGGCGTAATATTCTTCCTCCTCCCGTTTGCTTTGACGGAGGAATAGGGTGCGGACGAGTGACGGTATCGAGGATTAAAAGGGGGATCCTTGTTCAACATACCCCTTGACTGCCCCCGGATTCGCAGAATTGCTTCTACAAACAATAACACCAGCCTCGAGTCAGCCAAAAAAAACAGTGGACTTGATGCGCAACCGCTGGAGAGAACCCGCTTCTTCGTACCACACATCGCGCCGCGACCGCCTCTGGGGACTCGTTCTCGGGGTTTGGCGGAGCTGCGCTGTCGGAGCTCCCACCACCTGTGATGCGCACGCGCAAGGCCAAAAGGTCAGCTCAGCTCAGCCTACGGAACAAGTTCTTGTTGTATTTGGGGCTTTTTGCTTCCTCCCCGCCTCTATTTACGCGTACGGGCGGTAGGTAGGCATCCCGGCGCAGCAGTAATTTAGGTATATGCGCGAGAACGTGAGAGCGCGCGCCCGGCACAGAATCCCGCGGGCAAGAGAGAGAAACTCACCAAAAGTCGGCTTCTTCTTGATGCTCCCCAGCACCTTATTCATGCTAAAGCCTTTCATGGCCCCTCAGCTCCGTGCCGTTGCACTCCTCCCAAATCAATGGTCCGAGAGGGGGGCGCGCGCGGAGAGCAAATGGCGGGAAAGTCCGAGTTCAGCCTCGCTTCTCTCCTCTTGCCTTGTCGCAAAACGATGTGTCGCTGGACGGTGCGACGGCAGCAGTGCGACGGTGAGAGGAAAGGGAAAAGTCGTAGATAATAAAAACCCGAATCGGCCGTCGTTTGGGCTGTTTGCGCTCGTTTAATGGAGATGTTGCAACGTCTAGTTTGGCGATTGCTAAGGCGGTTAATGCAAAGAAGCTAGAGCATCCGCCCCTCTCCAGGCTGCCCAGGCGCAGGCTGAGCTCAGGCTGGCTCAGGCGTCTCCAGGGACCGCGGGTGGCGGTGGGCTTTCGGTAAGGATCCGGGTCCGTCTGTCTCGCCGCAGCTCACTCTGTATAAATTAAGCCGCTATCTTTTTCAAGGTAAGCAATTACGCAGTGTATGTGTCGTAGTCTTCTTTCCTCTGCACGACGTCCCGGTTAGCAGTGGTGGCTGTTGCACAGTGTATTGCACAGCTATCCGTCTGTGATCTCCTTTTGCTCAGTTTTCGTTGTGTTATTCTTTCTTTTTTGCTCTTTCGAACCCAAAGGTACCTAGTCTGTTCAAGGGAACGGCGGTTGAGCCTAGAGACTCGGCGGCACTGCCTCCCGTTCTGGTGGTGGTAGAGGGGACGGCGGCCCAGGGGGCGAACCGACGTTCGCTCAGTATCGGTTGTATGGAAATTAGGGGAGCCGTTTTCGTTTCGTTTCCACCCCTCGCATCACCAAGCCGAACCTGGCGCGTACAAACCTTCGTTCCTACCACCCGCCCTGGCCCAATTTATAGCCGACTCAGACCCTCAAACGGCCCCCAAAGTTCCAAAGGCCAGCCGATGCAGCGCGAACGGGGAACAAAAGACAGAATGAGGACAAAAATGGCCTCTATTTGCCGACGGGACGACGAATCAGAAGAAAAAACTCTGTAGCTTACCAAGCTGTTGTTGGTCTGCCCGTCTGCCGAGACTCGACTTTCGTAAAAGTACCTCGAGGGTTCCAAGTGTTCGCCGTCCCGGGTATAAAACCTGAAACCAAACAAATAACCCAAAAGAATTTCTTGTTGCTGCGCCGCACGTGGGTGCCTAGGTATGTATGACTGTGAGTCGGGAATCCAGCCGAGTCGGTTGGATGGGAAGAGCCGGCCACAAAACGTTTGGAGAAAGTATTGCACAAGTTCTCCGTGCGAGATAATCGGAGAGACACAAAAGAAGTTATATGGTCTGTGACGACAAGCTCTTACACGGCTATAATAGTAGTGTAGCCAGGCAGCTAGCAGAGGTTCACAACCTATCACGCAGTTAATGATTAGTTGGGACGCCACAAGGCAGCATCAAACAATTTGAGAGGGACCTTTGCATCCCCATTCCGTCCTGGCGGTTGGGCTTTTTGCCAAGGCGGGGTGACTGCACAGCCTCCCGTCCACGCAAGCCGCACACAAGCGGCACCCATCATTGCGGCCTCATGGGCCGCTAGGAAACCTGCCGGGTCATGTTTGGTGAGAGAGGCGTTGCCGGTGACGTTGCCCCGAAGGAAGAAAGCTTCTCTATCAGCTGTCAGCCGTCACTTGAACCCAGATATCTTACCTGCTAGCCCGACCTTAGCACACATCACTACGTGTGTCACTGGGCCCGACGGTGGCTGAAAGGAATATCACGGAGGCCTCTCTCTCGCTAAGCTTCACGTCAGACACGGGCAGTACAAACATTGGTCTACTAGCCAGGACATGGCCTTTCCGTTCATTTTCCTACGACATTGCTCCGTGACCAACGTCTCCTGATCTCCTCGCCCGCTCTATAAACGCCAACCCCGAAAATGACTGCGATCCGCCAGTGCTCTAGGCAATATCTCGTGATTTTTACACGCGAACCTTCATCTATTCATTGTCCTCCTCGTCGTAGGGAATATCCTCCACTACGAGGCTTCCTCCCCTGCCCATCTTCTCCACAACCGTCGTCTCATTGGTCGGGCTGAACGTTTCTCGTGGCATAACGGATGCGATCCGGAACCTGTACTTGTGGTCGTAATCCTCCGGTTTCGCTGTCTCCGCTGTCTCGGACGGCTCCTGCAGAAGGTCATAGCACTCCACAAACGCGTAGAGATCTTCCAGCGTCGTCTCACCGGCAAACTTTCGGATCACCCGTCCTGCACCTGATGATGCTGGCATGTTAAGCGCCAGACGGACGGAGTCCTTGGCCCCGGCGTCCGGTTCCGCTGGGATTTTCCTTGCCCGCCATTTTCGCCACACCTGCCGCGCCTCTTCCAACCGCACCGCTGCCTCGGCTTCCTCCAAAGCCTGCTTCTCCGCGGCGGCGGCGGCGGCAGCAGCTTCCCGTTTCTGGCGTGCTCGTTCCCGGTCAAGCGCCAACGACCTCTCGTATGCCGAGTCCTGCTCCGAGCGCAGGTTTCGGGCGACGGCCTGGGCAGCGCGCTCCGCACGCACGCCATTCAAGTCAGGGGAGTATTTGGCTATGGAGATCCGCAGTCCGTCAAGATAAGCCCCCGGAGGCATAGGCCCTGCTAGACGTTTAATGATCCCCATGCGCGTGCTTCCCTCCTTTGGTGTGAGGCAGGCCAGGCAGGAAAAGGGGTACTTGGTGCAATGATACTCGTTGGCCACCTGGTAGGCCTCCGAATCGAGTACATTCCCTCCCCATATGTTAATATTATTGGCCGGATCGTTAATGAAGGCAACGACGTCGGGCGACAAGAGCGTGTCCCGGACAAACGAATCCGTGTCGTCGTGTTCGGGGGACACCAGCACAATCAAGAGAAATTTGAGGTCTCTCTTGGCGGCGTCCAGTGCTTGGGCATGCCCGCCGTCAAAGAAGGTGAGACCGTGTGCCCCATACTCTTCTTCAAACTCGCGCCGGAACCGCTCCGCCGTTTCCTTTGGGAGCACAACCCTCCGTGTATTTGTGCCCCGCCAACCCTTGCGCATCGACGTTGTCACTGTGCGCGGCCGGATGGATTGAGGCAGGAAAGAGCTTATGTACAGAACGAGGCGGGCGAGGCCGGTAAGAAGGTGGTATCCCAACCGAAACGGCGCGAAGATGGCGGCAAGGAGGAATGGAGGCCGGTAAACGATAGCACCCTGAGGCACAACCCGAGGAGCCGGGTCCGTTGTATGTAGCCGTGGAACCCGCGGCGACTGGACGACGGTTGCGTATAAACTCTCCTGCAAACTCTCGTGTCGCGCCTCGGTGCGCGGGATGTCGTTTTGGGCAGCCTGGGCTTCGGCTACCAGATCAGGCCCCTCGCCATCGAAGAATTTGGCAATCGCTATCTATGAATCCATCATTAGCGGCCCGATGCAGATACGACAAAGGCTAGGGAATGGGCGGCAATGACGAACTTGGATGTTCCATTGCGACCGCTCAAGTAGAGGGACCGCATCCTTTATCTCCTGGCCTGTGACATCCGTGTACTGCTGCAGAGCCTCCTGCTGGCTTGCCGATAGCTGGCTCAGATCAAACTCGTCTGTCTCCGCCATGGTGAGCTGTCAAGTTGCAAAAACCGACAAAAGTATCAGACCGCGGGCATGCCGGACTGGGAATGATAGAAACCACCCAGAAAGATCCGAGATCGAGGCGCGGAAAGCTGTATGTTATTTAGGTTGGGAACCTGCGTTCAGAGTCTGGTCTGAGCTAAAAACACCTTAACCAGGCATCCAAGGCAGGGCGAGGCGAGGCAATCGGGCGGCCTGGTAGCTCAGCCTTCCGAAGCAACGGTGCGCAGACTTCCGTGGATGGGATGACTGCTATTTGCCGCCGTTGTTAGGGGGTCCGTGTTCGTTGTCCTCGGAATCGGGAGTGGGGAGGGCGGGGCGATCCGAAACAAGAATCACATGAATTGTAAAAATACAAAGGCAATGTTGTGGATTTGGTCTAGATCGCAATGCATCAATAGTGGGTATATAACACGTTGTGGTGACCCGGTCAAGACCTGGGCTAGAGCTTGCCGACGAGGTTTAGGACGTATCTCCGTAAGCACAGCCTTTCAATGTGGCGTGGGTGGCGTGGGTGCTTCGGTTTTCAATTGGTCATAACCTTCCGGCCTGCGTTATGGTTGGGTGCACCAACAGTTATTATGGGGTATTAATCTTTTCGCTCAAGAATTGGGGAGAGCTAGCGGATACTGTACATGGACTGTATGGGGTTTGCCTAAACGAATGCTTTTGGGACTGAAATATTATTGCCCCACACTAACTCTTAGACACAAAGCTATACCCAATCATAATAAAAGCCAGGACTTAAACCAAAACGGAAGCGCAGCACCACCTTAGAAAAAGAAGGCCCTGCTTATCGAGACCTTATCTCGATAAGAGCCCACAATCTTTCTTGGGAGCGACCAGGAAGATAAATCTAATTCCAACTTCCAGGTAGATATTCCGTAGGTTACACCAAGTTCGATGTTTTCCTTCGTCTACTCAAAGAGCTAGAGCGACTGCTATAGTTAGATCTATCACCAAAGTGAAATACCCATCACTATATACACACTGGAATAAATATAATTAAGTATTTACCGCGATATAGCAAAAGGTCAAATAATGAAACTCAAACGGCACCGTCAGAGTCATCCTAACAGACTTACAAACCTTACCGCCAACCGCTATGTAATAGGTACCGCTGTGCTAGCTAGACAAAACAGATACCTGTGTGCCTAGGAGTCTAGTCAGCTGTGCATACGGCACACGCTAAACAAGATTAAGTTTTCGCTCAGGGCATATAAAGCGGACCAAGCCTGGCCGCGCAGGATTCGCTCGGCACCTACTAAATAACCACGCTTCAGTCAGCTCGTGCGACGCACTATCACATGTTGCAACCAACACGCTAATCAAGCGCCTAGGCGAGGCAGCATCCCTCTAGCTCTACAACAGCAGTCGCATTGCTAACCCCGGCTGCAGGCGGGTACAATGAAGACCAAGTACATGTCTCCGGTATCCTTAGTTCTATATAATTCGCGTTCGAATAGTTGATATTCATGACACTACTAATCATCACTAGATCAAGGTATTGAGCGTATAGCGTTAAGATCTCGCCAAAAGGCAGTCGGATTCCAGGGCCACTCGGGCACCGATAATGGGGACCAACAATGTTCCACGACGCGGGACCAACAAGAGTTATATTATGTCTGAGTGAAACTTGCAGCTGGGATTCCGGGCGGGCCTCCGCGGCTTCCGGACACTCCATGACCGAGGCCAACGCGGGTTACACGATGTTTGACTGAAACAGCAGAAAGAGTCGAGCATTAGGGCAGAGTTTTTTCTACTTAACTCAGACCCGAAACGGGCCGCCAACGCTCAAGTCATCAGTCTGAACTCTAGACACCAAAATTAGATGCCCAAGGGATAGCCTGAGGCCGCGACATGGTAATTGCGTGCTTGTTGGCGGCATCAGAAAACCGAATGAGAAATCATAACCGCTGCTTTAGCATGAAAGCGTGGCCTAGAGAGTCCCAACGTAGTTTACAAGGTCTACCTTTGCTCTAGGACATTTGTTGGCTTGTGTCGTCTTACCACACTCACAGGGCATCTCTACCCGGCCAAGTTATTTGGGTGCTACCTATGCACCTGCCGCAGGAGCTCCAACCAACCATACCTACTTGTCCTCGAAAACTGGCCCATGGCCTAATCAGCCTTTTGAAAAAGAAATCCAATACCGGCGCAGACCAACAACTCCAACCTCCGCTGCAGAGGTGGGGAGTGGTGGGTAGAGTAGAGATGTATATGATTTTTTGCTCTCGGTGTGCTCTGCTGTTTATAAATACCCTAGGTAAGGCCCTCACCTACCTGTCTTGTCTCATCAGCTTCCTCATCAATTTCCTCATCAACTTTCTCATCAACTTTCTTATCAACTTTCTCATCAACTTTCTCATTAGCTCCGTCATCATGTTTCTTGTTAGGACTCTTAACCGTTCCTCGGACCTATTGCTTTTATCAACACTAAATAACTCTAGAATATACGACTCTCGCTCATTTATACATCGGTCGAGATTCGAATTGCACTAGAGATATTTTCAAAATGACACTTCTGCAACAGGTTAAGGACTTGCACAACCAGGGGAAAGTCACCGAAGCCGACTTAGACAAGGTCATTGCGGCTGTAAGAGGGAAAAGGGCAGATGTGCTGGCCAAGCTGAATTGGCAGACCAACATGGAATATATTCAATCTCTGATAAATGGGAGAGGTGCTCTGCGACAGACGCATTTGCCCCGCTTGTAGTGTATTAGGGTAGTACTACTAGTTAGCATTAGTTTTCGTGGTGGGAGGGAACTCGCCTTAGTCGCATGTCTTTCTTTCAGGCTGCACTTCTCCCATCACGTCTTTCAGAACAGCAAGGCTGTCCTGATCATTGTTAGCAAATGAACCGGGTTTCAAAACTAAAGAAGGCTTTGGCATACCTATCTGGTGATGCTATACGACACCGACCTGTAGTAGAGTGACCTCCCTACCAGAGAACAAGTGCGTGGCTCTCAGCATTTGATCCACAACTGATTAGTTATTGATATCACATTGTGCTCAGGGTAGCATCAATCATCATGGAGTGGTAGGTACTTATCCATGGAACCCTCCCTTTCGAGGAGTGGTTCCAACTTCCATTAGGAACCCCCAATGGCCAACTATCTCATTCTCTAAACCATAACGATCGTGTCATCAGAGCCAGCCACATACTAGCCAGTCTAGTTATTGAAACAAATTGATACAGTGACTAGAGCTAGTCGAGATAAAGTCATCGTGGCTTCGCTGGTTATAATTAAATATCGATATACAGAGTTAGTCAGTTCATATCTTCCTAGGCGGGAGGCGACGAAAAACACTCGTCTCTTCCATATAGTGCCCTTGATCCAAAATGTACAGCTGTACATGTGTTGATATAGATTACCCTCACCAGTGGGGAAGGAGTAGGTAAGTTGAGCGTAGCGGGTGCCTTCCACGTAGACATACAAGCCTGACATGGTCTTCTACTCAACTTATTAATTACAAGCTAGTTCGTCAGTTTCCAGCCATCCATTTAGCTGAACTAGGACATGTTCAAGGTTAAAGGTTGCTGAGACCACTGTTTATGGGGACCTACATAAGGCGGGCCAATGGGCGGCTGGCGCGCGAAGTTGCCGTTACTTGCATTATGCAATTGACGGCGTAGTTACTGGCTAGGTCAATCTGCGGCCCCGTTAGATGCGCTAATTTAAGTCGCCCGTGCGTTCAGTTCGCTTCTTCGAGACTCGAGCGACACCCTGAGCCCCACCCTGCAGCATTGCCATTCAAGATTCTTCTGCCACTGGCACGCTTTCCAACCTTGTATCCCACCTCCGACAGCCCGCCCACTACAACGAAGTTTAGGCTTCGCGATCCAACAGGCCCAACGCGCACGACCTCAAAACGGGACGGATCCCCAACCTCGACCCCACGAGCCCTTTGTGTGCTAACGCCCGGTTCAGCTTTCTTTATCTTGCTTCGTACCGCCAAGCAAGCAGAGCGAGGCCATTGGCCGCCGTCCCCGCTCAATTGCTGTCGCCCTCTGCGGCTCTTGCAGCTCTCGTGCAACTCTCATGGGTGCCTTATCGCCGTCTAGTGCGAAACATGGGACATCTACGAAGTCAAGTGCGCTACCGCCTGCCCGCCCGTTTCTCCTCGCCCGCAATTCCGCCCACTGGGCATGCTGACGTGCCACCATTGCCCCAGATATTGTAGAGCCGGTCGAGGGGTGTCCCTTCTGTGCCTGATCTGATTGCCTCGCGCATCGTCGCGCATCTTGCGTTTGCTTTCGCATTGCATTGCTCGTCCTTCATATACCTACTTTGTCCCACCTCGAGATGGCTACGACACGGTACACAGCGAACGACCTGCGGCGCCAGGTAGGGTCGCCGCGATCCAAGGGACGCGGTAAGTTCTGTTCTGACTTTACCTCTGCCCGCCCCCTAAACCCTCTCCCTTTTGCCCTACATTACCGAAGGATAGGCGCGCTGACAAAGTTAAACTTCCTATAGAAAACAAAGATACCCTCTGCCGCAACGTAGTTATTTATGGGAATTGCCGCTACGAAGACCAAGGCTGCACCTTCAACCACGACCAGAACAAGATGTCGTCTTCTCAGACAGATCTGTAAGTGGCTACGCGAACATCTTTCTTCATCACTCGCGGAGCACCGAGAGAGCCGCTGTATAGCACCCATGCGCCGGGCCAGAGAAGCGGACTCCCTGGCGCCCAATTCGCGCCCAATTCCGGCCGGTAGGTTGTACTGTGCCTGCAGACACGGCGGGAGCTGCGGCCGCTTGCATCTCCAGCTCAGCAACATGCATAGGACATTGGAGGACTGTCGGGTTGCTGTCGTCAAGACTTGCGCCAGGATGACTATCGCCGCATGCATACGTCTGGCCTCATCTACTCGTGGCTCTCGAAACTCGGCCTTCGGTCTCGATTGATGTCTTTTCCACAAACCCTTGACCGTTTGTTTTTCACAATATTTTTCTGTTTTTTTCTTCTAACTTTTGGCCAGCACTTCTAAGAAAACATTCAATGTCGACTCTCCATCGTTCACGCCGGCAGGCCAACCTCAGCCACCTGCAAAAAAATCCACCTTCTCATCCCAGGCAGCAAGCGCCGCACCCTTCACACCCCGTGGAGCTAATGGTGAGTCTTTATGTTTGGGATGATTGCCCCGTGTGCCTAATATTTGCTGTCTAGTCACCCCAAACCTACAACAGCAAGCCACCGCTGAAACGTCTATATTTAATCCGGCAGCAATTCGGGAATTTACCCCGCAAAACTACGACATAGGAAATACCGTAAGTTCGAATTGGGATTTCGGGTGTCCTATTTGCTCACGCCGGTACAGAACTCTGTAAATGGTGCTGCCCAAGACAGCGTATATAACGATCCTTTCACATCCATGAACTCTCTGGGGCCGGCCCTGCCTCCTGCAGGCCAATTCAACCCTTACGCGAATGACCACAGTACCATGGGGGGATCCGGGGCAACGTTCTACCCTCAGCACGGAAGCTTCCCAGCTGGCCTTACGCAGCCACCAAATTATCATCTTTACACCCCCTACGACTCGTATCGGCAAGACCTACAGCCGTGGCAGCGGAGCACATACGATTTCTTCATGCCAGAAAAGATGCGGGAACACATGCAGAAGAAGATGTATGCGACTCAGCAAGTCATGCCCAGTAAGACACAATCTCATGAACATCGTTCTGGAATTCTCAAGTAACATTTGGCAGATTTAGGTCTACCGCAGCTCGAGCGCTGGCATTCTCTAGTTCCACTCGATACAAACAACAGGAAGAACTCGTCCTCTTTTGGCTATCCTAGTTGGATGTACAAAGCCCAAAACAGTAGAACGGGAAGACACTACGCACTGCGAAGAATTGAAGGTATGAGGCCTGTTATATTGGCATAGGAACTGTCTTTGACCATTGACCATGCAGGCTATCGATTGACCAACGACAAGGCCATTACGACGGCCATGAAAGAATGGAAGAAAATTAAGAATGCAAACATTGTAACCGTTCATGACATTTTCACCACCAGAGAGTTTGGAGACAGCTCGCTCATCTTCGCGTACGACTATCATCCTTTGTCGGCAACGCTGCAGGAACACCATTTCCCGTCTCATGGCCCTCGGTTCAGGGCACTAAACTTCATTCCGGAGAACGTCTTGTGGGGCTATATATGCCAGATCACGAATGCGCTGAGGATCATCCACTCGTCCAAGCTCGCTGCTCGCTGTCTCGAGCTCAGCAAGATTATTGTCTCGGAGAAGGATCGTATTCGGCTCGCGGCATGCTCCATTCTGGACGTGGTGCAGTTTGAAACAAACACGAGGTCCATCTTGGAGCTACAACAGGAGGATCTCATCAAATTTGGCAGGGTTATGCTTTCTCTGGCAACGAATACTCTGCCTGTCCATCTGAATAATATTCAAGCAGCTCTCGACTCTCTTGGGACAAAGTATACGTCGAACCTGAAGGAGGCCATTGCGTGGCTCATCTCGCCGGTGGGACCCGGTGAATTAAAACCGTTTGATAATTTTATCACCGGTATTTCTACGCAAATGACTGCCTTCTTCGACCTTGCACTCCAGGATGGCGACGAGAAGGAGTCAATACTGGCCAAAGAGCTGGAGAATGGACGCGTAGCTCGCTTGCTGATGAAATTGGCCACTATTACGGAGCGCGGCGATTTGGCTGGCATGCAGGGCTGGTCCGAGACTGGAGACAGATACCAGCTTAAGCTATTCCGCGACTACGTCTTTCATCAGGTGGACGCTGATGGGAAGCCCCGGCTGTCTATTGGACACATACTGAACTGTCTGAACAAGCTGGACGCCGGGCTCGAGGAGATGGTTGTTCTAACGAGTCGCGACAACGACAACGTCTTTGTTCTTACCTACCGAGAGCTCCGCCAAATGTTTGAACGATCGTTTAATGAACTCGTCAAACACAGTAAGCACGGTGCTCCTGGGGCGAACTAGAAGAAACCATCAGGAGAAAATACGGGGAACAGAAGGTCGAAGTCTGAACCGCTGCCCGCTCCTCCCAGCCAGGTGACATTAAATCCCGTGGCGGCACCATGGATTCCCGATTAAGGAACCGATCTGGGCACACATACAGCGGAGAAAGGCACACAAAAGCCTAATAAGGGGACAGGAGAGCAGGGTGGTTTAACAGCGGCTTGTGGAATACTCAAAAGATGCGAAGGAGACCGTATTCCTCGTACGGATATTTATTCGAATTCAACTGATACGATGCTATAGCGAAACTAGTAAGCGTAGCGCAATAGGCTCTTCGATGAACTATGCCAAGTTATTTTCTTTTTCTACTCGTTTGTTTTTGTTTTGGGGAACTTGTCCCACGTTGACTCCAGATTCGGGTCGAGCTCGGAGTTATGTCATATTTTTGCCCGTTGGGTATGCTTATTAGGTATATAAGACGGTTGCATCATGGGATGCAGTATATGATCTATTTTCAGTCCCGTGAAGCAGGAATGAGGAATGAGGGCTGTCTGTGTGTACACGAATGGGAAAGGGGAGGAGAGAAGAATAGAAAGAAAAACGAGACATTACTATCTTATGAGTAACAGCAATAACCAGATAAAACTTGCGCGCAGGAAATACCCATTACGCTAAGAGGTCAGTCAATCCCGGTAGAGCTTAGGGCAGCAGAGCAGACGCGCTTTCAGACAATCAATTACTGTCAGACTGGATGAAGCAGTATCTAGACTAGCAGTAAGGTCCAACCCAGTTCATGGGCTATCCATCTACTAACTCACCTAGCAACTCTGATGTATTCGAGTGAGAGGGTGTAAGATTCTCTCACGCAATCGCCAAGTGGCGATATCCCATGCATACACCTACCTAGTGCGTTGTTCCTCGGGGGTATTTCACCAAGACGAGTTCAAATGCACTACTGTCGATGCGTTCCTCCCACCCTATTTCTTCCCCTTTCTTGTACTGTAATAATACGCCGTTTCTTTCTTATTTATTTTTTTTGCGCCAGGATATATCCGTAATGTGACCCTCCTTCCGCCCCCCGGAACTGCCCGACCTAGGCTGCAAACAAAATAGGTCCTTTTGGTCTATTTTGGGGGTTTCTTTCGTTCGGGAAAAACTTGACGTTTTCCCTCCCCCCCGTTTTCCTGCCTCGTGTCTCGTACAATCGAACCGTTCACTCTTCGTCGTTCACCGCGAACGGGTTGGATATGACCTCGCTGCCGTCCACAGGGCTAATAACCACGAGTAGCGTGCCGCGCGCGACCACGAGGCCTAGCGATCGAGTATTCTCGTTGCCTTCGTCATCTAGATTTTGGAAGAGTGGTGGTTAGTCAAAGGGCTTTTTTCTCCTTTGCTCTCTGCTCTCGTTTTTTGCCCCATAGTCTTCGTGCTCTCCCTGGTCGACCAGCTGGGAAGCTGGCGTGTGGTGAGAGAATCTCACCTCTGAGAGCCTCCTCCACGTCATCAAGGACAAGGTTCATCAGTGCATCGTATCCTTTGAGGGTTCCGGTGACTGGAAAGAACAAGAAGATGAATCGGTTAGCTGGCGCCACGCGCGAAACTAGGGGAGATGACCAGGATTTTCCATGGAGACGCACCCTCCCGCCCGCCATTAAACTTGACGGTGATGCGCTGGTCCATGTATTTTTTGAGGTCAAGAATATTCTCTTTCTTTGGGCGCTCGCCCTGGGCGCCGCCCGCGCTACCAGCACCACCACCCTGTCCTCCGCGGCCGCCAGGTCCTCCGCCGCGGCCGCCGCCACTGCCGCCCCTAGAGCTGCCGCCGCGACCGCGATAAGGCCTGTCTGCCATTGCTATGCTTTGTGGGCTGTCGGAATAAAGGAACCGGTCGATATATATACTGGATGGCGGCTGTAACCGTTCGGGTGCGTTGCTTGGGGCGATGCGAGAGTGTGGCCTACGACGAGCTTCTGTTCTGTTTCGCTTGAATGCAACGCAGTCGTCAATAGAGGTCTTGGTGGGGCCAGCGACAAAACGCGAGCCGCCAGTAGGTCTGCTGCTAAAAATGACCCGCAGGGTGACCCCGCGATTTATGGTGGTGCAGGGGGCGTTCTGCGGCTTGTCGAGTCCCTGCCCGCCCAAGAGTCTGGTGGCCCAAGCTTTGCTAAACGTCACATCCCGACAAGGAGGGTGTATTTCTCTCTTTTGAGTCTGTTGCGCCTCTACCGTTTTCTCCAACGATTACGAAAGATGGAGGGAAATAGTCAGATGAGACTTTCCTGTTTGCACCCAAATAGGCCCAAGAGATCCGGGACTGAAGAACTAACCTAATTAAGGTGCGGTATTCGTACATACATAGTGGACGACCGTACCATGGAATCTACCACGCCCAACAAAGGGTGGAGGGCGCTATCCCAAGTTAGCCGGATTATACACTAGATCTGCTTGTGCCTCCGCTGTGGAGATGATCATCACCGGTGCTCCAACAGATCAGTGCGCACCGGAAAGCCAGTGTGAAGTTACTTGTCTGGCTGTTTACACTACAGAACAGGTAGGCACACTTCTATCCGCGATGCAACTCAAGCTTCCCTCCCGGCATCCCGGCCTAGCCGGCAGCCGATCGCCCAACAAGCAGGCCAGAGATAAAGGCCACAAACGTTCGTACAAAGGCTTCAAAAACGCAGCTGCAGTCTACAGGGGCACCAGAAATTCCGCCTCACGGAGTAGGCGGAAGATGGGCATATTCCGATCTAGAAAGGAAGCCAACCGTACTGCGCCCTTTGAAATCCCGTCTTTGATGTCCTCCCTCGCTCCTGACCCCCGCCACTCAAACCGGGCTTATGAGGCAGGAGGTCGAGTCTAGGAACGATGACAAACGGGGGAGTTGCCAAGCCAGGCCAAGCCCAGGGTATGGGCTTGAGTGGTTGTGCGAGGAACGCAGATTGTCGCAAGAAGATAGCTGTTCATATTCTACTTGGTCAGACTCTAGGTGTAATGGAAGCGTGCCAGTGAAGGGATAGCTTGGACATATGGTGTAGCACCATGCAGTCTTTGTTGGCAAGCGGGCTTCGGAGGGCTGGCTGGAGGTTCAAGTTGGTAGGTACCTTGCCCAGGCCCAGGCAAAAGAGCGGCCAAGAGCGCTCCCGTCGGCCGTAGCTTCCCATCTCAGTGTAAAGTCGGGTCCTACTACTGCGGACTGCGATGACCCAATTTCGTTGGTCTATTTAATTGCTGGGTTCCGCTTGCCCGCCCCCAATCCCGTCGTTCCCAAAACTCCGAACCTCTTCCTTCATCTATTAAACTTCCAACTCTTCAACAAAGCTGCCGCGCGGGTCCTGCTCCAGCTTACCCTTTCCCCACGGCACTCACGCCATTCCCGACCCGCTCATGCGTGCCATCCGCTAGGCTTCCCGCTACCTCCACACCACGCTCTTTGTATTGTATATACTATACACCAGTACAACCAATTCCTCATTAGCATACAAACCACAACAAAACGCCCACCTCTCTAAAAAACCTCGTTAAGGCTATCCGTAGCCATCCAGGTCGCTTTGGAGGCTCAGCTTAGAGCATAGGCAAGATCGAGCGATGCGTGTGAGGCTGGACGCGGATTCAGACGCGGGTACAGGTACAGGTACTGAGTACTGCAGATGCAGGCACATGACTGGCACGGGTAGCCAAAATTATTTCTAAGGCTTGACAGCTGCAGCGCTCCGTCATTGAGCTACCTGCCTCCCTTACCATCCATCCGATTTACTATTTGATAAGGCGGACAGCGTTTGTTTGGGCGTCTTCCACGCATTGCACTGCATCCAAAATCCCCAACAGCACAGGCCGCCATTGCCCGGAACGCGAGCCGATCGAAAGCCCCAAGAACCAGAACCTCGCCAGAACCTCCTCCAAACTTAAAGAGGCAATTTTCTGGCCAATTGCATCCGCATCTCATTCTGAGAGCTCGCGTAGCGCAACGACACACGATTGGACAATTCGAGAGCGACCTGGTCTAGGGTGTACACCACTCTTCAGTTTCATGGCCTAACACTTGACACTCGTCTAACCAACCTAAAAGACATAGAACTGAAGACATTGGCTTTATTATTCTAGTTTTTTTCTTTTTTTCTTCCGTCGCGCTGTGGCCAACTAGCCCACCGGAAACTCACAAGGCCGCATGTTTGGCCAGGCAAGGCCACACAGTCTCGGCTCACCTCCACTACTACAGCCCCGGATTTCATGTTGCAGCTGCACCTCGGCATATCTCACCCTGTTCTCGTGTTCCGTAGACAGAGCCACTCGGCACATGCACCCCCGCAACTCAAGTGGGCGGACAGCTACCCGGCTCTAGCCCCCGCCGTCGCCGTCGCCATCGACGGCGTTCTTGCTGTCGCCAGGAACAACAAGCCGACAACAAGCCAGGCGCTTCTGTGCTGCGTCGACAACCGCACTGCTGTGGCAGCGCAGCATGGTGCCGGGAGCACACGGCACTGGCGCCGTGGATCCACCTTCGGATGCCCACAAGCGCAAGCGCGACGCCGACGACAACGGCACCCAGCCTGCCCACTCGGGCCGAATCCCACAGCCTCCGCCACCCCAGGCAGGTAATGGCGCCCCTATTAACTACCTCTCCAGGGCTAGTCCGGCCAGGCTGCGCCTGATCCAAGACGACAGCGATGCATTCACTGACGTCCTGTCTCTCATGGGCGATTACGAAGGTGCGTTTGGAACTTGAGGACCCCCCTTATCCCCCTTAATTTGCGCTACCACTAACACTGTAATAAGGGGTACTCAGTCGCCACGAGAGTCTAGCTGCAAACCTAGGCGCAAAGTTGACCGCTCCCCGTCTCCTGCGCGCAATGGAAAGCCTCTTCGAAGGTACCATCACTGTAATTCCGGACATCCCCTACCGGGACACCCGGGCGTCCACTGTTTACAAGCCTACTTGGCTAGAAATCATTGCATTTGCAAAGTCCAACCCCGGAGACCTGAATTTGATAGCCGCTCCTGACGGCCGCCGAGTGTGTCAGTTTGTAATGAAGAATGTCCGCGTCGGGATAAGCGAAGACGACTGGCGCCTTATCATGTCAAGTACTCTCGATCGCTTCCGCTTGGCTCCCGCTCGGCCCCTGGAAGAGGATGAAGCCATAGAGCTGGCTACTCTCGATATCCTCGAGCAACGCCTGCAGACACTCATCAAGAAAGCTGACGAGGTAGCGCGGAGAGCCCGGCAGCTCAACTATCATCTCAGTGGCCGAAAAGCCGCCATCAATTCTCGCCGTTCACCGCCGGTTGCTCAACAAGGCTCTGGCTTTCAGTCTATGAACCAGCCGCCCGCACGGTCAGGAGGGCCAAATCCGGGATACGATCTTCACGCCGACCTGCTGCAGCAGTTTCTGGTGCCGGCCCCGCAACAAGCTCTTTCGTCTGCATCTACCGCGTCCTTACCTACCCTGTCCGAACCGCCCCGGCTACGCCAACCTGCTCAATTAGTTACTCCGAGTACGAGGCCCTCATCCGTGCATGCAGATGAGCTAGCGGCCTATCGAGATCACCAGTCAGAGTCCGCCGAAGACATATCCGCGGCTCACCGGCCCTTAATTCAGGCCCGCATTGAGAAGCTTGCGCGTGGGGATCCCATCTCCCCGCCTTGCGACCGCTGCCGACGATTGAAGACGTCCTGTGTTAAGCATCTCACTGCTTGTCAAGGCTGCACGCGCAAGCACGCTAAATGCAGCTGGAAAGGGGTCACGGACGAAGAGGTTGCCGCGCTCAGGGGCGAGCTTGTTTATGGGCGTGGGTTAGGAAGAGAACTTAGGGAACTAGAAGCTGCAGACCCGGCCGTTGACGAGCGAGACGATTTGCTCATGACAGAGCAATCATCTTCTCACCTACCGATAGAACCTGGTGAGGGGTCAAGAGTCTTGCGGGACACTAGTAGCCGACACCGGCAAGGGAGCAGGGGACAGACGGCAGGTTCGGCTAGCAACAACCACTACGGAAGCCGAGACGGCTCGACACCCCCTAGAGGTCGCAGTGGCGGGATTCATCTCGCCCACTTGCTACTACGGGACCCTAACGACGACAACAACAGGAGCGTCGATACACCGCCCCCGCCCCTGGACAAAGACGAAGATGGCTCCTCAGCGAGAGGCACGCGGGGCAGCCACGACCCTGTGGTTCACAGACACTTGAGCCACATGGCGTCTGTAGCCACGGCAGCAGCCGAGGCTAGAGAGGCGTACGCCTCCAAGGTGTCCAGAGGCAGCACCCCTGGCTAACGTTTTAACGGTTGGCCTTTCTACACGTGGAGAGAGCCCGGGCTGAGACCATTTAATAGCCCGGTAAAGCCTTGTAGGTATGACATACGACACGTGATACGCCTTGATACCATTTTATGTTTCTTTTTGTTTCGTCCACTTTCTAGGGGTGTTTTGCACTGGAGAAGGAAGGAGTAGATGCCCCATTTGCATTTCACCATAGATCTAGGTCGGCATAGTTGTTCATATTGAGTCATGGCAACATACACGGCTGGGAGGCTGGCGGTCTGGCTAGGTGGTTAATGATTGTACTGAAGTACTTACGTAATGTTAAAAGCTATTATGCCCTACTAGATGTGTATTTGTGAGTGAATAAGAAAGTCTGTTCCCGTAATTGTCTGTAGAGTTTACCTATGTCGTCTCTCCAGTGCCACATCAGAGTTTTGTCAGAGTCTCGTCAGAACCAAGCCCCTTAGTCTTGTATAAACTAGACACCTTGGCTTCAATTGGTTTCAGCATGTTGTCAAGAGTCAATTTAAACCAGAGTGAAGGTGAAATACCCACTTGGTAGGTAGGTATATATTAGATACTGATGTCCCTATTTTTACCGGTCATTCTACCCCAAAGGCTTCAACTTGTTGGTCGTTTTTCCTCTTCGGTCAACCACTCCTCCCCCTTTCTTCCACAGTCTGCCACTTGAAACCAAGGCCAATTCTCAATCAGCGACTTTCAGCTTCCGATTCACATATTTTCAGAATTTGTTCAAGAAAAAGCGTGAATATAAAAGTAATGTAACCAGAACGGCTGAGCAAACAATCTGGGCCATGTAAATATTTCACCACCGTCGAAGGTGTTGGGCCTCGTCAGGAAGTAGAAGGAGAAGAAATGGTGCTTCTGGTGTTTGTTTTGTTTATCGTTTGTCCCCCCCCTTATCTTCGGATGTAGGAGAGTGTTCGGCGGTCTGCAAAATCTGGGGGCTATTTCACTCAAGAGATTTCTTCCGTGATGCGGTGGTTCCCGGTGGTTGTTTCGGGGGTTGGGGGTTTTTGTTGGCGTCTTGAGGGTCCGGCGTGAGAGACGTATCCCCAGTGTCAGTAAAATGCTGGAACATGATATGGACTGACAGTTTCCTTTCCAGAAAAGAAAAATGCAATTCCCAAGCTTTGTTTTGACAACTCCCCCTTGTGGTAAGAAACATGGGTCATCGGCCTTTGTTACCTAGGTAACTTCAGCCCGGGGTGTGGTATAGATGCCCGATTGAGGCTGCTGTTTAGTTTATACACCCCCTTATATCCTCGAGTTTTGTTCCGCTCCATGGTGGCACACCATTAGTGCATTGGGCCTCCAGAGAAATGTGACTTGAGATTCAGGGGCGAAGCTCGATGGGGAGACATCTTGCACTATCTTACACTATTGTTACTTGCTAAGTGTAGGTGTCGCTCAGCGGAAGAGACTGTGTTAGTCTGATAAAGTTGCTGACGCTCGATGTGAAGCAGGGCGTAGGTGGCGGTATTTAGTCGGCCCGTCGGTATAGATTGACGAGATAGCATGTACCGAGGAGGATTAAGATCGGAGAGGGTATGGTCCCACGCGGCATCCATCTCAACTCTCTCCCGAGCCCAGCTGCTCTTGGTCAAGTCGGATCTGAGCGGGGTCGTCTCACCGACCCCGAGATTCTTGCGGTGCGACAGCAGGCAGCTAGATGGTGTTTGAGGTTAGCATGGGAGTGGTTGGATAGCCGAGGTAGTTTCTGGGACATCAGAATAGGGGGACCATGGCTATCTCGATTTTTTTTTCAAGAGAGCTTGCTGAGTGCCTTTGGCTGGTTTGTACCTGACATGGGGGTGCGGGTGCGCGGAAGAGCACGGCGATATTAGAATGACGGAGGAGTCATGTCGCGATATTAGAGGTAGGCATTGCCTGCCGGCGTCGTTTCGTGCTGTACCCAAGGTTTCTATCTTATCTCGTGTATCTTACCATGGCAACCTCGTTTCGTATGTTACATTTGTCTACCGTCTACACCAGGTTGGGCACGTTTGCTCTTCTGGCTGGCTTCAATGGATGGCAATAAACAGAGGCATGGCCGATTGTTTGCGATGCAGGCTTGCTAGAGGACTTGGACCACTGTGTTTTCCGAAATCCTAGCAATACTACTTTTCACCACTGCTCGCCCCTGACCAAATGTCTGCCCACCTGCTGTCTGCATCTCTAACATCACAGACCAAGAAAATTAAGCTGATGCTACGGGATACCGACACGCCACAGGATGGATGGCTTGGATTGTTGACGATATGGGATGCAGGCGCCGGGGAAATCTGAGAAAGGATGTCGACAAGAGGCTGAGGGATCCGGGGGATATTGACAAGTTACTGCATAGTAGAGATCGAGGGATACCACGACCGTGGGTGAGACGGGGACCCGGCGTTGTCGGTGTCTTCGCTGCGGTCGGTCAAACTCGGACCCCCATGCTCCCGCCTCCTCTCCCCTCGCTCTCCCCCTCTCCCCCTCGCCCACGGCGGCGGCCATAAACTCAACCCCCCAACTCAGTAACTCATTGGCTCCCCAGGGGTATGCAGGAGTTTGTGGATCAACACCACAACCGTGACCTGTCAACCCTCTCTTTTGGCGGCAGAGTGGCAATGGGTCGGAAATAAGGCGAGGTAGTTGGTTCTTTTTAAGTTGGCTGCGCAACACAAGCAACAAAGTCGCCGGCGCAGCCAAGTTGCAGTCAGAGCGATGCAGCGAAGACGGCCGGCTGACTAGGGAGAGAGTAGAAAAGAAGGCTTTTGTCACAAGAGAGGCTTCATAGACTGTTGACAATGGAAGTACAAATGCATACATGCATGTAAATGCTCGTAACATGACTTGAGCTATCTACACAATATAGGCAGGTAGCTATCATATTGGCTACCTGGGGCAGGTAGGCGAATATCTTGGGTAGGGAGAGGTGGTGACAGTCGATTGTATGTGTGAGCACGGTAGGTAGGGGTTCTCGGAGATGTCCCCATGCTGTGATCAGCTAGAGGCGTATTCATATTTTACTTCGTGGGGTTTCCGGAAGTGAAAGTCTTCCACGAGGGGGCAGGGCTTCAGAGAAAACGGATCGCGTGTGGTTCCCGATATGGAACAGTTTGAAGACGACGAAGCCCTGGCCGTGTCAGCACTGGTAGTGAACACTGAGCAGTAGCCCTGATTTGACTTTTTTGCTCTCGTTCTGGTATTATCTGACCAGGCATGCTGTATCGAGGCGCCCGGGCGGTCAAAACATGATGAGGGGAGGGACCGGAGCTCAAGTCAGTCTTGTAATAACTTACCCCCATACCTTACTCTTTTTACATGCCACAGGCAAAATCTTCTTCCTCTTCTTGTCGGCTGCATCCTTCGACCACACCTCACACTTCCACTTCCATACCTTTGAGGTTACCTACCTACCTTCCTTGCTGCGTGCCTACGCGGTTCTTACCTTGTTACTTTCAAACGCCCCCCCCCCCCCCCCTCTTCTCGCCAGCCCCTTCTCTTAAATACGGTAGCGTTGGCCGCCGCCCCTGGCGCTTCGCTTCGACCCACGGCACCGCACCCAATCTGCTTTCTTCCATTTTCTTCAGGTTCCCGCTGCATCTCCCTTCGCCAGCCCAGCCCAGCCCAGCCCAGCCAACCTAGTTAGCAGACGGACGCAGAGCAGACGCAGACCCGACTTTCTACCCTCCGCTCCCCACACAACGTAACCTAAACCCCCCGTGACAAGCAGCTAGCCAGCCCTTGCACGCACGCAACGGAACCAACCCTCGCTCGCTCCACCACCGCCCGCTTTGCCTTTCGCGTAGCTCGCGGCGCGTCTGAGAACGCATGCATCTTGTGCAATTGCCCTTCTTTTCTCAATTGCCTGTCTCGTCACTTTTTGCGTCTTGCAGAGCGCGATATCTTCCTTTACTTGCCGGCTCGCGTGCCACCACGCCCCACGTCTGCACGCGCCATTCTTCCAAGTACGGATGCCGCTGTCTGTTTTTGTTGCTTGTTAACAGCCGCCGCCGCTTGCATCTCGCCCCTTGACCAAGTCGGCACACAACTTCAACTCCTCGCAGCCACTTTTTCGAAGACACCTCAACCTCACCTCGTCGACCTTGATAGCCTCGCCCACGGGCACGAAACAAAACACCGAAACTAACCGCGTCTGGCTCTGGAGAAGCTATCGAGTGGCCCGGCCTTTCCGCTCGGCCTTGCAGCCAACATAGCTGGGGGACCAACTACCAGCCAGACCCAGACCAATTCCAGCCGTGGACCCCCCTTCCCGTCCTTTGTTACGCGTTGCAGTCCTCAGCAGACTAGTAGCCAATCGACGTGCCGCCTTTCCAGCTGCGTCTTAGTTTATTACTGGTACTTCAAGTTACCTTCCAATACCTTAGTTTGCTTACCACCTCACCACACCACCACCTGTCTTTTCTCAACACCGCCCATCAGTATCGCGTCAGAATCTTGCAGTCTGGCTGCGGTTGCACGCACTACTGTAATCCATTGCTGCTTTGCTCGCCATTGTGTCGACCATGGCCGAAATTGGCCCTCTCTCGTTCGAGACGAGTTTCTCGTCGGGCGCCCTAACCGAGTCCTCTTCAAACACTGCCTCGTTCAGCTCAACACCGCCAACGACCCTATCGCCCGACAGCATGTCGCTAGCATCAGACCCGGACGTGCCCAAACATGGCAGCATCGTCACTCCCCTTCTAGACGCGGCCATCCCCCTCCTAGAAGACGCGCAAAAGGCCCAGATCCAGCAGATGGAGCGCGATTTCGATCGGAAGGCACCGCACACTTCCCCGCCCGCCGAGTCCCAAGAGCCCAACGATCAGAGCAGCCGGCATACGCCTGTCGCAAATGCCATTGTGGTTGAGCCTTTGCCCGAGGAGCCACCTTTCGCTGGCCGCGCCCGCCGCGCGCGCGCAAGTCTGCCGGTGTACAACCTCGCAAAATTGAGTGGCACCAGACCCTACACCAAGCGGGTCGCCAATGGCGAGCCTGTCGACAGCAAGCGCCGCCGCACGATCGCCAGTGACACGCCCGCCACCGGTAGCAACGAGACGGCGAATGGCGACACGAACGTCCGGCCGAAGGCTTCCGAGCCGGCACAAGGCGGCATTGATGCGATGGGTCTTGACTTGCCGGCCGCCGCCGTTGCCCCGAGCTCGCCTGCCACTCCTAACCGGGCGCGCCGAATAATCAAGAAGCCCAAGTCAGTCAAGTTAATAATTAAGTCGACCAAGTCAACCAAGTCGACCCCTGCCCCCGCCGCGTCGATAACGCGTAGAGCGACGCGTCTTTCCGGCGAGCCCGTCGCGTCTCTCACATCAAAGATGACGGCACTTGGCAAGCGCGGTCGCAAGACGATCGAAAGGGGACTAGACCGCATGACACACGAATTGAGACGGCTGCAGGACACAAACGAGTTCGCACATATAGACACGCGTCCTGTGCGCTACACCGTTTGGAGTAACGGCAAGTATATTGACCCAGATGCGTCTGAGGAAGAGGCTGCGGCCACGCCACCCCGAAAGAAGGCGCGCACCAGCGAGAGCGCTACGGCGGCTCAACCCGGCAAGGAACCCGAGATCGATGCCGAAAAGAAGGAAACTACCGGGCCCGTGCCGAAGAAGCGCCGTGTCAAGAAGTGGCTAGACAAGGGCCTCTATTCCGGTCAGGACACACCTGTGGACGTTTTCCAGAACCTCAATGCCCAGGACAAGAAGAAGCTAGCATCCCTCCCCGAGTTGATCAGGCCCGTCAAACCCAATAAGACGCTGCCCTCCCCGATGTATAATGGCCTGCGCATGCTTATGAACGGCCGCGACTTCAAGTTGCCCTTTGACATCTGCAGCCCGCTCCCCCCTGGACAGCCAAAACCTGCTCACTACCGGACCATGACCAAGAGCAAGTAACACACCGTCGTCACCTGCTGATACAAGAACCTTGCGCTAATATGCTCTGCAGATCGCTTTGTTGGAGACGCCAGCGCGTATTGGAAGAAGACGCCCCACTTTGGAGACTTCGCCTCCAAGTGCGTGTGCAAGCCCGAGGACGGGTGTGCCGAGGACTGCCAGAATCGGATTATGTTGTACGAGTGCGATGAGACCAACTGTAACGTAGGCAAAGCCCATTGCCAAAACAGGGCCTTTCAGAATCTTCAGGAGAGAACTAAGACAGGTGGCCGTTATCGCGTGGGCGTTGAAGTCGTCAAGACTTCTGACCGCGGCTATGGTGTCCGCAGCAACCGCTGCTTTGAGCCAAACCAGATCATCATGGAGTACACGGGCGAGATTATCACCGAGGAAGAATGCGACCGCCGCATGAATGAGGTCTACAAAGACAACGAGGTAAGCCCTCACTTTCCGATGCAATCTAGCAAGGCGATTGATTCAAGAGACAATGATCTAACTTACCTGGCAGTGTTACTACCTGATGTCTTTCGACCAGAACATGATAATTGACGCCACCACCGGTAGCATCGCGCGGTTCGTCAACCATTCGTGTTCGCCCAATTGTCGGATGATCAAGTGGATTGTCTCTGGACAGCCACGCATGGCCCTTTTTGCCGGCGACCGCCCCATCATGACGGGCGAAGAGCTTACATACGACTACAACTTCGATCCCTTCTCCGCTAAGAACGTGCAGAAGTGCCTTTGTGGTAGCCCGAACTGCCGAGGTGTTCTCGGCCCCAAGCCCAAGGAGGTAAAGCCTCCGAAGCCCCCGAAGGAGACCAAGAAGTCTGTCAAGGGAACAATCAAGGCCGGCAAGCGAAAGCTCAAGGAGATGCTCGCCAGTGGCGACGAGAAAGAGCCAGAGAAGCCGACAAAGAAGGTTAAGCTGGTAATCAAGAAGGCGAAGAAGCCATCGCCCTCCTCAGCTGGACTCAAGGCCGCTAAGGGCGCAGCCAAGAGCGCAGTCAAGGGAGCGACGGTAATCATCAAGCGCAGCGTGGCGAGTGTATCTACCAACACGAAGCTAGCTCTTAGCTCGTCGACTAAGAAACCAACGACCAAGAAGGCGGCTGCGACCAAAAAGTCAATCACCACGATCAAGAAGTCCATTACGACGGATAAGGAAGCTCCTAGAGTCAAGCGAAAATACGTAAAGAAGAACACGCCAAGAGTTAAGGTCTCTTCGCGAAGTTCAAGTCTTACTACCATTGTCGCGGCCGGACCCGCCTCGGAGAAGAAGAAGACTGCTGGCCCGGGCAAGAAGACACCCAAGACGAAGAAGATGACGCCCGCGTCGTCGGCGAAGAGCACACCGAAGAAGTCAGCAACGCCACCGTCTTCGGTCAAGGTAGCCTCAGGTCGCAAGCGCACACCCTCGTGGAAGGTGCTGAACTCGGCCAGCCCCGACTCTGAGATGGCCGCTGGCGACGCAGTGTCTGCCAAAAACACGCCGTCCTCGGCCAAGTCGCGCAAAACGCTGGACATGGCACGCTCGGACAAGATCTGGGCCGTGGATGATGATGACGAGTAATCTAATTTTGCTTGTTGAAAGAGCCGGGTTTACGGCGGGGAGAGTATTGCTTGCATGTTTGGGGCATATCGAGCCTGAGCTTTGGGGCCAGGCGGAAAGAGGGCGAAATTACAGGAAGAAGTAAGGGATACACTTTGTTAGAAGAAAAGGGTATTATTGAGCGAGAGGGAGAGATATGGATGGATGTCGAATTTGTGCGTTGCGCGCCGCGCGGGAAAGGGAAATGAGGAATTGCAAAGGGGAAGAAGGCGTTCCGGGAGTATTCAACACTCAACAAACATATTTCGGGGTGGTAACTCAAGGGAAAGACAAGGAGTGTGTGGCTTTTGGGGGTGGGAAATAAGTGACTTTGGGGGGGAGGGGGGGGAGGGGGGGGGTTTGGCGTCTTGATGTCAATTTTTATTTTATTTACCTTACTTATTTTTGTGGGCGGAGGAGTCCCTTGTTGGTCTTTTTAGGGGACTTGTTCTTTTCCTCCCCCCTTCCATGTCATCTTTTTATTATTATTATTATATTTACTATTTGGGAAGGTTTTTTTTTCTTCACATTGCCGCCTGCCTCCCCGTGTTTTCACTATCTTACCTGCCTCTTCTTTAGTCCTCCCACTCTGTGTTGTATCTATTATTTTTAGGTTTATCAAGGAATACTTTTTCTTGTCTTGTTTTCTGTCTCATCTCGTTTCCTCCTGCTTACCTGCTTATCTTTTCTCTTTATGTTTTGAACTGGAATAGGATTAAAATCATAACATGTTCTCATATCGGTGCCTGCCTGTCACTTGGTTTTTGTCGTTGACGGGTCTAGGGACCATTCGGATGGATGGATGGATGAATATATATATTAACGCAAGCGAAGCAATTGCTCTACAACACCTATTCCTTTCGTCGTCAACAAGCAAGCGAGCTCTACTCCTTGAAATCGCCCTGGGTGCACCACCATTCTATCTCCATCATCAGCTATCCGCCCATATGGATAGCAAAGCAATCACACCACCCAGCTCGATTGGCTCCCCCTCAATCGGCTGACTCTCTACCCGGAAACGCCTCCAGAGACGGCATCCCCCAACTCCCCCACACCATCCGTGAGCTTACCAGTCTCTGGTGTCGATAAGATTATCGCCGAAATTCGCAATCGCATCTGTGGCCGAGTCGAGGTCGAAGAGGAGCGGTGGTGCATCAGCCTCAATCATGACGAGTTCAAGGCTTTTGCGGCGCGTTTCGAAGCCGAAGGGGACTACCGCTGGCCAAAGTAGGTAGCCTATCCCTTTGTCCCTCTGTCTCTCTGCCCCTCTTCGTCCAGCTGCCCCTTGTCCAGCATTATATTAGCTAACCTCTAATTAGGTACGACTACTTCCCTCAGCTCTTCAAGTTCGTCCTGCGTATGGCGGGCGCTATCCACGAAGACGTTATCGCAGGATTCGAAGACCTAGTTATAGAGCAGTTGATCGATGTACGGCGAGGTAACGACCAAGTCGCTGCCGATTTCGCTCGGGGCACACACGCAAGAAGAAGCCCCAATATTAAGGATAATGATGGTTCCCATTACCTAGACGGGTCGTTTGCGCACAAAGATGCGGAGGTAGAATGTGTTATCTTGGACGTCTCCCATTCACAATAATGATAAGATTTGTCATTCCTTGCAGATGACTACATCCTAGGTTCAAATGGGCGGACCCAAGCCGTTATTAGGATTGACCTTGAATACCGGGAGGAGAAGGGAAAAGAAGCCGGGGTCACTGTGTGGCGACTAAGATATATTGAGGAAGATGGGGAAGCCGTACTTGAAGCAGCTGAGACGGAAACAGGTATCTTTCGGGCAGTGGATGGTAGTTTGATCGATAGGGAACGGATCCTTCGCATCGGGCTCAAAGATTTTGGGCACTGGCCTAATTGCCCCGGAATCGATGACATCCCCGGGGAGATTACTATTTCGTTTTCTCAACTTTATGAAATAGTGCAGGGGGCTGAGGCTAGAGCGGAGTGTAGGAATCGTGGGTGCAGGAATATCCAGCAAGAGAATCATCAGAAGCGGCCAAGGGTTCGGTTACCACCGCAGCAACTCGCAGAATCAGACGAGGAGCTGTTTAAGGCAGCCGAGAAAAGAGTCAAGAGGAAACTTAGCGACCAGTAGGATTCTATTTTGGGGCAGGTGGCAAAGATAGAGCTTGTAGAATATTTAGATCCGTGGATCCTGAGTTCTGGGCGCCATCCCCATATATATTTTTTAAGCTATAGTCTGCGCGCTTCTTAATACATACCCATAACCATATCCTTTTCTTGCTCTGTCCTTCTTCCTTTCTGTAGCTTTGAATCTAGGCTTGTTGATTGCGAAGTCCTCCATGTAGGTTCGAAACGTGGCAGCATATACCCAGATCCCGGATGTTTTTAAAATAAGAAAGAGAAGTATTATATTACCTAGTTAAAGATTAATATAATTATTATACAGTTTATTACCCCTGGAACGGATGAACTGATTAATTATGTTGTACTGTCTCTTGAAACACCTACCTAGGTACTCTTTCGACCGTGACGGAGATGCGCTAGAAAGGCCGCTATGACACAGGTACACCGACACTACTTGTAAGAGACTTGTGCGCTTGGTGTTAAAGCCGTCGAAAATGGCAGCATGCGCTAGCCAAATTCGGCGGCTAGAACACCGCTTTCTCTGTTTGTAGAGGAAAACATAAATTTATATTTTATTGCTGGGGGGTTTCTAGGGCTATTCACGCCGTATTTACGCTTTTGTGAAGACATGATCAGAGAACTTTGGATGAAAGACCCACTTCCACTTCAAGATTCATATTGTTTGCCGAATTTGAGACGGTCGACGGTCTCCGTGCTTGACTCGATGGCTGTTGTTTTGGTCGAAAGTGAGTGGTGAGTGGACGGTCACGTGATATGTCAAACCTGGAAGGGAAAATGTATTGTGGGGGTTGAGAGAAGCGGCCTGATTGGCTTAGCCGTGTTATTGTTGGAGTTCCCGCCAAATTCTGGGTATCCAATGGGATGGAGGGCGGGTAGTTGCTGAAGAAAAAGAATTTGGCATTTGTTTCGCCTAATGCCATTGTTGTTTTTGGGTGGGGCGGTAAGCCAAGGGGCAACGGTAGGCGACTTTGGATCAAATGATGAGGGGAAAAAAAGCCTAAGGCGTGTGCCGCTTTGGCAGACTTGGTTAATATTTTTTCTAGGAAGAGGGAAATGCCGATTTAAGAGTGGAGAGAACTGGATTTGGAACTGCGGTGAATCTTGAACAAGTGGGAGACAGGCGGTTAGTTGACTAGCGTGTGGCGGTGGTGGTGAGAGTGAGAGAGTCGTAAACTCAAAATGCGCCTGGAGCGAAATGACACTGACGCTTGACAGGGGCAACGCCCCAAGAGCGACACCGGCGGGGCGGGCGTGGAATTTCCAAGTAAGCCTAGATTAGGTCTAAGGCAGTTGGCAAAGTCACGGGGGCAAGGGAACTGGTAAATGACGCCAGTTCATGATGGTATTAATGTTGGAAATTAGAAAAAAACAGTAGTTTAGGTAGTCTCGGTCTGAGTGTGTTTGTTTGCTGGCCGCCCAAACCCGGCGGGCTCGTCGTCGCTTGCCCGAGCCCAATCGGCCTGTGGTCAGCGACCTGATGGCTGTAACGAGCACACCGAAGGGCGGAGACGGCGCTGCCTAGATAGGTGATTCGTCCCTGGACGATATGTTCAGATAACCTAGAGCGCTTGTTCGAGACGGGAGAGACTATCCCGTCCTGTCCGGGTGTAACCCACAGACAGTCGAAGCCTCTATTAGCGGCACGACACAGAACGGCGAGCGGCACGGGGCATGCGCTGACGCCATTCCCGGGGTTGCACTGCCTGGGCCCGCCGTTTCGATACTTGAGGCGCAAAACAGAAACAAAACGCTCGCCCGGAAGAACTCGGAAGGACTGAGGTTGAGCAGATCTAGCGCCTCAGCTGAACCCTTGCCTGGGTCAATGACTGGTTGAGGAGCGACGATAGTGGGCGCGCGGTTGTGGCTGTGCTAGGAAACAAAAACCCACTGTTGGCGGGGGCTTCTGGAAGCTTGGCCGTTAGCTGCCACTACCGCCTCGTTTAAATCATATATTGAAAGAGTGGAGCGTGCAGCTCGGTAAGTGAACCCGGCGATGTCTGAAGTCTGGGGTCAGGGCGCCCGCTTTATGCAGAACGTGGGCGCTGGGCGGCGGGCGAGTGCCCCAGCAGTGGGGTTCGGCTAGCAAGCCTCGAGCGTGGCTTTTACGCATTTAGTCAAACATTTCAACGTTGGGACGCACGCACTTTCTCCTCATGAGGTCACCAGCGCCGTGTCGAAGGGACTTCGAGATTGGGTTTCAACAGGGCCCGCTCCCATATTCACAAGAGCCGTTAGCTGAGGCGCCGATTTCACTTTACGAGCTGCATCGCCTAGCCTCAGGTGGCCCTGTCCTGGGAAGCTGTTCCCTGGGGCACAGCGCTAATACGTCATAGGTGCCCGTAACTCGCGATCGGCCAGTCTGTTTTTCTTTCGGTGTCAGGGGGGGTGAGAAAGCCCAGACAGAAGACAATATCTAACTAAAGGTTGAAATGACTTTATCCTAAATGGCGACGGCCTCTTTGGATTAAGACATATTTACTGCAAGAGAACGAGGATGGGGGGGGAAGCCGAATTTGGCAGAGTGCAGGCTTTAGTTCTCTTCTCTCTCTCTGTCTATTTCCCCTGTTCCGGACAAAAACCTGCACCATTTCAAGGTGGACTCATCACCGCACAGCAACGTAACGTTACGGGTTACCGACTATGCGGGACGGATGGAGTATGTCGTAAATCTCCCGAATCAGGGTGAGTCAAAAGCACCGCACCGCGCTGCACCACACCCACAACACCGGGAGCTGATGTAGACACACACGTACACTTGAGAAGGGAAAAAAGAAAAAAAAGAAAGGCTTTCAGCCTTACCCACTTCGACAAAAGAACCCAGCCTTGGGGCTGCTAGCCTTCTCCAGAGTCCAGGCCTCGCCGATTTTCCTCATGCGTCAGTCTACAAAGGTGCCGGCCAACACCGAGGGGACGGAAAGACGTTAGCTATGATAGTTAGCTCCTCGCCGACAAGTGGCTCCAACGAAAGCCCAAGGTACATCACATCACATCGCATCACATCCATGTAAACACACGGTCAAGTCCTCAAACTTCCCCTCACGCTCTCAAAGAGTCGGTGTGAGGAGGAATGAATGGGGCCATATCAAGAGAACATTAATGCCACGCGTCAGAGCTTGGGATTTGCAGCAAGCAAGCTAGTCACCTGCAACTGCTGCCTCGCTTGTCAAGTTTATCGGTACCGGCGGTTACGCGCCCTTGTTGAGCCTCACGAACATAAGCCGGGACCTTTTGCTTGGTCCTGTGTGATGTTGGCATACCCGATATTGCAAACGAGCCCGGCGGGGGGATGTGGTTGCCTGTTTATTTACGGCGCAAGAGAGAGAGTTGACTCGTTGGGGGCGTGATGCAAATCCAACCCGAGATCCAAGTGAGAAATGAGGGGCTATGAGGACCCAGAGCATTTACAAGTGTAGTTAGGTGGGCCTTGTGGGCGGAGCTACCAATCGAAACCTCCAATTGCTTTACAAACATCGAAACTACAAAAAAGGTCCCGCGAAGTTACAAGTTAACGAGCGAATAGGTTCGATTTGAAACTGTGATTCTAATCCGTAGCCATGCATGCACCAAATGACAATAACCCCCAATGCGTCTAGATGCGTCGGCTTGCGCCTGAATTTCTAATAACCATAACGCTAAATCCAGATATGAGGGTATCTTGAGAAAAGCAGAAAGTTCCCGAAAATAAGAACTTAACTGTCTTTAACAGACATGCCGTACTCGATAGTCGAAAGGTCGTAGAGTAAGTAAGATCTCGCTCCCTGGAAGTGTTGTCGGAAGGGGAAAAAATGCCGGCGTGTCGTCTGAGACTGTCCCATCCGCCCAACTCAACCAAGCTGCGTACTGTGCCTCTAGACGTGAGAAGGGATCTTGTGTCTTTCAACACGACAGTATTCGCAACGAAAGTGGCTGACGCAAGCCGGATTCGTGCAAGCAACGCTAGTATCGATACCATAGGGGCCCGAATTGCATTCGTGCTACATCATCCGTTAGATCTAGAAATAAGTGCGAGCGTTGATGGGAAGGAGACTGACGCAGAACCACAGGTTAACGTATGAGTAAACCTTGCCCATAGCTGCTAGCTGGTGTGTTGTTTTGGATAGTATAGTACGTTGAAGCTTTTATCCTAAGTGAGAAGATGGTGAGCGTTGGGGGTGAGTAGATAGCTATAGCGATGAAGGAAGAGGCTGGCAGAAGTAAGGAGACAAGATTGAGCGAGAAGAGCCATGGCCTTTATACCTATCTTGAGACTTCTAAATGCGCAAGGCGAAAAACAAAGTACACACTAATGGAATTTTGTATCAATACCAAAGCGAAATACCATAGCCCCTCTTCACGGAGTCCATTCTGACTTGTCAAGGCGGCTGGTTAAGCACCGACTTAGTGGCAATCTTGAGCTCCGCCATCGTGTTTGGTTGGAAGAAGGATAGGCCAGGCAAACAAGAGGAGAGGGCCAAGTCCACTTGGACTTGATAGGACCGACATGTGTCTTGCCGTCGGGCAGTTTCCGCTCGACGACTCATAGGTGATGGCCCGGCAATGCAGGCGTGCATTACAGCGTTTCCTAGCCAGTCACCAAGCTGCGCCAGTTAGAGATTAGGACGTGAATATCATCCCAAGGCCTCATCCACCAAGAGCCGAACATTGCCCCGCGGGCGCAGCAAGAGGAGAAGCCACCATCCAAGGCTGCGAAAGTGGGCTAGCATATGCCGCGAGTATTGGATGAAAGTTGAATATGAAGCGGCTCGAGTTCGCAGCATCAGGAATCGGGCCCGAAGTGCGCGGCGCGCCATAGCGAAGAGCGGAAGACTCAAAGCCGCTCTAACCAGAAAGTCGACAAGAGCAGTCCGCGGCTGGTAGTCCTCCTTTTCCGGAGCCCGGGGCCGCTCCTATAGGCCAATCAGCGTACTTATGGCAGGTAAATCTAGTAGAATCAGTGCTAGACTGGATCGGTGGGTTGGTGTGTCGGCGCCTAGTTTTCTCGTTGGTCTGTGGTGGTACTTGGGTACATTTGCGGCTCTTACGGCCAAACCCGGTGTGTTGCCGGGTCTTGTGTGGGACGGACACCATGGTGTATGTATGTATGGGGCCGAGGACACTGGGCCAGCGAACGCGGGCTTGGCGAAACAATGCTGGTAACTTCATATGCACAACGCGGGGTGCCTGACCGATCCCCACCCAATTCCAGCCTTGTCTTGCATCGCTTCTCGCTCAACAGCCCGTCGTCATGTCGCCAACTCCACCCAATGCTTTAGCATATCGGCCTTGTTCACCGAAGAGAGCTTCCATCTAATCACGGGCTGCGTGCGAGGCACAAAAACAAAACACGAGCCCCTTTGCTCAGCCGCTGGTGCATTTGATCGTCGCCTGCACGACACAGTAGTTCTGACAAGTGACGCTGGAGCCTTGTCCCGGCTCTGGACGGTGCTGCCTTGGTGCGTGCAATGCGGAGGACACTGCACGCCAGGCTATGGCTCTCGCTCTGACTCATGGTGAGATGAGGCTCTGCGGCTCAAGAAATCATGAAACAGGACTTTTTGCGGGTAGTTTCGGTGGTGAATGGCGGGGATCCGGTCGCTTTGCTTTCTCTGACATCGAGCCAGACCTCCTAATGGGCTCCGGGGCGACGCGAGTTGAGCCGTACGAGCGTCGAGCTAGGACGGGGCCGCCCGACGGCTGAATAGTGAGTTCGTTCATTAACAAATCAAGGCTCCAGTGAGTCTTTCGCTTGCCTCGAGCCTCTCTCGAGCCCTCTCGCCCAGCTTGATGCTCCTCGCGCAAGGCTTGGTGACTAAGCGGCAAGGCTGGCCAGCTAGGTCTATGAAGAAACTTGAGACAATTCCAAGTGATGGTCTCATCCTGTGGGGGGTTTCATGAGCAGGCTGGCCGAAGACGATGAAGCGGCAAGGCGACTTTGTCAAGAGAGACAGAAATTTGGAGGACACCTTCCATGTGTTGTTCGTTGCTGCCCGGCCTTAGTCGGATTGAGGCAAGTGAAACCCAGTGCTTCGATACTAGTACTCCTAGTAGTACTAGGTTGGCGACGGCAAGAGGAAGTGAAACGGAAGGAGCAGACCGACACCTCATGGAACTGGGGTAGTACTTGCCTCACTTGGAATGAGCAGTCCACGGCAGGAGCAACTGATACCGCCCATTCCGAAATATCACAGGACCCGACCGTGAAACCTTGAACAGGTCGCTGCCCCTACTGGTTTAGATGCGGACGGGTGGCTCTCATTTCCCACGGTTAGGTGAGGTAGGTGCCCACCCCCCTCAGGGTTTCGAGGACATGTTCATCGGAGCGAGTCTGTCGGCTTCGGAAGTGGGAGGGCATTCCATCCTTATATAATATGGCCGGGAAGGCTGTCGGTCTGGGGAGGGCGAACAAAGTTGCTTTACTGATCACATCTTCCTTTTTGCAACCCGCCCAATGATCGTGACAGGCAAGGCTTCGGGGCTGCTGTTTCGGAAGGGTGTTGCCTAGGACGAAATCTGCCAAAAGTTTCCCGACCAGAATTCCAACCGGCGACGGTCTTTTTATACCTGGAGACGAAGATGAGGCTCTAAACAAGGGTGGTAGTCATTTATAACGCCACATTCTTGACTGCCCGCTGAAATATCGTCTGACTGGGTGACAGCGCCGACGCTGCCTTGGGCGAGATGCCTAATGGCGTTGGATGCGTCCTATTCCTGCGCAAACTTTCGAGACCTCACCTGGCGGCCGCCGCTGGTGTCGGAGACGTGCCACTACTGGCTATGGGGTGAACACCCAAACCGATATCCACAAGGCATAGGTTTGCTCCAGGCTACCCATTCATGCGCGACATGGAGACAGTCCGCCGGCTTCCACTTTCGGCCATGGGTAGAGTCTGGGACTGGCGTGGGGATGAGGGCCTGCTCGGCCATCCACTCCGCTGTTCAGGACAGCCTCGGCTGAGATTGGTAATTCGAGAGCCTTGGACGACTGTGTATCACACAATGTGAATTGCCTAATCGGTCATTCTTAACACAAGACGCAGAAAGAGGTGGCTGCTTAAAAAGGGAGGACTCGCCCCAGGTATCTTTATTGAGCTCCGACAAATCTGGCCAAGCTCCTCGCGGGAATCAACAGCGGGACAAGTGCAAATGACAAGTGATATGGCACACACAAAAATATGAGTGCATGTGGCGCTTAGGTTGAACTAAAGAGCCGCACCTAAAGCGAGCCCGACATAACTCAGGTTCTTATATCACAGCCAATCACTAACGACGCCAAGGTGACAGGCTCATTGGGAAGCGAACAGCACTTTTGATTATAAAACCCTTTAAATGGCTGTCTGTTCTTGTGCAGAATCTTTTGCAGAATAGCTTCTTCCCATTTCAACCAACAAGTGAAAGGGGTCTACAGAGCGTATGCCGCAGTGTTCACACCCATTCCTTTCGCATAAGGTACATAATCAGGGCACAGCTCCGTGTAAGTGCTGGTGCTGGGGAGAGAAGCAACGTAAGCCGGGCGTATCCAAATATCCACGGGCTGAAGAAAGGTCCGTCGCTTCCGCCAACATTACGGCCCACTTGCTGAGTCTGAGGGCAAAGTTACAAATCATCTCCAACAGATTTCGGGACTCGGAGTTGCCAACTTGGGTGGTTTGTCATTTGTCACTGGAAGGGTTGTTGGTGTAGTGCCACACCACCAACAGAGTTAGGGAACCGCCCAGTTGAAACAGAAAAGTTCCCGCTTTTGCGGAGTGGCAGCGCTGTTTCGTGTAAGTGCACCCCTTGTCATCGCTGCATTTCCCGGTTCTGGTTGGCTTTGGCAGGGGCGGGACCAATTCAGTGGAGAAGCTGGCGGTTTACTAATTCGTGCAGTGCCGAGGATATATTGAGACAGGCCCCAGTGCTCCTCTACGGCAGGGTGTTGCCAACGTCATATCTGCGCCTGCCAACGGCGGCCGAAAGCTGTCTCGCGGCGCCTTACCAACGTAGCCGTTTATCCTTTGTTCTCGAATGTTACCAATTTTCTGCATCGCAGGCCGCGGTCGCGCCTTCTAATCGTCTCCATCCCCCTTGCCGCTCTTTCTCTTTCTCTTTTCTTGCATCTCGCTTTCCTTAGCCTCGCTCGCATCCTTTGCACCACAGACCGGCGCCCGTCTCGGGATGCCCCGGTAAGACGCAATGAGGGTGAGAGCTTATCGGCCGGAGACGAGGTGGGCGACACGGATTATACCATTTGTTCTGGCTGGCGCTGTCGGATTTTCCACCTATGTTGTGGTCAAACGCATTTGCCGTTCGTGCAGTCCCTCAATCTCGTTGCTTGGGCACTCTGGCTAACAACTCTCTTCTCCAGTGGACTACTTCCTCTCCAGCTGGCAACGATCCGGCGCCGCGATCGCATTCATCGTTCTACACTTGTTATTTCTCGTTTTGATGCTATTGACGTATTTCCGCGTCTTTTTGGTCATTCAAACCAACCCCGGGGTCGTACCACTCGGACCCAAAGCAACCGAACAAAATACCCTTGAGAAGCGGAAGATGAAGGGGAGACGAAGGCGGCGCGGCCAAGGAGACAGCGAAGGAGCCGCCGAAGGTGACCTTGAAGCTGCCAACCAGTACGACGGACGGCCAGACGAAAATCCCGACAGTCCGGGACTCGAAGAATACTATAGCAAGGACGTATTTATATGCGAGACGGATGGCCGGCCACGCTGGTGCAGCACATGCTGCAACTGGAAACCGGATAGGGCACACCACTGCAGCGAAATCGAAAGATGCGTGCGTAAAATGGACCACTATTGCCCATGGGTTGGCGGTATCGTCGGGGAGACTAGTAAGTCCCAAGCCTTGAAAGCTTAACCCGTCCAGCAGCTCATAATTCCGCGTGCCACAGGCTTCAAGTTTTTTGTCCAGTTCACGTTTTACACTGCTCTATATTGCATTGTGGTAATTGTTGCTGCCGCGCTATGTCTGAGGTGGTTGGCTACCAATGGACTTGGAGTGGATGGGTTTGTTATCGCCGTCCTGGCAATTGGCGCCTTTTTCGGCCTTTTCACGACGACAATGGCACTCACATCGATACGGTACATAGGCCTCAACCTCACAAACATCGATTACTTGAAGTCCAAGTGTATTGTCCACCAGTTGGCAATACGAGTTCCTCGAGGCACTCCACTAGGCCCGGACTACGGAGTCGTGCACTATCCTTTGCCCAAATCAGCCGATGGGCTGAGTTCTCCAGAATCCGCTCTGGCGGGCGGTAAAGGACCCTTTTCTGCAAGAGACCAACTTGCTACTCGCACATTTGCAATCGTCAAGACCGAAATGGGCGAGAACCCGTGGCAGCTCGGCGTCTACCGCAACTGGAAATCGGTTATGGGAAATAACATTATCGATTGGTTCTTGCCCTTTAATGATTCGCCCTGCTCAACTTTCGAAAACAACGAGAGTTACTACGAAATGGGTCCGTTGTATAATCAACTGCGGAAGAGATTTAACCTACCAGAGATCTCGATCGAGAGCGAAGAGTCAGAAATGAAGAAGTTGGAAAAAAAGGGGCAGCATCAGGCAAACGGGTTATAGGAATTCATGACGTGTACAAAGATACCCGGGGTATTTTAGGTGGCGCTGGATGGCAATCTTTTCTTTATGCTCTGCAATTATTTTTACTCCAGAATCGGAAGATACACACGCGATAATGTAATTAGACTTGGAGGTCTCACAATCCAGGATTCAGGATACATGGTTGAGTTCGGAGAAGAGCGCAAATGGTATCAACAAACAGGTTCAGCTCATGTGACCAATCACGTTCAACTAACGCGGGGCATGGCTGGTTATCAGGTAGAAAAATATACGTTTATCCTGAAGATGTCCGTGACAAGAAATTGTTCGCAATCAGGTGGTCTAGGAGATAGATAGGCCCGACTCTGGATCTGGTCGGCACCGAAGAGCCCTGGTTCCAATTTGCCCGAAGTCGAACATGTCAACATAGGCACTTGGTACGGAATACCTTTGTGAACTCCAACGCGCCTCACAGAAATCCGCCAGGCAACAAAGCCGGGGCAGCCCCCAACTTTATGAATAAATGATGTATTAATTACCTTACTTGGGTAGGTGAGGTTTAATGGAGTCTTTGAAAAGTATGGACCTTGTTTGTTCGCTCAACCAGGAAGTCGCGCCTCAGACCTAGACCCAACGCAGTTTCCCCAGTCGACACAGGAGAACCACTCTAAGTAAGCCCTTGGCTCAACAAGTTTCAGGTTCTGTGCTTCGCTTGTTCCACCGTTCTAAATCCGCAATATTGGGAGTGCGACTGCAAACCGCGGAACAGATATTGTCGTGAAATCCTTACGGATCCTGTGCGTGCAGGAGGGAGTGGCGACTGAAGAATCCAGACCGCCATATCAGCCACGAACCAGGCAGGGGGCATGCTTTCTTTCAACGGCAACCCATTTCAACAAAACCACCTATCCACCCCTCTCCCCAAGCCAAGACTGGAGTCGGTATAATCCCTCTTCATTTATCTGATTAGATTCCAATGCAATTGTTTACATTCACGGAAGTCAAGCCAGCCAGTGCCACATCAACGACGTTGCCGTCTGCTGGTCAACGACATTCGCAATGCCGGGTTCCAGGACGAGAGGCACACCGGTTGCCCTGCCGGCAAGCCGGCATGCATATGTAACCGATGAGAGCAACCACCCATATCCAAGCTGAGACTGTTCATCCAGTCTTACGCCATGACATTGGTTCGCTGCGTGGTTGACCACTTAACCCCCTCGTCGCAACAGGGCAGACAGCACTTGCTTCTCCGTCTGCGTCTGCGACACCGTAGAGGCTCCCACACCGAGCCTCCCTCTCTCAGCTACAATTCCCCGCTCCAACACCCCGTTACATCGATACCATCCCCACCAATTGCCAGCTCAGGCCCAGGCCTAGGTCCCACACCATTCCCAGAGCGGTGGGCCTTGCTGAGCTGCAGGGTACCGATCGATGCCGATTCCCTTCTCGCTGTCCAGCCTGTTGGGTCTGCAGGTTTGTGGGGGCGGCTGAGGATGTGTGTGCATGGCGACCACTCATGACCTCGGACAAGACACAACGAATGAAGTTACGCCGTCGCCTGGCATGAAGCCTTTTCTTGAAAACGGCTGACGACACTGTTAGCAAGGAGAGGGAGGGAACATGATTGCAGAAATACTCTTTAGGTTATTACCTAACCCTCACACGTCGAAACTCGAGCTCGGGCCAACTATGGTCAGCAGTGGTTTCCAGCCCAACCTACATGCGTCGTAGGAGTCTAGACGATGACCGCGGTGTTGCTAGGCCCTTGGCATCAGTGTGTATTTCCGAGTATCGCCAACATCAAGCCGAACTGGGTATTATCACATCATCAACGACGCGATCCGGCAGACGGAGATGGAGCACTCGACTATAACCTCGACGACATGTCAGTGTCAGAATATGGTCTAAGGGGCACGAGGTCAACGTACGAAGCTCTGCAGAGCCATTTGCGGTCCATATGGGCTGCGACAATGTTTTTTCACAGGGACGAGCCATGATTCCGCGCGGGAAAGAGAAATCCACCCTAGAAGGTGTCATTCATTGGTGTGCTCTATGATCTCGGGTCCCCCTAGTTGGCTTGAAAGAGTCAAGCTAACTACCTACCGCACCACACGCACCGCAAGACACGACCTCCCGAGGGCCACCCGCCACAGTATCCCTTCTCCGAGACCGAAGCCACACTACTCCAAGCTGCCATATTCGCCAAGCTTTGGGGCCAGTCCACTCGATCAGGTGCTGTTGCAACCGCTGCATCGTTCGTGGTAGCAGATGCTGCCTTGAGCATTCTCGTTTGTGCAGGTGTTTGTTGATGAAGTGCTGGTCGTTTTACCGTCGCATTCGCAACACGTCCATTCGGCATCCCCCCCGACAGATGGAGGTGGGCTTTCGTGCTCCCCCGCCGGGTCATTTTCGACTTCCGCCCTGTGTCCGAGTCTGAGCATGGATGGCCGGCAGGGAGCTCTCTGTTTTGACTCACATTTTCTTAGCACGAGACAGGGTGATCCAAGGGCGCTTTGAAAGCTTTTTGCCTTGCGAGGGAAGCCGGGAGCTAGTGGGGGTTGTAGGAGTTCGTTGGGAAACTCAGACTTCACTCCTAGGCGGCGTGGCTTGTTGGTTTCGAGCCGACAACATCCTCATCTTTCGCCACCAGCTTTATAGAGCATCCAGAGAGCTAGCATAGTCGCCTGCTTCTCACAGTCGCCCGCGCAGAGCCGCATCCATCCAACATTGCCCTACCTTTTGCTCTCTTCGTCTGCCCTAGTTGTGCCGGGCAGCGGTCTGCCGTCATAAGAGCCTCCATCCCTGGGCGCAACATCCCTGAGTGAGTCCAAGGGGAGGGCAAAGGGGGCTTAGATACCAGTGCCCGTAACAGGGTGGAACGCAAGAGACAACGTCATTTGGCCGATGAGGTAAAGCCAACGGCGGGCAGTTGATTAGTTGACGATCAACCGCATCGAATAAAAGGGGCTTGGGCTCGGAACTAGTGTGGTTTTTTTTGGTAAGGCTAGCCTTCCAGAACACACTAAAATGTTTCTTGACTGGATACCGGGACATATGGGAAATGAATAATGAGAGAGACGATCAAATCCTGGTTCCGGCATTGCTAACTCTGGGCAAGACTATAAATCTCCGACCAGGAGCTTGTCGTGTACCGACGAGGGCAAATGAAGAGCGTAGCATCTTCTATCCCAGCCGCGTCAAGTCGCCCTGAGGATCCTAGTTGAGAGATGTTGAGTGGTTGGAGTTGGCTTCGGGATGCTGACTATTCAGGGGTCAAGCGTAATGAGTACTACCAGCTGGGAGAGAAAGATACTACCGAAACTGACACAAGAGCCGCAGCCTTACCACCGTTTGTTGCCCGTGCCAGCGGTCGCCCCCAACATGACGGCGCTTCCGCAATCACGAAACAGTGGGAAATCAGACACGATGGGGAAGAGCAACATGCCTTTCGTGGGGCGAAGCGGGGGGAGGGCATGTGATGATCAACAAGCACTTCGCCTCTCGTACAAGCGCCAGCAAGGTGAAAGATCAAAGCGAGAGACTGGCTGCGATCGGCCAATGATTGGTATACTGGGGCTGAACCTGGTTCAACATTGGCAACAACAAGGAGCAACCAAGCAGGCGAGACGGTGACAAGAGCCCCAAATGCCCTGCGCCTGCTCGCCCAAGCGGAAATGCTGTCATCTGAGAACTGAGACTACGGGTGCTGGGCATGGGGCACGCTTCGGAAGGCTTTCGAACCCAGGGCGCAATGTTCCCTGATCCTGATTAAGCGACTAATAAGAGCCGATGACGGAGTCTGGGAGCTGGCAAAAAGAGGTCAATAAGCGCAGCCTTGTGCTACCCAAGTTTCTGAGCTTCACCGTCTAAGCAGCAGATCATCCCATTGTTCTTCACATACCACAAAGCCCAGCGTTTTTGAGTCGTGATGCAACCTCAGCGGCTACGCCACTGGCAAGCAGGCCGGGTTGAAGCGGCCATCTTGCATTGGGGGCTTTGCTCAAGGCTCGGCCCTCTTGGGAATGAGGCATGACGGCGGCGTATCACTTGATCGCGCCGTTGGAGGGGGGGCCGCGTGCCAGCCTCGGAATACAGTGTTCTCACCGCTTCTGCCCAGGCAACGTCAGCGTTTCCCGTGGGCCATGAACCTTTGATTGCAAAAGACTACCTGCTGTTTGTCTTGGAACGCCTGGTGCGGGAAAAGGGGGGATTCCAGGCGTCTGGAAGAGCGCACGTTGTCTGTTGTCTCTCCTTTATCGGGACTATTGTCGTTGACCAAACTTCGCCACCTCTATGTCGTGCCAGGGCGGCTCTTGATAGTGGCTATGGTAAGCGCCAGTCCTAAGGCTAGGCGACTACTAACAGAAGACCGGTTGCCTTTCTCGTGTGACACACTGAGCCCTTATTATCATAAATTCGTTGCTTGAACGAGAACAGATGGCAGAAAGTCAAGTCAGAGAAGAAATGGGGGGCCCATACTGCAGTCCATCTTTCGTCGACGTGAGCCGGCGCTGACATGTTAAGTATCTCTGTCTACCGTGCGAGCTATCTGGCGCAGCACACAATCTCTTCTTCCTGGTCGATCTACCGACAGAGGCGATGGCGGGCCGTCGGTCCCCGAGCTTTGACTCGGCCGGTTCAGCTATGCGCACGGAACTTCTTCCAAACCAGTATTTGAAGTGTACCTACACAAAACCAGACGTTTGCTCATGGCTCTGTGACGATTGATATGGCGCCGGAAGAAGTGCTTTGTTTGTCACCAAAGTCCTGACAGCCAGCAACTTATCCAGGCAGTGATCTTCGCTTTCTACGCTCCATGGAATATACCATTCCTCTTCAAGAAAGCCACCCACCGTCGTTCATGCAGCTTGCGAAACTCGTCACACATATTCTTCGCATGTTTCTACACTATTACCTCGTGGGACAAGGTGGGGTTGCATTCTTCGATGCAAGCAGGACGGAAGCCGTGGACTGAGGAGCAGCGCGACGAACAACGAGCGCCGGTAGGCGAGACTTTTGGTAAGTTTGATAGATATATTATCCCGCTGTCTACAAGATGATGTCCAAAGAGCGCTTTGCAGTCGCTCTTGAGACTGTCCACAGTGCCGCTCTCTTCTTCTGCCGAAAAAGGAGATCCAGTGACCTGAAATGCGTGCGACAGCCATAAGCTGATGCCGCCTACAGCTCCCTCGACTGTGGCGAGCTGAATAAAATCGCGCGATGTCCGAATGGTGTAGAGGTGGCAACACTGTGCGAAGTTGTCCATGCACATTACCGCTGCATCCCGTCTGTCAACTGAGCTCTAGACGGGTAGGTACACAACGTATGTCCGTGGAAACCGGGGTTGGTCGCGGTTTCGGCCCCCCCTCCTCCCGTTCTGGACACGAACAACATCCCGATTGAGGAAATACAACATGTACTCTGTGCTCCCGACGTTCACTCGGCCAAGATAAAGTATAAAGTTGGGACAGTGACCGATAATACTTCAAAGGCGCCGGCCGCTCTGCTCCGTGGGCCGTTGGTTCTAACCTCCGACACACAAGAAGGGAGGTATATCGCCCACCGGGCCTCGAAATCTACTCAGGGAATCAAGCTCTTATCGTATGATATTGATGGCTTTGAGAAGCCGACTAAGAAAAGAAAGAGACCAGACGGCATGCATGTATGGGGATCATACTTCATAGGACGAAGGTGGCTCAAGAAATAAGTATCGGTGATTTTTGTTTGCGCGGAGGAGGGAAAGGGGCAAAAGTTCAATTCCGGATGTTGCCAACGGCCATTTTGCACAAGGAAGGTCAAATTCCACATTATAGAAATGTCTCAGTTTACATAGACTACACATTAGCCACTCGGCAATGTGAAAAGTCAATAATAGACCTTACAAATAAATATCATGAAATTCAGCAGACCAGCAGCTGTATCATGTGTCAAGGGAAAACCGGAAGAGGGTTGAGAAACTTGGACTGTCAATAAATGATGAGGTGTCTTGAATTCACCAAACATGGAAAATAAGACAACTCGCAATAATAAGTTCATATTCAATTAGTTACATATTTTTGTGAAGTTGATAATGCCGAGATTTGAGGATTGACTGGGATGCCCGTGGACCCCGTAGCAAGATGGAAAGGGAGCGGCACGGGCGGATAGCGGATGTGGGGCCCCTAACGATCCCGTTCCCGCAAAGCCAGCGACGCGGGGGAATGTACCGTTGAATGGGCAGAGGTGTGTTGTGTGAAAGAGATCGAGAATTCATACGTTATACAGTACTACGGTGTCATTTTCCTGAGCGTTACCATTAGATCTAATAGAATCGAGCATTTCAAGTTATTGTAATGTGTATATACTGGAATAGTTTCAGGCCTATCTGCAATCCCCGTACTTACCCCGCTAAACGGATTACAGTACTTTGCACACGATTCTAACAAGTGGGGATCGAAAGACGCGAGTTGGGAGCCACAACCATAACGGCAACTGCACCGCGTCCCGCCCATCCTGGCCCCGATAGCTCGACGTTACCAAACATCACGACACCCGCGACAATCCGGACCGAGACATTAGAGCTGATGCTACTGTGTCCGAAAATGAGCTGCCGAGCCACGCTTGGCCTTCAATCCCGATGTCCTCATCTCCCCCCCACTCGTTCCGGGCCTCGTCTCCAATTGACGGTGGCCCGGGGCGCCGACGATCGCGCTTCACCTATCGCCATCTCGCCCAGCTGGCAGCGTACAATGCCTCGTGCCCCCTTAGGGTCATTGCCCACATAGATCTCGACTGCTTCTATGCCCAGGTGGAGATGGTCCGTCTTGGCGTGCCCGAAGACCAGCCGCTTGCTGTGCAACAATGGTGTGTGCTGTTGATGCCGTCGTCAACCTCGTCTTCCCCTCCAAGCCCCTTCCTCTCGACCACTTACTCGGTGTCTCGCTCCGCCCCTTTGGCCCCCTCCAATCCTTACCCTTTGCTCTCTCTCTCTCTCTCTCTCTCTCTCTCTTCCAGCACCAAGTCACAACGTAACACCTCACCGCCTGGACATGCTAATTGACGCTCTTGCGCGCGGGCTTCCAGGCAGGGCTTAATTGCCGTCAATTACCCCGCTCGTGCCTTCGGCATTGGTCGGCATTGCACTGTGACAGAAGCAAAGAAACTTTGCCCAAAGCTAGTCAGCCAGCACGTTGCAACATTTCGAGAGGGAGACACCAAGTGGGCATACCGCCCAGATGCGGCAGCAAACATCACGACGGACAAAGTCTCGCTCGACCCCTACCGGCTTGAATCGAGGCGGATCTTTGCAGTCATCAAGGACCAGCTCCCCTCACATCTACAGAAAGTGGAGAAGGCTGGAATAGATGAGATGTTTCTCGACCTGTCGGCGCACATCCACGCCATCCTCCTTGAGCGTTTCCCCGAGCTGGCCAGCACGTCCCCTTCCCATGACCCCGCCGAGCAGCTTCCCATGCCTTCCATCTCGGCCCTTGACTGGAAGGCTGACGCCCTGGTCGATCTCGATGACGAGCATGCTGAGCTCGAGGACCCCGATTGGAATGACGTGGCAACCCTCATCGGCTCAGAGATTGTCCGCAACGTCCGGGAAGCAATCAGAGATAAGCTCAGATACACATGCTCCGGGGGGATCGCGAAGAACAAGATGCTTAGCAAGTTGGGCTCAGCTCACAAGAAGCCCAATCAGCAGACGGTTGTGCGCAATCGCGCGGTACGGCACTTCCTGTCGGGCTTTAAGTTTACCAAGATACGAAACCTAGGCGGCAAGCTGGGCGAGGAGGTAAGCCAAGCATTCAGCACCGACGCCGTGAGCGACCTCCTCGCCATCCCTGTCGAACAGCTGAAGCAGAAGCTCGGCGACGACGCGGGAGTCTGGGTCTACAACACCATCCGGGGCGTCGACCCGAGCGAGGTCAATTCGCGCACCCAACTCAAGTCGATGCTCTCCGCCAAATCCTTCCGCCCGAGCATCAACACGCTCGACCAGGCAACCAAGTGGCTTAGGATCTTTGCCGCCGACATATTCTCCCGATTGGTCGAGGAAGGCGTGCTGGAAAACAAGCGGCGCCCTCGCACCATCAACCTCCACCATCGTTACGGCGCCCAGACTCGTTCGCGTCAGACGGCTATACCGCAAGGCCGGCAGCTGGACGACGACGCGCTCTTCGACCTTGCTAAGCATCTCCTGAGCCAGATTGCCCTCGAGGGTCGGCTGTGGCCGTGCTCCAACCTCAGCTTGAGCGTCGGCGGATTCGAAGAAGGCATTACGGGGAACATGGGAATTGGAGCGTTCTTATTGAAGGGTGACGAGGCACAGGCGCTCAAAACGGGTCATCGGGCGTCGATAGCGGAAGAGGCCAGCAGCGGGCTCCACCCGGCAGAGAAGCGACGACGAATCGATAATGGTGGTTGCGGCAGCGGTGGTGATGGGAGTGGTGGCATCCAGCGCTTTTTCACGAGGATGGATGCATCTCCAAGCCGCATCGTCGAGTTGGGCGCCGACGATAGCGCCGTCAGGAACAATGGCGGTGAAACGTTGGGCAGCCCAGGAACCGAAGCGGTGTCGAGGGCGGCTGGTGACCCAGATGATTCAGCCATGTCGGATGAGGTATATCGGGACCAAGCCAATCAGGCTCACATGTGCTCTCGATGCAACACCGGCTTCGACAGTTCGGGGGCGCTCCAAAGCCACCAAGACTGGCACTTTGCTAAAGACCTCCAAGACGAAGAACGTGTCAAGCCGGCATTTGTCAACCAGCCTCCAGCCGCTGCGTCTTCCTCGCGTGCCGGCAGCCAGAAAACCGGAGCCGCTGCACCGTCAAAGCGGCCAGGACGGCCAAAGAAGACTGAGAGAGGCCAGAGCAAGTTGAAATTTGGCTGAAGGGGCTTATGCATCGCCGAGGTAAGGCATGCATCGATAAACACGCAGCTGCAGCAAGGCAAGCGGACCAGATGAGTCTATCGAATCTCACAAGAAATACGGCGCGCCATATCAGCCAGAGGTGGTGGGACAGGTGGGCTTGACCAGGGCTGTCGTCTCCTGGCCCCAGATTGCCTCATGTTTGTCATACATTACCTGTTGGGTAACATGGACGAGCGGCGTCTCCTGCTGCGGGAGGATGACGCTCTCCCAACACCTACTCCGGGTCAAGCCTAGGGGACAGACCAATAGACTTGGTTAGCCGGGCTCAAGAAACGGCCTGTAGCGCTTTCTTGGGCAGGGTAAAGATGGGGAGGAAAGACTCGTCACGGATCGCCTCGCACCGCTTCCGGGATGCTCTGAGCCCGTACCCCCCTTCCTTGCATAACCCTACATCAGATGAGTTGTTGATTGTGCTCGTCCGGAGGGCACCGAGGTGCCCAGCACTAGGAACAAGACGAGAGCAGACGAAACAGGTTCCGGGGCGCTGGGAGAGGGTCTTTGGTTGACGCGCTTGCCCTCACTGAGACCGGGTGAAGCGTCGGTACCCCAGGTCCTATGATCTTCGTTCTTCCCCAGGTTACTGTTTGGCTTGAGTGACGTGAGCGGGCCTTTATTGCACGTTCAAGAGCTTCAGGGGCTTGTTCAGATCAACATTGGGCCGTCAGGAAAGTGTCCTTTCAGGAGTCTGTCTGGCTGTTTTTGCCTTCGCGTTGCTTCCGTGCATGCATTTAGCACGCTGTGGCGAGGTCGAGGTCAAATCGAGTCACCAGGAACCAGTTTGGTAGAACGCAAACGGCCGCTTCGTCTCCCCGTTTTGCGGCACTTTGAGGCGGCGTGAGGCCGTTGATTGGCTGGGAAGCCAGCCCCCCTCGCATCATGCGTCAGGTTGGGCTTCACGAGACGCATTGATACCCGACAAGAAAAAAAGAGACTCCCCAAACAAGCCAGCTCCATCAAATTGCTGATGGGTGACCAAGCAAGTCTATTACAGATTCCGCTAGCCCGATGCAAATGACACCCTTCTTTGGCCAGCAGCGACATACATGCACAGAAGACAGGCGATCCGGTAGGTGAATATATCCCGAGAGACCACGTCGCCAGCCGGAGCGTGAGCAGCGACTGTAATAACCCTAATAGCCTCTCTCCCCCCGACACACCAGGTCAGAACCGGGCCTTACTTGCACTTGTGAGTTCCTCCGGATCTGACCCAGTCTGCGCCGTCTTGCTTCCTAGGCAGTCCCCTGTGACCTATCTAGGTACCTATGTAACTGAAGGGCCGTTTCGTGCTCGCCAGCCAATTAGACAAGCAGCTGCTAGGAGAGTATTGATATCTGTTCCTGTAACAGATGCCGTCTCCGCTCACGGTCTAACTCGTGCTGGGTAGGCAAGATAGCGGTCCTGTAGAGGAGTGACTCATTCTCGTGTATCTCTGCTGCTCTCCTGGTCGTAAATAGGTACTTTTTTTTTTTTTTGCAAATGCATCGACTTGCTATCCTTCTGCCTTTCTCGGAACTTGAAGTCTGGACTATATGCCCACCTAAGTATTACAGCAGCCAAATTACCGTGGCAGGTTGCTGGCTTTTCGCAGGTCACCGAAACGGGACACCGAAGCCTCTCATCTCAGCCGGATTCCTTTTCTGCCAAAACGGTGGTCAAAAGCCAGGTTTCCAAGTCTTTCCGTCGCAGGCAACAGCGTCGGTAATGCTTTCAGCACCGGCACCGGCAAGCCAGCACCGCAACCCTTCCCATCGCGTCTGCGTGTAATTCATGCGCGGCCGCAACGCTTGATTGGCAGCCACACCAACAAGCAACAACCGACTGGACAGCAAACCGCAACCCCGAGGCCCTTCCAGGTTTCGGGCCACTTTGACATTTGATCAACGGCGCCACAGACCCAATCAGAGTCAGAAGGCGTTGGTGAGAGAAGCAGCCTCGTCACCGTATTTGGACGCCGGAACCGTCCGACTCACTGCAGTGCAACTTTGCGAGTGTCGTCGACGGGAAGGCGCAGCCAGTTTCTTTTAGATGCTCAGGTCTGCCCAGCCTCGGTAGATCAAATCGACGTTAGGGAATACAGATTACGATTTTTCATTTTCTCCAGACTCAGGCCGAAGGGCAAAGTCGGACGAGATTTGAACCCGGCGCGCCGAGTTAGACAAGTCGCAATTCCCTCGCGTCTCTCATTGTATCTCTCGGTCCCAAAATCCCACGCAACACCACTTGCACGCTCTTGCTGGTGTCCTGTTGCTATTGCTAGTCCTAGGTCTAGTGCTACAGAAACGTCTCGCCGTGTCTTTGGCCGCTCGGGCTTTCAGTGCCGGGACTGGCCTCTCTTGCCTCGCTGCAGGCAGCCCACAAGCCCACAAACGAGGCCCAGCAGCCCACTTTCTTTACGGGGCACGAGCCAACCAGGCTCTCCCACGCAATCGCAGCGAAACCACATACAGCGTGCACACCGGCAAGAAAAGAAAGGGGGAAAAACCTAGTATCATTCGGCCTGCGTGGTTTTACACTCCGGCGCAGCCACCCTTTGTCGATTGGATTGCTCGGGTCTCACCTGATTGATGCCCGCCCGCGGGTTGCTTGCTGTACGCTTGACGAACAGAGGTTGACCGAGTGAGTATAAAAGGGAGCCAAACCGAGCTCAGGTGCCTGGAGTGAGTTGTGAGGTGACCGATGAGCCACTGCTGGGAACCCCTCCATCCCGTCCACCCGCTGTCCCTTCCTTCCATTTTGTGGCGACTCGCCGACAACAGGCAGATGTACTATGTAGACGTCCGTCCTGTCAGGTTGCCATTTCATTATCCATCAGCGACCACCTCCGAGGCGGCCTGATCGTCCTATTGGCAGCGTCGGTGTTCTGCAAAGCTAGGCCTGGCATTGGACGACCTCCCAAGCTGTGCGGTGCAGTCTGCAGGTGCCTTTTTAGCCCCATAGGTTGGCAATTGGAGTGTCCCCAGCAGAGGCATCCACTGGCCGCTGGTCACTGGTCACTGGCACATAGCACCCGGCCGCGCTTTCCAGTTGCCACGTTCAGGCATCCGTTTGTCGGGTTCCATTGCCACCACGCCAAAAAGGTCCCCGTCGGACCGTCTTGGTTCGCTCTCCGTCGTCCAAACACAGACGGTGAGGCAGATGCACGCATACACGCACGCACGCACGGCACGCACGCACGCACGCACGCACGCGCACACACTTCACGCAGACGGCGCACCCTTGAGGCGCACAGCGCACGCACACGCACTAGACGGGTGGCTCCAGCCAACTGGGGAGCGCCGTTTGAGCCCACAGTCGTCGGACTGCCCAACGGAGGCGAGTTGGATGTACTGTAGGTGGACGGAGACAAGAGAGAGACGCAGCTGCAAGACGCTAGCAAATAAGGAATCCACGGCCCGTTACACTGACTGGCTGCTGCCATCGCTGCCATCCCAGCCCAGCTCAGCCAGCCCAGCCCAGCCCAGCCCGCCGGTCCTCCGTTAGTCCCCACCCCTGCCAGCCCAAGGCCTCCTCCCCACCCCAACCCAACCCCAGGCGCCGGGTGTGCCTTCGTGGCTGCTGGCCCTGCCAGTCGTGCTGGTCCATTTCTTTCTCCTCCGCCCACCCTTTCCCCTCCTCCGCCTTTTCTCGCTTTCATTCTCCTTTCCTGGTTTTTCCTGCTTGTCGCCTCGCCGGTTCCTCACCCCCGTGCTTCTTAACCTCTCTTACCGACGCTACTCCTCCGGCTCTGAAGCCTCTTCTCAGAATCTCCTTTCTGGCGTCGTCTCTGGCTCCATCCTCCCCATTATTCTTAACTTTTCACACACGTCAGCAATGGCGGCCCGGCAACCGAACAACAGGCCGAGTCAGGCCCAGCAGCAGCAGCAGGCGCTTCCCCCGACCACGCGCCAGAATGAATACTTCGTGCCCCGCGACGGCATCGACCGTGAGGTTATCACATCAGACATTTGCAGATACCTAGGGCACGATGCGCTGGTGCGGCCTGGCACATACGAGGTATGTTGGCCGATGAACCCATCGCAACGAGCAACGGAACTCCACGCTTCTCGCAACCTCCAATATGGTGGTTTTCTAATCAACCCTCCCCTCTCTGTAGTCACCAGACGGCCGTGTCACGCAAGGCTACTTCATTACGGCCTATCGCAACTTGACATCAGTGAGTCCAAGTCTGGTTCCCGCCCGCGGGGCGCCAACGTTTTGAGTGCTTAGTCGCTGGAACTGTCCGTGTCCGTGAGTTTGAGCTGAGCATCGCAACCTTGACAGGCAATGATCCAAGATCTCAAGCAGGACTCGGCTCGGTGGGAGCAGGAGAGACGTGCAGCGTCCAGGTCTTCAGGCGGTGGTGCCGGAGGTACAATGCACTCAAGCCAACCGAATGGCGCGTATTTGAGAAGCTCTAACTCGCCCGTAGGCGCTCGGGAGCAAGCTCGTGGTGGGCCGTCTGACTACAGCACGTGGAAGAACCGCCAACAACGGGACCAAGAGACCTTCACGGACTACGGAGCCATGGACATTGACTATCCCTCGGTCCCCAATCCGGCCAAGAATGTTGGCTACAATGCCGTCCCATACACGGGAGTTCCAGCTCCCGCCTACCCCCCGGCCGCGTACCCACCCCAGGCGCACCCTGCTGCTCCTCAGTTTGCCTCCCAACCCTACGGATACCCGGGCAACCTGCCCGCTGGATACTCATCCCAACCCCAGACTGCCACGGACAGGTATCCGGGGATGGCGCCGCCTCCTGCCATGGCCCCGGCCTTTGCCCAGGACACTGCCTATATCCGCGGGTCGGACTTCCGGACGGGTTATGGGGCTCCCCCGCCCAATGTGATGCCAATGCCTCTCACTTCTGGTGCCCCTTCTAGGACTTTTCCCGCTCCCACAGGAGGTGCCCCGGGCTATGGCGGAGACACGGATATTTATGGCTATTCGACAGCTGCTGGAAACACGGCTAACCAGGCCTTTCCTCAAGATCCTCAATACGGCCGCGGTGCGTCTTATGTAGCAGCCGCAAATCCTCCACCCCCGGCTTCGTCTGATGATTTAGGTCCCCCCGCAGGTACACAAACACAAGTCCCCCGACCCCCGCAGGGCTACGGCGCCGTTCCGGAACCGCAGTTTGATGACCAAAATTCCGGCCTGCCTCCCGCACCCGTCGCCCCCAATGCCGCGCCTGCTCCAATGCCCAATAATGGACAACCGGCCGCACGCCGTGACCGTGACTCGGAGCCGAGAGAACGAGAGCGAGACCACCATCGGAGTCGTCGCACAGAGCCGGACCGCGAAGACAGACATGCTGCAGAACGAGAGCGGCGTCGCCATCGCTAATCCTTTGCCAGGACTCTCTCGCAGATCTTATTTTCTTGCACTTCCTGGACTTCCCCGAACGAGACAGTCTCGTCTCGCGCGAGATGTCTTCTCGTTGATACCTGCTAATACCCTCGGCCCTGGAGTTATTCATTGCCATGTTTACCAGTTTTTTTTCCTCTCCAACTTTCTACTCCCGGACCTAGCTGCTCGCGTCTTGCAATTTTTAATTTTTTTTTACATCATCCAACGGATAGACCACCAGGACAGGGAGGCTCGCACAAACATTGAGATCTGCAAGTGGCATGCATCTCTTTGAACTTTTGGATATCATGATTTATCGGAGGCTCGACTCTTTGCCCTTTGCCAACATTTGTCGAAGACATTATTTTGCTGCATTCTCGACTAGCCCGGGATCCCCCCTCCCCTTAACGACTCGAAAACAACGTTTCTCTGTTGCCAGCATTTAACCTCCGGAGTCGGCAGTTTATGGAGTGGCAACAACATCATTGGATGGCGGCGTCGTCATGTGACTTTTTCGTGTTTATGTGTTCTTCCCCCCAGAGGCTGTGGGTGCGGAGATGCATGATACCATGGAACCGAATCTTACTGGATCTGCGAAAAGGAGAGCGATTCGGTCACAGCTTGTTGCTATGGATGTTTCCTCCCCCCGTTACTATCCGGATCGGTCGTCAGGATGATGTCTTACTCTCTGCGGGTCCGCGTCTATTGCCACGCCTTTCATACCCAGAGCGGGAGATGTTGCTGCTGATATCTTCCGGCTTGCCTGCTCGGATCCGCTTCCTCAGATCACAGAAGTTCAAGGCTGCGGCCAGAAAGCAAGGTGAGTGAACTTTTGGAATGGGTGTGCATATCTCATCAGACGAACCCCTGGAGCACAATTCGCTACTCCGTCTTCCTAACCCCGCGGCCTCCGCCCGAGCGAAACGCCAAGCGAGACTTGAGTCGACCGACTAACAGAACGCAGGCCATTTGGGATTCGCACGCACTTCTGGACTCTCTGCTGCTATGAGCACCGTTCTCAAGCTCTAGGACCATGGACTCATTTTCTACGGCGTCGTGATTTCAATTACATCCTAGGATTGGTTTCGCCCAGCCTACAGGATACACAACCCGCAGGAGCCGAGTTTCCTAGGGCTACCAAATATGGACTGGCCATCTTGCCTCGGCAGACTGTTGTCGCCAGAGAAGCCGAGCCTCGGGTGATGCATGAGTTTCGCGGTTCGGTTTTGGACCGTCCTTGCGCTGTCCAAGGCCGTCCCGAATCTTGATGAATGAGCAAAAAGAAAACATGAAGCGCACGGTAAGGCCGAGCTACCCATGCTCTTCTCCGCCACAACTGGACCTAGCACACATGGCCGGAGCCGTCTGCGGTGTTTCTGCTTTTCCCACACTGGACAGCCGTCCATCCTTCAGTGACTCGTGGTCGTTGACCAAGAGGAGGCGACAATGTGCTCATTGCGAAATACCACCCATCAGCTGTCCCTGCTTTTCACGCCATGTGCCACTTCTTAGAAGTTACGACTCTTAGCATCCAAGGTATCCATCCCAACCACTGGCATCTCTCTCTCGGGACTTGCGCCGCATGGAGTGGCTCTTTTATTTGCCCTGGAATAGAAAGTCCACAAAAGGAGTCCGAGATGAACTAGGATCTTATCATCACTCTCCATTCAGTATTTGACTTTTTGAGGACTGGACATGTCTCTATTGCCCAGGATTCCAGGACTTTGATGGCCAAACAGTCCCAAAATGGATTGCACCTCGTTTCACATGGATTCGCTCGCCTTGGACACACACTTGAGATGGCCGCGCTTCGAATCCCTCGGGGGGCATCATTGTCAGTTATATTGCCATTTTCATTTGTCATTTTCGGTTATCAAGATGATCACGAAGGATTTATGCATGCGTCGGAGTTTCGGCGCTTGGGAGGGCCGGAAGCATGAGTGCTGACGTGTCTACGCAGACAGTTTCTGGATCACTGCTGGAGACGATTTGCCTTCTTCTCCCGGATTGCTGTTTTCTTGCTGATTGCCGGCCATATCTTGTGCTTTTTTCTGGCTGTGTTTTCATTTCTTACGGTGCGGCATTTATTGCATACAATACGGAATAGTGGGCGGGAAAGGAATACGTTCTTGCTTTGCTTTGGGGCGAATGGAGGCATTCGTGTCGGTTTGAAGAGAAACTTTTCTTGTATATTCTGTATGGCACACGGGCACGCTCTCACACATCACCATACATTGTGGCGCGCATTTTCACATTTTGCCTGGTTGCTGGCTGGGCGGTCAATGGAGTAGTTACTACTAGATTGGGAAATGAATGGCTGGTTGGGAAATAACGAGTTTTTCTGTTTTGCGGCGGGAGCGGAATCTTTCCTGGGTCCGGGAACGGCGAGGTCGGCTAAATTCTATTTTATTTTTGAGCTTTGAAAGCTTTCAAAGCAAGCATTTTTCCCATCTGGATCATTCTGTTGGGTGTGGATATACCCAGACTGATTTGCTTGCTTGTTCCTGCCTGTGTCTCTTCGCCCTCGCTGTCGGCCTATCTGTGTCTCGGCATCGGGAGATAGTATTACCTTTCACCCGTCCTCTTTTTGCATATACATGCCTATCTCAAAGACATTCGTTACTATTGCCACGGTTGATCGATACATGTAATACCTATCTATGTACTTCTCTCAAAGCACCCTAAATTTCGACTCTTCCTTTTCTGACATTACGCCAACATGCACCGTTAGAAACATCTAAAATGCCTTTGCCACCCTTTTGAGAAGACAGTGTATTATCATATATTCTCTTGCTTCGTTTACTGGAAAGCACTTCTTGACTAATTGTTCCTCCTATTAAAACAACTCTAGATAAGTATCTACGCTTGTTGTTGCGTGACGGATGAGAGCCAAAGGGTGTGTTATTGGCCTCGCGACCATCTTTCTGTTTTCACGTATAACGCCGTCGCCGCTTTACTGGGGATGTCTTGGGCACTACTCGCGAGGTTGGTAGTAGTTTAAGCAGGTAGGTAAGGTAGTGAGGATGAAGATATCTACATACCTAGGTATCTTTCGTACGGGATAGGTTTTGAGTACAGAGCTTATGTAGCAACCACATGCGGATATGTTGAGGTCGGTCCTAGGCATGCAAAGATTACTAGGTCTGTATATGCATAGGAACAGGAGTGGCTCTGTTCAAGAACTCGGACGCGCCGTCATATTCACACCTTGAGTCGGCGTTCAGCAACCAGTTTAGATTGTTGTGTCGAGTATTGACCGGCAAATAGGGGACAACAGGGCAAAATGTGCTTCGATGGTTCAAGGCCGGTGTGGTCGGCTGAGCCTTGGGCAAATTTGGCAGCCCGTGGGCTAGGGTGGAAAGAGATCTATGTCTTGGTCGAGATGTCTAAATATACAGTGCAAAAGTTATATGTTGGGGCAGATATATATGGATGTTCGCCTCGTGTCGGCGTCAATATCACGCACCCCATTTTACGCCCCTTCCTACTTCTCGCCCATACCGGAAGCTCTCTGTCACAACTTGATTCTCGTTTTATGTACACCATGGGCTTAAGATGGGACACCAGATTACGCATCCCTTCCTCTTATTAGATCGACTCGGCTGACTCACTTGTCTCAGTTCTACACTCGGGCTCTGTCGAAGTGTCCAGGAGCTACACTCCATACTACCCTTCAGAGCCTCAATCAACACCGCTAACTTAAGTTAGGGGCTTACAACCTCCCCGCTCGACTTGGTCTTTGGTAACATCAACAGCGTGTTCAATACGGCTTTAGGTATTCCAGCCACTCGGCTAGAAACATCCAACCTATTGACACGGTTCTGAGTGCAGAGCTGAAGACGGGGAGCGGATAGACATCGACGGCAGATTCCACGTTGGGCCGGAGGGAAGGAAAAGGTGCCAGTCCTAGTTCCTGTACCCAAGATGGGCATCTGCCCCAGTCTAACAACCCACCTCACATCATAGTTATACCATCGGCCCGCCTACATTGCTTGTCTCATCGCCGTTGGCTCGGTGTTCAGGAAGCCGAGGCAAGGCAGCTAGCTGTCTTGCAGTAACTCGGAAAGAAGCTGGACTCAGTTCCCAACTCGGCGCTTGCCGGGTTCGACCATCACGACGACTACCACATTCGCTGCCACCCCCTAGAAGGACCCCTCCAAGATCTTTGTCGGATACACCAACCACCCGGATAGCGATCCAGTGGCAACGATGGCTTCCTTGTATACGCAGGCGTGAATGCCAAGGCTAACTTAGCCGACCTCAAGGCAAGCATGTTTGACCTGAACCTTAGTGTGGGGGCCCAGACAGATACTGGAACGAAGAACTACTCGGTGGGAGCGCACCTCCTGGGCACTGGATTCACCATTGGCAAGAAGATGTCCATATCGACTTTGGGAGACTCTTTGGCTAGGCAGACCAAAGAGTGGTCTAGGCTCCCAACGGCGGCAGAGACTCTTCCGGCTGAGTCGGGCTCATGTCAGCGAGTGTTTTTGGGCGAGGTGGTCGTTTCTTATCTTGATTAGGGAGGAGAGCAAAGAACTGCGAGTTTATAAGAATCCAAAGTCCAAAGAGCAAAGTAATATTGAATGCAAGATCTCTCTCCTATATGGCGTTATTTTCTGAAGGGTTAAGTCTTGAAGGCTTGAGGCTTTCTCTCTTCAGAGACAGAAAGACTTTGTGGAAGTTCTGCTTCACTGGTCAACCGCTGTCAAGGATATAAAACAGGCCAACAAATATAAAGGATGAAATACGAAGCCGAGAGCTATCCTTTAGTCCATGCGAGAGGAAAGAAAGGAGACGAGTCAGAATAACTTCGGCATATCGAAAGCACGGTCATGAACGACCGAAGCAGGTGAAATGTTCGTACTTCGTATATATATATCGGTATACGCTGGGTACTGTATGTACCTAAATGGTTTAGTTATATAGCAACAAGTCAATGCTGCTTACAGAGTACTACCTTGCGTACTGGCATGGACCATCATGGAAACCAGAATGCACTAGAGCGGCTATGTAGTGCATCGCCGTGCCCCAGAAACCTAGAATCTTGATCCCACGTTGACAAACCTTTACCTACCTAACCCGCGGCTGAGATGCGTGTCGGAGAATTAAACCGACAGCGTTTTGGCAGAGGCCCTGCTTATCTCCCCCCGTACTGTATCCGTACTTCGTTGGATTTAGGCATGTGCAAGACAAGGCCATGTGCGATTTTCAGGAACAGGCAGGGCGGGAAAATCTTATCCATCCCGCTGCCTCCCCTCGCCTTCTGCTTTCTCTCACCGGCGCCAGAGGGGGCGCGGTGGGCAGACCTCTGGAAAGACTACCAGTGGTTGGCGGCCGACCGCCTGCACCTTGATAAGTGGTAACAGTCTGTCTGGCGCGCGAGGCACGTGCGAGGCTAACCCAACCGGCATGGTCCCCATCGGGAAGAGGGTGGGGTGGTCGCTGATCGTGATACGGAGTACGCTCTAGTTCTCCCCCCTCCCCTCCCCCCCCTTTTTTTTGGCCTGTTTCTTCTTAGGTTTGCCATCTCTCCAAATCTCTACTACTAAAATAGGGTGAGGTAACAAGCCGGTGGTCAAGCGTGGCTCCTAATGCGAGGGGAATAAATCTTTTGAATGATTTTGTGCGTTCTTGTCGAAGCCCTGGCGTAGTGGCGTCGGCGAATGAAGAACGACACGCATGAATGGCGGGGGATAAGGAAGGAGGGGTGGTCCTGGCCCAATGGTGGTCACCGCCTTTGGGGCCATCATGGTGGTGGGGTCTTGCGCCCTCATCTCTGATGGGTTTTGCTAGGAAATCCCAGAGCAAACTTGCATATGAAGGCGGTCAATGATCCTTTCTCCCGCGCGCGCATCGGATATCGGGTACATCACTCTGCACAAAATTTTTTTCAGGTGATTTGGCCCTCCTAGCAAGAGCACTTGGGGCTTGTGATACACGTGGCCGGAGCGAGTTTGTGTCACTGCATAAGTACACTTCAATCCCAGCCAGCAGATTGCCAGGGTCCGTGGTTTAAACTCTCGAGTGGCCCGCCAATCCGTCCGTTCATGGCCGTGCATCAGCGGTATCCAAGATCCAAAAAGCTGATGTGTGTGCGGTTCCCGAAACAACTGCTGCGTAGCGGGTTGGGTTGGGTGTCAGCTGTTTTCAAGGAGATTGACGGACGCCGCAAACTGAGGTGGTGGTTAGCTGCTAGCTTCAAATCCTTGGGCCCACGGGACTCGTCGTGTCGTTTCGTTGCAGACGACCGGCAGTAAAGAGCCCATGGTTGGGCTTTGTTCGCCTTGTTCTTATTCGCCCGAGATGAGGAAGGCAAACAAAGGTGAAGTGATTGAGGACGAGAGAGAGCTACCGAGGGCATCGAGGTTGGTTGGCCAGGCACGTCTTTGACCACAGCTCGGACTCTTCGCTTGGTTGTCTGTCCATACATGCTGTGCTGTAGCCTCTTGCAATTTTGAGGTGGCAATGTTGTCCCAGAGCGTCAAAACACTACTCTTGAACCTGCTGCATTGAACAACACAACAAAAAAATTGTGAGAAAACCCCCCTAGACCGACACCCGTTGCTTGGGCTTCTTCCGCATAGGGTTTGGGCGTCTGGAAATCGGTTGGCAGGTGGTTAAATCGTAGCGGACCCTAGAACGCTGCCAGCCTGCGCTGCCGCTCAAGTCTCGACACCCCTCCGCACAACCCCTCCACTAGGCTGGGCAGGGCTGGATGGCAGTGCGGGCAGTGTGGGCAGTGCGGGCAGCTGCCGCCCCCTGACAGGGCCCTGACTGGCGACACCGCGTGAACCTCTGAACCCTCCTAGGCCCTCTCTTAACTTCATATGCCCCGCCATTCTGGGGCTGTAGCCGACCCTAGACTGCAGCAGTTGCTTGGGAGAACTAACGGGACGCGGATTTTGACCCAAATTTTTTTTAAGCTTGGCCGCCCTCGACATCTTCAACCCACATCTAGTTTTTGTCCCCTTCTCCCCCCCTTCGCCAGCACTCATTACTGCCCCTGAACGCGTCTGGATGCTCGAATTGGTCTAAAAAGCTGCCCACGATGGATGCCGCCGCCATTCGCCGTTGCATCGTCGCCACCCTCGACGCCAACGCCGAGACTCGCCACCAGGCCGAGCTTCAGCTGAAGCTGGTACGTTTGTTGTTGTGGGTTATTTTGAGGCTGCGCTGCGTGCTGCGTGCTGCTTATCGAGATTCGAGACACGTTCCCGCCCCCCATCCCACGTTGCTGTCTCGCCCATTTCGCGACGGCGACAACAAATCCATCCGCACCATGGCTAGCACTGACTCTTTTTCCATCGCAGGCCGAGGAGCAACCAAATTTTACAGACATCCTTCTGGATCTCATCCAGTCCGAGCCAAATGTCAACCTCCAGCTTTCCAGTATGTCCACTGTCGCGATGTTACCCACCACGCACCCCTCAACATACCCCATATTCCTCTTTGTTCCCAACAAAAACACCCAAGGAACACTACTGACTTTCGCCTGCCAGCCGTTATCTACCTCAAGAACCGCGTCAACCGCGCGTGGCAAGCCCAGGATGCCTACCCTGCCGAGTCGATGATACCCGAGGATGCCAAGGGGCGCTTTCGAGACCGGTTACTGCCCATCCTCGCCGGGTCTCAGAACCTGGTGCGCCACCAGCTGGTTCCTATCCTGCAACGCATCCTCCACTTCGACTTCCCGGGTCAATGGCCCAAGTTCATGGACTACACCATCCAGCTGCTCAACACCAATGACGCGCCCTCGGTTCTCGCTGGTCTCCAGTGCCTTCTCGCCATCTGCCGAGCCTATCGCTTCAAGGCCGGTGTCGGGGGCAGCAGAGAGAATTTCGAGAATATTATCGAGGCGAGCTTCCCCAGGCTGCTGACGATATGCAACGAGCTGGTGAACCAGGAGAGCGAAGAGGCTGGGGAGATGCTGCATATCGCCCTAAAGTCGTACAAGCATGCGACATGGGTAGGTTTTGATCGGGAGCAGGGGTGGACGCCCGAGATAGCTCACTGACCGCAATATCGCAGCTCGAACTGTCCGAGTTCCTCCGGCGAGGACCCGTCAACTTGGGATGGTGTACCGTCTTCCTCCAGACCGTGGCCAAGGCCACGCCTGCCATTGCCATGAACGAAGACCCCCAAGAGCGAGAGCGTCACCACTGGTGGAAGGCAAAGAAGTGGGCCTACTTTAACCTCAACCGTCTTTATATTAGGTATGGGATTCCCCCCTTGAAAACTCATGACCATCTTGGTCTCTATTGCTGATGGACCTGCAGACATGGTAACCCGCAGTCCTTTATGGACAAGGCTAGCGAAAGCCAAGCCTTGTTTGCCAAAGAGTTCTCAGCCCAGGTTGCGCCCGAAATCCTCAAGCACTATCTCTCAGAGATTGAGAAGTGGGTTTCCAAGACATCTTGGCTAAGCCGGCCTTGTCTTTCGTATACGATTGTGTTTCTCGACGAATGCATCCGCCCCAAGGAAATGTGGACACACCTGATGCCGCACTTGACCAACCTGGTTACGCACTTCATCTTCCCCGTCCTCTGTCTTTCCGAGGATGACCTTGAGAAGTTTGAGGAAGAGCCGGAGGAGTATCTTCATCGCAAGCTTAACTTCTACGAGGAAGTGTCTGCACCCGATGTCTCGGCCACTAACTTCTTGGTCACGCTGACAAAGGCTCGGAGGAAGCAGACGTTTGAGATCCTCAAGTTCATCAATGAGGTGGTCAATCAATATGAGCAGGCTCCCGAAGACAAGAAAAACCACATTGCAAAGGAAGGTGCTTTGCGCATGATCGGAACGCTCGCGCCGGTGATTCTGGGTAGGAAATCCCCAATCGCCGATCAGGTCGAATATTTCCTCGTCCGTTATGTTTTCCCGGATTTCAGCAGCCAGCAAGGTTTCCTCCGAGCCCGCGCTTGCGATACTGTTGAAAAGTTCGAGGCGTTGAACTTCAAGGACCAGGGCAATCTCCTCATCATATATCGCCATATTCTCGACGCCATGGCGGATCCCAAGCTCCCAGTCCGTGTGACCGCGGCCCTGGCCCTGCAGCCCCTGATTCGGCACGACATCATCCGGACGAGCATGCAGCAGAGCATCCCTACCATCATGCAACAGCTCCTCAAGCTGGCCAACGAAGCTGACATCGATGCCCTGGCAAACGTAATGGAGGATTTTGTCGAGGTCTTCGCTGCCGAGCTTACTCCGTTCGCCGTGGCTCTTAGCGAGCAGCTACGTGACACGTACCTGCGCATTGTCAGAGAGCTGCTGGAGAATAACGAGAAGCGAGATGATCCGGAGGCCGAGTACGGCGACTTCCTAGATGACAAGAGCATCACAGCACTAGGAGTCTTGCAAACCATTGGCACTCTTATCCTCACACTCGAGAGCACTCCAGACGTCCTGCTCCATATTGAAGGAGTGCTGATGCCCGTTATCCAGGTGACGTTGGAGAATAAGCTTTATGGTAAGCCAAGCTCCCCTCTTCTTGCCCGTCTTTTGCCTGGGAGCTTCCCGCGCTACCGGTGCTACCTACGAATATATTCTAACTGTCTCTCCAGATCTTTATAATGAGGTTTTTGAGATCATCGATAGCTGTACATTCGCCGCTAAGCAAATCTCCCCTACCATGTGGCAGGCGTTTGAGCTTATTCACACGACCTTCAAGTCTGGAGCCGAGCTGTATCTCGAGGATATGCTGCCTGCCCTGGACAACTTTGTGCAGTATGGTTCCCCGCAGCTCATCCAGAACCCTGAGTATGTCAAGGCATTGTTCTCGATGGTCGAAGATATGTTCACGGACGGCAAGGTTGGCGGTGGCGTAGACCGGATTTGTGCGTGCAAGCTCGCCGAGGCCATAATGCTGAGCCTCCGCGGTCACATTGACGGCTGCGTTCACGGATTCATCAACATGGCAATGGGTGTGCTCGCAACACAAGAGGTCAAGATCAAACCATACAGGATCCACCTCATGGAGATGGTCATCAACGCCATTTATTATGACCCTCTATTCGCACTTCGCATCCTCGAATCGCAAGGATGGACGAACAAGTTTTTCAGCCTCTGGTTTGGCAGCATGGACTCGTTTACCCGAGTGCATGATAAGAAACTGTGCATTGTGGCCATTGTTGCGCTTCTCAACATACCGGCCGACCAGGTCCCGGCGAGCGTTTCAGTCGGGTGGCCCAGACTCCTCCAGGTTAGTCACGTGTATTTTCAATACTTCAATGACGCCAGACATAACCTAACATTTACCAGGGCATCACGGTTCTCTTCAGCTCCCTGCCAGCGGCATTGAAGAGTAAGTCTAAGACTCTAACCCTGATTTGACCACGACAGCTGATAAGGCTCCAGACCGCGATGAGGCTTTGAAGGATGACTTCCAACTCGAAGGCGGAACTTACGGTTATGAGGACGAGGACGAAGAGTGGAACGAGGACGAAGCGACCTGGGATGCCGAAGGGGGAGTTGAGGAGGAGTCTAGCGACGCCAAGGATGAGAGCACAGCGTATCTCGAGTTCCTCAACGAGGAGGTAAGGACCAGATGGATGCCCCCTTCTGCGGTCGAGTTGACATTGAGGATACTTCAGATCCGTAAGGTTGCTGACATGAACTTGATTCAGGCACAAAAGTTCGGCGCCACAGAAACAGAGCTTTCTGAGGACGAGCTTGGCGAGGACAGCGTGCTATTAGAGACTCCCCTCGACAAGCTCGACCCCTACAGCACTTTCAGACTTTCGTTCCTGAGTAAGTTTCTGCCCCTCGGTCTCGTACTGGAGTGAATCTGTTCGCCACCCATTAGACGTCTGCTAATTCCGCCACAGAAATGCAACAAGAACAGCCCCAATTCTACGCGTCCTTAACCTCACACCTGTCTACCGAAGAGCAAACCGTCATTGCAGCAGTTTGCCAACAAGCCGAGGTCCAAGCTCTTGCAGCCCAGCAACAGGCTGTGGTGGCCGCCCAAGTAGCCGCAGCCGCAGCAAATGGTACGAGCTAGTGAATGACCCCCTTGACAGCTTCGGTCCGTTGGTAGTGCATATCAGTGTTTGCCAAGATGGACCTCGAGCCACGGAATCATTGCAACTATGGCACTGTTTCCCAACACTGCCCTCCGTTACACCACCTACCATTATTATTACCCAAGACCCCCGGTTCGATGGGGTTGATAGCCGAGCCGATTATGCTTCCAAAAGTCTCACCGGGTGCAAGTGTACCAAGAACCGAGACGAAACGCAGGTGATTGAAGAGGTGGACTGGTAAGAGTTTAGGTGTTTTACAGGCGCTGGGTGGAGACTAAGGGCAAGACGAGCTATTTTGGTGGCGGGAGGGATACAGGGCATGCAAATGCGGCGTCACCTGGCCGGGATCTTAGGAGAATGAGGATATAATTCTTCATTTATTTAGTCACTCTACGTATGCGCCGCTTCTGTACTCGCCCGTCTTCGATCCCCTCTGGGCCCGGGCATAAGGGTTACCTAGAGGAGATGGATTATAGTTGGCCGAGAAAACACAAGCTATCATAGCGAGTGTGTTGTCGAATATTTCACCAGCGAGTATGTTTTGTCTTCCGAAGTCCGGATCTTGCCATGTAGGGAAGGTAAGATTCTTTGATGTAAGTGACTTGCACGTGCCTGCTAATCTTGTCGTCAATGGCTGTTGGTGCTCTCGAGGGGTCAGCCCATACGACTGAAAGAGTCATGTCATATACTCAGTGTCTCGGAAATTCAACTCCCAAGACATATCTTTACCGAGTAATAGGGAATACAGCACTGATATATATCATCCCTGATGACCCGTCTGCCTATCTGTGTCTCTGCGCCTTTGTCCATTGGCCTCTTTGTCTCCCTGACCGTTGTCACCCTTCCAAAACATCTGACTCCCCTATCTTACCCCTTGAGATGGCAGAGTGTTGGAAGTGCTGGTCGTCTCAATAGGGTGGCAGACCGCCAACCAAGCAGGATGGGTGTTCGGAGTAACAGTTTGTTGATCTCACTTCGTGCTTTCAGTGTGGTGGTAATGGATCATCTTGTCTACCCACCGCTGGCCGTATCTATGGATATAGTTCTTCGACATCCCGTCCATGAAGACTGAGCTGATCTTGCTAGCCAGCTTGTTCCGGTTTGTTGACCTAACCAGGCTAGCTTTATCTTGGGATTTACAACCCAATCATCTGAATGTTTATTAGCGATGGACTTTCCAGGATTTGAAAGGGCTCAATGCGTTACGGTTCGCACGAAAGGCTTTTCGCCGAAGGAGGTCAAGGCTATTGAAATCCCAGAATCCCAGAGGCCTACCTCTTCTCTCAAACACCTATTGAAGGCTTTTCCTAGCCGGTTTATTTGCTAGGCTATAATATTTATCTTACCCAAGTGCTAGGCCAACAAACATTCAGGGACTAGATTGTTGTCTCGTAGTTGCTACTAGTAGTCTGGGGCTCTGGTAGAAATCCAAGGTACGTAGCTTGATGTGCCGAACAGTTGCCCTGTCTGCATAGGCTGGCGGCGTCTCAGATGTTGTATGTACGTATGTGTTATTCAGCTAGCTACGACCTGCAATCTCACTGTGGTGGCGAAAGTAGGGCGCCTCTGAGTGTGAGTGTGATGGCGGTACAGTCGGCCTGCCAAGGATCTGGGAAGCATGATGTAAGGCAGGGCGATGGCAGGGCGATGGTAGGGCATACAATAGGACGATCGAGATGGCAAAGTCAACAAAGACGGAATCACTATCATACGACCTCATCTAACTAATACTTTCGATTGCGGCTGGTGGCGATGGGTTCAAGCCGTACCACTGTTGCGGTTTCAGTACGGTGAGGATTCGCTTTCTCCCACGGGTGGCGAATGAACGACATAAACAACACGATCTCGTGATATTGGCCTGCTCAACCATTGGACCCCCAAGATATGTTGGCGTCCTTGACACAATATGCATTTCACATTTTAAAAACTCGATCCCAAAAGTTTTATGCAGCCACTGCGGGCTGGCCACTAGCAAATATGGACAGAGATATCTAGACGACGTGTTGCTCGCAAGAGGGTGTTGGGGGGGGGGGGCAGTATGAGGGCCTAGACCGTTCGTCCTTTTGCAAGTCACGCAAAGGAAAAAGATGACAGCCAGCACAGCACATACATTTACCAATCAAGCCTCATCCAATAAAATTGCAACGGGAAGAGAGAGAAAAAAACTTACAGCAACTGTATGGCCATCTGGTAGGTAGCTGTTCTCCGCCGGCATCGGAGAATTTGACTTGACATGATATCTCTAGCTCGTACTAGCCACTCATCTTTAGGACGGCAATGCCTGCCTTACTTGGGTATCTGTCTTCCGTGATATCACACAGTGAGTGACTGAGCAAGCGAGCAGCTCAATACATGTCCCCGACAAACTCTACCGCATATATACATATTATACTTGCCCTAACCAGTGTACAATCCGTCCCAAATGACGATGGATATGGCCACCAAAACGGAGAGAGAGAGGGCAGCAAAAGCCCGCAGAGACGACCGGCAGCTGCGATCACATCGCCCGCGTATCTTTGGTCACGTTTCTCTCTCTTCCACCCTCTCCTCCAGGAAGGGCAAAAAACCCCGAGCCCCTCGAAGCTGTTTTTCAGCTGGTGTAAGTAAGTACCTTTGTAGATTTGTATCAAAGCACGTGGTAGATATGTAAATGTGTAGGTAGGTAGGTAAAACACAAGAAGGTAGTAAGAAGAAAGGAAAAAGAGAAAACCAGACTCCCTCCAAATCCCATCCCGAAAACCGGCGACCCTTGTCTTTTTACATATACACATGGGTATGGGTTTTTTGGGGGCGTAAAACGAAAATAGAAGATACACTCCGTTTACCGGACTGGCGTTTTTTTGTGCTGTGAATGCTAGACCCTAGTGTGCGCGGATCCGGAGCGCCAGTGTGATGAGTGTGTGTGTGGGTGGTGAGACACAGAAAGAGAGAAAGAGAGCGCGCGTGTTGTGTGGAAAGTCGGCACTGCCGGAAATTACCTAGACTGGATAGAAATAGAGCAAAGTGGACTCGTTTTCCTTGTCCAATGATTAAGCCTTTTCTTTACGAATGAATGCCTGCCGCGGGGCCGGTCTTCCTCTTTTTTCGTTTCTCGAGCAAGTTGGGAGAGAATACAGGGTCTACTCTGTGCAGACTGGAACACAAACTGTCTCTCTCTGTGTGTGATGGCGATGGCGGTGTTGATGTTCACACTCGGTTTACGCATTTGCCAGCTGCAAGCTGAGAACTAGGCCAGTCCCAAAGGGAAAAACAAGAAGAGAGCTAGGTCCCCCCGTCTTCGCCGGCGCCGCCCCGGATCCCCCCGTGGAGCAAAGACCTGGATATGGGGCTATCCGCTCTGTTTTTCGCCTCCCCCACTTCTTTTCCAGCCTCCTCGCCGAAGCAGGCGCCAGCCGGGCGTATGGTTGTGTATTGGCCTTGCTTTAGGCGGCCAGCTACGGAGGACCCTGCGGGACGGAGCCGCGAGCGGCGGGGAGCCGGGCGGCAGGCAGGCTTTCTGTTTTCGTGAGCTGGGAAGCCGTTCCATCCGCCAAGGTCTACCAATGCGAGAGAGGAGGATGGAGAGAGAGATGCGGAAGGGATTGGCTGTCTGAAGAAGCCGTCCATTCCACCCCTCCCCTTTTTCCTCATTGCTTGTTTTTCGTGGACCTCTACGTCCTCTGGACCCATACCTAGACCCTCTCTTATCCAAGGACACAGTGAATCACAAGGGTAAACGTTGGTGGAAATTTTGGACTTTCCACAGAGATATTTTCGAATCGTGTAGATACACGTGTACGTGGGTGGTCAGCCCGGTTTGAGCCTAGGGGTTGGATTTTCGTCAACACGATCAACGATCATTCACCATCGATGCCTCTAGCTTGAACAGTCTCTCCTGCCAAGATTGCCAAGTCTAGTGCTCGGTATTCTTTTGAGGCCAAGTACATCTATCCTCTGGTCTGCTGCTTGTTCGTGCTGTGCCCAATGGATTATTGAACACATTTGGCGAACCGAGGAGCCAACAAAAACATAAGCATCAAGTCATCAGATGGGACGCCACGAATAACCAGAGGAGGAGGGTAAGGAAAGGGCACACACACGTGTACTAAGCAAAATAAGGTTAGAATTGTCAAAAGAATCCGAGGGAAAATGTAGAAGGGAAACCGCGCTGAGGTAGCAGGTACATGCAAATAAAGACCAGTTCCAAGAGGATGCTTGGAAGGCTGATGAGACGGGGGTAAATGCATAAACAAAAGTCGCGGTACATTGAATGAGGGATTTTCTTCTTTTCGCCTGGCGCCTGGCTGGCTGAACACTCTTCCTCTTGCTCTCAGGCCACAGTGGGAACACTAACACACACAGCTACAAGAGGTGTGGTGGGAAAGAAGTTTCCTCCTACTTTGCTGTTCCGTAACATGTGCAAGAGCATGCCAACAGACTGAGAGTTAGACGGGTGTTTGCTTTCCAATGAACCAACGACCGGTCGAAGGTTCGTTCTCGTCGTCCAGGCTGACGCTCTCTGCAAGGACCATGAGGCAGCTTCTAGTCCTCTCGGGAGATGCCCACTTGAGTGCCCAGTCGGTAGCAACTGGCCGCGGTGTCACCCTCTTGATATTGTTTTTTGGGGTTGCGGGAACATGTTTGGATAGTGAATGCGCCACACACGCACGGCTGAATGTAAGCCAACTGTAAACCTGTCTCGATCCTGCTAAGACCCGGCGTCTCAAATGAGCGGCTGTCTCGCAGTCATGGCCAAAGAAAATCTTCCTTTACTAAGCAGGTTGGGAGGTGCTTGATTGGTCAAATGAGTAATGTCAGCAGCTTCGCAACGGACGGATCAGATCAATGAGGAAGGGAACCCTGCATTTTTACACGGTGAAAAAGGGCGCGGGGGGGAGGGGGGTCGAGAAGAGGAGAGGCGAATGCTGCTCGGGATGCGGTATCCCCATCCACACACCGCCACTTGCGGCGGCGGGATTAGATGAGGCTCTCCAATTCGCAGCGCCGTTCCCCGACAGACGCGCAGAAGATCGTGTTGATGCGATTCGAGTTCGACTTTGAGGGTGGGGAAAACACGTCCGTCGAGTCGAGAGGCCATCGAGGCACCGTACTAGTAGCATGCATCGCGCAGAAAATAGTCCCTACCGCAGACCCTGTGCCGTGTCGTCGTCCATCAATGCCGCACCATTTCAGCTTTCCTGCTTCCATTTGCTCATGGCCAGGCGGCCAGACAGACATCGACGGCCATTGAAGGCGGGAAACACTGAACACTGGCTGGGGTGGGATGCTGCCTCAACTGACGGGCAAGAGTGCGGGGGCGGGGAACAAAAGTCGAGAGGCTACTGGCAGACACCTTAGCCCACGTCGTGCGACCAACCAATCAGCCAACCAGGGACTGCTCGGCTGCGGAGCCGAGAGCAATATGCATCCAAGACGGTAGTCGTGTGTGAACATGTCTGGGCTTAGGTTGTCAAGGTCAAGAGAGCCTGGCGACAGGAGGGCGCCGAGCTGCTCAAAGCGGTTTCAAGCGCACTTTTGCACCACCTGGGGCACCACTGGACGAGTTTTTGGGATAAGTGATCGGTAGAGGTAGCGCGATCGAGGCAATCGACTCGAACCAAGACAAGGCAGCGGAGCGCCCAGGCGGGAGATCGCAATGCCAAGACGGCTCGATAGCCTGGAGCCTTGTCTAGCCGGCTGCGTGGCCGCTGTGGGTGGCCTGTGTCACAGTGTGTGTTCGGGCACTGGGAAGGGGGGGGGGGAGGACGAGAATGTTGCAAGCCTGCAACTTGGCCCGACCAGGGGACCCGCTTCATTCCGATTTTCCCCTTGCTGCCACAATCGACAGGATGCCCATAAACAACATCCAGCCCACCAGTTCACTTACACCCATTTATGTCCAATCTCATCTGGACACTGGGCTGTTACGGCACAAGACCTAAGACGTGCTGTACGGAGTGCGAATACCCATATGAGATAATTAGTAACGGTGTTTACGAAAGTTCCAATGCGTATCCGTACTTCCGCCATGAAGAGCCTAACATCGATTGACGGCAGCTCGGTTTCATGAACGGTGATTCTGACAGCTTTGAAAGTTTGCTTCAGCTATTTTGCGGGTCCCAGTCCAAGCAAACGCGCAAGAGCCCAGCTTCATAGCATACTTATACGGAATCGAGAGACGTAATTGTGGCTTTCCTTCTCAGGGTTGCAGTGACAGCAGGCGAGTTATCGAAATGCAATGCCATCCGTATCATATCCCTACGGACTAGCGCAGGTAACCAACATCAGCTTAGGTACCTGAGTGCTTGAGGTGCAGGTCAAGCTGTGGTCTGTGTGTGCAATCTGAGAAAGTCCGAGTCCAATGGCTGTGAGTTCCCGTCCGCTGGCCGCAGGGTCACCGTGGGTCCGTCGGGGCCGCTATTCCTTACTTTCAATTTTGGGACGGCCGCAGATGCATTGTGTTCCAAGCGTCAACAAGCGGCAAGCGGCAAGCGTGGGGGGCTGGGCGAGGTAGTAGGTCGAAAAAGTGTCGGGTGTAGCTCACGACTCGCGAAACCGAGGGAGTAGTGCTACGGAGCAAGTGTACGGAGTACATCCATATATACCTCGGGAAGTTACACAAAAATCCAGGGCCCCGGCTTACCGCTTCTGGCCGTTTCCGGCAGCGGCGGCGGCGGACCCAAGGGTTTAGCGGCCCTGCCCTAAATTAGAGATTACAGCAGTAGGACAAGACAATAGTTTGGACTCCTGCAACAGAGATGCGATACTCGGTCTATCGAATTTTGGACTTTTGGTTGTGGATCACCCTTCAAGTCAAACAGCAACCACAGTGTGCGTCCGGTTCGAAACAAGAATTTGAGTTCAAAAAAGTCAACTCTCACTCATGACGGGCGCCGAGAAGTCTTGGCAACGGCTGTACCTTAGATACGACCCCGAACGCCCCAAGAGAACGCCTCTCCTGAACCGATCCTCATCGACTCTTCGTGTCTAGCAGAGGAGAAGCCTCGGAGCAAACTGTCTGATGGGCGGCTCAATAGTATACCATCTCTTAAGTCCGTTTTGGCGTACAGGGTCTTCTCATGGTGCTTTTCGTGCAAGCTCCTCCCTTAGTTCTGAAGTTTCTGGTACACCACTTGAGAAACCATCAGATTACACCCCTCCATCCATCCCATGACGTGAGAATAGATTGCAAGCAGCTGCACAGTGCACGGGAAGCTCTGGGAGAAACCGGGCGCCACCACGCCCATCTCCCCGCTCACAATGAGTGACAGGCAACCTGTACGGGGTTGGAGTTGGAAGCATGACTGCCAACCACCTCTCAACTCCCATTTATCTGTGTGAAAGAGGAAGGCCTTAGTTGCCGGGTCTCTTCACAAACCGCGACGGCGATTAAGATGCTAGAGCTTATTCTTGCAGCCGCATCTCGAGGCATTAGAGGCTTAACTGAGTAATCTAGGCTTTAAACGAGGAAACCCCGTCTAGATGGATATGTGAGACAGACATGATTGAATGACACGGCGACTTGAGGCTCAAACACGCCCAGTGGCGCCCCAAGCTTAGTGCATGCAACAAACTTACAAACGTCTTTGCCACTGCTCGAAAGCCCCGAGCCCTAATAAAGAAATGATGCAATCGTCTGGAAACATTCCTCTTCAGGCACTTGATCCGACGGCAAAAATGACAAAGCCACGATCAACAGAGGCCCGCTGTGGATATTTGGTGGGAAGGGCACCTTCCCCCGCCCGGAGCCCGCTTCCACAACCAGCTGGGGCAGCTGGCAATGACGCAGTTTGCGCTGCACAAGTCGCCTGGCTTGGCAGGGATTGGCAGCCAAAGTATCGCTACTTTGAAAAGTCTCACGGCGAATTGTGAACTTCTTTTTTGAACTCCTCTGGTTTTACCAATTCACTTGACTAAAGTCTCAGTCTCTGAAAACCGATGAGCTCAGCTAAGAAGCGCTCCGGCAACGTCTCTCTTTGCGAATTGAGTTCTCAACGAGACGCTGTTCTGTGCTGCTGTGCAGCCGTTGAATGACTTGCGGTGTGTTTCGAAAAGTCAGAACGGTGTTCGGCGACTGTCTGGGCCGCCGCTAGTTTTTTTTGCCGGCCTCCTCCACCGTCCTTGACCCCCGGAGGTCGGCAAATCGCTCTGGGCGCGAGTGGGCGCGAGCGGCCTGACCATCGAGTTCTTTAGCGCCTCCCGTCTTGCCAAGAGGCCACAAGCGAAAAGCGATCGGTCACCCTGCCAAGAAAGGTGATCGGCCGCCATCTCACATCTTGTGCTACAGTACATGCTGAATACGTACGTGACCATAGATACGGAATGAGATGCTGCGATCAACAGAGGAAGACCAACAGCCGGCGCAGACTTGCTGATATTGCAACATATTCTGTCGTGTCTGGGCAAGTCTTGGGAATTCCTCGCGGCGCCTTGGCGATGGCCGCGATAGGACGGCTCGAGTTCGGGTCTCAGAGCCGACGCAGCGGAGAACGGCCGAAGAGTAGGGATCCCCGCCAGCGCAATCTGGGGGAATGGGAGGACGGGAGACCCCGTTACCAGATGAAGGATACACAACAAAGCCCGAGTATGCCTCAACATGGAGCTTTGTGAATGTCACACCCCCAAGCGAACAGATGTATCGGAATTTGTAGTTATACTTGCACGGGAGACGCACTGTCCGGTGTGAAGTCGAGTTAATTTGAAAACCCCGAATGCCCACGGGGATTTCTAGAAGGAAGGACGTGCGTTCGGCTTCGGCCAATCAGTTTGCGATAATTGAGACCAGCCCGGGTGGGGTGTGCAGCCCATCCCACTTCTGGATGCGAGGCAGCGCATCTTAAAGTCCGCCCACATGGAAGCCATACATACCTGAGCTGTAGGCTTTCTGTCAAGACAAGACGGCGCAAGAGAGTAGCCCTGCTGAATCACTAAACGCCGAAGATAGGACCAAAGCAAGGAGAACGAATGGGGGCATATTATGAGATGCCCCTCCGTTTGGGCGGCTTCTAGCGGTCAGTGGGCGATGGAGCTCAAATGGCTAGGAATTCCTTGTCGGCGAGGGGCAATGGGACCTGCCGCTTCCATGCTCGCGGAATGGAATGTTGGTATGTACTTGTACTTAAAACACATCCATCCCAAGGCGGGCGCCCCTTTGTGTGGTTTTCCATGTTGCCGGCCCCGAGCCTGCCTCTGAAAACCTAGAGCGAGGTATCCGAGGTGTAGGTAAGTTTCTCACTAGGCGTTTAGCGTGGGCGGCGGCAAGAACAAAGAGCTAATAACAAGCTCGAGAGGCGCCGTCTGACCTTTTGGGTTCTCATCATGGACGTTGCTCATCCATATTAGTCCCATACTGTAATTCTGAGGTATCCGTCGTCGGGGCCAATACTAAGGCGGTTTCATCGCATGACTGGCCGACTGTAACCCCCGTTCCAGCCAGCACCTGGCCGCTCGCCCGGGCGGACTTGCCATCTTTTGTCGACGCTTCTCTTTCAACTGGAGTTTGGAGCGCTTGCTGGGTGGCTGTTTCCACTTGCTACCGCATACGCGGTACTGGCTATTCCCGCACACCCCTCCAACTCCAACTCGCCCCAGTGCCATTTGACTAAATAAGACGACTGATCTAATCCGTAATTGCTCGATCCCCCCAATTGGAGCACAGCATCGCGCAGGCAGGACTTGGTGGTGCCCCTCGAGTCTTGGGGTTTAGGTGGGACCCTTGGCATTTGCAATCTCAAAGTACCTCTACGCGCGCCCGCGATTCAGGCGGCTTCCCAGCGTAGACGCCGATTACAAGGTACTCGATACTCGTCCAGAACTTATCCCATACCGGGCGGGCATACCATCCCATACCCACAACCTAAAAAGACTGCTGACACTGCCCTCGTCTTAACTCCTCTCTCTCCTTGGAGAACTTGGCTTCATTCGTAAAATTGTCGTGACGGGCTTTGAACCACCCCCTTCCCTATTCCGTGCTAGGGATTTTACCCCACTGCACGCCAGCCCACTTCCGTTCACCAATCCATCCTTCCGTCCACCGAGAACGAAATGCAACTTTAGCGTAGGCTCACCCCCTTCCCCCCCTCCCCCCCCAATTCTCCCCACTCTGTCCAGGGAAAGCCCCAAAAGCCCTCAGTGTTCCTCAGATCCCAGGCGCATATCACGTCTTCCCCCCTTTTACGTTTATCCAACCGCTTTTCCTGCAAGAAGAGAGAAATAAGGACGCCTTTGATTTACAGAAAGCTACTCCGCCCGAAAGATGCCGTTATAAGCGTTGCCAGCCCACGGGCGGAACTCTTTTCTTCCTTCATCTCTTCCCCCTTTCTACCTTTCCTTTTGCTTGCCAAGAGGCCGCTGTCGCCCAAGCGGCTTCCCAGCGTGTAGATCTCGGCCGTTTTTGTGCCCTCAACACCGCGCCACGCCTGCTGCGCAGGGCTACACAAATCTCGCCTCACGAAGACGAGGCTTGGCAAGAGACGATTACCGGCCCTAGAGATCTCCTAGAGACCGAGCCGGACACGACAGACGACAAGTAACCCCGGATCTAGGGACCTTAGGCTCTCTACATATAAGGCCATTAGACGCCCTTGCTTCCGTGAGCGTTGCCTGTGTCTTTGGTCACCGAGAGCCAAGCAGCAAAAAGCAGCCAGCCCGTCAACCTTGAGTCGCAAAGTCTGACCAGCCGATCTCGGTCTGACTCGGGCCAGATCCTCTGCCATTGACGGACAAGAAGGTGGCCGGCAAAGTTAGTGTGGTCGTCTGCAGGCAAGGGAAACAAAGAAACAAAAAAGGCTGCGGCGGCGTGCAACAGAGTTCGGTGTCAAGAGTCGGCAATCGGAAACCCCGATTGATAAGCCAGAATCCAGTTTCCAGCTCCGTGGGTGGTGGTTGTCCCGCTGCCAGATTTCACGGGGTCCAGTTCTGGCTTTCTTGTTGGCCTTGCGGTCATTGTGCAGCAGCCCAGCCCTCCAGGCCTGTGAGACCGCTGAGTGGGCCACAAGACCCTGACGTATACCGCTCAAAGACACCGGACTCTGTGTGCCGCCTGCCCTACCCTACCCTGTTTGCTGGACAGCGCTACCACCACCAACCACCCAGGGCGCCTACCCCCTGCTTGTTCCAACAATGGCCGTGTCGGTGCTTTCTGCTGCGGCCTCGCAGACCTCTTCTTTAGGTATCTTTACTCTTTTTAATCTCAGCCATGAAAGGCTGCCCGTTTCCCTCCCACAACCCAAAGTTAGCATTTATCAGCAAGCAGCCGACTCATCGTTTTTAACTGCAGAGCAAATCCCCCATCAGGGCTCCAACCTCTCGAGCCTCTCGTCGTCGCCGCGCCAATTCCCGACCGACCTGACCAGCTCCATTCTCGAGGAGGGCGAGGAGACGGAGAGCGAGCCCGCCAACGAGCCCGTCACCCCAGTGAGTGGCCGTCAGTCGCAAGACTTCCATACGCTTGTCAACCAAGAGAACCACCCCGACGCCGCACACGATTCGCTCGCGTCCGACCAGACCACCACGCCCTTCGCTCCAGTACCGCCAGGCGCCGTACATGTACCAGGCTCCAAGCCCTCCCTCGTCATTGACACCGTAGCTACCCCTCCGCCGAAAACACCGCAGAGGAGTCCGGACACTGCTGTGCCTGCCGCATCGCCCGCCGCAAACCCATCTGTTGACCAGGAGGCCACGCCTGTGCCCCTCACCCGACGCTCGACCCGTGGGTCAACGTCCAACTTTAAGCGCACCATGTCGAGTTTCTTCCGGCGCACCAACTCCCAGTCGGAGAAGGCTAGCCTCGGTGTCGGCGCCGGAAGCTCTAGCGCCATAGCCGACTTCAATATTCAGGAGCCAAACCAACCGAAGGCTCCGACGCGCCGGTGGTCCATGAACAAGAGCTCGGCTACTACCCGCTCCAACACGCCACCGTCGCCCAGTTCTCCCCTCGAGATGCCCATCAAGACCAAGGAACAGGCATCGACCCCGACAGTACCCAACCCTGACGAATTTTACGAAAGCCATAAAAAGGCGCGCGCGTCCACCGGCTTCACCCTGCGCTCCCGCGTTGCTCATGCCGCCGGACACGCCGAGGCAAGACAACAACGCCAGTCGGTAAGACGGCGTGCCAGCAGCTTTGACTACTCGAAGCAGGAGAAGCCTGACACGGTGGACCCCAATAACCCAATCTACATGGAAAGATCGTTATGGGGGCTACCTGCCGAGTCCGGCACCGGGGTGAAAGCGCGCCGCATGAGTCTGAGCTTGCCCGACGACTTTACCGTGGATGTAGTCGAACTCTCATCCGAGTACGAATATATACACAAGTTCCTAGGCCGACACGGCAAGCACCTGGGCAAAGGCGCCACTTCCAAGGTTACACTAATGGCCAGAAAGGGCTTTCCTGGCGAGCTCTATGCCGTTAAGGAGTTCCGTGGCAAGTCTTCAAGCGAAACGCGGGAGGAGTACGAGAAGAAAATCAAGTCTGAGTATACGGTAGCAAAGAGTCTCCACCACCCCAACATCGTCGAGACAATACGCTTGTGCACTGACCACGGTCGGTGGAACCACGTCATGGAGTACTGCTCAGAAGGTGACCTGTATACCATGGTGAACAAGAAGTACCTCAAAGCCGACGACAGGGAAAAGGACCGTCTTTGTCTGTTCAAGCAGCTGTTGCAGGGCATCAACTACCTCCACGCCAACGGCATTGCGCATCGCGATATTAAGCTAGAAAATCTTCTGCTCACAGCCGACAGCAAGCTCAAGATCACCGATTTTGGTGTCTCGGAGGTTTTCTCGGGCACGCATCCCGGGGTAAGGGAGGCCGGCGGCCAATGTGGCCAGAACATGGGAGAGGTGCGCCGATGCGCGCCCGGCATCTGCGGTAGTATGCCCTACATCGCCCCCGAGGTTATCACCAAGGCAGGCGAATACGACCCTCGGGCTCTCGATGTGTGGAGCGCGGCCATCGTCATGGTCAACCTCATGTTCGGAGCCCCGCTCTGGGCGCGGGCCGAGGTTGGCAAGGATGCGAACCAAAACTACATTTCGTTGGTCAAGGGGTGGGAGAAATGGGAGGCCAAGCACACCGAAGGCGACCGGGCCATCACCGAGTCGGACTACCCAGCAGTCTTCGTTTTCGACACGTTTGTGAAGCCGCCGGCCCTGCGCCGCGTTCTCCTCCAGATGCTCAACCCGAACCCGGACAAGCGAATCAGCATGGCTGACGTCATCAACAATCGATGGGTCAAGCAGATTGAGTGCTGCCAGCTGGAGAGCTACGAGGATCCCACGAGGATTATTGACGCATCCAAGAAGGCGTGTCTGAATCGTGGGAATCAGCGGAGAATCTTCTGCCACAACCACCTCCCTCCCAGGGAGATCAACTCACACTCGCTAGGCAAGATGCCCGGTAGCGCCGGCTATTAAGACGGCGGGATGCATTTGGCGGTGTTCCGACTGCATCATGACTATTTGGGAGGTTTCACGGGTCCTTCTGCTTTTACTACCTCATTTTAATGGATTCGGGAGATGCTACACCAGCGGGAGTCACGACACATGCACTGGCGTTGGGGGACAAACTGGCCGGTTCTTCATTGGCGGCTCAACAAACATCGGGGGTTCGGGTTCAGGCTAGATGTCACATTACTGTCAGGAGAGATGGGATGCATGTCATCTTTGTTCTGATTCACGTGTTTTCTTCTGTTTTTCTTTGTCTGACGGCCGCACAATTTCCGCGGGTCTAGTTTTCTTAATCCAGCAACATGATCATAGCAAGAGGGACTTCTTCCTTTTTGGGATGTAGTATTTTTTTCAAGGTGCAAAAATGGGGAGAGCAAGGAGGCAGAAGGAGGAGGAACAGTTGCACATACGATCCAAACACATACCCCTTTCCTCAGAGTGCCCAGCGGGACTGAGGAAGCGTCATTAGTGGTCCGCCTTTGCTTCGAGGCGTCGACTAAACTCTCTGTTAGAAAGAAGCATCCTCGACGAGACAAATCAGATTGGATTCGAATTCATGTTGTCGAGTTGCATCTCGCCAGGGGTATTTCCCAAATTCCTGAGCTGTAGTGCAATGGGGGGGGGGGCACGGTGAGACGAGGGAAACTCGGAGCTAAACTGCAACGCAAGCCGTGTCGCAAAGCATAACACAAAGCCAAAAGAGGGCCGTGATTCCACGTGGGTAGGATGCCGCTGTCCGACTTGCTTTGTAGCCCGGCGTTGTGCCGCGGTAAACACGCCGGTAGTTGCTAACGGAGCCACGAAACAGCCGGACGGACGCATTGGGTCTTTTTTGCGAAGGGCCAAGGCAAACATGGGCATCACTGCACGGGTTTTCTTTAGCTCTCGCTCAGCACCTACTGCCGTCTAGGAAGGACGGACTATAAAGTGTTTGAGCGAGAGCGAGCAAGTTGTGCTCGCCCCTGCCGGTTCCATCTATCACACTCCCAAACCCAAGCCGGCGCGCCGGTAGACGAAAGTTTATGTTCTCTAGGGGAGAGTAAACAAGGGACACCCCGTCCTGGGCTTGCTCACATGGCATGGCATGTGCGATCACATGAGAGATCTATCTCCCTCCGCTGCCATGCTATGCTATGCCGTATGCTCTTGCTCTTGCTCTTGCTCTCTGGGTCTCTCGCGGTCCCCGGCTAAGTGAGGTGTCTGTCGCTGTCACGCGGCCGCCGGTTCTCGGTAAGCAGCGGGGCTCCTGTTTCTAAGGGGAGATGGGAGGGCAAGACTTCTACTCTGTACAATTTGTCCATTGTTGGTTTGTGGTTGATTGTCAGTGTCGTGCCGTGTGTTGGTTCTCAGGGGACTGTTTCTTGTTTTAGTCCTGTTTGCTACCGCTAGCAACTACCTAACTAACTGAACTGAAACTGCCCTTTTGAAGATTGTTTCACATAATAGAAGGCGCAGAGTCCGAAGTTGATCATTCTCGCTCGCTAGCTGGCTGGCCCATCTGCGCGCCGTCGCAGGGTCTCTCCTGCTCAGCCTGTCGTGCTTGCTTGACTTCAGGTCCACGTCCGCCTTGCCTTGCCTATCTTGGGTAAGGTAGGTAGCAGTCGTCTATTTACCTAGATAGGTAGTTCTAGACTACGAGTTGCTGCGCGAGCAGCCGCTCCCATCCGCTTGAGAGGATACCGAAAGACACACACACAGAGAGAGAGAGAGAGCTTCCCCGCCTTTTCCACTCTTCTCGCCGTCTCGTCGTTACTACCTACCTACGTAGTGCTGCGGTGCCTACCGTACCGTACCGTACCCATCGACGGAGTATCATGCCTGCCTGCTATCGCGTCTCGCTTACACTAGTGTGGCTTTTTGGCCGCTTGGTAGACGGTCTTGTCTAGTCTAGACTGGTTTTCCGTAGCTTGCTATCTGACCCTGGCCTAGGTACCGAAGATGCGTCTAATGCGGCCATCTCGGTCTAGGGTGTGTTTGGTTGTTTTTCTGAATAATTCTATTTTTATGTTTCTTGTCCTGCAAAGGGCAAGGGCAAGGAGCCTTGAGCTGGGATGTTGTTTCCATGGATCGCTTTCTGCACCGTACGTACCTGCCTGCCTTTTACTGATCTATCGGGCCGGCTTGCCATGTCTGGCGTGTGCGCGTGTGCGTGGGGAGGTGACGATACCATATCGAGTGCTGCGCTCCGTACCTACCTTATCTTACTCTCGATAAACTCTACCGTCCATACCTTCCTTTCCTTAGCTTCCCGGCGGAAGACCTTATCCCAATCTCTCTCCCTCACCCGCCCGCCTTCTTTCCGTCTGGCAAACTCAGTCGTGTGTGTGTGTGTGTGCGTGTGTGTTTTTCCCCCAGGCGTTCGTTTGCTTCCCGTGCTACCCCTCCTTTTTTGCCTTTCACGTCCTCTCCCCCACCACTTTCTTAGCCAGGCCGCCATTGCATGTCTTGAGAGCATAAAACCTTGGTTGTGGGGAGGTTGATTGGGAGAAGGCAATGCATGGCAAAAAACTCTAGTCTAAATGTACTATTGTTATTAACTACAAGGTAGGCCGGGGCTTCCGGTTTGTTTTCTTGTGGGTGTGTGTGTGGTTGCGGTTCTGCTGCTGCGTGACGTTGTGCATGCTTGAGCCGCTTGTCGCGCGATCTAAGAAGAGCAAGAAGAATGTAAAGAGGGCTTCTAAGAAGCATGGAAAGAAGAAGTAAGAGAATTAATTATCCCGCTGTCCAATCCCCGCGCACACGTGCGAGTGACGGGCCATGGCAGTGGAGGGAGGGGTAAGGTAAAGGCTGCCGGTGAAGACGCCTTCCTGTAGGCGGTGCAGTTATGACAGCGGCTTGAGCCTTGGCTTTTTTGCCTTTTCTTTTTCCCCTCGAGTTCCGTCCAGAGGGCTGGGTTCTGGGCTTTTTGGTTATGTTTTGGTTCGGCTAGCGCGTAATCGATGATGACGATGGTGATTATGATGATAGAGGGTGGGTGGTGGTGGTGGTGGCGCCAGCCAAAGGATGTAGAAGCGGGGTGAAGCATGGGTAATGATGTCCGTATGCACATAGAGTACATACAGTACAGTACATACAATGATGGAGAGCGGCCCCATATCCCGGCTTTCTACCACGACTAGAGTAGGATCTATATACAACGCATAAATTGCGACCTGGGTGGCATGCGCCTGAAAGCGATGCTGGGGGGGAGCAGCCATCATATCACGGAAGAGGTGTAAAAAGGCCATCGGCAATAGCCAAACCCCGTAACTTCCGCGGGCCATGAGAATGCTCAAGGTCGCTTTTGTACGCCATGAGGTGCTCCAGAAGTCATCACAAATCCAGCAGCCAAACAACCCACCTATAGGCCTGAAGAGGCGTGCAGGTAGTCCGATGTATGCCTTTTGGCTATCACATTGTTCACATCTTCGCGGCAAGCACGGCTTCTTAGAAAAACAAACCCCTATCTCTAGTACCACAACTACTGCTTCTACAGGGTCACGAGTTATTCGTAGCGAGATAAAGACTTGGGGCGTGATCTAGGCCTTGTGCCTCGGACCCGAGATCAAATGACGGCATCGCAATCAGGAACGTGCTAGGTTCTCTAGAAGCATTCGAAGGAGCCGTCACATATCACCGACTCGCGTATTTTTGGGCTTCTCTCTCGGTTCCCGTCGGCTTTGGGGCGCGCCCTCTTTCGGGCCTTGAACCGCCGGCCCTGGCCCGGGGTCTGGCCGTGACTTGATCCGCGAAAGAGAAAGAAAAAAAAGGTGACAAGACCGGGCCAGCCGGCCGGCGGGTCGGCCCCTCGGATCAGCTGAGGGGCTCCCAGGTGTCGGAAGCAGGGTCTGAGGTTCATGCGGTGAGCCAAAGGTGAAGCGGTGAGCCGCATCACATGCCGGCATCCGTTGCCGGATTGCAATTTTCGTTACGAGGATCCGCGTCCCCGTGATGAGAAATCTTGTGTGGCCTGCTTACGGTCCCCTCTAACAACAAAGCGTGTGCGAGGAAAAGGCTTAAAAACAACATGGATACTTGCTTGCTTGATTAGGCCGTCTCCGTCCCGGCTACGGCAACAAGACAGGAAGCCACGGTTTTTCCCACCAACACATGCTGCTTACGGACAGAATTAAACGTGAAAAGAACATGCAAGTACCAGTACTTGAACAGCGTGAAGGAGAGAAAGGGTAAACAAACCATTACCTAGTTGGCAGTGCTGACCAGGTCCGGAACCTGCTGATGTCCATGTTTCCCAATCAGGAAAATATCCGACGGGCGCGCCGGGCTGCCAGGTTGTTAGACAGACGCCTACATGTAAATTCAAAGTGCGAGTACGACATGCTTCTCGTCTCGCCTTCAGAACAAAGTCCCCATAGCCCAAATGCCCACAGCGGATATGCCTTCAGAAAGTGTCCGGCCCCCCTTTTTTTTCCGCCGAGGACATGGAGGTCGCGGAACTGGCCGAACAGTATCGCGGTACGTAGGCATGTAGAAGAGCCAGTGCGCAGGCAGGCACGTACCTGTCTATATAGCTACCTACCGTGATGTAGCTTTGTAACTAGCCAGCCAAAGGCAGTGGCTCGCCAGTGAGCGACCATTGTTGTCGCGAGTGCAAAAACAATGCAGCATCCAATAACAGAACCAGGGTGCAGGAACACGGCAGTGTTGGAAGTGTATTTTCACGAGAGACATAACAACCCGAGTCTACTTTTTATCTCCTCAACGGAGTGTTGTTGGGCATGTATAACCCGTGAAAGCCATGGCATCCCGATTCCTCAGACTCCTTGTTTGTTTGGCCCCCTATTAACCCCTTTGCGTCTCCCTCATCCACGCCCTCCATTACCTCCCCTCTCAAATCATCATCATAGCCTCCTTGTACTCGCTAGAGCCGCCACTGCCACCATAGCCGCAGGCTTTGGCACTTACGTACTCCTGGGAAGCCGCACACCCCACGCGCTGGGCAGGGCCTCGGGCAGATCCCGTCGGTTGTGCTCCTGCGCCAAAGCCAGCAGCCAGCTCTTGCTCGTTCTAAAGGGACCGAACTAGAACCCCATCCGGCCGGCGATGGGTAGTCGGGCAGGGCCGGCGCTGGTGCTGTATCGAGGAGACGTGTCGGACGGATAAAAGGCGCCGCAGAGCACGGCAGACGCTTACCGGTTTGCAAAGGTCGAGGAAGAGTAGCTACCCCCGCTCCTCGCACACGGCCTCACTCGACGCCGTCAGGAACAGCTCAACCGTGAGTGCGCTGGGAGGGTTCGGCGCGCGTGGTGGCGCGGTAGACGGCTGTCATTTGCCGACTACGTAAAGGAGAGGTAGAACTTGATATTTGCTAGCGGCTGCAATGTACTCAGCCAGTCAGATGTTCTCTTTCTCGTTGCCATAGCTCTAGTTCTTAAGAGGACTACTAGCAATAGTAGTATTTTGCAATTCTTCTCTTTTGTAACAACAGCCATAAGTATTGATATTGGTTTTTCTCACCCAGAGAAGACTTACCAACCACGAGTCAGTCAAGAGTGTGCATGGGCGTACCGTGTAATCAGATATCTCCGGCCGCGGCATATTCTTTCTCAATATCTGTTTTTGTCCGTTTAAAGAAGGATTACCAGGTTATTTATCCGTTGGTTTCGATCTCGGCAACATCGTGCGAGTGCCGCCAGCCTAATCCACCGCCCATCGTGAGAATCCTCAACAGTAAGAATGTAGTATTTTGCAAACGTCATAACTGAAATTGCTATTCTCTCACGATTCTAGCACAAACAACTGACAATCAGCTAGCACGACAGCCATTATAGACACAACACGGCTTGCATCTTCAAGCGTTACTACACCTTAGGTCGGTTGTAGAGTAAGACCATCGAGAAACTACTGGAATAAATTAACAAGTCCAAAGTCCCCCCACAGCCAGAAATTGCTTAGCCTGTTGTAATACTTGAGCCGGGGTTAACTATTGTATTGGTTGCGAGGGTCCTTTTTCTCGGATACAGTTGAGCTACTCAAGGTAGAGATCAAATCTAGGGAGGTTATGGTTTAGAGTCCCCAGGATTCCTTGTCCTAAACATCGGGGTGTTAAAGTTCGCGAGCAAATAACCTATGAGACGTGGAATACAGATCCAGCTTGACAACCACAGCTGGCCACGTTTGTGAAGTACCCCAAGTACCTGCTAGAGACCAAGTATAATAAAATCCATCCCCTCTGCTTCGGCAGGTTGGCTGAAGTTGCTGTGAAAGACCGAGACTGGCAAGCCTTGCCATGGAGAGAAATCTCAGCTACCAGTAAGAGCCCATTCTCGAAGTAACTAAGGGGGCTAGAGCGCGGCGAGTCTCTTAGGATAATGCATCAGCACCTTGGAGCTGCCGATGCTTGAGACAGCATGAGCACGAGGGTAGTCACGAGCTTGTCTTCATTGCCATTCGCAACCCCCTTCACCATCTCAAAGTTTCTCCGGGTGCCAATTTAGGTAGGGTCCCAGTTTGCTACGTCAACGAACTAGGACATGGCAAAGTCGGGGGCACGGGACGTTTGAGGATCGTCAATACTTGAAGATGCTGCTCTCGCGGGACCTAGGCAAGACGCAGGCGTATGCTCAGGCTTCTTATTCGAGCAAGTAGGTTATGCGGCAGGGCAAAGAAGAGGAAAACGGAACATAGCCATGCATTGACTCCTACAGATGCAATGGAGAGCGTGTCAGGGTAAACTCGTCGCATGAATACAGCTCTTGTCTAGAAAGAACCCCCCTAAGAGACCCTTTATTACTAGGTAGGGATAGGCTTATAGCCATAGTAGTATTCCCAAGTTTGCCAAAGTCTCTCTTATCCCGTTGACTGCAAACCAGCGGAACAAGTTTGAGCGAGTTTCCCGCCCGTACATAGCTCGGACAAACGTCAAATCACACCAGGGCGCTCTAGAGACCCTATTCACGACGACGACGCATGCTGTATCCGTAGTAAGCCGAGATTCCCAGCCCCTTTTCTAGTGTGGCGGATGGTGATGGCCATGTACAGAGCATATCTCTATTCTGACTTGAATACTCTGTGCGTTCGCTCCTCAAAGGTACTGTCAATAACTAGAGTCTTTGGAAACACGAGAGGGCCGGTTGTCTCTGTTAAAGGTAAACTGCCGGGCTGTAGGGGCACATCACAAACTATGGATCTAGACATAGTCTTGGTATGGTCTCCCACCCGCATACCATCGAGGCAAGTCTCAGATCTCATGGCCCTCGTTACGTCAGAGCAATAGAGCCGTAGCGAGGACATGCCCTACTTAGTCGCGGTCTGTAATGTAATGCGAAGGCGAATAACGCCGTATAAGATGATTGCCAAGATGCTGAAGATGGCCCTACAGATGTTAAAGCCTCTTATCTCTCCGCGGAAGTTTTACTTATATTTCCTTGCTTCCATGTTTGCTTATTGATCTGGATTGAGTCTGAGTTTGTGTTTGCCATGCTTCCTTGACAGGCATTGGCCATTTATCAATCTGGCTCAACAAGAGCCGTCCTGTCTGGGACCTGCTTCAGCGGTGTGCGGACGGACGATAACAGTGACTATGCAAGGACGATGCCCCTATCACTGCTTCAAGCCATGCGACAACCAGCCGAGTTGTCTTGAACTTATTGATGAACGACACCCCAACAAGGCCGAGACGGGGCAATCATTTTTCCATGGCTATTGATAGGTTACCAGAATCCATCAGCGCGGTCGCATCGTCTCACCGCCTGGCTGTCATCGCGTGGGCTGCAAGGGATGGTAGTACGACAACGAGGACGGCCCATATGGCCTTCCTCTCTGCCTAGCTTCGTGATACCATGACCGCCCATCAAAAGCTAAAAGCTGAGTCGGATCCGACGCGCTCGCCCTCGGCCACTTGCTGTCATACAGGAAAAAGAACCCGACTTTTTTCTCTCCCTCCCCGTGAGTACTCCCTCTTGCCATGTGCAACTACACACAGGTTAGGAACACCATAATTACAACGGTTTTTAGAAAATGAGCTGACAACTTCGCAGCGGGAATATGTCTGCGGGCACTTCGTCTGGCTCGCTTCGAAACACTGCGAGGCGTACAAGACGATCAAGACGAGGCGCACAAAGTGTGAGCCAAATGTAACGGCGTTCGAAGAAAGGCAAGTAGTGATAACACTTTTGACTCGGCGGCAGCCTTGTTTGATAGACGAAAAGAAAAAAAAAGCTAACTCTCATAGACCAGACCAGAGAGCATGTGCGGCGAATGCCGGCCAGCACAGCACCATCCGTGGACGGCGGAGTTCATGAGACAGCTCTCGGTCTAGCGCTGAGATAGCGGCTACGAGGGTTTGGCAGCGGCATTGCGGGAGGACAAGCAGCGAGACACGAGAGAGAGAGAGAGAGAGAGAGAGAGAGAGAGAGAGAGAGAGAGAGAGAGAGAGAGAGAGAGAGAGAGAGAGAGAGAGAGAGAGAGAGAGAGAGAGAGAGAGAGAGAGAGAGAGAGAGAGAGAGAGAGAGAGAAACAACAGGGGGAGGGAGGGTTAGATGAGTTTTACTGCTCGTGTCAAACCGAGGCCGAGACATGCTTACCTGAATATTCATGTGAGCCGACATACTTGGCGTTACGTCTTGGTTTCTTTCCTTTCATCGTCTTGGAGGGAGTGAGCTGGGTCGGGTTGAATAGATAGTATATCTCTAGAGGATGCCAGCGAGGTAAAAGTTCAGTTCCAAGAGCCAAGCATTGCTTGTTTGCCACCAACGAAAAGCCGCTTGATGCTTTCTTCACCCCTGCGAAAGAGGGAACGCTCGCTCTATTTCTAGGTGGGGGACATGAGCAACGTTCAACCTCATGTGACTTGTGGAAGCGGATGAGGATGAGGGGGAAGACAGAGGGATCTTGAACAGTTACGGGTATTAGGTGGGGGTATGCGCGAAGTGCAGACATACCGCGGTATCCCTCAGGTCGAGCAGACGTCATGTTTTTTATTAGTCGAGCGGTCGAAGAGGAATCGAGAAAGACGGCCAGTGTGGAGATGTCGAACTGCGGTCAGCTTCGAGTCTGCCACTCTGCCAGGACGACTTGCTCCGCTGGCCAACAATTGGCCAGACGAAAATTTGGTCAGACCGCTGGAATTGGGGGTCCAGAGCCAGGGAGGGAAGGAGATCGCATTTCTCCAACTCAGGCCCGTCCCAAGGGTTCATGGGTTGGTTGAGTCAACCTCTAAGGGTCCAGGACCCTTGAAATGGCCCGGGGCTGTTTAAGAATAGCGCCTCTGTTTTGGGAACCCCAGCCATTTGGATTCCCCATTTGGGGGAAGCTACGATTGAGGGAAGCCACCTGACCCTTTTACGTGGCAGCCCTAAGCTCAAGAAGAGAAGCACTCGCGGGGTAAATGGAACTAACGAACTGACGAACTCGCTCCTTCGGGAGTCAAAAATAACATCCACAACCCGCTGAAAAGGAAGAATTCTGGCGGCCAATCTCTCATGCCATCTTCCGGCTTCCTCGGTATCAGCTCCTGTCCTGTTCCGTAGAATACGTGCTACTGTTACCGAGTATCCCGTACTGTCCCGATTACGCATCTTATTCCCGAGGCTGACTGCCTCCCTTCCCGCAAAGGAAACTCCCGAGCAGAGGGAATGAGCCACGATGCACGACATTCGTTGGATCTCCAATCGTGTGCTGTCGTCAGCAGGCGGGCATGGGTCAGGATCTTATCGGTCAGAGTTGTGCTTCATGGGCGCGCGGCCCGTCCCTCATATTCCTCTTCCTTTGCTGACCGCCAATACGGGGCAAATGAAAAGATGCGCTTGGTTTGGCAAGTGTTCTTGGGAAGGCTGGTCTGATAAAAGGTAAATTATGAGGCGAATGCCAACTCGCGACCTACGTGGTATAGTATGTACAGCTGAGGCGGCAATGAACTGGTAGCAATGGTTCCCTGAGATGGAGGGTGAACTCTCTGCCCGACTTGCCAGCATGCTCGCCCGCAGCCTGTCAGGAACAGCCAAAACTCTCCAGACAAACCCCCCACTGAACTAGGTTTGTGCGGTGCCAACGCATCCAATGTAATATCCATGTATGTATGATGCCAGGTCCAACGTGTCTCTCAGGGGCCTAGCATTCCGAGTTCACTGGATATCACAGTCCGTTCTTGACCCGTTGCCCTCAATACCGGCAATTAAACTCTGCAATAGGGCTGTATGAAAATTCAGCCCCATTAGGACAGCCAACCTCGAGGGAATTATTTGTATGTATGTATAACAGCTTGGACAGCATGGAGGCATTTCAGAACATGCCTGTGCCTTTTTTTTTCTTCTTTTTTTTCTTTTTCACATCGGGAGAGGCACATGCAAGCTGCCGATCTGCGTATACCGAATAGCATAACCTGTCTTCTAAACGGTCGCTAGGGTGATTTAATATGGGTGTCGATTTAGTCTCAACTGAAGACAGCGGTCAAAGATGCGGCGCTGAGAGACCAACAACAACTTAAGTGAATTAGCACAAGCCCAAAAGGAGACGGCAGCACCCTGATTTGGAAACGGTGGCTGTTCGTCGGACCAGCCGGCTCACAGGGCCGGCTGTCAATCATGGGGGAATCGAAACCCGACCGCAGGCGTCAGGGAGTCGTGGGCCCGCAGATGCCGCTAGCCGCCCCCACCGATTTTTGGTATTTGCTGGTCGCGTGTTTCGTCACAGGCACTCCATTTCAAGCAGCCCAGCCAGTTCACCCCGTCTTGGTTGCCAAGGGAAGAGAGACGAGACACCCCATTAAACTCTCCAATAAATTTAAACTCCACTTACACCTGGCAGGACAAGGCAGGGCTGCCTCGTCCCTTTCCGTCCTTCAAAACTCTTGCCATGCGCCGTAACAGCACCACCTGCCTGCATTCTTGGACCACGGCGACTTCCCGAATTCTTCAACCTGTGCAACCATTCGCGCATGCTTCTCGATCTTCTCGGCTCTCTCGACCCCGTACGTGTTACTAGCAGCAACACCGCCGGCAGCATCATCGTCCGACCCTTCCCGTGCACCTGCAACCTGTCCGCCACCAATCGAGCCCGGGCGCCTGGCTTGTCAAGGTTCCGACCCGTCAGGCCTCAAACTCCCGTCCCCCGATGGTTGTCCACCACGGCCCAAGTCGCGCCCCCTTTAGCTCGCCCCCCCCCCCAAACCGCCAAACAGCCTCTAGTCATCTGGATCGTCGTCGACAGTGTAAACAAACTGCCCAATAGCCCCGGGGATGACATCAATAAAATAGCTTGAGCATCCAGGCGCCCGCCATAACTTGCGCCAAGCTGCTCTCGACCACACCTCCAGGAACTCTGTTTCCATCGTTTCCCCATGTCACCATTGCCCACCATGACCAGGCTCCCCTCCGAGTCGTTCTGGCCCTCAGGCACCATCGACACCGACATGCGCCTTCCCTTGCCAGGCCTCGGCAGCAGCGACTCGTCCTCCGTCATTTCTCCTCTGGCCCTGCCTCGAGGCGCTGCTGGCTACTTCGACCACGTCTCTGTCAACGGAAATAACCTCTCCCAGCTCGCTGCCGCTGCTCATAATCCTTCCAAGAATGCTGCCCCTGGAGCCTCTCGACGAAGTCAAGTTAATTCCCCACTCTCGCCGGGCGTCCGCGGTCCGGCTCTGTCCCACGTACCTCAGTTCCTATCACCACATCTCTTGCCGGTTGGGAGAGAGGCACAATACAATCTTCAGCAACATCGATCGACCAGTCTCCCTCCAACTCGTCGCGAGCCCCGCTCCAGTACAGGAAAGCCCAAGACTACCATCATCATATCCCAGCTAGGGGCACCGGCTGTTCCAGGGTCGCTCCAAGGCTCGACGGAAAACTTGAAACCTGTCAACGGGGCAGTTAACTCGTCCAATGCTCCCATGTCAGCCATCGGCTCGACTTCGGCCGCCCACCCACGCAGAACCTCGACAGATTCGGCAAGTGCGCCCTCGCAGGTCCAGACGATCCGTCGTTTGGTTCAACAAAACGGTCGGATAAGGGAAGCTTGGGAGGCTGAGCGGAAATACCTGGAAGCGAACAGGGAACGGGCTGAGGAAGTTTACAAGGAAGAGCGAGCTCTCATGGAGGACGAGAGAGTTGAGTGGGAGACTGAAAAAGTCGGTCTACTGCAAGAGATCGAACGACTTCAGCACCAGATCTTGAGCCTTGGCGGTGACCCTCGATTCGCGAGAGACGGCAGCGTTTCGAACGCCAAGATCAACTTCGTTTCTTCTCATAACATGCGCGGCGGCGCTATATGGGAAACATCGCCTGAAAGCATGAGAAGCTCGCACTCTTCGCAAGGAAGCGCACAGCGAGAGGGGCGAAGTGGCCAGGGCGCTTCCCACGGCTCCCGCATGCTCAGGAATGTTGCCTCTCTTCCTCATCTTCGAGCCGAGCTGGAGAGGCCGAGCCGGGGCACCCTAGGTCCCCTGTCTTTCAGGCAAACGACGGGATTCTCAACAGAACCCACCACCAATGATAGTCTCACGCCCATTGTCGACGTCCAGGAAATCCACCCTGATCTGGAGGGTATTCCTATCAAGTCCAACACTATTCAGAAGCCTACATTCAAGGATACGCCTTCGCGAAGTGAATCGCAGGCGTCCAGTAGAGCTTCATCTCCGTCCAACAAGGCGGCCACCACCTCACAAGGGCCTAAGGAGCAAACACTCCAGGTGCTGGCTGCCGATGAATCGGACCGACTTACTATGCACGCAGGCCACACTCCAAGTCACTCTCTCTCGCTTCTGCCCACGATGTCTTCCTCGGGCGCGGCTACTGCGACTAGCAGTGGTGATAGCACCCCAACCTTGCACCAGGGAGACGGCGTTGCTGCCGAAGAGCTGCCTGCGGGTGATGCCAGCTCAGGAGTTCCATCGCACCCCGCCGAACCTTTTCCATCTCTGGCAACTGCTCAAAACAATTTCTCCGAGGACCACCTTGAGCCGATTTATGAAGCTAGTGAAGATCGCGAGCTGAAGGGCCCACTGATGGTGAGAAATATGCCAGCGCACGACGAGATATTCTTCCGGAGACTGTCGGACAAACTCGAAGAGGTAAGCAAAGACACCATGGCAGCTCTGCCTGCTGTGTTGAGGGGTGTCGACTCTGCTTGCGACAAAGTTGAGGAGCCAAAGTCAGAAAATACGTCCAACGCCAAGTCCGACGCCCAACAGGAGGTCGTTGCCAGCAAGGACCAGAGTAGCCCGAAGAGCGGCGAGGAAGAGGAGCTAGATATTCCCCTCAAGATCAAGCGAAGTTTCAACTTCGGAGCTCCATTTGGCGAATTTCGTTAGAGCCGCACAGTCAGTGGCGGCTCGCAAGGAGCTTCGCCTCGGCGCCTGGATGTTACTCCAGCGTCGCCTTGGACAGCGGATAACCTGTCCGCCCCTTTTGAATAACGTTCTGTCCATATTTGTTCTCTCCACCTTGACCGCCTCACTCTTTGCACATACCCACATTTCCCTTCTGGCTATCGCCTGCTTTTCTTTTCTTCTATTTGAAGATAGTTCATATTACTTGTGGACCGTCAACTATGGGTGTTCCCTTTGTTTTTCCCTCATCCGCATCACACTAGTGCGAGAACATACACGGCCCCTAGACTTGTGCTTTTTTCTTTTTCATTGGCTGAATATCCATCTGGCATGAAACGATGACGAAAATAACCCAAATAAAATAGACGGGCGCATTCGACGAGCGAGGCTTTCTTCTTCTACTACTCTACTACCGTTTTTTCTCGCATCGGTCTGGAACGGGACGCGGTCGGTTTTTTTCTACGGTTCTGACATTAAAGCAATAATACCCCTTCCTCTCCTGCGGGCGCGCATTAAAAAACCGAAAATGGCAATCTGGTAACGGCGCGGCGCGGTATGGCACTTCCTTTAGTTGGCCACATTATATCGCTAGGAAGCAGGCACGGAAGAAAAAGGGCACACATAATCCCAAGAGAAGGGGGTTTCTCTTGGCGGCGGGAATGGAGGTTTTAGCATTACTATTTTTATTCTTGATTTCCTTTTGTTGTTTGGTGTCTGCTGGGTTGACTGTCTGAACGACTAACCAACCGCGACACAACTGGGCTGGATGGGCTTGAGTGGGATGGATGGGCGGACGGACGGCTTTTTTGTGTTTTTCGACAATACCCCTCTTTCTTCTACTTCTCTTTAACAGGCTTATATGCTCGCTTCGTGTGCTTACTTTACTATTAGATAGTAAGTAGGATTGTCGGTTCGCCTTGAGTTTTTCCAAGGCATAAAAAAAGAATGAAATGAAGAAGTCATGAAACCAAGGTACAGTGATTTTCCCCTGATTTGCTTAGGTATTCTTAAGTGATCAATTAGTTCGACATTTTGACTTCGACTCATCATAACACTTTCTAGAAGATAAGGACATGGGATCGTACAAATCAAAAACGTACTCTTCATCCATCGCGTACTCGCTCGTGATATGTAGGTGGGTTTGAGTGTACGTGTCTCTTTCAAGATCTTCAAAAAGAAATGATCAAAAGAGAATAGGGAAGATGAAAAAAAGAATAAAAATAAAAAAGATTATTCACTCCGGTTGTCCAGTTCCCAAATTTCCAAATGCCCCTCCCCAGTAGGTAAATAAACCAAAACCAGAATCGTACCCCCCAAAAAAGTTTCACGCTTTCCTCCAACGCTTTACCGTCAGGGCCCTCCCTTTAAAAACTCCCATAAAAATGTTTGAAATAACCCGCGACTCCTGCCCCCAATCAAACTTGGACGTGAGATTTTTTTGCTGAGAATATCTAGGGCCACTCAGTAGGGCCAAACTTCTCTCCTGGGGCGACAATGCTTTTGACGGCCAGGGAGTTCATGTCAAGCGTGCTGAGGGCCTGGTTGTTGCCAAACCATTTGGGTCCGTCGGAGCTCGTCAGGACGAGGGCGAAGAAGACGACTAGGGTTGACAAGATGAGGCCGCAGTCGAGCGCAGCCGAAGTAACGTAGTTGTACTGCAGCCACCAGCCCATCTTGCGGCGGCGGATAAAGTAGTTGAAGACACCGCCGACGATGCCCCAGCAAAAGAAGATGAATACTGTGGCGGGCGGCAGCATGCCCGACCCGCCAAAGACGAGCGGCATGTTGACATAACGCCAAAAGCCACGCGAGTAGCGCCGGGCGAGAAAGTAGGTCGCGATGGGCGCAATAGCGCCGACCAGCCAAAACCACTGCAACGAGCTATACAAGGCGCTGCCAGAAAACATGCGGGCTGGGCCGATGGCACCCCAGATGATAGAAGCCGTGTAAAAGACTTTGGCGTTGGGGCAGTTAAAGTGATGCCGCTGGTGTTCGCTGCAGACGTCGGGGATGGTGGCAAGAGCCCAGTTCATGACTGCAACCTGGACGATGGCAGACCAGACCGACGCAATCAGCTGGGACCAAAACATAACCCGCGGTGGCACCTTCATATAGTGGCCGAGCTTGAGGTCCTGGGTGAAGTAAAGCGCCTGCGACATGCACAGATAGCCGTAGTTTTTGAACATCATCATGGCAAGCGGGCGACCGGGGAGCATGTAGCCGACGATGAACTCGGTCAAGACGTTCAGCCCAAGCTGAATGTTGGTGATGGCCTGTACAATGCCGATGGGAATAGTCCAGACCAAAGGGATTAACATGCAGATGATGTATGCCCACCAGGGAAATTCTGTGTCCCAGGCGCAGACGACGACGAGCGAGAGGGCAATCATGACGCCAAACAAGACTATGTACCACCAATCCTCGGCGTCGCGGTACTTCTTCATCAGGCGCATGTGGACATCATCTTCCTGGTGGCGCGCGAGTTTCCACTGGGTCCAGATCTCTTTGCCGTGGTAGACAGCGACGTGGGTGATGACGGCCGCCACAGTAGCGAAGGCGAGGCCATATGCGAGCGCAAACTGGGTGGGGAGATAAAGAGGCGAGTAGGCCTTGTATTTCGCCTCATCAAACTGCAGATCGTCACCTAGAATCCTCGAAACATCGTACTGCACGCCGGTGTTGTCGTAGGCGTGCGAGTTTTGGACCGGCAGGTAGTCCGAGTACCACATGCCCGAGTAATGGATACCGAACGACGCGAACACGAAGAAGACGATGATGCCACCGAGAACGTTGGCCGTGGCGTGGAACGGCGGGATGAGCGGGGATTGAAGATATCCCGAAATAATGCTCCAGTCCTAACAGCACGGTCAGTGCTGCAGATGACAACCAATTCGGCAGCTCAAATAACTCACCAGGGTCATAGGAAGTAATCCATAGCCGCTGTAGCCGCCGAACAGCTGGTTGACAATGACGCTGTCGGGATAGATCCAAGTGATCCAGCAAAACCACTGAAGCCCCTGGAAAAGGTAGCCAGGGACCCAGTACCACAGAAACGATCCGCTGAAGATGATGAGGAACCACTTGTAGCGGCTAATGGTCCAACCATTGGTCCGTGCCGGGTCCGAGGGGGAGTGGTCGTGGAGGGTGTAGAATAGAGCGCAGTTGACGAGATCTGTAGGCCAGATCATGGCAGCTGGCCAGACGAGAAATCTCCTAGCCAAACCGGCAAGCCCATATCCCGTGCAGAGTGTGGTGATGCCAAATAGCAACTGCCACAGCCAGCCGAAATTTTGGCCGTACCATACCTGCTGGGCAATGATAACATCGGTAGCGTAGAGAGCGCCGCCGCCGTAGGCGGCCTGTTTCTTGTCAGCACCCTGTTCCCTCGAAGTACGCCTCAAGTGTACCCACATTAGACATCACCACAATGACGACATGTTCCTTGACGTTGAAGGGGCCGGGCTTGAAGTTCATCTTGAAGCCAAGGAACTTAATCTCGCGGTCGGGAAACACTACGTCCCAAAACAAGCCAATCGGATAGGCAATCAACTGAATGACAAATGTCGTGAGTAGAATGCTCGGGTTTCGAAGCGATAGCAACATGTTGACAGCCGAACCGATTGTGCATAGTAGTAGCCCAATCGACCAAGCCCGGATTGTGTTGGCGGGCATTTCGACATCGAAATTCCGGACCGAGGCTCGAACCTTTGAGAAGTTGCTTGTTAGAGCGCGTCCGTTGCAGTAACAAGTACGGTCTCTTTCGCGCGCGCGCGCGTGACAGACAATGCAGGGCTTCTCACTTCTGGGTATGGCGAATTGTCCTCGGCCAAAATCTGCTCAATCTCGGCGCCCTTTTCGGCATTCGAAGTCTTGAGCGCAACATCAATTTCGTCTAACTCGTCAAGGGGGAGGTTCGGATCAAGACGATGCATGTTTTTCATCTGCTTTAGCGAATTCAGCGTCTGGTAGTCGGCCGTGTCCCCTTCCATCGACCCGTTGTCCATGTCGGGCATCACGTTGCCGTCGACGTGACGCCGACGGAGAAACCTGAGAACCATGGCGGCGTGTGGTTCTCGGTCGGGAGAAGCGCCCCGGGACGCTTTCCGCGCAGCAAGGCGCGCGAAAGGAGAGCGGGAGACGCTCGCTCAAGTCGTCGGTGGGCCGACGCGACTCTGGAAAGAAGGACGGGCGTTGCTTGCGGCGCGAGCAAGGCACGGGAGCATTAACGTTAGTATATTTCGATCGTGGACATGGCTGCCTCGTGAATGGGGGCGATCACATCACAGCCGGGCCCGGCGACAGGAGGTGGACGGGGGCGAGATGGGGCAAGAATGGAGGATGGCCAACGAAAGGAGAGGGAAGTGGTGGATTTTCTGCACCCGGGCGACAAGGAAGGCCCCCGGTCCAGGCGAGCCACTGGTTGCGCTGCGCTGTGGGAGGAGAAAAGAGGGAGGGGTCTCTTCTGGAAGCACTGGGCAATCCGCTGGGCATCGCGGAAGATGCAGCCCCAGCTATCGGCGACCTGCCTAAATCGGACTGATGGCTGGGCTGATGGCCGATGGGATGACAGGGGGGCTCAGGAAATCGCAAGCGGGGGGCCAGCAGCTGCGGTCCGCTTAGACTCTTTGGAGAGACCTGGGGTTCTCTCTGTCGGCGAGGCCTTGGTGTTCGTCGATCCACCCGGCCGTGACTGATGCGATAGGGTTCCTTGTCATCAATCAACCTATCCGTGGTAGCGGGACCGGCGATCGCGACTTTTACTTCTCTCTAGTCTCCAGAAGCAGCAAATTTCCTGAGCCTGAGCCCGAGCCCGAGTCTGAGCCTCGTCGCGATTGAAAGGCGGTCGGCAGGCCGTGCTCGTGCTGTGCGCATGAGGCAGAGCAGCGATAAGTTGAACAAGCGACGTTGCACTCGCAGCGCCCAGCCCTCCGACGCTGCATGGCCGGGATAGGTTGTCTTGGATTGTGCGTCTTCAGCTGGGAAGTGGGCATTTGGGGCACCAAGTTTGTCCGCCCAGGAACTGAAGAGAGCACCGATCAGCAGCCAAACGGCTGGCAAAACGGGACGGGCGGGCCTGCTTCGACCCTTCTATCGCTCATCAGATGGAGCGCCTGGTGGCCACCGTCTCGCGGCCGCCCAAAGCAGCACGCCTCAACCAATGGGGTGCCAGCTCTGCCCTGTCGTCAATATCGGCGACCCATGAACCTTCTTATCTCCCCGTCGTCAAGGCCCTGAAGGCCGTGTCCGTCGCAGCCATGGTGTTCTGTGCAAAAGCATTCTCGACGCTAACCATCGTTCGAAACTTGGTCAGCATACAATGTTGACCGAGACGGCTTCCTGGCTCGTTTCACCAGTTGTCGAGTTGTCGGCATGATCGTTTGACAAGAATGGGAATGCTGAACAGCCCAAAGCTGACGGACTTGAGAGCGAACAGATTTGTGGGCACCGCAGTTTCCGTTTCTTGGCACAGGTTTTCAACGTTAGTCTTCTTGCCTTTATCTCTCCAATTCAACAAGCAGCAGCTTGTTCCGTCGACCAGCGACGTCGAGGCGGTTAGGTGGTATCAAAGATATCGTGAGACATGTCAGGTATCCGAGACAATTAATTAAGCCGATTCTTTTCGGACAGTTTCTAACACAAGGTAGCATCTGGTGTATCAGACTGACTGCAAAATCGACGAATCCAGCATCGGCGGTTCCTCGTCACATGAAAGCTACTGTGTAGTCGCGATGGTCATCAACGGAAGTCGCTATCCACAATGACCTTGGAACCAGAACCCAGGGTATCCTTTCCGTGGTTATCGGGCTGCGGGCAGGACCAATCTAGATCATCGTGACTTCTTTTCCAAGGAAAATCGTATAAACTTTTACTCCGCCCTTTCCTCTCAACCAAATGATGCACAATAGAGGACCAAAGGACCAAGGCTGTCGTTTGAAGCACCCGGATATGGACAGCGTGTTTCACAGCCCACTACGATGCGGCAAATGGATAGAGAACCCAGGCCAGGAAGGCACGGCTTCGGCGCTGCTCAACTCGGATTTACTGATACCAACTACTCTACGCTGAGGGAAACGACAACCCTTTCTCTTGAACAAACCCCCACGCTCTCTCCAAAAGCCCAGAACTTTGCGGCCAGCTGGTGTCTGCCGTTAGCCAATGGCTGTAGGAAGACACTAGGCCGTTTTACATGGCCGCCGGTACGGAGTGCCCCCTGCCAAGACTCTGGGGAAATTCCCCCGCCTCCTGGTGACCAAATCTGGCCAGAGCCCATACTGTGCCCATTCTCATCAAACTATCTCTCAATGCGCGAGGCAAGAAATCCGAATTCTGCCCCAAGCACCCAAATACTCGAGACAGCGTGTTATTTCCGATACTGTGGCGCAAACCTGCCAAACAAGCAGGAGGCGGGTCAGTCCAGAGTCGCCCGTTCTCGAGCTTTCCGTGTTCCTGTTCTTCCGCACAGCTTCCGGCCCCTATTCCGCCAAAGGAAATGTAGCCTTCAAAAGCTGAGGCATCCCTCGTGTGGCTCCCCAGGTGTTCACGTTTTTCCGGGTCCCGTCCTCCTGTGTCGGCTCTTCCCTTGCTATACTTCACCCAACCTTCTCGGTGCAATGCTTGGCAGTTGGCCGTGAAGTCGCACTAGGCCCTGGGCAGACGGACACATGCGTGGAACCGAGCGGCCCAGGAGTTCGGATCTTGATCAAGGATAATGATCCAAACGCTCCGCGGAACATGGCTACACAGTCGCAGTGCTCCTTGAACTACATCCCTACAGTATATGTCGCCGGCCTGCTTATCTACTGTACTCTGCCGTTTACTCGCAGACTGTTATTACAGGCTCCCACCCCCGCGGTTCTCTCCCAGCGGCGTGGATCCAAACAAAAGGCGGTCGTCGTTCGTTGCCGCATTCCATCTTCCTAGTCTGGTAGATGTGAGTGCTAGGCCACCATGTCGCTCTTTGGCGATTGTGGGGCAAGTCAAAAAGATGGGATGGGGACTACCAAAATAGCAACTCATAGATTGGAGTTCTCTTCCGGCTATTTGGGGATAGATTACCCTGGTGCTACCGCACACACGTGGTGGCTGGTGCTGCACACCACACCAGGTCTCGGCCGTCCGGTGAAATATTATCAGGACCTCATTAAAACTCTTGAACTATCTGTTGGCGAGGCACATCCCGCTCCTCCCCTCGACAGGGCTGACTTGACTTACCACTTCTCGGTTCTCGGCGCCAGACCACATGATGGAGTTTGACATGGTACTGTGGGGAAATATTACGCAGGCATCAACGGCGACGGCCCTCCAGTTTCCGCCGTTCTGTCGATGCCGGCTGTCTCCCACGAATCTAATCGAGCGGCCCTTTGCCAGATGGAAAACTTGGGTCCTCGGCCTTTTAGCCTGGCTAGACCAGCCGGACAATATTTCTATATCTCGACAGATATTTCTGCAGATACCCGTTCGTCTGAGCACAGGGGCTAGGTGGCAATCTATGCATTTCAACCTTAAAGTCACACAACTCGTTTAAAGCAGCAACGGATGACAGGAAGAGGTCGTGAGCCCCACGCACGTGTGTCTGCAATTGTGTTACCCCCATGGTAACACGACCCTTCCGCACGCTCATACCCGGTATGGCAAGCCCACCAGCAGACTGTTTGCTGCAGTAGCAGCTTTGTGATAAGCTATTCACCGGGGGGCAGGCCAAGGCTATTTAGATTAAGTGCTTCGGGAAGCAGTGATAGGGTTGGATGCTCCAATGTTACTCAATGGAAATATAGCGACAGACTGACTTTGGCCAAAATTCCATAAGGAGTCTCATACTCCGCACCAACATTTAGTTATTAGTCCGGAGTATTCGTGTCTATTGCACTTTCGTAACTCTAGGCCGAGGACAGATAATTTGCCGCTCTCTAGCAACTACGGAGCGCAACTATTTCACAACAGCAAAAAGGTCAGCTACCGATAGATATAAACAATTAAGCCGAATTCAATTGAATTTAGCAAAGAAAGTAATTAAAAAAAAAATTGATACATCGTGAAGACCAAGTCAACTACAGATGACATATATGGGGCTTGGCCGGGGATTGAACCCGGGACCTCTCGCAGAACAGCAGCTGTAGGGTGAACCCTAAGCGAGAATCATACCACTAGACCACCAAGCCAATCATGTTTCGATGGAGATGTCGTCTGAAACCCGCACCCAAGTATCAACATCGCTGCCATGGCTGAGGGGGAGGTGTTTACCCTGTGATCATTATCCCGTACATGCATCATTAAACTAAAAGTCCTCGTAGGGTTGAAGATTTTCTGCCCTTTTTTTTCTTTTTAGAAAAATTAAATTTCTTTGGTAGCCATCAACCGATCTCTCCTTGTCTGTGGCCTCACCTGCATTGCCTTGTTGAGAAGGCAAAGTTACTTGGGTTATGAGAACCTGGGTTGTAGGTTCCGCCATCTATGCCGATGCCCATCTTGCTTCTCTCAAATTTCCCACGTCTTTCGAGGCTACACAACTCGATGTATTTTCTTTCAACACAGCCAAACAATACTTAATACCTTACCTTAGTTGACACACGAGGGTAGGTCTACATAGTGCATCACCACGAGCAGCCAAACCGGTACAGAATATGTAGATGCTTCATCGACATGAAGCGTGAATTCCCTACAAGCATCTGGACAAGACGAGACGATCGAAGGCATATAGACAGGGCCAACTCCGTCTCTTGACCAACACCTAAAGGCGACTAACCACTCCTCCTTTCCATTCCGTTGGCATCGCCATGCTCTCTCTCATTTCTATGCCTTCTACAACGTCTCTCCCATCTTCACCCCACGTGCGTACACAATTTCTAGATACATGCACGGGCATCCTACGCTCCCCCTCGACATAATAGGTACAACCTGTTATCTCTCCTCAGGACAGCTAGACATGAACACCCCTTGAAAGAGAGACATAGGCACGGTAGCTTCTAGTTAAAGACCTTTATAGTAGGACATCTAGATAGGTAGGTAGGTAGATAATAATCTACCCCTTCTGCCTCAGCACGCAGAGGCAAAGGTGAAGGCAAGGGTGAAGGCGAAGTAGAAAAAAGACAACCGGGCACGAAACGACAACACGCACACGGCATAGCATAGCACGGCGTAGGCATATGTATATATAATTTTTTTGCGATAAAAATGCATAGACAGCCGCCTGGCTGCCCATAGCTGACTCGACTAGAGGCTAATGATAGAGAGAGTTAAAAAGAAAGAGAAAAAAGATAGAAAATAACACTGCTTTTAATAGACTCGCTCTCCGCCCCGCCATGACCGGACTCAGGCATGGATCTCTATTGATAGACCCGTAGCGGAAATAATGTCAGGGGTCCGAAATGAAAGAAAAAGGTCCCAGCTATTTGTACACCTTCGCCTTGGCTCGTAAATATAGACTTAGGTTCCTCCCAGGGTAAGGTCCCCCGCGCGTGTGTGTGTAAGCGTAAGTTGAAGGAGAAGAGGAGAAAAGAATATATGCAGCCAGTCCTCGGCAGTTGGCACTTTCTTTATACCGGTTTTATTTTCCCCCATGTCACGTCACCTTTTTCCGTTCCCCCCTTCCGCTCCTCCAAACTCATGATGCCCCGAACTAGTCATAATAATAGTGATAATAACAACGAAAAGAAATAGTAGATAGTGGACAGTGCGGACCCTCTACTCTACTGAAGAACATAAAAAGAAACAACGCCGAACAAATGGAATTAAGGAAAGGAACTGAAGTTCCAAAGGAGAAAAAGAAGGTATGGGAAGAATGAGATATGCACCAAATTAGAACTCAGATTTAGGTGCTGCGGCGGCCTAGAAGACGGCCCAGCATATCGCTGCTGTAGTGACGACTCAGCCAAGGCTTCGAATTGGCCCTGCTGGCACTAGCGCTGGCACCCGCGTCCGGGGCGCTGCCCCTCCCCATAGCATCACCAAAGCTTGCGCCGTTGTTGCTGTTACCGATGGTGTTGCTGAAAGCATACCGCAGCTCCTCGCTTGATGCCTGCGCGGCGACGGACGGCCGTGGGTACATAAAAGAGGCGTCAGCAGTGTGCGCGCGCACGGGACTCTGCCGCGCAGCCGTCGGTGTGCGGATGGTAGTGGTGCTGCTACTAGGGCTGAGGTTGTCGAAACCGGGTCCCGGACCGAGCCACCTGTCCCCGGCGGCCCACCAGGGGTTGCTTGTGCCCTTGATGTCTCGAGCGGCATCGCGCCCGCTACGTAACATCAGCCCCCGCATAAACCGCCGCGCGAGACCGACGCCCCTCTCGTCGTTGCCGACGGCGCTATCTATCTCCTCGTCGTCAGAGTCAACCTCGAAGATGGAGACGTGCGCGGGTGGCTCAGAACGGGCTACCGGAGGCTGACAGGCGGCGCACTCTGAGCGAAGGGCGGAAGGCTTGCCTGGCGTCCCTGGGTTCTGGGAGCTGCCTCTGCCTTGGGCGTGTGCCTGTGTCCGTGCAACATGTGCAAGAGAAGAGGACGAGCGGGTTGAGAGGTTTGAGAATGAAAACTTTCGAAGATTGGCAAACGAAGGGCGACGGATTGCTGTCTGTGGCCGGCCAGGCGGCTCCGGGAGTGGCTTCAACCAAGGTGATTGGCGGGGGAATTCCGCTGGGGCCGGCGCGGGTGGTGGAAGCATTGAAGGTATAGAGGTGGTGCTGGCTGACATGGAGTTCAACGCCTTGGCCATGTTATTGCTCATGGCGCCCAGATATTGGTCGTGGCTAGTTAAGGATGGTGATTTCGAGGCTTGCTGAAAAGGGATGAAGGTGGCTCCCAATGGTCTTGCCAAAGAAGACCTTCGTGGCGGAATAGGGGGGATCTGCCTATCCGGCGGGTCCGTCGGCGGAAAGAGTGAGTAAGACGCTACCTTCGGGGTCTGAGGCCGTTGACGGGTCGGACTTGGTGCGTTTGGCGGTCGAGATGACGTATTCAGTTGCTCTTCTCGAGTGCCTGATTGACTCGCTTGCTTGTCCTCTTGGACTAGAACCGGTCGTGTTCGATCTTGAGTATTGTGCTGACCCTTAGAGGAAGAGTCGATAAGTGCTGGGTAGCGATGTCTCGTGGAGCTGGAATCTTGGGCCCTGATTTGCCAGAACGAGTCCCAGAGATCTGTCCCTGTGGTCTGATATTGGTAGTCCTCATCAACCGAGACGTCGGACCCATGATCCTCGACCATCCCCGGAACCGAGCAGTCGGAACCAAGGGATTCTCGACCAGCTTCCACCTGACATTGGTTGTGGGGAGGACCAGAGCAAGGGTATTGGTAGATCTCCATTGGGTAAATTGCTCGAGAGAATTGGGTGACGTGTTGGAGCTTGGCAAACTCGTGTTGCTTCTCCATCGTTGGCGATATCCACCGACTTCCCTGGGTGCAAACTAAATATATGGCACACGGAGACTGAAGTGACGATAGCGAAGTAGGCGGCAGACGGGCCTAGGCGAATATTTTGGCCAGTAAGTCCGGAAGAGGGTGGGGTTGCTCGGGAAAAAGCAAAGAAGCCCAACTGAGCGTTTTGATGGGATGGGACAAGATCAGAGACAGAAACACCCATGCCCGGCGCAAAAACACTGGGGGGGGGGGAGTAAATAATATATGGGTATCTGGATCACCGCCCCTTGAGCCCAAGAGAAAGCTTCGGCGGGGTAGTGGGGGCTAAGCATCAGGTACGCATGCGCCACGCTGTCGAGCGAGGAAGAGAGGGGAGGAGGGGGAAGAGTCAAACATAAACAAGGCGAGGGAGAAGCCAAGGAATGTCTCGAGAGGAAACTTGGTAGAGAGAAGCAACAGCTGCCAGGGCCACAACTCGAAGCACAGAGGACCTCTGCAGGCGAGGAGATGGCCCTCGATGGCCGCGACTCGTCTGCCCAATCGTCTTTGCAGATGGGGATGGGCATTTTATGATGTATCGCGAACGGCTGGGGCAAAAAAGGAAAAGAAAACATGACAGGTGGCGCGGCTTTCGACCCTCTTGCTATCTACAAAACGCCTGCCTGCTAGGCGAGGATCAAGGGAATTATATTAGATGACGGGGTTTAGTCTCTAAACCTAGACGAGGAGACGAAAGGCCGAGAGATTCTTCTTGCTGTTGCTCTTCTTCTTTTCTCTTGTTGTGTTGGAACGAGACAAACACGCAAAAAAAAAGGAAAACAGTGTGTGTGTGTGTGTATGGTATTGAGGACCGCGTCTGTTTCATTCCTCAAGCGCGTTTTGGGAGGGTGTGTCAAAGTGACGCCCTCCTCGGAGCCCCGAGACCTACCTACCTTACCTACCTTTTAGGATACCTACTCTGGCAGCATGACGGCATCGTCGTAGAGAGGTATCATTTTGTGTGCCTGGTGCTGGTGGGAGAGGCTATTCTCAATGCCACCGACGGCCGAGACAAGTGCACATCGCGGTGGCCCCTTTTTACGGAGAGCCCCCCCTCCCCTTGCCCCCTTCCTTTCCAACCCCGGAGAAGTTGATGCGGCTCACAATGCGACCTATCAGGGTTCTCCTGAGCTAGGGCCTATTCTCCTGGCCGATTGCCGAGTCGATCTCCTGACAGAGAATCTGGGAGCAGAGCGGTCAGTTGTCAGTCGTCGGATGTTTAGCAGCGGTAGCGGTAGTGGCAACGGCAGCTGGCCGTGATGGAGTTCGCAGTGTGCAGCGCGCAGTGCCTCGTCTGCAGTCTGCAGGTCTGCATTCGAGGCCATTGGCGGGCATGTGTGACCCTGCATCCGAAGAGAGGAGCCGGAGTTTTGTACAACTCGGTTCAAGTTGGCGTGTGTCGTCCTTTCTCGTCCTTACCTTATTTTGTTGAAGCCGCTTCACACTTCCTTACCTGGAATCGGGCCACAGCCCAACCATCGAGTAGAGGTGAGCTAGTCCTGTGAGCAAGAAAGGATAGAAGGGATGCTAGTGACACAAGCAAGCAAACAAACAACCCACGAGCAAGCAACCCGTTCGGTAATCTTTTCTTTTTTCGTTTCTTCTGAGGAATCAGCTTTCAAGCTGTTCACATTCGGGAAGCAGGGAGTAGCAGTCTGAGGTCTGTGCTTGCAGTACAGTGCAGCCCTCCAATGGCTCTTTCCCGGCGAACCGGATGGGCGAGTGAGCTGTCACATTCGGCTGTGGATCCCACATAAGGTATCCATGGATATCCCCACCCGGCCCTGGATGCCCTGTCATTGTCGGGCAAGTCTGCCGACCAGCGGAGCCCCACTCAAGTAACGTAACGCAGCCGTTGGGAAGGGAAGGAGGTAGGGGGGCTAGGCCAAGGTTGATGGCGCAACACCGTTTTTGGGGACGGCCGGCGACTGCATCACGAAAACGCATTTTCAGGCATCAGCAGTGTCCCTTCAGCGCCGACCAGTGGGCAGCCCTTGACAGGTATGCAGCACCTTTTGCTATTTGAAGCGCGAGGACGCAGCTCGAACTGCCGCCGTCACAGTGAGGATGCGGGAGCCCGCGCTTTGTTATATAGAGTAGGAGGCGAGCGAGCGACATGTCCCCTCCAAAACCGCACTCCATCGCCCGCCTACATACTGACAACTTCCAGGTTATTGACACGTCCCTGCATTGGATTACGTCCGACCGTGCATGATGCGCAGCCGCAGTACTGAGACCGACAGCTTGGGAGCAAACCAGGCTCGCCTTTTTAAGCTTTTACGTCTTCCAGCCTGTCTTATCAGGTGGTTGACGGCCAAGGCACATTGATGCAGGGGAGAGCCCAGGCCGAAATGCTAGCGCCTGGGACGGACTTCAGTCGGCCTCGCCTGGGACGGACTACAGAGTACATACAATCGGTCTATACATACTGGGCCTTCCCGTCGTCTCCAGTGTAGGAAGCCACGGGCATTATACACAGTGCTTGTAGTAGGCACTGAACATGTCGTAATTGTTGATATCTTAAACCTTCAAGTGAGAGCAAGACACGGAAGAAAAGAAATCTTTTTTCATGATTGATCGCCAACCTTAGCAAATCTGTTTGTGATGTGTGCCTGCCTTATACAAAGAGTCCGCCCATGCCCATCGTGTCCAGGTGTTTCGAATCCAAACGCCTTCGCTGATAACCATCACAGAAGTCCCATCCCGTCCCATCCCATCCCATCCCATTTCCCATTTCCTAATTCCCGATTCCCGATTCCCATTTACTTCATGTCCATGATTTCATGCAATTCCAACGCCTATGCTGTTTCACGTTTCCTCCGTAGCCAAGAAAAAAAAAACCTCCCTCCCGAATCCGAGTAAGAAAAAAAACCCCCCATGATAGAAACTCCTTGCGTTGTGTATTTATTGCCCAATGGTTCCCTTCCCTTACCCCGTGCGTCCCTGCAGGTATATGTACAGCATTGCCTGTTTCGTAACCGTGGTTGGCCTTCTCCCTTAAATACAAGCGAGGGAGAAAAGAAAGGGCACCCTTTTGGTTGTGCGGGAAAAGAATCCGAAAAGTGAAAAAAAAAAGAGTGAGACAGGAGAGAGATGAGAAAAAGCTTGGCATCACAGCCAGTTGTTGCCATGGTTGTCTCTTGACAGCTCGTCATCGCTACTGCCTCGCCTCAGAGAGGAGTCCTGTGGCTTCGCAACGACACCACCGACATGGTCCTCGTGCACGACGACGATGTCGGTCTTGCGGATAATACCGTGATAAGTATCGAGCAGATCGTCGTCGTCGTTGTTTTCGTCGTACCATGAGCGGTTCTTCTCGTGGTGGGCGCGCCCGGGGACGACTGGCTGGCTGCGGATGTCCGTGATGTGCGCAAAGAAGTCGATGTTGCCATCTCGTCCCTCCTCCCGGGGCCTGTTGCTCCCGTTGCTGAAGCTGTTGCCGCGGGCGGCGCCCCCCGCAAACACGCTGCTGGGCACGTACCGGCGCTCTCGCCAAGACACCTTGCCGCGAAGGGGTCTCGAGGGCTTTTTGTTGTTGTTGTTGTTGTTATTGTTCGCCCGCGTCGAGCCCCACGAATGGCTGCTGCTGCTGTTGTTGCTTCGCCGCTTCTTGTCGTCGGTTGCATAGCCCACCTCGATGTCCGGATACAGGTAGGGCCGATTGATGCCCAGCGACTCAAATACTCCCGGGAACCAGCGGCGGCCGAGCGGCCAAAGCGCTGGCACCGACGCAGTGACGATGGCCAGGTTGACCTCGATCGTGGTTGTCGTGTAACCGAGCGAGTAGTGGACCTGCGAGGGGTGCAGGTAAAACGCCTTGACGACAAAGTACAGCCGCACGGCACTGACCAAGGTGACTCTGCATATGGCAGACGGGTGTCAGTGGCAATCGCAATCTGCAGTGTCTCACTCTTCGTGGGGAGAACTCACAGGCCGCCTAACATAAAGACCACCAGGAGGGAGTTGCGGACCCTCCGGTTCACCTTGAGATTCAGGAACATGCAGTACGGGATGTACAGGATCAGAATGTCGGTCACAATGTTAATGCAGGCCAGGGCAAGCGAGAACCTGGCCGGCTTGATGCAGCGGCCTGAGGCGGCGCCGAACCACGAGAACTCGACGGGATCGCATGAGAAGATTGTGACGAGGAAGAAGGCAAACGCCTGCAGTATGCTGAACCACATCAGAGCGATACACGCCAGCCGGATCCGGTGTCTGGTGCCGCCCAGACGCAGCAGAAATATGAGAGCTGACGCCTTGACGAGAGCGAGCAGAGGGTTGTAGAAGACGCGGTCCATATACCCCCAGAACAGGCCCTGGGTGAACGGGTGTGGTGGGATATCTTGGTCGTGTATCCCCCAATATTGTGCTCGGAAGGCTGTGAGACCTTGTGTCAGTCATTTTCGCCCCCTTTTCTTTTACACGACTTGACAGAGAACAACCATCTTCCCCCCATAATGTCTGAATATGACGAGATTTTCTTACTGATTGTTGCAAAAAACGCCTGCGGAATTGCCAGAGCCTGTTTTGTTTGTTATATTCGTCAGCCCTGTTTTGCACATACGAGCCAACCCCCTCAAAGCCTAACAGGGCTAGTGCGCCACGAACCATTGCTAGAAATATCAGCCAGTCGTCCAGCCCGAACCCCTTCGCCAGACGCCTACTATACGCCCTCAAGCAGCAGACAGCGAACGACAGGGCTGGGAAGAAGGCGAGTAGGAAGAGGCCGAAGACTTGGAAGCCACTATATGGAATAGGCCCCGCCGGCTCCAGTATGAAAGGAGCATCTGGGTCAAATACTAGAATAGGCGGCGTGTTTGACGCCGCCTTTGTTGTGCCTGACATGTTGGACGCTATGTCGTGTGTTGCTGTTGGCAGCAACTAGGCAGGAAGAGAGGCTGTAGATACCGGTTGTCTTCACATTGAATAGAGGCTCTGCACGGCAACACAGAACATGGTTCGCAAGGTGAAGAACCATCCTTGCTCCAGTTTATGTTGGATGGACCCTACCTAATAATAAATCCCACTAGGCCCGGGGATGAAGGGATGGAAGGGTAGGGGGGCTTGAAGCAGGGTGGGAGGAGAGCCGGGATCAAAGGTGAAGCTGCCCCAGATTGGGACTTCCCAACCCGGTCGACATTGATGCTGACATGGCCTAGCTATGCAAGGACTGAAGTCTGGGCCCGATCATTGCCCCTGGGCTTCTTCGATCTGGTGCTGAGTTTCAGCGGTCTTTTTGGGCATTGCTAGCCTGGATGCCAGTGGGCAGGGAGCATGAACGGCGAGGACCGCTGCTCCTGCTTCCCCGAGCGCCAATATCCCTGGAACTGTTGTGTGAGTGGGGCGACAGCGCCGCACACGTACGTGTAGACACAGGCTCTCTTGGTATGTACACGTAGCTCGCCCGTCAAATGCCTGTCTGTGATGGAGCTCCCAGCCTATCCGATCGGGGAGAAGGAGCCCTATCATACCGACACCGGTAAGATACAAAACAGTGGCTAGTATGCGCCGAGATCAAAAGAACATCGCCTCGAAGAGAGCGGAGTCGATATAGGGGGAAGCTTCCCACGACGATGTTGCCAAGAGCAGTGTAATTAGGCTGGCCAATACCAAGAGACAGTCAACAACGTCACATTACTCGTTCCAATACCCTGTAACTCGGTGCTTCAGTAAGATTCTGGGTACGAATACTTTCACTCACCTCTGAACGCATAACTCATCGTAGCACTGCCACCAGGCACCGATTACGTAGATCATGTTCTCTCGAACAGCGGAGTATACGTACCGCGTGGGATGCGCTGAAACGTCCAAAAGAGAGAAGAAGGTACGGTAAATTCGTACAGACAGGCTGCACGCACCCGCGGAAAGCTGCCCTGCGTTCTCCGAGAACCAGGGACCAGAGTGGCGGAGTTGGTGTGTGTCAATCCCAGATTCCAGGTCCCCGACGCACACCGCATGCATTAAAATGCTGCATTGGCAATGCGCGCGCGCGGGGGAACAGACCGTTATGAGGTCCGCCGTTGACCTAGTCAGCCTAACGGCAAAGGCAAGCAAGGAGACAGGAGCGGGCGGGATGCTAAGTCTGTGGTTTCTACTCCGTACTTTCTCACTTTATATTCTCCGACGCGGCGACAACATTGGAAAGGAGTGGCTTGGAAACGGCTGATCATCACTGATCGTCGACGAACCAAAACGAAAGGGGGGTTCGCTGCGACGCCGTTTGGAATCGCTTCAGTTCGTTGCAAGTAGCTAGCCACTGCGCGCCACAGGACCGACCATTTTGTCAGACGGAATCGCCTGTTTTGCTGCGTGTGTTGAACAGACAGAGCGGGCGAGCTCCTCGCGGCTGAAACGAGAGTTCTCGTGGATTTCTGTCTTGAGGCTTTGCTGCCGGTGCTGCAAAGACGAAAAGCCCGACCCAGTGAGTCTCGAATTCTACCCATCATTGGGAGACTTGTTGAACAGGAGCTGGGCACAAGCCGACGACATTGCATTCCTCAGGGGTCTTCTCCCATATTAGGTGTATTCCGTAGATATGAAGCTGTAGACTTTTTTTTGTTTGGTGTAACGGACGTCGTGATTCTAAAGCTTCGGTCCCGTGCCGCGAGTTGTTTAGCGAGGCAGAGCCCTAGACCGAAAACCGGGAATCCCAAGTCCCTCTCCGCCGGACGCGAGGTCGTACACAGTCAGTGCTTCTCGCCTATATCCCGGATTGTTCTTGACAAGTTGACCGCCGCCGCATCGCAGCGAAGCGCATTGAACGTGGCTTGATCACCGCCACAGTGTCGCTGGCCAATTTTCTTACACTCTCAGGCTGCTGCGCCGCTGCTATGTTGCTTGAATCGCAAAAGATATGTCAGGAGCAAGTTAGTGTAAATCGTGAAGCAGTTGCAGCAGGTTTCCGTCCCATTTCAGGACACATCGTTCGAGGGATCAAGTGGGTTGGCGGGCGGGGGGTCCGCACAAATGCTGGGATGCGAGCCTGGAAGGCACAGCGAACGCATGAAGCAGCTGGGCGTGGGGGGCCAATGAGTCGGACTGATTCCAGCCACAGCAGCTCCTTCCCGGGGAAAGAGGACGGGAGACGGCTGGGCATTCTCTTAAACATGGAACGGCCTGCAAACTCTCACCCAGCAGTTCGTATTGCGCAATACGTACTCGCGGACTCATGCGGAGCGGGTCTCGATGCCAATTGCTGGCACTGCCTTCTCACAAAGCTCTAATCGCCAGCTGGTATTATGCCCTAACTGTGGCTGTCTTTGTGGCTGGCCGAGGTGATACTTGGGCTTATGTACGACATGCGTCCTGTGGAAGGAGCGTTCGTTCCTGGCTGCTCCAGGCTGAGCAGTTGTCCATGTTTTGCACCTTCCTTTTTGGTGCTTTCAAACCCAGGTGAGATTCGCGGATGTGCGGAGATTAGGCGAGACCTGAAGTATGGAGGTACTTTGAAGAAAGAAGGCAGTGCTGAATTGTTGGAACGGGAACTCCCGTGGAATTCCCGTTCGGGGGACAATACAAATCCATCCGCTTGGAGGGCCGAATATCCGTAAGGATACGAAGTACTTCGTACTTATATTCGGTTTTGAGAGGTCTTAATGGCCTGTCTGTGGCTGTTGTTGTGGCTGGTCGAGATCATGCTTACCTAATCGTAGGTCGCCGACAAACCGGGCCCAAAGTCGTCCTTGGAATAAAGGTTGAGGTGAGTCCCGCTGTGTAATTAACCTTCCCCGAGCCTTGCCGTCTAGCGGCGGGAAGGTCAGCTCCTTGTGGGTTCGATTCTACCTAGACAGCCAACGAGATCTCCAGCTCTCCACTGCCCAGGCACATATTATGCTCGAGGAGGGCGGCCTGTAAAGTTTATTTGGAGATCTTAAACAACGGCAGGAAAAAATACAACATATGCATGACTCCGATGAATGACACAAAACTTCTAACCGTATCTCGCCCACATTGTCACAGTTAAAAGGGACAACGAGCCCCCGCCGTATATCCGCACGAATAAAGAATAAATATAGAGTACGGATACACCGCACAGACAGCATCTCAAAAGCTAAGACATGGCAATGAACAAGAGAACTATTGAATCCAGATTTGTCACCGCACAAAACTCGCAGCAGCCAGAAAAACTGGCACGGAATCTCATCGCCGTGGATGTCCGCGGGCTCATCAAACATCGGAGCTACTTACCTACCCGACATGCATGCAGGCGACTCTCCCAAATATCACTAATATCACAGCACCGGGCGCACGAGGTAAGCGGAGTTCCGATAGATGGTGGTCGGCAGCAAACGCAGAATCGTGCTCTCCATGCGCTGTATGTGCTGTACATACCGTTGTGTTTGTTGCTGAAAGTAGACCCGCCCCAGCGTAGAGTCTGGATACGGAAGGTAATCTGCCTTGTAAGTTAGTCAGAGTAAAACCCACGACTGCTTGGTAATTATCTCCGTTAGAAACCTCTCGTCCCGATCGTGGAAGCCGCACATTGCTGCTGGGACACGGACGGAGAGGTTTCTTAGCTGCCCGAACCAACCCAGACGGATGGTACGACGGGTACTCCGTAGTTGTTTTGTTATAGCTAGAAGCAACCCACGCCGTGTAACCTTAGCGGGCCGTTAGATCCTTATCAACTAGTACGCAGGGTATTTGTAAGATAGGTATGTAGTAAAGCTAGTTCCTGGGGATGAAGCTATTCGCATAAACACGAGTCTAGTTGTTGACTACTCGGTTGCCTGGAATGCTTGGCAAGCTAGTTCCTAGGTCTGGCGTCAAATCTAGACAGTCAACTGGTGCTTCAGGCAGTTTAAAGCCGAGACAAGCTCACGATAGCGGGCTAGGGAGCCGTAGTAAGCCAAAGACTCCTTGTTGACTTTCCTCGGGAACGCTACCCCCTATTATTCCGAGCCGCTCCCTGCATGATTTCACCTACAAATAGCATCGCTGATACGACTTCGGAGGGCTCGTTGGTGACTCTCAGGCCCATCGCAGCAACCCCGAAGGCGCAGGGAGGAATGGGAGCATAGATGCTCCACGACCGCAGTCTCGGGAGGCCCGAGGAGCGGACCATAAAGGAGAAGAAATTCATCTGACGTTTCCTCTAGAAGAATTAAGGAGCATACGTACTAAGGAATGGTGTACTTGATGCACAGCCCTTATACTTCTACTTCGACACTGTGAGGCGAGCAGAGAAGCGCAGCTCGAGTATAAATATCTGGCTTCTTTCGTCCGTGGACCGTTTCTCTTCTTCACACAGCAACTATTATTTTGTCAGCACGACTGCTCTGATCTCCCTTCAGTATCTCACCTCTTGTGAATCTCTTCCGAGTTATCTTAAGCCGCAACGCCACCTTAACACACTACGTCATCTCGACAAGGGGGAAACGATGTCTTCTCACGTCGACATGAAAACGTTCACATACTCCGCCGAGTATCCTGTTGCCTGCTCTTCTGACGGGTGTTCCGATGTCATATATGGACGTGAAGCCTCTATCGAATCAGATGAACCGGGTGTTGGCGAGGGGCAAGAGGAAAACAATCACATCGCTGAAGACCCTGACAAGTGAGTGCAATGACAAAAGGGGATCCGATGAATGACTGTCTTTGCTCACGCCAAAGACAGCGACCCGCGGGGACTAACAGGTGGGGATATGTCTGTTAAGGTTCGGGATGGTTTGAGTGTCGGGTTTACTCGACAGCTTTGCTGTGTGACGTGATGTTGGGGTTCTGTAGTCAGTCAGTTTGGGCTGCGCTGCGTCTATGGAGGGATTCGCACGTACACGTAGCTGTGACTAGTTTCGGGGACGGACACCGATTGCGGCCAAGATTAGCGGGAGAACTCGTCTAGGCGCCATACCGAGCTATAGTTAACATATGGAGGTCTGGACCCATCATCTCCGGTGTTCGTGACAGCTGTGGCTTGATGGTTCTGCGTAGCCCGTGTGTGCGCGTCAAACTCGAATTGCCGTAGCGTCGTCGCCTTCTAGTTGTTGGACAGGAGCATCTCCCGCGGGGAAAAGCAGAGCCGAGTATCTCGCCGACACAGCTTGGCTAAGAGTTCAGGAACGGACTCCGAAGCTGGTGCATGTGGCGGCGCTTCTAGCCGTTGCACGGCGTCCGCTGAGCGGCGTTTGTGGGGAACCGAGCTACGCCGTTAAAACTTACTATGTAAAGCTTTCGAGGGTGAGCTTTATTTTCAGTAACATCTGTCTGAAGCCTCCGATTGGTGGGAGCTTATGGGGAGCAAGGCTGCGGGCCCGAGCCGCCCCTCCCTCTCAGCCGACCCCAGACCAGACCGATTAAAGTCCCTTGGCGCGTAAGCTCTGTCTGCGCCTGGTTTTGTCGATCGCATCGCGTCATCATCACGGGATTTCTAGAGCGTATTCGGCGAACTTGGAGTGTTGTGAGATCTGGATGATGCTGTTTAAGACAGGTCGCTTCTCCGAGGAACCGTGTCTGATAGCCGCCGGGCTTGGCTTACAGCCTCGTCGATCGACATCGGGGGACTACCAAACGTCGAAACAGGGGTAGTGTGAAATTGGAGGGTGTGAGCCCTGTGCCGAAACCGCCCTCTTGGGATTTAAATCGGGTCTTGAGGCTGACCGCGATTGGAGCCAGCGCAGAGCTCGAGCTTCCCCACCAATCTATGTGCCCCGCCTTACCTCACTGGTCCAGCCACCCACTTTTCCCACGTTGGGCTCAGTCGCTGCTAGACTGTCCGGCTAGCGGTAACGTTGATGACGAATGCTCGGCGCTTTGAATCTTGCTTCCAGCTGTCGTCAAGAGATGGATGGTCCTCGATGTGACAGTTGGTCGTACTTTGCCGTGGTTGAGAACTATGTGGTTGTGATATGTATAACTTGCTTGGGTTCAGGTTCGGTGGGCTGGTGGGGTGGTATATGCCCGGGCGGGAACTTGGAATGCATCATGCTTCCCCTGAGGTCCATGATATCTCAACGTGCGACTGGCATGCGACTTGGGATACAGTTTAAAAAGCTCCCGTTCTCTAGAGCAAGCGAGTCGCCCTTACCCGTCAAGTCAAGCTCAGGTGTCTGAACACCCCATGGAAAGCTTTGTGCGACTGGATTCTGCAACATCGTGGGCGGCTGCGGTGTTTAATTCGTGTTGAAGGCAGCTGTGCTACCCGCGGCGAGCGACTGCATCTCTCTCTTCAGGCTGAACGGGCTGTTGAGACTCGCAGTGCACAGGGCGGCCATTTAGACGACCTGCAGGCGCCAGAGAATGCATTCCGAGCATTCCTCCGTCGACCTCTCCCTGCATCTCTTGCTCACAATCCCTCGTGGTTTATATACCACGATTCTCCCTCCGCCGTGATTTCGAAATGGCTCGGGAAGCAACGGGCGCGCTGGGCAGGACGACGACGGCGCTCGCTGGAGCTCAGCGACTGCTGTAAAGGTCCGTGCCTCAGCGGCCTCTAGCGCGCTGCGTCGGTGACGAACCTGCCATAAGAAACGGCCCTGGGCATCAGCGCACAACATCTTCAAAATTCGCAGCGACCCAAAATCCGCAGAGTCTCGAGCTCAACCGAATGCGAAACCTGATGGACTGAGTGCAGTCGAAGCCATTGGCGTGCGAGCATGGTCGGAAGTATTGATCAGTTATTTTTCTCCTCCAATCTCCCGTTTGCTCGACCCGGCAGGTCGTGTTGTGGAGGTGAGGCAGCGGTGAGCGCACGAGTTGGTAGTGTTGGGCAGCCAATTCCCTCGACACCTCCAAAACGCACCGCCTTTCCTCCACTCTAGACGTGACGAGCTCTCTTGCCAACAACTTCGACAACTTCGCCTTCTTGTCGCGGGCCACAACAATTGCACGGCGCCGGCTGCCGCAGACACTGGCGACAAATTCTTGGGGCCATTTTGTGTTTTTCGGCGGTGCTGACGCGTGCTGGCTGTCCTTCAACCGCCTCGCTTGGGCTGCTCACTTGCGCCATCCCATTTTCCCGCCCTGCGCCATCCCAATTCTTTTTTTTTTTGCGACACGAGACAGCTTGCGCCAAGTCGCCTCTCTCTGGTCTGGAGCCCAGCAATACTCTCTTCGCCCTTCTATTCCTCCTGGGATATTGCATCTTTCATTTTCTCTGTAATGATTCACGGTAGTTCCCTCTGATCGTAGTAGAGTTCTAGGTTCGTGGCTCTGGCCCATACCCGCCTGCATCCCTCCCCACACCGCGTACCCGCTTCCTTGCTTGGTGTTGAACAACATCTAAAGATTCCTCGCACCACATCGCCAGGCTTAGCTCTACTATTCTTCACTTCCGCGTCACCACCACGGTGGTGACACTTCAACTTGTCTTCCACACCGGCGCCCGCTGGTGATCGGCGAGAAATTGCCGCAGGAACGCCTTCAGCATTGCCTTCTGACGACCGTCACGACCTTCACGACCCCACAGCATCCACCCAGCGCCAGCAGCGGACGCCTTCTCGCCCTCCACCCACTGTCTCGCCTTTGCCTAGACTCGGCGACAGATCTTCAACCCCGTCTTCACACAGAGGCCTTCGCCGAACTCCTCGCTTCCAGGCCAGTCCCAGTCCACGTCCGTCCGAGACCAGGCGCCTCATCCACCTCGAAGCGGCCACTCTCGGTTTTGAACCCCGGCCTGTGCTGTCCACAGCTGGAGCAATTCCCGACCGTGGACCAGCTACCCAAGTACCGGCTTTACCTGAACGACAGCTTTCGCAAGATCTAGGAGACGACTCTGAAGGAGTCTCTACTCCTCCAGCCTCTTTCCTCCCCCGGCCGGCTTCCCCCTTGTCTGTACGCAAACCGGAGACTCATTCGGGTTCCCGTCGATCTGAGCGCCGAACTGAGCGTGTCCGGCTTGCTATCCTCTGGACCCTCGAGGAAGCACTGAGACAGCCGAATCCATTCTCCCCAGACTATATCGAAGAGAACGCTTCAATGTCGGATCTCCTTGGTGGCGCGCCTGCCACATCCAACGGAAATGGCCAGCGGCCCACCGAAGCCCCGGCACAGACCGGATCTCCCCAAATCCGTGGTCCTAGGATGATCATGCGTGAGCGTCTCGAACGCGAGGCGCGTCAAAAGGCGGAGCGGGAACAGATGGAGCGTATTCGTGCGGAAGAAGAGGTACGCCTACATGAAGAGACACGGCGGAGAGTGGCAGATCGTAGAGCGTCGGCTGCTGGCGCTGGTCAAGGCGGTGACACGCCGCTAGATCCACAATCACAACGGAGACGAGAACGTGCGCTGGAGGCCCAAGGAGTCCAGCGCGTTCCAAATCCAATCCCTTTACCCTCAACACAACAACAACCCACGGCCGCTCCGCCACCCCTTCGGCCAACCCGAGTGCCCACGTCACAGACGCCACAAGGGATTCCCGTTTCGCAACAGCCTGGGATGGGCGGTTCGGGTCCCGCACAAACAGGCGAGCCGTCAACGCAAGCACCTGGCGCAACCAGATCCAAGAACTCGTTCCCTCATGCTTTCGAAAGGTGGGAGGCTCTGTCAGCCCACTGGGAAGGTATGACGGGCTTTTGGATCCGGAAAATGCAGGAGAGCAAAGACGAGATAGACCGAGACCCGATCTCTGCTCAGCTTTCAAGACAGGTTGCCGATCTCTCAGCGGCAGGTGCGAATCTTTTCCATGCCGTGGTGGAATTGCAGCGGCTGCGGGCGAGTTCTGAGCGGAAATTTCAGAGGTGGTTTTTCGAAACACGGGCGGATCTGGAGCGCAACCAAGAGGTTACGGCAATGCTAGAAGCTCAAATGGAACAAGAGAGGCAGGCCAGGTCCGATGCGGTCCGAGAGGCACAACAGCATGAACGAGAGAATGCCAAGACGCAGAAGCTGCTCGCCGAGATGCGGAAGGAGCTGTTGATCTCTAAGGAGGAAGCTCGGAGGGCATGGGAAGAGCTTGGACGCCGCGAGCAGGAAGAGCGTGAGAAAACAGTATCACTCCAGCAAGGCCACCCGACACTTGTTGGGGGCGTCCAGGTCGTGCCCATGACCCAGGGTGTTCCAAGCCGACAGACAAGCACCACGACACGCGACTACCAGCCGCGTACCCAAGCTACCGATACATCCGACTATATCGCAGCTCAAGTCCCCCAGTACCCTGAATATACTCAGGCACCTGCCGTCCAGCCCAGCGCGGCCGTTACAGCTGCAGGAGGATCCGGTGGCGCCTCGTACTATCAACAGCCACCCGAAGCGACAGGTCATGAGGCAGCCAGCTATGGCCCCGGTGGCTCCGAGGCAGGATATAGCGAGGGTAAGTTCGCGATGCTCAATCCGTACGGTCAGGCCGAGAGAGACACTTCCCTATTACCCATTCAACCAAAATTAGAGATGAAAACTCCTGACACCATATAGAGGACTATGAGGCCCAAACACCGGCATCCCAAGCCCCTACGAGCTACCCCCCGTCAAGCTCGCAATGGGCCGGCGCGTACACCGGCGCACCAGAATATTCCGGCCAGGGGTATGCTGCACCGGGGTGGGAGACAATGCCACGGCACCATCACCCAACCAGATTGAGCGATGTCATCGAGGAGGACGACGAACGGAGTCGCACCTCGGCAAGTCAAGTCAGCAGGGCGTGATAGGCCAGCTCAGAAATCGTTAGACCTTGCGCAGCTGCTAGCCCACGGGCGATGACCTTGATAACGGGATCAGCAACAGCTCTTTCATAATCGGCATATTCGAAATTGTGATAGACAAAGGCTGTAGATGTCCGATAAACTGACCGAATCATATTACACTTTCTTGTGAAAACTTCAATTTGGGCGAGGAAATGACGGCGGAATGTCTCGACCACACCAATATCGAACTTATGTCTCCTAAGACTAGCCTCCCGAAAAGGATCCCTGACTTATCCACGGCGGCTCTCGAATTCGCTCTCGCACTAATACACACCGCTGGAGCATCCTGTCTCGTTTCTTGGGAGGGCGCCAGGCCGTCTATCTTGTTTCTGGTCTCGGCTCGCACTGGCTATCTCGAGCAGCATAATACCGAGCTTGACCAACGCTTGTGGCGCATTGCTGTAACAAATCAGCCGGCGGCCACGAAACCCTACTCATCTCAGCATTCTCGTCGTTGTTATTGGAGCCTTTGTGTTTTTTGGGAGGCGATCAGGGGGTTACGGCGTTTTTCTTTTCTGTTGCCTGATGGGGGAATTAAGAGGGAAAGGCGATGGTGGTGATGGTTTTGCTTCTCCCATGTTTTCATCCATGTGTGGGCTCTATTCCGAGCAACCGGGGATAATATACGGCATGTGCATCCAGTTCCTTGTCTGTTCTGTCTGTCGGGCTTTGTACGGGTTTGTCTAGTACTATGTCTCTCAAAAGGAGATCGAAGGAGATAGAGAGAGCTCTTTCTGTCGGGCCTCGGGTAGTGGGCGGAGCATAGCAAGCCAGGTTCTTGTGCCTATTCGTCATAGATAAGAGAGAATGTATGGATGATTCATCTTGGGCCAAGTGCGGACCAACCATTTTTAGTGTTTATATGCCCGAGTTTTCGTGCTCTTGTAGGCGTCTGCATGCGGTGGCGAGACAATGATGAGTAGGTAATGGTAAAGGATAGATAGGAGGTATAGGAGGTATAGGAGGTTAGAGAAAAAGAGGTTTAGTATTTGTACAACTTTGGCATTCCATGCGGCAAAGAGTCCTCCTTCAAAAGGATGTGAATCCGTGGCGTTATCATTGGGGTGGAAGGGGCTGACGCTCCTGATGGTCCTCTGAGACCTGGAGGAGGAGGGGCATCTTTCTCTTATACACGCAGAGATATCCGTATGTAATTTAGTGTCAAGTGTAATCAAGTCCAAAGAATACGGCACTTATTGGCTCGTTTTACAAACTTTGCAGACTGAAACGCGGTTGGCATTGAATGTTTTCCCGGGCCAGCTTGCTTCAGGTTCCGTGTTGTCTAGTTTCGTTCTGATGATGCACTAGGTTTGGTTGTCTTTTCCAAGACGAGCCCCGCTCTCAGTCAGTCAGGCGGGTTGTCAGGGGTGGGAAGGAGCTGCACAGGCGGGATGCACCACTAAAGTGGACACCGAAACGACCCCCGGCGCCATTTGGGGGGCTAGCCCGTGCTCATCCTTAGGTGGCCTAACTTTCTCACTCGTTCATCTGACCCGTCGGTAACCTCGGCCAGCGACACATTAAGCTCCAAAGCCTTAGTTAGGCCGCAACAGATACACGAGGCATATCGTGAAAGGGAGGGGGAACGATGGCGGCGCGCTCTCGCCTTGGTTGCTGCGTGCACGGGTAAATCAGTCATCCATTCATTCATTCAATGTCGATGTTTCTCGTCGTTTTCCCCCTAGAACTAGAAGTCTAGAGCGAGAATACCATCGCCATCGATCCCAACTCACCCATATCTCCCTTGCCTCACATATTTTTATCAGTCATGTTTCTTCCTGTGGCGTCTGTATACTTACTCGGTGCCATCTTTAGCGCGGCAGCCGTGCGTGGCGTCTGGGCCTTGCCGTCGTCGACACTGGGAGCGGCCGTGACGGCTCATCACCTAGCCCCTTTTTCTCTGCAGCAGCAACAACAACAGCCCCACCAACAACGGCAGAGGCAGCTGTCTACGCACTCGCAGTCTAGACGGCCGAAAGCTATAGTGAGGACCCAGAAACGGAATGCCGCTGGACTTCTCCGGGGGTTCAACTCTAGCGCCTTGGGGAAGCAATGGGAAGCCTTGAGGGACCCGCCCTCGTTTGCTTTCGCTTTTGAGTGAGTTTCTGCCCCTGTTTGAGCTGTTTACTTTGACTATTTACTCTTCCTGCCTGGTTGCCTTCATGCATGTTCATATAATCTCTTCCCAATCCACAAGATGGGGTAACTCCCTTGCCTTTTCCCATGTTTAGGCCTCAGCCCGTTGACCCGAGACAATGCAGCATCGACGGCGTGCTACTCCATGTCGCCAAACCCATTCCGGGCGCGACAGAGACGCTGCGGTTCTTGAACGAACACAGCATCCCCTTCATCCTGCTGACCAATGGCGGCGGCAAGCTTGAGGCGGACCGTGTCAAGGACCTCAGCGAGAAGCTGGGTGTCCCGCTCACGACGGACAACTTTGTCCAGTCGCACACGCCCTTCCGCGAGCTAGTTAATGCCGGCGGGCCCGACGGCAAAGGGTTTAGGGATAAGACCATCCTCGTAACGGGATCCGACTACGAGAAGTGCCGGTCTATAGCTGAATCGTAAGCCTTGTTACTCTCCTACCTCCGGCGACTGACGAAGGAACTCGTTTGTTGACACGTCCCGCAGATATGGCTTCAAGAACGTCGTGACCCCCGCCGACATCCTCGCCGCCCACCGCTGCGTGTTCCCGTTTGCGGTGGTGGCCGACGTCGAGTCTGCGGCTGGCGACGGCGACAGGCTGGCGACGCGGCCTCTGCCCAAGCCCCTGCACAACACCACCGCGGCCCCGGCAACAGCAGCAGAGCGGGCGGGGCTCCTCAAGATCGACGCCATGTTCGTGCTCAACGACCCCCGAGACTGGGCGCTCGACATCCAGGTGCTGGCCGACCTGCTGCTGTCTGAGCAGGGCTACATGGGCACCTACTCGTCCAAGAACGGCAACGCCTCGCTGCCCAACCACGGCTGGCAGCGCGACGGCCAGCCCACGCTCTACTTCAGCAACGCCGACCTGCTGTGGGCTGCCGCCTACCACCTGCCTCGATTTGGCCAGGGCGCGTTCCAGGCCGCCATCGCCGGCGTCTGGCACCGCCTCACCAACGGCGCCGCCCCGCTCCGCCGCACCGTCATCGGTAAGCCCCACGCCGACACGTATCGCTTCGCCGAGCGCGTGCTGACCGCGCACCGCAACGACACGCTGCGCCGCCTGGGACACCTCCTAGAGCAGGCCGCCGAGCCGCAGTGTGCTGCTGCTGCTGATAGCAACAGCAACCCCGTCGCCGCCGTCTACATGGTCGGCGACAACCCCGAGAGCGACATCGCCGGCGCCAACGGCCACGTCAGCGACGCCGGTATCCAGTGGCTGTCGGCCCTCGTGCGCACCGGCGTGTGGTCTGAAGAGCGCGACGGCCACAGCGTGCTCACGGGCGTCAAGAAGCCCACTGTCGTCGTGCCCGACGTCAAGGCCGCCGTGCAGTGGGCGCTGCAGAGGGAGGGGTGGGATGCGGATTTTTAGACTTCGGTGATGCGACGTCATGTGGACGAGTAGCGCAGAAGCGAGCTGAATATATCCCTTGATTTTTCTATAAGTGCTCCGTAGCGTATATGGTTATTCCGTAGACAGGACAGTTAAGAGCCTACGGATATCTAATGACGTCTTGTGAAATGCACTAGCCAGGCAGCGTTGCTATTACCATGTTCCGGAGCGATGAATTATGTTATATAAACAGCATTACTTCACGACGCCGCTATCAATAGTTAGACTTCAAATATAATAGATAATAAGCACGCCGCCATGCATGCAATCCATTACTATCTATGATAATGATAATCGCTTCTTCGACTTCAGGATCCATGTCGGTTCTTTCTTCATCCCATCATCTTCCTCCTATCATCTTCATCCTTCTTCTCTCATGTCTCGCAAGCAAGCAAGCTATGTGCCGTAACATGATCCATGATCCATGATCCGTAATCCCATAACCCACGCCCTAGGTCCCGTGTCCCGTGTCCCGTTAAATCATTGACCCCGTTGTCCCCGTTGTCCCATGTCCCATGTCCCATGTCCCAGATCTGGGCATGTACGTACTCCAATAAAACCACACACATACTCCGAGCCCATAAATGTGTAAAAAAGCAAAACAAAAACGCCGTCGCTATGTATTGTCGAATTCCGCACACAACGCAAACAAACAACAAACACACATATTTACAACCCTGGCGGTAAATCCACGACGAAACATGTTCTCGCGATGAAGCAGCGTAATCACACAATCGAGCGATTCAGCACGCCGCGCTTGATCTGGCTCTTTCTGACGCGGCGCTTCTCCGTGAAGCGGCGGGCGCGGCGGATGCCCAACAAAGCAGCACCGTCACCGCCACCAGCGCCACCGACATTAAGGATCCAGCGGGGCTGTGTGTCGGGGATGCCGCCGCGGACGCCCATCTTGTCGAGCATCTCGTCGCGGCTGCGGCACTGCTTGAATGCGGGGTCGGCGAGGAGGTCGTCGTTCGCAAGGAACCCGGCGATCTCGGCGAGGCAGGTGACGGCGTGGGGCAGGCGCATAGCCGCGCGGTTCGGGAGGAGCGACGCGAGGGCGCACAGGTACAGCACGAGCAAGGTCAGGAGGATGGAAAAGGCAGGCATGTTGGGGTAGATGCGCACGGCGCCGTCGGTGGCGGTCAGGGCCATGAACATGCCGCCAGCGAGGACGGGAACGAGGACGAAGAGGGCGGCTCCGGCCGAGAGCGCGGCGACGCGCCAGTGGCCGTTGCGCAGGGCGCGCAGGGCGCTCTGGGCGGGCGCGCCGCAGGCTGCGTAGTCGGCGAGTAGCGAGTGCTCGGCGCGGGCGCCGCGGGGGTCGGCGAGCGCGGCCCACGGCTGCAGGACGCGCAGGCTCAGGTCGAGCGACTGGAAGAGCAGGAACAGCACCATGCCCAGCAGCGACGGCAGGAAGCTGTACAGGAAGTCGGCGGGCGAGAAGACGCCCGGCTGCGGGCCCGAGGGCAGCCACGGGAGGAAGCCGGACGCGATGCGCGTCGACGGCAAGAAGGCGGCGACGAAGATGGCGACGAGCAGGACCAGCGCCGTCACGACAAAGTACAGCAGCTGGTTGCTGCGCAGGCACCAGGGTAGATAGCGCAGGCGCGCCTGGGCCGAGAGGCCCGCCGTGCCGGCTTCGAGGTCGTGGTTGCCCCCGAGCAGCTCGCCGTCGGGACCGCCGGCCGCCACACCGCCCTGCTTCTCGTCGTTTCTGTCCATGCGCTGGCCGGCGGCCGGGTCGAGGACCGGAACAAACGCCGCGTTGTCCATGGGGGTGCCGAGGGTGTACCAGAAGCCCGGCCGCCCGTCCTTCCACGTCCAGTAGCCGAGCTTGTCGTCGGCGCGGCGGCGCAGCGCGAAGCGGATGCCGTCCCTGGTGCGGGCCATCTGGGTGCCTCGGTAGTCGTCCGCAGTGTTAGTGTCGGACACGATGGCGAGGATGTCAGCGAGGGACCTGGGGTCCCAGATGAGGCCGGTGCACTCGACGCTCGCCCAGTACCGCCAGACGATGATGGTCGAAGCCAGCAACGCCAGATACAGCGCCACGAGGGTCCAGGCCACGCCCTGGACCGTCGCCCACGTCCAGACGCTGTCGTCGTCCCCTGACAGTATCACCGTAAACAGCGAGCTTTGCAGCGGGATGGTAAAGTTGGCCAGCCAGGTGACGAGGATTGGAACCCAGACATTCCACTCGCCTGTCAGCTGAGGCCAGAGAAACGACTTAGGATAGAGGTTAGCGAACAAGGCGCCTTCGCGCTCCTCGCGCCGGCTGGATGCCAGGCGAACAAAGGGCAATATGCGAAACATGGTGCTGATGACGAGCTGGGCCCAGAGCAGCAGGACAGCGGCCAGGAGCTGCGGCAACATGCGGAACACGAAATAGAGCCCGCCGGCGGCGCTCTCGTAGCGCCGCAGGCCTTTTTGGCGCTCGGAATACACGGCGCTGAACATGAGGGCCACGATCATGGCGAGACACAGCGCCGCGAAGCTCAGCAGCGAGACCGCCCGCAGAGCCAGCGGCCTAAAGTTCAGCGACGGGACCGTGGCCGCCTTTTGCTCGCCAATGCTCCCGACGATGATGTCGCGGTCGACGACCCTCCACTCGTGAGGCTGGGCCGGGCGCTGGCCGCTCTTCAGCAGCAGCGTCGAAGCCAACGAATCTGCCGAGGCCTGCGGGTTGGGTCTGAAGGGGTCTAGAGGCGGAAGTAGATGGCCGGGGTACTCGGAGGGGGGATGCGCCGGCCGCGGCTGGGTTGGTAATGAGCTGTGGCCGGGGAGGGGGATCGGCATGGGTACCGACACGGGCGCCTGCTGTTCAGAGTAGCGCCGGTAGTCTGCCGCAGTCTGGTCGGGAATGAAGCGCAGGGCGGGGCTGCCTCCGTCGGAGCTGGACGAGCCCGAAGCAGAGTAGCCGGTGTCGCGGTCGCGGGTGATGGCTTCGATAGCGGCCTGGATATAAGGGGTGTCGTCGACGCCGGGGGTGACGATGCCGGCCAGCCTGGCCAGGCCGTCGCGGAAGTCGGTCAGCATGGTGGCGCTGAAGATGGAGTCCCAGGCGGACGGTTGGGGCGCGGGCGCGGACGCGGGTGCAGGCGGGAAATCAGGCACGCGGCGAAAGGGGCCGTCGACTATGACGGGGCGCGCATATGCCCGAGCGACCAAGGGGGGAGCGGCGGCAGAGAAGCGTTCCGGGCCGTAAAGCTCGGGCTCCGACGAGGACGAAGCAGTGAGGGAGGGAGACGGGGGCGCGGCGCGAGGCGGAGGCGTCGGGGCGAATGGGATCACAGTCGTGTTCGTGTGTGTTTGCGTTGATGGTGACGGCGACGCATAGTCTGGCCGCGGCAGCGCACGAAGCGTCAGGTCAGAATAGCTCGAGACTGGAGTTGGCTCGGCGAGGTACTGCAGATGCGGGCCTAGCAAGAGACGGCCGTGAGCAAGACGATCGCTAGCAGAGAGAGACAGAAACAGAGAGAGAGAAGCAGCGAGGAAAGACGACAACACGTACGAGGCTGTTCCACATAGTCAAACGACAGGTTTTGGAAGTTCATGCTTCGTCTTACTCGTCCGTCCTACAGAAAGAGACCGATAGACACAGACAGCGGCGAGATGCAGAAAACCTCCACTTGGACCTCAGATAGAACCAATTGCCAGCGCAGACAGCAGATGCACAGAGGAAGGCCGCATGATGCGAGGCCCCACGAGCATGAAATATGTATGGTTGGCAGCGGCTGCGTTTGCGCGAGGCTGGTGGTTGGGTTTTCTGTCGTGGGTGCGGTGGCCTCGCGCGCGAACTGGAGGTTGGGCTACCTATTTACCAGCCACCCACACCACACCACACCACACTCACCAGGTTCAAATCCCCCCCCCCCCCCGGAACCCGCACCATCAGACAACCCTGGGAGAAATCGTCTTGAGGAAATTAAATAGCATACCGTGCATAGCGGCGTCATGAACCGTCACTGCGATGCATTGCGCATTCCCCTTAGCTAATTCGGAATCGTTGATGTTCAGAACCGTTTAGATGCATCGTGACAATGACAGCCAAAGGTACGGATGAAGAGGCTGGGGGAAGCTTCAGCCCGACGGAGAGCTTTGGGACGACAAGGGTTGCACGCGGATGGACGGTGGGAGGGAGACGGGGAGGGGCAAAAAGACTGGGGTGAGCTCTTGCTGTGCCGCAGCGCAGCTGTGAGCTGTGAGTGGTGGGGGATGGCCCGTGCAGGCAATTCCCCCACGTGTCTCCTCCACACAGCCAGTTCATATCTGCCACAGTACGGTAAACACACAAGAGCAGAGAGGGTCGAGAAGGGATACTGTAGATAATAACGGCGGTATCATATTGATCGCGATTCTGCGTGAAAAAGAAAAAAAAAAAAAAAAAGAACAATCCGTACCTTGCATCCGAACCACCGACTGTCGATGCATGGGAAGAACCATATTGCCCAACCCCTGCTATAGAAACATACCCTGACTGCCCAGACGGGTGAAAAAAAAGGCCTTACCGAAAGGTTAAACCAAGTGGCTGGCTGGCAAGAACCTGGAGCCTGCAAGTACTACCGCCGTAGGGCAACCTTCTGGTGCGGGCCCTAGCGGCTGGGCAGGAACCGTCGCGCCCCCCTGAAGCTACGCACCCTTACACGGAGGGCTAGGCACGGAGATAGGATAACTCAATCCGGACGGATACCTCCCATCCCTCCCAGGTAGGGACGGAGCGCGTAATTAATAACGAACAATCTTGAGCTTGGACTGGACATCGGCCGGCAGGTCCTCAGCCACAACTAGACCGAGCTGGACGCAGTCGCCGAGGAAAAAGAAGGCTCGTTCCTGCGCGTAGCCCAGGTAGTCAAACACAGAGGCATCGTCGACCGTCTCCTCGTCCTCGCCGTCCTCGTCCGGAACGGCGCCGCCCTCCGGAGACGGGACCAGCTGCAGGCCCGGGACCTTGGCCTGCACGAGACCCCACGCCACCCACTGCGCGCTGTTGGCAACGCGCCAGAGCCTCGTCTCTTCGAGCAGCTCTTTGAGCCGCCCCTCGAGGATTTCTTCGCGCTTGCGCTCCTCCTCCTTCCACCCACCTGTCGGCACGCGCGCGTCCAGCATAAAGTCCGCGATCGACGTCGTAGAGCCGGTGCTGTGGAGTGGCGGCGTGGCGGCTGCCACTGGAGCTAGGTTGGGGGTCGACGAGTTGCCCGAGAGAGGGTACCGTGGCCGGTGGCCGATGTAGGCCTTGATGAAGCGTTGTTGCTCCTCCGGGGTCGGGTACTTGCTGGTGTCGCAAGCGTGCGGCCGCTCCGGGTCATGATAGTTGTAGGTCCACTCGGAAAAGTGATTGGCAAACTCAAGGCCCGGCAGGTTGGCGGCAGCGTACTCAAAGTCAATGACGACAAGCTGCTTGTGCTCGTTGGCCGGCTGCAAAAAGGGCGACTTTTCGTCGTCCGGACGGATGCGCAAAATGTTACCATATTGTGTCTGTGCGCGACCAAGCTGTCAGTCAAAGTCCATCTCTACCCTTACGAAGGAAATACCAACATCGTTGTGGGCAAATATCAACTTGTCCCGAATGGCTTTGGCATCACCATACTTGTCATTCAAGAACTTGCGGTATTTGTCGACCAGCGCCTTAAAGGCGGGCCACTCCACACCGCAGACGAAGCCTCGAGTCTTCCAAGCATCCCCTGGGCCGCGTGCCGTTTCGAGGGAGCTTGACGCGATCTGCTTGTCGAGGAACATGACCGTCTTCTCTGCTTGGTTGAGCCATTTGTCCCAGTTTCTCCACACATTGGGGCCCTTGTCCTTCTCGTCTTCGAGAAGCTCGACGCCATCGTGAAGCTCTCTCATGCGCTTGGCGATTTGCTTCGATGTCTCGGGCTCCCTCAGGTTCGCCGGAGTGAGAGTCGTAGAGTTAAAGTACTGCTCAAATCGGCCATTGAGAAACGTGCCCAGCAACCGTGGGCCAATCTTCTTCCTGGCCAACCTCCGGAGCACGCCCAGTTCCGTCTCTCTGTCGATGAGATGTTCCACTTGGGGGCCATAGATTCTCAACAGCACCTTGGTAGGCTGCTTCTTGCCCTCTTCGCGGGGTAGCACCGACTCGGACGGCGGCGAGACCACGTACACGGCGTTCGTCAATGCGCCGCTGAGGCGCTCGACGGCAATAATCTCGCCGCCGTCCAGTGGCACCCGCCTCCAGCCCTTGAGCTTGAGCGTGTGGGCGATGCGGATGATCTCGTTCTTGAACGACGTCCAGGCGTGCTTCTCCCGCTCCTCCTTCCGGCCCGAGATGGAAGCCGTCTCGTCGGCGGTAGGCGAGGCCTGGCCCCCGAAATAGCTCATGGCCTTGGAGTTGTCGAGGTAAGCATCGCAGCCAGGCACTATCACGTCACCGTCGAAAAAGTCGGTGTCAGACGAGACAGGGTTACGGCTGATGCTGGGGTTCTTTGAGTGCCGCTTGTGATGTTTTCGCCCTATGCGCGCGTGTAGGTGCGAGATGGAGTCTAGACCCAATGCTGCCATGCTGTCGTCAATGATTCTCTGGAGTCGGTCAAGCGAGACCTCGCTCGACGCGGAATCCATCGAACCAGCCCGCGCTCGGGTGCGTTCCGCCGCGGCTACTTCGCTCACCGGTTTCTCTGGCGCCTTTTCGACCGGAGGCGATCTGCGCCGCACCTTGCGGGATTTCTTGGTCTCTCTCTTGACCTTTTCACGCTCGACCCAGTCCGCAACCTGCGTGAGCAGCTTCTCGCTCACTCGGTCTAGTCTATGGCGGTGATAAGACTGGGTCTGGTGCTGGGGATCATCTGCCAAGTGGGACGAAGAGGCAGCTGCTACCACATCACCAACTACGCTCTCGACGCTTCCCTGGCTGATGGTCGAGGCCCTTGACGAGCCTGGCACAGGGGCCCGTCCACTGAGCCTCTTAGCAAGTCCAGCAGGAAATTGCTTCTTAGAAGCCGAGTCATCAGGTGAAGATGGGCGTTCGACCTCGGCAATTTGCACAGCTAGGCCAAAATTAACAAAGGATCCGTGGACCAAATTTGCGCAATGTTGAAAGAGAAAGGTACGTTTCAGCGGCTGGCTTGCTTGCGGATATAATTTGGGCCAAGCCGTGGCATAAGTGCAATTCCTGTTCTAGCCACGAGTCTCTTGTGTAGCCGGCTGAGGCAATTCAGACGGCAGGAATTCTTGATCTATGGTGGTACATATGACATAGTTCAAGCCACGCACGTGGAATGGGTAGGGGCATGACACTAAACGCACCCTCTTTCTTGTGCAACGGCTTTGTGTGAAGGTAGGAGAAAATAGCGAGGGTGAGAGAAGGGCAGCGGAGTGGCACAAACCTTTGATGGATGCGCTCAAAGGAGGCGTTTTATCGCTCTCGCCATCCGGCTTCAGCGCCGAGCGCCGTGGCTGCGTGGCAGAAGTGGCCAGCGAAGGGGCCGACATTGCGGCTTCTCCTTTTGCGCTTTTGGCGGATGCGGTTTAGTCGAGAGAGGCGATATTAATTAAACCTTCCTCAGCTTTGTCTTGTCTTGTTCGTCGTCGACTAATGCATGTACGGTACTCACCCTGTCTAAATCGTAATGCAACGTACGTACGGAGACCTAGACCAAGGTTGAGATGAAGTTGACTGGCGCGGGGTCGTCGAATTGTGGAATAAGAAACGGTGTGGCAGGGTGCCTACTAGTTATAGCTGGGCCAAGGGCTCGTGGCTGCCTCGTTCTAGACTCGATGTTGGGAAGGCAGTTAGTCTTTTGGGAAATTCCCTCGCAGTGTACTCCGTATCTCCTGTTTTATTAGTCCCTCACACTTTTGGGGTCGAAGTGCACTAGAGATAAGGAAGCTGGAGTTGAACAAGGGTGCATTAATCATGGCGCCGGCCATGTGACACAGCAACGGCGATCCAGCGACGGAAGCCAATCAAGTCACTGATGTATGAGCTAGGCAAAGTCTAGCGACTGACGACGGGGAATCCAAACAGTCTGCCGTTAAACGCAGGTGAAGGACGGGACGTTAAGAATGCCCGCAGATGCCCGTTATTCTAGGGTGCGACCGTGGGTGCGCAAGCCAACCTTGGAGGAGACGGGCGGTTACCATGGTGGAGAAGCAGCCACAGTATCCAAAACTCCGAGGCTTGTTAGGCTGGTGGGTGGAAGTTTTGTCGCATCCTGGCCCGTGCCGCATGACGTCGTACAAGCAGTACGGAGTATCCGTAAAAGGGCAGCCAAGAATGTAGGCACGATATTCTACCACTACCTTCCAGGTTACCACATATATCAGATCCATCATACACACTACCTTACCTAACCAGGCCACCTATTATGACATTAAGCTTAACAGGCCTCGCATTTATCGATGCTACGGTATCTCGGCACGATCGGGTACCTTGCTTAATGTCTCGTAGCCCGCAGGGAACCTTCCAGGTAAATATTAACCGACTGGCCAGTTCAAAAAAAGGGAAGCGCTCAAATTCGGCTTGTTATCCGTACTGGATAGGCAAACAGTTTAGTTCCGGATCAAACACATCTCGTATAACCACACCTACTCACGTACGGGCAGTATTACAAGGACAGTTCTGATTTATATTACATGAACAGATTCGGTGGTGATGTACAATTCTCGCATACTACACACAGATATGCCCAAATGCGTGGTTCAACTTAAGGCGCGTGACTATTGGCGTGTGGCTGACGGCTTCCACTCCTTCATGTGGTCGATGATGATCTTGGCGGCCTGATCCGGGGAGTGCTGCCGTCCCAGCGCCTCAACGAAATCGCCCTCGGGGTCCATGAGGTAGAAATAGATGCTGTGGTCGACCAGATAGTCCTGGCCTGGCGCCACGGCCTGAGGCGTGCTAAAGTAAACCCGATATGTCTTGCACATGGCTTTGATCTGGTCGTACGTGCCGGTAAGGCCGATGAATTTGGGATGGAACTCGCTCAGGTACTCCTTCAGCACCTTCGGGGTGTCGCGGGCCGGGTCGCACGTGACGAAGACAGGCGCCAGCGCGCCCGGGAGCTCGGCTTCGACGAGGTCGAACATGCGCGCCATCTTGTCCAGCTCTTCGGGACAAATGTCGGGGCAGTGAGAGAAGCCAAAGTACACCTTCAGAGACGAGAGAAATGCGAGTCAGCACGCAGCCATAGACACCCAAACCACCGTAGCTCCATCGTCTGCCCTGGACATATTCGACTTACCAGCGAGTACCGGCCCCTCAGGTTCTGCTCAGTCATGACGTTGCCGTCCTGGTCAAGTAGCTCGAACGGGCCGCCCACCCTGGGCCGCCCAACACCTTTTGCTGCCTCGGCTATCCTCTTTTGCTGCATACGGCCCTTCTCGCGCTCGAAATACCACAGGAGACCGGCGGCAGTGGTGACGAAGAGAAGGCCGGCTTTCCAGGAGAAGGGCTGGGCGACACGTGTTAGTCGTCGCTCGAGCCTAGAAAGGAGGTGCAGAGCGAGCGAGTCTCGGCCCATTCCATACCCCAGAGCGGTAGCGACTCTTTGCCTCCTCGACCGTCTTGTATTTGAACCTCCGCTGCACCAATGGCTGCCGGGCCTGGGCCGGGCCGTGGAAAAGGCAAGGGGCCGTCGGTCGTCGAGCGGGCGAGCTGCGCGCGGTTGACATGGGTCGCAGGCATTGCCGCGCCGGTGCTCTTGCGAGAGCGTTTAGGACGGCGCCTATCCGCACAGCCGGCTGCGACATGGTGGGCGTTGGCGATGGAGCGGATGTGGCGAGCGGGAGGCGCTGAGGAATGGAGTTGGCAGATGTTCAACGAGAGCTCCAGACCCCAAAGCCTGAGGTCGGTCTCTCTCGTCTGCAGCAAGTAAAATCGCCCGATGATGGTGGCGCTTGGTCCGGGCGCTACACAGTAGCCAATGGAACTTGGGCGCGTGGCGCAAAGTGTGGGGCGGGTGCCAAGCAATCGCGCCAGGTATGCAGATAACGCAGCAGCGCATGCCTGTAAACAACTTAAACTCAGGTTCTCAACCACCTGTTGAGCCACTCAACCAGTGACTGAATTAACCTTGAAGCACGAGCAGACGCGATCGACATTAGACTCTGCACGCCCATACAAACTTAATATGTACAAACGATAGCTAAAACTGGAAAACTTGCGATGCGTGCGTGGGAAAGGTAGCACGGCTACACCCCATCTTCACGGTTGAGCCAGGGCCAGGGCAAGGACCAGGACCAGGACCAGGACCAGACTCAAACTCAGCCACAGGTGACGCCATGAGCCACGCCCTGCCGAACATGGAAGTGGAAGCAAACATGAACAACCCTCAGGGTGAGATGGAGAGTGAGATGGAGAGTGAGAGCCGGGATGGAAAAGCCGCTGACGTCGCCATCTCTCCTCCCCCGAGCACTTCACCCAATAAAATTCCTGCTCCTGTTCCCGACATAGCAATTAAGTCGGAAGAACACCAATCGCGCATCCCCAGCAGCGACGCCATTGACCGGCTCAAGACAGAAGGCACGCCAACAGCACCCGCTTCATCACCATCATCAACATTACCAGCCATGGCCGGCGACAAGACCAAGACGCCCAAGGCGGCGCCCAAGAAAAAAAAGGGCACGGCCAGTGTCGTCAAATCTTCCAAGCGCTCACGCGGTGGCGGTGGCGGCGGCGGCGGCAAGAAGGGCGGCAAGAGCTCCGGGGCTGCTAACAGGACCAAGACCGGGACGGGCTCGTCGCTAGCCCTCGCTTCCGGCGTGACGGGCGACGGAGATGGCGATCTCGGCGGCGGCGGCGGCTCTAGCGAATCGGACAGCGGGCCGTACTGCCTTTGCCGGGGCCCAGACAACCACCGCTTCATGATAGCCTGCGATCGGTGCGAGGACTGGTTCCACGGCGACTGCATCGGCATGGACAAGTACACGGGCGAGAACCTGGTGCAGAAGTACATCTGCCCCAACTGCACCGACGGCAAGCGCTACGTCACGCGCTACAAGAAGATGTGCTCGCTCGAGGGCTGCAACCGCCCCGCCCGCGTCTACAGCGTCGAGGAGCGCAGCATCTTCTGCTCCGAGGAGCACTGCCAGCTGTGGTGGGAGCAGCTCATTGCCACCCTGCCCAAGTCCAAGGCCGCCGGCGCCGACATCCTGACGCAGGACGAGTTTATGGGGCTCCTCGATACCCCGTCCAAGGGCGGGTGGAGGGTGGGCAAGAAGCCCTTTGGTATGACTTCTTCACTTTGTTCTCGAAAAAGTTTCATCCCGTCTTCACCCCATCTGTCCCTGGCTCACTCCACTTGGGCAACATCGGAATTTTGCGCAACTACTGACAGCTGTGAAAAGGCGTCTCGGACGATTCCTGGAACACGGTAGACCTTAGCAAGGCGCTCACTGCCGAGGAGCGCGACATCCTCGACCGGTCTGCCTCGGACCGCCACAATCTCGGCGAGGAGATCATGCTATGCAAGAAGATGCTGCAGCTGATCGAGATGGCACTCAAGCGGCGGGAGACGGCCATCGGCGCTGGCAAGGGCATTGCCAAGGACTTTTGCGGGTACGACGTGCGCCTCGACACGGTGGGCGTGACGCACCAGTTTGGCGTTTTTGTCCAGACCCCCGTAGGCGAGACCATCTTCAAGGCCGGCCGTCTCGACGCCTCGCCGGAACAGCTGCCCGCGGCGCTCCTAGATCCCGGAACGGCTGGCGGCGGCGGCGGCGGCATCGCTGCGGGCGCTGCCGGCCCGCCTATCGTGGACCCTGCTGCCGCGGCCGCGGCCGACCCCTTCACGGCCGGCATGTGCACCAAGAAGAAATGCAAGCCGCACGCCGTGTGGAGCGCCATTCTCGTTAAGGACGTGAAGCACTCCATCAAGGAGCTCGCCGCGCAGGCCAAGGAGAAGCTCGACGCCGAGGCCCGCGTCCGCGACAGCGCCGCCAGCCGCTTCGGCCGCAAGCTGTGCGAGAAGAACACCGTCACCGTCTACAACTCGGACGACAACGACGCGGACATGGAGGACATCGAGTGATGAGAAGTGGCGGCGCCGGCGGCGTGTATTGGGTAATAATGACAATGACCAAAAGGCTCGGACACGTAGTTTTCTCGCCGACGCGTGATGAATTTTCTTTTCTTATTTTACGTCTTGTGTAACACCTAGATACCTGCCTGCCTTATGTAGCCGGATTGAAAGAACAAGCTGGGCGTGGGTCGGTGACAAAGGCGTGCTGCGTGGGCGTTTCTAGGGATTTTCCTTTCGCTCTCGGCGAAAGGCGTGGTTTAGAGGGGGGGAGGGATGGGCCGGGGGCGAGGGAAGCGCGTCTCTCTGGCATGTTTCGTTAATAAAATAAATGGCGTCTTGGGAGTATCGGTTATGATTTATATGGAGTATCTGCCAAACGATAGCCCTGGAGACAAGCGGTCTGCCTTTTGCTGGCTAGTAGTCGTCTACCCTTCCAAAGTGAGAGGAATACCTAAAGGCTCATGATATGACGACGCGAATATATACTGGTAAATAGATATATATATATATATACTAGAAGTATATGTTCTCTTAACCCCCATTCATATGCTATCCAGCCGAGAGCATCGTACAAGGTAAGAACACACACGCCCCGCTTTTGTTGCTTGTTCTTCTTCAGCTTGAATGGGTACTTTCGAACATACATGTGTGTCCCGGCCTCCTCCGTTCATGCTCACACCAACCAAGCCAAGCTGTCGCACCTATTTTTCATCTCGTAGCGCCAACAATTTCGGTCTTCATCCTGCCCACTGCTCCTGTTTCCAAGACGAAGACGGCGTGTGGGAAGGAAAAGTCGATATGGGGCGACAAAGGGGGGCGTAAGATTTTTGAAGCGGTCTTCCTTCAGAGAAGAAGACGGCGAAAGAGGGGGTGAGAAAGTGAAAACACTGTAGCGGGCATGGTCAGCGTGATATGGGCGAATTTTGAAGCAAAGGCTGCCTGTCTCCTTCCGGCGGGTCCGGAATAAGACGAGAAAGAGATAATACAAAACAAAAACAACAAAAAAACATAAAGCCGCCGCCGCCACAGAACGCTCGTGTGGGTTGGAAGAGAGTAAGCGATAACGGAGAGTGAGAAATAAAAGTAGCCAATCCAACGCCAATCATATATTTCCAAGAAAGGAAGAAAGGAAAAGAATCGGTCATAAATAGAAAATAAAGAGACGAGCCGTGAGGCCATTTCCATCTTGTGTGTCCAGCCGCGAGGCCCATCCAGTAGTAAGTTACGTTAAAAAGTCTTGAGACATAGCCAATGCCACCGCCGTCCAGATTTCATCATGCCGCCGCCGAGGCAGGCAGGCCAAAAAGAAAAAGATAGCCAAATGCCCAACAAGATTAGATATTTATATCCCCTCCCATGAAACGATGCTGTGCATGCATGATAGAATTCCCGGGATATGCCGGGACAAGTGATGCGACTCGCATATATCCCTTTTCTTCCTCTTTGCCCCCCGGTCGTGAGATCCGGGATGACGAGATTTGCTTTTTTTTGTGCAAGATTATGTCGGCGGTGCTGTTGTATCCCGCCAAAATAAGGGGTCTCTTCTTGTGAGAGAGAGCGCGAGTTCCCATCAAGGGGATATGGCTTTTTCTCAAATGCAAAAAAGCCGCCTCTCCCCTTTTTTGTACCAGTAGTGGTCGTGTGACCCCAGTAGATTCTACCATTCATTATGGAAGACTGATTGCTTCCATCCATGTCCATTACTGGGCATAGCCTCAGTTGTGGGCCATCTCGCACTCGCGCGGCGAGAAACAATTATCGGGTGTTTCTTTTCTCTCCTTTTCTTCGGAGTACAGAGCTATAATCCCCTGTGCACTCCCTCAAGGGACTTCAGTGTTGGTTGAACAATCTTTGGGGTGCCGTATTTTTTTGTCTGTTAGTTTCCAATTACTTATGCCCGGTGCCGTCCTGAGCTGGAATGTCCGTGGCTACGGTGACTTCCATGGCCATGGCGATCTCTTCTCGATGAGCTACTTGCGCTGGATCGCTCCAGCTCGCGCTCCAGCTCCTCAGCCCTGCGACGAAAGTCGCGCACTATATCGCGAATATGGCTAATGCGATCAAAGTCGAGCTCTAGTTCGTCGATCTGGCGCATTATCTCGTGAAAACGGGCTATTTCGGCGTCGGCGTTGTCGATCAGGGTACCAGCACGGTCGTATACCTGCATCGTTACTACCTGCGACTGTTCCATGAGATATTCGAGCTGCTGCTGGATATGTTGCATTACGCGGTCGAAGTGGTGGCCCAACGCAGCCAGAGACGAGCTGTCGATCATAAGCAAGCCCTGAGACGAAGCCCGGCTTGCCGCGCGCGATGATGTCGAGCCGCCTGCCGCCACCGCCTGCTGGCCATGGCGGAGCAGTTGAATCTCTTCATTTGTCAGTCCGAGCTGTGTGTCCGGCACGGCGCTTGCGGCTGCTTGCGACGATGATGACATGTTTAGGGGGGCGACGGGTGCGGACTGGCCAGCTCAGGTTGTGAGTGACAGAAGCTCCTGCAGTTCTATGCCAGTGTTGCAATGCTGATGCAAGGTACCGGGATCTGCCGCCACTGGCTGCGTCGCCGATCGTCTGAAGGCAGGGTTGGCGGGGGCAAGGGGCGGCGCAAGATCTAAGACGGGAGCTTGCCGGGACCTAGAGACGGTCGCGGTCCCTCAAGGGGCGGGGTCCCACCGGTGACGGCACACGGCGAGGGGGTTCTGCAAGACGTTGCAAGCTTGTAGTTTGTCGGGCTCACAAGGGCGAGCTCCGTGGCACGTTTGTGGGGAGCGCGTTGCTGCGGGGTAGGCGGTAGTGCAGCCTGCACTCACTCTCCAGAGGCCAGAGTCTAGGTTGTATGTGGCGCGCTGGTTTTGGAGCCGGCATCCAGATCCGTACCATTCACTCAAGCGTCGGCGACGTCGGGCGGCGCGCGCGGCGTCGGCATTGTTCCGCTTCAGCGGGCAAAAGGCAGTCACTGTATTGGAGCCATGTCCGGTGGGCAATTGGAACGTATAGGGAGGTCGAGTCTGTCTGAATAAGGGGCGGCGGTCTCGGTTTCGCCCACGAATGTCGGAAGATAAGAGGGGCGCTGGTGATGGCGTGGGTGCCGGAGCAGCAACGCGATGCGGAAGCGGGGACCGAAAGATGGGTAGCGATGGCAATCGGTCTTGCCTTCGTTTGGTGGGTAGACGGCCGGCGAAACTGCCCTCCCACCGCGGCTCGCTTCGCCCGTCTGTCGCGTTTACACACCCTCGAGATGCCAGATTGTCTAAACTCGAAACAGCGTTCGTAGGCTGATAATCGGTGGGATCCCAGTGCCTCTGCTGACGGGAATGCGCAACCTAAAGTACCTTCGATTTCCCCGGCAAATCCGCAATGAGCTCCGAGACATGCAGAAGGGGTCTCTGGGAGAGGGGGCGCGAATCCGGCAAGCTGGTGGTGGTGGTCTCGAGAGCGCGCGGAGGTTCCAGATGGTCTTAATTATGTTGCCTCCCCCCTCGCCAAAATCTGCATCAGCTGATAGCGTGTCGAACCGACACCGCCCGGTTGTGGGATTGAGCCAAAAGGCGAATCCAGGGAAGCGGTGGAAATACCGCAAGAATGGAACCAGAGCCGTGGGCTGTTATTAATATCTCGATATCGTAGCGTAGGGCCAACTAGAAGCTAATGAAACCTGTTGGATCTGGCCAAGGCAAAGGCGAATGTCTCAATTGTGCACGTGCCGACGAACCCCGAGCCTGTTGCTGAGGGGTTTGAGGTCAAGCTGATTTCCCAGTATTGCCAAGGCAGGCTGTTCGTGCAAAGAATGGGTAGAGGGTCGAACGTCTCTGGCTGCCCTTGTCGTCTTCGGGGAGTATCTCATGGGAGATGCATGTGGAATAAGAGAGGCCGGAAGGTTTAAGAATGAATAAAGAAAGAAAGAGAAGAAAAAAAAAGTCTGGTGATGATTCAAAAAGGAATCTGACGAGCTAGATCTTGCGCTTTCCAATTTGGTTTCTTTTCTTCCGCGCCGACAGCTTAAAGACACGCCGCTTTCCAGGGCTCAGTGTCTGGCCTGGGCGTCACGTCCCCCTTGTCAACGTCAGAGCTTCTCGGAGGCGCTGACAGGGGTTAAAGTTGCACATCACATCTTTGCAAAGCAAGAACCGGCGAACATCATTTTCATCACATCTCCACTATTCCAGTGATGAGTGAGGAGTCAGGACAGTTTGCGCGGCACTAGCGGCTGGGAAATGACAACGATATCATCCAGCCCGGCCCGAGATTTGGCGCGTCCTGACTTGAGCAGGCGCGACTCACGCGCAACAACTGAGGTGATAGATAGCCCAACTTGGATCAAATCTCTCGACAGGGCAGGCCCACATCCCACACGGGAATTGGGGAAAGCGCCATCTGGGAGAAGTGACCCGGCTGTGTGGCGCTACAGTTCGCAGGGAAGGCAAGGTTGTGAATTGTCCAATGGCTCGCGCCCCTTGGTGTCCGTAGCTGGCTTAGACTTGAGCAAGCCTTTCGCACAAACCACGGCGGCCGTTTGGCTTGGAAACTTGCATCCAGTTTCACTGCCTTCCTTATGTTGCACCACCCGGCACAGCATGGAGATACATACATACAGTATCTACTGACTGCTTGGGCTTGGGCGATGCGGCAGCCTGCAAGGACGTTAGCTCGGGTCGTTCGGGCCTGGCCCAGCAGAGCAGGAAGGAGGCCCAGCAGGAAGGGGAAGGCGCTTACCAAAGCTTGTTAGTGAATGCTTTTGTTGGCCCACTACTAAGGGAACCCCCAGCCGCAGCTTTTTCAGCCTCATCGATCGTCGTCCAACGACAACCTCACTGCAAAGTTGCCCAGAAAGCCGTATTTTCCTGGGAATCGATGTCTGATGCGCCCGCTCCCGCGCCGATCGGGCGCTAAGTAGGCGCAATTGCGCATACCGCGTATCCCGGCCCGACTTTTACTCCGTGGAGTGGTGGACATCGCATCGCAGTCATGACCAAGGACAGGACAGGGCAGGACAGGACACTGTCACTCAAACTGCGCTCCCTCCGCAGAGACAGAGACATGGCCATCGGGATATTCGCCCTGTACTCGAAGTCCGTACCTCGCGCGGATCCTCGTGGTGCCCTTGCGCCGTATAGAGGATGCCGCCGCCGCTGCTAGATGGGGGTTGCGGAGCAGTCTCCTCCGGGGAGCAGAACCTCGCTCTTCGTTCTCTCCGTCTTGTTGGCGAGCTCGGGGGGGTAATTCCCTTTCGTCGCAAGACGGCCGCAGAGTCTTCGGCCCCCGGCTGCTTCCCCCGGTCTGTTTCATACAGCAGCACATATTCAGAGTCACAGCAAAAAAAAACATGTGCTTTGAACTTGACTGCGGGCGGCCGCGACTTGCCAGTAGATTGACTAGCTGTCGGCTCGCTGTGCCTCTTATCGCCAACACCAGGAAGTGACAAACCCCCCAATCGTTTTGCCGTGTGCAGAACGCACACTGTCGCTACCAAATGTTGCTTTTATCCCCGGGCCGAGAACCCCTCTCTATTTGCAAATTGGCGTCTTGACAAGCAGGAAACCGGGCTAAGGTCCCTGTATAAAGCCGGGCACGTTGGCAATGAGGAACGGAATAAACTAAGTGGTTCGGCCCTCCCCGACACTCAATCGTTGGTCCCGCCCCGTCGTCATGCTGTCCCTGTCCATCCAGGGTCTCGTCGTCTTTGGCATCGCTGCCCTATGGCAAGCTTCTGCGACCATTCTCCAGAATGGTCAAGTGAAGCCTACAAGCTATGCTGAGACTCGTATTAACCAATCCGAATACTCGTTCAGGACCTACTCGGCGAACGCCACCGAAATATCGTATCAAGGCCGGTGGGATTCCAAATATGTCTCTTGGTGGTCGTAAGTCAGATCCGCATTGGCTGGCCATGAGCCAGATGTCGTACCAGAAGGTCTGATACAGATCCCGATAGGGCTCCAGGTATCAAGTTCGGCTACACGGGGCGGACGGTGGCCATCACGTTCGGCAACCTGACGACGGATGGCGTCCTTGTTGGATACCGCATCGGGGGGCTGGATTGGGCCTTTGCAAATATAACAGCCGGTTCCACGCACCTCCTTGTTAGCCCAGCCGACCCAAACTCGGGTTTGACTGCGCCCATCAATCCGTGGACATTTGAACTTCGCGTAACGAACTGGGCTTTTGGCATACAGATCGACTCCGTCCATGCCGCCGCCGGCGAAAAGCTTGTCAGGCTCCCCGACCTTGGCCGCCGGATCGAGGTCATTGGCGACAGCCTCGCTGCTGGCATGTACACCTCGTACGAGGGGCTCTCAAGCTGGGCATAGTAAGTAATGCCTTCTCTTCGGGTCTCAGTTGGGCAGTCCGGTCGGGACTAGGCTGAGTGTCGAAACCTTTTTGACAGGCGATACACACTAACCTGCGGTAAACAAAGCGGCCTCGCTGCTGGGCTGGGCAACACGGAATACTCTGTGACGGCTTACCCGGGAATTTGTGCTGCCGACCAAGACTGCTGGGGAAATCCTCGAGGACAGGTGCACCAATGGTTTTATACATCCGACACAAGCTCTCGAGCCGCAGCACTATATGGAGGTACGGGGTACCGGCTTCCCTCGACCTGGGAGAGTCTCAAATGCTGATGCTGATCGAGAACTATAGAAAACCCGGAACCCTGGGATTTCAGCGCGCGGCCAGCCGCCGACTTGGTTGTTATCAACATTGGCACAAACGACGGTAACGAGCACAACAATGTCTCGACCACTGCCTATATCGATGCATTGACCAAAATTATAGAAGGCGTCCACGGAAAATGGCCCAAGGCCCAAGTAATTGTCATGGTGAGCTTTTCCTCTGTATGACTCTCTCCCTCGGCTAAGCTCTGACAAATACTCTCCTGCCAAGTCACTCTGGCTCGGCTTCTACCAGTCCGGAAACTCGTACTTCCCAAGCGCCCCGTCTGGGTGGGTGAATGAGATCAGCCAGATGGTCCAGTGGTTTAACTCAGGTGACTATCTGCTCGACCCAGTCATCTACGACGGCATCACCAAAAAGACCTCGAGGACGGGCACCAAGGTCGAACCCTTTGTCCACTACTTCAATACGACGGGTATCATGCAGCACAACGACATTGGGCCGGGGTATCATCCCACGGACATCGGGGCAATCAAGGTTGCCAGCCACCTACAGCAGTTCATCAAGATGACTTTCCAGTGGGACTTGTACGCTACAGGACCAGAGTAGGTGGCCCTCCTCTTTCCAGAGCTATGCGCGGCTAGTGGGGGATTCGAGTGCCCGCATGACTGACGATGAATCTCAAGGGTCTACCACGACACACTTTACTGGAATAACGAAGCCAACTACTAATATGTTCTACTTTGTAATAAGTAAGTCACGGAGTCAACACAAAATATGATATGCGGAAAGCGTGTTTCTGCACAGAGATTATGGTCCTCCTATCCTGAACTTTCAGTCTTGCCCTTATCAGCAGGCCAGTCCAAACAAGAAGGGCGAACGTTGCATAAGTAACTACATTAGGTAGTCTAAACCGGAATTGAGAGTGGTCAACAGATTATCGCTCGAGCGAAACTTTATGACATTCTGGCTCCCGATGATTAACCAGGTTGCATAGCAAAGAATTAAAAAGACAACAAGTGCGAGGTAAAAAAAAAACATTTCCGTTGCGTTCAGCCATGACAGCTGCTACAAGCAAAAAGATACAGCTCCAATCTAAGAACGCAGATACGACAAGAGGGAACCGAACCCCCCCTCAACCTTGGAAGGGTTGAATCCTAGCCACTAGACTATTGACGCTGTTGCTGGATGTTTGGATGATAATAGGGTAGGGGAGGATAGTCTCCATAATGAGAGGGCCCCATGAGCTATCGATAGTGAATAAAATAATAAGTTGCAGAAGAAACCCGGTTGTGGAGGAAAAAAGGATGCATCAAGAGGGAATCGAACCCCCCCCTCAACCTTGGAAGGGTTGAATCCTAACCACTAGACCATTGATGCTGATGGACACGTTGTTTGTTTGATGATGTGAGGGGATGCTCCACCGCTATCTATAAGCCTCGTGGCCAAAGCCCCCGAGGGTGGGTAGCGTCTGGGAGGTGGGCCTCTCACCGGTTGGTTTTGCTACGAGGGCTTATGTTTACCATCTAGAGGGACGGCCATAGTGTTTGCTTCCCTTTTGCGAGTTAGGTGCTCCGTGGTGTTTACGTGCATGTTAGGTTACGCCCCCCAAGAAGACATTGGCGAGCAAAGCATAGGACAGACATCACCGCAAACACGGCAATGCAAAAGCATAGCATTGAAGAATAACCCCTTAGTGATCTTGACATCTTAGTTATGTCCGAAACACATCTAATCCACGTGTTTCCTCCTGGAAGGTAGTAGCACCAGAGCACTGCAGTTGTGCCTATCTCTTAGCTTTGGTCTCCCGGGATGGGTACCTCACGATACGCTTTCCTCAGGCCGCCATCCATCCATCCGTCCAGGTGAACACTTGATCGCCGAGCAAAAGGCTTCGGGCAACAATAACACGCCGGGGAGGTCGGAGATTCTTTGTCAAGGACCCCTATATTGATCTTTTTTGTTGCCAAGTGTTTCCCGAAGCGCCTGCTAACCTACATTCCCTACAGGAGGAAAAACTGCAAGAAAAGGAAAGAAAGAAAGATGTGTGGAGTCTCGGCACATTGTACATAGGAATAAGGCAAGGCAGGTAGGCAGGTCTCTGTAGGTATACGTGTACAACAGATGCAATGCATGGTAGGACTAGAAGGAAGGCCAAGGCTACGTACTGTACAATGTACATACATGTGCATAGGTAAGGAGTATGTTTGTTCGCAATAAGCTTTTCGGGAGATTTTCAAAGATTTGCGTGCTTTCTTTTCCCATGTTTCCGTCGTGTCGTCGTTCATGTTGGGGCGAGCAGTGTTTGGGCAGGCAGCGCAGCACGCACACGGGAGGAGAAACAAAACTGAAACGAGTCGGGTGCATACGCTACATGCACTGCTTTGCACTGCCCTGACCTGACAAACCACGCTGGCGGCTGCATTTATTTGCTTGGGATAAGAAATGATCAAGGAATAACGGCGCTAAATTAAATTCTCAGGCATGCATTGTTGTCATCTCTTGATTCACCACGAGGTTGCTTGCTGTGCCTCTTGGAATATCAATATCGTTGAACCTCCGCAGGGGCGGAGAACCGGGGCAACTTGGCGATACGTAAGACAAAAAACAAAAAGACAATCAAAACTGAAGTCTCAAACAATTCGACGAGAGGGAAGATCTTAGCATGCTTGTTTTCACTATGTGACCAACAAACAGCTGGGCCGAGTTGCATTCTGTGCTTCAACCTACCTTTAACCTGGCGCGTAGGGAGTAAAAGAGACCCAAACCCGGCCAGCCTATAATTGACACATAATATCAATCCCGACGCTCAGTGCAAGGGGAAATCAGCAGTGCAACAAACCCACCGTTTCTTTTTCTTTCTTCTTTTATTATTTTATTATTTGGCGTTCCGTTTGTTTCCCACAGCATCTGTCCTGCCGCGCGAGGTACATACCAATTGGAGTTGTTTTTCCCCTTGTCTCCCCCTCCCGTTCCATCGTGTTACACACAAGGAACTTGCCTCTCGGCTTTTGGCCGAGCCGTGGGGTGTGGTTTATGGGTTAACCCGGGGGGGCACAAGGCAAGTGCAGGGGTGGGCGGCCTAACGTTTTCGGTTCGCAGTGTGAAACGCACGCGAAAATGGGACTTGTAGCAAAATACGTTACCTATAACCGCCTGCAGCAGCAGCAGCAAGTGACCATAGGCAATAAGAATAATCAGTTATTTGTGCACGCGTGCACTGCGGGCATTTAATTGTGCTGTTTGTCTCATACATAAGGCAGAACTACTTATTGTTGATCGTGGTTTCTTGAATACGTAAGAAGAGGAAAAGAAAACATGAAGGAAAAGGGGGGGGGGCTTGTTTGAGATACGTGGTTCCGTCCTAAGACGGACAAGTGCAGCCTCGTTCCCAGGGGGGCCGTTGAATTGAATGAGCAAGGGGCGAGGCAGCCGCAGCAGCCTCGCGCCTCGCGCCTCACCATTCGCTAGTGCAATGCAGTGCCGGGCCAGGTCGCACGTAGAGTGAGTTTAGCGCCGAAAGGCAAGCCCCCTTCCATCACAAAAGTTAAGCAAAAGTTAAGCGATAAAATAAATAAAATAAAATAAGAGAAGAAATGATGCGCATTCATCCTTCCCAAGGGTATGGCGCGCCGACGCCGCGTCCGGGAACTGATCTGTTTCCCCAGGGCCCGCGGGCATGGCATGGCGTTCTGTAGTCGGCAGCAGCTCCTCCCCGGCCCCGTCCGTCGTCACCGTCACCTAATTTCGCTCAACACCCGCCAGGAGGTTGCAAGGCGCCGCATCAGGAAGTTCTTAAAATATCGGACTATCATCACAGAGACACAGACAAAAAACACGCACGGCGTAATATGTGATTACTCCGTATTTCCTTCTTTTTCGTCGACATCTCAATAGCTCAGCCACTTTTGTTTCTTGCCCCCCCGCATCTCATCCTGCAAGCGCAAGACAGGTAGGTAGGTGGTGAGACAGACAGGAGCGTATGGGACTGCAGATACTTCGTTAGTACGTACTTCGTGCACACAACCGGCCGGCCGGCAGTGGATACCGCAGTGGATGCCGTGCACATCTGTCGTGGACCCCTTTCTTTATACCTACGCAGTGGAGAGAAAACACACAGTTGGCACGGATAGGGCCGGGCAAGGACAGATACGCGAGCGCGAACAAAGGGCGAGATCCTCGCACCTTCGTCCTGGGACGAGTCTTTTCCCCACAGCTCGCTCGCTAATAGCTCGGCGAGGACAACTTTGGCCGCGGTGAACTTGCAAAACCCCTCTTCAATCTTGCATGCAAGTGACGAGGGCCGAGCAGTTGGGACTCGGGAACGAGTTGAACAAATAAAAGAAAAGAAAATAAGAAGGAAATAAGAGTTTAGCGTCATGATCTCCACTGCACTGCGTCTGCGTGTGGCGGCGCCACAAGTGAAAGCCATCGTTTCAGCCAACGGCCTTAACGTTAAATCACCCAGCCCAGCGCAAACCCCAGCCCAGCCCAGCCCAGCCCAGCCCAGCCGGCAGCTTGGACCCACCGCTCCACTCCAAGTCAAGAAAGGCGCACGCCGCCCGGCGGCGGGCTGATCGGCTTTCGTGCTGGCATCTGCGGCTTTGCGCGTCGTGGTTTCTGGGGAGGGGGATGATCTATGTCATCCAGCGCAGCGCCGCACGCACAGCACGGAGCGTCTCGGCACCTCAGCTCGGGGCAGGGCAGGGCAGGGCTTGGCTTGAGGCCTAGAGGGCTGTGGTTGAGGTTCAAGCCGTGTTTGTGAAACCCCCCCTAGTCCGGCTCTCCCACGTTTTGCGCCTCGTCCGCACTAAAGACGGAAGAGGCTGCAAAGTGAAGAAAGGCTGCAAGGTTGTCGAGGGAGGGCCCGAGCGTCAGGAGCGACTAACTGAAGTTGCAAACAACTGAGAGCTCGCTCGCTCGCTTCGGTGGTTCGGTGTTTCGAAGACATCCGGGAATGTGGATTATTTTTGTTTTCTTTCGGCTTGTCAATCATGAGGAGACGCTAGGGAAACTCACTCATTGATTTACGCGGAGTCTCGGTACACGGCTGTGGAGTTGCATTGTAGGAGTGTGGATTGGGGTTTTGGCTTTGGGTTGGACAAAGGGGGAATTGTCGAAACGGAAACAAGCGCAACGGAGCCCTGTCGCATTGAAAAGAGTTGTTTTGTTTTGTTGCTCGAGGAACTCCTCTGCAAACCACCGACTGCGCTCTGGGTTCGTCTGAAGTTCCGAACCCATACGGGATACCAAGCCGGGGTTCATCTGCTTGTCTTGCTCGTGCGAGTTGCTTGTCTCACTTGTCAAGCCCGAGCTTGCGGGATGCGATGCCAGGTCCCCAAGGTACTAATAATTTGCAGTCATGCTTGTGGCGATCAGATGAAACAATAGTTAGATCTGCAGCGCGTGATGGAAGAAGGTCCCGCGCATTCGGTCGCTCACTTCTGGGCAGTATAAGCATGCAAGATGCAAGCCATAGCACAGGGCTAGCTCGTCACTGGGGGCCGCTCCGCCATAAGTGACGCTGTTCAGGTTGACTTTGGTGCAGAAAGAACGCCGCGGATGCAAGAGTTCTGCAAGTCCATGTTCGCTGCACGGCGCCAAGATGACCGTGTCGAGAGGTGCCGTGTTTATGGCTGGCTGAGCGATCTCGGATGCCTGCATTCGGAAGGGCTGTCCTGAGGTTGTTGATGGCTTGATCAGAGAAGACGCTGCGGTTTTGTTTTATTTTCCCCTTCATTTTTTGCGATGCCACCGCGAGTTTCTTCTACAAACTGTCGACATTGGCCGCCTCTCATAAAAGACTACTCATGACATCAGAACCCCTTTTTCACCGCCAGCCTGCCTCTGATGATCTGCCCCATGGGATGAGCGGCGATCCCTGCATGGCATCCAGGGCTTGGCGGGAACTACTGATCGACATGACATGGGCCGCAAAAACTTGGATGGGCGGAGGTGGAGAAGCGAGCTAAATAAATGGAAAAAAATAAAAACGATAAAAAAGACCAAAAAAACACGGAAAAGGCAACGGGGCACGCTAGCGCAGCGCATCCACACGCTAGAAGGGCGGGAGACGCTAGAAGAAAAAGCAAAGAACATGTTTCTCTTGAGTTGAAAACCAAGCATCGGAATTGATGGCAAGAAAAACCCCGCAATCGTTCAATTGAGGGGGGACTATTGAGCCACTCGGCACGTGCATGTATTATACTGAGTATAAACAGTACACGACACCGCGTTTTACGGACGCTGGGTAGGTTCGCACCCACCCTGGCGTATATTGGGAACGTCTTTCTCGCCGTTCGTCGGGAGGACGGGTGCTTTTTGGGAAGCCGCGACTGCAGATCACCGCATGGCCCCCCAATATTCTGGGGCGCACTGCATCGAAAAGAAACGTGTCACGGTACCACAACGGCTTTTTTTTTTTGGGAGGCGACTTCTCACCGTCTTCCCTAGAGCGGAAACCCCAAACGAGGCCGGCTGCAGCCAGACTGTCCAATGCACCGAAGAGAAATATAAATATTTATTATTGCTAGATTTCCCATCCAATCCCCAACGACATCATCACACTACATATGTGCACAGCATGTACCCAATCAGTGCCTTTTGATCTCTTCCGGCTTTATTCCTTCTTTGCGGCTGATGCTGATCAGCGGTGATGGCTCTGGCTGTTAGTGAGGCTCCGTTTCCCAATTACCGAGGACTCGGGATCCAGCTCTGGACCCATCTCGGGCTCCTGCCTGACTCGACATTCCCGTGGCGGGTTGTTCCATGGCCAACTAGTATGTTCCCTTTTCTCTTTTTCTTTTTATCTAAACTTCTCGAGCTGGTATAGGCCATAAGATTAGATCCCCCCTTCCCATCCATCCCCTTGCAACGTGGAAGATCAGCGGATGGGGTTCGCTAGCTCCGGTGATCTGCCATGATCCCTGCACCTGCTGGATGTGGCGTAGTTGGTTCCGTCGTGAGACGAGCGGCGATGACGAATTACCTTGGTTTCCCGACGACCTCGTGTCTTTTGGTCGGCGCAGGAATGAAGCTATAAGCATTTCAATATTAGCCTGATGACGGTGCTCCTAGTTCTGACAGGCCAAATACAGTAATCTATACGCGGCCCCCGCCCTGCCCCGAGTGCCTTACCGTTCGTGTAATAAGAAGACATAGATAGCAAACAATAGGATGGCGCTACGAAAAAAGATCCGGCCGAATTTCCAACGCATAGGCAAGCCTAGGGCATCCCATCTCCGAGATATAATGACCAAACACAATGCCTTGTTGACTCAAGCGTCGGCCTTTTCCCGCACTTTCTTTGTGAATTGGTTTTTCTTGCAATTCACATCCGCTGGGTTCGTCTGCAAGCATTATCCCGGGCGTTGTCGAGTGGAAGCCTCCTGGAAAGAATTGTTCTCCATAGTGTCCAATCTGCTTTTTACGTCATGGCATGGCAGACCCCGAGTTGCCGAGTTGCGGGTTTCCGTCTCAATTCAATTTAGTATTTTAGTAAGTAGAAGGGCACCTTACCTAAGAAAACCCCTCTCCCGCCCATCTCCCGCTCATCCCCCCTTGCCGAAGGAAATACACGCGCACCAGGTTTTCCTGGCCTTTGTATGACGATGCGGGGCCGTTGAAAGCCATGAATGGGAGAGACGTCGAGATCCTGGTCATCGACGACAAGAGGCTCCCCCGGAATGGGTAACCATTTTTCTGCTAATAGTTCGCATCCCAATAAAAAAATTCGAATTGAAAGAAATTTAAACCCTGAGTGCGCCCGCCGTTTGTCGTTAGACAGGGCCGCTCTATGTCCTACGGGGCGATCATGCGTGGAGATTATGGGTCCTAGCTTGTTGGCTCCGACGTTCCGGCCTCTCATTCGAGAAAAAAAAAATCGCGAAAGACGAGGGGGATACGCGAGGGAGATCTCCTTCGATCATCGGTTAGGGAGGAATGTAGGCAGTGCAATTCTCCTCGGGTGCCCGGTGCTGATGACGGTTACGTCTCTAAGACTTTGCTTGCTCGCTCGCTCCCCCTGGGATCAGTATCGTCATGCCGTGCGTGCAACGGAAAAAAAGTGTCAATAGGATCTAAATCCCACGTTCTCAGCGTCTCTCTCGAAACTCGCTTTGTTCTGTTTCGGTTCATGGGGGTGTTTTCTTTTTCTTTTTTTGTCATGAGGGGGGGGTTATGAGGTTAAGGTTATGACGCTGTTGTTGTTTCAGTAAGGTGGTAGGTATTCCGTCCCTCGAGCACGTCCCTCTCTCCCTCCCCTTCCCCCTTACCCATGACGAAACCAAAACCGACTTCTCTTTTTCACCATGAATAAACCAGAAAAGAAAGAAATAAGAATAACCCCCGAAAAATAGGACAGAGAAGTGATAAACCCTCCCAAAATGTGATGCAACCATTGGTATTCATTCCCACGCCCCCTTAAAAAGTGCTTTTCTGACCCCCCTACTGCGCAATGCATCCCTCCTCCAAGCGCCCCATCCCATGGTGTTTGCTTGCGGACGATGTCCCTTTCCCCCCCTTCCTACTCCCCGCCGATAGGCATTAGATGTACAAAAAAAGAGAGAAGAAACAATCCAACATATTGGGTATATCCCCTTTTTCTATATGTACAATTATGTCTTCTCGCAAAAAAAATAATTTTGCCCAATGCATCGAAGCAAGGGAGACGAAAGTCTCTCTCGCCCAGGGGTAGTAGTTCGTCGTCACGTAAAGTGAAAAAAAAAAGAAAAACAAAAGAAACACCCAACATATCCCGTTGTAAATGCTGAGCAATTCCCAGACCACCCCAAACCCCCCCCCCCCCCCCCCCCCCCCACCCCCCCCCCAATTCACGCCTTGTTCCCCCAGTGCAAAAAAAGTTGACCTTGTAACTCCTTTCCGTCCATAATGTTGTTGTCCCAAACCTGTTTCGGAGTTCCAACCGTCCGTCCATTGTGCCCCCCGAAGAAAAAGAAGAAAAACATAAAAACAAAAGAAAAGCTTTGGCTCCCCAACCACCAAAGGAACACTCCGTGTGCCCACTTGTAAACGCCTTTTTTCCCCCAAAAAGTAAAATATGCACCGCCGTCAACACACACGCACATATGTACCCATCCCTTTGTGTACACATACACACCCGTCCTATTTTTCGTCCCAAAATCTCATCAAAAAATAACATCCGATAATTGGAAAGAGATGGGGGAATTATGTATAAAAACAGTTATCGTTGTGGTTGTTGGTTGTTGTATAACGAAGGGGGGGAGTGTTGAGAACCTCTACCACCAGGGCCGGTATGCTTTGTTTGGTCGTAAGTGTTGTGGTGAATTAGACATTTTGGTTTAAAAAAATCCAGGGGTGTAGGTGTAGCTGTCTTTTTTGCTGGCGATAGGCAAAAATATTTAGAAAGACCAAAGACCAAAAAAAAGTGGTGTTGTCGATTTAGGAACTTAGCGTTGGCCCGCCGCTGCTGCTGGTGCTGCTGCCGCTCTCGTACGTGTGGCAACCCCGCTCGTGACGCTTCATGTTGCTCCGGACGCTAAAGGCCTTGCCGCAGCCGGCGTGCGGGCACTTGAAGGGCTTCTCGCCCGTGTGCGAGTGGCTATGGATGCGCAGCGAGCTGGGGCGGGAGAAGGCCTTGTTGCAGGTCTGGCAGATGTAGCGGTCCTGGGACTGGGGGAAGGACGAGGCGGACGAGGGCGCGATGTAGTGGTGGTGCTGCTGCCAGGGGGCGCCCGACGACGGGGCCATGGTCACCGACACCGGCATGGGGGGGAAAGCCTGTGACCCTGATGAGAAACTTCTCGTGGGGAAGGAGCCCATGGGGTGGCATACCTGGGGGAGCGGCCTCTGGTAGTACAGCCCCGACATCTGCGACTGCTGCTGGGGGTTGGGCTGCATGGGAGGGTAGTACGATGCCATGGCCGGCTGCGTCATGTAGGTGGGCGCGGCGAACTGGGGCTGGTACGCCGAGGCGTGGACCGAGACCCTCGGCGCAACGGCGGCGGCTATGTGTCGAGCATCGGCCTCGATCTGGCTCAGCGGCGGCGTCGTCTCGAAGTAGTAGTTTTGCTGGTTCGAGAGCTGCGTCATGGGCTTGGTGGCCGGCGAGTTGTACCCCTCAAATGAAGCATCCGACGACATGGGCGGGCTCGGCGGCAGTATCCCCCTTCCCATCATCGAATTGCCATAGTGTGACGAACTTGGCCGTGTCTCTGGCTTTGATGATTGTTGCTGCTGCTGTTGTTGTTGTTGTTGTACTGGGGGTGCGGTTAGTACCTGCTGCCATAGCTCGTCCTGCTGCTCTGCGAGTCCCCTACATTGTTGAGACTGGGGCGACGTCTCTGAGGTCGGAGATCCCTGGTCCGCTAGCCCGAGCAAGTTTGAGATTGAAGGCAGCGAGCACTTGATGGCGTCATCCATTGGGGGTGAAGGCGGGGCGATATAGCCATAATGTGCCTGTTGTTGGGGAGCAAAGTGTGTTGCTATCATCGTGGACGTCATCTTGATGTCGAATTAGAGAGGTATTATTTTTTGGTATGTCTGCGTGCGTGCGTGTTGCCGAGTTGGCAAGTAACCCCTTCGACGGTTTACTGGACGGGGCACGAGACAGGACACCAAAAGCAGCACGAGGTTGTGTTTTTGTGATTATTAGGCTCTTGTCAATGGCAAGAGCAGGGCGAGGGCGAAGGCGAAGGCGAGGGCGAGACGGGACGAGAAGGAAGCGAGTTAGATTGGTTGGATGATTATATCGAGTGCCAGCTGGATAGTGATGTGTTGTTTAAAGATCCCCAAGATTTGCTAGCGGATTATCTGGTGGGAGGGGGGTGGCTAGTTATGTATGCAACGAAAGAAGGCTTGCCCTCGCGTGTTGACGTTGTTACGGTAGGGTAGGCAAGGTTGGCAAGGCAGGTTGTGGGTTGTAGTAGTGTAATGGGTAGTAAGGTCAGGGAAGGGCAAAAGGCAGGGGCAGCTTTGTACCATCCATCAGATCTCCCGAAGTACACTACATACATGGGGCACCAGTACGCCAGAGTGTGGATGATCAAGCGTAAATCCACAAAAGGTGATCCCTCCCCGGACCAGGGCGGCCAGTAGGTGTTGTCACATATTGTGTGTGGGTCTGACCGGCGGGCCTTGGGTGTTGTGCCAGGCCAGGATCAAGGCCATGGGGCAAACTGTTGATCAAAGGTACTTGCAGCAGCCACCCCCGTCGAGCAGCCGTCGAGCTCGCCAAGCACTTATAACGCCTCCTGGTATATGGGGCTCTGACTCCGGGTGCATCGGCGGCGCCCTGATTTGATGCTGGTGCTGGATGGGGCCCGCATGACCCTGCCCTGCCTGCCAGAGTCTACCTCTACCACCTTTAGTCCCATCATCCGGTAAACACGGGGGGACCCGCGGTCGGCTGCGCTCAAGTACCAGCCGAGCGCCCGCGCCCCGTATGTACAGTACCCGAGGTACCTACCTGGGTCAGACACGCAACGGGCGGATGATCGAGGAGATCCAGAACGCGTTGCTTTTTTGTGATTGCCATTGATCTCCAGAGTCCAAAACGTTTGAGATGCGTGCAGCTGCCAGTGCTAGCCCAGACCCTGTTGCGCCAGTGCATTCTATGCCATATCGCATCGGCGGGCCAAATGCGATGCGCGCGGGGTGCACCATTTATTGTCGAATCCGTTTTTGCTCTATAGCTGCGCTTTTCTTTTTCTCAACGGTCGAAGGCCGAAAGGGCGACGAGAGAAAAAAACGTGAAGCGGTGGGCACTTCGGGTCTGCGACGAGGGCGCTCCTTGGGACCAAACCCTAAGTCTAGACGCTAGCTCAAAGAGGAACTATCCACTCTCCCGTTTCTGCTTAGCTTCTACTTAGCCCTTCCGCTGCACGCTGGGGGCCCCGCTACACCCGAAGAAGACATGCCGCCGTCCCAAGAGTTGGTCTGTGTCAGTACGTACCTGCCCTCCCGTCCCCCCTCTTCTCCCCTCCGTGTTCTGTCACGGACGCCTGGGGCGTTTTGGGACAGGGGTCCCTGAGCCCGGGCAAGCACAACTTGAGACGAGCGACGACACCAAAAACCTCGTGCCTGATAGCAGATGAAGCCACCGCAGGCGCTGTCAATGCATCACCCTGGAAACTTGCTTGACAGAAGCTGTGACCGGATTGTCGAGCTGATCTTATGCCGTACGCCGTCCCTGCCTTGCCCAACTGCCATCTCGAAACAAGTCCATCTTTCAAGGTTCAGATGCCGTGGCTAGGACCTGTCACGGTTCCAGAACTATTCTGATCTGTCGAGACCATGGCGCAGATTGCTCGATCCATCTCGTGTGTCTGGAGATCTTATTTCGACCCTCAGTCCATCAGCGTGGCTCATCGGGCCATATCTGCTGTTCCGCATCTTGTGCCACAGGGAAGAGCGGGAGCGTCATTCATGCTAGGACCGGTTTTTGGAATTATTTCAAGTAGCCTACCTTACGTACGTACATACATACATCGTATCATCAGCACCCAGCACGAAGCACGTGGAAGCTGCAAAAAGCACTCACTGCATATTGAACACCCTGCAACGGAGTGCAACACGATTACCTAGAACAACAACAACAACAACAACAAGCACGGGGCAAGGAACGGGATAAAAGAGGGCCTGTCTCGACTCGCTTTGGTGGCCCAATACCCTGCAGGGGCTTATCCAAGAGCCGGAACTGTTTGGACGAGTCGACGACAGCCATGGTCGGCAGCCCTTCAGAGCCAGAAGATCTCTATCTCTACACGTACGATGGCGCCCTTCAACCAACCGCGCGGGTGCGAGTGTCCGATCGTGAACCCTCAGGTAATTAAGGCCGAGTTAGTGGGTACGATACCACCGTTGCGGTCGCTTAAGGAAGTTAGTTACTGGCACGCCTAATTGCTGTATAGTGTGTGTCAGGCCAGGAGATATTTCTCTCAGCACACGGCCTCGAGTTCCGCATCTGACAAGAGCATCCGTAGCTGTAAAAGCTATTAGTATAACGGACCATAGCCCCTTTTCGGCGCGTCGTGATATTAGAAGCCAGAACATGGACCCGCGAGCCACCTGGCAGTCAGTCGCCGAGCAGCTGCCGAGCTGACGACGGCAGACACCAAGGCCTCGCCTCTCTTGGGCGAGTAGATCCTGCGCTTCAAGATTGTTTCTCCAGAAACAGCCCGGGGATTTTCAGAAACAAAGGCTAATCTCAGATGATCGTCCGCCTTACTCGGGGAGGTGAGTCAACGTTTAAGGAAAGCTTTGGCATCCGGGTGGCTTGTCCGGGGGCCGTGGGGCGCCCTCGGGGTTCAGGGGTCCTTGATCGCCAGTGGAAGCGAGTCTTTGGGACTGGGGTTGCCGACGGAAAAGAAGGCTGCCTGTCTTGTCTTGCCTATGTCCTGTGTGGCCCTGTGTCTGGCATGAGGCAGGGGCGAGCAGGGAGATCGACGAGGGTTCGGAGATGCTTGGAGCGCTTTGGACTCGTGGGAGAGCCGGAATTGGGAAGCTGGGACAAGGAGATGGGCCTGTCGTGCCACACCCGTGCCACATCCGCGGCTCAGTGCAGGGCAGCCAGTTGCAAGGCATGACAACGGGATGAAGTTCCGAGAGCGCTCTGCGTGGTCTGGCACCGACCTTAAACGCAGGCCTGCCACTTAAGGTTGTGCTGCTGCCACATGCCAGACACCCAGACGGTCAACGGACCCCGTCGAGGGACGCCCTAGCGACTTGGGACGACGCTGAGCACAAAGCACAAAGCAGCATTTTACTGCTGAGATCTTTTTTTTTGACAGCTGCAAGCTGCCGACCAGTAGGTCGCCGGGCCACGCATCGTCCTATGTCGCACTGCAACCTTGTCTAAACACGCCCAGGGCTGCGCTATGATGTTTTTCTGCTAACAATGTCTGTGATATTTCAGAGTCTTTGGTCGCTGCCGAGAACCGAGACATGCTAAAACCAATTGCGCAGCGCGCTGGCTGCCCTGGCGGTGTCTTGTGCGCCGGTGCCAGCAACATCCGACGACTGCAAGATGCGGCTAATTGTTCGACGTCAGGGTAGGATTTGCTGGTTTTGATACACTGAAGCGCCTTCTCTGCGTCCAGCTGTAAATAAACCGTAATGTGATGTACAGTACGTGATGGTAGTTGGGGTGGCAGATGGATTGGCAGGATCAATAAGATGGGCGCTTTTTTTATTTGTTTTAATTATTTTCCGTCTCTCCAGTCGGTGTTCTCGAAGCTGCGCCGCGCCCCCAAATTGGCTTTTTGCGGGCGCAAGCCACTTTTCCCAGTCCACCCTCTTCCTGCTCCTTCCCCTGCTGGGTCGCGGCGGTGCACTTACCCAGACCCGTCCCGTCGGGCAAGAACCACCCACGACAACCAGGTCAAATGATGCCATTTTTGCTTCCTTCCCGAGGCGCCAAGAGCACCTTCCCTCAATCTCGGCGCTGACTTTTTGCGATCAGGTGCAAATTTCAGGTACAAATTGAATTAAGCTGAACCCAATTGAGTCTGATGCAGGCCCCCCAGCTTCACACGCCGCGCGGGGCTTTGCCAACTGAAAACAGGCGGGGGTTCTGCCCACTCCGCATTTTCGGAACGCGACTCACTCAAGCGCCGACTGATGTTCGCGGGGCCGGGGCGGAGTCGGCCCACGTACCCGCTAATTAAGCACCGACCCCGACCGCCCAGCACGGCCAAATGTGCGACCGGCTCTCGCTTACCGGTCCGCCGACAGCCACACCCACTGGAGCCGCTGGAAGCCCGCTGTAGCTCTCCTCAATGTTCAGCGGTCCGGTACCCCAGCTGGCTTCGAGCTACCGAAGTTACAGGCCTAATTGCCGGCCTCTTCTGCGGCACTTGCGGCACAGAATCTTGTCTTGGAAAGCGCGGCGCCCAATCGAAGACGGTGCCAAGTCGTCCCAGGTTGCTGTGAGGTGGCTGCGATGAATCTCGCTCGTCTGCCAATCAAGCCAGGCGGCTACAAGAGCAGTTGCTCTGTGCAAATATACAGACAGTGCCCCGCAGTGATGATGGCATCAACACTTACAAATAACAAGAGAAGCTCAAAAGTCCTGAGCATGATTTTTATGACGTGAGGAGGCGCGATTTGCATTGAGGCTTCCGTCGCAGCCCTCAGTCGAGACTGAATTGGCGCACGCCTTTTGGCACACTCTTGAGGCGATCCTACACGGACCCAGGTTCACGTTGCAGACAGAATCAATCTACTGAGCTATTGCGCTAGAGCTGAGGCCGCGCGCTGTGAGTGATAGCTATAACCTAAGCTGGTAAGCTTGCCTTGATTACGGATGTGTCTCCGGTAGGAAGCAAAGGGCAGGCATTTGCAAGTCGTCCTAGCCTGGCGCGTTTGTCGCCGTCCCGCCGCCAGCGGGCCGCTACGTAATGGGCAGCATTGGCTGCCATTGCCAATGCCCGTTGGCTTGGTTGTGTGGTTTATGGCTGAAGATACAGGTGTTGTGTGGTGAGCGGCGGTGGTATTTCGGGCACTCTTTGATTGCCCGCCCATATCACGCCCTGATATAACCCTGGCAGGCGCCAGGCTGCCGCACTCCGTTTTATGGCCAGCACTACCTGGTATCCGTACGTACGTGTAATACTAGGTAGCCCTGACTCCGTACTTCCGTAAACTCTGTAGTATCCTGTACGTACGGTGAGTCGTGACAGAGTCTACGAGGTGCGGGCCTACCTTCCCTAATGTCACACTCGAGGTCGTCACTGCCTTCATCTTCATTACATAGCATTACATAGTACAGAGTACAGTCACCGGCCTGGGCTTCTCCCCCCTGCACGCAATACCGATTTCCCAAACGGATATTATCCGACGTGCGGCGACGTGGGCGATCAGAACGTGGTGCTGCCTTAGCGCGGGCTCGCTTAGCACGCTCAAGCCGAAAAGAGTGTGAGGGCGTGGTGCCGGTTTGGGAATGGGCGAAGATCGACGAGCGTTTTCGACGTTTGTGGTCGGCGCTACACTAGTCTCGGAAAATATGCCACGCTGCAACCGCACATCGCGCTTCTTACCCAGCTTCCTCTTTGGGCCGCCTCACCACCACGGAATCGCAATATCGTCAGAGCGCCGCCGACGGCCTGCCCAGGATCATCAATCACCTCCCCTTCGATTGACTTACCATGATATCGATTCTCTCGTAGCCGGCAACCCGCTGCACAGGTAGTATCCAGCACTTCCTGCTCGCCGACCTCGTCCTTCTAATCCCTTGGCCGTCCCTTCCCGGGCTTTTCCTACAGCACATCCCCGCAGACACCGGACTGCCAATTAATTTTCTTCTGCATGGGCCGTCCCAGTCCGACGGGGGGCAAGCAAGCAAGCAGCCCAGCTTCAGCTCGGCCTCTTTGTCGTATCGCATTCGCTCCCTCCTAGGACGCTGTCAGGACGGGCTTCTGTCTCACCGTACATTGGGTCCATCATCGCCCTAGCCTGGACGGAACATGTGATCTCCGCGTTCCAAGAATCGTTTCCGAGACTCGACGAGGAACAGCACAATGCTTCCCGCCCACCGAGCCACGAGCTACCTACGCTACGTACTACACATCTCGGTTTCTGTTGCCCCGGGCAGCTATGTATTGTGTGAGTCCCTGCCTGGCTTGGCCAATGTCCAATCCGGCAGTGTCCCTTTTTTGGAGTGTGTACCTCGGCCAAGCCAGTCCATGCGTCGTTGGGTGATCGTGCGGCACCAGGGGCTACGGAAAATTGCCGAGAGCCATGCCTTGAGCAAGTCTCCCCTTGACGGGTTCATGCTTCGAAACCTCAGCAGAGCCAATTCATGCCGCTGTCAAAACAGTTAGACGCTCACTCGTATCCCAGTGACTAATCCACGGTGAGTTGAGCAGACCTCTATCTCTTCTTTTTGATGCCCAGATACATGCTGTCCAAAGCCTGCGTCACGTTTGGTGCAGTGTACTGTATCGTACATGCGTCGTTAATTGTGCCCAGCTTTCTCCAGCCCTGGAACACTATAGTACATCTATATATCTGCATGTGCAACACGAAAGCCAAGCGGGCAGGTTACTGGACCGCTGCGTCGGGCCTGAGCCCATAACTGGCTAGTCTACCTGCGCTTCATCACGGCTCAAATCTTGGGTCACAGGTCGCTGCGTGCTCATTCTGTGGCATGTGTGCGTGTGCGTGTGCGTGTGCGTGTGCGTGTGTGTCTCTGCGTGAGTGTGTACCGGGAAAGGAGAAAATACGGATGCAACACGTGGACGATGTACAAGGCACACGAGCGAGTGTGTGTGTGTGTTTGTGCACTGTAAGTATCTAATCTCGAGTTTCCATCTCTATCCATCTTCAATGTCTAACTGTGCAAGTACCCAAACCGTGATACGCTGCTACTCGAGCTTCTCAGCAAAAGGCCGGAGCAGTGGAAAAAAGAAAAGGTGTGTGCCGGATGCAGAAGCAACAAGGCAGGGAGTGCGACTGGCTCGCGTCTTGTCTCGGCGACTTGGGGCCAGGGTCAGCTCTTCCCCAAGGGAATAGAGTTTGAGGGATCTGTCGATCAGCACAGGGGGGATCTACCCGAGCCGAAGAACCTCTCTTTCAATCTTTTTCGAGGTTGCTTCTTTCTCGTCGTCGCCACCTCGGCCCCGGCGTGCACTTTGACCAGTCTATCTACCTGTGAGGAGAGACTTTTGAAGTCTGCTCAGGTTAGTAGAGCGAGTCGTCCAGGCAAGAGGAGTATTTACCTACTTCTGCCAGCTTCACAGGCTCGAGGCGTGCTGGGAATCGCCTGGCAGTCAGCCCTACTCTCGGGTTTTGCCATTGTTCACACCGACTTCGGCAGGCAACGACGGTGTGATGGTATGGTCACCGCTGCTTGTGCACACCTCTTCTTCCCGCCTCCAAGATAAAGAATTTCCTCTGCAAAACCCGGCCTTATCAGTTCGGTAACTGCCACGGTACCGACGGAGGGGGCGCCTTGCACGCCTGTCTGTTTTGTGTTCTCTTTGCGTTGTTTCTGTGAGCGCAAGGGGTCACATTGTCGATCCGTACGGGGGAAACGAACTGCTGGCACCCACCCTAGGGGGTCGGGGAAGTTGGTAACCTTTCCCTGCATTCAATAATAAAAATCCCTCGAGCTTTTCCACAAGTCGGAAAAGGCAACGACGGGCTACCATTTGTTGGCCCCCCCCTCGGGTGGGGGGGCCCTTCGATCCTACATATTGTCTGCTGCCTAGCAGTCACGCGTCCGTGATGAGGTTGGCCGGGTGCTTGGTGGCGTTCTGTTCCGCTAGCCGTTTTCACTTTCTGTAGCCGATCAACGGGGCGGGCTGTTTTTTTAGTGTATGTAGCTTCCCCCAGACATATGACAGACAAAAAGAAGGAAAGGGACAAGATTGGAGAGCCCCAGACATTTATCCCTGCCATGTCTCAGATAACAGCGCTCCAAACCGTTGGGCAAAACGGGCGCGGCGTCGACGCTAGGTTGCGCCACTGCTACCTTGGATACCTTGCCAGGCCGCCCAAAGAAGAAGGCCATAGGGTAAATCTCCGGGCTGTAACGACTGCCAACTTGTTCCTCGCTCCGCCGATCCGGGTCTCGAGGCCGACAGAGAGTGTACAAACCCGACAACGCAGGTGTCCGCAAGGTGGCTACGGTCTGGCTGTTAGACTATGGTCACGTCATCAAAAGCTGTACGTAAACTGGAAATGATTCTGATTTCTCTCATTCGACAACAGGCGCGTTACTTTAACTCCTATCGACGGGAATCCGGTCTGGTCGAGATCGTTCCAGATGTTGGAGCGTGATCTGGACTATTCTCTGGGCAACCCGATACGAACAAGTCCCAGGTGGTCGCCGGACAGAAAAGAAATATTGACTGGTGCTGGCTGACTTGACTTGTTTTTTTTTTGGTTGCAATGCCGCTTCGCTAGTTCTTCTCAATTGGAGCGAGACGAACGAAAATGGCGTGGTTTGGGTGGATGGCCCAAGCCAGCCTTGCCCCTATATCACGCCGGTATTATATGTTTGTTTCTTTTCCAACCACCCTTCGCTACTACCACCCAAGGTACTCACTTCTTCCCAATCAGTACTCGGCAGCCAGAAGCTGGGCGAGATTTTCACCCCGGGAATACCGCCTGCGCCCTTACAAACACGCCCTACTTTGCCTTATGTACGTTTTGGACATACATGTGTAACAAAGAAAGAGTGTCCCGCAGCGTTTGCTTTTCTGGCTTGCTTGGCTCAACCGCGTGTGATGATTTCACGAAGAGATGCATGGTTAAGCAGATGCTCTCTTGCCAAGTGTTCTAACCGGGGTTGCTAAGACACGGGATGGCCGATCTAGACTCTTGAGGAAGACACGCCGCGGAAGAGATTCGCGGTCTAGCCCACGGCAAGAGGGATGATGGTTTGTGTTTCTCCCCAGCGCTTACGCGTCGGCTATGTCTTATTCTTCCTATTGTGCGTGCTGGCCACGGACAGAGAGAAACGGCTAGTGCAAGGTAGGCATTCAGTCTTTCTGTTTCCACATCCTGCTGTATTACGCGGCTATGGCGCTTATCAGCCATCGCCCAAACTTGGTTCACTGGAATGAGAAGAAGCACCACTAGCAATTTCCGATACAAGCAATGCGACAGTCTCGCGTCGTCTCATGTTCAAGCCAGATAATCTATAAACGACGAGTCATAAACATATACAATACAAACCCCACGCAACGCAACGCGCCGTAACCGGCCTGGAAACAAACAGAGTCTCTCGCTTCCAAGGGTCAGGGCTGGCAAAGAGTCTTTGTACATACAATACAAATAATACACGCACAAGTCTGCGGACTCGGAGAGAGACGTCACTAGCGTCCTGACAGCCTCTGAATTAACAACTAACTAAACAAACACGAACACAAGCAGAAGCTATCTGATTGGGGAGGGGGCATTACAATGCATCCCTGTGCGATCGAGAGGGCCTTTACTCCGAAAGCACTGCCTGCAGACCCCATCTCAAAGGTTGGGTGTGTGTGTGTGTAAGTGTGTGTGCATGATGTTCTTCCGGCTGGCGCACATCTCTGCGTAAAGTGCTTACTTACTTACCTACTTTCCGTACTTGAGGGCGTGTGCGTACGCCCAGACCGTCGTACACATCTACCTTACCTACCTTACCTACACCCCGCTAGACCGCTTCCCGTCGGGCCTGCAGGATGAATGATGTGAGGCGAGACAGAGACAGAGCGTCCTCACTCCGCGACCGTGTTCCGTAGTTCCTAGGCGGGACAAGTGACGAGTAAGAGAGACTCCGAGCGAAGAGTCTCGTCTCTAAGCAAAACCTAGATTGATACTCGTAACTCGCATCATCCGTCCGCAGTCCGTCGATGATAATCAGTACATATGTCGGGGGGAAAGGGCCACAGGCCACACCCAGAACCCGAACCCGAACAGCTGGAAAGGGTTGGCTGACGCGGACCAGGGTAGGTAAGGTCGGCAGCTTATTCCAATGCGTATGGATGAGCAGGACAAAAGGGAGTGAAGGGCAGTTGTTGGAGGTTGAAAGCCGTGTTTTCTCGTTTTCCTTCCCTAGGGAAAAGGCGCTCCTCCCGCCCGTCTTCCCTCCCTCCCCCTAGCTATCGGGACGTCATTTGGCATCGTTGCTTACCCACCCCCGAAGCTGATCATCACACCCCGAGGTCGCAGTCAATGGGACGAGGAGGGCGATCACTGTTTCTTTTCTTTTCTGGGAAGGGAGGGCAAAGGGAAGAAGGGGGGAGGGATGTGATAATGACGGGGATATTACCTATCTTGCATGCCCTTATTTTGGGTTTCCGCAGGGAAAAGAAAAAGAGGAAACGCAGTAAGAAGCTTGAAAGTGAAGCGACGGCGATCCTTTGTTTCTTACCTCCCGGACGTACATACGTACAGGACGTACGTAGTATTCTCCGCGTCTTCGTCTCTCCCTCTTCCGCATGTTCCCCCCCCCCCCCCCCCCCCCCCTCCTCCGCCCACTCACGAGGGGAGGGCTTCCTGGGGTCGACTAGATCGACTGGATGGAGCTGTACCGAGAGCGCGAGACCTGGGAGCCCGCCGAATCAGCAGTCGCTAGCGGTCATGCTCAGTCGGATTCTTTTCTCCTTTCGTGTTGCCGCGGCCAGCACAGCAGTGCATCCATCCGGCACTCGACTTGTAGTAGGCATGCGGTCCCCCGTACCGTACATAGAGGAAAAGAAGAAGAGAAGAAGATAGAGCTTTGATCAAAGGTGGCCGCAGGAAAGCAAGCAGGCAAGCAGAACAGTACATCCCCATACTGTCTGTCGGTAGGCGAGGACGAGATGGGGCTGTTGCTCCAGGTATCAATCATTCCCCAGGCCTGCCCCGATGTCACATCGCTTTCTGTTTTTCTTGTAACGTGCTTCATTCTCCCCTTCCGCCCCCACTTCCGGCCTCGAAACACAAATATGGTCTTAAGATAGGGAAGCCACTTACACTGTGTTTCCCCGGCCCTCTTCCGCAGCTTGCGTGCGGCGGCGGCGGTGGCGGCAGCTCCGCATCTCGCTCCGTACCGGGTATCTCTGAGAGGAATAGGGAGAGCCGCAGGCGGAACAGGTGACGTATGTGAAGGGTAGAGAAGAGAGGCCTGGAGCATACTCTCTTGTAAGAAGGGTAACTGGAATTTGTCTCTTGGGTTTGCCCTCGTCCATCCTCTTTTCTTGCTTGTGTATACGCAATATTGAGCAAGCGCAGTGCCTTGTGTGTATTGTGTGTAGGTACATCCTGATGATCATTACTTTGCTAACCCCTGGCTTGGTCTGGGCTCCGAGTTCCATAAAAATACGGACTCGGCACCGGCACTTAACGACCGCATCCCCCTCCCAGCTACTGGGGCGCTGGGCTGGGCTGGGCTGGGCTGGGGTGGAAAGGGAAGGGAATGGGGGGTGGTGCCCGGGGTGCTCCCTCCCCCTGGTCCTTGCTTCCTTTTCTCCAGAGGGGGAAGGTAGCAGCCATCAGATGTCATATCGGTTCCCCTCCCAAAAAAGAAAAACCCACTTTCAATTATTTATTTCCCTTGGGCCCGCCGGCGTTGCACTATGCTCCGAGTTCGTTTCGTGCGCTCCCCTTCCGTAATAATGATGGATTTTTCTTCTTGGGTATGTTCCCTTGTTATTGGGCTTTAAACCGAACGGCGGAACGGAATGTATTGTCCTTGCAATACGAACGACGAAACGGGAGAAAAAAGGGAGGGGCTTGCTCACTGGTCAGCGTTGGCCCACCGTCCGTTCATCCGTCCATCCTTTCTCGCTTGCCTGACTGATCGCTGTTGGCCTTGTTAGCTAGCTCGTGCAGATATTGTGTGCTGTGCTGGGCGGCCGGCAGCAATAAGCAGTAGTGTAATGTATTGTGGTGTAGTGACGAAAGAAAGAACAACTGTGCCTAGCCAAGGACGTTGTTCTTGTCCATGCCGTGTAGTTAGTCATGAGGCCCCTGTCCCTGTTGGCGTCTTTGCAACGGCTGGTGGCATCGACCACACGCAAGCCACTATTCTCTCTGTCGTTGCTTTTTCTCAACGCATTTTTCCCTGTCATTGTGGGAGGGGAGGGGGCGGTTTATGCATCTCAGTCGGCCGCCACCATTGCGTTATATTTCTCTCTCTCGCTCTCTCCGTGATCGGCTGCCCTGGCACAGACAGACATCTTGTCTCTTTCTCCTCTTATGGGCTCAGTCACAATCACACCATTGATCACACGAATCTGGTCAGGAAGTGCGAAGAGGAACAATCTTCAATAAAAGTCTGGAGGCTGGGTCTAGACTCTGAAATCTCAAAAACAAAAGCCGCGTTGTGACTGTGGCTGATTTTCTGCCTTGAGTGTAAAACGGTGCGGGGGTGTAAAATAAACGTTATAGGGGGGGGAGAAGAGAGAAGGAAAAAGCAAAGTTGAAATCGTTCGATGGGACTGTGTGGTGACTGACTAGACCAGACCGGGCGAACGAACAAAAGCTCGGTCCTTGGGGAACCCCCCCGGTCAGTCCCCAGTCAGTCCCCGGTTCGTAGGTTATGCTCTCTTTCGTTTTGACCCCCCTACCGGTTTTGATCACCACCCACCCGAATGGACGAGCACGTAAAACCGACGTGGGCTTTCGTATCTGCGTGTGAGATGGGGGGGGATGGTTCCCAGGACCGGAAATAATTGTCGATCTTTATTGACCGCGGGACCCAGATTAAGATTGATCGACCGACTACGTCTAGGGTAGCGGAGGTGGAGGCGGAGGCGGAGGCGGCTTCGATCACGGCGGGTGTGGCTGTCAGACTTTCCCGTCTCCAATCCCATCCATCCCCAATCTCAATCTCAATCTCAATTTCAGGGCCAAGTCGAGCTGAGGCGGGCAGGCAGCACCGGCTCGAGAATTAGGAGAAACAAGTTTCTGCCGCTGCTGTTTGTGTAACTATCGCTGTGACGGACCTTGCAGTTTCTGCACTCTCGGCTCTGCGGTGTGTATGTCCATGTTTGGGCAAAAAGCTCGCAATTGCAGAGCCCATCATCAATCACACTTGCCTTCGTACCAGGAAAGAGCAAATAGCAAAACGCCAAGCTGAACCGGCACAGGGCGGCAGCAGTAGCGGCAGGAGCAACCCAGCACAATGAGACCCTGTTTCCTTCTTCCTCTTCTAGGTTGTCGCGGCAGAAACAGCATACGTCTGTCAATCAATTCAATACAATTCGATTCAGACAGCAAGTACCTCAGCACCGAGACTTGTCGTCGGTGGATATTCGCCTGATTAGTCTTCTTACATCAAGGCTGACACGACTACCAATTCAATTCCCTCATCTTCATCACACGCCGTCATCTTCATTTTCCTCAGCCCAATTCACGGCCTGTCGTTCCGTATGGGTTTATGTTTTCCGTACCTAACCTAAGGTAGTGGCGGGCGGCGGGCGGCAGGCGGCAGATCAGCGGCCCTGCCTTGCTTTGAGGTGGTGCGTGCTTTTTTGGCTTGCGGAGAAAGAGAAAAAGCCGGGGGTGGGTGGTGCAGCACCAAGGAGAAGACAAGCAAGCGAGCGGCGTCGTCGTCGTCGGTTTGTGTCATTGGATAATATGTATGTACATGTACCATGTACGGGCTGCCGCCGCCGTTTTGTGATGCGGCGCAACTGAGACATTTCGTCCGTTTTGGTCGATAGCGCCCTGCACCTACCTCCAAGCTTGCATAAGGAAAAGAAGTAACAAAAAAAGGAGAAAAAAAAAAGAAAGACAACTCCAACGGTCGACGGGCAGGACTTCCTTTCCCGGGAATAGATCGACAGTTTTTCGATTTCCGGTTTTTTTGCATGTGGATAGATAGATTGCTTGTCCGGACTTAACTCCGTGAATCCGTACTGCTGCATCATCATCATCATCATCATAGCGCGCCCTGACCAGAACGATATAAAAATGCTACGTATCGGCATTGCAAAACAATGAAACAAGGCATCGACAAGTGCAGATCGTCTGGGGTTAACCAGCCAGCCAGCCAGCCAGCACGGAGGCGAAAACGAGGCGGTGAATGGCAATGGCACCGCAGGGGGTTCGAACAGGAAGAAGAGCGTGTCGCCGCTGCAGCTGAGGATATTGCAGGACAGGCGGTGGGGAGGGGGTTGGCAGGCACCGCAGACACCGTGCAGTTTGAGTTGCATTACCTCACCCATGATCCCTTGCGCGCCCCTTTTGTTGTAAACAGAAGCCTACATCCCAGTCTCCCTTTGGTGATTCGGTAGGTATGGGAAAGTCAAAGAAAACACAAACAGCCCTGGCCCCGGAGAAGCAATGGAATGACCGCGAAGCAACCTGCGCCAAGAAATATTGATAACCCAATCCCAAGTCCCATTCTAAATTGGCCGATCGCTCAGCTCAGTGTGCTGATTGCTTCGATATGCACACACGCATGAGAAGAAGAAACAGAATAAGAAAGCACGCAGGTGACACCCGTGTTGAGTTAGTTAACCGACAAGAAAATTAATCCCCAACGCCTCCCGAAAGCCAAACTCCGCCATGAACAAAGGCAACAGAAAAGAAGAAAAAGACCCCCGCCCAAAAAGAGAACACCAATAGTAGCCCTTCCCGTTTCCAGAAAAGCCAGAACGGAAACAAGAAAAAGGAGGCCGCAAACGCCTCCTTGCCCACTCCCTCTCAAAGCCGAGATATTGCTCCCCTCCCACACAGAAACTGGCTCCAATCCAAGCAGATGACCGGCCTCCCCGTCCTTGTCATATAGGTTTTTGTCCAACATGTGCGCATCATCGCAGTCCCCTTCCCCTTACCCTTCCCCAACCCCCAACATTCCCATATCGTCTTTGGTTCCATCAACATCCTCCCCCCTCGTTTCCTGACCGAACCTCCTCCCTAGCCTGCCTATCTGCCATCGAAAAAACAAAAGGAAAAAAACACATCATGTAAGCGATTGCACCTTAGATGCAGTTTGGTATCTCGAGACACAAGCGCAACAGAGAAGGCGACAGAGAAGGCGGGCCAAGAGGAAAACAGCTCTTTGTTGTTTATGTCCGTATGATGGGCTTCCGCCGAACCAAGAAAGGACTTGGCATCTCATCCCTCTCCGGGTCCCAGACAGCAGCTGGCTCCGAGGATCCCGAGCCGCCCCGGTTGGCGGCAGCGGCGTGTTCCCGGAAGGGCCGCGTGGGGCTGAGGTTCTCACCGCTCATGACGGCGCTCAATGGCCTACCGCCTGCACGGGCCTGCTGGAGTTCCACTAATGTGCGACCCCTGATGTTGTTGTTTTTGCCCGCCACCTTGTTAAGAACGGGGGGCTGTGGTTGTTGCTGTTGCGGGGGCTGCTCTGGTTCCTTCTTGATGATGGATGGCTTGCGAGACAGAGCGGGAGCCGAACCATCGCTCCCACTGCTCAGCTTGTTATTGCACCCGTTCAGGTTCGTCGCCGAGGGTATTTTTGTAAGCCGGCGGTTCGGGCTATTGCTTCGTTCCCGCAGCGCGCCATTGCTCCCGGCCCTATGCAGACCGTGCAAGTCGGGGTTCGAGGCCGCAGTCGGAATGGCACCCATGGTCCTAGCCTGGGGCGCCAGTGTCTGTTTCGACTGGAGGCGGTGGAGCGGGGCCGACTTCTGCGCGAGGAGTGTGGGTCTCTGCTTTGAAGTGAAGGGATTCTTGCTGGACTTGATCATCCGGGTCGGGGACGGCATATGGGTTTCGTCGTCGGACTCGTCATCTGATGCCATTCCGGCAATATCTCGAGGAGCCTCCCACCGTGCATCGCCTCTCGCCATCAAGTTGGCGGTGAAGATGTTGGATGGGTTCGCCGGAACTTTGGTCGCTGCGTTCCGTCGAGGCGAAAGCGACAAGGATGCTATCGTGATTGGTGACGGCGAAGCCATCTCGACATCCATTGGCGTTCCAGCCGGGACACCCACAAACATGGTTTGAGCCCGTGCGAAAGGAGTGCGAGCGCTCTTTTTCAGCACGTGAGTTGAAGTGTCAGGCGAGTCAACAGACAGCTCGGTGAGGTCTGTTGTCGAAGAGAACTCGCCGTCGGCGCTCTCGCAACCGATTGACGAGTGCGGGTAGTCCGACTTTGAGGACGAGAACTCGGCCGGCTCATCCTCGCTGAATGCCACAGCCTTCCTACGACTCTGCAACTCTGCTTCAACTCGCGCCTGGACCTCCTGCTCGAACTTCCTCTGGAGCTGCTCAATTTCTATACCGACTAGGCGGTCAATTTCGAGTCGTGCCTTGACCTCCCATTCTCTCCTCAAGGAGGAATCGATTTCCTGCCGCATGGCCACCTTTTCGTTGTCGACCGATGCCAACTTTTGGTCAAGCTCCCGGATCCGTTTATTGAGGGAATCCTCTTTGGCCTTGAGCATATTGCTGAACTCGACCACCTCCTTCTCCTTTCTCATTAGCCGCACAACAGGCAGATTGAGGAGCGTCGCCGTGTCCGGTCTGCGGTCGGGGTTGACGCGCAGGCAATCCTTGATTACAGCCATCAACTCTACTGAATAGACCGGAGGCAGGGGTGCGACCTTGCCCTCTTTTATCTTCTGGACCAGCTGGAAATGCGACTTGGCATTGAACGGCGGCTCGCGTGAGCAGAGCTCGTAGATGATGCATCCCAGTGACCAGATATCCGACTTGAGGGTATACTTCTCGGCGGCGCAAATCTCGGGCGACATATAGAATGGCGTGCCCACATATGTCGACGCAAAGTCGTGTGACTGCATTACCTTAGAGAGACCAAAGTCGCCTAGCTTGACCGAATTATCGGCGCCGAGAAAAACTATGACGGAATCAGAACCGAACTTGACAGCCTCAACTGGCGAAGATGTGCAACCTACCATTCTCGGGCTTCAAATCGCGGTGCAGAATGATCATGCCTCCAGTCGGTGCTTTCGGTTTCGCTGCTGTGCCCAAGCCAAGCACTGTCTTGCCCACCTCGGGAGGGTCGACGCCGTAGTGGCAGCGGTAGAGTGCCGTGACGAGCTGGGAGAATGTGCTCCAGACAAAAGACTCCTCGGCGTACTGGTTCTTGCTCGCGAGGTCTCGAATGACACGGCCGAGATCGCCATTGCCGCAGTACTCCATGTAGAGGTGCAAGTCTTGGCTGGCCTTGAGATGCTCGCGGTGGTAGTAGCCAACAATGTTTGGGTGGCGCAGGGTCGACAGGATCTGGAACTCGGCATGCAACTGCTCGCGCTCCTTTTGCGACATCTTGAGGTAGCTGATCTCCTTCCGGCAGAGAATCATGCCGTCCATCTTCCGCCGCACCTTGCGGATGACGCCAAACGAGCCATGGCCTAGAGGCGAGGGGAAGACAAAGTCAGCAACGACAATGGGTGCAGAAGAGAGACTTGGGGAGGGGGCCGATTGGCAGCTCACCAATCTTCTCGAGCACATCGTACTTGTCGCCTTCAGACATTTTGGCTCCCTATGTTTTTTTTCTCCCTTTTTGAAATGCGACAAGGTCTGGCGGGTGTCAATTGGCGATGTTGTCCCTGTCCATAAGCAAGCCGGCAGCTGTGCAAGGTCGTGAGGGTTTTCCTGTTGTTGTTGTTGTTGCTGGTTAGTATCCCGCGAGGGCGGCCGGAGGTTGCTGCACTGCGATGCGATGCGCTGCACTGCACTGCACTTCGGTGGTTGCTTTCGGGGGATTGGAGGCGGTCGGCTTCGCTTTCGGTCAAAGGCATTCGATGGGGCAGACCCTGGCCTCGCATGGGTATCAACACAGGGCCGCTGCCTAGGCAACGCCTTCCCAATTGGGAGCGCTGGCAACGATCTGCCCCACTCAATGCAGGGGCTCAGATGAGTCGCACGGGATATTACTGGTTGGTCGGCGCGGCAAAACTTGTGCATCCGTCGCAGGCAGAGCTCTGCGGGCGCGCCTTCCCACGGACCCGGAATCAGCCTTATCGATAAGCCTCTTCGCTTTGGAAAGAGGAGCTTTTTCATCAAGAGCCAGGATCCCGTGATTAGCAAAGCAATTGCTGGACGACGGCGTAACGCCACCCGCCCGTCCTTGCCGCAACCAAGAGCTTGGTCCGTGCCCCACGTGAAACTCCCAATGGATGTTAGTTAGTCGTCGGCCTTATCTCCGGCGGGGGGCGAGGTGTTGGTCAACGCCATCAGCTCGGCTTTCCGCTTCCTGTTGGCTGCTTCTTCAGGTCAACAACAGCTTTCTTTCTTTGTGTTCTTCCTGATTTCTGACTGCATTATTTTTTTTCTTGACTGCATATTCGTATTGCTCTATTTAATCATTTTGCATCAAAGGAACAGGAAAAATGGTGCTCCGGAAACACGAGTTGGAGGTCAAGCTCAGGGACGACAGCCGGCTCATCAAGAGCGGAGTCCTTCGCAACGAACATCCCCTCGACTCATCAGAAGAATTCGATGAATTTATTCAGGCATGTCGCCGCGGCGACCTCAAGCGCTGCCAGGAGTTGATGTCGGCCGGCGTCAACATCAATGGAAAGGACAACTTTGACTATACCCCGCTCATTATTGTAAGTTTTACTTGTTGAGTGTTCCTTGAAGTGTCTAGGAAGGAAAGTGTAGTGAAAGTGCTTGAGTCTAGGATGCATAAGATCCTAGCGCCTTTTTAGTTTCTATGACTCTGTCTACGACCGACCTCTACGTCTAGAGTTAGAGACGGCAGCTGCGGTCTCCATTGGCCCTTCACCGAGTCTAGGTCTCATTAGATCTCAATTTCGTGTAAATTTCTTCAACATGGACACAAACAGAGCTGACCCAAGACAGGCCAGTTTATGTGGTCACTACGAGCTGGTACAGTTGCTTCTTGAATCAGGTACCAGAGTCCCGCCGTGTCTCCAAATTGGCTGACACCCGTGCAGAGGGCATTACTTGGATCACTGACAAAAAATCTAGGGGTAATCGCTGATCCGGACTCATTTGAGCGGGAACGAGCTGTCTACAATGCCCTCAACAACAAAATTCGCAACTTGCTTCTGTCGTACGACTACTCAAAGACAGCCGACCCTTTGCAGTCGTGGGCATCCTACATCACATCTCTGCTGACGCGTGAAATTCCAAAGACGTCGGACATCACGCTCACGGCTGATGATGATAACTTCCATTTGCACAAGTTTCTCTTGTCGGCGAGGTCGCCCTACTTTCGCAGAAAGTTTGTCGAGGCCCCTGAGACGCCGACGTGGAGGCTTTCGAGCTCTATTCCGGTCGAGGCCTTTCGCCTTGTCTTGCGCTTTCTGTATCTTGGTGACCTGCCACGAGAACTGGTCGGGCTAAGGAGCGCGGTTGCTGAAGAGGACGTTTTTAAGGGAATTGACAAGCTCTGCAACCAGCTCGAGCTTGAAAGGCTTTGGGAAGCTGTGCTATCTTTGAACGACCGCCGCCTAGCACGCCAACGGCAGCAGGACGAGGTGCGGTTGGCACAGGCACAGGTCGCTAGTTTCTTTAAAGATACAGTCCTGAAGTTCAAAATGTATGTCGATCCCCGCAAGGTCGACGAAATAAAATGGCCGCACGACAATGCCATCTTTGCCAACTGCATCCTGCGGGCAGACGCAGACGACGAAGAGGAGGAAGATAGCGGCTCGGGGTCCAACCATCTTGGGATCCCTATAGCCGTGGCGCCCGTGGCCAAGGATTCGACGACGAATGGGGCTAACAAACCCAAGCGGTCAGTACTCTACCCTGTCCACAAGGCCTTCCTCATCCGCAGTCCTTACTTTGAGACCATGTTCTCGAGCGAGTTTATGGAGGCCAAGGACAAAGAATACCTTCACATCATCAAGGTCGACTGCACCCCCGAGGTGCTTGAGATTATCCTGAGGTTTCTCTACACGGAGAAGTCAGACTGCCCGTTGGAGTTTGCACTAGATCTGCTGTATGCGTCGGACATGCTTCTGCTTGACAAGCTTAAGACAAAGGCGGCAGTGGCGATAAGCACACTGGGAAATGGCGACAGCAACGCCTTGGAAGATATTACACGTGTTGAAGTCGGAGACTTGAAGCGGCAGCGGCAGCAGCAGAAACAAGAGGCTGATGTTGAGCCCATCAACGTGTACGACGTGATACGGGCAGCCTGGGACCTTAGAGTGCAGCGGCTGGAGGAGTTTGCCGCGCGGTACATAGCCAACCGGCTAGAGGACTACATTGACGACGAAGAATTTGTAGAGCTTATCCGTGAGAGCGCGTCGAGGATAAAGAGCAGACAGGAGACGGACACGATTGAGCTTCTCGACGACATCCGCTACTACCTCTCGGAGCGCTTCAGGCTGCGCTTTGACGGCGACGGCCTTGAAGACATGCTCGAAGAGGATGAGGAGCCAGATGCTGCAGCGGCCGAGGGACTTTCGGGTGCTGCGGTGGACGACGAAGCCCAGGCGAGACAAGCAAGCCCCGCGGGAGACGAGCAGCTGGGCGGCGTCAGGACGCTGGACGGGAAGCTTGTTGAGGATGAATTCGCCTCGGACGCCGTCAACTACCAGATTATGCTGGAGAAGATCGACAAGATGCTGGACCGTCTCGGATTGGACGCATGAATAGCAATGACTGTATGTAGGCATGACATGACCCAGAATAGACCAAGGACACCCGTGGCGGGGACTAAGAAGAGCGAAGAAATTGTTTGCAGTACATATATTTAGATAGGCACACTGCAATACACTGCAATACATGAACTAGATGCAATGGCTCTTTTTTGTATCCGTATCTATCTATATGTATGGGTTGATTGGATTTTCCAGTATCCTCCCGATTTCTCGCCTCTTGGCTGGAGATCGGATCAGCGAGACAAGCTTTCGATGTATGTACGGCAATTTTCAAAGCTCTGAATCCACGAGTCGGATCGCCGCCAAGCCTGAAACACGGTGTGGTTGTGCGGTCTGGGGGGGCAAGCTCAACCCGTCACGTCTAAATTCCATTCCCCAGAACCGGCAAGGGCCCCCCGTTTCAGCTTCCCCAGATGCGACCGGCCTTGCGCCAAGCCATCGCCACAATGCCCACAATTCCCGACCAGCCTTTTTTTTTTCTTTCCTTCCTGTCGGGATTCGGCTGCATCCATACGGAAGTTTATTCTCGGATTGAAGAGGGTGTGCAGCAGGTCGGCACTTGGGGAGGGTTTAATCTCCTTTCCCCCAAAAACAAACGATCAATTAACCAAAAAAGCCTGACCTTGTTTCCACTTTCCCGATTACAAGAAAAGTAGGAATCGAGACGACGACCGTTAAAGCTTGATTGGATTTATCCTAGCCGTACCCTATCCACGGGTTTCACCACCCTTCCTCTGACGGCGATCATGCCAAGCCCTTCCATCCTAGCTGAGCTATGCTACTAGTATTACTCGGCTGTTCCTACCCATTCCATTTTCTAGAAGCAGGCAGAGAGAGCCAGGCCATGGGCGTTGCAACGAGATCCCCAGTGGCAACGCCAGTGCCGGTCCCAGTGTCAGTGCTTGTGGCGGGCTGCTTCCAAATATGCTTGGTCCTGCCTATCGCATCTTTACCTTGCCTTGCCTTGCCTTGCCTTGCCTTGCCTTGCTTTGCTGGGCACCGTGGGGAAATCCTCTGCCGCGAGTTTTGACAGACAGCCCCCTCCTCCCCTTCCCTCCCAGTCGGTGACAAACAGGGGCCGGGGGCGAGATCCCCCAGGAGGAGGGAGGCCGGTCCATGGCTGATCTTCTCTTTTCCCGGCTGGATATGCGAGCCTCTATTGTTGCAAAGCCTCTCTGTGTTCTGGGTCTCCTTCTCCTCTCTTCCAACTCGGTAGGTCCTCGCCCTTCCTCGTCTGGGCCGACAATAATACCTACCTTTGCCGCGAACCGGTGGATGTAAGTGGTGAAGCAAAGGGGCCGTGCCTTGGTTCAGCCCGCAGCTTCAACTCTCTCCTCTATGGACACATAGAAGGCGTCTCATATACGTCCCTCCCATCTTGGTTCTGCTTTTCAGTTTAGAGTCGCTGCATAAGCCAGTCATCCCTGCCCAGTCCCACAGACAACAAACCATTCCTGCTTGGTGATGTTCTACAGCTTGTCCCTATTCTCATCGTGACGAGCGGGGCCAAAAATAAGGCCAGAAAAGGGGAGAACATGGCGCCCTCGTCGCTGTTACCGGATAGGCTGTCATCCCCACGTCGGTTTTCCACCACCTACATCGCAAGCGCCATCTCTACAGCAACCTCGCCGTTGCAAGCGTCCTTCCAGCTTAGCTGCCGGTCGCCCATCCGGCCCACTTATGGCGAGCTAAACGATGAGCCGAGAAGGCTCAACAGCAGCACAACCACCACCACCACCAACAACAGAAGCCCGGGGTATTACAGAGAGCCCGCGAGCCCTTTGCCGTTCAGCTTGGGAATACCGGGCTCGAGCGTGAGAAGCAGCGAGGTCCGCCCCGACGGCCGCGCCCACTACGAGGATCCAGGGAGGAAATCGTTCCAAGAGCTAACCGCAGCGAGCGAGACATGGCTGCTGCAGGAACTCGGCCCAGGGCTTCTTGCCTCCCCGCTGGAGGCGGCACCTAGAAGACAGCACCAGCGGCGGAGGAGGAGGCGGAGCGACGCGGAGAGGAAGCTCGGCGTCGTATCAGCCATCAACATCATCGTGGGCAAGACGATAGGTGTCGGCGCGTACTCGGTGCCCAGCGCCATCTTTGCCGGCGTCGGGTCCGTCGGCATGACGCTGCTGCTGTGGGTGCTCGGCAGCATCATCTCCTTCTGCGGGCTCGCCGTATACTTGGTGAGTAATTTCCGGCTGGTTGTTTTCTGCTCGCTTTGGGCGAGAGAGAGCTGGATTAAAAGGGGAGAAATAAGGCAAAGAAACACATGAAAGCTGACAGTAAGAAAAGGACTTTGGCACGGCCATGCCGCGCAGCGGCGGCGAGCGCGTCTACCTCGAGCGCATCTTCCGGCGCCCGCGCATGCTGGCTACGTGCATGTTCATGGCGTACGTGGTGCTGCTGGGCTTCTCGACGCCCAACGCCATCGTGCTGGGCGAGTACACGCTGTACGCGCTCGACGCGCCCGTGAACCGCTGGAACGTACGCGTCATCGCTGTTGCCGCCGTGTCGTGCCTCTGCTGGATCCACTCGCGCCACCCGCGCCTCGGCCTCCGCCTGATCAACGTGCTGGGCGTGGCCAAGATGCTGATCCTCGTGTTTGTGGTCATCGCCGGAGTCGTGGGTGGGCTGATGGGCGTCGGTAGCGACCTCAGCGAGGGAGAGCGAGTTCTCCTCGCGCCCAGGCGGCTCGACGTGGTGTTCTCCGGTGTTTCTAGTAGTAGCAGCAGCACAGCCCAGAGAAATTTCAGCGACGTCTGGGCCGGCAGTAGCACGCAGCCCTACGACTACGCGACGGCGCTGCTCAAGGTCATCTACTGCTTCCGCGGCTACAGCACGGCGAACCAGGTGCTGGACGACGTCCAGGACCCCGTGCGCACGCTCAAGATCGCCGCGCCCGTGGCCCTCAGCATCGTGTCGCTAGCCTACCTGGCCATCACGGTGGCCTTTTTTCTCGTCGTCGACAAGAACGACTTCAAGTCGGCCGGCATCGTAGTCGCTGGCGTCTTCTTCCGCAACGTCTTCGGCCCCGGCGCACCCTCGCACGTCATCCTGCCCTTGTTTATCATCATCTCGGCCGCCGGCAACATCGCCGCCACGAGCTTCGCCCAGGCCCGCGTCAACGAGGAGCTCGCCAAGGACGGCTTGCTGCCGTGGTCGCGGTTCTGGAGGACTAGCAGCAGCAGACAAGCCTCTGCTCCTCCAGCCGTCGACCACGCCCTCGATGACGACGATGGCTATGACGATGACAGCCACAGCGAAAGCAGTGCCAGCACCAGCGACAGCAGCTCCACCCACAACTACCCTCACCACGAATACCATCACCACGCGCTAGCAGAGTTCAAGGCGCTCCCGCTCATCACCCGAACCAAACCCCCACAGCACAAAAACAAACCATCACCACGCTCTGCCGCCCCCACCACCGCCGGCGCTCCTCCGACCCGCGGCCTGCTGCTGCACTGGCTCATATCAACACTGGTCATCGTCCTGCCGCCGCCAGGCCGCATCTACAACTTCCTCGTCGACGTCGGCAGCTACCCGGTCAGCGTGCTCGGAGTAGCCATCAGCTGCGGACTACTCTACCTGCACTCCTCGTCTGCCTCAAAATACCGCACGCCGTTCCGGGCCCCGCACCCCGCCGTCGCCGTCTTCGCGGCCAGCAACTGCCTGCTGTTGATCCTGCCGTGGGTGCCGCCGGCGGGCGGGCGCGAGGACGGCGGCGCCGCGGGGTTCGTCTGGTTCGCGTACCCGGCGACGGCGCTGGCCGTGCTCGCCGCGGGCGCTGCGTGGTGGGTGTGGTGGGCGCGGTGGGGGGAGGGGAGTAGGGTTAGGCGGGGGACGATGATAAATGAACATACGAAGACGAGAGATGCGGTTGCTATGGACGGCGAGAGAACGGCGACGTTGGTGGTTGACGAGGCGGCGCAGCGGCTGCTTTTTGTCGTTGACTACGACGATGATGATGACGACGACGACGAAGTAGAAGAACAACACGGGGCAGCGGGATTGCCGTAGCGGATTTGCTGGCTGTTGTTGCAATAAGTGTCTTTTTGTTTGTAGGATTAGCCCAACAGGAGTAGCAGTAGTAGTAGTGCTGGTACGTACCTGGTAGAGACAAGGGAGAAGTTAGTTAGCTGCGGCGTTTTTCTACTATAGCATGTGGTACGGTTATTGTGCAAGTAAGGTACTGGTTTCATTAGAAGCTATAGCCAAGTTAGACGGACAGACGGACAGACGGACAGACAGGCAGACAGGCAGACAACTATGTAATATATACCTAGCGAAGTAATTTCTGGCATGCAATGGAGAAGATTAAAATAGGTACCTACTCTTTGAGAAGGAAGAGCACGAGGGGCTGCAAAGGTGGAAACGAATCGGCCTTCTCCCGGACAGTCTACCAATGCCAATATCATAGACTCTAGATAAGAAGTTCAATAATATTATACCCTCTTGTCAATTCGCATAGTGGCAATGGTATCTGAAGATAGACGCCAAACAGCGTAGAGGAGTTGACCACCTCGCGTACCGCACTCATGGCAGCCACGTTGGCGAGAACTAACATTGAAACCTGCAGTCATAATTTCTATATACGAAGTAGAAGCTAGTGCTTAATCGCTTTCGCTTTGTGGGGAGATGAAGGCAACCGCTGACAACCAACCAAGTACCAGCTCTCGCACGATACAAATCATGCATAAGCCCAGCAACACAAAAGATATATGCCAAGTATAGGAAACCGATAGGTTATTTCATTTCCCATCGCTAGCCCCCAGACTGGGTGTCGCGGCCGGCGGCTGTAATGCACTAAATGGGTTGCCAGTCATGGGTGGCGTGGGTGGTTCGTCTGTCGCGGACTTTTCTTCGTCTGCCACGTATGCGTCTTCTACCAAGGATGGCTCGTGCAATGTGTCAGAACCATAAGAATCATGTGGCTGCCCCCCAATCCCTTGCTGAAGCTCCGTCTGTGCGGTCGAAAGCTGCTGCTTCTCCACCAATGCGGCCAAAATGTCGTGGCCCCATATCTTCGGCGGCACCGGACTGTCCTTCCAGTTGTCCGGAACCTGTGTCGTCTTACCAATACACTAGTTGGGCACGACAATGCTCTGGGCGCCGCGGACAAGGAGACCGCCGCTGCGGCCAGCGGGCTCTGTCACGAAGCCGACCTCCTCGAGCGGGAGGCGTTCGAGCACATTGTTGACCGGCAGGGTGCTACCCAGCAGGTAGCGGCGATGCCAGGGGCCGACAAAGAGACCGTTGGGGTCGACGGCGTCGCGGACGCGGCGGAAGCTGGCAAAATCGTCGCCGTACCAGGCGGCGAACTCTTCGGGGGCCACGGAAAAGGTCTTAGCCCAGTGCGGCCGGCCGCCGAGGTCGCGCATGAGCCACTCAAAGCCCTCGTAGTAGCGCTTCGTGGCCTCGTAGGTCGGGTCACGATGGTAGGGGCGGTACATGGTGGCATTGAGGTAGAGGGCGGGGCCGTCCTTGGGCGAGGGGTCCAGGAAAGGCCGGTTGTTTGCGGCGGCGCTGGTATGCACGTTTGAGTTGCTGGCGCGCACCTCGATGGGGCTGTGGACATAGAGCCCCTTGGAACTGAAGGGGATGCCGTGGTCGACGTAGCCGACGTCGCCGGGCTTCAGGCCCTGCAGCCAGGCGCCGAGCCGCTTGAGGGCCTCGGGCCCACGGTGCAGCGGGATGGCCCACTCGTTGACAAACTGGCTATACAGGCAGTCGAGCAGGAACGCCTGCTGGCTGGGCTGGACAGCGCTGACGCGCGTACGGTCGCCGTTGCGGAAGCCGTACTGGAGTCCAAACACAAACCACTCGACAAAGGGCGTGATGCATGGCACCCAGCGTGCCAGCGCGAGTAGGTTGTGGTAGACAAAATAGCCCAGGCGGCTCTCGCAGAAGCTCTTTGGTGGGTCGCGGTGAGCGACCTTGCCCGAGTCGATGTCGGACTGGGGCACCACGTCGGCCTTCCACACCGCGGCGCGGCGCATGTAGGGGAACCACCAAATGCGCACAAAATCTCCCTGGGTCCACAGCGTAGTGTCCCACTGCTCAAAAAGGCGGGCATCGGCGTCGATGGCTTGGTCCCAGGCGAGCGAGAAGGCGGGCACAGCCTTGAAAGTGACCTCGGTAATGATTCCGAGGGCGCCGACGGACAGCAGGGCGGCGCGGAAGAGGTCCGGGTTGTCGACGGGAGAGCACGAGTACGTGTGGCCGTCGGCAAGGGTGATCTTGAGGGCAAGAATGCTCTCGCTGACGAGGCCGTGGTGGATGCTACTACCATGGGTGCCGGTGCTGATGGCGCCGGCGATGCTCTGCTCGTTGATGCTGCCGAGGCTGGGCAGAGACAGGCCGACGGCGGCAAGTTCGGCGCTCAGCTGGTGGAGGCGGATGCCGGCCTGCATGGAGCAAATACCCGTTTCCTTGTCGATGGAGAACACCTTGCTAAAGTTGTCGAGGTTGACGAGCCATGACGACGTGCACGTCATGTCCGACGGCGAGTGTCCCGAGCCAGTTGTGGTAACGCGGCGGCGATGCCTGCGGGCCAGATTCACCAGTTTCTCAATCTCGGCCTGCGATTCGGGCTGGATGTAGAGCTCGGGCAGGCTCGTGTAGGTGCGCGCCCAAGTGCGGTGCATGTGGGCGTTCCGGGCGCGGAACGGGACTCCATCGTCCTGCTCGATGACGGAGAAGCCGTCGACGTCGAAGAGCGGCCCGTAGTTTTTCTCCGTCGTCGCCATTTTTTGGGCTGCGGCTTTTCCTTCCCTTTGTAGTCGAATGAGTTTGATGCTGTTTGTTTAAGCGTCGCTTTGGCGATCACATGGAGCCCGGCCAGACGGGAAGAGAGGGGTCAAGGTCAATCACGACAGACGCGCGAGGTGCGGAGCGAAGCGAGAGAGGGCCACTACAAAGAAATTCGCTCAATGGATATCCAACGGTCCACGATGCAATAAATTGATTAGATTTGATGGAAATCAAAAACCAACGACGGAGTAGCAAGAACTGTGACTGTGGTTTAGCAGCCGTGTAGAATGAACCCTCTATGGGTGGGCGCGTTGATAAAGCTGTCGGTTAGCTACGAAACTTCTTGGTTGGTTCTGTGTTGGGGTTCGCCGTTTTGAGGAATCCTGCCGGGTTGGAGTGCCGTGGTTTAGGTTGTTAGTGAACGACGAGCCGCTGTAACTTGTAAATAAATTTAGGAAGGCGTGGTGCTGTACATACAGCGAATTCCGCTAGGACGTTCGACATTGCTCATTCGGTCCCCACCTTCCCACCCCCATCCTAACGCTCTAACGATGGTGTCCTAGACGCTCCATCCCCATCTCCAAATTTGGGCGCCTGGGATTGGCGGGGAGAGACTAGCGGATTAAGAACTTGAACGGACTCTCTAACGACAACTGGTGATATTACATTACTTATTCACTTTGAGGGTTAGTCTACTCTTCAACATGTTTCGAGATGTTTTTTTCTTCTTCCTGATTATAGATCCCGTGAGATATGAGAAATTAAACAATTGAAAGTTCTCTTACATGACCTCAGTTTCGTGGTTCCGTTTGTTCTCCATCTCAGACTCAGCGGCGGCAACTGTTGGACTTGAGAGAGACTTTATACGAGGGCCACTGCAGGACTTGATATAAGCTATCAACTACTCAGACAACGTCTTCATGTGACGAGCAGCATATACTCGTCACTTGACTACCAATGCCTTCCATTTGGTCCTTATGTTCGTTCTTAGTGATGTGTATGCAACAGAGAGAAGGGGAAAAGAATAGCAACCAACTAACCCGGACAAAGCGATAGTATCATAGCAATTGAAGAGACAAGCGTTCATTTACATAGCCTGAAGTCTTGCCAGGTGGGTGTGGGCGTTCAGTCATGGCACCCATTGCTCGAGATGTTGAGCTCAGGGAAGAAGTCTCTAAAAGGAGAGTAATATATTGGACAACAAGCTAGAAACACGACAAGCTGCTGTTTCTTGATGTCTAGTCCAAGACTTTGGGATGAACAGCACGCTACCTGCGTCTCCTGAGATTGATTAAGGAAAGTGAGAAGAAAGTAAGGTTTGTCTGAGTGCTCGATCTGAGATAGGGCTCCTTCCATTCTTGGTACATATTGCCCAAGGGAACCTTATTCCAGCGTGACTGCCATAATTACCTGACTGCCAGGAGCTCAAATTGTACCCAGGCGCACCTTCCATTTCCGAAATACCTGACAGCGAAATTTCGTCAGCCCGTCGCGTCAGGCGCGCGGTCCCCCAATGAACTTCGCACAAGTTTTAGGCTTCTTCTTTTTCTTTCTGGTTTAGAACCAACACATCTCTAGGGTTCTGCGCGGAGCCCTTAACCTATCACCCCTCTTGGTATTTTGTCTTACCCAAGCGCAGCATACTTATCCTAACCTTTCTATTTCGCCCCTTCAACGAGAGTCACATCTTAGGTTGACCGAATTCCTAACTTGGTCGTATCTAGTCGGGAGCCATGTTCTGGAGTCACGAAAGTAGGGAACCTCTGTCCGCTCTGCCGGATTCGGATTGAAAGTGCTGACATCGTAACTCCGGCAGTTCTCACAAGCCGCCAGCATGGCGTTGCGACCGTCTGGTGAGTACACCTAAATGCCTCTTTGTGCTATTTTCTACGAGAGCTCGCGAATAACTAAGTGTCTGTCCTCTAGGTTGGTATCTACTATCGGCTTTAGATCAGCGCACCGTAAGATATCGCGCAAGGCTATCCAGGAGGTCGACGTTCAGAAGGCATGCGAGACCATCCTCCAACCTGGGGCCCCAATCGCGCTGCGCCTCCAGGGCAGCCTACTCTATGGCGTCTCGAGAGTCTACTCCCAGCAGTGCACGTACGTGCTCACCGACGCCGAGAAAGTCCAAACCACTATGAGGACCTTGTACGGCGTCTTGGGTGGTGACGAAAACGCCTTAGACCCCCAAGCAGGAAAGGCCAAGTATGCGATCCCTTCTCCCTAAGGATTGCTGCATGTTCAGCTAACGGTAGGCAGGCGTGACCAGATCACTCTACCCAACGACCCGAACTTTGACCTCACCATCAAACTTCCTGCCTTCCACTTCGACGGTGACGGAAACTTGATTCCACCTCACGAAAGTCAAGCCTCGGGCAAGACATCGTCTCAGTTTTCGCCAATGCAGCTAGACCATTCAAGCCCCGGCGGCGGCGCCTCCTTCATCGGTAGACTTGATCTCCCTCCGTCGCCGTTTAGACAAGGAAGCTCTCAGCTCCTATCGCCCTTCGGATTGGGCAGCGCAATATCGCAACAAAAGGATCCCGAGAATAATTTGGTCCATTTGCGGGACGACGAGGAGGAGCTTCAAGTGGTCGATGACTGGGGAATTGAGATTGATGCTGAAGGAAATGTCATGGAGATAGTAGAGGAACCGGAGCTACCACAACTTCCACGCCCAGAAGGCGCTCATCGGGACAATCATATCCATGAAGACGAGGAACCTTTCCTAGTCATCGACGACCAAGGCGACGTCGTCATGGCCATTGACGCTGCGGAAGCTGTTTTGCCACACGCCGAAGCAACTCATCCACAGCCAGAGGGTATAGAGCTGCAATTGGCGGAAGAATATGACTTGAGCTCGGAGAGAGCTAGAGTGTCTGCCCAAAAGCGACGAAGACGCGCGTTGCTGGCTCCCGATCACGAAACTCAGCTGAGCCGCCAAGAGATCAAGTCCTGGAGCGCCGAATATCTTGCGACGGCCGAGACTAAGCGAGCTCGCCGAGCACGCCATAGGACCACTGCCGCTGATGCTAGGGTGAACGCTTTCCAGTACGTGTTTGGCCGCGGCGTGGCAAACGTTGGGTCTCCCACGGGGATCCCTGACTTCTCCCACCCACTGGCACGCATATTTGCCGGCAACAGCCTCCAAACGGTACTCTTGAGCTCCATTGTTGAAGAGGAGGACGAATATGAGGCCCCGCGAGGCCGCCGTCGTTCAGCCCTCGAGGCACTAGAGCTGGAGGGTGAGGACGAAGAACGGCGAGTTCGACGCCGCATCAGCGAAGATGCCGAGCTGCAAGCTGGCCAGGGTGTTCAGAGAGGAGCAGTACTTGGCAGTGATGGTCATCTAATCATAGACCCCGAGGAAGAAAGAGAGGTCGGCAGAGAAGCGGGCTCTAACTTGCCCGACCTCCCGTCTGAAGTGCCCTGGAACCGACACTCATCGCAAGTACCGAGCTCTTCAGTCAAAGGCGGCGGCAGGTCGAAGCTCGGTCATTCGGCGTCGGGTCGCCAAGTCAGCGCCAGCCCCTTGCGCAACCGTGGCAACACCCTCCTACCCGAGATCGAACGCTTTAGCGATTCTCAACCTGCCTATGAATCCGATGGCGTCGGCCCGGCGTTTCATTCGGCAAATACATTCTCAGACCCCATCATTGAGAGCATGGGCTCGCAGGATCGCCAGAAGAAGAATCAAGGCGAGGCAAACACTTCGCAGGTGACGCAAGACACCCTGGATCACGAAGGCCTCAACTTTGTGGGCTTTGTACAGGCAGTAGCACTCGACAAAGGAGACGCAGACGACAACGACACCGATGAAGATGACAACACCGGCGGAACTGATCGCCGGAAGTGGGTGGGCTTTGAAGAGCTGTTCGAGCCAGCCGACCAAAAGCGTGCCGTCGTGGCGCAGGCTTTCTACCAAGTCCTCTCGCTCGCAACTAAGAACATCATCAAAGTCCGCCAAGAGGGCGAGATCAATGTGCCATTTGGCCCGATTCACGTAGGCGTCACGATGCCGCCGATCGACGAGTAAAGAAAGGGGCTCGATAAGAAGACTCGCAAACATCACCGTCACATTCCCAAACACCCATTCATCTTTTCTTTCTTTCTTTCTTTCTTTCTGTAACCATGATCCCCTGCGATGATTTAGCAAGGGTTTGGGAGCCGTCTCCGAGCTTTGGGGTTTGGAGACTGGATGCCAAAGATATTTGGGGACATCTCTGCCTGAAAATACCATCGGATCTGGCGCTTGGATTGCTGGGAGATCTCATTCACATGAATGGGGGAGGGGAATACATGGCTTCCACCACCTCCCAGATCTGACGAGCAGTTCACAACAGAATGGGGGTGACGACGATATGGAAATGGAGGCAGCAGCAATAAAAGATCTGAATTCTGGCATCTTGGGGAAAGCGGTTCCTTCACCCATACCCCCACATAGCGCACTAGCTTTTATCACTCTGGTCAGGTATGACCATGGACGGACGAGATAGTCTTCAATAATGACTTCTGAAATTGCATTATTTGCAGCCAACCCCTCCCTGTCTGTGTGGTATCATACGGAAAGCGTAATATGAAAGAGTCCACGCCCTTACCATCATAATCATCAATCGTACATCTCTTCATCATATACAGCGCCTTCCCGGTCCGGGAAGGCCATATAATCCGCACCCGTCGCCGCTTCGTTCAGAACCTCCTTCCAAGCCTCACGTACAACCTTTAGCGTTGAGTCGTTGAATGAGAGGGAGGGAGAAGCGGCGGGGAATTTGAACACCTGGCCTTCCGTGCGGCTGCCGGCGGGACCGCCCAAATGTTCGTAGTACAATTGGTACACGCCGTGAGGCACTTGCTCTCCGCTGACTGCATCCAAGAAGGACTGCACGGCTTGCTCCAGGACTTCCTTGGAGCCAGTGATCGATGGCGTGGTGAGATATAATATGCCTGGTTTGTCCTGATTAGCTTTGGTTCGCCTTTCGGTTAGAAACAAGGCTCATTGAGAGGGTACATCAGAATGTCAGAGGTATTTTTCGTCAGGGCCGAGGCTCAGACAATGTAGATAAGTATTCAAGGTTTGGATCATCATCGTACCGGTGGATTTTGAGAAAAGGAAAAATAAGCAACTTACTTTGACCAACAGGGCACTCCCCAGTATCACTCGAGTGAGCAAACACGTAGACAGGGAATTCCCACGTCTTCCCGGCCGAAGTCTTGAGCGAGCCTGAGGGAAAGGCAATGACTGCAACGGCCGGTTTTTGTGCCCCTTCGACGACAGCCGCAAACAAAGAGTTTAACGGTGAATCGATGATGGACACCAGCCTGCTCACAACCACCTTCTCACTGGCAGGTTCGTCAGTTTGCACCAGTCTCCGGGTCTTGACCGTCACGCCGTTCGTCAGCTCCAGCTCCAACTCCATCTCGGCGCTGTAGCCCGTCTGCATCGACTTGATGCCGGTCCCGAGCATGTAGACAGCACCGCCCACGGCACATGCTCGACAGGCAACCTGGGCGATCTCCGAGATGCCGCCCCATTTTGGGTAGATGGCGGTAAATCCCGGGCCGAAAACGCCCATCGACGAGAGATGGCGGTGGATGATGGCCAACCCGTCTCTGGTGCTTATCCTCCCGTCGAGCGACAGCGTCAGGGTCACAATATAGGTCTGCAACTCCGCCTCCATCGTAAACTCCTTCCGGAGAAACTCGGTCAGGGGAGCATCCGCGTGCGGCTGCCAGGCTTCCGTCTGGGGCTCGCTGTCGTAGTCGACCACGAACTTTAGGAACTTCATCAGCCCCCGCTTCGCCTTCACAGGAATAGCTTTTGAGAGAAAGACATCCTCGCGCGTCGACGGGATCCGCGTCAGCACGGCCTTGTGGTCCAGGTCCTCTGGAGCCTTGAAGATGAAGAACGCGCCGACGGCCAGGAAGTCAATTTGCCGGTGTGCTCGGGACGAGACCAGCTGCGCGAGCAGCTCCGAGCGCGAGTGGATCAGCTGCGGCGAGAGCGCCAGCGAGTATGAGCGCGAGAACTTCAGGGCTGGCGAGGTTGCCTCGGGCTTCGTGATCGAAGCCGCCCGGAACACGCCGCCGTTGCCAGCATTATTCTGGTTAGTGGGGTCTGAGAGAGTGGCCACCCAGGACTCCGCCTCCTGCAGGCTAAACGCCGCCTCGGGGCCGCCATAGTATTCGTTGGGGTCTATGTGCAAGATGTTCTTGCCCGATCGCGAGAGGGCTCTTCAGGGCGGACAACAGCTAAGTCAGTCAGACGGGCAAAGGGCAAAGAAGAAGCGGGGGACAGGAGCCTTACAAAGCAAGAAGCGACTGCTGCAGACCGGTGCCGCAGATGACAACGTCCCATATGGTGTCGCTGAGAGAATCCATGGCTGACATGAGGGAAAGCTTGCACCAGCCAGGACAGCTCGCTGAAGTAGCGTTGTTTCCGTGGTGTGTTTGATAAAAAAAAATGAAAAGGAGATTGTGATGGGTAGAAGTGTATTGTGTAGGCAGCAGAGAATGTAAAAGAAAAGGTTGGAGCTTGTTGGGTGGATACCTCAATCATGGGGGGCTGTCCCGAAAGCGCCGCCCGGCCAATTCAACGGCCCGAGAGCCTAGAGGCACCCAATGCGCACGGACCCGATTTGCAGAGTGAAAAAGGCTGCTTATCTTGGGCATTTCGCCTCTAAGACTCTTCTCTCCTTTTTTTTATTTAGAAAAACAAAATAACCCCCGCCCTAACGGATCCCACGCGATTGCCGGCTTTTGCATCTCGACGGCGATCGCGGAGCGGTGGAAGGCTCTTTCAGTAGGGCTCTTCAAATGTTGGGCGGCAGATTGAACCTCCAGTCTTCCTGTATCTCCTGCTCTGGAATCATAACCTGTTAGAGCGGTTCGAAAGAGTTGACACATCTCCCCCTTCATCCCCCCCTGACTGTCCGCATGCTGGTCCCTGACATTTGCACAATTTGCCTTGTTTCTTTGCCTTGTTTCTCATGCTGCGTCTGGCTGCTGCGTACGTGGTCTCTCGAGGCTCTTTTGTTCTAAGTGGTCGCGAGCTTACGAAGGGAAGCGGGCGGACACGACTAAAGATAGCTGTGCTCAATAGTTAGAAGCCAACTCATTGTTGAGGCCATATTTCGATGTAAATTTGAACACATTCCTAATCTTCTCCTGATCCACTGTGCATTTTGCACTATGATCACTTACCAATATCGTGAGTTGGTATTCTATTTCACCATGCCGGTTATTCCGTTTCGTTCTTGGATTGTCAAGTTGGCTGTGACCGCGCTAGGTACTTTCTGCCTACGTGATCGAATCTTCCACCACGACATTTTCAGCACAGCGGTACCAGTATCAGTCTCAGTAAAGCCCAGCATTTCGTCTTCCACAGGAGTCGCCGAGAAAAAAAAGGTACGGACGAAGCCGTCTCTCTCTCCCACACTGTCCCAGATAAACCAGGCGCATCGATCCTTTCGGGGTATCAATGCCATCCATTTCTTTTTGTCGCCTGTCCCTCCATATATTTTTTTTTTAAAAAAATACCTACTTCGCTCACAATGCCAATCCATTATGCTTTTAATCTTCCTCTGAGCAAATAGAACTTTGTAGTCTAGTAGTCCCTCCCCGGCGCCTGCCTGCTACTTGGATTACTGCATGGCATCCCGCACCTCCTTCCACCTCTTCTCGGCGACGCCCGCGAACCCCCTGATCAGCTCGCGGCCGATCACGACACCGCCCTGCTTCTCGATGCTCTTGATCCTCGTCTCGCCGCCTTCGCTGCAGTCCACCACCATGGTGATGGTCTCGCTGCAGAGCGTCTCCTCGGAGCGGTCCGGGTCCAACAAAATCCAGTGCCGGTTGCCGACAGTAGCCTCAGCAGAAGCAGCCATTGACTCGCCGCCGTGCTCCTTCTCGGGGAACATGGCCGCCGTGCACGCGACGGGTAGCCCCGCGACGGGCAGCGGTGTTGTCTTGACGCTGTTCTTGTCCTGCCCCGGTACTGCTGCCGCCGCGGTAGCAGTAGTAGTAGTAGTCGGCTGTGAGTAGGACTGAAGCACGGCGGCCTGGCGGTCGGGGTCCCACCGCACGGCCGGCAGCTTGGTGTCGCGCAGGGCGGCCATGACGGCGGTCCAGGCTGCATCGAACGGGTTGCCGTCGAGCGACACGAACAGCAGGTCGATGTAGAGCACCCAGTACGCGGCGAGCTGCGGGCCGTCGTCGCCATCGTCTGCCTCCTCTTGTTGCCTTTGCTGCTCCTCTGTGTCCATCTCGTCGCCTACTGCCGTCGGCGGCGTGTACCAGATGCGCAGGGACTTGGGGTCGACGACGCGACAGCTGTGCAGCAGCGAGTAGACCCGCGTGCTGAGCGTCTGGGCGAGCGTGGTGGGCGGCACGCCGGGGAGGAACTGGGGCGCGCAGCCCGTGGCCAGCTCGATGTTGGGCACGAGAAGGTCGTAGTCCTTGAGCTCGCCGCGGCCCAGGCCGCCCCTCTCGTCTGCTCTCTCGTGGCTGTCGTCCTGCTGCTGTTGCTGTGTTGCTTGCGGCCGGTACTGCGGGATGTTAGCCACGGGCAGCACCTCGCCTCGCACGCCGCAGATGACGGTGGTGTCACCGGTGCGCACGAGGGCGCTGCCGTGGGCATGCGACAGCGACGACGTGTGGATGTGGACGGGGCGAGCCTCATGCGGGGCTCGGCCGTTTGTGCGGCTGGCAGCGGCGTCTGACGGCGGTTGCGGCGCGAGCGTCCTGAGGAGATATGGATGCGGCGAGAGCTTCGCAAACACCGCCCGCGGAAAGCTCATAGACGGAGCCGCCATGTTTGAAAATCTAGCCTGTGGAATGCGAGAATGCTGTCGTTGATCGCTTGATGGACGCGAGTTTAAAGTTGAGATGCTTGGCCTGAAGTTTGCTTCGGAAAGTTCCTTCGCCCGCTGTTCAGCCTTGTCAAGGTGGGCTGTCAGAGAGCGCGGGAGTTGCTAGAACGTTGGTTCCAATTGGCTTCCAGGGTCTTTGGTGGTAGGGTTTAGCGGTGTGCTGCATTTGCCAAGGAGCTCAGACCACCAACTCGTCCAGATACCTAACCCAAGACCGGAGCGCGCCTCCTTAATCTGTCCTAGAACACGTAAATACTCAATTCCGGATGGAATTATGCAGTAAACTATTAAAAATTGAAACCTGTTCACTATTCAAGTCTATATACTTTCAGCGCTGTGCTGGTTCTGCGCTATTCATACATGCGTTACCTGTTAAAAACACCCTAACTATCTATCCATCATTCATTGCTGCGCCAAAAGTTGGCCGCCAAAGCGGCAATCTCGTCTCCCCTCGCCATGACAATCTCGTGACCGCATTCCAGAATGACGGTCTCGAAGCCGTCTTCACCCAGTACCGCCGTGGCATCGTGGATCAGCTCCTCTTTGATGATGACGGAATCCGTCGATCCCAGCACCAGGAGAACCCGTCCGCCGCGGAGCCCCGGCAACGCTGCCGGCGACCTCTCATCCTCGGATGATTCCGCGTCCTGTCTTCTATCGGCTAGCAGCCGGCCCAAAGCGAGCCAGTCCTCTCGTTGATCGTATATTGGCGCGTGCCGGATGCTGCTGATAAACGCCGTGATGAAGCCCTCGTGATTCGCGATCTGCCACTTCATGACCGACGAAACCGTGTGGCCTGGCCGGCGCATCAGAAGTGTCGCATTGTCGTACGAGCTTCCCCCGCTGGCGTCGCTGTTTCGCTGCGGTTTTGGATCCACCGCCTCGCTCGCCATCTTGGTTTCAGTCACCGCGCCCTTGGGTGAGATGCGCCACCGCACAAGAGTCTCGAGAATCCATCCCGGAAGTGTCCCAGTCGAGTAGAGAAATTTGCTCTTCCAGCTCTGATGCTCGGTGCGTATAAGTCCGCCGCCGGCAATGAGGATGAGCGAACGGACCATGTGTGGGAAATGCTTAGCAAACGGCACGGCAAGTCCGCCGCCCAGGGAATACCCGATGAGGTGGAAGCCGTCATCTCCCGTCCACGGAACGCTCGAGGACGCGAGGACCAGGAGAATCTGCGTCGTGAAGAGACGGATGTCGTAAGGGAGATCTGAAGGCGCATCAGAGTACCCGCGCCCAAAGAAGTCAAAGATGATGACCCGGTATCCCCTGGCCACGAGCGCTTCTCCGAGGCTCGCCTGCGACAGACATGGCGTGCTGATTCCGTGTAGCATGAGCACCTTTTCTCCGTCTCTAGGTCCCAATTCAAAGACCTTGATGCTCCCGTAAGGCGTCTCGACATCGCGGCTGCCAGGAAGAACGTCTGGCGGATAGGAAAGCGCACTAGTCTCCTCGGCAGAGAGTTTTGGCAGCTGCGTCTTTGCGGGGGACCTGATGCATGGTTTTCTGCTACGTCTCTGCGGCGCCACGAGAGCCCGGACGACGAGACCAAGCGAAATCCCAAGGACTCCCCAGAGGATAACAGAGCCGGCCGTTTGGGGGCGAAAGGCCGATACCCCGGTTACCATGGCGCTCAGGTTGCCTTGAGTTGTCACGGATATTTGCGTATTGTGAGTCAAAACCGGGAGCTGTGCGCTGGGATGGCTATAAGCTCGCTGCGGCGTGGGCGGCAAGGAATCCTGGCTGAGGATGTTCTGGACCATGCCGTTAAATTACCGAGCCGAGTCACCTAGGTCCTCTTGGTTTGGATCCTGTTGAGTTCCGAAACATTTCAAGGCGTTGAGATGGCCGTGGTGCAAGCCCTGATGCCACCAGAGACGAGCGGGTTTGAGCTGTATCTAAATATTGGGTGGGAAGAGTAAATGATGTGCCCCCACTGAGAGCCGAGATCGAGGTCTGCAAGTGCGAGAAGCGGGGCCGTCCCTCTTGGCCCCCAAATGTCAAAAGTCTCCATCCGTCCAGCAGGGAGGACGGAGTACGCTAGAGTCTAGGAGTTGCGAGCCAGTCCTCCGAGGAAAAGTAGTGCGATAGCTCGGAAGTTGCTGGTTCCATTCGCACGGCTAGAGAGGGGGGGGGGGACACTGAGGAAATATCCGAGCACACTATCTTTTTTGCTTTGGGTTCGTCATTCAATGGATGAGGGTTGAAACTTGGAACCGGAATGCACTGTGCGAGATGGGATGCATTGCTGCAACCTATCGAAACGTGGGGGTTGGAGGATTGTTGATCTTAATTTAGAAAATGGCAGGGTTATCCTCTGCCGACGGGCCGTTTTGAACTCCCGGCGCCATATTGGACGGAGTGGAAAGGAGGCTAGAAAAAAGAAAAACAAATAAATAGGCCCCATAGGAAAAAGAAAATAGAAAATGAATAAATAAACAAAACCGTCATCATCATAGCTCACACGCCAGGCGTGGGTTTCATTCCCTTTCGGCACATGACCTTCAGTTTGGAGAGCTGCCGCCGCACGACGCCGCCGCCGCCACCGCCGCCGCTACTGGGGGGGTTGACGACCCTCTCGGCGTCGCTGTCCTCTTCGGAGAGCTCGAGAGAGAACGAGGGCCGGGCGGAGCCGATGCCGGGCTCTTTGACGAGCTTCCGAAACGGGCGGCCTCTGTCGCCCAGCCACGAAGACGACGACGACGACGTCGGCGTCTCGACGGAGCTGAGCCACGACTTGGACGAGTCGTTCGACCGCGCCCTCTTGTGCTTGTACCGCTGCTGTGACGACGGCCGCCGCCGCTGCGTCTTGGCCGTGTTGGCGGTGGTAAAGTAGTCGAAGTCGTCGCTCTCCTGCTGCTCTTCGCGTCGGTTGGCGTCCAGCAGCGACAGGTATGCCGAGTGCGGGTCCTCCTCCTCTGTGGCCGGCGCCACCCAGGACATGCGCCTGAAGATTTTCGACATAGTTTCGTAGAGACAGAGGGAGGCGTGAACAGATTTGACGAGCGCAGAATCTAGTCGCCGCCTACACAATCGGGGAAGCTCGTGAGGTTTTTTTTTGTTTATGGAAAAAAAAAAGACGATGAGATAAAATAAAGCAGAAGTGAGTAATAACAGTCTGCGGGAATAAGAGCGTGCAGTGTGCGAGGCGGGAGGTATGGAGGTGCAATATGTAGGTATGTAGTCAGCTCCCCAGACGATCAAACAGCGCTGCCTTTGGGTCTTGTGGTCCGAGATCTGGCGGCAGGAAACGCCAAGGAGGGATCTTCTTAAGGGGGGTGAATAGACCTTAGGAGTTGCGAGGAGAGACGATGACGGGACAAAGTTCCAGAACTCTGTGCAGGCAGCGTATGAGGAAAGGAAAAGAAAGGAAACAGTTCAAGTCAAGAAAAACGCGAGGCCGTCCCGGAAAACTCCTTTCATATGGAACATGGCTGGCCACAGCCCCGAGCGTTCTAATTTTGGCTGTCGAGAGTGCACATCCATACTCTGCATCCTGCCTAGTTCACAGCCAAAGAGATAAAGTTGCGTGTCCATTACGCATCCTTGCCGTGTTGGCTGTCATGGAAGGTTCATGTTGATGGATGAGGCTGGCGTGTGCGTGTGCGCTGTGTGGGGTGCAGCTTGGTAGTGTTCATGATCTGCATGATTGGCGAGTGGGTTGCGGCTAACGAGACTGACCTGCCGCCGTGATTGACGCCCATGCGAAACCCGTTCGGGGCCCTGATTCGACAGTCGCTGGCGGCTTCTGTGGCCCAGTCGTTTCCCCGGTGAAGCTTGGCTTTGCCGCGCCCTGAAACGCGCCCCTCCGCCCGCTGACTCTTGCCGCTACCGAGCCAACCAACCGCGGGGCGTTCCGGTGCTGGCACTTCAGTGGATGGCATTTCACCGTGCCTTTGTTCTCGCAAACCAGCGATTGGCCAGTGACACGTTTCTGTTTGAGGGATTCCATACCTTGAGGGCATCCCTTCTGTCTACCCCTATTTTTGAACATGGACAATCTAACCACAGCCTCAAGGTATGCAGGAACCAAGGAAGGTTACACAGCGTGACGCGGTTGCTCTACAGCTCGGGTCAAGACGGGTTTAATAATTAATAATCTTGGTTTGCGTGAATGTTTTATTCTCTGGTATTGACCTGGAGGTAGGAAATACATACACACTCTTAACAGCCATCAGAGTCTGTAGTGAGGGTCAGGCAAGCTACAAAGGCGAGCTTGCATGTGGCGTTGTTTGGCCGCTTAAGAGGAAGTGGGTATAAATGATATATTACGGTGATTCGAAGCCCGAAAAGCACGCCATTCACTCATCTCGCTTTACGGCGGGCTCTCTGGGAAACGCTTGCTGGTTTCGACAACTCACCCGCGGCAGCCGACGGTTGGCCTGATGACTTCGCGGCCCGGGCTTTTGTTTGCCGATTTTGAAGACCTGTAGTCGGTGCTGGTGCTTTTCCAGCCTTGCGTGATCGTTGTCGGATACCCCGACCCGGGCTAGCTAGCACAGCGGGTTTCTTGGATGGCTGTTGACGGGCTGCGATTCGTGTACTTCGACGAAGGGGGGAGATTGATGGCTGTTGACGGGCTGCGATTCGTGCACTGCGACGAAGGGGGGAGATTGATGGCTCACCGCCTTGCTTCTTGCCGCTTCTTCTCCTCTTCTCAGGAACCTCAGACTCGTGTGGTTGCTGGGTGCCCGTCTTCGTATCCTGTACTATTTGGAGATGGGAAGGAGGTTCCACAGACGGCCGCCTGGAGAGCAGTGTATCTTCAACCATGTCGCCGTGGCTCTGTTCATCCAAAGTATTGGGCTTCTGCCTCTTGGGACTTCGGCTTTCTATGGCCTCGTCTTGACCCAGTTCGGGCTCGATCTTCCGCTTTTGACCTTCCGAACTGCCCCCAACAGCCGTGGATTCCAACTCCAACTGAATCACTGGGATTTGGTCTCGGATACACTCGAGCAAGACTGTATGGCGCTCTGCGCTTTTCACATCAAGCCGGTATGAAGAGGTATCCCTGATGAATTTGCCGATAAGATCATTCCGGTGCTTGGTCCGTTCCATTTCTTCATTAGCTGAGTCGAGATTGGCCTCCGCCGCCGCTAGCCTCTTCTGAGCAGCAGATGAAGGCTCGCTGGATCAATGGCTTGCTGGGCCGACAACAAAGCCGCCTTTGCATATTCAACGGTGTCATTCGCCTGCCTCTTTTCGATATCGCGTTGATGCCAAGATTCGTTTAGGATAAACGTCTCTGTCTCATGAGGTTTTACTACTCCCGATTCCAGGAGCGTCTCCCACTGTTTGCGGTACCACTTGGCCAACTTCTTGTTTTGACCGTAACGCCTATTGTAAAAGTCATGCTCGCAAACCAGGAATTCGATCCATGCCGTCAGCTTGTCTTGTTGCTTTGGGTCTTCGTCAAAGCTGAGCTCGGCCGGCACCGTGATTGAGTGTTTGTTGAAAAATGCCTTGGCCCGCTGGGTCAGGTCCAAAATGCGCCCTTTGTATCTGGTTCTCATGGTCGCCTGCCACTCGCGGAATCTTCTCCAGCGTATCAACTGCTGTCCGATTAAATCTGATTTATTTGGCTTTGCGAAACGCAAGAGCTCGCGGTATTTTTGCGGATTCCTACCGATGTCTTCCATCATGTGGATTGAGTACCAAGGATGCGCACCATCGTCGACAAGTTCATCGTAGGCCTCCCTTTCCCACCCGATCCTGCGCTGGAGCTCATGCTCTGAATCGTCCGAGGATGAAGATTCGGCTGGTAAGCCGCCGTGCCCCTCGGCCGGCACCTGGTCGAAGGTGGTTGCCTGAAGCAATCGTGCTGAAACTTGGTCGAGATCAACGGGGCGAGACTGGACCTGGTTGTTTGGGCGAACCCGATCCCTGCTTGACTTTTAGAAGAGCCAGGAGTTGGGGAAAGAGCGGAGCCAGTCACCTCAATCGCTGAATGAAGGACTCGGTTAGATTCTGCGGGTCGTGAACAGAGACGTGCCTGTGTTCAACTTGACGTCAGAAGACAAACACGGGGTGTGGCATCGCAGCGGCGGCTGACCTTCCGTTCTCCTCAAGATAACGGTCCAGTTCCTCGTCATTGTAGGCGATAATTTCGCGCGCATACAACTTTTGGATCTCCATGGCCTGGGGTGTGGTGGAGGATAGGCAGGTTCAGACGAGGCTCTGGCAACATTCCCTTTCGCGCATCTCTCTGAGACTTATTGCCAACCCCACGGCGGTAGGTCCAGGACGAGCGCCCTATGGCTGCCTTATCAAGGGAGTAGACATAAGGCGACTGTGCGACGTGACATCTTGGGTGGTCTTTGTCGCCAAATGGGCCGGCCAATCAGGCTTTGGATGCAGTCTTCCCGATTGGTTTCTGCCAGCCAGAAACAAAGACGTATTTTCCGGATCCGTACTACGTAAAGCTAGGTAATGTAATTCTGGAAGGTGCAAACAAAGACTTATTTTCCGGATCCGTACTACGTAAAGCTAGGTAATTCTGGAAGGTGAAATGTGAGCCGCAACAGTACGCACGGCTTCTTTTTGACTGATACACTTTCTATTTCCTTATTTTAGGCTTCTATCTCTCTTTTAGCGCCCGACCGAAGCAAAGTGATGCTAGAGATGTGCATACCTATATCCAGTGGCCGCCTGGATGACCCGACCTGTGCAAGGCTATCAACATGGCCTTTAAAAAGGTTCAAGAGTCAGCCAGGCGGCGTGTCGCAACAGTCAAATCTCTTTCCACACTTTCCACGATTCCCGACAGACATATCAGTTGCTAAAAATGGCTGATCCTAACCTTATTGCCTGCTTGTATCCAGCCCGAGACTCTACTCAATTTGCCAATGAATCACGCACGATTTTTTACACCCGGGAATGCGTCCCGGCGTGTTGAACCGCTCCGCGAGGATCGGACTCGCTCTTCGTCGCCCATAACTGACTATGGAGACGGTGACGATGACGGTGATGGTGTTAGCATCAACAACGACGCTAATAACAGTCGCAAAACTGCTCAGAGGGCTTATGAATGCATGCCTTGCCTTAAGATCAAGTTCGACGACTAACGGAAACACCGAATCGGCTTGGTCTTCGGGACTAGCTCAACTACCGACATTGTCCTGCCAATGCGGGACAGTCTGAACGGCCTTGCTGCCCTGCAGTGCGCCCTCACCTTTGATGACCAGGGACGCCTCGTTTTGAGAGACTTACAAGGCCCCGGCGGTCGAAAGAAGCATGGGACTGCTGTCACTTACGACGGGAAAGGAGGAGAGAAGCGCGAACTTTTACCTGGATCCTCGGTGGCGAGGAATTCACATGTGAGAACCACCTAATCAATATTGAGTTCCACAAAAACTTGATCTTCGAGATCGTGGTCGCTCAACACGATATCACGTCAATCCCGTACTAGTAGATGGTTTCTCAGTTCCGTAGCGGTGCTACGGCGACTCTCGATGGTCTTTCATTCGACGGGCTCGGCTTCCAGAGAATGGGCTCTACAGCAACACAGAGCGGAACACGAACTCCTAGCGGAGAAGCCCCTATCCTGCTCGACGACAAGGAACTGGGTAGGGGGGCTCAAGCTGTGGTGACTCGGGTCTAGGACGTTAGCACCGGGCGCTATTATGCCGCCAAGAGACCTCACGCACAGCATTTCTATGGGGCATTAGTGATGGAGCTCAAGCTCCAGGACCAAATTAGCCATGTGCGTTAGTCATATCTCCCCTCGGCAGTAGATTGTTATTAACCCCTGCCAGGACAACATCGTGCAGTACATCCTCGAATATTCAACGGCAGCACCAGTTCTGAGAATGATCCTTGAATACGCCCCTCTCGGGACTCTGGAAGACCAGGCCGGCGTGGAATGGTTCTCACCCCAGGAGAGCTTAGAGATTCTTCGTCAAGGCCTATCCGCCCTGCGACATCTCCACGAGCGAGAGGATCCAATCGTCCATAGAGACATCAAGCCGGGAAATATCCTTGTACAGTCGCGAAATCCCCTCCACATCAAGCTCTCCGACTTTGGCCTGTCCAAGGAGAGCCAGGACTACTTGAATACGCTCTGCGGCACGCGGCTCTACGCGGCTCCGGAGATCTTCAGGCATCAGAGTTACGATTCGGCCGTCGATATTTGGTCCCTTGGCGTGGTTATTTTTGAATACGCGCACCAGCTTCCAAATTTCCGCGGGTCACAGCCGTTCGACGGACTGAGGTGGACTGACTAAATCGTGGCGGCTCTCTGTGCCTAGATAGAGATTTCGTATTGCCCCCTGCTTACATTTCTGTCGAGGGCCATGCTGGTCATTGACCCGCAGCGTCGCTATTCGGCTCAAAGATGCTGGAAGGAGACGCAGCAGCTCGAAGTATTCTCGCCTTGCCCCTCAACGCCGACTCTGACATCGACGCCGCGGCCAATACCTTCCGCCCTCGCCCAGGAAGACGAGTTGACGTTGACTAACCTCCCGTCGGGCGAACGAGAAACTACGCCCGCCGGTTCTAGCGCGCTCCGTCTAGCGTCTCCCCCGCCGTCAAGTGCGAGCCGGAAGGCATCGCGGGTGACAAAGTCGTCGTGCCAACCCGCGAGCCGAAGACAAAGCGGAAACTGAGAGTTTAAGTACATGTTGGACAAGTTCCGGAATCCGCTCCACCCCCTCCACGTCGGGTCCTATCTCGGGCAGGAAGACGACTCGGAGTGGAGCGAGAGCAACCTCGCTTCGACCGTCCACGTCCAGCCAGTTCTGCAAGGGCCTGTCGACGGCGCGGCTAGCGACTCGTCGTCGGTCGTGCTCGAGGACTAGTATAACGACCCACGGTAGGCACCAGCGCCCTTGCCTAACAGCCCCGGTGCGCTGGTAGCGGCCTTGGATGTGTCCGACGGAGGCGTGTCGGTCCAGATCCGCTTCCTCGGCACCTTGATGCAGGACATGAGCGAAGGGGAGCCGGCCGCACATGCTGGGCGAGCAGGGACGCCTACTGGGCTAGATGGCTCGTAGCTTGCGATATTCTAGGGCTTGTAACGCTGTGGCGGGTCGGTTTGGAGACATATTGTTTCCCATGAGCAAGAAGTCAGAAGTTTAAGCTGTTGCTGCCGAGTTGATGGTTAATTACAGGGCGACGAGGGCGGCATTACATGAAAAAATACCGATATGGGCTACAATTTAGGAAATTATGACAACAGCAAGGCGGGTGGTTTGGGAGTATGGGTTTCGCAAGTGAACTATGCATTTTAAGGCGTTGGTTTGTAAAATATCCTCTGCATAAAACCAGATGACTCTGGAGGGGTGGGTAGATTATCGAGGCGCAAGTCTATTTACATGTCGCAGTTGACTATCATTTGGTACCATTGACACCTAGGAGGGTGCCCGCCTCTGCTAGCACACTGAAGAGTCTTAGTTGTCGACTTCAATATTATTTCATAGGGAGTGATTCACCCAATAATATTTTCAAAAAGGAATTTAAATAATTTCGGTGCTCTCAGATCAGCTAGTACCGTTTTTACTATCCAAAATGAGATGAAAGCGAAATCTTGGCTGAAAAGTCATGGCCTGCGCTCTCGTTTAGTTTGTTTGCAATGCCAGAGAAGCCAGCGGGGCTTGAAGTGGCTAGAATAAGAGACTACGGGGAAGCTCCTTTTCCCTACCCGTGTTTCCCTTCATTCTACACAGTTAACAACTCTACCCCCCCAGACATAAGTAGAAGGGGAAAGGAGGTAAATTTCTAAACAAGGGCCGAACAAGGAGGCCATCGTAGACCGGACTACACTACACACGGAAGGTCTCAAGGTTGTTAACCGGAACAAAGTGGTATACAATATTTACATTTTATCGTCTTGTGTCCCTTTGCTGCTGTCTGTCTATAAACACCTGGTCCCTCTAGCGCCGTGCGGGTTTGGCGTTTTACGCCCGAGCACCGACTATCCCGCGACCTTTGAGCTCCGGTAGTCCTCGCCCTCGACGCAACATATCGGAAAAGGGGCTCGTTCTTCTACGCACTGTCCTTGACAAGCGCTGTGACTGCCTCCTCGATCTGCTTATCGCTTAGGCCTGAGGGGAAAAAACAGGTAAGTTAGGTTTGCCTTTTTTCTTTCTCTTTCTGGGGCTTGAGACAGGATGCATGGCGTACCTTCTAATATCTGCGACTTTTCTTGGCCAAACTCTGTAGGGGAAAAGAGAGAGAGAATTAGCAAGAGGTCGCATTTAAAGGTGGGGGGTGGCAGTGGTTGGCTTAGAGAGGAGGATAAGGGCGCAGCGGCTACCGACCGTATCTCGCGTACACCTTGGGCTGGGTGCCGGCCGCTTCCCGGAGCATGATGGGTATCGAGGGGTTGTTCTTCTTCATGATGGGGTACGCGCGCGTGAGGAAGGACCTAGGTTCAAGGTCAGCACGATGTCTTGCCGTCTCGTGGAGGACAAGGGGAGGCGCTGGGCTTCAGAGAGGCATCCGTACCTTGTCGCAGCGCTGTGCTCGCCCGTCTGGCAGAAGAGGAAGCGGACCTCCTTCAGAGTCTTGGTAAAGGCATATTTGCTCGACATGGTTGTAAGGAGCCTGGTGCACGTGGCTTTGGCGTCCAGTCAGGCGCGGAGGGCAGGTCGATTGGGTCCGGGGCGGCTCTTAATTGATGGCGGGCGGGCAGTGAGCTTTCGCGGCGACGACGGCGGCGACGACCACGAGCTCCGAAGTGGATGAAGTGGATGATGAGGCTGAATACTTTAGCGGGGCCCCACTCACTGGCAAGCTCCCTCTGCAAGTGCTGCACAAGGCTGCTCCACTGCATAAACCTAGCACTTGTTTATGTCAGGGGTCTAACAAGCGTCTGCACAAATCACGCACGGGCCTGACAACTCTTAATCCCGCTTCTTATCCCCGGACTGCCCCCAACGGATTGGCAATTGACGTACCAAGGGGTGGCCGAGCCTCCATCATCGGACCTCTTTCCTTGCTCGTAACTGTCGGGCTGTATCTCGCAAACGATTCCGGCGCAGCCAGTCAGCCCATCCTCGCCGCCAGCGCACTCGGATCTCTCTCCGGACATTGACCCGAAGACGCAGAAGCCAATTAACCGGACGGCGCAACAACAGGGGGCAAAAAAAAAAGCCCTTAATAAGGGCCGACCGACAGCTCCGAGCCGATCCTCCCCCGAACCCCTCCGACCAAAACCTACGGTAGCCACGACCACGCCCCGAACCGAAGTTATCTACACAACTTTGACCAGTAGTATCTACTCAACACCATGGCACCCACCCACAACCTCTTCCGCGCGGCGCGGCCCGCGTTCCGCAACAGCAGCCAGTTCTTCCGGTCGAACCTGCGCCCTAACAACACGTCCAAGCGGTGGCAGTCGTCGTCATCGTCGTCGTCGACAGCTGGCGCCGCGCCCGAGTCGTTTGCGAAGCGCATGTGGAACAGCCCCATCGGCGTCAAGACGGTGCACTTCTGGTGCGTCATCTGCTTTCTTGCCGTTCCTCTCCGTAGAAAGAGCAACAACACGACATCCCTCGCTACTCGGGCGTATCTCTAAATGAAAACAGAACCTTGTTGTGCATTTACTAACGCGTTTTAAACAAACAGGGCACCCGTGATGAAATGGGCGCTGGTGCTCGCGGGCGTCTCCGACTTTGCGCGCCCCGCCGAGAAGCTCTCGCTGACGCAGAACGTGGCCCTGACCCTGACGGGCCTGATCTGGACCCGCTGGTGCTTGATCATCAAGCCCAAGAACTACCTGTTTGTCGCCCTCTCTCGCTTCTGTTCCAACGGGGGCCGGTCCTCTCTTTCCGAGCTACAGAGAGACAAGAGACAACAAAGCTAACACATCTCCCCCAGCCTCGCCGCCGTCAACTTCTTCCTCGGCCTCGTCGGCGTCGTGCAGGTCAGCCGCATCGTCATGTGGCAGCAGTCACAAAAGACCCTCCCGGCCAAGCTGGAGGAGGCGGTCAAGCAGTAGGAGTAGGCTGAGACGGGGCGTGGCCGTGTGCCTGTCTGTGTGCGAGTTTGTGGGTGGCGGGGACAGGTCTTGTTCAAGACCGTGTGCCACGTAGATGGCAACGAGTAAGAAAGAGGGGGGGAGAGGGCCCAGGGAAACATATGCTCTCCGTAGACTCACTACTCGGCGAGCAGGCGTCTCTAAAGCAACTACATTTCATTCCTACACTGCCTAAATATGCAGAGAACGGGGCAGAGTTGCGGCTCAATGGCGCAGCAAGTTGCATGTATAACCCCCTCAAGCGCACGTGCACATATACCAGGAGAGGGGAACGTTTGGGGGCAGACGATTGAGTGAAGGTTGCAAAGCTTGTAATACATCATGAAGTAAGTATCCGTACTTGAAGCAGATTTTAGATAATATTTCACCTTGTGCCAGCCGTCCCTCACCCGAAGATACGGAGAACAAAACAAATATCTTTCTGGGGCATTTCCCTTTTCCTTCTCGTGTACCTCAGGTAATTCTCTAGCGCCGTAGCAGTCAGTGTAGTGGTATAATATATCCATCACCCCCCTCAACCAGGGAGAGAGAGATGGGGAAAACAGAATCAAGACTTCGCCAATCCAGATCCAAACCCATAGTCCATGTCATGAGATAACACACAACACACAGAAAAAAGAGACAAAACGAGGCCCCATTTTCTCATTCGTGACCGCCAGGCTCCCTGCCCAAAATCCTTCCAACTCCAGTCATCTTTACATCATGCCAGAAAATAAGACCCCGAGTCTATCCAGATAGCCATGTCGTGCTTGTTATTTGCACCCGCACCCCCCATTATGTCCATGCGTGTGCGCATTATCTAGGCCAATCGTCCAAGCGAGCTCTTTTCAAGCCTTTGCAAAAGCCCCCAAATTCATGGTTCTCTTTTCGCCGGAGCTCTGTCTAGGTTTGTAGACGGCCATCTCATCTTGCTTCCCGGCTGGGCGCTCCCCCCGGTCTCACATTATAGAGCACTCGCCCTCCTGCTGCTTGTCGATTTTGCTGCGGGAAATGCGCTCTCGCGCGCGCGGACCGTTCTTGCCGGAGCGCTTGAGGTCTTCAAGGCGCTCGCGGGCCCTAGGAAAGTCCTTGGCTGTTTGTTTCGGTTAGCATCTCCACGGTTCTGCACCGACAGGCTTGGCGAAGACTTACAAGCAGCGCGCCAATACCACCTCTTTGCGTCCTCCAGGTTCGCCGGTACGCCAATGCCAACTTCGGTGAAGTAGCCCATCGCATATTCCGCTTTGGCCAACCCTGCCGTGGCCGCTTTCCTTGCCCACAGGTACGCCTCGGTGTCGTTTTGCGCGAGCACGCCGTCACTGCCAGTCAGGTACCAGCCAGACAAGGCCAGCTCGCTCTGGTGCTCTTCCTGTGTCGCCGCGCGGCTGTACCACATTATGGACAGCCGTGGGTCGATAGGACAGCCCATCAAGCCGTACTCGTACGCACAGCCGAGGCGGAACTGACTGAATTTGTAGCCGAGGTCGCCGGCTTTCTTGAAAAGCTCAAGCGCGTAGGGCTCGTCGCGCAGGATCACGTCGTTCGGCTGCGCACTCTCGTATAGAAGGGCGAGCTCGTGGAGCGCGTGTGGGTTCTCGCTGTCGGCTCGGTCCGCGGCGCGTTTCAGCCAGCCAACGGCCTCACGCGGATTTTTCGGCTGGCCCAAATGGCCCTTGAGCAGAATCATGCCGACCTTGTACATGGCAGGAGTGTCGCCGAGGGTTGCGGCCCGCTTGTACCACTGGATCGCCTTTAGCGGATCTTTACGTGTGCCGCCGCCATCGTCGTTGCCGATCTCGCAGCACACTGCAGTGCGGTAGGCAGCCGCTGCGTGCCCCAGCTTTGCAGCTGACTGGTAGAGTGAGAATGCATGCGCATTATCCGGCTCCGAGTTGAACATGCCGCGGCCCATGCAGTCAGCCATGAAAAACATGGCATCCGGGTTGCTGGCCTTCTCGAGCTTCCGGAGAATCTTGTGCGCATCAATTATGTACCGTTCGCGGGACCGCGCACGCGCCTTGGGGTCCGGAACATTGGGCACTAGAACGTCAGATGCCTCGATAAGTCTCTTTGCAAGACGAAGCGCCGAGACTTGATCGTTGGGATCTTGCTTGATAACACCGCGCAGGTGCTCCAGCTCTTCGACTGTGACCGGGGCTTCGACCGGCTTCGTAGGCGCTGGGCTTTGGGCTGCCTGAGGAGGCGGGGGCCCAGACATATTAACCCCTACGGGCGGGGCTGGGCCGCCCGTCATACCACCACTATAGTTCCTCACGGGAGGGGGCCGGTCGGAGAGGTTGACGATGGAACCCGGCATGAGGCCTGGGCGGACTGGTGTGGGGTGTGACGGCAGAGCGTCGGGGTTGGAGGGGGCTGGAGGTGTTGCAAGTGGCGCGGGGCTTTTATATGAGTTTGGATTGGAAGGTAGGCCGGGCCCGGGTAGTGGTCCGATTTGCCCCTGCGGTGGCTGCCGCTGGAAGCCCTGTTGGCCGTTGGGCATGGGCCCGGGGGGGTTGGGCTGTTGAGAAAACTGGTTTGGAGTCGGTAGCGGGGGGATATCGCCGGCCATCTCGAAGATTACCGTCTGCGAATTGCGCAAGTCTGGCTGAGATTTTGTCTTGCTTAGCTCGGGTACTCTGCCAGGTCCACGCTGAGCCTGTTCCTGAAAGCCAGGCTGCGGCATTTGAGGGTCCATCGAGTTTCCCGGCCTCTGAGGAGGTATGCCATTAAAGCTCGGGGGCTCGGCCAACTGAGCTGGGGGTGGATTCTGTGGAGGGTACTCGACGCTGTCCCGAGCATCGTAGTAGTCGTAGAAATCATCGAACGAAGCAGGCCGTTGCTGGGTTGCGTATCCCGAGTCAGGCGCTGGCCCATATCCTGGCTCTCTATACGGCTCCTGTGGTGGGGGGCCGTTGTTAGGTGGATATGCTCTCGGCGGAGAGCGCATGGCTTGGGCAGTATTCGGGCGCGGCGGCATCCCCCGGCCAATGGGACCGCTGTATGGGGCGCTATCGCGTCGCGGGGGAAATCCTGGGTTGCCCATTTCCCCTGCATCTCTCGCGGGCATCGTCATACTGCGCCCTGGCGGGCCGAAGCCGTCATCTTGATAGCCACCCATCGGCGGCCCGTATCCTGGGCCCGGTGGAGGACCGCGTCGCTGGTCTGGATAATCCTGAGGAGAGTAAGGCTGTGGCGGTCCTCGCGGGGGGCCAATAGGTCCAGGTCCAGGCCCAGGCCGAGGTCCTCCATAACCATTCCCAGGAGGGCGCATGGGCCCTCGCTGTGGCTCGGGGCCGTTTGGTCCACCCCTGGGGCCAGGTCTCTGGCCGGATATGTCCATATTGCCCATCTGGGCCACGATGTCCTGCTCCTGAGCTAGATCTGTCCTCCGCTGCGTGCCGGGAAACGTGGGAAAAGAACCGCCGCCAAATCCGGGTTCACTTTGGGGCATGGGGCCAGGACCAGGACCATTCATCGGGGGCCTTCGATTTGCTGGGAGACATATTAGCGAATGGCTTGGACAAGGAGACATGGCGCTGTTTGCACAAGCATGATGCTCACCAACTGGATCGGAGCCTGCAGACCGTTCCATAGGGCCTGGCCGGCCACCTCGACCTTGGGGAGGATAGCCGCGCGGAGGCCCAGGAGGATATCCGCCGCCCCGAGGAGAGTATAGACCTCCCCAGCCGCCCTCGACAGGGGGAGATCTCATAAGACCTCCCCTTCCTCCGAGCATCGGTAGCCTCCCTCCCCGCGCAGGTCCAGGTCCGGGGCCGTTCGGAGGCATCGGGCCAGGGTCGTAGTACTCTGGGTAGTCTGGATTCGGAGGCGCTCCCCTTGGGGGGTAGTTCGTGTTGTTGTCGTATTGCCTCGAAGGGCCCTGGCCGTAGCCATTTCCATAACCTTCTAGGGCATAGCCATAGCCGTCCTGATACTGATCTTGGTCGTATTGTTGCTGCTGCTGCTGTTGCGGCGGCGGCGCGTTGAATTGTTGAGGCTCACCGGGCGCGGGAGGGTATTGACGCTGCGGGGGGGGTCTTTGAGGGCCCTGCCCAGGTGGATAAGGACGTCCACCGCGCCCTCCGCCTTCGTACGGGCCGTTGTATGCCATGGCGAAAGGGATGCCTCCACTGCGTTGACGGGCAGTCAGTCGCGTCGCTTGAAGCTTTTAAGCTGCGGTGGGAGGGTGGGGAGTCGAGGGGGAAAAGTGGCCGAGAGCGAAGAGACGAGGGATTGGATTGGGATAGCAAGGATAAGGAGGAATGGAGTCGGAGGAATGAATGGCGCCTCAGCGCCCGCAGCGTCTTTTGATTGGCCCAGGGTTACCGAGATGGTGCGCGCAGCCTGTTCCTGCCGTTCGGGATGTCGCAGGAAGGGTCTGAACCGCAGGACAGCCCCTCACAGAATTACCTTACTGTATGTACCTGAATACGGCAATACGCGCCCAGGCTCAAACCCCAACGATTTGTTTGCTACCCGAAGTGGCAGGCACTTTGAGTTTGGCCGTCTTTTCAAGGCATAGAAGGTATCCCATTGACATCAAAGTTACACAATGCGCTCGACATGACTTTATTATTTCCCGCGCGTCTATGAAAACAAGACGCTGGCGGCTGAATATCAAGCTATCAAGATCGAGCGCTAATGGGCCTTACCGACGGTTAGGTACCTCGATACTGCAACGGCCGTCACAGAGTGTCAGTGTGCTGAGAGTTGTATGGAGTACATGCGGATGGGTATAATGTGTGCGCGTGCATAAGGTTCCTGAAACTTCTCGACGGAGCTCCCAGCCTGGGGATTTTAGTGTAGCATGCCCTGGCAGTGCACAGTGCCGAGCATTCTAGGGCCACTCGTCTCTCCACCCAGGGCAGCTGGGCCGTCGCCTTATTCACCTGAAAGGCACGGATACGGAGTATCAGACTCCAGCACCGTCGAGGCCTCCAAACTAGAGCTTGCTGGCTCTCGTCGGCATTCAATTCAAGCCAGCTTGGCCACGTAGGCAGCCATCAAGCCTCTTCCTGGGTAAGGCAAGGCAGTTTCTCGTCCGTCTTAAAGCGGCTTTTGCGAGAAGCCAGCGGGGCGGCGTGATGCGCTTGATTTGCGACTCCCAACTTCAAGCAATCAACGATCGACTGGAGAGCCACCCGTGTTGCGCAAAGCAGTCCCGGTTTCGGGTTGGCCCAGACTGTATTCCGTAAGGTAGTGCTGCTCGAAGACCGCCTCCGCGAGTCCGTCCACTCAAACAAAAACGACCTGGTAGGCTCTACTACCTAGGATTCAGGACTCGTCGCACTGATGGCACAGCGAATAAGGTACCCCTTGTGCCTCGTCTTTAAATCCCCTATGCCACGGAGTCGCGGCAGCCGTCAAATCTGGTCTTCCATTGCCTTGTTACACACTCCCACGTCTAGGAGCAAATTTGTGCTCTGCTCTGATCAATATCCCCCGGCTCCCCCCCCCCCGCCCCTTTCCATTTCTTCTCTGAGCTGTAGTCAAGACATAATTAGCCTGCTGTGGTAAGTTGCTGTTTTCCTACTTATGTGGATCTTGCCGTCGTCTTCAACGTGCCGTTGGTGGAACCGCCGTTCCGCCCCTGGGTGACATTTCTTGGCTGTGGTTCTTACTGAGGTGCCTCTGAAACCCCGAACTTAAAATCTACTAAATCTTTCACAAAGGCTGGCGAAGGCTTCAGACTGCCTATCCGTATGTGTAGCTCTAGATACTTATATGTGTCCACTACCTCGGAAATGCACTTAAGGTTATTGTTGCACACCAAGGCAATGATGTAAATATTTGATAGACCGGCAAGCAAGTGAACTCCTGTCTCGGGTCTGCACATTACACACAGGTTTTGGAACATGCGAGGGAAGCCGGCGACGCGACATTCGAAAACAGTCCCGTCGCATCAAGGGAGGAGCCGACCCGGACTTGCGCAGTTGCCGGTCTGCTCACACGCAGCATCACAGATGTTGCCCCATGATGCTGGGATTTCCTTGCTGTTTTTCAGACGGAAACAGTTTGTTGCTACGTAGTGTTTCACTGCCCTGCTGTGTGGCCTGGTAGGGTGCATTGCAAGTTGCAGCACCTACCTACCTATGTAAGCAAAGTGCATACTCCGTAGACATGCTCACCTTAGTGACAGAGACAGCAGAGGGAAAAGCCACCCGGCTTTAGCCTGTGATTGGGTCGCCACAGTAGGAAGAGGCTGTCAGCAAGAAACATGCACGGATTCCGGTTGAGCGACTGGCCGGGCTGACATCTTGACTTCCCGGCGGACTTGGAGCAACATTCAATTCTGAGAGGTTGCTCCTTTTCTAGAATCGCCTCGCCGGTCCTTTGACAATGCAGAGAGCAGCGGACGGCCCCCGATCTGCGCCGTGATTGATAACTCCGGTCGATGCACCCAGCCAATGACCTAGGAGCTCTCAGTTAAAATCCAAGAGACCACTCGGCGAGTTACAGGCGCCGAACGCGATTGCATGATTTTCGTTGGCGCACTAGCATTACCGGGACACGTCTCCGTTCTCTTGACACGGGACCGGAGGATATCTGAGCTGATGGCCACACCGACGTCGGCACCTACCATTCGCTATCCCCTTCTTAGGGTCATACCTATCCGGAAAGCCGAGCCCGTAGTTGGCTGTTTTGTCGCAAAGCCAGGCCTCCAGTTATAAGTGTAGTCGACTTGTACATACAGTCAGTTAGGTACCAAGTGACTAGTGGAAAGTGGGAGCAAAAGGGGAATGGGGCTTTCTGCCGTTCCTGGCCGCTTTCACTTCCACCAGCGTCAAGTAAGCTAGCTCAGAGGCTCAAAAATCCACGACGTCACGTTACCCGGGCCTTTGATCATAGCTTGGCTTAGGCGCGCCAGGCTTCAAAAGATATCTCAAGTCGGCAATTCCCGACTCTCTTGCCACTACCACCGCTATAGACCCGCCAAGATGCCCAAGAAGCCGTTTAACTGGCGGTTGTGGACCAAGATGATTGTCGGGTTAGTCTGCTCACGATCCGTCGTCCCAGGCCCTGCTTGTCAGCTGACATCGAGCCCGAAACAGCGGAGGTGCTATCTGCGTTGGAGGGCCAGCATTCACGTACTGGGTCATGCCCACAGATGAGGAGTTGTTTAAGAAATACAACCCCGAGCTCCAGAAAAAGAGCCTGGAGAGAAGGGACGAGCGCCAGCAGGAGTTTGACGACTTCGTCACGAGGCTCAAGCAAGCTTCCAAATCGGACAAGCCCAGTGAGTTCCCCCTTCTCAAGACTCAAGAGTAGCTGTAGGCTGTAGCTGTGCCCGGGCTGACTCGATTACGCAGTTTGGGTTGTCCAGGCAGAACATATAAAGCAGGCCCAAGACAAGCACAAGGAAGAGCAGTCCAGAATGCAGAAGGAAATAGAGGCGAGAAGGGAAGAGATGAGGCGCGAGGCCGGGCTGCAACAGCAGCCGTCCAGCCCTCCAAACTGCAGATGATCATGATGTGACGATGATGGGGTGTGGGTAGTTGGGAGTGTCCGGGCAACAAGGGCGCGACTGTATTAAAATGTACAACAATTCACAGGGTATATCTCTCTAATGGAACTGGCAGGCCATATTTGTTTGTTCTGTAGCTTTAGTGTCGAGCCTCAGCTAAAGCTAACAATCCTGTCGTTTATTTTTTTTTTTTTTTGGCATTGGTGGGAACCTTAAAAAGGACGGGAGATGTAGGCTTAAGCCATAAGGCTCGTGGGATAAGGCCCTTCGAGTATCGCAGACTTCTGGATGGTTATCGCTGCCACGGAGTGCTAAATATACCAAAGACTGAGATCCAAGGTTTCAAAAGAGGTCGCATGGTGTTGAATCCCCTCCACCCCCCTCCAGTTAGTGGTAGCCCAGCCTATGGGAACGCAGTTTAGGGTGGGGTAAAAGTTATTGCGGCAGCGGAAAAAAAAACCAGGCCCCCGGCGCACACAATTTCTCCAACCACAGCCCGATCTAGCTGAGGCTCGAGACATCACGAGCCTATCAATTGACAGTCGGCGAATCCAGGGTAGAATAACCCCAAGCAAACCAAGTACGTCGTTTTCTCGGTCGGGTGCACGCCGGGGAGCTTTTCTGGGACGAGGAGCGGGTCAGACGAGCTGTCCGAATTGTGCCGCGAGAGCGGAGGCTAACCAAGCTGCGTTGCAGGGCTCACCGACCTGAAAACGAGACCTCTCCCATCCACCGCCGCCTGTCCCGCAGACGTTCACCCTCCTCCGCAATCATGGATGTCCAGGAGAGATTGAAGAAGCTGGGCGCGACTGCTCGTATTGGTATGTTGTCGTCGCCGTGCTCCTCGCCGTCCGCCTACCACTGGCGCCCGCGCTAACCGAGCTCCGCCTTGCAGGGTATGTACAACTAACTACGGACACACTGGCTCGGTCGCGGCTGGCCGTCCGGGCCATGACGCCGCCGCCACGGGAGCCGAGATTCTAACGCGTGACAACACAGTGGCAAGGGTACCCCCCGGAGAAAGGTCAAGCGGGCGCCGGCGCGGTCCAGCGGCGATGACAAGAAGCTTCAGCAGACCCTGAAGAAGCTCAACGTACAGCCCATCCAGGCCATAGAGGAAGTTAATATGTTCAAGAGTGACGGCAATGTCATTCACTTTGCCGCCCCTAAGGGTGCGTACAGCTATCCCCCATCTACGAGCGAGGCACCGGGCATTCGAGACAGACGGATGAAGAGAAGACGGGAGAGCCGTTGTCGCTCTTGGTTTCCCGAAGCTAACCGCCATGTTATATAACAGTGCACGCCGCCGTACCCGCCAACACCTTCGCCATTTACGGCAACGGCGAGGACAAGGAGCTTACTGAGCTTGTCCCCGGAATCCTGAACCAGCTTGGCCCCGATTCGCTGGCGTCGCTGCGCAAGCTGGCCGAGAGCTACCAGAGCATGCAGAAGGGCGAGAAGGAGGCTGATGATGATGATATCCCGGATCTTGTGGCGGGCGAGAGCTTCGAGAACAAGGTCGAGTAGAGCCCAGTCGTCATCCCCCGCCAACTTGTAGCGGCGTGAAACAAGACATTTGGCCCACGCTCTCTTTTTCGCTGCCTCTCTGCCCTCATCTGCTGTTTCTTTTTTTCGATAGTGGCAGGGGGTAGGAAACGAAATCTATTCTATAAGGACCGGCGGCGTCAATTGGTGTTTCGTGTGGAATTAGGCTCCTTGCGCCACCTTAACGGCCTGATAAGGTTTGAGAAGGAGAACGGGTATGAGCGGGGAGTGAAGGAACAAAATATACAAACAACACGATGGTGATCACCTCCCATCAGGATATCTATCACGGAGACAACGTGGAATCGCCCTACGAGTAACCAGCAACGACAGGCGTTAATTGTGTTCCATGATGGGGATTGTGCCTTTTAAGTAGCAGGTTGCAAACTTGTCGATAAGTGAGCACTTCGTAAGATGCTCCCTTTCCTGTATTCTCTGGTGTTGCGCACATCACACGAGGCCGAATGCCCCGTCACCCTCATTCCTAAGCCACCCTTGCAGCGCCTTGGCACGAGCTTCCTCCTTGACCCGTCGTCGAGCAGCAAGCAGCGGGCAGCCGTCTTTAAGCTCGTCGTAGGTGCCGGCCGCTAGGACACTCGCTATTGTTTGGCCTGAACCAGTGTCTTCATCCCCAGCCCTAGATTGATCCCCATCCCCATGCCCGTGCCCGTGACAATTCCCAAGAAGGCCGGCCACCTCGACAGCTAGTTCCCACATCTTCCGCCGCGACACGGCGCTCGCCCCTTTTTCGTCAAACGTCTTGCGTCCTTGCAGCACGCCCCCAATCAACCCCTCCTCCACCAGTCCGTCGCACGTCCACACCACGGCGAGGTTGCTCGCCCCAGTCCTCCTCGTAGTCGTCTCCTGCTCGTTGCCGGCCCCGGCGCCGACGACAGCCGTCTTGGAGAACTCGAACTCCAGCTGCGTCGTCGTGACGGCGACGGGCGCAAAGGCGTAGCCGCTGGCGCCCCACCGCCGTCCGGCCAGGGCCCGCATACGGCCGGGGGGGAGGCAGTCCAACAACTCTGACGATTCCCACTCCGACAACGAGGAGGCGGAGAAGCACCGCGCGCACGCCGCGGCCGAGAAGCGCGACGCCGGCAGGACCAGCGTCGCCAGGTAGACGCCCCGCGGCGAGACCACCGCCGACGCCACCGCCGACAACAGCGACGTGCACTGCTTGAGCGCCAGCTTGTCTGAGCACGACTTGGACACGCTCGCCGGCGCGTCGCCCCGCGCCGGCTTGCGCCGCACCACCCCGAGCTCCGAGAAGTAGCCCCGCCCCAGCAGCTCCCCGCCCGGCGCCACCCGCGGCTGCCCGGGCTCTGCGGCGAGAGGGGGTGACGGCGCTTTTGCTGCTGTTTCTGTTGTTGCCGTTGCTGTTAATGGGGCGCGGGCCCCAGGCAGCGCCCATGGCGACGCATCGTCCTGCGCCGCCATGACGAGTTCCATGCTGGCGTCACCACCTGTTGCAGCGGCAGAGCAAAGGAATCGCGCGAGTCAGCCCATTGTTTTCTTCTTCTTCTTCTACAGGTCACATTGTTGATGCTGGCCAGCGAACGGTCAGCCGCCGGGAAGAACGTACAGGGCGCTTCCGAGCAGTACATGTGCAGGCTCACATCGTCTCGCCAGGCGAACGGCTGCCGCTGCCACGTGCGTTCTTCCTGGTCTTCTTCGCCATCTTCGTCTTGCTGCTGCCGCTGTTGATGCCCGCGGGCGTTGCCGGCGGGACCACCACCAGCAGCAGCAGCGAGCTCCGCGTCGGCCCTTCGCCGGAGGAAGTCGGAGGCCGGCCGTGGCTGCTCGCCATCGTCGGCGGCAAGGAGCCGCCTGCACTCTTGCAGAACGAAGCGGTTGAAGGCGCGCAGCGCAAGCACCTCGGCGTGCCAGTCGTGGACGGCCATGCCGCGGGCCTGCGGCAGCTTGGAGGCCGGGAGGCATTTCATTCCCGTTCTGTGGCGGTTTGTGAGTGTTTGCTCTTTTCGGCCATTTTGTCGTTCAGTTGGATTTCAAGAGTTACGGAAGTGGGCGTGTGAGAGAGTGTAAGAGAGAGATAGAGAGATGTGAGTAAGCAGGCATTCGATGATGGCAGAACACATGCTTTACGGTTCATGATGGACTTACGCTAGGGCCAGGCATCTCAGGAAGTTAGGACCTTGAGAGACAAACCCCCTGTCAGCTCATTATCCCTTCGCCATTTCCATCTTTGCCTCTGTTATTTGTCTTCTTCATTCTCATACACACTTCCATTTTCTAAAGAACAAGGAAAAAAAAAAAGAGAATAGAACAGTAAGATTGACAATGTGGAATATTTGCACCTTTGGCAACAATGCCGCTCAGAGGCACCCATTCGTGAATGCCATTATCACGAACACACGGCTTGCGTTTTGCTGGGAGCTTTTGGAACTCGGCCAGCACGGCTGACGCAATAGCATCTGCATCATATGGACGCATTGGGAGGAGACCGACGGCTTTCGAATAGGGTTAGGGTTAACAGTTGAAAGTCTGGAAATATACCAAGAAGATTTGGGGCCAATGTGAGGAAAATGCTGTTTGACGCCTGAGAGTCCAGTGCCAGGAAAGTGTTGTCCCTTAAACAACAACGGAAGTTGTTACCACCGCGCATCGTTCAGCGAAAAAGTGATATATTGTGTAAGCACAGTGTTGGCTTGCACTTTTCCCTGTGCCAGTGCTCAAATATCTCCACCCAAAGCGGGCCAAGCCACACCCAAGCCGCCACCCAGTTTTTGGTGGGCTGTAAAGAGGCGGTCTAGCTGGCACGTGCACCGCCGGCCTATCACAGGACAGCCCTACCCGCACAACCTGGCTGCAAAGAGAAATTGGTGAAAATCGACCCCGAACCTCGAACTCAAGCGGAAGCAACCACGACAACGACAGAATCGACAAACAACCGCCACAATGAGGACGTACGACGATACCTTCTCCGGCCAGAGGATTTACCCTGGAAAGGTGCGCTGCCGGTCTACTCCCTTTTATTCCACGGTTGAAATGAGGGGTGTGGGGGACGGAGACGGCGAGCCAACTCGTCGTTCCTCGCCGCGCGCGACTCCTGGATAGGAACGAGACCCGCCCCATGAGGCTTTCTCTCGGGAGCCCCCATCCACCAACTTCGGGGAGGGGGGAGGGGAAGGGGAAGGGGAAGGGATACTGCTCGTACCAAGATGGTCGCTAACATTGCCATTGTTTCTACAACGTGTAGGGTAAGCTCTTCGTTCGTGGCGACAGCAAGGTCTTCCGGTTCCAGAACGGCAAATCCGAGTCCCTCTTCCTGCAGCGCAAGAACCCCCGTCGCATTGCGTGGACAGTCCTCTTCCGCAGACAACACCGCAAGGGCATCTCTGAGGTACGCTCTCCGATCCCCGCTCCCGCCGGCTACCCCTCGCGCCGCCCAAGTGCCCCATCCGATTGAATGATTCTCGGGTCTCCCGAATGAGTTTGGATCCGACGGGAAGAAGCCTCTGTCATAAGGCAGCATTGGCGTTGTCGAGGAGACGAAATTGGCCGTACTGACATGCTCTCTCACCTCTACAGGAAGTCGCTAAGAAGCGCACTCGCCGCACCGTCAAGGCCCAGCGTGCCATCGTTGGTGCTTCCCTCGATGTGATCAAGGAGCGCCGCAACACCCGCCCGGAGGTGCGGAGCGCCGCCCGCCTCGCCGCCATCAAGGAGTCGAAGGACAAGAAGCAGGAGGCTGCTGCTGCGAAGAAGGCCGAGAAGGCGAAGAGCGCCGCCTCAGCCGCCAAGGGCCAATCGCAGGGCCGTGTGACCAGCAAGCAAGGCGCGAAGGGTGCGCCGGTCAAGGTTGCCGCCAAGAGCCGTTAAAGAGTCTTGGGTGGAACGGGTCGATGAAGTTGGGGTTGGTGATGGGTCTTACGGTCTTCCTGATGGAGGAAAGGGCGCAGTCGGTTGGTCGGTCTCGGTTATTTTGCCTGCTCGCCTCTTAAAGGGTTTCGCTCCTGAAAACAAGACACCTTGTTTCTAAAAAGGGCTGGTTGCGCGGATCCTGTGTCTCGGGGCATCACATTTGCATGGGTAGCTCACAGAATGCCGACTTACGCATTTGGTCTGAAGCACGAAGCCTGAAGCAGCGCCGTGGCTGTAGGAGACTAGAGATATTTCGACCTCCGAATTTCTTTATGTCCCGGCCCATATATAATATGCAGCCGACTCTTCACGTTGAGACCTATTCATGATCCTAGCAGTGTCCCTGAATCCATAATCCCATCCCTCTCAGAAAGACTCGCTTTCCCAGAGGAATGCCGCTCCAAGCCCCTTTCTCTCAGAGCTTGGACAACACGGCCTCGGCACCAGACTTGCCGATGCTCTTGGGGACGTCGTCCGTGTCGGCATAGACAACCTTGCCGTGGTCGACAACAATGGCGTATCTCAGCGTACGGTCTCCCTTAGTCCAACCAATGCTCTTGCTGAATGCTAGTCCAGTGTCCGACATGAACAGCTGCGTTCAGGCACCACTGTTAGCTCAGGCCCGGGTACTAGCGGGTCTATGATGTGGAATCAAGGCTTACAATCGAGTCGTCCTTGACGCCGTTTGCCTTGCCCCACGCCGCCATGACAAAGTGGTCGTTGCTGGCAATGAAGACGACCTGGTCGACGCCCTTGGCCTTGAGATTGTCGAGGTTCGCCAGGTACGACGTGACGTGCTGTTCTTGGCATGTCGGCGTGAAGGCCCCGGGCACGGCGACGATCACGACTTTCTTATTCTTGAACTCTACGCGCGTGTGTATAAGGCGTTGGTTAAGAATGCATACAAGGGGGGGAGGAATTCTTTTTGGAGAGAAGGAGAGAGGGGGGGGAGGTAGGGTGCATCTTGAAAGAAACCTACCCTCGCTGGCGTCGTACTTGATGGGCAGGCCGCACGTCGTCAAGTCCAGCTGCCCTGTCGGCGCAACATAGGTGAACTTCACCCCCTCGGGGAACGAATCGCCAGCCTTGAGACCCGGCATGTTTCCTGGTCGCTTTATGCCTGTCGTATTGGAGGTAATCGAAGAAGGCCGGCACGGGGACTAAAGGACGGAAGAGTACAGAGTATCTTGTCTTGGACTGTCGGAGTTGGAGATGGAGATGGGGGGGAGCCAAAAACAAAGGGACGGGAGAGCGGTAAATGGATCTGGCGTCTCTGGGTTGCTTCCACGGATCTTGTAGCAACTTATCTTCCGCGATGGTTAGTGGGGTTCGGTTTTGGGGAGGGAGGGATCCTTCCCTTGAAGGGAGAAAGACCGTAAATAGTGCGTACAGGGCAAGGTATCCATCCGCCCCTTCGGTGGGCAAAGCGTATTCAGTACTAGTTGGTATCCCGTACGAGTAGCGTCAGGGCCGGTTCCGGGCCGCTCCTGCCTGCTGAAGTCGCCGTCGTCCGACAGATGGGACCTTCCATTTAATTACCCCACTGCCATCTCTCTGCAGATGTTCTCTCGCCTACCCACGAGTGACAAGCACAGCATGTGTACGGTTGGGTGCGAGACATGCGTTTTCGATATTTGCCCCCGTAATTGCGCGATCCTTTTGAGTCCTTTCTGTCTTGCGTGAGGCAGAGAACGTCAGTGCGATTTGCAGCCAGATAACCGTTGCAGAATTACTTGAGGGCTTTGCCACTGCCGACACAAAATAAACGGCCCCGAGAGCTGTCTCCGAAGCTGACAAGCTTTTTCGTTCTCGGGCTTGTTGACTCGTTGTCATTAATGGAAGAAACTCTCCGATATTGCCTGAGGGTTTTTTCTGCAGCCCGACTGAGGCCTCGATGGCGAGGGTCTCGAGCGCCGAGCTTGCGGCTTTGTGCTCGGCAAGACTTATACTTTGCTCTGTTCATAGGCTCTCGTTAACGCTAAAACTTTAGCAAGTGAAAGAACCAGGCGCCCAAAGACACATCTCTCATCTTTGGACCGATTCTCAGCTGATGGAGAACTAAATTATACATTTCACACGAGGTTTTCTGCCAAAGAGGCAACAGGAAAAAAATAACACGAATAACTAAGGTGTTCATGAATACTCGTCGCAAACACCTTGTTGCTGGGATATTTTGGCGGGAAATGTACCTACCTTAGGTGTGCACTTACAGCATTAAGGTATAGTACCTTTGGTGTTCAGGACATCCCCGCCGACAGAGTCATCGCCAAACTCAACCCCGCCCCCCTGGAACCTTTTCACAAGTGAAAAGGCTGTTACAGCTGCCAGGTAATTTATCGGAACCTTGGCCACTTCTTTAGCACGCCTTGCTCTCGCCGACTCATCACTCCCGTCTTCTTAGGTAAAGCAACAGGAAATACCCCGTCCTACCCCTTTCGGGAGTCTCGACTGCGACTGCGACCACGACCAGAAGCTTCAATCGGCAATGGCTGCGCTTTCCTTTATCGACTTAGCCCGCGAGCTGCGCGATATGGTCTACGAGTACTACGTCGCGATCGATGGCGGCTACGTCTTCGACCCTGAGTCTGACAAGCTCAAAGCCCCCTCACCGCGTGCGCATCTATTTGCCCTTCAGCGGACGTACAAGCGTGTTACCGATGAAATAACGGGCCTCGCCTTCATCCACAATCTCGTTACCTTTTCTACAATTCTCCGCATGCGAGACCGCGCCTTTCTCGTCGAATTCTTGTTTGACTTGTATTTTAGTTGCCAAGTAGATGCAGTCATACAACATTTCGACGAGAAGCCCGCATCGAACTTGCTTCGGGAAGCCGTTGCTCACCACTATCCGAGTTTCCTGCCATGCCTGAATGCATCGCCAAATGACTGAGCCCCCGAGGACCCTGACATGCATGTCGCGCGGGACATTTGTGATGGGAAAATCAGTGTGACTCGGTCACCTTGCTACGAGTTTGCAGATTTTGTGCTTCACCATTTGGGGCATGACAACGCAACTTATCCAGATGCTGTTCGCCTTCGCCTGTCGGACAAGTATTGGAACATTCCCTCTGACGAGGAGCTCGAAAAAATGCCCAAAGCCCTGAGGCCGACTGTAGCCGAATTTGAAGCTGATAATAGCCCTATCATAGAGTTTGACAGTCTCTAGGAGGAGAACCGCTTCCTTTACCATTTCTCGGCCGCGGCAGCAGCCATCCGGTTCCTCCGGTCCAACCCATCCAGCCGCGTCCACGTACGCAGGATTCTTCTCGATGAAGACCGCGAAGCTGTCGCCTACCCTGAAACTCACGGAAAAGGGCTCGTTCCGTTTTGTGCCGAAAACCCCCACCTCCGTATCGAACGGCGCGTTAGCCTCTAGAAGAATATATTCTCATCAGCCTGTCACTATATGAGACCTCCGCATGGTGCCGAGCACCACCAAAAACACCGGTTTGAGCATTCTTATTTGGAAGATTGGTATTCTGGGATCAGTCACTGTTCTGTTTCGAACAGCGTGGCGAAATGGGCACTCGAAGCCCTGGCTCTTCCTGGCAGCATTTCGGTCGTTCTAGATTGCGATTCGACCCCTGAGCAATGCTCTCAAATGTTTGAAGAAGCGGTCGTTCAAGACGCAGTATGGCAGAAAGTCCAAGAAGAATGCTTTGCTCGCCAACTTCTTCCCCCTCCTGTTTGGGAATGGAGATCTATGCACTCTACGAACGCCTTTATATGCCAGGATTTCCCAAAAATTGTTCAAGATATCGTCAACGGGACATCAGTCATCTCCTGCAACTTCCCAATCAACGAGTTTTCTGATATTAATGTGGAGCAGTTGATTTGGGATCATCGCGGAATGTCTATATACGACTGGGAGGAAAAGATGTATGAGCGGTCGCAAAGGCCTGGTTTCCAACCTGTCGCTCCGCTACCTAATCTCGGCACCATTTTGAGGCAAAATGCCAACCTTGAGAGGAGCAGTAGGGATTCCCCGTCGCGGTTCCAACATAGCTCATACGGCATCGAGATTTGCACAATCAACGGGCATTGCTCCAAGTTTTGGGTAATTTTTTTATATTATATTTTATCTGCTTCAATCAGACTTGCTGCCTTAAGGAGAGACTTCCACATTTAGATTTATCACAAAAGTGAAATGGCTCATACCCATCACCACGTACACTTAGGGGTTCGCGCAGGCATTTACCGCGGTATAGCAAAAAGTCAAACAATCGAACGGCACTGCTCTGTTTGGGTTAGCAACGGATCTGCTCATGAATGAAAAGTTGGAAACTAACCCAACAGAGTCATACCTGCTGGCCCATGAGCCTTACCACCGCCATGCAAGATCAAAGTTTTCGCCCACGGCACATAAAACGCACCAAATGTCTGGCTGCACAGGATCGCTGTTTCGCTGCCCAAAAAGACCATATTAGCATAAGCGACTATGATGAGGGAGGGTTAGAGCACACCAGGACCATTCCTTCACGAAGAAGCTTCACCAAACAAACAAAAATAGTAAGATTCAGCGGCTCCTGAGTTGAAGGTTGGTTCATAGAGAATGGTACTCACCGCCATCTCCCTGATCCAGCATACACCAATCAATCCACGCCTCAGTCAGCTCACGCTACCTAACTAGCAAATCACAATAAGCTCCCGCATATTAGATGACTTGGGGGGTTAAGGTGGAACACATACGCACTACATCAACCAACGCGCTAATCGAGCGCTCAGGTACGCCGGGAACCCTCGGGCTCTGCTAACCATTTGGAATCTCATTAGTGAGACACGTTACGAGGGGTGTAATATTCGAGTCTAGAAGATAACGTACCAAGAGCCGTCGTATTGCTGACACCTGCTCCAAGACTAGTACAATGGACATGTTCAAGTGCCCCGTTGTACCCCATACCTGTGCCGACAAAGTAAAGACCGGATGAGTCAATATACCCGGGGATCCCCCGAAAGGGAAGGCAGTCCTCAAGCTCGATGAACAACAGCAGAATGCCTTGTTACGGAAAGGCCTAGGCCTAACGTTGGTAACCGCTGGGAACAAAGCCGACGAGAGGAAGCTGAAGGCATGGTTGAAGCGGCTGGAGGATGTGGAAAAGCCGTGGGAAGACCTAGATGGGGATATGAGGGATTGGATAACAGGTATTGGAAATAGGCGTTTCGGCCGCCTGTGGGCCTTTTTGAGCTCCAATCAAGACCAGGTCGTCGGTGCTAAGAAGACGTGACAAGAAATCTCCGTTAGCTTGAAGCCTAGAAGCTAGGACGAGGGCCTTTCTCTTGGGGGGGGGGGTGTTGGATGGGATGGGTGGGTGGCAAGGATACCAGGAGGTAGAATATCATATAAGCCAAGTACATGCCACTCCCCATCACTTACGAGCATGGCGAGACATGCGTTTGGCTCGATCAACGGATTCCAGCACGAAGAGATGTTAAATTAGATTCCCCCGTTTTCCCGCCCCCCTCAGTTTCGAGAGAGGGCTGGGCAACAAAGGGGAGGCAGGGGGTGGGTAGAAAGAAAACTTGCTTGCCCAAATGTTCAGCTGTGGCTGTTGCGGAGCGGAGGGGTCGAGGGTAATTAGCGCCTCTCTTTGCGAGCCTGGTCGTCCTCTGGAAGCTTGTTTGTGTAAAGGACACGCGCGTCGTGGTTGGTGGTGGGACTTCATTACTCACAAGACACAGTTGATGCCTTTTAAACGCCATGGCCAGGGCAGGAGCGGGGAGGAGGAAAAATGGGAAAAAGGAAAAGCGAGGAAGCAAAGCAGAGCAAAAACCGAAAGCAAAAGAAAACCCATCTTCAGAAAATGAAAGGAAGTGGTTGTGGGGTTTCGTTAAAAAAAAAAAAGGGGGGGGGGGGGGGTGCCTCCCACGTAAGAGTGGTTATCCACCAAGTAGCTGGAATGACAAAGCCTACTTCTTGATAGCCAACAGCACAGCCACGGCATAGTCTCGAAGGGCCTCGAATTGGTCGAGGCTAAGGTATGCAATACATCACGTGGTTGTGAGGCTTGCATGGCGAGAGAGCAACATGCCGAGGTCTGTAGTGCCCGTGTGTAGCGTCAAGTCAAGGAATCTCACTTCGGTCAGACTATTGCAGTGGAGCAAAACATGTCTGACGTCCTCCCATTCGACGCCACATGAACATGTTGCAGACTTGGCTAGGCTTTTAATATTGTCAGCTCCTTTTTTCTCTTCGTGGACGGGGCGGCGGGGCACAATTATCCCCACACAAACAAAAGAGCGCATGCATACGAGATGATGGGTCGAATCTGGCTGATGAACCAGCGTCACATACTAAAAACAGTTTCGCCCCAAGTTGGGCTAGATATTATGGGATAGTGCCTCATTCGTCGTTCCACCTTAGCCTTGATCTGTACCGAAAGGAAGGAGTATGAGTGTTATTGCGGATAGGAAGCAGAGGGGGCACACTCACATGCTCGAGATGATCTTCAAATCTGAGGGCCGGGTCCAAAACAACTCCGAGGAGCACGTGACGCTCCTTGACAACTTGTCAACCAAGACCTGGTATCTCGGGAACATCGCTCGGTTCAGGTTTGGGGCCGTAACGACGATAATGTATGATGGCGTATTTTTCGGGGCCGAACTCGACACCCAGCTCGTTCGCATTCCAGTCAATCTCTTCCCAATCCTCGGGTCTGCCGTCCATTTCCTCCCCAGACGCCGGCTGCTGATGTATAGACTCTTCAACTTCATCACTGATCTCGATCGGCTCAAAATCCCCATCAGCCGGCTTGCCGAATATGTCAATGAGCTTTTTGTGCAGCTGTGTCAAGGGTCGGCAGTTGTCCCTATACGACCTGGACCAAACAACCATGGAAAGATCGTCGGCATACGCCCAGCACCGGAAAAGGGCAGGAGCGCCGAGTTTCGAGTGTGACACGGTATCAAAATACTCTAGAATTGGTGATGTAGCATTGGAATTGGCCTGGGCCGGCATTGTCTATATCGGTCGGTCGGGTCGACGTTGCATATATTCGTAACGTATATTGACTTCCCAAATCTTGGCTTGTACCTCGGCGTCCGACCTCATCACTCTTCGAATCCCTGGCGAGAAAGAAAGAAAGGTGGTCCTTATCTGCAGTGGTAGGGAGGGCAGTAGAGTTATTCGTGATGACTTTAGTATAGCCGGACTTGGGGGTCCAAACGAGTGTAGGAAGAGCTGGGAATGTCTTTTGCAATAAGGAACCCCACACGGTGGGCTATGCGCCCCTCGATATCGGACCTATCTGGACCGGTCGACGCCTCAGTACTTGTCGACAACTGGACGGCCGCGGGACTAGCCTTCTTCCTCTTGGATTCGGCGGCTTTCTCGCGCCGCACGGCTATCTTGCACCCTTTCTGTTTTTTGTCCCGAATGGCTCGGGGATGGTCGTCCTCTGTGAGCCCCCTTGGCGTGCAAAAAATGGCACTGTGCATTTGATTCTCCGGGGCGAATGCCACATAGATGGGACATGTTTGCAAGGCGACGATGTCGTATTGCCTCTCCTCGCACAGGAATGTGAGGGGCTCTTTGTATCGTTTCTCACATCCCTTGAGATTGATCTGTCCGACGAGTTTGCCATGGTTCGTGATGCGGGGCCCCCTGAAGTCACCAAGAACGAGATAGTATTCATTTCCCCCCAAATAGGCGGCCGATTGTCGAAAATCAACAAACACGGTTCCTCTTAGATTCGGGGGTCGTCGAGTTGATGCGGTGACAATAAGGTTCGGCCTAGCCCACCCCGAGCCCCACCCCGGGTGAGAGTCTGTCTTACTCTTAATTACCACTCAACCTCTCTAGATCACATCCCGCTTCCATGGCTGTCCAGGTCGACAATATCACCCAATAGTAAAGCATCGGACTCATCGCTATTTTTGTCGGCGTGAACTGTACCCATGTCAGCGGTGCCAGTTCAAGAAAACGAGGTTCCAACAATGCGGCTGACCAGCGTACAAAGTCTTTTCACGGCAATTGAATCTCGTGCGGTGAATTGCATCCTCCTAGTGCGGACGGGTGATTGATTGATCACTCCGCTCCTGAGAGACACCGATATTGTTGAGGACATGCACGGCGGGGGAGTAAGAGCGGGACGGGTCTCTCTTTTAACAGGAAATGAAACGGGGAATGTTCCTTGCCAGTGCGTTATATACCCTCTACCACGACTTGGACCATGGCGTGTCTTTCTTTTCGGACTGGTCGACTTTGCGGAAATAAGAAACTAAGAGAAAAGGACCAGATAACCTATAACAGCGACCCCCCGCCTGTTCTTCAGAATCATCGTCGATTAGGACTCTAGAACCGTACCCCCTTCAAAAACGGCGGGAGCTAGATAACGGGAACTGAGTTTTACAGGTACGTACGTACTCGTTCCTGTCCCCGAGGAAACATGCTTGTGTGCGTCTATAACACATACGAAAAAAGTAGACGGCCTCTTTTTATATCTTTTCCATCACTGACAGGAGACTTCTACTCCGAACAAAGCATATCGCTTGAACAGGATAAATGGCACATATAGATAGGACAGTAGCCACAGCGTCGAGGCCAAGATTCTCATATTCCTCTGCGAGCTAATTAGGTGGGTAGGTAAGCCGCGTGCCTGCAAGAGCAGGAGAACGAGAACGAAACGAGAGTGTAAGGTGCGTCTCTCTCTGTCTCTCTGTGTGTTTCGTGTTATTACAAGAACAAGACCTCCAACAAGGCCGCCGCCGCATTCATTCTCCCCAATCCCAATCCCAATCGAAGCAGCAGTAACAGCAGTAGGCTGGCTATCCCCCCATATAGCAGAGAGATCCAACCCGCCGCTACCTGCCTACCCAATCCATCCTCCGACTCGCCTTTCCCCAATCCCATACCCCACACACAAGCACACGAAATGCAAGAAGATCGTGGCTCGCGCCGAAGCAAAAAAGACGAAAACCCCAAACCCCGCCTCCTCCCAACATGTTTCGCTGCCTGGGTATCTTCCGCCGAGGGTATATCATCCCAATTCGTCCTGTCGTTCTTCGTTGGTTTGTTATATCTACCGGGTATCTACCCCGCCCATCCATCTATCCGTTGCTCTCGTCGACGCGCTCCCTGGCTGGCTCGTTCGCTCGCTCGCTCGCTCCGATGTGAGTAGATGAAGAAAGAAAGAATATGAATAAAGGGGTTTGTTCGTCGAGTCCGGCACGGCCACATCGTTCCGTGGCTGATGGATGCGGCAAGAATCCACCGATGACCCAACCAACTAAACAATCATGCCAGCCATGCCGAATCTAATCTTTCTTCCCGTCTCGAACCCTTTTTTTTTTTTTTTTGTTTTTGCAGTTTCGAGTTTTTTTTTCGGTTGCCACCTACAATTACGTATGTAACTAGGCGGCGTTCTTCTTCTTCTTTCCGTTGTCTCTCTTCTTCTTGTTCTTGCCAGCCGGCGCCTTGGGCTGCGGCTCGGACGGTGCCGGCGGCAGGCTTGCCTTGGGAGTGGCGGCTGCGGCCGAGGCCGGCGATGATGATAGGGCTGAATACCCGTCATCGGTCACGGGTGGGGGGCTGCTGGGCTTGGCGGCCTTCGAGGACGACAGGCTGCCGTCGTCGCTGGCGACGGCCATGAGCGCCGCCGGGGCCATGGACGAGTAGGGAGGAGAAGCGGTGGCGCGAGCATTAGGGGCAGGAGCGGGCGTGCCGCTGGCGTGCTTGGGTGTGGTTAGTGTTGCGGCAGTACGATAAATGGCTGGCTTGAGGGAATCTGGCGTCTTTGGCGAGGCGGGTCGGCCCTCGCTGAGGTCAAGGTCGCTGCAGCTGGGCGTTGGGCTGGAGCCGCGCCGTCCTCCCAGAGTCATGGTGGCAGAGGAAGGAGTGCCGAGTTGCGTGCCGTCGTGGACAGAAGTCGCGGGGCTAAGCCTAGGAGGCGTCCCTAGCGGCGACTCGAACATGAGCTCGTCGTCTTCGGCCACAGGAGGCGAGCTCTCCCGAGACGACACATGGCTCCGTGCGCTGAAGTAGCTGCTTGTTCGTCCAAAGTTAATATAACTACCAGCCAATGGAAAAAGGTCACGGGATCAAGGTGCGACTGAAATAGAGAAGGCATGATGGAAAAAAAGGGAAGGAAACCGATCCGGATGGAAGAGAAAGTCCGGGTGTAGAACAAGGCCAGGTAGTAAGAGATGTCTTCGAGATAGGTAGTTACGGGCCAGTTAGTACTTACTCGCTCGTCTGGTGGGTGTGCGCCACGGATGAGCCCGAGAGCTTGTGGCCAACCATGTACTGAGAATCCGATAGGATTACCAGGGTATTGTCTTGCGTGTCCTCCAGCTGTACCACGGGTTCGGCCTTCTGAACAACCACCTTGGGCGGGGGAGGATGCCGCGCAGAGCTCCGAGTTGGAACACGAGGGAAAGGGTCAAAGTTCTGGGGGAGGCCCGTGAAGCTGCCATGACGGATCCAGTCATGCTCCTGCTCCGTGTTCTTTGTCGCCTTGCTAGCCTCGACTGGAACAGTGGCTAGCAGATTCTCCACGACGGGAGCATCAACAACAGCAGTGTCAGCCACTACAGACTCGACTGTGGCAGCGCTGTTTATCGAAGAACCTGCAGCAGAAGGGCAGGCCGCTGAGATCGCAACCGCCGGAACCTCAGCCGCCGTGTTCTTGATGCAGGGCGTCTCCGTGAAACTAGTGTTGATATTGCCGGGAGTCTCGAACGCATCGGCTTGAGCCACGGGAGCGTCGAAATCACCAAGAGATGCCGAAACCGAAACATTGTCCGCTTCCGCTGCAGGTTCAGCAATGGAAGCCTCGATCTTGGGAGACCGAGTCAAAGGAGAGTTTGATGCAGGAAACTTGACGACCGGGACTTCCTTATCCGACGGCGCCTCGGGCATGTCCGGCTTGACCACTATCGACTCGTCCACGAGCAGCGAGGGTCGCTGCTGTGGCGCCTGCTGATGCTGCTCTGCAACAGTGAATGGGCGTGGCACTGTGGGCTGCGTGGGATGATACTCGACTGGGGGCATAGAGAACTCCGTCCTGCGAGGGACGTGGACCTGTGCCGACGGTGGAGACTGGGATTGCTGGTCGCCCATTTGCTGCTGGCTGGGGTGATACTGGCCATATTGAGGAGAGCCGGAATAGGGACCATATGCTGCTGGCTGGGTAAAGTAGCCTATGGGAGGCCCGCGGACCATGGGGGGTGTTCCGGCATGTTGAACAGGCGGTGGCGCCATGGCGGTATACTGGCTGCCGTAGGGAGGAGAGCAGTACCCGTACTCGGGAGGTGTGGCCATGGTAGGCTGGGCCATGGGAGGAACGCTAGCGCTAGCCACCCGTGTCTCCGCCTTGTTAGCAGCAAACAGTTCGTTGATGTCTAGAGACTGACTGTTGTTGTTACGGTTTCTGTCCACGCGTAGCGAGCCGCCTGCATCAGCACGGTAGCCTCTGCCGGAAGCAAGTTGAGCGTTGCTGTCTTGGCCCCACAACGAAGAGCCAGCGTCATGGTCTTGCTGGACAAGGTTGCTTTGCTCAGGCTTGGGTGGAAGTGTCGATGGAGCAGACGGGAGCTCCTTCGAGACGTGATGAGCAGTCTCCTGCACACTGCTGGTGGAGAGATCGGTCTTCCTCGGCCTATACCGCTTTTGCGATTTGCCCTCAGTGCCCTCGGCAGCGGTGTTCTCGGCGCTAGTATCGGCAGCGCCATGCTTGCCGGTTTTTTGGACAGCATTTTCGGGCTGTCCACCAGCAGGGCTGTTGACAAGAGTGGCCAGCGTAGATGGCCGGGACCCCGATTGCTGACCGCTCGCCTGTTGCTGCTTCTTTTTCTTGGACTTGTTCTTCTTAGGCTTCGACTTGCCATCCTCTTGCGTATCCTCGTGCTGCGGCTGTTTCGGCCCAGCTACCTGTGGGCTCGGGTTCTGCTCCAGAACGGCTGCAGACGACCGGCTTCGGGTGCCAAAGTCCGTTCCACCGACTTGAGTGTTCACACGCAGCTCAGGACGCTCCACAACCGTTGGCACTGGAGCCACGGGAGTCTTTGCGCTGCCGGAAATGGGGGGGACGCCTGAAGAACCCGCGTTATCGATGCCCATCCACTCCGAGGGGATGCTCTGGCGGACTCGAAGCTTGCGGTGGATTACGGTTTCGATAGCCTTCCCCTCTTCGGCTTCTGAAGTGAAGAATCGAACGTCTTGGGAACCAAAGACGTACTTTGGCCTCTCCGTTGCCGGCTTGGTACGTTCACTTTCGGGCTCCTCGAGGATTTGAGGCAGAGCCGCAATGGTCTTCTGATGCACAACAGATGCTCCAGCCTCAGTCGTCTCCTCTTCGACAGGGATTGCTGTATTGGAGACACCGCCCTTCTTCTCTTGGGCGGGAATGTCGGCAATGGGATTGGTATGCATTTCGGGTGCAGTGATCTCCTTAGTAGCGCCGCCGCTGGAAACACAATCCTGAGGAGTAACATGGCCTTTAGAAGCGACCGGCTGCGAGGAGATAACCGACTCCTCGGTGGTGACCGGATTCTCGATAGCGACCGAAGTCTCAGTTGCAACCGGCTTCTCAGGAATGGCCGACAACTCCGAAGTACTAGACTGTTTCCGCGAGACATGGACTTCAGGAGAGTTGTTCATCTCGGCAAGAATCGAAGACTCCTCGGCTACGTGCTCCTTCTTTTGCTCCGGTAAAGGCTGGTCGTGGCCAGGAGCTGCAGGAGCGGCCGCACTCGCAGGAGTGATATAAACGTGGCTGGCCATGTCCAGAAGCATTCCTGTGGTGCTGGCTCCGCTAGGCACGGGAATGTATTGGTGGGGGACAACCGAGGGATGGTGCGCAAGCACCTGGCCGTAGCCAGTCTGGGGTCCGCCATATGGCTGGAACTTCCGAGCTGGCTGGGCGTTCTGTGCTGGGTTTTGCTGCTCGTCCTGTTTACAGGGCTGGTAGCTGGGAGCCCCATACTGGGAGGGGTTCCAGTAAGCGGGGTGGTGACCAGCGTACTGCTGCTGGGGCATATGGGCCATGGGTTGAGCCGCCGACGGGAACAAAGTGCCAGGGATCACTCCAGCGGGCATTCGCATTCCGTGGAATCCTTGGGAGCCGTACTGAGGCTGCTGCGTGTACTGTGACTGTCCGTAGAACTGGGGTTGTCCCGAGAACTGATGCTGTCCGGCAAACTGCTGATATCCCGAAGGATATAGCTGCTGCGCGTATTGCTGTGGCTGCATGCGGACATATACTGGCGAGGTTTGCGATGAGGCGGAAGGGTTGCCAAATGGGTTTCCACCAAATGCGGCTGAGCTGGTAAATCGAGCGTTGTTTTCCAAGAAGCGGCCATCCGACGTCCCCCGGTTCTTATGGCGAGGGCTGCCAGTGCTATATTGGGCTGGGTGGACAAACGCGCCTGAGAGTGGTTGCCGAGGTTTGCGGCTCGAGTTACCACCGGAAGCTTGGTTGCTCGCGACTGAAGGCATTGGAGGGGTACGCAGCTTCTGGTTTTGGTTCTGAGTCTTTGGCTGTTGAGGCTGCGACGGCTGCGTCTCGCCGCCTGAGACGCCGGTACCCTTGTCTATGGTCATGTGCTCGGCCGGCTGTGTCGCCGATCGGAGGCTAACGTGTGACTGCTTAGAGGCCGGCGAGTACAGCTCGATGTAGTGCCTGGAGTGGTACGGAAAGACTACCTTGAGCTTGTTGGCCAGAGGGTACAGGGACTGTCCGTGGGCTTCGTTGCACGCCCTCACGGCGCTGTCGTCCGACTTGAAGTAGACAAAGAAGTTTCTGAGAGATCTTCCGCCGAGTCGGTAAGGGTGAGCCTTCGGGCATGTTGGCTCACACGACTCGACCTCTCCCCATTTACCGAAGAACCCCTTGATTTGGTGCGTGTACTTTTCCTGCGGGATTCCGTCGATAGAGAGTCCCTGGACGAGGACGCTTCGAGACTTCTTGTCACATCGAGGACAATGGCAAGGCTCAGACTGTTGCGAGACAGATCGGTCGCGGTTGCCGTGAAATTTGCAGGCCACTTTTGCGGTGTGTGAGGGAATGGGAAGAGTGGAAGGACCTGAGTTCTTAAGTGGATGGGCTGGGAGGCGGGAGGGGCCAGCTATTTCAACGGACGTCTGCAACTTGGCCAACTCGGTCTGTGCCATGTCAATGGGGCCCGATTTAGAAGGCTCGTGGCGCCTCGTGTTATGCTCCACTCCATAGACCTTCAAGTCTCCCTGGCCAGCGGTAACCACTATGGGGATTGCGAGCGGGGCTACGCGCAGGGTGGGCGAAACGTTGGCGGACTGGCTGCCGGTGGAAGAAGCAGGCGAGTTTTTCACGGCCGAGGGGAACTCAGTAGCCAGTGCCGAACTGCAACGAAGCTGCTCTACGGCGTTGCTGCTGGGCGGCACGAGGTATTTGTTCACGTCTATATTATTGCATTAGTTAGAAACCAGCGCAGTCAGAAAATAGGGGACGACATTCGGAGAATGGGAGATAAATTTAGGTACACGAGTGGAGGAAGAAAGTCAGAAAAGAGTTCGTTGAACTCGTGAGTTATTCAAATCATACCTCTTCCATGACCAGCTTGGTACTCGTTCTTGCTGGCAGTCGAACCTTCCTTCGAATCCTTGACGGGGCTCGGGGCAAAATAGAAGGGATGCCAATGGATGAGGATGCGGCGCAACACGTCCAAATACTCGTAACTGCAAGGGGCGACGTTGTTCCAGTCGTTGGCCGTGAAAATACTGAGAATGTCGCGCTTCTGGTCCCAAGTGCTCAGCTTTTGGCGGTTATCGGCGTGGGTGAGCCACTTGTAAGCCCAATCGTCGGCGATCATGAAGCCCTCGGGATTTTCATTGGCCAGCTGGGGGGGGTTAATGTCCATGGTATCGCCGACCTGCTGGCCATAGGCCTCGGCGACATTTCCCTTTGCAATTTCCTTACCTTTGCCCTTGGCCTCCTCGATGCTCTTGTTCTCGTGGTAAAGGTAGTCAATTGCGAGCCAGAGATTGACGGCGCCGTGGCTCCAGATGTCCGCCGCGTCAAAGTAGTCGTACATCTGCTCCCACTTCTCAACCGGGGCGACCTTCTCCATCAGGTGCTCAGGGTGGAACTTTCGAATGAGGTTTGCCTTGATCTGGACCTGATTCTCATCCCAGTCGCGGATTTCGCGCTGCTTGAAAGGGTGCTTCATCCAGCGCTTGACGGGAACATGGGCACTAATGGTGAAGATGCACTGGGCATCAGCTGGCATCTTGGTGTAGAATCCCATTTGGAGATTTCCGAGCTTCTCCAGCACCTGCTTGGGCGTGAGCTGAACGCGATGGCCCATGGTGGTCGAAGTTGACGTCTGAAAGGTGGCTGCGCCTCCGGTCGCAGAGGTGGTTTTCTTCATTCTCAATAGCGAGTGCTGATATTTGGGTGAATGGTTGTTTGTGCGGTTTTGTTTTGATGGTGACAAACGCCTTTTCGAAAGACAGCAAACATAAACGTCTAGCAGCGCGGGTTGTGTGGTTGAGAGAGAATCGAGAAAAGAGCGTCTCGAAATTTTTTGGAGGTGAAAAGGTGAGGGCTCAAAAATGAGAGAGAGAGGGATCGAAAAGGTGGGCGTGGGTGGGTTGCCGGGGAGGCGGTTTTGCAGGTAGGCCAAGCACCAAATTCTCTCATATAAAAAGGTGAGGTGAAAGTGAGACTCGCGCTGGGAGAGCCGGCTGGAGGAGCAAAACCTGCGCAAGAACGAGCGGAAACGCTTCGGCGCTGCCAAGGAGAAGAGGAGGAAGAGGAAAGAGGCAGCTCAGCAGCCCTTATAGAAGAGAGTTTGCCGGAAGAGCCGCCCGCGGGTCGCTCTGAAACAGTCGTCTTTTGCGCAGAAGTTGTGCGAGCTTGGTAGCGTGGAATGGAGAGAGTCGAAAGAAGAGGACGGATGAACCCAACGAGCGAGCAAACCACCAGAGAGAGAGTAGCTGATCAACGTGAAGCGTTCCAGGTCTTGGAAGGCTGAGTGAGATGGTACACGTTTGGGGTGGCAGAGTGTGAGAGGGAGTGTGGAGGATGCAGCATGGATTGTGACGACCACGAGGTAGAAAAAGGTGTGAGGGAGGTGTGGTGGCTAGTGCACGCGTGCCCCTCGAAGAAAAGACGTGGGTGGGCAGAGGGCAGAGGGCAGAGGGCAGAGGAAATCCCCCCGTCACCTAGTCGACAGACTCGACTGCCCAACCGCCTGACTGTCTCCTGGCCTACCTACCTTCCCCTCCCTCGCCCTCACAAAAGACCCCAGGAACCGATTCAAGATTTTTTTGCAGTGCATTCCGGAAATGCGAAACCACTCCAACCAACTACCAGCACAGGCGGCCGTCTGTATTTGCATCCCCTTTCCTTTCATTTTCTTTCTGTCCTTCTTTCTTTCAGTCCTTGCTTCCTTCATTCCCGTTTTCTTTCTCTGCGCCAAACCATGTGCAAAGAGCACGTACCCGAGACATGGTTCAGACAGCTAAAGAAAACCACAATGCTCATTCAACGGCAGTGGCAGCGGCGGCAGCAGCCCTACGCCATGGACCGTTCGGCTCGACGGACCAGGCGCCGCTGCCCATACGGTTTCCACCTTTTTTAACCACCAACTAGAGGGGAAAAATTGAAGACAGGGCGTTTATTGAATAGTTTACAGAAGAAACAAACTTTTGCAGAGAAGAAAAGAGAGCTGAGTGTGTAGAGTAGTCGCCTGAGCAAACAGAAGGAGCGAAAAAAATATGAAATGACATGAATGTACAGCGCGGCGGGGTACGGCAAGAACCGTGAGCCTATTTCTTGGGCAGCTCGTTCAGCATCTTCAGTATCGCAGACTCGTTGGCCCCGGGAACCACTTTGCCGTTGTTCCAGTCAACAACCTGCGTTGCGCGTGAGTGAGAGAGTGAGTGAGTGGCTATGAGAAGGGCAGGAGCAAAAACGCACCAGAGGGACCTGGAACTTTTGGTTGTTCTGCTTGAAGGCCTTGAGGGCGTCGTGCTTGTTGATCTCGCCGGCTACAATTGACGGGATATCGGCCTTGGGGACATAGTCCAGGATGGTCTCGAGCTGGCTCGGGGTGGGGGGGTCCTCGACAATGGTGAGCTCGAACTCTGGGATCTGGGTTGCCTGGGCTGAGTGGTCGCTCGCTTGGTCTTCAGTGGCCGATTCGGAAGCGGCGGCCGACGTCTGCTTTAGGAGCGTTGCAATCTTGACCGACGCGGGCGAGCTTGGCTTGTGGAAGAGGGTGATGATATCGAGGGAGCGGCGCTGCAGGAGCGACGAGCCAAGAAAGGAGACAAGGTCAGCGGCTGCCCATATCCCAGCACCAATTTCCCACGCCACGCGCGATTGCACTTACGAATCGAAACATGGTCGCGGTGTTTATCTATTAATTGCTCAAGCCTGGTGAAATAATTGGTCTACAGCGCAATTCGTGTCGTTGTCGTGGGCATAAGGGAGCTGTGAAGTGCGGGCGTTTGTCGCTTTAAACAGGCATGTCGTTACAGCTAGCGTGTTGGGATGGGTTCGGTTTTCGCCAGGGAGCTTGGGTCATGTGGAGGCTTAGCTTACCCCACCCTCCTACCCTTGGCCTGGGCCTGCGGGAAGTCACTGCCGTAGTCCCCTGTTCAGTCAGAAATTGCTTGCAGCTGCAGTTTTTGTCAGCTTCCGTTCCAAACCGCTAACGTAATTGCATAGCGAGTGGCCATGTATAGCGAGTGGCCATGTATAGCGAGTGGCCACTCTCGCCACCCTGTGACGGCCCGCCTTACGCAGTAGGGATGTCAATGGTTGAAGGCAGCAACGAATGTGGATTTAAAGCTAAGGAAGAGAAAGGAATCTATCGCCGGGTCCGCGCAGGGCGCGGAGAAATAGGTAGTGGTGCTCAGTGCGCACAGGCCACACCCTAAGCACAATGCAGCCAATAGAATCAATCCTGTCACATGAGCCCTGTGGCGACCGTGACACACCCCAATTGAACTTTCGCCCGACACACCAACACTACAAAAAAAACTAAAAATGCCACCTAAACGAAATGAAGCACAAATATAGCTTGCCCTCCAAGCTATGGAACGCAATAAATCACTAAAGCCCTTTGCAGCTGCAAAACTGTATTCGGTACCCCGAAAAACACTTGAGCGGCGATTAAAGGGAATCCTCCCTCAAGCAAACACTATCGCCAACTCTCGGAATCTCAATCCCCTTAAAGAGCAGGTTATTATACAAAAGGTTCTTGACCTCTATGAGCAAGGATTTTCGCCAGGATACGATGTGGTTGAAGATATGGCCAATTTGCTACGCATCACGCGTAACGCGTCACGCGTCGGACCACGCTGGGCTTCAAACTTCGTACGACGACAACCAGAGCTCCAGATACGTTGGACGCGTCCGTACGACTACCAGAGAGCCAAATACGAAGATCCAGAGATAATTGGGGCGTTGTTTGACCTTATTCGTAATACAATCGCGAAATATGGGATTATTGAGTCGGATATCTGGAACCTTGACGAGACTGGGTTTATAATGGGCCAAATTTCGCCGATGCTTGTTGTTACTTCATCTAAAGCCCGTAGGAAGGTCAAGAAGATCCAGCCTGGTAATCGGGAATGGGCTATAGTGATCCAGGCTGTACAGTCGGGTGGTAATAGCATCCCTCCGTACGTGGTGGTTGCAGGCAAAATCCACCTCGAAAGTTGGTATCGCGATAGCCCTTTCCCCCCCGATTAGACCGTTGATCTCTCGGAAACTGGTTGGACGAATAACCAGATTGGTCTTAATTGGATTAAGCACTTCGACAAACACTCTCGCCGTTATATAATAGGTGGAAAACTTCTCCTAATCCTTGATAGGCATGAGAGCTACTGTTACAATCTGGACAACAGGTCCACGGAGCTAGGCCCGGCCTAGGATTGTGGGGGTCTGGACGGCAGGTAGGAGATGACAAGAGGCAAGGAGTATCGTGCACAGATTGCGAAAGACGGGCTTTCAACACACAACCTATGTGTGCTTAACCAGATGCATTGATAGCTGCAGAACCGTTCTCCCAGAGAGAGCGTGCTGCCAGCTCCTATATAGAACTACGAGCAACCAATCAGAGTCCCTTCTTTGCGCTCTGTGGGCCCCGGGGCGATCTGCCAACAGATCGCCATGGGCCCCACTAATCGCCCTGCTCCGTGCGCTCTCCCGGGTCTTGGCAACTAACCGCACAGAGCACTACCTGATTGGCCGCATCCTTCCTGCCGAGAGCCCTGCCCTGAATGCCGCTCCAGCAATCTGCAGCGGGCGGGACAACGCCCTCTGTGCCTTTGAACCGGGATCGTAACAGAAGCTAATACGCAACCATATTCACCATATCACCAAGCCCGACTTCTTTCTCGCCTTCTACAACGTATTTCAAGCAATATTCAAACCTAAAAAGCATAAGGAGGTTTCCGAGGGGCAGGCCTTGTCCCATTTGACCCAGAAAAGGTGATATCCCAGCTAGATATCAAGCTTCGTACACCAATACCTACTTGCCCCCCCGAGGACTCAAGACCCTTGTGTTACGACCCTGGTTCAAAGGTGCAGAGGGCGTTGCCCGCCCGCTGCGGATTGGCTGGAACGGCACTTAGGGTGGGGCTCTCGCTAAGAGAAGGTGCATCCAATTAGGAGTGCTCAGTGGGGCCATTGCCAAGGTGCACTGAGCAGGCTGAGCTCAGTAGGATCAGTGCCGAGACCCACTGAGCGCACTGAGCAGGGAGCTCAGTGGGGATCAGTGCGTCTAGGACTGAGCACGACTGAGCATGTAAGGCAGGAACTCTGATTGGTTGCTCATAGTTCTATATAGGAGCTGGCAGCACGCTCTCTCTGGAGAACGGTTCTGCAGCTATCAATGCATCTGGTTAAGCATACATTGGTTGTGTGTTGAAAGCCTGTCTTTCGCAATCTGTGCACGATACTCCTTGTCTCCTGTCATCTCCTACCTGCCGTCCAGACCCCCACAATCCTAGGCCGGGCCTAGCTCCGTGGACCTGTTGTCCAGATTGTAACACCTTGACCAAATTGTAAAGGATACAACGAAGGTTATGCACGAGGTAGTATTGATGAAGGCTCGTATACGAGAGCTTGAGGAGGCAAATACAGCCCTAAGTAAACGCCGAAGGGCTAAAAAAAGTCGTATCCAAGCAGGAGGACCATTAACTATACAGGATGCAAGCGATATTCTGGCTGAAAGGGATGTATACGCCCTACTAGAGGAGGAAAAGCGGTCGGGAGGTGGCCGTACGAGGAGCAATACAGCAGGTTCACGGCACTGTAGCAATTGCGGCAAAACAGGACACAACTCTCTCGTACGTGCCAGGAGGATGCGAAAATGGATAAGGGATTGGATTCTAAGTAGTTTTAATTGATCATTTTTTTGTGGTATTAGTGTGTCGTGCGAAAGCTCAATTGGGGTGGGGAGAGTGGCCACTCGCTATACATGGCCACTCGCTATGCAATTACGTTACGTCATGTTCAAAACCCGCTTTTCAAAACCCGCTTTTGGAGAACCCCCACGCCATGCCATGCGCCAGCCCCAACAGCCCACCTTGGGTTTTTGACAATTGTTGGTAAAGTAGATTGTAGCACGGAACATATATATGTCTCCCTCAACGAAGTCTTACACTGCCTAAATTTCATGCCGAGAGGAGGGGATTCGTATTGAAAACGCGGATAAGTCCGCTCTGCCTGCACTGGGTTACATTGTGTTGAAGCAGCATCGTAATTACCAATTATGTCCGCCTGAGATCAAAGGAAATTGACACATCTTCTCCCGACGCGGAAAGAGCCATGGGATATTCTCCCATAACCGAAATGTGATTTACAGAGAGGTGAAACAGGGAGGTTTCTAGGCTTTCTCTGTGACCTATCTCGACCTCTACGTATAGTCACCGCGCGTCAAGGTCTCCGCCAAGAGCAGCCAAGTCCCCTGTCCCATTATTATTAGTATCGCCCCGACTGCCTCTTGCGGCTACCTAGGTAGATATTTTTATGATCCAAGAATTTTGCCCTTTCCAGTGAGACGGTCGTCACCAGCAGCTCGACGAGTAGTAGAATTCGTACTGCTCGCTGCAGGCCAGGACTGAGAAGGCGTTGTCGGCGGCCCACGAACCGTTCTCGTGCCCTACTTGTATATTTTCTTGCTTCCCCGTCCAGTTGTTGTAGCCTGGGTAAGCACGGCCCGTGGCGCGAAACCAGGGGTCATGCGCAGGGAGAGGGTATCGTGCCATGTTGGCCAAGCACAATAGGGTCAGGTCGGCGTCACTGAGGGTGGGGGAAAACTAGGAGCGGACCAAGCCGTCATTGTATCCTGCCCAAGCTTTCATAGTCCTAGAGGTTGGGCATCTGTTAGACCCTGCGGGCCAACTCAGCACCAGACGAGCGAGGCACTTACCATAAGTTGTATGGGTTTTTATTGTTCGGATCCTAGTACGCCGAGTCAAACGCTACCAAGGTGAAGTTGCCGTATGAAGTCGGTCCTAGGTAGTAATACCAGTATGCGTCGTCGGTGGAGAAGCACGGTCTAGGAGGAGTGTGTGTCCGGTTGGAAGAGTGGCGCTCTTCGGCAAGAATCGGCGCGCAGGTGATAGCCATGCGGAAGCGCAAGCGGGAATTGGGTCGAGCATTTATGCCAAGATGCTGAAAAGGGTCAATATAGCCCGTGTCGGCTTGGAAGCCGCCTGGCTGAGCACAGATATCCGCGCCAACGGGACAGGGCATGGGTCGGATGGTTAGCGGGAGTGATGGCACGACGAAGACTAAGGTGCACAAGGGCGGCGGCGATGGACACTGCCGACTTACGTGCGGCGCCGACCTTGCTGTGACGCCAGGCCAAGACACGATGACGAATGCCCACAGCGAGGACGCGCTACTAGTCGAGTTGCGAAGCAGCACCTGCAATGCGTGATGGGGGCCAGTCTCTGGGCGGGCGGTAGACCAGATTTGGTGCATGAAAAAGCATACGACGGACCAGACTTGGCGATCGACAAGCCGACAAACAGGGCGATGGCGCTGATGAGAAGCGGGCCGTCATTGCGGCCGACGGTGAGAACCTTGGATCCATCTGTTCGTGTTGCTCGCTCGTCAGGCGACAGAAGACCTTTGAGTAATTCTGGGTCTAAATGGAGTTGAAAACCCACCGCTCCAGTTCGTCCAAATACCTATGTATACGGGATACAAGGACATCGCTTTGACCACCCTCGCCCAATGTAGGGAGGTAGACAGATGCGCTGGCCCACTGGCTATGGCAAACATTGTAACCCGGATACGACGCTTTTATATGCTGGTAGCCTGGTAGCAGCCTATAGAGAGTGGAAGCCAAGTTTGACAGAGAAACAAGTCGAAATACCCGGTAAGCGACCCGCGTGCGTCCCGCCTTCCAGCTTATTAAACCCTACGTCATGCTCATTATCACACGAACGTACTGTTGAGCTAAAGGTGCTGCACAAGTTGTGTTTCTGTGCTCATCAGCTGAGGAACTGAGCAGCATTGATTTGCTTTCTAGTCACGGCCCACGAGTGTGTGGAAGATTGGGAAAGCTCAAAAAGAAAACCCCTCCGATGCGACTTGATATAATTAGTGATATTAACCTGGATCTTGCAAGATTGAGCTTTTCGAGAAGCAACCGTGAGAATCCTACTCTGTTCCTTCTCTGATCTTCCAAGTCATGTTCTTTTCATCTTTTTGTCCTTTCCATTTCCGTAATTACACATTGGTTCACCGATCGTAAGGCAACGCCGAAGGAAACCCGAACCTACCCGCTACTGCCGCCCGCAGAATGGATGAGACTAACCCCGGTTCCCGGAGTAGTGGCGGTTAGACCGCGAAGATGTGCGTGCGTGCGGTGCCCGGTCTGTGTAAGCAACCCGCCGAGCTTAGCCTTGTGCTGACTAGCAGCTGCCGTTCCTATTTGCCGGGCACGAATGCGCGGGTAAGGTAGTAGCAACATGTCCGTGCTGAGAATGCATGTTCCAACGTTCTTATTCACCCCCTTGCAGCGAGAAAGCTTCTCCTCGGAACAATCAACATGGCCAGTAATCTCGTCAAATGTTCTGGTGTTTGCTTGTTAACTCGGAGGCCGAGGCGCGGGGTTGTGTATGCTGCGGAATCGAGGGGCGCAAGATAGCGTAGGAGTATTGAGTACGTGGTTTGGACAGTTTCTGTTGGGTGTCGTGCTTGCGCGAACGCAGCTAGCTGCATTCGACTTTGATTAGTATTCCGCACCCCTAGTGGTTCACTATTCGAAAAATTGTCCCTATAATAGCAGGCTACCCGGTGCTCCGCAGCGTAAATGGGGAGACCAGCGAGTATATATTTAGTACATACATCATACGGCTAGCCCAGGCTTAAAATCAAATGAGGGGAAGGTTCCATTCGTCATTCAACTCCAAGCACTTTCGTTCTTCGCGACTTCAAACCTCCGTGACACAAAAACACACACGCTCACATAAACAACCTCAAGCAATCAAAAATTAACCCATTACAGCCCTTTTAAACCATCTTTAACCAACCGCTCAATAACCGACCATGGCGCCCGAGTCCAGACCCCCTCTTCCACCCTTCACGCTCGAGACGGCGCAGCGGAAAGTCAAGGCCGCGCAAGACGCGTGGAACACAACGTATTCAAATCGCTTATTAGCTGGTTGCTAATCAAAGAAAAAAGTCTTCTCATTAACACATGATGCCTTGCCAGAAACCCCGAGGTGGTGCAATTCGCCTACACGCCCGACTCCATCTGGCGCAATCGCGGTACCTTCCTTCAGGGCCGTCCCGCCATCGTTGACTTCCTCCGTGACAAGTGGGCCGTGGAGAGCGGGTACCGCCTGAGGAAGGAGCTGTTTGCTTTTACCGACAACAAGGTCTGTCCAAGGTCCTATCGTTTTTTTATTCTTCTTTCCCATTTCTTTCTGTCTTCTCTCTTGCTTTCTGAATAAGAGAAAACAGCGGTTCATAGGCTGTTTCTGGATGGATTGCGCTACTTGCCGTTATTTCCCTTGTTACGGCGGTGCTTGGAGCTAGGCCAGAAAGACGCCTGATGGCTGATCTAAAGAGAGACCCGAGAGTGCTTTGCTAACTTGTGGCTCCCATGCGTAATAATCAAAAACAGATCGCCGTCCAGTTCTGGTACGAGTGGCACGACGAGGCAGGGCAGTGGTGGAGGACGTACGGGCTCGAGGACTGGACGTTTGCCGATAACGGCCTAATGAGGAAACGGCAGATGAGCGGCAACGATGTCAAGATCTCGGACGAGGAGCGCTGGTTCAAGGACGGCGTCGACGTCAACACGGTCGAGATTGTCGAGAAGCACTGGTGATCGGACCGGCTATAATTTGGGGTGCGTAAGCGCCTCGATTATTGCGGCGGCGAGGGCAAGAAAAGAAAGAGAAAGGAAAGCTACTCGCGTTTGGATCTGGAATGAAATATAAAAAGACAGCAAAAGAAAAAAACCAGCAGGACTGAAGAGGCAGTCGATAATGAAATGGAAGCAAACAACATCGCACTGTCGGATACACAGCTTCCAATGAAAACAAATTGTAAAAGAAAAAAGAGACGACTCGCGGCGTTGTTGTCAACTACACGACTGCTTGTGATTGCTCTGCAAATCAACCAACAAGCATATTTATCGTCCTGCGTTCCTATGCTAGCATCTCATTGACATTAATCCTTGTGAGAAGTCCTCGTGGGTTAGTCATGAGCCGTGAGCCTACTATCACGTCGACTTACGTTGTTGGTAGTAATTAGTAGTTTGCCACGTCTCCCCGCCTTAATCTCCCTGGACTTCACAAGCCAAAACTGGAACGTCACCCAATTTGTGGCCCTGCGGGCCGTACTGTAATTGACTAAAACAAAACAAAATGACTTGAGCTATCATTGCTGCGCACATCTGTAAGGATTGGTAGTCGCCGTTGTATTCAGGAATTGACATTAGAGAGCATGGGTTGCTCTGTGTAGTCTGACGCTCCCCATTTCTTTCATTTCTCGTGTCTCTTGACGCTACCCGTGGAGGAGTGGCGCTCACGTCGTCGAGTGGTCTAGACAAAGCGGGACCGACGGGGGCTCTCTTTGAGGGAGAACTTGCTGCTTATTCACGGCAGTTAGCAGTGAGCCAAGAAATATTTGAAATATTGGAGGACTAGAACGAGGGGAATTTGCTGCTGGCTTGAAGGCTTCACGGCCTCAAGACAGCCAGACGGTGCTCTTTAACTAGAGTTCTAATCAAAAGACGTACCTAAGAACGTTTTATGACCACAGACTTCCCGCTGTGGGATGTTTTGAGGTGTGAAGCTGAAGGTTCTTGGCGCTAGTCTGAAAGTATCGCAACGTTTCATCGAAAATGTGACGCTGAAAGATGGTTGCGGACACAGACGATATTGGACAAGTGCTTTGAGCTGCAGAGACTTAATTCCTACTCGACAACATGTCGTGCAAAGCTAGCACCTTGGGTATGCTCTAATTTACTAATACCGATGTTAACTCGATTGCCGAAACGAGAGGGCCAAGGCAAAACTGGCTTCTTCATTGGCTTGGACATGAAGAACCCATCCCTCATCTTCCCAAAATAGGAGCATAATAATTAGAAGTGCGGTAAAAAACTGAGGAATTTGAATCGACCTACTACGATCATGGACGGTTCTCGAGTGTGTCTGAAACTCACGAAAACACTCAAGCGTAGTGATTCTAATTCTGGTGAACCTAAACAAAAGTCAGGTAGGCACCAATATGTCCCACTGACTAACATAATACCATTAACTAACTAGGCATTTAATAGCCACGGAGAAATGGGTAGTAACTAGACACGTAGAACGGTGAAAAATGATACAGGTGGAGCACGAGACGGTCATGATTAAGCCGTTCGTTATGAAAGTAAACTCAATCTGTATTCTATGATAGGCTACCGCTGCACCAGCTGACAAGACACATACCTGTTGCCTAGATATCTGGGCAACTGTATCTATATGGGTCGTAGACTGTAGGTTGCGAGGCTATACGCAACAAATATTCTAGAGCGGTGGAGTGACATTATCTGTCGGGTCTCTCTCTGTAACATTGTTTAGGCTCACTCAAGGCAAGACCTGGTTTGGTTTCATACTGTGCTGGGCTCTCTTTGTGTTTGCCATCAGGTTTCGGCTGATCTCCTTTACTCCGTTTGTATTTTAGGCTAGTAGCAATAGTAGCAACAACTGTTGATGAGTTACAAGTTATGGGGCCATTATATTTACGTAATGGTACGGGCCCTTAGTGGCCGTACATTGTACTTTTCCCACTACTAGACGGTTATCAGGGCCATTTATCTTCATTCACGAGATGATACAATACACTATAAGCACGCTGGAGAAAGCAACCCAGAGAAAGAGGGGCCAGAGAGGTGCGAGACCTTTCGGGTGGCAACCATTGAGAATCTGCCCAACTAAGAGACGCGCCCCCCCCGCTTGGCCTGTCCTGTGATGCCGAGATGGGCTGATGCTGAGCTGGGCTCACTCCTAGGACATGGTTACCCCTTTCCGGCCGAAGCAGTAATTCTTAGCGGCCAATCTGTTTGCCCAAAGTTTCTGTCTTGCATTGAACTCTTGGGAGGTCGCCGAGCTGCAGTCACCGCCACCGCACTGATAGTGACTGGTCACATTGTCGGGGACCTCTCGGGCCGACCCATCGTAGCCTACGGCCGGCGCCGTGCGGAAACTAGAGGGTTGACTGGGTATTTGTGCAAAGTATTGGGGCTTTCTGGCTTATACTGCCTTACTGAGGCAGGCAGTTCACGAACACAGAGAGGGGTATGAGGTGGCGAGAGAGAGACAGATCTGGGGGCGAGCGCCCGTCGACCAAACACAGTCCACCTCGCGTAACCCGCAGCGAGGGCTAGATTCCATAGCCTACTGTAGGACTCGCAGACGTACGTAGTGAAAACATGGGACATGCAGCAAAAGAGGCCTGTCTATCTGAGATGTGGATGTGTGTTCAGGAGATTGTCCGTACGTCAACCAGAGGCCAGAGGAAAAAAAGGTAGGGAAAATAAGAAGGAAAAGCCGTAAACCCGTAACGTTGGTGTCAAGAATGTCGGGGACGGGCACATGGGTAATGAGCTTTGAGGTATATTCATGTCTGAGTCAAGGCTCGTATTGGGTCGATCGTGATGCCCAAGGCAGGGCGGTGATCCTCAGACTTGAGGGCTCGGACTCGATAGAGACGGCTTCAGCTTCTCCGTCTTTGCATTATTTTGCGACCTAACTGGGGACTGACGTCTTGGTCTAGCTGCTACCTTGCCGCTACAAGCCGAAACACGCAGTTCTCACAGGTTGGGCTGCAAACCGATGCGCTACAGGGCTGTGATTAGTACTGTATGCTCTGTGCAGCGTCAGCGAGGCCAAGCTAAGAGTCACTAAGAGATGCCAAGCAAAGAGACCGGGACCCTATCCATCCCATACAGATTGTCTTGAAACAATGTGATTCTAGATCAGCGGTTGGGTCAAGGCTTTCCTTCTCCTCGCTGGTCCTCGGAGGGGGAGCAGGAGAGAGGTGGGCTCTCAAGTCCAAAAAGAAGAAACATGCATATCTCGCAGCCAGCTCATAGGGACCTTGATTGCCACTGGATCTGCCACCGCCCCAAGGAGAAGACCTGCATTTGCTTCTTCTGGTGCCGGCAGTGCCAAAGGGGCAGAAGGAGACGACATCGACTATCGACGCCCCGCATACCAATATGTATGTATGTGTAGTCCCTACGCATTGGAACAGGTTGGGGGAGGGGGAGAGGGAGAGGGGCACAGCCTGGGCCAACATTGCCTCTTGATCACAGGTCCGCAACCATCAACAACAATCAACAACCCAATGGAAGTCGGCAGAACGGCGGAACGTTCCCAGCGCAAACCCAGTCGCGCTGAAATTCGCACACACAGGGTGAAACGTGCCGACAATACCAGGGCCTGAACCGGACGCTCCCGTGGATCTCGGAAATTTCGAGTTTGGAACGGACGGTGGGAGAGGGCCGTCCATCGACCAGGAAGAGAACAAAATGTCCGACAAGCCGAATGGGGGGTTGTAATTGTGATTGAAGCAGCAACAGTGCGCCGTGGACAGTGCCAGAAGTTCAGAATCCATTCCATTCTCGGTCGGGCAGCACAGCAGGGCAGGGCAGGGCAGGGCAGGGCAATTGCAACTCCCAGACGGGCCCGCCTGCCCGCATCCCAGGTCGGCGATCATGAGGATCTGGGACCTGGACCTTCGATCTCCTTGCATCGGCGAGCGAGAAAAAAAGCAAAAACGGTTGCGTCAGCTCCTTCCCACCTCGGCTGCCCTGGCCTTGATTCCTTCCATTTCATTGGCCCAGAGCCTGGAGACAGGGGTTGATAGAGCTCCGAGCTCAAGTTCTCCCCCACCCTCCCCCGAACTCGCACCCGCCCCACGATTGAGGAAAAAGCAAATATCCAATTATCAGTCTTTGGCTTGTCCATTTCCGGTTTGTCCCCATTCCCAATCCCATTGTCCTCCAGCCGAGTCCAGTCCACAACCCACATCCATTGAGTGCCGGGTGCCATTGCGCTCGCCACCAATACTATGGCCATTGTGCAATTATTGTTGCAGCTGCACTAGAACGAAGAGGCCGGGTGATCGACCTCGTGCAGCGTTTGTCCCGTTGAGCAAGCAAAGTCAAAGCTCCAGATCTCTCGTTGGCCTCTGCTCTCCTTTGAGGGCTCCCCCATCATGCAGCTTGTTGCTGCAGTCACCTGCTGCTAGGCTGCCCTGGGTTGTTTTCTTGCGCGCTAGCGATCTTCTGCCAGCCCATCCCGAATCTCAGGGTCCTTCCTGCTGCTGGTCGCACAGCTTCCAGCCAGATGCATGCCAATGGAGGCTGTCACTGCGGGCGGCCTGGGCATTCAGGATTCCCATTGCGAAGCCAAGGGAAACCCTTCTCGGCCAAAATAAGAGATTGGCTCTTGCCATGAGGGCAGGGGGGCATATCTTTTCTCAGCCGTCGCCGTGATGCCATCAATGGTGGCCATGTGCTTAGTGGGCCTTTTGTCACTGCGCCAACTCTGTATCGCTCCGGAAGGGCGTCGATCCGGCAGCGTCTGGGCGATAGCAAGACCGAAAGTGTTGCGCCTCAATCCGTCCACCTTTTGGTCGACGTCAGTTTAGTTAGTCGGCTCCCGCCAATCCGGGACGCGCAAATCAGCCCCAAAGTGCCGATCTTGCCCCTTTCGGGCCAAGCCCGCCAGCCGAGAGTCTCGACCAAAACATCGAGGTCAATAAGCACCACATCCTAGTCATTTCTAATAAGACCGCGTCCGTAGCACAAGTGTACTGTACTAATCTAGGTCCCCAACTGTCTCTGCTAGTGTTTGTATGTACTTCGTAGCTTTGCGGGAGCCGCAAGCTGTATCCGATGGGTGGCTCCAGAGTGCTCCCCAACCGCCCCTGGCCACAACTTCCCCATCTGCAAACCGCTTCTGAGTCACATCTCCCGCATCGTCCGGCGAGGGGGCTAGCCCGGGACCACCCTTGACCCTTTTTTCCTAGGTTATCGTGTGCGTAGAGGGTAAAACTCACGATGTATACAGAACCACGCGGTAAGACTCTCCGATAAGGGCAAAGCGCCTTCTTCTGGACTGGGATTGCCTGCGTACCAGAGACGATATAGATACGGCTGATTCACCCCTGAAGCTCGCTTACCTCTGGAATTTAGTGCCTGCTAGCTTCCTCTAGCAAGTTGACGCCATTGAGATAAAATTGCGTTACATATTACATAATACGGATCACGATGTATAATACAAGGGCACCCTTCTTCCCCTCCACCTCGCCCTCTCTCTACCCTTGCAAACCAGCTTGTCACGGCGGACGGCACTCCGTCACACCAGCCCAGCACCATTTGAGCCTCGGCCACAGGGATCCATATTACCCTTCCTCCCTTCCACAGCCCAACCCGGTCCGATCAGCTTGTATTCCTGCTACCTGCCTGAACACTCCCGTCTACCTGGAGAACCCAAGGAAGCCGAGGTTTCGATCCTGACTTGTCACACTTTCGTCATCACACCAAACGCTAGAAAACATCCCGGAGGTCCCCGCAGTAGTGACAACCGGCCAACTCACCTTGTCCTTAATAGTCGAGAAAGCCCCCTCGTCCGCCGCGTATATAGCCGCCATCATGGGTATGATACCGCTGCACTATAGACGCCCATCATTCGTTGAAAAGACGATGATGGGAGATAGCCAGAGTTCGCTCGAGGATGGAGATGGAGAGCGTTCGCTGAGATCTGCCAAGTCTGGAAACCTGTCGGGAATCCCCGAAGCCCTCAGCTTCGACAAGATCGTGGACGGGGGAACGTGCCCGGTAGGTGCTGCCAGGCTGGACATGTCCCCATGCTCTGGCCACGGACTAACATGAGAGCACAAACCGAAGCCGTGCACGCTCCGAGAGTTCATGAACTATCTTGTTTACATCGAGCGGTCTGCCGAGAACCTCCAGTTCTACCTGTGGTTCCGCACCTACGTGACTCGCTTCAAGCTGGCCAAGACCATGGATATTTCTCTGGCCATGGAATGGACCCAGGCCATGGAAGACGAAGCCATTGCGCGGATCCAGAAGGAGCACGCCGAGAAGGCGCGCAAGGCTCCCAAGGCAGGCACGGCGGCTGAGATCTTTGCCGGCAGCGACTTTGTCAAGGGCTCCGAGACCCCGAGCGTGGCTAACACCGAGATTGCCAACCCTTTTGGTACGCCGCCTGCGACCCCCTCGGAGTTCAACCAGCCATTCGACTATAGCAACAGCTCGGAGGACGATTCGTATAGGATGAAAGCAAACAAAGCGTTTGCATCTGCGGGCGTCAAGGCGCCCTGTAAGCACCTCCGCCCCCCTCCAAGAAGTACAAAGTGGATATGAAACTGTCAAGCTGACCCTTGCCTCGAAATGCAGTCACGATCCAACCCTTCCGCAAGGAGGTTGACCGCGTGGTCGCGACATACATCATGGACGGGGCGCCTCGCCAGCTCAACCTGTCGGACCGGGAGCGAAAGGCGGTGCTGCACGCGCTGGCGTTCACGACGCACCCATCGGCGTTTAGCATCGTGATCCAGGCGACCGAGTTGACGCTGCGGCGGCAGGCACACCCAAACTTCATTCGCTGGTCGATCTGCAACGGCAACCCGGCGCGCGTGTCGTTCGCGCGGGGCCTCGGCGCCAGCCTCATCCTAGCGGGCTTCGCGGCGGCCGTGGTGCTAACGCTATCGGGCGCCGCGCGCGGGTACCGGGCGCTGGCGTCCGTCGGGTGGGTGCTAGGCATCTCGACGCTCATCGCCGCGTGGAAGGGCATGTGCGTGGTGCTGCACGGCATGCACCACCGCCACGTGCGGCCGTGGGAGCTCTTCATCCACGAGCTCGAGGACGCCGAGTCCGACCGCATCAAGAAGCACTCTTTCGACAGCTTCGGCTCCGCCAACAGCTACGAGGAGCAGCCGTGGGTCATCCGCTACCAGCGCCGCAACATCGTCCGCAAGGTCTTCGACCGCGAGGTCCACATCCGCGAGCCGGCGCTCCGCCAGATCCAGGACGTCATCTTCCTCCAGAGCGTGCTGTGCGCCGTGGTCCTCTCGGCCGTCTTGACGGTCATTTTCGTCCTCGTGCCGGGCGCGGACATGTTTTGATTGGGCCTGTTGTCGTTGTTTGTTTACCTTGCTTCCCTTTCTTTTGCCGTTCTCCTCTTGCTACTTATACACACATGTGTTTTGAGTACTCTGCTTGTTTACGAGCCCGCGCCGAGGACTGCCTGAAATGAAGGCATGGTCGGGTCTGTGATGCTAGCAGATGGTAGCTGGGGAGAGCACGGAATGGAATTTGGGTAGGAATGTCTTTTTTCTTCTTCGTCTCTTTCGTTTTTCTTTTCCAATTGATCTCTTGTCTGGGTGTTCTATAAAGGGAGTTTTCCTCTTTTCACTTCCTTTTCTTCACGTATACGAGATGGCAGTTACGGATATCGGTTAATTGGGCGGTCTTTTGGGGGGGGGGGTGGGGGGGGGGGTGGGAATAATATGGAATGGATGGATGGATTCATGGACAAAATTTACGGGACATGACTCTTGTAATATAGGGGAAGGGGAGGTGCGGGGGGGGGATAAAACAGATTGTGAGCCTCGCAAACAGAGCGGCGCTAGCGGCAGACTGTGAAAGGGAAGCGGCAAACAGAACGCGAAACGGAAACGGAAAACTCGAGGCTACAGAGCGATGTCGTGAGAATATCAGACTTGTCAGTCTAGGTGTACAGAATAGCAGCACTGCATTTCAAGGCTCGATGTAACCTGAAGAGTCTAGTGATTAATGGTGCATGTCCTCTGAGGCTCAGGCCGTGCACTATGCTTTAGTCAAGCTATTCTAGTGGCTAGTCAGTGAGCACAGATGCAGGCTTGTGTTGAGAGTAGTAACTTGGGGTTTGGCTGATCTTCTGCCTTATCGATAAGCGCTGGTTTTCTGTGGTCCCGCACTGGCTGGGACCCGACAGTTCCAAAACTCACCGGGATGAGTTCTACAATGTAAATCTGAGCATTCCCTAGGTACCTATTATAAACGTTTGACAAACTCGGAAAGCCAGGGGGGAGATAAAAAACCCGCTTCGAATGGCGGCCACCGCTCAGGACACGTCAAGGCCTCCTTGAAGCACACGAGCGCTCTGCGACCGAGAACACCCGACATAAGAAGTGCCTTGCGCGCCCACACGTACGTCGGCAAGGACCGAACGGACGGGACCCCACGATGCCGACGGACATCTACCAGGCCGACGCTCCCCACCAGCAGCTGCCACTCCCGCGACCGACCTCGGGGCCCGGGATTGGCGGGGATGCGGATGGAGATGGAGATGCGAATGGGGATGGAGATGCGAATGGGGATGCGGAGGTCCTGGGGACCGAAATGGAGATGAAGATAGAGATGGGCATGGACATGGACATGGACATGGACATGGACATGAGCGGGGAGGGGAACCGCCAGAATGACAAGGACGACAGTGCGACCGCGCACATCGAGGCACACGCGCCCGCGCCGGCAGCCGCATCCAACGGCCTCCGCCCGCGGACCGCCACGGGCGGGAGCATTATAGACACGACGCTGAGCCATCCGGGCTCGGTGCGCATCAACGTCAAAGGCGCCTTTATTGTCGACCTCGAGAGCACCGCCTCGAATGGCCGCACCGGCTCCCCGCACAACCACGAAACCAGAGACATCCGCCTGCCCAACCACACGGCCGTCGTCAGCCATATTGCAATTGATGTATGCCATGATTCCCGCGCCCCCCCCCCCCCCCCCCCCCCGGGTCCGCCGTGCAATGTTGGACATGGAACAGACAATAATAACCCTTCTCATTTCTGTTGGCAGATCGGCGGCTCTTTGGCCAAGCTCGTTTACTTCTCGCGCGAAGCGCACTCGACCGAGCCCGGCGGGCGTCTCAACTTTGTCAACTTCGAGACGGACCACATCAGCGAGTGCCTCGAGTTCATGCGCCAGCTGAAGCGCAAGTACAAGAAATCTAACGGATCCAGCCCCGCCGAGCTGTGCGTCATGGCCACCGGCGGCGGCGCCTTCAAGTACTACGACATGATCCGCGACGTGCTGGGCATCGACGTGCTGCGCGAGGACGAGATGGAGTGCCTGATCATCGGCCTCGACTTCTTCATAACCGAGATCCCCGGCGAGGTCTTTACCTACTCCGAGGCCGACCCCATGCACTTTGTCACCCCCGCTGACAAGGTCTACCCCTACCTGCTAGTGAACATTGGCTCGGGCGTGTCGTTTCTCAAGGTGTCGGGCCCGCGCGAGTACCAGCGCGTCGGCGGCACCTCGCTCGGCGGCGGCACGCTCTGGGGTCTGCTCAGCCTGCTCACGGGCGCGCGCACCTTTGACGAGATGCTCGACCTGGCTTCGCGAGGCGACAACAGCAAGGTGGACATGCTCGTCGGCGACATCTACGGCACCGACTACGGCAAGATCGGGCTCAAGAGCACCACCATTGCCAGCTCGTTCGGCAAGGTCTTCCGCAAGAAGCGCCAGGCCGAGAACGAAGCCGAGGACAGCGGCGGGCTGGGGCACTATCAGCACCACAGCCACAACGACCACGACGACGACCACCAGCCACTATCCCCCTCGGATGCCGCTATTACTAATTCCTTCTCATCCCTGCCAGACCAAGGGAAAAGCAACGGCGGCAGCAGCAGGGACCCTCCGTTCTCGGGCGCCGACATCTCGCGGTCGCTGCTGTACGCCATCAGCAACAACATTGGGCAGATTGCGTTCCTGCAGAGCCAGATCCACGGGCTGTCGCACATCTACTTTGGCGGGTCCTTCATCCGCGGCCACCCGCAGACTATGAACACGCTCAGCTACGCCATCAAGTTCTGGAGCAAGGGCGCCAAGCAGGCGTACTTTTTGCGGCACGAGGGCTACCTGGGCGCCGTCGGCGCGTTTCTCAAGCGCCAGCCGCGCAACTGGGGCCGTAGGGGCAGCTTCGAGGAGGCGGCGCTCGAGGAACGCATGCGCGCCCGCGCTAGCATCGGTGCCAAGGCTGCAGAGCAGCCTGAGGACGCATCTGCGACGGGGTCGGGGCCGGGGACAGGGCTGGCGAGAGCAAGTAGCGATGCTGCCATTGCCTAAGTGTGTTGTGTGTGTGTGCATATCCCGTCTGGTCTATACAAAGGCAGGACAAGAAGGGGAGTGAAAGAAGGAATTTGTTTTTTCCTGTCGAGAAGGCGTATTTAGCGGTTGTTTGAGCTTTTTTTTTTTTGGTAAACGAGCTTCTCCATCTTTTTCCTTCTCTAGCCGTCTACTTTTACTCGCGCGCGCGCAAACACACACACCCGCACACATACCCACACTTGCACCCGCATGTTTTTCGGCCTGCCTGCTTTGCCTTGGCCGAGTAAACTGCTCGTCTATATTATCCATCATACGTTTGCTCACGAGATACCTACATACATCAACCAGCCACGCGCCCAAATTTGCATGATTTCTTTTTTTCGTTTTTCACATTGCTTTGTCATTGTATCTTATCTTATATAGACTATCCAGCAGAGCCTTTGTTTCGATACACATATATGCCTATTTACCTGCCTACGTAGCGAGCTAGCTAGTATTGCCTATATATCATTTGCCATTTGCCTTCCTTGCAATTTAGTTAGTTATTCACTTACCAGCCAGGTCTTGGACCCGTGCTCTCCCAGGCCCCTTTATTATTATCATTTGTTATTTATTTGACGGTGTCCATAACAACTCCGTCCCCTGATGATTCCCTCCGTTTGAGAGGACCAATATATAGGAAGGGTTAGGGTTGTACATGAAGCCTCATCTCTTCGGTTTCTTGTTTAAAATCTTCCCTTCTACTCCGTAAGGAGCAAAACTTTCCTCGTGAGTATTACGGGTTACAACTCGGTACTGTAACAGAATCTGGACATAGTTTAGGATTCGAGGTAGTTGTACGGAAAATAGGGAGATATGGCGGAGCACCGACGGCATAATCCCTTAGTTAAAGGTTGGGGTGGGCACGGTAGAGTTTACCCACTATGACGTAGATCATCTTCCATGCATTATACATACAAATAGATCATGGCCCAGACCTTTAAAAGGGGGCAGCTTGTTGTTTACCACTTGGTGATTCCCCCCAAGCAAGCAAGCCCAATACATTCTGATCGTGCTTTCGTTCTCTTGATTCGACGAACTATTTCACTCGCATTTCCCAAATCGCATAATAACACACACTCAGCCACCATGTCGGGAAACTCAAACACCACGCGGTTCGAGGAAGGCCAGGCCAACTCGCACATTGCCACCGACTCCAGTAAATACCTACCTACCTTAGCACGCTTGACCTCGTCCTTTTCGTTCAGACTCCCGGCTAACAACCCGGCCCTCCACACAGAGGACCAGAGATCGATCGCGAACCGCTTGGCGGCAGCCGAGGTGAGGATATCTAAGCATGCAGCTGTATTTGTATCTACGATAGCTATTCACGTTGCTGACTGGCATGCAGAGCTCCACAGAGCCCCGGGATAGCAAGGAGACGGCCATGCTGAAAGAGGACCCCACCGTGCCTGTAAGATATTTACCCCTTGTACATGTATATGACAAAGAACATAGGAACGGTTTGCTAAGACTACGTCTCGCAACGCAGGCCAGAGCGCACGGCAACGAGCCGTCGAGGGGCGCCAAGATCGACGCCCAGATCCAGGCCGACGAGGAGGAGGAGCTGGAGCGGAAGCGGAAGCGGAAGGCTTGAATTGCTTGCCTGATGCTTGCCTGGTTTCTTACTAGCTACTAAGTGGTTGGACGTGACGCAACAGGGCCGCGAGGCTTTGGGTCGTGTTCAGACGGACGGATGGAGATGAATATTTGGGGAAAGAGTACCTATTTCGCAAGGAAGGCAGGAGTTGGTTTCGAGCCTTGGGGTTTAAGTTTACCTCAGGTACTTCTGGGGTGTGCGGGGAACACATGCGTGTACTGTTTGTGGTTCTGTTGCACGCCAGGAGCGCCTAGCGCCGACAAACCATATACTCTGGGTGCAGTTCTTTTGCGTGGTCTCCCCACTGGCTGCACTCTAAACACCTGGTGAGTAATGTTACCCTTGTGTCGACAGGCTCGAATGGGATCGGTTAGACCAGTTTATGGGCTCAGATTTTGACATGACAAGCGAAGAGAAAATAATGGGGAGGGGAAAAGGCTACTTGAGGTTTGCTGAGCTTGTTGCTGTTTCTGGCAAGTTGCGCAAAAGCCTTGGTCGGTGTCAGTCAGTCTGTTGGTTGCTTGCGTTTCCAGCCGCGCAAACTGGAAGTGGTCTGGTCCACATGCACACACGCCTTCCCAGTTTGTTGAAGATCGATGGTTCAAAACCCGTATTCACGGTCAAACCCCGTGAGTATTCACGTTAAGGCGTGTGCATATATATCAACACGAATCCACGGGTTTCGAGGTGCACACATCCCCGTAGCCTTAGCCTCGGCACCCCTTGGCCTTGGCATCGGCACCCCTTGGCCTTGGCCTCGGCACCCCTTGGCCTTGGCCTCGGCACCGGAGAAACTACCGTGTAAGCCAAGGCAGTTTTGGCAAATGATCATGGTGGAAAATTGTTAGCGACACAAAGGAAAAAACGTCTCGATTGGTTATATTCGGCAAATTCGCAGACAAGTTTGACCGGTGCCGAGCCCAAGGCCAAGGGGATAGGAAATCGCGAATCTCTGTGCTGAGGGGGATCTGTGAGACAGGGCAAGAGCGCTTCCTTCCCAATCAAGGTAAGCGGGCTTGCTTAATGCAACATCAAACTCACATATGCACGCTTCTTTCACCAGCTGCTAAATTGCTAGCCCTCGCCATGGCGCGCAAGACTTTTACCGTTCACACATCGCTGCTGTTCGACCCCAAGAAGAAGGCCTTTGTCGAAAATGTGTCAATGGAGGTCGACCGCGTGGGCGGCTCCATCGCCCGCGTCTTCTCCCGCGACGACGACGATGGCGACGAGATTGCAAAGAATGACGACGACATCGATCTAAGGGGCAAGGTCGTGCTGCCGGGCTTTGTCGACAGCCACGCGCACATCTTTATCCACAGCTACGAGTGAGCACCCTTCGCCGTTCCCTCTCCCTACTTTCTATCTTGGTGTGTGTGTGTGTAGTGGGTGTTATGGTTCCTACGCGCTCAAGACGCTACAGAGCTGCGGGCTAAAACTACTCCAGCGAGCGGCCGGCGAGCGAGCAGATGCGCGACGTGTCTGCCGTGGAGCGGATCGTGAGAGCCACCAACCACGCGCGCGCCGCTCTGCTGGCCGGATACACGACGTACCGCGACCTCGGCACAGAGGCGCTGGGCGCCGCCGACGCCAACCTGCGCGACTGCATCAACCGCGGCATCACGCCCGGCCCGCGGCTGTTCGTGGCCACCGAGGCCCTGGCCAGCAGCGGGTCGTACGAGACGCGCGTCGAGAACCGGTCGCTGGGCGGCCGCGGCACCGGTATTGGCAGCGGGCTGACGGCGCCGCGCGCTTCGGATGCCGCTGATGGTGTCGACGGCGTGCGTGCCGCCGTGCGGAGGCGTGTTGGTGACGGCGCCGACCTAATCAAGTTCTACGCCGACTACCGCCGTAAGGTAATGCGCTTCCCGCCGCCGCCGGGCAAGAAGTTCTTTGGGCCAGACTCGTTGTCGGCATCGTCCGCACAGGCACGGGACCAAAAGAAGCCCAAGCCCAAGCAGCACCGGCAGCAGATAGGCCCGAGGGAAGACGGCGACATCCTGTTTCCGCCGGCGCGGCGCAACCCGGCGGTGCCGTTGTTCACGCAGGAGGAGATGGACGCCATCGTCAGCGAGGCGAACCTGGCCGAGATCCCCGTGGCGGCACACTGCGGCGAGACCCGGACGGCGCTGATGGCGGCACGGGCCGGGGTGACGAGCGTGGAGCACATCTTCGAGGACACGCACGCGGTGGCGGACGAGCTGTTCGCGGCGCTGCGGCGGGGCAACGTGCTCTGGGTGCCGACGCTGGCAGCGGCGGAGCTGCTGTCGCGGCCCATATTCGAGCAGGTCAAGGCGTCGGTCAAGCGGGCGCACGCCAGCGGGGTGCGGTTCGCGGCGGGCGGCGACACGGGCACCTTCAACCACGGGCTCAACGCGCGCGAGCTCGAGGTCATGGTCGAGGCCGGCATCCCGCTCGTCGACGTGCTCGTCGCCGCCACCGTCGGCGGCTGGGAGGCCTGCGGCGGCGACCGCTCCGGCTTTCGCTTCGGCTGGTTCGAGCACGGCAACCGCGCCGACATCATCGCCCTCGACGCCGACCCGCGCGACGACACCAGGGCCCTGCGCAAGGTCAGCTTCGTCATGAAGGACGGCCAGGTCTGGAAGCACCGCGGCCAGCCCGTCGCCGACATGGTTCCCGTGCCGCAGTGGCCGGACAGCAACGGCGGCAGCAGCGACGGGGGTGGTGCCGACAGCGACGAGTGCATCGACGACGGCGAGCCGTGGACCAATCTGAGTGCGGCTAGGCCGCATAGATTGTCCATGTCGGTGCCGCTGCCCGTGTACCAGCCAAGAAATGCCCCTGTCTAGAAGCAGGCTGTGCGTGGTTTGTCACCACTTTCCTGCTGTTCTAGGTTGACTTTTTTAAGTTAAGCGGGGCGGCAAAAAGACCAAAAAGAAAAGCTAGCTACCTATCGTGCATTTCATTACCTATCTATCTTCTCAAGAATTAAAGAGGAGCGGGGGAAAGGTCTTCCTACTCCGTATATATATACACTTAGGTAAAATGCGGAGCTGTCATGTTTTACCCCTTTTTGCTTGATCGAGGAGCATTCGCAGCACAACCCTTTTTTTCTCCTCGACCTGCTACACTGTCCTGAAGAATAGCCACAGCAAACAAGACTAGCTTTTCTTTCTTCCTAATTCTTTCTCCCTAATTCTTTCTTCCTAATTTCTCGCTGTGTGTTTTTGATAAAGATAAATTGCAATTATCACGAGTTGATGCCCTTGAACCACCAGCCACTAAAAGATCAGGGTTAGGTATGGTGCTGCAGATGGCCCAAGACGGTTTAGCAAGGTCCGACGGCTGCCCGTTCTTGCCTGCCCTAAGCCGGCTCCGGAAACCCCTGAAACAGTGCAAGTGCAGGCCTTAAGTTGTTCCCCACCCCCGCCGAAGCGCTTCCCCACAATCTTAGTCCACCCAAAAATACCAGGCCAACGTGTCCAAATATCCACGACGTACGCCGATCCTCGAGCTCACCAAAACGTCGCTGTTCCCCGCCTCCCGTACATACAGCAGGCACCTTGCATCGCTATCTGCCCTCTCCTTGGACAATCGGCTTTTTATATGACGGTACGTCAGACATTTTCCAGCCGGGCATTGCCTTCTGTCTCCCCTCCCTATCCCAAGTCCCATTGTCCTGTTGCATTGCTGGGAGCGGGTAGCAGCATCTCACCGCCCGGCCAAGTTGAGGTTGGTACTGTACACTAGATATAAGGCATCTGGTTCGACAACGCCACGCCTTCGTCATGGAGCCCGGACCCGACCAAAGTCTCAATGGCCAGGCGCCGGCGCTGCGAGGATGCTGCGAGTTTGGCGGGCCAAGTCCACTTTAAGCCTACCGCTCTCCCCACCAAGCTGATGCACCGCCCAAGGCTTGCTGTGGAGCACGGGCTGATGGTAACATGTCCAGAGGCAACCTCGGCCGACAACACAACCAGCCATCGACACCGAGTACAGACACTGGGACTGACTCGACCACGGCACACACCGCGCCGTAAACATCCTCACCTTGCTTACCTTGCTCACCTTGCTCACCTTGCTCGCCTTGCTCACCTCACCCGCCCTCGCCGGACTCTCATTCGCGCTAAAATCTCATCCATTATGGCCAAAGTTTTCTACGGCACTGTCAAGTCAGTGCTGAGTGGAGACACGCTGGTCGTTGCCAACATCAACAATCCTGCCAATGAGCGCACCTTCTCGCTGGCCTTTGTCTCTGCCCCCCGCCTGAGCAAAGACGGCGATGAGCCCTTTGCTTTTCAGTCACGCGAGTTCCTGAGGAACCTGACGGTTGGGAAGCAGATCAAGTGCACCGTTTTGTGTAAGTACTGGCGCTCAGACTACCCCCCTACGCCGCACTTGCGGATAGGGGGTCGAGCCATTTCGGCCCCTGGATTAGCTATCATGCCTCTCCTGTTGTTTACTCGACCGCTCTTGATTGGTCTAATGCTTACTTTGAGCCCAAGACATCATTCCAAACTCTGGCAGAGAGTACGGAACTGCAGCCCTCCAGGACAAGACTGAGTTTCCGGACGAGTCGGTCAAAGCTGGCTGGCTCAAGGTCAGGGAAGACGCCGGAAGGAAGGAGGAGTCGGAAGAAATTCTCGAGAGACTTGACAACTTGTGCAACCTGGAGACCCAAGCCAAGAATGAGAACAAGGGTCTCCATGCCGGCACCGGCGGCATCATCGAGGTCCAGAACGACATTGGTGGCCCCGAGTTCTTGAACGAGTGGAAGGGGAAGACGGTAGATGGAATTGTCGAACGCGTCATCAGCGGAGACCGCCTGCTCATCCGCCTACTCCTCACCGAGAAGAAGCACTGGCAGGTCATGACACTGCTTGCTGGCATCCGCACTCCGTCAACCGAGCGGATCAACACGTCTACTGGCCAGACCCAGCCCGGAGAGGAATATGGCAGCGAAGCCCGCGCATACGTCGAGCAGCGACTCCTCCAACGCCAGGTAAAGGTCAAGATTGTCGGCGCCAGTCCTCAGGGCCAGCTTGTCGCCACTGTTCTGCACCCGGTTCGAGGCAATATTGCAGAGTTCCTCCTGCAGGATGGTCTTGCCCGGTGCAACGACTTCCATTCTACCATGCTCGGCAGCGACATGGCCGCCCTCCGTGAGGCCGAGAAGAAAGCCCAGGCTGCCCGTGTGCGTCTGCACAAGAACCACGTGGCCAAATCTACCGACAGCAAAGACCTTGAGATGACCGTCATCAAGATCATTGGTGCCGATGCTATCATCGTCCGCAACAAGGCCGGCGACGAGAAGAGGATCAACCTGAGCAGTGTCCGTGGGCCCCGTGCCGGAGAGCCTTCCGAGTCGCCTTTCAGAGACGAAGCAAAGGAGTTCCTGAGGAAGAGGTTCATTGGCAAGCACGTGCGCATTACCATCGACGGTTCCAAGGCCGCCACGGACGATTTTGAGGCTCGCGACGTTGGCACTGTCATCCAGAACGGCAAGAACATCAACCTCACGCTCGTTCAGGAGGGCTACTGTTCCGTCATCAGACACAGGAAGGACGACACAGACCGCGCACCAAACTACGACGAGCTTCTAGCGGCCCAGGAAACTGCAAAGGAGGAGAAGAAGGGCATGTGGTCCGGCAAGCCTCCCAAGGTGAAACAATATGCGGATATGTCAGAGAGCGTCCAGAAGGCCAAGATTCAGCTATCCACCCTTGCTCGGCAACGGAAAGTTCCCGGCGTCGTTGATTTCTGCAAGTCCGGGTCTCGCTTCACCATCTTGATCCCCCGCGAGGGCGCCAAGTTGACGCTCGTGCTTGCTGGCGTTCGCGCTCCCCGTGCGGGTCGGACTCCGCAGGAGAAGGGAGAGCCTTTCGGGCAGGAGGCATTGGATCTGGCCAACAGACGCTGCAACCAGAGAGATTGCGAGATCGACGTGCACGACATCGACAAGGTCGGCGGCTTCATTGGCGACCTGTACATCAACCGCGAAAGCTTCGCAAAGCTTCTCGTCGAGGAGGGCTTGGCCTCTGTCCACAAATACTCGGCCGAGAAGTCAGGCAATGCGGCCGAGCTCCTGGCTGCGCAGAAGCGTGCCAAGGAGGGCAAGAAGGGGATGTGGCACGACTGGGACCCGTCTCAGGATGAAGTCGAGGAGACCGAGGCGGCACCGGCGGATTCTGCCGCGGACGCCGCCGTGACGATCGACAAGAAACCTGAAGACTACCGAGACATTGTCGTCACCAACATCGACGCTGCCGGCAAGCTCAAGATCCAAGAAATTGGCAAGGGCACTGCTTCGCTGACGACCATGATGAACGAGTTCAGGAAGTTCAACCTGGACCCCAAGAACAACGTCGCCGCCAAGGAGAACCCAAAGGCCGGAGATTACGTGGCTGCCAAATTCACGGCAGACGGCGAGTGGTACAGAGCTCGCATCCGGTCCAACGACCGCGCTGCCAAGGTGGCCGAGGTGGTCTATATCGACTACGGCAACTCTGAGAAGCAGCCGTGGTCGAAGCTCCGCCCGCTGGACCAGGCGCAGTTCGGCACGCAGAGGCTGAAGGCTCAGGCCGTGGACGCACAGCTCTCGTTTGTGCAGCTCCCCGTGGCCCCTGACTATCTCAGCGACGCCATCAACTTCATATACGAGCTCACCGAGGGCAAGCAGCTTGTGGGGAGCTTTGACTTTGTCGACACCAAGGAAAACCTAAGCTACATCACCATCTTTGACCCCAAGTCCCAGGGTTCTGCAAAGGTCACGGAATCCGTGAACCGAGAAATCGTCCTGAACGGGCATGCCATGGTCCCGCGCAAGCTTAAGCCCTGGGAGAGGAGCAAGGTGTTCGAGCCCGTGCTCAGGAGCTTGAAGGAGGCCGAGACAAAGGCAAAGGAGGACCGTCTGGGCATGTGGGAGTACGGCGATCTCACCGAAGATTAGATGCAGTTGCTGGCTGGAAGACAAGGGTGAGGTGTGTGGTGAAAGCAGATGGCGAGTATTGAATTCGGGTCATGGTCACAAAAGCCGCAGGTGGCCGCTCAAAATGGACGAGGCGGTCATATCCTAGTCCAATATCATCATAGAAAAAAGCATTGTTTCGGTCCGACGTCGGAGTTCCTCAGACACATGAGGCGCTCACATACGGAGAACCCTCGGCTACTAGTAGTAATTGCCTGCCTGGTATTCCGTGGAACTAGTAAATTGAACGAGTACAAAGTAAGTACCTAGACCACCGTCGTGTTGACAGCAGTGCCGAGCATCTGAAGGAGCTCCCAGAAACCGAGAAACGGCAGCTCTGGTTTCATATGCCTCAACTAGTCGAATCAGAAACGACGTGCTTGCCAATGCCTCAGCATTGCCCAATCAGGCAGAGAATGCGCCTCACGTTGGGCCATTCGGCGGCTGAGTAAGATCTGCCGCTAAACCCCGCAGCAGTCGTCAGTCGCCTCCAATGTAACAGTGGCGTTCGGGCACGACAGACGACAGAGCCTGGGAATCCGAATCCGCGAGGGTGAGGTGGAGTGACTGAAGAAGGCAAAAACCCAAATCAAGATATTACGCAAGGGAAGGATGGGGTGAATGGATAGGTCGGGTGTGCTTATTAACGACGGAAACTTGGCGAAGGCAGTATCTCCATGTGTCTTTGCCAGCAAGATCCCGGCCGCCATGTGCTGGAGAGCCCAAAAGGGGACCTTTTTGGAGGGGGCGCCCCCCAAAAAGTAAAAAAAGTTAAAACTCTTCCAGTCGGGTGATTCTGGACATTTCCGTGGAGCAACACAACACACAGAGACAAGGAAGGGGGAGGCCCGGCAATGGAGAAGGAGAACGGTGGGGGGCAAAGCAGATGACGATGTGGTGTGCCCCGCTAAAAGTCGCAAATATTATCCGCAGCAGCCCCGGGCGCGGCGGGCTTGACTCATATTCCCCTCCCCCCTCTATTCATACTCCTCCCTCAACAAAGTTGTTGGTGTCAGTCCACTTTGCTCTCTTTCACAAAACAAAACACAAGCAATCAAACTGCTTCATTGCTCGCTCCCTGCCAGAATATCCGGCGAAAACGAAAGAAAACACAGTTTCGTGTTTTAATCTAAGCAAGGGAAACATTTTCCACCATTCATCCCTCCGCCTCCCCCAAACATGTCTACCTCTCTGGACCAGCTCAAAGCCTCTGGCACTGTACGTCAGTCAACAGTTTACCCCGCCAAAACAACACCACCAAACCCCTCGTTTTGTTGCTCGCTATGGTTGTTAGTTAGGCTGGGTCGAGTCGGCAGCCGCCGATTGATTACCACCTCCCAGCGAGCTGTTTGCACTTTTATAATTTTTGATGTTCGTTCTTGCTGACCGTGGATTTGCAAATGGACTAGGTCGTCGTCAGTGACTCAGGTAAGCCATTCCCGGCCAGACGAGAGGAGGTGCTTTGAGCAATTGAATAGGGAAGAGCTTGTTGGCTAACACGTTCTGGTTTAGGTGACTTTGCATGTCAGTCTACCCCTCCTCCTCCTGCTCTTCCCCCCTGCCCGAACCGGTACCCTCCCTCGACCCGACGGGACAGGCGCTCACAGTTGTGTAGCTATCGGCAAGTACAAGCCGCAAGATGCCACGACCAACCCGTCGCTCATCCTGGCGGCCACCAAGAAGCCCGAGTACGCGGCGCTGTTGGATGCGGCAATTGAGCAGGCCAACAAGGAGTCGGGCAAGTCGATCGACCAGAAGGTCGAGTCGGCCCTAGACCACCTCCTGGTGCAGTTCGGCAAGAAGATCCTCGAGATCATCCCCGGCAAGGTCTCGACCGAGGTCGACGCCGCCTTCTCCTTCGACACAAAAGCCTCAGTCAACAAGGCCCTGCACATTATCGACGTACGTGTTGTCTCCGAGTTTTGATTTTAGGAGCTGTAGCTAACCCCTCTCCCCCCGACAGCTCTACAAGGCCGAGGGCATCTCCAAGGACCGCGTCCTGATCAAGGTCGCGTCGACATGGGAGGGCATCAAGGCGGCCGAGATCCTGCAGCGCGACCACGGCATCGACTGCAACCTGACGCTCATGTTCTCGCTGGTGCAGGCCATCGCGGCGGCCGAGGCCGGCGCCTTCCTCATCTCGCCCTTTGTCGGCCGCATCCTCGACTGGTACAAGGCGTCGACCAAGAAAACGTACTCCAAGGAGGACGACCCGGGCGTCGCCAGCGTCAAGGCCATCTTCAACTACTACAAGAAGTATGGCTACAAGACCATCGTCATGGGCGCTTCGTTCCGCAACACGGGCGAGATCACCGAGCTCGCCGGCTGCGACTACCTGACCATTTCCGTAAGCTCATGTCCATATTTGTAGAATGGATTCATTGCTAACATCTGACACACAGCCCAACCTGCTCGAGGACCTCGTCAACTCGGACGCGCCGGTGCCCAAGAAGCTAGACGCGGCCGGCGCAGCAGCGCTCGACATTGAGAAGAAGTCATACATCAACGACGAGCCCACGTTCCGCTTCGACTTCAACGAGGACCAGATGGCCGTTGAGAAGCTGCGCGAGGGCATCAGCAAGTTCGCCGCCGACGCCGTCACCCTCAAGGACATCATCAAGGCCAAGCTGCAGTAGGTTTGCCTGGTTCGGCATGAACAGCGCCTGCTTCGATATCATGATAACCTGGCTCGGTGGGACCAAGCCCTATATGACAAGGAAGACGCACTGGAGGAGTTTAAAATGACGTACTCTCTGGCTGATATTGCTAGTCTTTGTGCGTTATTGTGGTCGCCGCTGCTGGTGCTGCTGCTGTTCTTGCGGGTTAAGTGGTGATTTTGCGCCGCCAACGCGCGCACCACATGACGAAAGAATGAAAACAAATACATCTTTATCTATTTTTTGTGCTGCTGGCTCTGTTTGTTGCCTGCTCTTTTGCGGGACTATAAGATGAAATTATTTGTCCTTGATGCGGGCAGGCGAACGCAAAGATGGGTATTTATATACATATTCAGAGAATATCAATAGATGTCATTTTTTTTCTGGGTGTATAATGCTGTGTTGTGCCGATATGCTGTTTTGTTGTGTCGACTGGGGAGTGGTGCCTGCATTGCGGTCGAGAGTGAGGTCGGTGATTCTACCGAGAGTGAGGCTAGTGAAGATGTGTGGGCTACTAGATTGGAGTGAGTGGGTTGATACTGATGAGTGAGAGCTGGTGAGTGATACTCGTCAGGGCTCCTAAAGCCCCCGCCAGACCAACGGGTTTATTTACCTACCGCCCTTGGTCCCGGCGTTTCGGAAGCCTTGAAGAGGAAGTAGGCGGGGATTGGTCGGTCATATATATTATTATATCCCCAAGATCCTTGTTGTTGCTTTCATCCGAGTCGAGTCGAGGAAATTTAGTAGACCCCTTCTTGTTCATCGGTCGATGTCCTGTAGTTGTAGCTGGATGTTATCGAGAGCGAGCTTGCCTGGAGCTGGTTTGTATTTGGGAATGGTTGTGGTTATGTGTATGGCTATGGTTATAGTAGATGTGAGGTGAAAGACGGCGGTTCTCGCCAGCCTTAATGTCGCTGGGCTACCTAGGTAGGGCAGGTAGGTATCTAAGAACTTCACCTACTTCAACGAGATAGTGCTATAGAGAGTTATCAACGCAATTTGTTTATTCGTCACGGAATATAACCGAGTGTAGCGGCATTGGGACTTCCGCATCGGTAGGCCTCTCTCCTGTGTCTGCCTCTATTATTGTTTATTTTCTACCCCCCATTTCTCCTCTCGTATTGCTACCCCATCCACTGTTTTCGGATTGTCCCGATCTCCAACGAAATTACTCATAAAACTCGGGGGTTACAGATGCCTTCCCGAATACAAAGCAGCCAAGTTGACAATGTAATCCCAGAAGGAAACCCACTGACACACGCAACAGCGTATTGGAAGTCGAGCGTTTATTTTCTCGTGGCTCTCGGGATTAAATTTAAACGAAGTGTTTATACTCCAAGCTGGTGCCCGAGCAATAACAAACAAGTAAAGAAAAATAAAACTCAGCAACAAAGCAAAGCCCTGCCAATCGCTTTCCTCGCCCTGCCATGCTATGCCACACTACGCCATGCCAGCTATGCTATGCCATGCAATCAATGGTCTACAAGGGGTCGCCCCCTCCCATCATCATGCTGCCTCTCTAGAATGCATCCTACCGCCCTTTCTCTCCATGACCGAGTGACTTGAAGTAGTAGCCGACTTGCGTCTGTACTCTGTACGTACACAACTGCCGCTCCAAACGTACGCTTCTAGTCTGAACACTGGCGAACCCAAAAGGAAAGAGAAAGGAGATAGAAGAAAAGACGGAACCGCCAACCGATATCAACATGCAAGCTACTTCCCCTCGCCGCCGCCGCAATCAACCTGCACAATACGATGAGTGATGCGCACTCCCTCACCGTCTCCTTCGGGACTGGCCGTAGCCGCAACAGCTTCGATGACCAGCGCAGACAGCTGGCGGCCGTGGCCACAGCCAGAGTCGAGGCCAAAGGCGTACCGGATGCCCTTAGCGTGCTTGTGCGGCGCCTTCTTCTTTTTCTTGTTCTGCTTGTTGCTCTTCTTCTTGCTTGTGCTGGCGCCCGCGCTGTTAGTAGCAGCAGCAGCAGCAGCAGCAGCATCGTCATCGTCGTCGTCGTCGTCTTCCATTCCGCTGCCTTCGTCGTCACTATCGTAGTCGGTCGGCAATGCCGCCTCTGCCGCGCTGATGTCAACCTCTAGGTCCGCCTGCAGGCCGGCCTTTGCGTCATGGCCGTAGACGACCACGACGCGGTCCTGCTCGGTTCTGATGGCGTTCTGCGCGCGGTTCCACGCATGACTCCATGGCTCGCCCTCGCGGCTGTCGACCGGCACCACAGCCGCGGGCTTCTTCTTTTTCTTGTGGCGAGCTTCCTCCGTCGCCGCCTCGGAGGCCGCCGTGGCTTGGGCTTCGACGCTGGAGAGGTGGTAGTGGGGGCGGCGCGGATGGTACACCAGACTCCGCATGTTCATCACCGCCCAGCGGTCCTGCTTCTCGAGGGCCACCGACGGCACCAGGCCCGCGTGCACAACCACGATGGTCCCAGCGTTCCACGGCGGTGTGGTGGCGCCCGGAAGTCCCCCGCTAATGCGCAGGGCAATGGGCAGCGCGGCGAGCCAGTTAAGCTGCGCTTTGGACAGGGTGCGGGCCACAGCGCGGGCGTGTTCGTTCGCAGCCTTAGCTTCTTTCTCCGCTAGAACGCTGTCGACGGCTTCGCCGCCCTCGTCGCCGCCCTCGTCTGCTTCTTCCTGCTCCTCTGCCGTAGCCTGCAGCGAAGAGATGCGGCCCGCGGCCCGCAGCACGTTCTCATCGTGGTTGCCACGCACGGCGCTCGCCCCGAGGTCCATGGCCAGCTGCACTACACCAGCGCTGTCGGGTCCCTTGGTCACAATGTCTCCGGCCAGGACGAGGTGGTCGCTGCCGCTGCTGGTTTCGGCGGTGTCAGCCTCGGCATTGGCGGTGTGGCGACCGTCGGGGCTGAAGCGGGAGTTGTCAAAATCCAGCTTGGTCAGGAGGGCGCGCAAGGCCGCCAGATGTCCGTGGACGTCGCCGACGATGATGAGGCGCTTCGTTGTCGGCTGCTTCTGCCTCTGCTTCTTCTTGTTCTTCTTGCCGGTGCGCGTCTTGCCGCCGTCGTCCTTTCCCGGCGCTGGCGGAGCAGAAGGGATGAACCGCGCGGGCAGATCGCCGATGACGATGGGCTGCTGCCGCGTGGCTGTTGCCGAGTCGCCCTCTGCCTCGTCGGTAGCCATGATCGGCCTTTGCTGGTCCCGGAAGTTGTCAATGTCTTTAGAGGGCTGGGAATACTGGTAGTCTGACGGCGCTGCTGATGGCAACGGCACTTGGGTCACTGCGACGAAAGGAGTCTGCGGTTGGACATGGAAAAGACTCGGTGTGGTTGCAGCGCGGTACTCGTCTGCGGGCCCGTTCGCGTTTGTGATTTTGTCGTTGCTGCGGTCGCTGTCGCTGTCACTGCCACTGCCACTGCCACCGTCGTGGCTGCCTTGGTGGTGTTTGTTTGGGCTGGGGTCCTTCTCCGAGGGCAGCCGCGACGTCATCATGGCAGGATCTTCTGGAGCCACCCCTAGCCGCTGCTTCCCGGTCGGGGAATTCAGACCCAGGCCCAGGCCCAGCCCGTCGGCAGCCGACAGGCGCGTCGCGACCAGATAGATCGCCACGACGGCCACGGCCACGAGGCCGAAGAAAACCGTTGTACCACGCCGGTGGCGGTGGCGTTGGCGGAACCGTGCAAATAGCGCGAAAGCCATCCTGCGCCGACGCCCTCTTTTCAGCGTTGCGCGCACATGAAGTCGACCCTTTGGCTTTTCCCCCTCACGCTCCAAAGGTCGCTAAGTGGATTTTCCTTCGTCAATTAGTTTGCAGGTGGGACAATGCATGAGCTAGTCCACTCCAGTCACACCGCAGTTGGTGCTTGAAGTTTTGTTGGTTGAGCAGAGGACGAATCGTTCGGTGAGGATGGATTGGAAAAGCAGAGAGACCCTGCCGTTCATCGCCTTCTTAGCCTCCGTTCGCGTCCCTGCCTCCCTCGCCAGAACGGAGAATAGGTCCGCCTTTTGCTTTTTCTCATTATGTACTACACATCTCTTCGTGAACATGATTTACTTCACCAATATAGTTACGTGCGTCTTCGTATGTAGTAACATTAACTCCGTAATAGTCATTACAGCCTCTGACTTGACCGGCGATGGGCTTGCATCAAGGTCAAAAGGAATGCGCCACTTGACTAAATCCCCCGAAGCTAGGCGTTTGCCCAAAGGCGTTTGGATGATTACTTTACGCGAACAGATCTATATGGTCGCTGTCGCGGGGCCTTTGGCCTGGAGACGCGGGTCTGCTCAGATGCACAACACCGACAGCCTGTCTCCCGAAAGGTGTAAAAACATAGTGGAGACCAATTGTATGACATGCCAGTGTCTTCACTGCATGCCGAGTTAATATAACATACAATACACGTGCCGAGTCTCAAAACACAAGTCTACAAGCCGGTATGGCTTGTTCATGCCTCCAGCTCGGCCCAGGACGACTTCCATACCGCACCGGGCTTCACTTTACCACTACCTGGCGGAGAGACGGGACTTAGTAGTGTTCTCTCGAGCGATTTGGCCGTCAACCATTCTCAGAGGAGATGGCGAGTTTTCTTTCTGTGCCAGAACTTTGGGCAGAGCCATTAATGTAACCACCCATCCACCGTAAAAACGCCTGCCGTCTGTGCTTTCGCCCCGGTCCCCAAGAAAACTATTGTCGTTGTACAGTATGTATGATCGGCAGAGCTGCCCAGCTCAACCGCCACCCGGCCGCTCGGCTCCGTCTCCCCAGCTCAGCAGTGCCTGGTATGCGTCGCAGCGATCCGTTCGTCTCGCAATCGTCATGGCTTGGTCCCCTTGCTGGCAGCCGCAGCCGCAGCCGCAGCAGCCGCCGTAGCAGCGCGCTCCTTCTCGGCTTCGACCTCCCTCCAGTCGGGCGGGGCCATGCCGGAGCCGTCGGTGACGCCGCGGCCGCCGGCAAAGGCCGACTTGCCGGCGTAGAGCTGGTATCCGTCGCCCGTGTTGTCGGCGTCCTGCAGCTGGCGGAAGGTGACAGGCTGGTTCCCGCGGAAGCGCTTGCGCATGTCGACCATGCCCCTCCGGCACTCGCCGAACCCGCGCTTGAGCTGCTGGCACTTGGTCGGCAGCTCGTCGACTAGCGGCGGCCGCAAGCAGTCGGCCGCCGAGTGTCGCTGCACCATGACGCACTCGGACTCCTGGAGGCACTGCGCCAGCGCCGCTCCTGCATTTTTGGGGGTTGTGCCGTCAGTCAATTGGCCCAGCTCAGCCTAGCCTAGCTAATCTGGCACAGGGTTGCTGGTTGCGTGCGGGTTTCTAGGAGGGGCTGTGAGCACTCACGGATCTCCTTACATGAGCTCGGCATTGTGTGGTGGTTGCTCGAGGTTGGACTTGTCAGTCGCGAGATCGATCTCAAGGCTTGACTGGCGGGCCACTGCTCTGTCGTTTGAGAGAATCGCCCGAGTCTTCCAGGGAGCTTGGGGCGCCGTGCGGTCCGAGCTGCCCTGTCCCTCGATACGGCTAGGTAGGCTACCTAGCTAGCCGATTGGCTGGAGGCGATGTAAGGTACATACAGCCCTTGAGCCCGTACGGGGCACCCCCGTGTTTTCCAGCTGCGGAGCGCGGTGCGGGATACGGAATACTGTGTAATACGCTCCTCGCTGGCGCCCCCTTTTCTAGCTCGGTTCAAGAATGTTTTTCCCCATGGTTCATAGCCCACCCCATGAGTTTGCTTCCATTTTAGCGGAATCTTGCTTCCATAATAAACTGGGGACAACAGCCCGTCCATCTCACAGAACCGGCTGCAAGACATTGAGGCTCTCGCTTGCCTTGCTGTCGAAGTACCAAACGAAGTAGTCGTGCCTTGCAGCGGTCTTGGGCATCCCATCCCAGCGGCCCACCGCCTTTGGAGGGCAAGCGCAGCAAGAGGCCGTTTCGCATGTGACTTGCGTGACATCACAGGGTCTCTGTCACACCAGCCTCCAGCCCACCCCACATTCATCATCTGCAGCCCAGGTATTCCATACCACCTCCATTACGAATACTTAGTCGCTCTTTCTTGCGAAGCAACTTAACCTTCGACGACCCCGGAACCTCTCCCGACTGCCTTGGAAGCGCCGCACGGAATTCCGTTCGATCCAGAGAATGTCTTGCACGGTGAAGAGCGCCACTCCCTGCTAATTTTCCCTTACATATCCGCGAATACAAGAGAAAAGCAGCCAACATCTACATTTGATCCGCCACCGGGTCCCGCCCGCGCGTCAAACTCCTGTCGTATTTATTGTATTCAACTTCAACCACACAAGCTGCGCCGATGCATTACAGTAGCTAGAGTCGCTGGGAAGTCGCCAAGATGCCTGTTCCCTTTCTGGGGCGTTTGAACATGTGAGAAAGACAAGATGGCCCATCCTCTCTCCTTGCCGCCTTCTTTGCCGCAATGCCCCGTCCGTGCGGTGCCCGTAAGCATTTGGCTGACCGCGTGTCCATGGCTGCCCCCGGCGCAGCACCGAGTATGCCGCGCTCGTCGGATCGTTTTTGCTCGTAGGGCTCGAGGCTCTCATTCGCGTCTTGACTCTTGCTCTTCGTAAGCACTTCTGCTATTCGAAATGCCTACCTTATCTAGGCACCGTAGCTAACAGCCCCGAAGCATCCTCACTCCTCGCCGTCTTCTACGGGATATCGCGACGTCTGTTTAACAGACTGACATCTCCGCAGCAAAAGCGGGCCGAGCAGAGAAGAAGATGTACGTGCCCTGCCAACCCCGTCTGTCCCACGCTAGTGCGCGCCGCTGACACTCCGAGACATCAGCCGTGTCGGCGTCGATTCGCGATGCCTCCGATTTTGTTGACATATGTGCCATGTTCGGCTACACTGCCGAGGAGCACGTAGTGCAGACCGAGGACGGATATCTCCTCGGCCTGCACCGGCTGGCATGGCGGAAGGGCGAAGAGGATGTGAGGGTCAACCGCGGCCCTAACAGCGTCAAGAAGCGAGTCGTCTACCTGCACCACGGCCTTCTCATGAACAGCGAGGTGTGGGTCTGCTTGACAGACGAGCAGCGAGCCCTGCCGTTTGTGCTTGTTGACCACGGCTTTGATGTTTGGGTAAGGAGCCTCCCCCTCCTTCTTCCTCTCGTCCAATCCTTAGCAGGGATGTATGCCAATGACAGACCACGTGAAGTTAGGGAATAATCGCGGCAACAAGTACTCGAAGAAGTCTATCAAATGTTCGCCCACCTCGCTCGAGTTTTGGAACTTTTCGATCGACGAGTTTGCCTTTTACGACATCCCCGACAGCATCAGCTACATCCTAGACACCACGGGTCAGCCATCGTTGTCGTACATTGGCTTCTCGCAAGGCACTGCCCAGGCATTCGCCAGCCTCGCTGTCCATCCAAAGCTCAACGACCAGGTCAACGTATTCATTGCTCTCGCGCCCGCCATGTCCCCTGCCGGCCTCTCCAACGGCATCGTTGACGCGCTGGTCAAGGCCTCGCCCCAGGTCTTGTTCTTGCTCTTCGGGCGCCGGTCAATTCTCAGCTCTGCCACCATGTGGCAGTCGATCCTGTACCCGCCCTTGTTCACCAAGGTCATCGATGTCGGCCTGGCCTTTCTGTTCAACTGGAAGACGCAAAACATCAGCACTTCGCAGAAGCTTGCTGCCTATCCCCATCTGTACTCGTTTACCAGCACCAAGTCGGTCGTCCACTGGTTCCAGATCATCCGCACGAAGTCATTCCAGATGTTCGACGACGACGTGCACCCGCCCATGCTGCTGTCCTCCAGCAGCAAGTACACCAAGGTGGCAAAGTATCCCACCCGCAACATCAAAACGCCCATCGTCCTGGTGTACGGAGGTAGCGACTCGCTGGTGGACATCAAGGTCATGCTCCGCGAGCTGCCAAGTCAGACAGTCGCCATCGAGATTCCGCACTACGAGCACCTCGACTTCCTCTGGGCACGGGACGTTGACTCCCAGGTTTTTGGCCACGTCTTCGATGCTCTCGAGAGCTTCACGGGCGCTGAACATACCAAGGAAGAGTTTGAAAGGTACCGCAGCGCGAGGCACACCAGCTTGATCTCTAGGAATTCGTTTGGACGGCACGCCGCTCGGGGCAGCGATGTCGTCGACAGCGATGTGAGCACCGCGGTGGGCTGGAGCAACGAGGACGACACCCCGGTCGGGCCCGGCGAGGAGCACGAAAATGAAATTGCAGAGAGGTCCGATTTTGTGCCCGAAGGCCGGCCCGATACCGCGATGGTCAGGCAATCACACCAGGCCCGTGAGAGCCAAATCCCCTCGCCGAGTGCCACGTCCCGGCTGGCCAAGCCCCGCGGACTCCGGGTCGCGATGCCGGACGAGGACGGCTATAGCCGGCACAGCCCGAGCCCCTCGGCGTCGAGCACGCGAGCCGCTCGTCTCGACGAATCGGTGGGGACCGAGGCGACGCTGGACGGGATGCAGGACCGCGACCTCGACTTTGAACCCGTGTCGCCGGCGACGTCGATAAAGCGTAGGAGCGTTGGCGAGTGCCAGCTAAGCCTGGACTCGATGAAAAGGGGCCGCGGGATCAGTCTCGGTGCCAGTAGGTTTCCCGAGACCTAGTTTGCTGCACCGCGATTTGTTCTGGAATTTTGCAACCAACCGGAAAGAAAGAAAGGCCCAAGTAGCTTGGTTCTTTTCTGCCCTTGGGTCCGAAAACACTTCTTTTACTCCCCGTCCCCATCCCACACAGATAACCCAGTCCCTTGCGATTTTCCCTACTCTATTGTGTCCGATTAGCGGGATCGCTGACTTGCGGGTGACAGGTAAAGCTGTTGGAGGCATTACTACTAGCAGTACTGACATTGCCGCCCTCGCGGGCAGGTCGGATCATGGGGCTGGGTTACGGCGGACTTCGGGGAAGAAGTAAAGAGAAGAGGGGAACAGAGTGTGTGTGCACCGGCGTTGAAACAACATGCCACCCACCTTTTGTCTAGGGGAGATGTGTAATCCCATATGTATTGAAAATGGGAGAGAGGGTGATAGGGGGAGAGGGGGAGAGGGGGAGAGGGGGAGAGGGGGAGAGGGGGAGAGGGGGAGAGGGGGAGATGCGGAGGGAACGGACAGAGAATTGTTGCCGGGCCTTGGGATGGGCTGCGTCAGTTGTGGTATGCGAGCAAGCCTCTCCCCCCTTCTCTCTCCCCCTTGTCTAAAAACAACACAACAAATACACGCGGAACCGGGTAGATGTATACATACATGCTTGTACTTGTAAAGCTACGCTACCGTACAGAATGGAAGGGCTAAACTATTTATACATGAATATAAACATCACTGGGATGCGATTGCTGTTAGCTGGGAGACTATGTTTGTGGCCTCGATATATTTCCGTTCAATAACGAGTAGATGGGAAAAGGCAGGGGCTTCTCCTTACGCCACGTCTACCGCAACAGATCGAGATAGCGTGAAAGGGGCAAGCTAGCTGTTGCGTTTCCTTGCATGATAGGATGATGGGATGATGATAGATCGACAGTCCACGTTCAGCTGGCTCCCCCTGTGCACACAAACCACGCACAGCAGGTCGGCAAACTCTTTCCCGAACCGACGGCAGGACGGACGGAACCTTAGCGTGCTGGTGTAATTCTTTCAGGGGCCGAGGTGGCGCCAGGGAGGGATCAGGGGCGTTTAGTTAAGTTAGTTTAGTTAAGTTAGTTGATGGTGCTGGTGCAGCCGTGGTGTGCTTCGCTGGTTTCTCGGGTTTGATATGTAAGGTAGGGAGGTAGGGAGGTCTAGGGTAGGTAGGTAGAAAGGTACATGTAGAGGGTGCTTCAATCGCATTAGCCGTCGTCAATACAACCGGTGATTGCTTCTGAAAGGTGTGTGCCTTTCCTAGCCGACGGGAGAGGGTTCCTATCTACGCGCTGAGACGGAGACGGACAGGTATAACTGGGCAGACATTCCAGCCATTGGGGACATTCTACATGTCCAGATGTATGAAGGTCCGCTGTTGGCCTGCTCTTGTTGGTCTTCTCCAGCCTGAGCTGTCAGCCGTGCTTGGCTACCTACTTAGGCAGGTACCTACGGATACCTTGGGGGGGGGAGAATTAATATACATACATACATACATACATACATGCATAGCCCTAACTAGAACGCTATGCCGGGGGCCGTGACCGCCTGGCGTTTGCCCTCCTAGGGCACCTCATTTCCTGCCGTTTGAGAGGGTCCTCTCGCGTTGCTTGGGCGTAAAACAGGCCGGCCGGCGGTTTATCGGCCATATGAGCTAGACTTCATGAACTTGGCGAGTGAGAATGCCGGCGCGTATTTCTCGGGCAGATAAATCTATTTGTCTCATGAGTATCATCTTCCTAGCAGGGTTGCTCTGTTTACCAACCTTGACATTCTAGTCTGGTAGGGGAAATAAGAGAGGGAGAGGCAGAGAGGGAAAGGATGAAGGGCCTCGGCCAGAGAAGAACCAAACGGATGGATGAACCCTGACGCTAGAGGGAATATCTGTAGCAAGCGCCCCAACAGGGACCGGGAGTTGCTTGCAATCTGATAGCTAGTTCTGGCTCTGTATCGAGACGGCCTGTGCTATTATTCATCTAGGGCCTGGACAGCCTCGGACTCACCGGTGCCCGGCCGGGAGAGTTCTAAGCATATGTATACATACGTGGTACGCATTGGCTCGCTGCCCCTGTATCTCCTTGATGGCGGGAGCTTGCTGCTGCTTCCTCCCGTCCAGTCTTTTGGTTTCTATGTACCGTGAATGTCTTGTTATTGTTACTTGCCTTGTTCATCTCCCGTATCTCGTCTCTTCTCTCTGCCTCCTTGTCAGAATCCCCCCTTCGTCCTCCCTCCCTCCCGGCTCTGGTCTGGGCTAGTTTGGCCGGTATCAAGTGGACAGGAGCAAGCTAATATCTGTATCGTACGGAAATTGTTTGTCGTTGGAGAGTTTTTAGAGGTGTACTCCTTTACACGACGGACCGTGACATATCTTTGACAAAAGGGGGTTAGGGCTTTATTATTACCACCGCCCTCATCGATGCTTTGACTCCGTTTCCTTCCGTTTTGCTCTACAGGTGCAATGGTAGCTAGGCCCCCTTTTGACATATCTTTCTGCTATCAAGTTGCACGCACCCGCCCTGCTCTTCTGCCAGCAAACGCACCTCTGCTTGAGTGCAAACAGTTACCTACCTGCCTAAGGTAAAGCGGCGGGCTTGGGGGCCGCGGTGGATTTCCGCCAAGCCGTTGCACACAGATATCTGACGCGCGTTAGAGCTAAGCTATACGAGACACGATCTAGAGCAAGGACGGGCTGTGGCTCGCGGGGGAGCTCATGGTACGATGGTTGGTTTGGGCTTACTCCAATACGCTGTAGTGGTAGACAGTGCCCAGCGCACATGTCCCGCGCCAGGCCAGGCCCGGAGATTTCACGTTGTGTCGGCGGCTTGGTCCTGAGGCGAGGTGCAGAGAAATTCCAGTGTTTGGCTGCATACCTGGAGAAGAAAGAAATCAGGGAGGAGGGGGGTGGTGAAAGCCGGCAGCGTAAGTTATAACCTAAGTAGGTAGTCGATGGCCCCTGGACGTAAATAACCAAGGTAACTTTATCTTTGGACGGGTCTCTACGACGGGTCGGCCAGAGGGCAATGTTGGTTCCAGACTCTATTTCGGTACATTTCAATCATTTAAACGCGTCTTCTGTATGTTTCTCCCGAACTGGATAAAGTCCGGTTGGATTGCAAGGCGGTGCAGTACGTGTTGCCCCAAGACAGACCAGGTGAGTGATGATTACTTACCTAACCTAGAAGATTACGTGTCGTGGTCACTCGAGCGCGGTCTTGGATGTCGGCGTTATGAAGCCCAAAGGGTCTAGGAAGTGTGTGCGTCCCGCACGGGTATTGGGTATTGATTGTGTATTGTGTGGTTGCAGATGGATTGGACGAAACGACGATTTGGGCAAGGACCAGGGGGTGACGTACGCCTGCGCCGCCGTTATGCTTCGCCCTCAGGTGGCTGGTTACACAACCTAGCGGTCGACGGAAGGTGCCGAATGCGCAGTCGAAACGTCCTGCCCGTCTGGCGGTGGATTGATTTGCTGACGCCGAAAAATACGCAGTGGGCTTGCATGGCGCTTGAAGCATGACCGCTCCTGATTTTCGTGTCGGTGAAGGCCTGCAGTACAGTCCTGGATAGCTCAATTCGTTGATTCGTTATCAAACGGGCGTGTCTTTATTAGGTTTGGTTGGAGACGGCCCGCTCAGTAAACGTAATTTTCAGGAGGCTCAGGGCCTGATTTACCCGCTGCGAGGCTGACTTCCATGGTTCTGGAAGCGGCGCCGTGGGGCCAGTGCCTGCCCATAGCGTGGCATTGCTTGAAAGGGGAGTTGGGATGGAGTCTCGATTGGCAGTCTTCCGAGCTCGATAGCCGGAGTAAATTCGACAAGTATTCTGGCCGGCAGTGCACTTCGAGACCGACTGATAATCAATGACAAGGTCGGGGCCAATGAAAGGGCCTGAGGCCAGCCGCCAACCAGGCTTGCTGCCAGTTGCCAAGCGTTAAGCGAGTGCGAAAGACCACGAAGGACGATGCTCAGCCCCAGCTTAGCTAAGACTTCTAGATTCGGCAGCATCGAGCCGCTTCCTCCCGCGCAGTTGACGTTTAGCGAATGCGAGCTCCATGAGCCAGCCCTAAAGGCTTCCCTGACTGATCATTCTAGGTTGATAGCGCAATGCACCCGCAATACGTATCCACCGCCATCCATGGCAGACAAACAAACTCAAAAGACTCATCTCAAAGACGCGTCGTCCACTCTCTGCTGCATCTGCCAAGACCAAGACCAACAATGCCACGTCCCTGCACTGTGCTCGCACTCGCATCGTCGCCAACCGAAGACGGAACTTAAACAGCGACTTGACTTGGCCTGACCTGACCGACCGCCTGCATTGTTGCCCAGCGCTGCAGGGCCAAGAGAGTTGGGCCCCGTTGGCGATCCAGAGAGGGTGTTCCTACCGCCCGGTATCTATCTGGGCCTAGGATCACAATGCCCTTGTTGGGCATTTTGTCGCGGAGAATCCCACTTTCTGCGGCTCGGTCAGCAAGCGAGCAAGCGCTAAGCGACGCCGCGAGGCTCAACGGCGGTCAACGTACGTATGTAAGCCAGCCAGTCCTTCGGGTATCGTCCACGTCCCACAGTGCTCCCAGCAGAGCTAGGGGCCATCAGTTGCCCCAGCGGGGCGTGGACAGGTCGTCCTGCCCTGACTCCTGTATTAGGTACGTCCTTGTCCGTCGGGCCAAGCAAGCACCCAGCGCTCGGAACCTGGCCGTTGGTCTTGTCATCGCCTACTAGTCCGTCTCGCGAGTGCGAGTGCGTCCAGCCCCCGGCAACCTGGGGGCACAGTGTTGCACTGGAACACATCCTACTGTCCTGGGTATGGAATACCTCGTCGACAGCCTCCTCATTTGCTTCAACGCCCTTGCTCTCATTGGTCTGCGCCAGGCGGGGACTCGTCCTGCCTGTCGCTCCCCCTGCCAACATGGATAACTATAAGACCTTGTGTCACTCATCTCCCATGTATTCGTATGTCTCCTGGATAGCTTAAACCAGAACTGCCTCATATCCATACCATACACTGCCTTTCAATGCACAGTTCGTTCGTTCTTTGAGCATCCTTGATCCAAACATCGACGGCACAGGCCTCGCAACCTCGCCCCCGGAGCCCAAGGTGAAGCCGCTCCCGTATAACTCTCTCCTCATACAACAAGGCTGGACTGGGTAACAGTTCATACATATATCCCCCCGAGCCCTCCCCAAGCCACCCAGACGGGACATAGAGCAGGAAACTTCACCCACTCCGACTCTCGGCACCAGCGAGCCGCATACGACTCACAAAAGAACTAGTCACATAGCCAACGACACCAGTCAAGATGGCCGACGACGACAGAACACCGCCTCCCAATGGCTACAAGACGTGGGGAGAGTTCTGCGCATCGGACCCGACCAACCTCATCTGCGTCAACGTCGATAGCAACTACGAGTACAAGCCTAGCCTGGCGGCCAACTCGCTGTTCGCGGCGCTGCTCGGCCTGTCCATGCTCGGCTTCATCGTCACGTACGCCGTGACGCGCCGCGGCACCGCCTTCACCGTCGCCTTCGTCCTCGGCACCCTCACCGAGGTCATCGGCTACGCAGGCCGCATCATCAGCCACGGCAACGTGTGGGACCAGAACGGCTTCCTCATCCAGATCATTTGTCTTACTATCGCTCCCGCCTTTCTGGCCGCCGGCATCTACCTCTGCCTCCGTCGCATCGTCTACGTCTTTGGCGCCGAGAACTCGCGCATCTCCCCCGCCATGTACACCCGCTTCGTAAGTAACCCCCTCCTGCTAGATCCAACCTTCGTTTTCTGTCTGTCTGTCTGTCTGTCTGCCGAGTGTGGATATTTCATCAGACAGCCCCCCCCCCCCCCCAAAAAAAAAATCGGGGAGGCGAGAAGAGAGAACAGATATTCTAACACAGCCCTTCTAAACAGTTCATCCCCTGCGACGTCATCTCGCTCGTGCTGCAGGCGGCCGGCGGCGCGCTGGCGTCCATCGCCGACAACGACCAGCGGGACCTGCTCAACGCGGGCAACAACATCATGATCGCGGGCCTGTCGTTCCAAGTCTTCACGTTGCTCGTCTTCATCGTCGTGTCGGTCGACTTTGGGCTCAACGTGATGCGGCGGCACCGGAAGCTGGGCGAAGCCTCGCTCGACCAGAGCGAGATGGCCGTGCGCCTCCGCGGCGCCTGGACGTTCCGCGCCGTGCTGGCCGCGCTGGCCCTCGCCACCATCGCCATCTTCTGGCGCTCCGTGTTTCGCGTCGCCGAGCTCAGCGGCGGCTGGGACGGCCCGCTGATGGGCCGCGAGGACCTGTTCATCGGGTTTGAAGGTGTCATGATCGTTGTCGCATGTTTTGCGCTCAACGTCTTCCACCCCAGCGTCTTCGCCCGCGACATCATGGCCCCCGGCTTCGGCAACCTCACCAAGACGGGCGCCAAGCCCGGCCACCAAAAGGTCGAGAGCTACGACCGCGCATACCTCTCCCCCGGCAGCAGCGACACCGAGGCACTACCCATGGGCAACGTGGCGACCCAGGCCCCCGCGGGCTATGCGTCGTCTCATCGCGCTTGATTTTGAGAAGGGGGATGAGCGGGTGTTTTATGATTTTCTCAAAAAGAGATACCACCAAACAAACTCTTGATATATGTCCATGTTTCAGCGGAGGGGGCCGAGGGGGGGTTCCTTTTGTTTTCTAGGTTGGTTAGTTGGTTGGTTGGTTGGTTACTTAGGTTCAATAGATCCCCTAGACCAATATATGTATATCTTCTCTATTACCATTTTGTTTTTCATTAGCGATTTGTCTCTCAAGGGAACCGAGGCGGGAGGGACAACGATTTGGCAGTTTCTTACCTTGCCACTGGAATTCTCGTTTGGGCTTACGATGCGGCATGGTTTCCTTTTTTCCTTTGTTCAGGGAGTGGGACATGATAGACGGCCCGCCCTCCCTGATTAGGTATATTTACTGTGGCCATACCAACATGCCAAGAGGGGGACGACGAGTTAGAGAGATACATAATATAGAATAGGCTTTTGCTAATAGGATACTATGGTTCACGTACACCCAACGCAAAGAGATTGGTCAGCAGTGACAAACACCAAAACGCCCAGTTTATATTTATCACCGCATTAACTACGTTACGTGTCTATTACGGCATGTCTATCCATGTACAATCCATATACTCCCGACGAGAAAAAACACACGTCTATTCGTCATCCCAGTGCCTGCGGCTGATGATGATGGGGCGGGCGGGGTCCCAGGGGCCGTAGATCTCGTTCTTGTACTTTTGCAGGCCGATGAGCCACCAGCTGCAGCCGCCCATGGCGACGGCCGAGATGAGGCAGGCGACGACCATGCCCAGCAAACCCTTCTTCCAGGGCCAGCCGCGCTCGTCGCCGAGGATCATGCCGACGCCGGCGCCGGCGCCGAGGACCAGCAGCACCGTCAGGGCGACGTGGTAGCGCCAGCTGCGGTGGCGGGCGTACCGGCGGAAGACGGGGAAGAGGCCGAAGACCTCGATGCTGAACAGCGTCAGGCTGAACACCTGGCCCGTCGACGGCAGGCGGCTGGCCAGCACTGTCGACGCCATCAGCGCCGCGTTGGTCGACAGCGACGCCACCGAGACCTTGTGCACCCCGACCCACGTGCCCGAGTAGTCGAAGAAGAAGACGTTGATGGCGAGCAGCCAGAACGAGATGGCCCAGATGCTGTCCGACGACGTCGACCGCGTCAGCGACTTCAGGATGGGTGACAGCCCCAGCAGCGTGAAGTAGATCAGCATGGCCGACTTGATGGTGCCAACGCGCAGGTAGACCCTCCCTCCGCGCGAGGGCGAGTCGTCCCGGAACCTAGACGCTCCGCGCGTCTCCCCGCTACCCGTCCCGGAGCGGGAGACGCCGGCGGCAGAGCCGGTCACGCTGGTCTGGGAGGCGGCCGAGTGCACGGAGCTGGCCGACTTCGAGTGCGCGTGGCTCGGGCTCAGCAGGCCGCCGACGCTGGTGGTGCTGCTGCCGCCATACTGACCCAGGTGGGCGGCGGGCTGCAGCAGGTTGGAGGTGGAGCTCGCGGCCGAAGGGAAGTTTGAGGTGCTCGAGATGCTGGTAGTGCTGACGCCAAGCGCGGCCGGCAAGCCGGGTCCACCGGTGTCGTGGCGCCGAGTGCGAAAGGCGGGCGGGCCACGCATGCTCCCCACCCGCGAGATGGCGCCGTCGGCCGAGTCCCGGTGGCTCTCCTCCTGCGTCACCCACCAGTCCCACAGCAGCCAGCCGATAAAGGTGGCAAAGCTGCCCCATCCCACCACCGACACGGGGCTCACGCGCTCCTGGAAGATTCCCACGAAGCAGACAACAAAGATGATAACGGAGCAGACGTGCTGCAGTATCACGGTCGAGTCGGCGATCAGCGGCCAAAAGTCGTAGGGCTGGACACGCGGGTTCCGCTGGAGGTTCTCGAGAAACGTGGCTTGATCAGTGTAGTTGTCGGGATCTGCCGGGCACAGAGAGTGAGAGAGTGTGTGAGCAAAGACAACGCCAAGAATTACGAATTGAAGGGGGCGTACATGATTGCTTCACCCATAGCAGCTTCTGGAAACGCTTCCGCCTCCTGCTCCTGCTGCGACTTGCGTCCTTGGGCTGTCTGTGGCGGCGGGGGCGCGACTCGTTCCCGGAGCCATTGCCGCCGCTTTCGAAGCCGCCGCCAAGCCGGCGCGGGGGCGAGGCCGATGCCGAGACGAGGGCATCGCCGGGGACCAAGAGGCGCGAGGAGGGGTCAGGGCGGCGTGAGGAGGCGGCTGCGGCTGTGATGCTGTTGTTAGAGGTGACGGGGGCGGTCGAGGAGCGGACCAGCCCTGGCAGCGGCAGCGGCAGCGGCAGCGTCTCGAAGTCGGTGGGTATCGCTGATTGATGGAGGCCCGAGGGAGGGGCCATAGGTCATAGGAGCGTCTCCTCCATGCAGTCGTCGCGGGTCGCGCGGGGGGTTGCAGGCGCTGGCTTCTTCATCGAATCGCGACGGGGGATGCTAAAACAAACTTTGCCTTTGGTCCGACTGCGCAGCAAGCAAAAGACAGGTTTCACCATCCTAGACCTGCAGGCGGTTTCGGTGGAGACGGCACGGCATCTCGATAAACCTGTCGCGCTCGGACCATCCTCCAAGTGATTAGCCTGCGATTGCCGGATTACATAAGGTGCACACACTGGCCAGAAATACGTAGTCCGAGCTGCCACTGCGATTTGACTTTTGAGCATCTGACCACTACATCGAGACTGTCCAGCTCTCGTCGCTTTCTGCTCCAGGCTTCACAAAATTGTGACATCCGAGGGCAAGAATCCGATCCGGGGTGTCTATTGCGGCGGCGCACCCTGGTATTTGTCGTTCTATTCCGAGGAGTCGTCCATCAGAGTGTGGAGACGCTCGCCGATGCCAAGAAGAGGATTTACAGTCTAACACAGCCTCGGGCTGCTAAGCCTCAATTCAGGGGTTGACTTGTGATCTCTGATCTCTCAGAAGCTGAATATCAAGGGGCTCTTCCGCCCAGTGATTTGTGCACGAGCTTGGACCTCAAGGTCTCAGTTGCGTCATATCCATAGCCATTCCCCTCGCTTTGATCCTCCAGAATGGCACGGCAGGTGGACGCGAGGTTGAAGAAAGGAAAGAAGAAAACGAGGGCCAGGATATTCCCGAGATGAAACTCGCGCTAGTAAATCGCGGGCCTTTTAACTATACGGGCAGACGTCGAGACAGAGGCTGGGCATCGCAGGCATTGGAATCCCAGTTGCAGTTCATCAGACGCGGTTTCTCGCCATTGGGCGAGACAGCGGGGCCCCCGCGCAACCGAGCATTCCCCTGTTGCATTCCAGAAGCTTGATCGATCAATGGAAAGAATCGGGAGCGGCCTTTTCTCAGGGGCCTTTCTTGGAAGCTCTGGTCGAGATCGCCACCGGGAGCGCCCAGAGTTTTGCGACATTCAACTTGCGGCGGGGTTACGAGTTTCGGCGACGATCCCAAGATACCTTACCTAACCACGCTACGGCCAAACAAGGCAAGGCAGATATCACTCTTCCTCAATCTGCCCTCTAGATCTAGCCAACAATCTGTGTGGTCTCTATGGTGGATGAATACGCAGGACAATGACGCGGCAAGTGATGGTTGATAATCAAGCTGAGTGAAAGTAACCCGAGCCCTAGGATCGGATGCCAGATGAGCCCCAAACGCGAGCCGCCATTCAAGTTGCTTCATGGAGCAAAACATCAACAGTCGGTGAATCGCTGGGCGTACGTTGCCTCGTTTGTCTTGGCATGCACTGCTTGGGTGTTCAGGAGCACTTGATACGCGTGTCTTAAGAGTCTTGGCAGGGTCTCGCAGGTCAGGAATCAACGACGGAGATGTTGCGGGTCGATAAACGAGGCATTCTTGAAAGGCGTTTTCCAAAGGAATACGAGACTGTCTCTGGCTCTGTCTCTTGACCTTCTCTTTTGAACCCATGAGAGAGAGAAGGCGACGGGGTGGCCGGGTAACTAAACCCCATGGCGAACCTTGGTTTGGGCAGCGGGCAGTTTTGCGGGGGCTTGGCAGCTGTTGTGAACGCCGTCAAGCCTCTCCCGCAGCAGTTTCTAGTCTGCCGTGGGGCATTGACGGAAACGCCGCAGGGCATGAATTCGGAATGCGCCGGACAGATGGGGCAGACCCTGGAACAAATGGAAGGGTTTCCACGATGGACGCTTGCGTGCGTCCCGCGTATTTGTGCGAGAGACGACTAGATGACCCGCGTGGACGCCGCCTTGCCTTGCTCCTGGATGTCAGGGGATGAAGCCACTTGCCAAGTTGGGACAGTTGAGACCACTTCATTGGGGGGGCTGGCGGCGCTAAGTGGGCCTGGGCGAGCCTGTGAGGTTGCCTCGGAGGCCCAGGAGCGTTTCGGCGGGGCGGGCGGCTTCGCTTCAACCACTGTACCTACCATTTGCGGAGCGACATTTTCTCTGAATTACTAGGCACCGCATTCGATCTCGCATGCGCGTGTCTAGACCCTCCGTGGAAACATTAGACGGGCACGCAGAACTCGTATCCCACCAGACCTGGCCGTGCCGCTACGAGCCACTAGAATGAGTGCCAGCGTCACGGCAGGTGCATTAGCTACTCATGCTACTCATTTCTAGTCAGTATCGGGTGGCATCTAGTCTTGACGGGCCCCATAGACAGTCGCCTGCCCCGGGCTTGATGGCACCTCAGTGGATCCGTTCCAGGTGAGGTCCAGTTTCCATCTTAGTGGCCGCAGGGCCTAGGTGCCTGCCGCCAGGCAGACAGACAGACCACCGTAGCGATTGGATTGACGGCAGCTGTCTGTCAGTCAGGCCGGCGGCTGCTTCTGCTTCTGCTGCCGGCACGCTGCGCCGGGAATGAAAGTTGATGCGCCTCATCCCTTCTCGGACCTTTTGTCGTGGGATCTGCCCTGGCCTGCTGGCTGCTCGTCTTGGGACATGCGACCCTGCGCAGTTTCCGCTTCCGACGATGTAAGACCCGTTTATGAAGTGAGATGTTCTACCTCTTTTTTCTCCCTGCCCGCTCTCGCTTTGTTCTGCCCACCCTCGCGTCCCGTCGGCTCTCTCCCTCTTTGTTTCTTCGAGTCGCGATAATTACCACTTCGACTCAGAAGCCCGCCCCAGCACGTCGACGCTTTTAGGCTGCTGCATTCCAATAAGACGTGGCACTCAGCATCCGACGTCCCGCCCCCAGATTCCCTCCCACTGGTGGCGGCATTTTATAGATTGGCTGTCTGGTGCTGTCTGTCAATTATCCGGAGCCCCTCTGCCCGTCCTACATTGGAACCCCAGTGTAACGGTAGTGCAGGCCAAGACTTCCAGAGCAGCGACCCTTGCTCGCTCTACCTGGGGTAATCGGTTCGGACGTGCCTCGGGTCTGGTCTGGCCCTTTCGCGGCTCGTTATATGTGCTCGACGCCCTGTCTGCTCCGTGGGACTCGTATCACATACACCAACACTCGCCTTATCGACCGCTCCACCGCCCAGAGTCGCCCGTCGTCATCATGAAGCCAAGGAGTCTCTACCTCGCGCTTGGCCTCGTGCCAACGGCCCTATGCGCACCTGTGCCAGCCGTGCTAGTAGAAGGCATCGAGACTGCCCCTGAAACATCAGCCTTAGCGCAGGCGCTATCGAGATTCCATCCAAAGCACAGCTTTTTCAGATCCGCCCCTGAGGTCGTCGGAGAAAGTGCTCCATCTCCAGCACCATTCGATAACCGTCCTTTCACCCCTACGGCCTCGGACAAGCCCTCAGACGTACTCGCGTTGCCGCGCCCGATAGCCACTGACTACCTCCTCTCGGCTACTTCAGACGGGAAGAGCCACGGCTCTGCCGCCGCAACGCCAGGGTCAGATGCTGACGACTCGTTTACGATCACCGAGATGGAGGTTACCGTTGGGATCCCGTCACAGGGCATGCCGTGTCGCCGCGCGCGCCTGTCACGAGACCGCAACGACATGCTTGCCGTCTTGCTTGCCGTGACCTTCCTCGCGGTAGTCGTCATGGTCGAGACATGGGCATCTGTCTGCCGCAGGTTAGTAAACCCACCTTAGGCTCTCGAGCGTCACTGCGCAATAGTAGCGCCCACATGGCAGCCAGCGTTGCTAAGTCTAAACAGTGCACGGTACCTGTTTTGCAGGCAGGGGGCCATCCGGCTCGAGGAAGATAGCACGCGCCAGTTGCTATCAACTGGGGCGGCCACTGACGACTCGATGGAGGGGCTGGGGGAAAAAGACGACTGCGAAGCAAAATTCAGGTGACGAAACGGAAGGATGGCACCTTGGCAGGTGTTGGAGAGATTCATTTCTCTTGTTTTCTTGTTATCTATTCTTTTTAGTTCCCACTTTTTTAAATCCTTTTCCAGCAGATCAAATGGCAGGCGAGACTCATGGTGTCATAATTGTCAAAGGGACACGGCGTTTTGTGCTGGTCATACCAAATGTGGCTTGGGTTATCTCGAGGAATTTCTTTTGAGTATTGGGAATTACGCATCCGGAGGAGAAGAACGGGGTGCATGAATTTCAACGGGGGACAGACATGTCAGAGGAGCATGGCCATTGTGGTGATTCCGGGTGGGCGCGATAGCATCGACAGGCAGATGAAGAAGACGGAGCCGAGGGTCATACAGAGACTGGGTACTGGCGGCCAGCTTCGGGAGTTGGAAATTAAATCTTGCTGCATCTTGGGAGGCAACCAAGCGACAAACTCACCGCCTGACAATCTGACTTGTACACTACGACCCCTGGATGTTTGTTGACGTGGTGTTTGGGAACATACCGGCTACTTTAATAGGTATTTCTAGAGAATGGATACGCCTCTGAGGTTCTGAAATAAGGATTTTAATAGCTTTTACCCCCCTCGGCGAAAACCCTTTAGAGCGACGCGGCTCGTAAAGTATCGAGGCCTTTCAAATCTTGGAAAGTCCCCGGATAACAAACATTCAAGGATTGGATGGTACCACCGACTTGGACGAAATATGCCGCAAGTTAATTGCCGGTACGGATAATATAGATGACTTTCGTCGCCCAACAACGGTAGGAGTCTGAGCCATAGGTACTTAACTTACCTAGTATTTATATCCGTACAATACAATACAAAGTGCTGACATGGAGACCGATTTGAACCGCTGCCGCCGATGGAACATGGATGGTCGGGACGAGCGTGGGAACTGAATGGGCTGGCGGCACATGTCATGCCATGCCTGCCATGCGACGGGACGAATTTGTGGAGAAGACTGACTTTGACTGGCAAAAATAAATAAGGATAAAGCTTCTCCCGTCAGCTTTCCCCTCCCTTCCCTTCCCGGCTCCCGTGAGCTGCCCGATCCCGCAGCCATTCTCCTGCTGGCTGGCCCGAGTCGGCCGCTCAAGCCCAACGGGTCCCGGCGCCCGCAAAGCAGCCACTCACGGAGCCTGGTGATTACCTCCCTAGTTTTACTGAGGAGTACCCAGTGTAACGGTCAACAGGGTAGCGCGTGCCTTGGGTCTAGTTTCACTTTCAGGCTTTTGGTTCTGTCTACACAGTAGTAATATCGAGGAGCAGAGCAGAGCCATACCTTTTGCCTCGCCAACCTCGTTGATGCCAGGTTCGGGCTAACCTAGGTGCTCTACCTTTACTAATTGCCCCATCGCGGTTATTATTATTGCTGTTATAATTACGGATCTGCTTGGTGATCAGATAGAAGGAAGGCCGATAGCCTATCGCAGCGCGAGGACCGGCGTCAGAGTCAGATTTTGGCCTCACGTCAGCAGCTGCGAGCGCCAGTGTTATCGTGGCTTGCAAGGGTGTTGATGCAGCCCAGCTGCCTCCGCATATCCGCGGGCTGCAGGCTTGGAAGGTGGGGAAAGTTAGGGATTTTAGGGTTTGGTTTCTCAGCCCGGAGCACCCACCTATCGTTAGGAGGACCCACCGAACTGCAAAAACCCGGGATGGCAGCTGGTTTCAACTAACGGCTTTTTTTAGCGTAAAATCGGTACTTTTGGATAGTGGCCCCCATATGTAGATTTTTGGTCTTTCAACACGCGGATCACCTTCTGGCCCTTGACCACCTTGTTGAACAAGGGCGGATTTTGTCACCATGCCTACCTACCAAAGCGAATCCCGAGGGTGTTCCTTTACCCCCCTGTAGAGGCAGTATGCGCGAACAAAACGGACTTCCTTGTGCGCACGAGATGCTGGCTAGGTATATGACAAGGGCATCGATATTTGTTACGAGGGAAGACTGTCATCCTTAATGGCACCTCAAACAGCGGCTTGTAAGTCATTGGAGTCATGTTTATGGGAGTCCATTGCTAATTTACTATGTAGGTTGCCATGGATGCGTATCTCCGAACCGACCCACCAGACCCTGCGAAGCCAAAGGGTCGCCCGCGCAACCAGGGCGGCCCATTCGGTAACGAGGTTGCGATAACTAGCGAAGTCTCCCTTCCTATACGCCCGGCACCGCGCCCTCGCACCTACGAGATCACAAGCACCTATACATTCCTCTGCACGGCGGCAGTACTCGCGGTGGGAGCTCTCGGGGCTCAGTCTAGAAGCACTGGATGACGCAGACTACATCATTGTCAAGGAATGCACGGGGAATGAGGCTAGTCAGGGACAACAACAACAACAACAACAACAATAACAACGTGCTACAAAGAGAAAGGCTGGTGTTGAGACCCCGGTGCCGAATCCGCACCTCAAACTACAGGCTTTTGCGTTGTGGGAGGCCCGCAAGGCCAAAAACGTACGCATATCAACATGCGTACGCATGCTGACATGTCCCCCTGACAGGCTCAACACCATAAATAACATCACCACTCTATTCGAGCGGCCTCACATGCATGCATGCACTTGACTATATGCAAATCGGTCCATTTCAACGAATTGGCCAACAGCCAGCTCAACACCCTGATTTGCACCAAATTTATCGAGGGGCCACTATCCAAAAGTATCGTGAGGGTGGGTGGTTCTCCTAAATATATTCGTCAGCCGATGGGGAGCTGCAAAATAATTTGACAAGCCTAACCCGCCCCTAATAAAGAGCTCGGGATTGGGGATCCTGCCTCGCTTTAATCTATAGAACTCGGCCAAATACCTTCAAACTCTTCACTACATGTCGCACAGAAATATTGGACTAAATAGGGGTGTCTTTGGCAGAGGCCACTTTTGTACGGCACTTCAAAAGCGGTAATTTGCTAGACGAAGCTGCCTCTAGTTCGAGTCCAGTTATGGACAAATGTGGCCATATCACTCCATGAGCTGAGAGCCAGTCTAGTCTGGCATAGCAACTAACTCGGCACCGCTAGACCCTGCTATAACTAACCCCAACCCACCACCCTACTTGGCTATTTTCATTCAAGTTAACACCAAGTCCTAAGATGAAGAAGTCTTTTACCATCATATCATGCTGTCCACTGCCACTTTCGTGGCTCTCGTCGCGGACGGCTACTTAATCCCAGGCTACAATACGGTGCTCATAATTGGAATACACACTACGACCGTGATACTCTATCAGCTTATACACTCGGTGCAGGACGGTTTTCTTGGCGTCCACATTGCGGCGAACAGCCTGGCAAATGACTTGTGGCAGATCACAGGATTTCTTCGAGATGCCACGACAGGCGGACCATCTAACATCACCTCTCAGTGGAACAATGGCACTATGAATTCTGCAATTATTGCTGGCTCGACCAACTCATCGCCGATCCGTCAAAAAACGGGATATGGAATCCTCAGCACGGCAGACATTGAAGGAAAGTGGGAGATGTTCAAGACTGGCATTGTGGAGAACCTCCTCTCCCAGGTGTAGATCGGGCGCTGGTCATTGTCGGGAGCGACAAGCGTGGAACGATCTTTGGAATCCACACGCAGGCAGAGCAGTGCGGTCAGTCCCCTTACCACTGGTTTGCCGATGTCCCGGCCAAGAAGCACGAGCACATCCATGCCCAGCCAAAGGCGACAATCCATGGAGAGCCTACAGCGGTCGCGTGCAAAAATAAAACCCCCTTGTCAGGTACCTGTGGGGCAAACACTTTGCGCGTTTTTGACCAATAAGTACTCGGCATGGGGCTTTTTATTACCCATCATACCACAGTATCATCAAATACAGGGGCCAGGCGGATAATACGATAGAGAAAAGAGGTGTAACGACCCCGACAAATATGGATTGCGGAAGCTGAGGTGGGATCTAGGCGACCCCAAAGACAGCCCGGTATTCCGTAGCTGACTGGATGGATGGTATGTTGCACCGCATGCACGCCTCACCAAGACCCCTAGCTCGTCTTGAGTTAGGCAAGCCAAACCAGTGAAGTGAGGTAAGCAGGCAGCCCAAAACTTGACCTGAACCCCCCCGCCCTCGCCGTGCGTGCTTCAGCCCTCCCCCCTTCATATCATTTCCGACGAAGCTCCTCAAAACCCCGTCCGGACCCCGAGAAGTTGAGGAAAACTCGGGCAAAGTCTTTTCTGCTGCGGCTTTTTGGAATTAAAGACTACACAAAGTTGCAGGAGCAAGAGCACACCACCCCAGCCTGCTGGCGCATCCACTCTCGAGCAGCATCTCAGTCGTTATCGAACTCCACCTACCTACCTTAAATTTAGGGACATCGTGGGGAACGAGAACCCCGCACCACAACGCCACCAGCCAAACTACCCCTGAAACCTGAAAGGGACGAACACCCTCTCCAACAGTTTGCCCTTTTTCTCGCCAGGACAACCCAGGTCGCGCCCCGGGACTGCTATATATAGCCTGCTTGAGTGTTACGCCACGTGGGGGCCAAGCCAAACCGGGCCTGCTGAGATATTGAAATATGTCGTCACTGCAGATTGACGAGGGCGGCCGGCGCGGGCGTTCACGGTCGCCAGCCGGAGACCGCCGGGATCGCGACTACGACGACGACGACGACAGCGGCGGTCGTGACCGTGACCGCGACCGCAGCCGCACCCGGGTCTCGGCCAATGTGGTCGAAGCTGCGCCTTACCCGGGCTCTACTGCCGAGTCGTTTCGCAGCCCCACGGAGGCTTTCCGTGGAGGCCCCCCCGAAACCTTTCGCAGTCCCCCTTCGGCTTCGGCCGCCTATGAGGAGTACGAGCGCCTGTCCAAGTGGCCGCCCGCGCCGCCTAGCGACGACGGCTACTATCCCGCGCCGCCCCGTGAGACGTTTGACAAGCGCGACCGGGACCGCGAGAGGGAGAGGGATAGAGATAGGGACAGGGATCCGAGAGACGCGCGGGACAAGAGGGACCAGGGCAGAGACCGCGACAGATACTCGGACGACGACGATGACGAGAAGCTTAAGCAGCGCGCCAACCTGTACCACCTTCCGCAAAAGTATGCCACCAACATAGTGACGGCCGAGCCTCCCGAGTCGCCGCGGCAGTCGCGTGACTCCCTCCAGGACAGAGAGCGCGAGAGGGACAGGGGCAGGGACCCGGACAAGGACCGCAGAGATCGCAAGGAACGCGAGCGCCAGCTCCGCAAGGAGAAGCTCGAGGACGACTTGGCCTACGGGAGCACTCCTATTCTGCCTGCCAAGCCCTCACCCGGGTCGCCGCCCGACTCGTACGGCTACGCCCAGCCCAAGCCGTGGGAGTATGCCAAGGTCGAGGAAAAGGCGAGCACGACGTACGGCCAGGACCCGCGGTACAGCAGCGGCGGCCTGACCGCCCCCGGCTCCGGGCGCCCCGGCGGCCGCTCGCCCAGCCCCGGTCCCTCGCCGCTCAAGTCGGCCATGAAGCGCGACCGCTCGCCGCAGCCTCCGACGGCGCGCATGTCGACGCTGACGGTAAACACGGGCCACCATTCGGCGTCGCTGTCGCTCTCGGCGGCGCCGCCGTCGCCCCTCTTGGAGTCGTACCACGGCACGTACCAGTCCATGTCGCCGATGCCGTCGCCGCTGCTCCTGCCGAACCACACGCAAGTGCTCGAGGCGCTGTCGCCCATCGGGTCCGAGGACGAGCGGGCCGGCGACAAGAAGCGGTCGCGGCGGGCGCGGTTCCACGACCCCGTCGACGACGCGGCGCGGCTGGCCAAGGCGCTCAAGGGCGAGAAGCGGGCGCCCGAGACGGAGCCGCTAGTCGAGATCCTCCCGGGGCTGACGCACGAGCAGGTCATGGAGCTGCGGGTCGAGTACAAGCGGCTGGTCAAGACGGGGTCGGAGCGCAAGGGCGTCAACATCGCCAAGCACATCCGCGCGCGGCTCAAGGACGAGGACCCGAACCTGATGAAGGTGTGCTACGCGACGGCGCTGGGGCGGTGGGAGTCGGAGGCGTACTGGGCCAACTTCTGGTACCACGGCGACAAGACGCGGCGCGAGCTGCTGATCGAGGCGCTCATGGGGCGCACCAACGACGAGATCGGCCTCATCAAGGACGGGTTTAGCGACAAGAAGTACGCTAACAGCCTGACCAAGTGCATGAAGACGGAGCTCAAGGAGGACAAGTTCAAGAAGGCCGTGCTCATGGTGCTCGACCAGACGCGCATGGAGGAGGCCGACGGCTACGGCCGCCCGCTGCGCCTCGACAAGGAGCTCGTGTACGACGACGTCAAGCAGCTGCACCACGCCGTGCGCAGCGACAAGGGCGGCGAGTCGCTCATGATCCAGATCGTCACCCAGCGCAGCGACAGCCACCTGCGCGAGGTGCTCAAGGCCTACAAGGAGACGTACCGGGGGGCCAACTTTGCCAAGGACGCTCTGAAGAAGAGCGGCAACCTGGTGGTATGTTTTTTTTTCTTTTTCTTTCTTTCTTTCTTTTGTTTATAACAAGAAAAACCGCTAATCACTGACATGACACGGAAAACAGGGCGAGGTCCTCACGCACATCCTCAACGGCGTCATCAACAAGCCCGTCCGCGACGCCATGCTGCTGCACCACGCGCTGTCGGCGTCCAAGCGCGAGGAGCTGCGCCGCGAGCTGCTCATCTCGCGCCTCGTGCGCTACCACTGGGATTCCACCCATATGGTGGCCGTCAAGCGCGCCTTCCGCGACCAGTACGGCCGCGACCTGCAGGACGCCGTCCGCGACGCTACCTCGCGCGAGTGGGGCGACTTCTGTGTCGCCCTGTGCATCACCCGCGTCCCCGACGACGTGCGCCGCGTCGAGCGCGTCGACATTCACCGCTGAGGGTGTTGTGTCCGGCTTTTTGGTTTGGGGGTTTTGGATAGTCTTTTTTGGGGGGAGGGGTTTGGCTCTGCGGATCTGCGGATCGGTCTGCTAAAAAAAATTGGATTACCTACCCGCTGGCCTGTTTGCAAGAGGGCTTGGTGAGGGCTTCATATGAACTCTGGTGTGCATGGTTGGTCTGGCGTGTTGTGTATGGAATATGTACTAAAGAGGACCGGCCGAGATTGTGCTTGTATTCATAATACAACACGCCGGTTGCTGGGCGGGTGCATCATGGCTCATATTCCTGCTGCCGGTCGCTGCAGTGGGTTCCTGTCACATTTATACAAATATATATATATATATAGGTATGGTAGGTATATACCCGCCGAGGGGGTTGAAGCCTGGTTCGTTGGTTTTGGACTTTGTTGGAACCTGGCTACGTACCTGAGGCATGAATGAACTTGCCTGGACCTTTTTGTTTTCTGTCACTGAAAATGCCTAGATAAGCACCTGAGGCTGCTGGTCGTTATTGGTTCTTATGGACCACCTAGTTGTGGGAGTCTGGGTTTTTCTTTCAAATGCTCTCTCTCCTCATGGCCCCGGGATGTTGGAATAGGCTTTTGGCTGAACTCAGCAGGCCCGACACCTGCCACAAGACACCAAATTCAAGGGTTAGGGCTGTATGTACCAGCTCGCGGTATGACTCTTATCGGCCACTGCCCCAGTGCTGATAAAAGTGCCCCGCCATCCCACCTCACTCCCGTGCCTCGACACTCGCGAGCCTCGACACTCGCAACTGCTCGACAACACCACCCCAGAGCTCTCAACCCAACGACACTACATGTACTTACACAGGCACCCGGATTTGCGCAACACAATGGACAAGAAGCAAGTCGAGCCGATACGGCGGCCGCTTTACCTCTACGACCTGCCCCCAGAAATCCTCAGAACGCTCTCTCTCAAGACTGGTGCAGGGTTCCCAGCGCAGCAACAGCAGGAGCAGGAGCAGGAGCAGGAGCAGCTGCCTCACGACACCCCTGATCAGCCGCAACAACTCGGCTCAGACCCCGCCACCCCAGACACCGCTGTTGGGTCGCCTTCCTGCTCCCTCTGCAGCTTGGCTTTCGCAAACGCCCTCGAACAAAGGGGCCACCTCAAGACCGACCTCCACCACTACAACCTCAAACAGAAGCTCAACGGCCTCTTGCCCGTCTCGGAACCCGAGTTCGAGAAGCTCGTGGCCAACCTTGACGAGAGTATTTCCGGCTCCGACTCGTCACCCAGCGAAGATGAAGAGGACGAGCCGCCCTCCCGCAAAGACACCACGCTGGTCGCGCTCCTGAAGAAGCAGGCTACCCTCGCCGACAAGCGCGGCCCTGATGTCACGACCGAGGACTCTTCGGAGGCCAGGAAGAAGAGGAGAGGCGCGGCAGGAGGCAGCTTGCCCCTTTTGTTGTTCAACTCCCCCACGCTGCCCGACAGGTCATATTTCGGGGTCTACAGGGCGCTTTTCACGGCAGAAGAGCTGGCCAAGGAGGACGCCATCATCGACGCCATCAGGCAGCGGCAGCTGGCTCCGATATCGATGCCCAAGACGGGGAAAGACGGCAACGTGGCGCCCTCGGCCCACAAGGGGCGGCACATCTTCATGTGCATGATCGGGGGCGGCCACTTTGCCGCCATGGTGATCTCGCTGGCTCCGAGGCAGACCAAGAACCACGCGGTCGGCCCGCTCAACCGCGAAGCCATTGTGCTCGCCCACAAGACTTTCCACCGCTACACGACGCGCCGCAAGCAGGGCGGCTCGCAGTCGGCCAACGACAACGCCAAGGGCACAGCCCACTCGGCCGGCTCTTCGCTCCGCCGGTACAACGAGCAGGCGCTGGTCGAGGACGTCCGCGCGCTCCTCGCGGACTGGAAGCCCTTCATCGACACGGCCGACCTGCTCTTCATCCGCGCGACGGGCGCGACGAACCGGCGCACCCTGTTCGGCCCGTACGACGGCCAGGTGCTGCGCGCCAACGACGCGCGCGTCAGGGGCTTTCCGTTCAGCACGCGCCGCGCCACGCAGAACGAGCTCATGCACTCCTTCATCGAGCTGACCCGGCTCAAGGTCAAGGAGATCGAGGTCGAAGCAGCGCCGAGGCCCGGCCCCGACGCGTCGTCCAAGCAGCCCGACGCGGCGCCGTCCAAGCCCGCGCCGCCGCAGCTGACCGAGGAGGAGCAGGCGGCCCTCTTGCACACGACGCAGATCCAGGCGCTGGTCCGCCGGTCCAGGCTCCCCGCGCTGCTGTCGTACCTCGCCACCAACAGCCTGACCGCCAACTTCTGCTTCGAGCCCGCGGACCACCACGCGCCGACGGCGCTGCACCTCGCCGCGGCGCAGAACTCGGCCCCGCTCGTCACAGGCCTACTCACGCGCAGCGGCGCCGACCCGACGGCGCCCAACGGCGACGGCATGACGCCGTTCGAGCTGGCCGGCGACCGCGCCACGCGCGACGCCTTCCGCGTCGCCCGGGCCGAGCTCGGCGAGGCCGCGTGGGACTGGGACGTCGCGGCGCGCGTGCCGCCGGCCCTCCTGCGGTCCGACGCCGAGCAGCGCACCGACCGCGAGCGCAGGGAGAAGGAGGCCAAGGAGGCCGACCGGCGGAGGGCCGAGGAGGATCGGCTGCGCGCTGCCGAGGGGCCTTCGAGTAGTAGCGACAAGGTTGGGTCGGGGAAGAGGACTAGAGGTGTCGTGGGCGTGATAAAGACGCCCCAGGAGAAGAGGGACGAGGAGGCCCGCGGCCTGACGCCCGAGCAGAGGATGAGGCTGGACAGGGAGCGGCGAGCGCGCGCAGCTGAGGAGAGGATCAAGCGACTCCATGGGGGTGGTTAAGAAGAAGAGACTGGTTGGCTAGTCACGGTTGGCTGGGTGAGTGGTGCTCAATGAAGGTTGCAGGTAACTAATTAACTCCCTGGGCTCGAGGGAGCGTGTGTGCCTTGAATCAAAATATTATAATATGAAGCTTGTGGCTCTGACTCTGTCCAGCTGTTTGCCGTGTCTCGGCTGGGTCGGGTCATGTTATATTGCTTCCATGACACTGTCTGCGTGTGTGCGTGTGTAATAGACAACCCTTTTTATTTACTGGGTTAAAGGGGGTTAGCTATCTACTATCTACCTACATAGGCAGCTAGTTCGGGGTGGCCTCTGTATAACGTGATAACGGACAGCGACATACATATATATACTGGCCTGCTGCCCTGGGCATGGCGTTAAAAGGCATCAACTGTGTCTTTATATATATGCGATTGTGGTTCTGATATCTAGCTGAATATTTGGGTAAAATCCGTTGATCGAACTAAACCACCGACGACCTGGTCTTAATTGGAGCTCAAAAAGGCCCATAGGCCGTCGAAGTACTCTTCTTCGGTTTAATAGAGCTACGACCTAGCTTTCCTTTCTAAGGCCCTCCTCCCACGGCTTATCTACGTCTTCTAGCCGCTTCAACCAAGTCTTCAACCACTTCTCTTTAGCTTTGTTCCTGGCGATTGCTAACGCTAGGCCTAGGCCTTTCCGTAATAAGGTAGTTCGTTGTTCTCTATCAAGTTTGAGGACTGCTTCCCTTTTCGGCGAATCCCCGGACTGCCGTTGCTTCGTCGGCCTAGTTATGGGGTATAACCGGGGTAATTGAGCCTGGATATTGTACTGGTCTAGGAGCAGGTATCAGTAATACGAAGGCTCTTGATTCTACATGGTTAGTAGAGCCCGAGGGTTATTGGTATGCTTGAGCCTTTGATTGGCGCGTTGGTTGATGTGGTGCTTAGGTCGTGCGAGCTGACTGAAGCGTGGATTGATGGGTGTGTGCTGATTAGGGAGACGGCGCTTGTTCGTGAGGAATGGTGAGAGCGATCCTGTGTAGCTAGATATTTGGTGCGTTTTTATGTGCCTTGGGCGAAAACTTTGATCTTGTATAGCGGTGGTAAGGTTCGTGAGCTGGCCGGTATGATTCTGTCGGAGTAGTGCCGATCAATTGTTTGACTTTTTGCTATATCGTGGTAAATGCTTGTGGTAACCTTAATGTGTACGTGGTGATGTCAATTTTACAGCGTGGAAGTTTTTTGTTCGCTCCTTGATGGAGATGATAAATAAATAAAGAAATACTGGAAAGATGGTGTTTGTTGGTTTTCTTGTTTATTATCCCTGGTGTTTGCAATGGTGATAAGTCTTGACATCCCGCGATGATGACGAGAGAGAGGGCGAAGCAGAGACGGTTGGTGATATGACTTTACTCGCCGTTACACGTTTCTTAACCAAGTTTTCTAGTCTTCTGGCAACTGCATGGATAGCTTGTAATTAGTGCCCTTTCACCAAGAAAGAAAAGGGGTAGTTAAACGCAACCTACACGGTGGCTGACTCTTTCGAGCGTGCTTTAAAGTTTCTTTCTTACCTGTGACTGTAGCGGGCAGCCCTACAGGAAATAATAGTGTGTTCATGGGTCTTTCAAGACACTACTGCCCATAAGGACCTGACGTTAGGAAGCAGCAATTGTAGCTGATTTTCCCGTCAAGGGCCAAGACCGAGAATGAGTGTTTGATTTTGGGGATAGGACAGGCCAACCCGCAGCCAATTATATTCGTGATGCACTTCAAGCACGAAGATCCGTCTCTAGAAAGACGCTACTCCGAAAATATTCAAGTATAGCACCGTACCAAATTCCCTCGAAAGCCATCGCGCTTTTCGGTCCGCAATCGGCGATATCTAAGGTAAGTAAGGTAAGTAAGGTGAAGGATGTCAAATCGGAGCCTGCCAATTCCGAACATTTTCGAGGTCTTGGCTTGCCGACCCACCACCGACTAGGCGGGTAGGGGTCGTCAAAAGACGGGATGACGTCAAAGCCAGACAGACGGGAAACCCACGCCGCCGCTCTGCCGAAATCGAACAACGGTCAACCCGAGCTTTGACGACAAAGGACCCGATCGAATGTCACACACACAAACACACGGACCAATTCAATGTCTGCACTGAGTCGTTCGCAGCAAAGCAAAGCAAGCAGCAGCAGACACAAAAGGGACTAGGAGAGAACAACCCCTCCATCTATTCACCGAAACGCCAGGCGGGCTCCCCATCCCTCACACAAAAAAAAATACCAAGCACCCATCATATCATGGAACGTGGCTCGGTGCTTCGCATTTTACTTCGCGGGGCGAGCCCGTCCCTCCCTTCCATACTCTCCACACAACCACCACATGTCCTCGAACTCCACCAGCCACAAACGAAAAGGGCTTGTCAAAAGGTTCATGACTCTCTTGTTGGTCGTCGGCGGTTCGGCATTGACCATTCCGACTTGAGACTTTTTTTTGTTTTGACGGAAAGAAGCCGGGAAAAAGGCGGGGAAAAGAAAGGCGTCGACGAAAAGAGGTCCGCGGAAAATCCGGGCCCTACCCAAGGTAGCATGGGTAGGCAACCCGACCTAGTGAATGAATGAATGAATGACGCCGTGCTTGCTTGCTGTAAAACCATCCTAGCAGCGAACCGCAAGACACTCACGGGCGCCGCATATCCCAAGCATGATCGCGGGACCATTTACATTTTGAACGGATAAGACCCCTGACGACTTACGAATGGCTAATTCGTGTGGCTGAGCAATGACAATGTGCACCTGGGTTGTAGGTGTACGATACTGCATGCAGCTGCCTATCCATAGCTCTTGAAAATAGACGGCCGACAAGATCCGAGCGGTGTCGGTTTTGCGCATCGCAGGCCGACTTGGCCGACGGCCGGGTGGACTTTTGTATGTGTGTGGCTTTCGCACACAACCTGGGGTAAGAAACGCCCCAACCATACTACGGGTATATCCCTCATGTATTTTTTTTCTTCAGGTCGCATGCAGAACGAAAGCGGTGCACGCGAGCAGAGCAGAGCGGAGCAAAAGCAAGGCAAACAATTGTGGAAACAGGCATCAAGATTGTCAGAAACGCGCCCTTTCGTGGTGCCCGTCGGGAGATCACGGGCTGGCCCCAAAAAAAAAAAACGTGCCGCCGCCCCACCACTTGCTGACCCTGACAAGCAATGGAGTGGAGGTCAGCGTCGGGTTCCCCCCCCAGGCGCGGCTCCAGTGCGCTGGACACCCCTTCGGCAGCTATCCCGCACCATGCCTCTTTTGGGCACATGCACACCGTCTTAGAAATCCTTCTGGAAGCGTCAAACTGCATGCCAAGACAAAGCCCGTTTGCGCTTGCGCACTGTGGGCAAAGTCAGGTCGCCGCCGTCCAACGGCAGCAGCTTCGCCAGAGAGTGAAATTCCGCAGGGAGCCGGGGCCATACATAGGCATAGGTAGCACTCGCTATATGTTTAGCCACTTTGCCTCTGTGCCAACTGACTTGGCGTTGTATCTCTTTTGAGCCTCGCGACTGGCTTCTCGAGGACAGGCATCTTGCTCCGTCGTCTTCCATTTTGGCGGCTTAAAGAGGCAGTCAGATATTGTCTCTTGCTCCTCCCAAATCCCAACAGCTCGAGGCTGGACACGTTACACAGGCCCAACCCCCCAGAACAAAAATATTCCCAAGCGGCCGCGGTTATCAAGAATTTGGTTTGCCGTGCATACAAAGTAGGGCATTCCGTGAATCGGTTCAAGCCCCCCTGTCAGACTTCGGTGATAGTGGATCCAGAAATAGTAAAAGCTAGCCAGACAACGTATCTTGACTGCTTGTGACGAGACAACTCCGAGCTTCACGAAACCGCGCCGTATCGGATCCTATCTCGACTAGATCAGCGCTCTATCGCGAAAAACCAAAGCCAAAACCTGGTGGATCGTAGTGCAGCTGCACTTGCTGGGGGTAGGCACAATATCATTGCTGCAAAGCCTGCAGAACACCATCAAGTGCCAGTTGGCAAGGTGGTAGGAGCAATTAATAACAAACACACTAGCAGTCATGTTCCTGCTAGGTGCTGATAGAACCCAGTTGACGGGACGCTGCTGAGTGAGGGAAAGCAGGCAGGCATGCCTCGGATCTTGATCGGGCGTCTGTACGAAGGTATCGCAGCTTCGCGTCGGAGCGCATTTAGCTAGCTAGCTAGCAAGCGGAGCCTTCAGACTCGAGCGCAAGCCGCCCATCCAGAAGGAAAATTAAGTGAAAAAAGAAAAAAAATTTGGTCGTCGGCATGGTTCAAGATGGTAGGGACTGTTTCGGTTAATTCCACATTTTTCCTCCTTGGATCCGCGCAGGGGGGTGCTTGCTGTGTGTCGTCGAGCTTGAGCCCTCGATCCTCATACCAGTACATACATGCGAGTCCACTACAAGTGGAGTTTCAGCGTCATAGGGTTGGTCGAGGTTTTGATGGTTGGTGTTGGCGGTTTGCATTGGCGGTGTCTTCCTTTTTTTCTGTTCCCCGAGCCGCCTCGCTACCTACTCCCCCTTACCATTCCCGTCAAAGTCAAGGACCGGGATTCGGCCAGCGGCCACACCCGCCGGTAAACGGAAAGGACGCCGACTCTTTTGGCAAAACGGCGATTCAGGTCCCTTCGAGTATTGAGCCCGGAGTTTCGAGCGAGGTGAGGGAGGTCAGGGGGAAAAACATGCCATTCTATGCATTAAACTGCGCTGCGCTGCACTGCACATGGGTCTCATTCAGGTTTCTCTGTGCTGGTCGGCCTCGTGACGGATGGAGACAGACATTGGTAGGTACGAGGTAGACGGTGATAGGATCGACGTGACTCAACAACAAGGAGGCCCCAAAGAGGGAGTTCCGTGGACGCAGACACGGACGCGGGCGCAGACGCAGACGCAGACAGTACTGAGCACATCGGTGCTGTCCAGTGTAAAGAGAGTCGACTGACTGACAGTATTCCGCCCGTGCAAATGCAATAGGCGGCTGGCCGGGTTTGGGGCCTTAGGCAGCGGGCTCCGCGGAATACTCTTTCCACTCCCGTTTGGCGGTTGCGGGAAGCCGCTTACTCAGAGCAGGGAAGTCGGCGTTTAAGGGTCCATCAACGTCCGAGGTTTTGGGCCGAAGTACCTCCATGTACCCAGCGGTACCTGCCACACATGGGATCATGGGCGCGTGGTGGGTCCAAAGCCGAGGTGCGCTAGCCCCGTTCTGGGCATACCAAGGATGGCTCTACGACTCGGCGCGTTAATGGTCGTTGCTCGGTCCAGCAGCTATTCCCAACCAAGAAAATACGCTTCCCGTTCGAGCCAGGACAGGACAGGACACAGCAGCGACGATGGCTTCTCTTCTGCAAGTGCAAGCAGGGTCTCGAATGCCATGCCATACCCTTCTTACTCAGCCCCGGCGAGCGTCGCGTCAGCTTCAACCATTGAGAAAGGGCGTGGGCATGAGTAACTTTTGCGACCAAGTTCCTGGTTTGACGCAACTACTCCATTGATATAAAGGAAGCTTGAGGGGACTTGCTTGGCAATCTGTTTTGGAGCACCATCCCACTACCGCATCGCAGCATCCCTGGAAGCTCTCGTCCGTACGGCTCTCGGCATTCAGTGCCTTCCCGTGTGTGGACCGAGTACTGCTGCTGGAACCGAGTCGAGGGCCATCCATTGACGGCTTTGGGGGCATACAAGCCGGATTCGACTGGGGTCACCGCAGGCAAGAGTCTCCTCCACCGAAACAGGCGGGATCGATCCATACACTACGTACCAGCGATCACCTCCAGGATCCAAAGGCTGCCAGGCGTGAAATTTCACCACGACTACCTAGACGACACTACAGCATCGCATCCGATCATCGATCACCAGGACAGGACATCAAGCAAGCAAGAATTCTGCCAGGCGGGACTTGTTAGCAGCCGGGACTGACCTCAGGTGGGCTCCTGAACCTGAAATACAGTGGAATACGGTAATACCCACGCTATCAACCTCGGTACATATGTACCTGGACCCCACAGCAAGCAAGCGTCCCAAGCTCCAAGCACTGCACCCGCAAGCACTTTGCAGGCAAACCGCCATTTATTAGCCCGCGCGCACTCGGACATAACGAACAGGCCGACCGTTGATGCCAACCCGTCGCGCGCGCGGCGCAAGGAACCCGAGAGATTACGGATACCTGACCTTAATCGACTGAAGGGTGTGTGTGTGTGTGCACTGGGCCATTGACAGGCGCCGGAGTACGGCATCGCCTCGCTAGTCCTCTTTCGAGTTCCGTTTTCCAACTTTCGATTGCCATTCCCATTCATTCACTCGGTTGCTGGCCATACCCATGTCTCCCTGCCCACCACTGGAACCCCGTCCTTCGTTCCCAGCCTTACTCCATTATTAATGTCGAGTCATTTGCACTTGCTTATGCACTCGCTTTCTGCTCATACACAGTAAGCACGACTGAGCGTGGCTTGCCCGTCCGTGGTGCCTTCTGGAATCCCTTATACTTGTGGTTGGCCCCTCGCCTCGCATCTCCAAAACAGCAACTAGCACTAGTTGCACTTCACTTAACACACACTCCCGTCTCCTCAACCTACGCACGTCGCTGCTCCTCCACGCCACCGACCCAAGGCCACCCCCTTAGTGTCCCAGAATCGAGGTCCCGACTTATATACGCCACCAAGATGGAAAGTCTACCGACGCCCCCCAATGAGGAGAACCTCAAGTTACACGGTTCCAAGAGACAACATACTAGCTCCAAATCAGTAAAAACAGTACATCGCGGCTCCAAGAGGGCTGCCACCACACATGCCCACCACCCCCCATCACCGTCTCAGGACGGCCACTCCCACTCAGGTGGTGACGGGAGGCACAAAAGAGTATGGAAGGCCTGCGAGAGGTGTAGAATGAAAAAGACAAAGGCATGTTAATTTTCATGGTACCCGAGCACTACCTGACTGAGTTCACTCTCACTAACACCCACCCCAGTGCGACGGCGAGTTCCCATGTAAGAGGTGTAAGGACGACGGACTGGTCTGCACCGCCGGCACTCGCAAGAAGACCGAGTACAAGCAGTTGCCCCGAGGGTATGTGTGATGTCCCAGCTTGTTGCCCCTGACCAACCCATCTCGGCGCGACGTTCAGAGAGGCTTATACCGAGGCGCTCAGGTATGCCGAAGTGCTCGAGAACACACAGTTCGCTCTCATCGCCACGGTGCACAAGCTCTACGCCATGGTGCGGAATCGGCAGGCATGGGATCTTGGGGAACCTGAACTGAACGACCGGGGTCAGCCCGTGATCCACAACATTGCTTCCAGGCTCGGCTGCATACGGCCGAACAGCGACATGGACCTTCCGGTCCACTCTGTCTTTCCCGAAGACGAGGCGGGACTAGCCGAGCTGGCCAGGCAGCTCGAGGAGCAGCAGAGGGAGACGGGCGAGCTGGGTGGTGGAAGCAACAGACAGGACGCCGATTACTGCAACCGAACCGACCGCGCAAGCTCGTCGGAGCTCGACCACTCAGACGTTGAGCAAGACTACCGCAGGTCTGCCTTCCGCGGAAGCACGACGGCCGTCACCATGTCGCCCCAAAGTATCAGCTATACCGACTTCGATCTGAACTCGACGGCGCCACCATCCGAGTCGTTCGCTAGCCAGTCGCCCAGCCACCTATCCACAGCATATGCATCGTGGATAAGTAGACCGACGTCGATGGGATTCGAGAGCAGTCCGTCACAACCGTTCGTCCCGACGGGATCGTACCTCGACATGGACATGCTCAACCAAGGCCTCCTCGAGTCTAATTTCGGCACCATCAAGCCCCACGTATTATCGTGTCCGAATCCCGAGGTCATGATGGGCATGGGAGACCCGATGATGTACTCGGGGTACGACGCAGATGCGCTCAGGCTATGACCGAGACCCCGACAAAGACGATCGCTGCCGAAGAGATAATGGGGCGGAGGGTGCAGGAGGGAGTGGCATTACAATGGGGTGTGTGCCAAAAAAAAAGACGGTCATGAATCACTAATTGGGGCGCTCGGCGCCGGCAGTTGCTTACACAGAGACGCGCACTCTACGAAAGACTGCGGCCGCTATTTTACACGGGGTTTCCGTACGGGGTTCCTTTACCGGTTTTCTTTTCGGGGGTGGGAATCTTTCAGGTTGGCATGGAGTCTGGGGCTTGGTGCTTTTAGAAAGGGATGCTCCCGCTTTCGAGTTGGGCAAACGAACTGGTCTCTTTGAATATATGCATTGCTCAAACATCCACGGGATACGATTGGGGGAGGGAGGGAGGGAACAATTCCAGATACCGGTAAGGTATGATTACCTGGCACGCTTTTGGGCTAGGGGACCGTCCCACGAAGCGGCCACGGGCAATTCGAGATTTTTTACTCATCACACATCATGACAAGACTGTGCACAAGAGTGAGCGCGAAACCCACAAAAAACGCCACATGTAAGACATGTCATCTCTTTCTTTTTTTGGGTTCTTTGTTACGCCTTTTTTTGCTATGACCCGAACAACTGGATTTCCGTCCCCGCTCGTCACATTTCCGAGTTACTCCCGAAGCAGGGCCCACCCTTGCCAGCAGCCAAACAAATGGGACTCTGTCTTACTCAGCCCTCTTCTTTACGCCTTGAACAATTACGTGCAAAGATGCGAAAGCGAGAGCGGGAAGGTGAGATGGAAGGTGAGAGTGCGGGCGTGTCTATGTGTAACCTCAGCTAAGACGAACCAAACCCCCGCCCCGCCCTCTTGGTCCGTCTGGGCCCAGCCCCTTGGGAAACGCAAGATGGGATCACCGTCATCGTCATCACTTTGGGCCTCTTCTCATTAGCACTTGTTGGTGTCGTTGACTTATATTATTACTCCCACGTTCAAGCTAAGGTAGACCCGGCAAACCAAGGTGACTATAAACACCGCGCCGGCCTGCCAGACGCCAATTAATTACTGAACAACAAAACAAAAGACACAAGGAAAAAAAACATCTCACTCTCTCGCTCTCCTCGCTCTCTCGCCCTCGCCATGATCAGTGGAGAACGGTGTTTCGTTGTTTGTTTGATGCCGACTTTCTTGGGTCTAGGTTTTATTTACTGATTATTGATCACGCGATACTCGATTGTGTAGGTACCTAGGTGTCTGTATCTCTCTGTCTATGTAAGGTGTACCTCATGTAAGTACTGTACATACATACCGAGGTATATGGATATGCGCGGCTTCGGGAGATATAGCAACGTCCCGACGACGACTGGTGATGAAAGAAGCACGCAATTTCTCTGCCTGCCAGGCCAGTGTAGCAGCGCCGATTTATTCCGATTCCTACCACACATATTCATCAATTCTGTAAGGAGTAATGTGTGTGTGTGTGTGTGTGTGTTGCAACGCAACGCAACTCTCTTTCTCCCGCCCTGTCGTTGGAGATTGATGGGCAAGGCAGGGCGCACAGCACGCGCGCGCGCGGTGTGTGTCGCGCGGAGAAGAGAGTGGACAAGGATTGTAATTAGTGGTTGTGGTGGGGAGGGGGTTATCTGGTCTCCGTTTTGTATTTTACGCACGTATGTATGAAATTCAGCGCAGTGGTCCGTACAAGTCCCAAATTAAGTTGAAAAAAGCCCATGTCTTAATTACAGTGTTCCTATAAAGGAGCCTTTTATTTTCTTCTTCACCCCTGCCTACCCGTAGCGTCTCTATCTCGGGGATAAACAAAAAGAGAAAAGTACCGGGCGAACGACAAGGTTGACGGGGATATTTGATATATATGTTGACCAAAAAAACGCTGCGGAGCATATAAGATATATGCAAAGCCCAAGTGTAAAACGCCCTCAAAAGCAGGCCATCTTAATTTATCGGGCGGGCGGCGGGCTCTCCCGAGTCGGTATCCGTACCTCCTCCACACCGCACTCGTAAGGACATAGGAGAAGAAACATGTCGCGAGCGTATTTCATTACAGAATTGGAAAGAGCCACCTCCAGATACCTTACCCAACAACAGGATACGTAGTTGAGAACCTTGCTAGCTAGCCAGCTAGGCCCCTTGGCCAGCGATATCAAGTCGAGAGAGGGAAAAACAAGGCCGGGACCGAGCCGGCAGCGGATTCGGCGCGTGGCGTACGGGATACGGGGCGGACGGGAGGGGAGGGGAGACTAGCTGGCTGGCTGAGACCCAAAATTGGGGAATAGGGGGCCGTATACATGTCTAAATGCCGACGGCGGGTACGTAGTGTAGTATAGGACGGGGGAAGGGTGGTGTGATGTCTATGGAAGGAGTGTGGAGGAGGTTTCAAGATTGTGATGTGATGCGATGTGTTGTGGGTGATGCCCGTCTTTTCGAAGAAAATGAGATCCGGAATTGTTTAAAATTGGGAATGGGAGAATCCGAGATTCCCAATCAACAACGTATTGTATATACGGAATACGCAGCCGACGAGATCGATCAATGCTTATTTTGTCTCTTCTCCTTATTTCCAGCCCCAGGAAAGTAAGACAGGAACACATCATAGGAGACCCAAAGTATGCTGTACGCACATGCATAAGGTACGGATATCTTGGCACGTTACGCTTCTCTCCGCACCGCACCGTCAGCAGCACACACTGTCCATGTCGTCGTCGCAAATGAGGCAAAAGTCTAAAAACGCCAAAACACACGACACTCATCCCGTATTTCGTATCTCGCCTCGCCCGCCCCGTCTACTTATCATTTTTTAATTTTTTTTTACTCGGGGTGACTCAGCTGGCTGATCGATGTCTGCTCGCGAACTCAGTGCCCAATGCCAAGGACTCTGTGTGCCGGTTTCTGTGTTCGTCCATAGGGAAAAAACATCACAGCTTAAGTCCGCGGCCACTTTGGCTGGGCACGGAAACTGCACTTCTTGGCGTTGATGGGGGAGTTTGTCGCGGCCCAGTTCGGTTCTCTTTGCCTCCCCCCTTCTCTCTCATGTCGCTAGCAGCAGTGTCAGATCATTGAGGAGGATGAGGCGCTCGCACACACACGCGCGCCTTTTGTTACCGTTTCTGGGCAGTGTGGTGGTGGGCTCATTGGGGCAGTGGCGGCCGAACCAACAACAGTTACACCTTCACCTAAATTCAGATATGATATGCGAAAGTCGTCCATCTGGGGCACAGTTTGTATCTATGTAACATACGGGCGGCGGCGCGTTTGTTGGTTATGCGAAGAGCACACGCAAATGCACCATCACCTTCCTACGCCCTGTATGTATGTACTCCGCAAACAACAAAAAAAAACGTTGGTCAGATATCAGATATCGTATATCGTAGGACCGGGGAGCAGGTTTAAACTTCACCTCTCACCAACCACACACTGCACACCACTGCAATGTCTTTACCTTGATCGAGCAAAAGACCCCAACTAGGTGAAGTGAGCATATACCTTACCTATTCCGTAGGAATTCGGGGTTCGCTTCTCCGCACTTTTAGGCTTGAACGCGAAAATATTTACAAGGGAAAGAGTAAGCGCGCGCGGGTGAGCGATACGGATTAGATAGCCCCCAGCCCCCGCCAATACCAAGACCCAATCCAGGGGGTTCTTCTCTCACTCTTTCACTCCCTCTCACAGCTAGCTGACCGATGCCCTACGACAGATGAACCAAGAAACGAGTATCCGCACATCGAAATCGAGCCAGCCAAAGTAAAAAGGGAGGAAAAAGAAAAAAAAAGGAGCTCGCATGCGCATGCGTGGATGCGAGCCCGGGGGTGGGGACAACATGGCAGCAGATCGGCACTAACAGTCTGGGCTTCCATTGAAAGTTAGGATGTGCTACCCCAAACATTGATACCCCATTTCATTCCATACCCATACCCATACCCGTACCCATTACCCAGCCCAGCCCTGTGATCTCGGACATTGAGAATGCCCCGTGCTCCGTCATCGTGGGATCGAGAACAAGACCGCGGACGCCCCTCGGGCGGACTAGCTACGTCTCGATGGAATCCCGACTTCCTCCTTGAACCCTGGGCGCGCCGCCTGCCCAGCCCAACCCAGCCCCTGGGCCTGCACGCCGTGTCGTGTCGTGCTGCGTGCTATGGTCTCTTGCCTTGCCGCGCCTCTTGCCTACGTATTATCCCGGGTGTGGTTCCAGCGGTGAGGGAGAAGAAGTTTGAACCAAACTAGGTTTTGTCCCCCCCATCGGTTTGCGGGGGAAAGAACAGTCCATGTCGATATATGGAGGGGCAGGGCAGAAAGACAGGGGGAAGAAACCAACTGCCCCCCCTTCGCTGTGGGTGAGTGAGATGTGAACGGGATAGCGGCATTTAAACCAATGTCTCTCCCAAAAGGTAAGGATAACTTCTGCAATCTGCATGGACAGTACGTGGGCAAACACACCACCTGCCCAAATGTGCCACTTGGTTTGCATGCCAATTCATTGGCAGTTGTTGGAGGGTCATCATGGCTGGTCTTGGCTTGGAATGCCATGTTCACCACTTATTGGTGTTCGAATGCAGAAGGACCTTCAAGTGCTCAGGTCAGCAAGTTTCTTTCAGCCACCGAGCCTGACCTGGAAAAGAGTGTGAGCGCTCCGGATGCCAAGCTAAGCGTTTTGGGGTGTCGAGGTGGGGCTCATAACCGCGGGCGGGTGAGAGCGGGGGGCCAAGCAAATCTCGCATTCGCATTTTAACGTTAATGTTATCCGCAGGTGTGAACGAGGTACGGAATCGGTAAGGTACTGTATTACAGATACCTCCCATTCAACTCCTGCGAATAGCTTCCGGCTTCTAGTTTGTACGGAATTTCGCTCTTTAGCAAAACCCCGTCCGCGGGGATCAGAGTGCCGTGCAGCTAGAGAAAGGGCCATGCGACACTGGAGCCACATGGCCACGAGCGCAACCATTCCGAGTGGTCTCATTCTCGATAGGTACGCAATGCGCCGGCCGTGCCCCGTCCGGCATGCCCTGTTTCAATGTGTAGTGCGCGCTGTGGTAGCTGTCGATAGGTTCTGGTTTTCAGTGTGTCGAGGGCGCGCGCCGCGTCATTTTAGTGTGGCTGAACCGCCCCTCCTACCCCCCTAAAGCGCCCCTGGCTCGGATCAAGCTCCGACCGCAAGGCGGCGGAGCGGGGACATTGGTAGTCGCCTTATGCAGGCTTGGCATCGGGACGTTGGTGTACCTCCAGTACATGCGGATACTCAGACAGCTTGCACGCACGCACCAAGTTTGACAGGGCCATGGAAAACAAAGCCGTGCAGACGATAATCGGGCCCCGCAAATGCCGAGGTTCTCAAATGTCCTTCACATCAGGTTAGCAATTCCAGGATGCGAGAAATTCAACACGATATGATTCATTTGAGTTGTTTGTTGTTCGCTGCGGCATGTGTAAAATCCGTCGTCGATACACATTAGCTCCGTCCAAACCCCGGAGCTTCACTCCGGCGCAACGGATTTAAGGGGCACGGCATTGTTTAAATGACGCCTACCTTGATGTGGTCGCCGTGGTAGTATTTAGTAGCTGCATTCTGTGGGTGCCCGCCTGACACTCGGCGGCCAGCCTGAGACGGACAGATTGACTGCCGAATGATTCATCACCAACAAATCTCTTGAAGAAGTAAGAACAAAAATGAGCGGTCTGGCAGCGATTTGAGCTTGCAAGTCGCAACAGCTCGAATAAGATGCTGCATGGCGATTGGTCAATCTGCCCTCCAGACGAGGAAGGGAAGGATTCCTGTATGCAACTGCATGTCAACGGCAGCAACGAGAGACAACGGTCCCATATTTGCCCCGTTCCCAGCGTTTAGGTAGGCCGGGGTTGATAACGGAGGGATGATGCGCCGATCCATCCCGACCAGGCGGCGACGATGGCCTCCGCTCGCTCATCACGCTCGAATCCAGCCCTGCGGGCGGGAATCAGGTATTCATTTCTTTCGTCAATCCCCCCACTTCCCCTTTGGTTGTTGCCGGTTACTTACCGCACAAAAAAGGAACCGGTGAAGACAGGCGCTCCCTCTTGGTAATGCTAGTATTATATAGGTAGGTAGTTAGCATCCGGGTAATCTGACTGCTGACGGGATCAAATCCCACCCGAGCATGAAGTCGCCTGAGAACCTCCAGGGCCGCCATCTCATTCTTAGCAGGGCTTCCTGCCGTAACCTCAGGTACTTGAACTGTACGTGAAGAAACAACCACGAGCAGCTGGGGACGATACGGAGCTGGTCCCGAAATCCGCGGGGTCTGGCGCAGACACCAACATGCGGAATCCATAAGTCCACGGAGTTTCCGCCAACGCCAACGGAGGACGTGCAATCGTGTAACAGTGTAATGTGCAATACGGAGTAATAAAAACCTGAGCCAAGAGCCTACCGTTAAAATGGGCTTTGGCGGCGTCGAAGAGAGGAACGGACAGCAAGAGTCGAGATGCTGTATGCGGAATATGTCCCGTGGTCACTTTTTGGTGGCGTTTTCGAGACCCGATTGCGCTGATCCATTTCCCATGGCCTGACGTGACCCGTCGATCGATCTTGGGGATATTGCCGATGCCGGGACCGGAATTATGTTTGCAAAGCACGAATTGGTACTCCGAGGTTCGTTCCTTAGTCCCACGATATCCCGTTCACTCTAGATCCCGACGGAGATTGCAACTCTTTTCTGCTTTTCGCATTCGCAAATGATTGCGACGACGGCGGCGGCAGTGCACTGCGCCAGGCAATTTGACAATGGTGGCCGGCCCCGCGCCGAGCCCATACGCGTAGACACAGGCTGGGCGCCGAGAAATATCCCGCGCGTTCGTCTCGCTGGTGAGGTTGAACGGGAGGAGACTTGGTGCGTGAATGGTCCCTGTAGTCAGCGTGGCTCGTGGCTTGTGTGGTGGGATCGACCTCTGGGGACTTGGCGTGACTTTTGTGACCTTTGTGACTTTCTGCCATTCTGGGGACGGCAATTCCCCAATCTGGCAACTTGGCAACCTTTGGACTGCGTCGCACAGACGTCGCACGGCGTCTTGCACCTTGCCAAGACTTGTGTATCTAGCGCTTATTACCCAAGCAAGAGGGAAAGCTTGAGTGAGACGTGACGGAACTTCGGCGGGCCGATGTGACAAATCTTGAAGGCTTGTTTTAGGCAGTACCGTCGGTTGTGTCGTATTCTAGGCGAGGTGGGCGAGCTAGTTTAGCAGAGAGAAAAGTTCTAGGTTTTACTTTTCTTTGTCTAGACTCTTGTCGGTTAACAAGGCGATATAGCTGTGTCAGACAGGACGTTGCGTTACACGAACAGCCCCGCTCGCACATGACTGGGCTGCGCGGCATAGCCTGGGTTGCACAAGAAGGATCAAGCGCGCCTTCCCAGAGTCTTGTGTGGCATAGCAAACCCAAGGTAACTCTGACTCTGACCGGTTCAAACTTTAATAATTAACCCAAGTTCTGCAGTTGAAGTGCCCGCCCGCATGTCTGCCTTACATACACCACCACCTCTCATGCAGAGCGTGACAAGACACAACCGCATCAGCTGTTTCTCCCACAGCAGGACCCCCAAAACCGACACCCTCAATGCGACTTCAATATATGCATTGCCTTTGCCTTTGACGTGGGATCAACTCCTGCACTGCTCCGCAGGCAGGCCGTCCGATTATATCATGACATCTTGGCATGTCTCTTGTGTAAACGGATATGCATGTCCTGTCCCTTGGCGATCAACTGATGACGAGCGATCTCGTCTTTTTACACCCGGTCCAAGGTCAATTTGTCAGCGCGGATGCCGTTTGCGGTGCTTTCCAATGCTCAGTAATCAGGAATCCCCTCCATAATTTATTATCCACAATCCCACATCAAATTTACACTCTCGGCGGCTTCAATTCTTCCCTCGCTCGCATCCATCCCCCTCGCCCCTCTCCCGCGCCTGCAGATGGGGGTGTGTGCGGGTGCGGATGCGGGGAGAGCTTCGATTCGATCTCCTCTTCTTCTCTAGGCCCGAGAGTCGCCAATGTGCTAACACCGAGCCGATTTGCCCGGCGAGCCTTGGTGCATCATTCCACCTTTCATCACCGATTCGGTAGGGGTGCCTGACAGTCGAACCCCCCAACCCTTTTAGTCGTTCAGCGCTTCGGTTCATTCGCCCGCTCGGCGGAAGCTACTTGGACCAGTAACGCTGCGTCGCACTGATTCCACGAAGGCTGGCGAATGGCCTAAGGGCGCGGTCCGAGTTCCTTCTGCGCCCGGGAACGTCACACGAGCAGAATACATTTGGGCTGCAGCCTAGACTATTTTCCCGTCATGATCCTGTACAACCCGGGCGTATTACTTAGTTGTCAAAAAGCTGTGTGAGTACAGCAAAGTGCATGGTGCATCGCGGTTTCCTTATCCGCCATTATTAATCCAACGCTGCCCACATTTCTCTCGCTCTCGTATGGTATATCGGAACATGCATCTGCCAAGGTATGGTATTCTACTACACCATCCTACCCGGCCTACCCATCATCAGTATCACTGTCGTCTCTCTGCAGGAAAATAGTTTCACACCGCTACACTCTAGTCATGCTCCCCTTACCCGTAACAGGTTGGCCGCCTTGGCGCGAGGGCGTATCCAAGTGAAGCCGAGGTTGACGATGCTACTCGTCAAGATGTTTAGTCAACGATATCTGCACAATGGCAATCAAGTTCAAGCCTGAGCCGGGGTGATCGATGGCATGAACCCGGAGCCATGTATCTCATGTATGTGTGTAGGAACATCGAGATGTACTGCAATGTCACCATCAGGTCCAAGGCAGCTGTCAGGCAGTGAGAGGCGATCAGATGGCACCACAAAGGTCAAGGCCAGAGGACCCCCTTCTCTACCTCAGGCGACATTACAAGACAAGTTGACGACATTGTAGCCACCTGATTCAGGCGGTCAATCCTGCACCAAGGAGACAACCAGAAACCTAGAACACATGAAATCAGCGTTTTAGCTTCATGTTTGCATGTCTTGTCAACTCATTTCCCCGCGTCACCGTCTTGCAGCTCTGCGCCAATGGGTCGACACTGTCTCAAGTCTCTCATTTCTGTTGTCTCAACTCTATTGTCTCATCCCTCACTGTGTCGGTTGCCCAGTGCGGACATAATGGAGGGATATGGCTTATACCCATTGCCATATACATAAAATGAATACAAGTAAGTATCTACTTAGAGGTAGGTAGATAGATATTACTTGAATTCTGTGGTCTTGATGTTCGATAAGGTTGTTCAGCTTCGCCACGGTGATATCATGTACGAAGTGTAGTTCATATACCAGATCTCATATCGTCTCGAGTGAGAGTGGGGCTAAGAGTGAGACAACCCCGACTTAATCTTCAGAGTCGGCCGAATACATACATTTGCGGTTGCTTTTCTTGAGACACGCGCCTGTGTCAGTTGACGCCGTGACAGAGAGAGTGGCTGGCAGTGGAAACACGAAACATGTCGATCAGCCAGCCCCATTGAGACGGCGATGGTCAGTTGAAAGCGGTTAGAAGAAGAAAAAGAACTATGTTCATGAGTAAGTAATTGTTTCCAGACGGTATGAGATACAACAAATTTTTTGGGAGGCAATATCACAAGTGTTGTCGCCTTGAAGCTCACACGAACACACCCCTTTCTTTCTAGCGGGCCAGAGTAAATGTTTGACACACTCTACACTCTCCAAGACAGCACCGAATGCGTTCCCAGGCTCGGCGCAGATCACTAGAAACACGCAGCGCAGATCACAGACAGACAGCGCAAGACCCAAGACAGCAGAAGGAGGCGACCACGAGGAAGATCAACCGACCAAGGGCTTAATTATACGTGAACCACATCAATAAGACAAGAGACTAAAGTGACGCCACCACAAATCTCATATCAAGGCTTCGCATGTGTAAGAACGGGTGGTGCGTGTGTGATCAAAAAATGTGGTCTTGCCCTATGGGTATTAACTATTAACTACCAATTTTGTTTCTTCTCGTGTTCTCCTACAGAAAAGAGAGAGAGGGGCACACCATTGTCCACCAGTGGAGGGGGAGAGAGTATTCTAATAAAAGAAAAAGAAAAAAGAAAAAGAAACCAGGATGCTTTAGCATCATTGTGTTTTCCCCATGCATGTGTCTAAACAGTGCGTGAAGTGCTTTCGTGAAGCCCACCCTTCACCACTCTCCCACACGCCTCTCTCTCTGTGTGTGCCCTTTCGCACACAGCAAGACTAGGGCTGTCTGCTGCGGCTAGTTTCCCACATGCTTCGGATATATATGAAAGAAAGAAAAAAACACCCAACCCCAAGACCACCTGGTTAAATATGCTGATGCCGTTTTTGTACTGCCGTAAGGATCGTAAGAATGAGATATGCAAATGCGAAATAGGAAGGCCGTCGGGCCATGAGAATATATTTCCTCCTCGTCTCCGTGTCTTGATGTTGATACACAAAACATATACTGTCGTCGTTCGCGTTTTCACGACACTTGCCACCTGTGCTTAGAGGCCGAGGATGGCCAGCAATGTCATGCCAAGCGCAAGGCTGAGCCCGGCGTTGACACGGCCGCTGCCGGCGGTCACGAAGCCTGGTTGCGTGGCAGAGGGGCGGAAGCTGCCAGTGCCGACGGGGCCAGCGGTTATCACGCCAGTGGCTGGCGCCGTCACAAGACCTGGCACACTGCTGGCAACAGCAGGCGGGGTTGTCACAGGGATGAGGCCAACCGAGCCGGCAGTGCCGGTGCTGAAGCCGACCTGGGGCACCGAGAGGGTGGTGCTGATAGTGACCGTGGTGCTGGAGCTTGGGATAGTGACGCCTGCCGAGTCAGTGCAGGGCACGACGACGGTCTGGTCCACGGTGATTGTCGTATACACGGGGGCAACCGCGGTCGGCGTAGCGCTGACAGTGATATATGTGGTCACGGTGGCACCAGTGGCGATGGCAGGGTTGGTTGGGACATACTGGGCGCAGATACCCTGGAAGAAGATGACTGCCTCGGACACGATTTGATCTGTAGCCCCGTGTGCGTAGATGCAGTTGAAGATGTTCTTGACGAAGATCTCGTCGGGGCAGTAGCATCTCGAGTCCGAGTTGTCAGAGCAGCCAACGCTGAACATGAAGGTGCTCAGGCAGGACGGTACAACGTCGGGGCAAGGGAGCGTCTCCACGGGGGCAACAGAAGTGGCAGCGCTCGTGGTGCCAATGACGGTAGTCGAAGTTGTGCCAACATCAACAGAGGCAGACGAGGTCGTGCCGCCAACGGGTGCCACTGATGTCGTGCCAACATCAACAGGGGCAGACGAGGTCGTGCCGACAACAACGGGCGCCGATGAAGTAGTACCAACAACAACGGGTGCAGACGAAGTCGTGCCGACAACGACGGGCGCAGATGAGGTAGTATCAACAACGACAGGCGCAGATGATGTGGTAAGAACGCTGGTCTGGGTCAGGGTGACGGGGCATACTGTCGTAGAAACAGCAACAGTAACCACGGTGGTGACAACCGAGTTGGCCGGGCAGTTGGGGATAGTAGGTGCGCAGCTGGTGATGGTCTGGGTCGAAGTAGTGAAGACTGTTGACGTGCTCTGGGTAACAAAGGTGGTGGTGACAGTGCTGGACGAAGACACGACAGCGGGTGCGCTGGAGCTGGCCGTGACAGGAGAGTTGCTGCTGACTCCAACAGGAGCAGTGCTGGTGGTCCCGGCGGCCGTTGTGCTGGTAGTGCCGGGAGCAGTAGTGCTAGGGGCGGTAGTGCTGGGGGCTGTGGTGCTAGTAGTACCGGGAGCTGTGGTGCCAGGAGCAGTGGTGCCAGGGGTAGTGGTGCCGGGTGCGGTAGTGGTGGCAGGCTTGGTGGTAGCAGGCTTGGTGCTAGAAGCTGTGCTACAGTCGAAAGACACGGTGGGAACCTGGACGCTGCAGCTGGGCTTGGGCTTGTTGGGCTGAGGGGGGTAGACGATGGTGACGTTCTTGGCGCCGCCGCACTGCGAGTTGACGACAGTGGTGCCGGACTTACTACACGGGTTACGGTGCTTGCAGGTCGAGCCGTCAGGCATGTCGTAGTGGAACTCGAGGTCACAGTCAAACTCGGGCTTCACGTGGATAGAGCCGAGGGAGAACTTGTCGACGGAAGCTCCGCAGCCGAACGATGGTGACGAGGCCTTGTCCGAGTGGCATGTGCCGCCGATAAACTTGGACGAGGTCCGGGGCTCAAAGCGCTTTCCGGACGAGGCCCCGCATTGGAAGTTCTTGAAGGTGAAGTCGTTGTACTGGAAGACAGGGCCGATGTTGAGGTCGCCAAAGTTGAACCCGGGCTTCTGCTTGTCGGTACACTTGTTGTCCGTGTTGCTTGGGCAAGAGAATGGCGGTGCTTTGTTGAAGCCCTGGATGACTGTGTTAGTCACCGAGACAGAGAACGGAAGGCCGAGTGATGATTGTCTGACATACCGTTGCCACTACGCTGGACGCGAGGGCGAGAATGGAAACGACGTTCTTCATGTTGACATCGGTGTGTACCGAGGTACTAATACTGTATCTCTGTGTATATATAGAATGTTCAAGAACAGAAAGTGAGAGGCGTAAGCGATAGTGAGAAGGGAGAGCGAGTCTTGCGCTTTCAGTCGGATGGGCTGATCAGTTCGTAGTAGTGATGTAAGATAGATATCAACGAGAGTATCCAGAGAGAGGAATACCGAACAGAACGAAACGAAGGCAGAGAACAAAGGAGCGAGTGGCTTTGCTTCTCTCCACAGGAATAAGAGACGAGGTCAAGATGGGGAATAGGAAAAGAAAGAGCTGTTGCATGAAAGTATCAAGAGAGCGGGAGGGAACAACCAGGAGGGCTCGGCGCCGTTCATATACATGCGTAGCACCCACTCCCCACGATCCCTACAGAGCAACCGCACGATAGTTTGGACTCTCTCTGTACCTGGATGGACTCACATGGCCACAGAAAATGGACCACCCACCCGACGACAGGGGACAGGGGGGAGGGGGTCGAAAGAAACAAGGACGACTAGGGCCCTGTCAAGCCGAGTTCCCCACAGCCGACCTGCAGAGGGATGGGTCCCAGGGACACGATCGATCCTTGCAGGGGGGCCTAGATAGGATGTACACAAGTCTCCGTTATACCTCCTTGGGCATGAACCGGCCTACCGAGCATAAGAGAGGTACCTACCTGACTTAGGTACGGTGCCTGACTTGCCTGGACTAGGACTAGGCTATGCATCTTCCCATGAAGGGAGGCCGGTACTAGTAGTGTAGTAGACATCGTCTACTTAGTACATCTGAGCCTGTCCGCGCCGTGCAAAATAAAGACGGCCAGCCAGTCGGAACTCATGGCTAGCGAGGTGGGCAAAGGCGAAGGCGAAGGCAAAGGCGACAACGGATGACGGACGGGTGATCTGAGCTGTGGACATGTCCTTCCTACCTGGGTGGAGGCGCGAAATGCAAGCAAGCATTTCACGCCTCCTAGAGCAGCCTACTGGCTGTTCCACTGGCTGTCAGGACTCGAAAGACGTTTAGGTAGAATATGCACCGCGGTTGCGGACAGCGCAACGCGCTAAAGTTGCGTTGCTGCGTCTGTCACTCTATTTTGGCGATACAGCGCCCATACAATGGAAGTGAGTCAAAAGACAGCGACTCAGCATAAGAGGTTGAGGTTGAAGCCCCACTCTTTGGCAGACGCTCTTGCCGTGGGTTGCGCGCGGCTCCCTGCCAGGGGTTGACAGGGGTCTGGAGACAACCATGGCCAGAGGCCCGGCGACATCGCAGCCCTTGCCTGGCCAATCGGCTCCATGATACAAGACTCTACTCCGAATCTCACACCAATCCAGGAGAGATCCAGTGGCTTGCGCCTTCCCGAGTGAAGGAGTCAGGAACAGATTAGGTAACGACTTCAACATTGATGGTGTCGATGAGTCCGAAGAGTGGAAATATTACTGTACCTATTGAAAAGAAGACAGAAACAGAAGCTACCAGCGGCAGAGTTAAGATTAGTTTGCGTCGGCGCCAGATAATTGACCGAATATTTGCATTGCGGCTGCTGGGCTGCGGCGAACAAGCAAGCTCTCGCAAAACCCCATCATGATTCTCATCGCATGAAAAAAGCGCCATCACAGCCTCCCTTCTCGACCCTCCGTCCCTACTGCTAACCCGCGAGAGTGGTGGAGCTGTGGAGCTGTGGAGGGTAGGAGGGAGGTGGGCGGGCTACCTGAAACAAGATCGGTCCAGCCACATCGAGCCACGCTACTGCAGGTACGTGTGTACGAAAGGCTCTCACACCTCCAGGTTGCTGCGCCCACAACCCAACACACCGTGTCCAATCGGTTTTGTCTAGATGCAGAGCTCTAAACAGCAACGTCATGGAGGGCGCTCGAGGCTCGAGCGAGGGATACTATCTATACGAAGTAATGTACACGTGAAGTTGGATTTGTTAGTCCTCGCTCCTCAGGCCTAGCTTTCCTAACCAGGAAGCTAAACCGCCTCATGCGCCTTTCGGCATGGATGGAACACGTAAAGTGTGCCTCGCGGCTCAGGCACCTGGGTCCCGAATGACACCAGGTCCCGGGTTTCGATGTGTGTACTCACTGTCGGTGCAGCTGGGCACATTATCTAATCCCACCCCAACGGCAACGTGATTGATTCTGTCAAGGCACAGCACTAAGGCACCTAGTGTAGACGATTGGCAGTCTTCGCTTGATCGAATGCGACTTTGCTGCCCAGGTAATTATTACAACAGCTCCATTCCTTATGTAAATTTCGTAGGAGTGCTAGACCTTCCTCAGGTTGAGGACGAGCCCGAGCACCTTTGGTCAAAGCCAGTGTCAACATTGTTAGTCAACGGCGCTTGAAGACGGTTGGGGGTTAGAAGTGAAAGCTAGAAGCGAGCGCGAATCGCAAAGAACAAAGCTGCCGGCGCTCGTCAAAAGATGCAAAAAGAAGCTTAGGGAAAATTGATTGGAAGCTACCGTCGTGTTTCGTTCTTGCTTGGGCGCGAGGCTGTTTCATGTTCAGCGACTCCTGGTTGATAGCCAGGGTCATCTGAGCTTTGACGCTGCAGCCAATGAGCCCACCTGGCCTGTGCGGTAGCTTTCTGGCCGCTTCTCACTCAGCACTGACGGGAGCTCTGCCTGCCCTCACTCAACCTCGAGTCAAAATCACACACACAAAAAGCCAAAGACATCCGAGCCAGCAGCTACTGCGTAAAGACAATTTCGCAAAAGCACGTCGCCACCGTCACTGCGACCGCTAGACAGGTGACAGGATGGACCTCGCGGCCTGTGCGCTCATTACGCTGCGTATCCATCCGTCTTTAGCATCCCAACTCAATTCCATCCCGGACTTCTCGTAGGTCGGCACTACTCTCTCAGAAGAGGCGAAATCCTGCTCTGTGGACTATGGAGCAGTGGGCAGGCAGTGCAGCTTCGGGCTGCACAGACAAGGTGGTGGGCTGTTGCTGGAATTAGCGTGCTATCAACTCAGACCACAATTATACTACTGTCACTGCTAGCGATTTAGCGCCTTGTTGCCGCCCATCCGACACAAGCGCTTTGTTCCAGACTCCAGACTCCAGACTCCAGCGCTGAGACCTGCCCACCCGTACTGCAATTTCCTCGGAGCCTGGCGGCCGGTCACGAGTCGGAAGATTCGATTTCGAAGATTCACCATCTCGCATCGGCGACGCGCCAGCCGGAAGGCCCGCCGCTTCTGAAATGATTCGTACATACTACCTACCCGCCAACGCCCTGGCTTGACAAGCTGAAGCCTGGCTGCTGCCATTTTTAGCACCGGCAGCCCTCTCGCCTTGTCTCGCCTCGCCTTGCCCTGTCTTCCACTGCATAGCATAGGCCGCCACAATGAACAAAATGTTCCGATGGGAACGGCAGCCGCGCGATTGCCCGGGGAAACCTGAAAGCCCACAAGTCAGGCGCTCAGCTCGCGGCTCTGATGAGCTCATCGCTTCTCAACAACCAACTGATGAGCCTCTGGGGTGAGCGCTGTTTCTTCCAGACACGCGGCGAACCGCCAAAGATCAGAGTGATCGACAGGCACAGCTCTTGACAAGAGCAACAAGCCGTTTCGACACCACCAACAAAGAAGCCCGGCTTTTCCAAAATGTCTCAGACCCTGGCGCTTCACATCTAACATCCCGCTGAATACGAGAAACAGGTGCAAGAACCACCTCTTGCAGCTGTTTGTTGCAGTGTGCACGCTAGGTACATACATGCTGTCGGTGACAGACGCATCGGCCTCCTTTTTTTGTCTCTGCCTCGTCTTTTGCAGCCGGCACCTCTTGGCCCTCCTCATCCCGGCGACGGTCGGATCCCGGCTCCGCATTGGGAACTCGTCCAGCCGTCAACGTAGGAGCCACCGCTATCTTGAGCAAGTCCCGCGTCGTCGCTTGTGTAGTGGAAAGCCCAGAACGGCCGTGGCTCCAAGGCCATGTTTCCAAGTCGAGACTAGCGGTGCAACCTCTTTAGAGAGAGGGCTTCTCCAAAACAACGTGCCCTGGTTCAGGAGGCTTTAGAGTTGTTTCGAGCCGATGCTACTCCGTACCTTACACCACATGTGCACCATACGCAGTACACCCCCCCCCCCCGCTCATGGTGACATTATCTGCATGCAAGCTTGATTTTTCTCTCTGCAACAGGTCACCAAGAGGCCATGGCTTTTGAGTTGCACCACGCTGAACTGCTCTCGAACCCCTTTTTGTCCCACGAAACCTCGTGCCCCGTCGCTCGAAACGGCGGCCCCAGAACTGGTCAACCTTGGGCAGCATCTTTATGCCGTCGGATCCTCTTCTCTCTTATTTATCGGGCGAAAACGCCAAGACGACAGAACTCAACTGTTTGTTAATGATCCTACTCGAGGCAGACAGTTCTTGTTTCCTTTTGGTTTGGGGTTATTGCTCTCTTGATGTTGACTGCTCAGAACTGGGAATCTGTCCAGGGCAATGGTTTCTGCCTGTGCTGATCAAGTAAACCCTTCTGACAAGACAGATAAGAGAGAAAATAAACAAATCACACATCCCCATCGTGCATAACACGAGATCATTCCCTGCGAGGCTATGTTTCACGAACGTTGCCGTTCCCGTATCAACAACACCGGCAACGCCACCATCAAGCCTAACCCTTCCTCCCAGCCTTCCTCATCAAGGCAGCCGGCCCAGATATTCTACACTACAGTCTGCCCAGTGTTTGCCACGCGCGCTGTGCCTGAAAGGCTGCCTAGTGGCTATCGTCGGGCCACTCTATTGCCTCGTGCATCGCGAGGTGCAATCCTCTTCCCAGCTAATTACGAGATGATGTCTGGTGTTCTATTTTTGCCTCCGTAAAGGATTCTTCCAATATTTGGCATTTTGAGTGATCATCTCTCGAGACTCGCACACTTTTCTTGCGAGAAGAATCTTGGGGCGACACTTTCGCGATAATCCAAGCTAGTTTCCGGAACTATTGAGCGGCACGGCGGCGCCGGCGCGGCGCGGCACGCTGGGGAAGCCAAGAGGCGGATGCGGCGAGACCATGCTATCAGTGGAGAGAGGCGGCAGAGAGACACGAGATTGGCATGGTTAGTGCGTGGCCCTGCTGCGCGCCGTAACTCCTAGAGGAGGTGGTGCGTGGTTCTTTTGTTGTTCTTCTCCGGAAGGAATTATTCAATCAATTGCCATTGTTTCCCGGCGAGCGAGTCCACGCCCCCGTCCCACACCTAGCTAGCCACGACGTACGTGCGTGCTTACTCCGTGAGGTGCGTATCCCCAGTCTCGACGGCGCGGCACGGTGGTGGGTCTTGTGTTTGTTGGCCGGCCGGGCCGGCTTTTTCCCTCATGTGGCCCCGTTTGAACTAGACTCGACGGAGTTGACCGTGTCAGACCTGCGGAGACTTGAGACTCGCGCGGGCAAGAAAAGAGCCCCAATCGGGCCGGCCGGTCGCCCAGCCGGCCGCCCAGCCGGTCTGCATCGTCCCAACGGAAATGCGAAAGCGCGGCTCGGCCTGTCGCGCTCGTGTGTGGCTCTCGTGGTTTAAATAGCGGCGAAGCCCAACATCTCTTGCTCCTTCTTACACCCTGCTGTCTCATATACAGGCACATCAAAACCAACCATAGCGCAAATAATACCCTGTCGCACAAGAGACAAATTGCCGCAGACAGCGTTCCGTGTATAGAAGAATAAAAAACAAGAGAATAAAAAAGAGCTACTACTACCACAATGGCAACACCGCAGACCCCCCCTGGCCAAATCTCGCCCACGGCAGCGGCGGCGGCGGCGGCGGCAGCGTCGCTAGACAGCATCTCGGCCGACATTGGCAGCCAGATCCTCGCGCAGCTGGAGACGATCGACGAGCGGCTGGGCGACCTGGAGACGGCGATTGAGGACCTGTCCATCATCGTCGAGGACCACTCGTTCACGACCGAGGACCGGCTGACGGCCATCAAGAAGCGCCTGGGCCATATTGAGCGCCAGGAGGAGCTCGTCATGGCAGAGATGCACATTGAGGAGACAGGCGACGACGCAAAGAAGCAGCTGCCGCAGACGCAGACGAAGAAGGGCAAGAAGGCGGCTGCTGCTGCTGCTGCTGTGGATAAGCCCGCTGAGAAGAGGCCGGATGCGACAAAGGAGGACCAGCAGCACGGCTCCCTCGAGGCCTTCATCATCGGCGACGACGAGGATGACGACAAGGCCCCCGCCGCCGAGGCGAAGCCCAAGAAGGACGCCCCGTGGTTGGGTTAGAGAGAGAAGAGCACTAAACTCTGCCTACCTACCTGCCTGCCTGTCTGCCTACTTGCCCTTGCCCCCTCTGTGTGTGATATGCATTCCCTAGACATGACATGGGATTTAGACAGATGGGGGATTAGAAAACGCTTCCCTCCCCCAGGCCGTTTGTTTTGATAGTGGCGAGAACGTAGAAAGAAACGAAATGTATTGTAACAACAGAACAGAACGAAGGTCATGCTCGCTGGATTTGTTCCCACCAGTGTTCGGTGTTTTTGATCGAGCGATGTTGTGAAATAGACGATTTGTGTTCCTATCATCTTGGACGTGTCTTTCTCGGACGCGGCTTTCCTTTCCCCGTGCATGCAAATATATGTTTATGGATGTTCGCTATCCCAACAACAGCAGCCTTTCCTCAGTCAGAAGAGTCTGGTAGACGGAGCGGTCGTACACATACACACGCACTCGGTGGGACTGGACCGGTCAGCACGCTAGCTGGTTGTCTTGGGCTCATGACGATCTCAGGTGGGGTTGAGGCTAGAAAGGGGGAGAGGGGAAAGGGGAAAGGGGAAAGGAGAAAGGGGGGAGAAAAAAGCTGTTTCTACTCTGCACTAGCTCCCCGCCTACGCACCGCTTCCACTCCGCCTGGCTACAACACGCAGCTCAACACCCCTACTAGGACTTAAGGTGATTAAAGTAGGAAATCCTCGGCATACTCCTCATACTCTTTCATAAAGTCCTCAATGCTAAACTTATTCCCCATCCCCATTTCCTCCAGTATAGCCTGCCCCGCATCCATGTACCCTGCCTTGAATGCATCGTACAGTTCACGGCTCTTCATATAGTGCGGAATAAAGAGTTGGTTGTCACCGGTGACCATGGCGCCCTTGAATGCTTGGTATACCACATCCTGGTCATCTGAGAAGTCCACCAAGCCACACTGACCGAAATCGAGGAGATAGAATCTAATGGCGCGATGCTGGAAATCAAGGCCTCCCTCAACCTCATGCTCAACAGCCGATGAGCCAAGGACGAATTCGACATCGTCACCGTTCACGCCCGCGCCCCAGTGCATGATAGCGAACGCTTTGCCCATCGCAGATGCGAGTCCTATGACTTCCAAACCCAACTCCTGCATCGGCTTCAGATACAGTGGGAAGTTGCGCAAGGAGAACCCCGCCCTCGTGAATACGCCATTGTCTCTGCCGAGATATGTTCGTGCAAGACAGTGCTTGTTCGGAGTGTCATTGAGGATGCTGTCTAGCAGAACGGAATCGGGGAGAGGGAAAGATTGGAAAAGGGAAAAGAACTGGGGGTTAAAATTTATTAGTAGGGGGAAAAAATTGAAGGAATATTTAATTAATCTTCCCTATCATCAAGGTTTGGCGTGTTCTTTCCAAGGCTATCGGCGGTAGGTGCGTCATCTCCAGTCTCAACGAACCTTCACCTCCCAACGGACTTCCCACACCGATATGGTCTAGTTTGCTGGCGAGATATTGGTAATAGTCAACACCATCAGATCATAGCCTTTCACCACTACGTCTGTCATTACCAGTGGATGCAAACCGATCCAACAGGTCGGTCCATCTAATTCTCCCCAAGTTTCAACATCGACAACAAAATCTACTTCAGTCACATTAATAACTGCAACTATCACAAGGACATCCTCAATTACAGTTACTGAGACGCGCACCGATCGCCCCCTCACAACCAAGCGATCCGCAACAGTCGCAACCTTGTTCATAACAACCGGGCGGACTGATATTTCCACCAAAGGCACCAATACGCTTATCCTATCTTATTACGTCCCAACTGTTTACACTAATACGATCACTAGTGCCAGCGTTTATTCCCGGTCTAAGACGACACAGGTCTGCATGTGGACCTCGATTAGAGATTTGTACATTCCGTGGCAGTGTAGATATTGTGAGAAAACCCCGATCTACCTTCCCTTGGCTTGTCTCATGCCGACAACAGGAGGCCCAGGTTCGGGACCGCTTCCTCTCTGTCCGTCTTGGGGGGGTGGCTGAATGATTTACTGGAATTACGTACAAGGTGTGCCTGTCTATTACGCCAATTCTCCTGCTCCGAGTTTGATGGTGCATGTATTTGGCCTGCTTGACTGGTTGGATTGACACCCGCCAGATCAGACAACTCCTTTAGAATGTATCTTAGTTGTAACAAGTACAGGATGCCGCAGGCCTTGTCTTGCTTGTTATACTCCAACCACAGCGGAAACCATCTTCCTCTCCCGGGTTTCTCTTTTATTGCCGTTCGGAAAAGAAGGCGAACAAATAAGAAGCAGGAAACTAGAAGGAAAAAAAAACTCATGTCGGTTTTTAGTGACTCTTGTTGATCCGAGCTACCTTATCTACGTCCATCTACGGTTGGTCCGCCATCCTAGCAATATCAAATATGTGTATGTATGTAGCTTGTGTCCAGACCGAAAATCAGGTAGAGAGAGAGAGAGAGAGAGAGAGAGAGAGAGAGAAAGGCTTGTAGCGGCCTTCCTTCTCTCGGTTATCTAGAATCTACCTAGGCAGGCAGGTTACGTTTTCCGTTGCTCACCCCAGGCCCTTCCTTTTCTTTTCTGCAAAAAATACACTTCTACCTGCACGTTCACTCTCTGCGCACTCGCGAACCACAATCAAACGACCTCGCGCTTCCTTCTCAGGACCTATGAGTTTAAACTCGGGACGATTAGCCCCCCCTTTCTCTCAAAAAAGGGGAAAAGTGAGTGTACTGCGGTTGAAACCTACCCTGTCGTGCTGTCTCCCTCTCGGGTCTACCTTAGGACTTACTATTACGGGTCTACCTTAAGGAGAACTTTAATATCTACTTAAATAGCTTAATTATAAGAGTACAGAGAAATAAATGGCGCACTGCTTCTAGTTGTGGGCCTTATAACCACTGTGGTTTTTGCCTAATGGGTTGTCGTATATCTGCGTCTGTTGTGTAGCACTGCTAAGCAAGAAGTCGGGGCTTAGATTTGAGTCGAAATGGATGTGAAGATGTGATGCTTTGGGGAATATCTCGGCTATGGCAAAGAACCGGGTTTTCTCGATCGTTTTGCGGTTTGAAACGAAGTGGTCTCCGTCGGTCCTCGTATCGACGTGGTACAACAACGACATCGCGCACGAGGGCCGGCGGCTCGTGCTCACGGCCGTCGGCGTACCGTGTACCAACGTCATGGGCCCCGTGTCCAAGGGGGACTTCCCGCGCAGCCGCCTCGGCGAGAAGCAGCGCGGAAAGATTCTAGCGGGCTGGGTCAGCCGCAAGATGAAAACCATGGCCCAGTTCGCCATCAAGGACATGGACGCGTTGCTAGGACCGCCCGGAACCATCGGACTGAGCGAGCCAACCAGCAGCATCTTGGGAGTGCCCGACGCGGCCGGCGACCACCGCATCAACATGGGCAGCTTCCGCAGCTCGAGCGGCGGCCCGGTCCCCGGCGGCAGGAGCCCCGTAACGTAGAATTGTGTCGAGGTACATACATGCTATCTAGGATAAATAGACAATGGACAGATAGACTTGGTTACGATGGGGGTCCGTACAAAGTACAAAGAAAAATAAGAAAACACATCTTCCACTAGAAGATCCACGACGTGATATCAGTAGCTATCTGGAATCGGCACTACCGATGGACATATACGGCCGAGCATCCCCCCCAGCAGGGCTAGTGAGAACAGCAGATCACGAGAGGCACCTGGTGAGCAGCAGATCCGGATAGATCGATTGCCAACGTGGGCGTTGTATTTTTCGGGGGGGGTAGATTGTCACGTGATGGGACAGCCCGAGGTTACCAATTAGTAGAAGATACATCAATCTACATTCAATCCACATGGAGTTGCGAGAGAATGGGCGAGAGACTTGTTACACCCCAGCCCAATCTCCGCCGTCATGTTAAATAACTCGTGCCAAATAGACCATCCGCCCGAATTTTCAGAAACAAGATATCGTACAGTACATCTACTCTCCTTTAGATGGAGACTAGGGTGTGGAAAGAAAGGGGGACCAAGAAGCCGTGTTCCTCCCGACATTAGAACCAGACGCTGCCGTCGGTCGAGTACGAAGACGACGAGGCCTTCGAGTCGGCCCTGCTCTGGCTCCCGCCGTACTCGCTCTCGCTGTCGTTGTTTAACGCGACCAGGAGCGGAGAGTTGGCGTCGTCGTCGGCAGCGGGGGTCGTCTCGTCCGGCCAGCCCGACTCTATACGGGAAATTTTCTGCGCAAGCAAGTAAGCCTCTTCGTACTTTTTCTTCCACAGGCTGTCGTCGCGTTGCTCCTCTTCGAATAAACCGAGGTAACGATCGGGGATGCGCCGCGGCCGGCCGGTAGTGGAGTAAAGGTCGATAACATCATTACCATCATCCTCCTCCTCCTCCTCCTCTTCTTCTTCTTCTTCTTCTTCTTCTTCTTCTTCTTCTTCTTCTTCTTCTTCTTCTTCTTCTTCTTCCTCCTCCTCGTCTGACGAGAATTCAGAGTCGCTGACGAGGTCTGGAGGCATGCTCTCAGCAAGTTTCTCTTGCGGATCGTCATTATAGTAATCGAGTATATCACCAAGTTCTTCCTCGTCTTCATTCACCGCAGTGACATGTTCAACATGCTCGGGCGCACATTCTAGTACAGCGACATCGGCGTCGACACCGAACCCTGGGTAAAGAGATCCTCCGCCACTGGGTCCAGAAACGAGGGTCGACTGACTCCAATGTGACAGAAGGATACTCGATTCTCGTCTTTTCGTTGGGTCAGCGACGCGGTCAGGCAACAAGTCGGTAATATCACGCTCGATCCTATCGAGGTCCGGTATAAGAGCTGTCTCACCAATTGCCGACGTTCCGTGAAGCGTCCCAAAATGCTTCTTTATCGATGGGGAGAGGCCGGCACGGAAGAAGAGGTCATAAACATCGCCTGGCCCTTCATCAACGTTAGCTTCATGAACTGCAGCGAACTGGCCGTAGGGATTGGTGATGTCAACGCCTATGGTACCAATGTCGGCCATAGGAGCCGTCTTACCAACTCTCGTGCTCTCCCTGGTTGGGGTGTAGTCTTTGCTCGTCCACGAAGTGAACTCGGCCTCGTCCACGGCTTCTCCGCACAGAGCCTCGAGGGTCTCGAGATGGGCATTCGGCTTATCCTCACTGGTCGAATTCGAGACTCGCCGAGCCGCGCTGGGGGGGATGTCTAGAACTTCCGCAATCCCTCGAATCTGCACTGACGCGCGGCTGGATCTTCGGTCCGCTGATATAGTAGACTCGGATCCAGAGCTCGCCCACTTGATAGTCCTCACTCTAGCGTTCTGCGCCCTAAGCAGCCTCGTCTCCATAGTATCCGAGTCGAAATATGTTAGCCGGTCGACGAGGGCAGTGAGCTCGAAGCGGATGTCTGTCGGGTCTTCTGGAATAGACCTGCCGAATATCACGTCGGCCGGAACCTCATGAGCAGAGACGGGCTCTAGTAGTTCCATTGTGTTCTTGTAAGCCCAATAGTTTTTGATGGCAGTCAGATTTCGAGTGTTGTAGCCCTTGAAGACGGCGCGACAACCCGCGCAAAATCCCATGACAGCCTCTCCTGTCTTGGTCGAATTCTTGGCGCATATCTTGGAAGGCCGTGTGCTAAACCACGAGAGCAAGGGGGATTTGCCACCGCTCTCGGCAGCGTTGCGGGCCTCGCACTTGGTCTTTTCTACTCGGTCGTGGGTACACACGGTGTAAACAAACCGAGTAGTGTGGCACATTTCGCCTCTCCTCTTGGGCGGGGACCTTGCACGCAAGGTCCCCGGTACACAGTAGACTTGAGGCGGAAAAGAAGAACAGGAAACAGAAAAGAAAGCGACCCTGCCTACAGGGCAGCAACAGCCGATGACGGCTAGATGTGGCGGGGTCGAGAGTGTGTTGGTGTGTTTTTGTTGTGGGAGCGATTGCTGCAAACAGGCAGGTTTAGGTGGGCGGTCAAAACTCGTTGACGCCGCCGGCTTGAAATGAGCAACTCGAGACAATGCGCGGAAAATAAAGACACGAAATGGGCAGGAAACAACACAAAGGCATTGTCCGCCGTCCTTGTTTGCGCAAATGGTGGCCGGCCCTTTGGACGGCGGTCGAGGGCAAACGAGTCGGGGTCAAACAAAGCGAAGATGTCAGAGAAGGAGAGGCGAGGAGATTGAGAATCTCGGAAAGACACATGTCCGGCCAAAAACAACCCCGCGCAGTACCGAGGCGGGGAGGGTCACAAGAAGCAAAATCGGCCAGAAGCCGAAGCATTTCGTTTGTTTCCATCCCATGGCCAGAGGTAAGAGGCACGAGGCAGGAACAGAAACAGGAGCATGAACAAGACAACTTGGTCCCAAGACGAGCGAGGCAAAAATGCGGCACCAAAAAGTTTGTCTACCGTGCCACGACTTCAAAAGCAATCAAAACACTGCTGATCCTCGTGGCAGGCGGTCAGGTTGTCACGATATCAGATCACAGATTGCATTTGGTGGTTGAGGTTTCGAGAAAATGGTCAAAGTCGTGTCGTCTAGTTCAACGAACAAGGTGGGGGTGATCTGATTGATCCACTTGACATGAAAGAGCTGCTGAATAAACCTGTTCTGTAATTTACATTCTTCCGTATTCTGTAATAGTCTTCAGGCTTCCTTCAGTGCCAGCTTGGAATGTATTTCCGCCAATATTTCCATTCTGGTACACACCCCGCCATTACGTTACGCTTGGCGCATCCGTAATCATGGGTAATCCAGCGTCAGCAGCTTCAGTAAGCAGGCTGATTGGCCAATCGCCGCTGAAAGAGGTACGGTGATTTTTAAGCACCAATTATTCCGTACTCGAGCTGCGAAGGCTCCTTGGATACATTTGGCATACTCACCCAAGAATTGGGTTATCAGCGTGAAATACCCGCGCGCGAGCTCCTTCTCGTCAGATCTAGATGCTAGATACAAAAAAAAAACACTCCTCTGCTCATTGCTATAAATGGGGCGCTTTGTGACTACTCTGTCGATTTTCGTTGTCCCAATTTCCATCATCTCCTACAACTCGTCTGCGATCAAGTCTTTACTCAAGAGTAGTCCTCTCTCAGTGTATACCACGTCTCACCTGTCAGAATCTCAGCTCCAAGCTATCCATACTTCAACCAGCGAGCAACCCATGCTCAACGCAGTCAGGAACACAATGTCCAAGACTCTGTACGACGCCAAAATCACCACCCACCTGTCTTCTGCCCGGGGGCACGGCGACCACGGATGGCTCAACACGTACCATTCCTTCAGCTTCTCGGACTGGTACAACCCCAAGCTCATGGGGTTTGGGGCTCTGCGGGTGCTGAACGAGGACCGCGTCAAGGCCAACTCGGGCTTCCCCACGCACCGCCACAATAACTTTGAGATCTTCAGCTACATCCTCTCGGGCGAGCTGACGCACCGCGACTCCATGCTCAAGAAGGGAGCCGAGGGCGGGCAGTCGGACCGCTTCTTCCGCATGCACCGGGGAGATGTACAGTTCACGACGGGCGGCACGGGCATCGCCCACTCCGAGTTCAACGAGCACAACCATGACACGGTGCACTTTTTGCAGATCTGGGCCGTGCCGTGGGCGCGCGGTTTGACGCCGAGATATCATACGCGCCACTTTGACGACGACGACAAGCGCAACGGCTTCGTCAACATCCTGAGCCCGCTCAAGGCCGGCGTCGAGGCCACCACCGAGGAGGAGAAGGCGGCCGAGCCCACAATCCCCGACACAATACCCATCCACGCCGACCTGGTCATGGCCGCCGGCATCATCGCCCCGGGCGCGGAATTCGAGTGGACAGTGGGCGCCAAGGCGGACGGGGCGGCCAAGCGCAAGGTCTACATCCACCTGCCCATGACGAAAGGCGGCGGGTCAAAGATCAGACTCGACGGGAGGGAGGACGCGGAGCTCGAGGAGGGCGACGGCGCGTTCGTGGAAGACGTCACGGCCGGAGACCGCCTCGTGGTTGAGAGCATTGGCGAGGAAGAAGCCGAGGTCATCGTTCTGGACACTGCGTGAAAATCATGTGCATGTCAGAGTTTCGTTCTTCCAAATGTAAATAAGCAATGCAAAGCAAATTGAATTCAACTGAATCGTACAACTGTGACTGCATTAAACATTAATCAATTCCATTCGCGGTGGGGGGAGTCGAGGTTGCTTCGAATCTCCGTCGTGTACTTCGTACCTGCTGCGCGCAAAATTTGACCAAGGTAAACGTCCTGCGTGACGCAGGAGCTACGGTTGCGGGTCAGCCAGGTCGAGCACGCACGTAGGCAGACAGCAGTAAATCACACTCCGGTTCAGTAGAGCAACGCAACCACCACAGCGATAGACTTGCATGCCCCTCTTGACAATCGCGTCACTGCTCGGAATCAGCCCTTCTTCGCCTCGACCTGCGCGCAGGCCGACGGAGATGAAAAGAGAATCGGGTAATGAGTTTGTTCCAAAAATTCCCCAGCCGGCCGAAGCCAACTAGGAGCGGTCAGGGTTGTAGTTTTCAACTAGCAAAAACGTGATCTCGGACGAATCCTCACTGATACACGTAAAACCTCTGCACTGGGATGGGGAAAAAAAAAGAAAAAGAGGAAGAGAATTGAAGGCTGCCGGCACAAGTATTTAAGCAAATTCGTGTGATCCGTGCGCGGCTGCGATTTTTGAGGGGTCCACTCTTGGACCCCGCTGCTGCTTGCTGAGGGCCCGCTTTTCTATGGGAGGTGGCAAACTGAGGCCCCACTCTGTCAGAGGGAGAGAGTCGCAACTGCCAAACATGGAGCTCTTGCCGGCTGGCACGCTGCCCGTGCTGTCCCCGAGTTAAGACTTTTGTCGGGGACATCCTTCTTTGTGTTATAGAACACGGTGCTGCACGTTCCGGGAAAGGCGCCCTCCCCCAACTCTCCTCATTTGCTTTAGCGCGGCCATTCCATCATCCCCGCGACTCTTCGTCCTTGCGCCTAAACATAAATAAAAATACATCCCCCGGCGTCTCTTTCCTGTATTATGGACCTTTGCCCTTCTTCTCATATTCTTCATAATTGCACCAGCACGCAATACGGCGGTTTTTGATCCTAGTCTGTATCGCTGTTTAGGGTTGCCGACCCCAAAACACTACATTTTTGGCGGGGTAGTTCTGGACGCCGCCCCCGCAACCAGTTCCTTCTTCCTTCCATCGCCAATCAGCAGGCAAGCGAAGCAATCGCCCTAATAATAATAATACCTGCTCCTTCCGTCGTCAACAAGCAAGCGAGCCCTGCTCCTTGCAGTCGCTCTAGATGCACGCGCATTCAATCTTCATTATCAAAGCCATCCGCCCATATGGCTGACAAGAGAAAATTCGCCGAGCTCAATCGGCCGGCAACGCTCCTAGTAACGCCCCCAGAGACAGTATATCCCGCCTCCACCACACCGTCTGTGGGCTTGCCCGTCTCGGGCGTCGATAAGATTATCGCCGAAATTCCCAATCATATCTGTGGCCGAGTCGAGGTCGAAGAGGAGTGGTAGTACATCAGCCTCAATCGTGACGAGTTCAAGGCTTTGGAGGCGCGTTTCGAAGCCGAAGGGGACTATCGCTGGCTAAAGTAGGTAGCCTATCCCTTTGTCCCTCTATCTCTCTGCCCCTCTTCGTCCAGCTACCCCTTATCTAGTATCACATTGGCTAACCCCTAATTAGGTACGACTACTTCCCTCAGCTCGCCAAGTTCGTCTTGCGAATGCCGGGCACTGTCCACGAAGCCGTCATCGGAGCATTCGAACGCCTAGTTATACGGCAACTACATATTATCGAGCAGAGTAACGACCGAGTCGCTGCCGATTTCACTCGGGACGTACGCTCAATAGGAAGTCCCAATATTGAGAGGGATGGTAGTTCCCATTGCCTAGACGGGCCGTTTGCATTGCCCAGACGGGTCGTTTGCACATAAGAATACGACAGAACTTGGCATTATCCTAGAGGTCTCACATTCGCAAAAACGCCAAGATTTGCAGTTCCTTGCAGATGACTATATCCTGGGTTCAAATGGGTTAACCCAGGCTGTTATCGGGATCGACCTTGTATACCAGGGAAACGAAGCAAGAGTGATAGTATGGCGACTAAACAAGACTAAGGAAAAGGGAGAAACTACCCTTACAATAAAAGAGACCTTCAAGGGTACCTTTCGCGATACAGATGGAAATTTAGTCAATGGCAAAAAGAAACTCCGAATTTGGCTAAAGGATTTCAGTAATCAGTTTGATTACTCCGAGATCCAAAATGTTCAAGGGGAAATTACCATTCCTCCACTCAATTGTATGAGTTGGTTCAGGAAAGTGAGGCTTTCGAGCAGACACTGAAGCGGAGGCGGGGGTCAGATGAGGTTCTGGAGGGTAGAAGTAGGCAAAGGATGGTCAAGCAGAAGTTAGTCCGCCCGTCGCAAGAGAAACTCGAATCCTCAGACGAAAAACGATTCGAGGCAATGGAGGAAGAGGCTGAGAAGCAGCTCAGCGGCCAGGAGCAAGACTATATCCTAGAGTTGGATTAATCTTGGCCAAGATGGAGCTTGTAGAACTATTCACGCGGATCCGAGTTATGGGCGCCGCCCCCATATATATATATATTTTAAGCTGTAGTCTGCGCGCTCCTCAATATACCCTTTCCTGCTCTGTCCTTATTCCTTTCTGTAGCTCGGAACTAATTATGTTGTGCGCTTGGTGTTCTGGCCGCCGAAAATGGCAGCATGCGCTAGCCAAATTCGGCGGACAGAACCCGTTTTCTCTGTTTATGGCGTATACTGCTACATACATGTAGAAATCTCACATTTTTGCCAATCGATCAAAGAGTAGAAAAGACGCCGCTCTTGACGTGCAATTGTATCAAGTATCTTATTAATATATACTTGACAGCCATGGCCTCGCAGTTGCCCGCGTTTCCGCGGTTCGTGTTCACGATCGCGGAGCCCATTTCACTGTAAGATAACAGCGTGTTTCCTCTCTGCGTGTGGCACACATGTCTATCCCTCCAATAAGCGGAAGGTGACTTTTATTTCTTTGCCTTTTTTTCATAAACCGCAGAAACAGCAACAACAGATGGTAATTGGCTCGTTCGTCAAGTGTCTTCGGCGCCATCTACGCCATCGCGTGGCCGGATTGGTTCACGGCGGAGCAGCTGGGAACGCCCGCGGCGGCGCCCGCCGCACTGACAGGGCACAGCCGCGTGGTGGCCCGGCAGCTTGGCAACTGCTACGGGCTGGCCTTCTTGGTGGCCGTCGCCGTGCTCTACTCGACGAGCGAGCCCAGGGTCGTCAAGAACTACCTGGTCGCGCTGTGGCTTGCCGACATTGGCCATGTCGCCATCTCGTGTCTCGCCCTAGGCCGCGACCAGGCGCTAGCCGTCGCGGATTGGAATATCCTAGCGTGGGGCAATATCGGGATTACGGTAGGTTTCTCTCTCGTTCTCTCTCCTGTTGAGGTCTTTTTTTTTTTTTTTTTTTTTTTTTTTGCTTTCGCAGAGCTTGGCCTCTGCCGGTTTGCGAGATTAGAGTGGCTGCTGATATTAATTTGGGGATGCAGGCGTTCTTGTTCTTCACCCGGACCGCATATTTTCTCGGGCTCTTTGGTCCTGATAAACCGCACCCAGCCCAGCTGTTGAGAAAAAAGGCGCAGTAGGAGTAAGTCGCCTCGAGGTTTCGCAGTCGTCTTAACTATTAGCAAACGCGCTGTTGCCTGCTACCTACCTCAGCTGTCAAGCACTTGGGATGGTTCCACAAGCTCGACCTCGGGCCCCGGTATGCTGCTGGCTGATGCCGAAGGGCATGTCTCCAAGGCCTAAGAACTTTGGGTACTTGATTATTATTTCTAGTTTAATCGCATTGGATAGTATATGGTAGTTTGGTTTGTGACGAGATCTTTTTATTGTTCGATATCCGAAGCTTCGGTGGGCATTGGGGACTAGGGGCTTCAAGTCCTAAGCTGTTACCGAGTTCATAACGAGTCTAAACACCGCCAAAAGTACAATACTAGCAGATAAAGAAGAGGAAATATATTGATGTCTCTTCGTCAACTATGTCTCTCGTCGTTGAGAATGCTGTACTTATTTTTATCTTCTAAGCAGGTAGCTCGCTTCTGCCCGTTGTGTTGATAACTCCGCGGATAAGTCCGAGTTCTGTATTCTGTATTGCTAGTGTCGCGGCACGACCCCACCATCCGAGGACGAAGCTTCCGATTTGTCGGCCGCATGTCGTCACCGCAGAATCGCGGGCGGACTTGGACCTTCTGCACGTTGCATCTGCCTTGGGACTAGGGGTCTAGGATGGGATGGAAGATGTCGACGTCGTTTGACCGGGAATGCCTCATTACCCCAACCTGGACCAGCCTCATAGACATGTTTGATGCCGACGCCTGGTGCAACACTTTACCGGACCTAAAACTTCCCTTGCGACTAGACGTCGTTCTAGCTCCAGTCCTAGTTTGAACCCCTCTGCCGCCGCCTCGTACGTTGGATTCTTTGTGCTTTGCCTTTCCCCATAGCAAAGGCTCCGGGTTGCAACGTGCATCAAACGCTCGGGAATTGAACCTGTCGGTCTCCCTCCGGGTTTTAGCTAGACCAACCACAAGTGTCATTTGGCCAAACGCCCATCCCATCTCAACCCATCTCAACCCATCTCGCCGCACAGCCCCGCTTTGCTGATTGCATTGGGGGGTCGGGACAAGGCGCCCAAAATGAGTACCGCCGGGCATCCCGAGGCCGGCGCCGACGACGATAGCGAGGCCTATCTGAGTTCTCATGAGCACCAACACGAGTCCGGTGACGACAACGATGACGACTATGACTGGTTCACGACGCTTCAGGGCCACATCCACGATCATTACCATAACCATGATCGGCCCGAGGGTGGCGAGGATGTCGACGAGGACGAGGACGAGGACGAGGACGAAGACGACGACGACGACGACAACGACGGAGATTATGTCGACGAAGATGAGGATGTCGACGAAGACGAAGATGTAGATGATGACGAGGCAAATGAGTACTTGGGTGCGTTCTGACATTAGCATCAGTATGAGCATAAGCTGGAGCATGAGCGAGCTGCTCGTTTTCCCGCTGCCCGCCCTACCCCACATTCTGACTGGTGACTAGATGCCGAAGCCGGCGAGGTCGAACTAGAGCTTCTCATCCAGGAGATTCCCGGTCAAGGCGCCGGCGGCGACGGAGCTGAAGCGGGCGCCGAGAACAACTTGCACCGGAGGATTTTGAGAATCATTGCCGGTAAGCAAAGGCCTATTCTGCGTCGCGGCATGCAAGGCATGCTCCCGCCGCTCGGGGAAACTCATTGGCGTTTAGAATGCGGGACAGTGCGACTAACTCGTCTTTCCAGGACGGACTGGGCCGGGGTTTTTGACAATTCGCCAGATCTTGGGCCTTCTCCGAGGCCAAGACCTCCGCCATGTCATCTTTGACGACAACGAAGAAGTGGATCCGTGGTCGACCAGGAGAAGGAGGGATCTGGACCCCAACCGATTCCCAAAGGTGCCGAGCGACGAGGGCCGAAAACTGATCGAGTCTGGCCTCTTTGGCGCATTTGACGCCAGAGACCGCGACAGTAAGAGACTAGCCCGACGAATATTCGAACGCGAGTTAGGTATCGAGACCGGTTATGGCCGCAAGATCCAGCAAGGCCTCATGGCTCAGGCAAGTAAAAGGTGTTTCTGGCTTGTGCTTCCCCCGGAGTCCTAACCGTGTCTTAGCAAATGATACCTTCGTCAAAGCCCGAGATGATCATCCACTACGACGATCCCGTCTGCTGCGGGCAGTTTTCCGACGACGGCAACTTTTTTTATGCATGTGTCAGGGTTGGTCTGCCAAAACCTCGCAGCCCTTGATGAGCTGCCCGCTAAATGAAATCTCAGGACTTTCGCGTGCGCCTATACGACACTTCTAATCCCTACAACTGGAGGCACTACAAGACAGTCACGCTTCCATTCGGCCAGTGGAACCTGACTGACGCAGATCTCAGCCCTGACAACAAGTGGCTCGTCTACTCGTCCCTTCAGAGCAACGTCTGCTTCGCACCTACCGACCCCGACGACACAGGCGATCCGTATGCTCTCAACCTTGCTAACGCCACGAACCGAGGCGCGAACACGGCCCGAAACTCCTTTGCCATCTTCTCCGTCCGCTTCTCTGGCGACGGCCGCCACCTTGTTGCCGGGACGGGTGCCGACTCCATCGTGGTATATGACATTGAGCGGCGGCAGCCCATCCACCACGTCGTAGGACACCACAACGACGTGAACGCCGTTTGCTTTGCCGACAAGCTGTCGCCGCACATCCTGTACTCGGGCTCCGACGACTGCACCATCAAGGTGTGGGACACGAGGAGCATGGGCGACAACAGAGAGGCCGGCGCCTTCGTGGGCCACATCCAGGGCCTGACCTACATCGACAGCAAGGGGGACGGGCGGTACATCCTTAGTAACGGCAAGGACCAGAGCATGAAGCTCTGGGACCTGCGCATGGCCATGTCGACGTCGCGGTTCGAGGAGGTCGATCCCACGCGGGTGACGAGATCGCACGAGTACGACTACGACTACCGGTGGCAAGACTACGACGAGAACAAGTGGTTCAAGCACCCGCACGACAACTCGCTGGTGACGTTCCGCGGCCACAAGATCCAGCGCACGCTGATCCGCTGCCACTTCTCGCCGCCCGGCAGCACCAACTCGCACTACGTCTACTCGGGCAGCCAGGACGGCTTCATCTACGTGTGGAACCTCGACGCCACCCTCGCGGCCAAGATCGACGTCAAGTCGCACACCAGGGGCGTGCGGCCCGGCTTGGGGCGCCGCGTCCGCGCGTACGCCGGCCGCCCCGTCAACGACGGCTGGATGACGCTGATCCGGGACGTCAGCTGGCACCCCAACGCGCCGCTGCTTGTCGGTATGTATTGTCCCCCCTCCCTTCCCTTCTTCCTTGTCTAGTCGAGCACCGTGGCTAACAAGATACACACCGCAGCTTCGTCGTGGGACGGCCCGACGATGGATTGCGGCACCGCCACGGTACACTCGTTCAACGAGAACGAGGACGATGAGGCCGAGCCGGCCATGGGCGTCTCCATGAACGACAGACTAGTGCCTGGCATCCCCCCTCCATCCGCTCAACAGCCGGGGTGGTAGGTTTGGCCTGACCAGAGGCCATTTGAATGTTTTTTATGCCCTCATGATCATGTATGTATTTACCGTACGCAATTTGGCGCGAGGTGGTTACCTAGTTAACTGTTTCTCTTTCTGTTTTTAATCTTCTTACTATTTCTTTTCCTTTTTTTCAATTTTTCAAAGTTTCTCATCTCCCTTTCTTCATTCTTATTTGTGGCGAATTTGCGTACACACATACAAAGGCGTGTTTGTATTTTGAACGGAAAGTAGGTGGGCAAGAAAGTAGGCAGTCAAATTACATACTCGATTGAGGATACATACATACGTGCTCGGCTACCTACCTACCTACCTAGGTAAGGCAGATAGAGAAGCAAGGAGTTGGAACTGTACTTTGAGACTTGGGTTGGTCCATGCACATGACATGATCCTTGCCCACTCGAGCAAACAAGCCTGGAACGATATTAGCAATGACAAAACAGGAACCTGAAGGTTTGTTCAAGCCATTAAAAAGGAGAAGGGTTGTATATATGCATAGAAAATGCAACGCGTTTAAACAAGGAAACAATAAATTGAGAAGCGCAAGTTTCCAACCCCGTCCGTTGGCTCAGTCAGTAAGGTAAGTCAGCTAGCACCTTTCCTCGCTCCAACGCTCGCTCGCTCGCTCGCCTAGCTTTGGCTCGGTTCGCTTCCCCCCTACCCGCTCCCGCCCCCCTGGCTCCCAAAGCCTCATTGGATGGTTCCATCGCGGAGTTCCTCGCTATCTGGGACCACGTCTTCGATGATGGAGTGCTGCCTGCGGTGCGTCAAGTTGTTTCCCGGGACGACGTGCTTCTTCTCGTCGATGACGCCCGTGGCAGTGGTGACTGCCGACGGCTTCTTCTCCTCCTTGACGGCCGCCTTGCCAGCATCGCCGCCCTTGGGAGGGTCGAAGCGCTTCCGCACGGCGGTGATCATCTTGAAGAACCAGTGCCAGTTGAGCGTGTTGAGGATGATGTTGCTGGCGACGTAGACGAGGGCCAGCCACACGGGCACGGGCTGCTCGGCGGCGGCCGTGACGAAGGCCATCATGTTGGCGTCGGGGTCGGCAAACGGCAGGAACATCGAGTTGCTGGCGGCGTTGGCGGCCGCCGCCGCGGCCACGTAGAGGGCGTCGGGCGAGCGGCGCACCGCCCGCCACATGTCGGCGTAGACCAGCACCGACTGGTAGCTGCCCCACACCAGGCGGCACGAGAAGAAGGTAGCCAGCAGCGCGATGCCGTTGTATAGCTGCGCCTTGGAGCCCGTCATGTTCAGCTTGTCGAAGAACCAGTGGATGTTGAGGAAGGGCGTCGACAGCTCGTAGAGGATGAAGACGGGCGAGTAGAAGTTGAGGAAGGGTCTCTGCGTTGTCTTGTCAGAAAAGAACGGACCCGCAGCAAGAGGTGTGAAGGGAAGAAACGCACAAATCCAAACGAGTAGACGGCCAGGGCGCTGACGGCGTGGGCGAGCAGGCCAATGCCGAAGATGTCGAGGTTCAGCAGGGTGATGCCCAGGTCCCAGACGAAGTAGCCACAGGCCAGAGCCTGGATCATGGCCGACGAGCCTGTGTAGCCCCAGACGCGCTGCTGCCAGTCCATCGACTTGCGCTCGGCATCGAAGAAGATGACCCACAGCGCCAGGGAGTTGATGATCACGCTCTGGATGAGCGAGACGACGTGGGCATCCCAGTTGGCCTTCTTGGCGCGCGAGTGCCGCGGGTAGTACTTGGGGAAGAAGCGGCTCGACAGCGCCGGCGACACGACGACGTGCACGAACGTGTAGAAGAGCGCCGAGCCCACCACCTCGTGGGCGTGCAGCGGCAGCACGGGGAACGCCAGCCGGTCCGCCCATGGCTGCACGGCCTTGCTCAGAGCCGGGATCGAGAAGGCTAACGGATCCCGCATCGTTGCTTGCTGGTTGTGTCGTATCGCATATGTTTGTGTCGGTGCAGGGAGGTCAAGAAGCTTGTCCGCCCCGAGGTGAAGAGTTGACGTGAGTTCGGAACGGTGTGCGGGCGAGGCGAGGGGAGGCCAGGCGGGAACGGGGACTCGCGCGAGAGGTGGACGGGGAGAGCTCCGAATATACGAGGAAAATAGAAATGGGCAAAATATTGGTGCTGTGCACTCTATTTGTATTTGCCCATGTATTTCTCGGTAATGTACCTCAGCTACTAAGCCCACGCGAGGGGAGGTGGTAGGTCGGGAAGGTATTCCGCAATAGAGCCCTATTCGTTTGGTTGGCTGGGAGCCACGGCAGGGGTAGGCAGAGCAGCTTGGGGATCGGCTGCTTGCTTGCTTGCTCGCCTCTAGGCAGATGATGGTGGCAGGCTGGCAGACAGGCAGAGTCACACCTAGGGCTGGCGCATCGTCATTCGTGCTTCCGTTCAGTTTAGTTGGGTGAGGCGGGCAGGTGGGCGGGATAACGGGCCTGGCGGATGTTCAAGGCACCAGCCCGGTGGGCAAGAGACCCTGGGCTAGGTATCCGTACTCCGTAAAGGAAGCTAACCTACCTACTCCAACCCTTTTTGTTGGGAGACCTTGGCGGTGCGGAAGCCTTCTTGGCTTATCTTATCGCCAAGTCAGAGGTACATACATTTGGCCTGGCCCATACACCCAAGGAACTGTACTATAGACTTCTGGTGAGGGGACCCCTCATGAAATTGCGGGGCGCGTGAGGGTCCCCTCGTCATGCGGCATCTGTCCAAGGCAACGCCCGCCTGTCAGAGCTGTCAGCCAGCCCCAAGGCTCGCGCGTCACATGGAAATGGCGGGAAGCCCCTGGGATTTGTATTTCCTATTAGTGTAGAAAAATATTCATTCTTCACTCTTTCATATCGTCCTTCCCATAGCCTCACGGTACCGTGCTTGAACCTTTAACGTCGGATCTGGCAACCAAGGCGGCGAGCAGAACCTTGATGAATAGTCGAATGGGAACAAGCCTTGCATCCAACTCCCCAATAGCCGAAGAAAGGTTGGAAGAAGTCCTAGTAAACAAGTTTGGGCAAGACTTCTTCCTTCATTAATAAACATATCATTGCACTCTGCCAGTGTACAGTATGTACAGTGCTTGACATGACCAGAGTCTATTGAACAGACCATAACGTGAAGTCTGTCCCAAGCCCTTTAAGTCCCGTATGTATTGCACATAGGTTCATATATGCGCATACATACATCATGTGCCCGATCCCATAACCTTACACCAACACCCAAATCCGTGTCTACCTAGGTAAGATAGCCAGCCAGACAACCCAACCCATCCGTCAATACATACCCAGATCCCGAAAATGCATTTCCCTTCCATGACTTGAGTCGTAACTCTGCGTATTCCTTCACATGTGAAAAAAAAAACCCCTAGCCCATCACCACTCGAACAACATCCAGTATCTGTATAAGGAGACAAAGCCCCACGGAGCAAGAAAAATTAGAATACAAAAAAAGTAAAACACATTTTTACACTCCCCTTTTGAAAATGGAAGTTCTGTAAACCCGAGGCGAGTCCCAACCGGCCAGATATAATGGTACCCCACAACGATGCAGCAGAAGACGAAAAAACACAAACATGAGTGAAAATGAAGAAAAGTAAAACAAATCCGCCGCGTCAGGGAGGAGAGAACGGCTTCGTGGCGCGGACGGCTGGCCCTAGCGCCGCGCTCTGCGGCGTTAGGGGCAGGGCCTGGTCGGTTTTCCGCGCGGGGCTGCCAGAGCGAGCCGAAGAAGAGGTGGTGGCGAGGCTGCTAGCCGCTGCCTGTCTCCGCACGACGTCCCAGAGGCTCATGCCGTCCTTGATGTTGCGCGAGATCTGGCGGATCCCCATCTCCGTGTCGGCCGGGAACCGCACGATGAGCTTCGTGTCGAGCGCCAGCTTGATCTGGTCGCACAGCTCGGCCCAAGACACAAACAGGCTGTGGCAGAGACCCCAGAACGGCGAGCGGGCGCCTAGGCTCGGGTCGCGCAGCCGGATCGTCGACAGGAGGGCACGTAGCGGCTCTTCCTGCTGTGCGACGGCGGCGCTCCTTTTGAGCAAGAGCTCCCAGCTGACCGTGTCCTCGGCCGAGCGGGCCTTGCGGAGTCCCCCAGCGAAGAGGTTCTTGAGCCCCGGCAGAGTCTCTTGGGCCAGCTCGGATGCGGTTTTGAGCGACACAAAGAAGCACTCGAATTGCTGGTCTCCGTCACTGCTGGCCGGATCGGCCTGCTGCCCGCCGGTTTCGCCCTCACGCCCGCGGCCAGCCTCGACTGAAGATACGGACGACGAAAAGGAATCGCTTGATGGCGGTGTCCTGGCGTGCGCCACCGGCCGCCGTAGTATGCCCACGTTGTACGGTATATCTGTCTTGACCTGCATCTGGCGCTTAGGGGACCTCCCAGGAGTGACTGCGGGCGGTATGGGCGGCCTGGGTGCTGGCAAAGTCTCACGAGGCGGTGGTGACGGCCTGTGCGGTGTAGGTGCTGCGGTCTGGGCCGCGAGCCATGTGCTGATAGTCGCACGCAATTCCATAACACTGTGGTAAAGAAGCAACAAGAATGTTCGCATGTACCGCTGATCACCATTATCCACGAGAAGGTCGACGCTGCCGGTGAGCCGGGAGCAGATGTGGACATAAGCCTGAATCAGGGTGACGTATGCCCGCTGCATCCCCTCGTGCTCTCGAGTACCGGCCCAAGTGCCTGCCGAAAGCTCGTAGTCCTGAATTGCCCGCTCAAGCTCTCCAAAGTAAACATTGGTATTGTAGAATACCATCTCGAGGCTAGACCGCCTAGCTCCGCCATCGTTGGTGAGGCTCATCAGAGTCTGGACTCCCATGTGCAGCTGAAATATCGAATATAGAATGCCTTTGGAAACTTCCAGCACCGGGTCGACTGCCTGGGACTGGTACTTGCGAACAGGCAACGCGGAAAGGGCCCTGACATATAGCGGCCGCTGCAAAGACGGGTCTTCGGGGCTGAAGGGGTTCTGGAGAGTCAAGCCCCCGCTATAGCTGAAACCACGGAAATGAGTGCTCGTCCGGTATGCCCTGGCACTTGTAGTGACCGCACCGGGCTGTTGGGCCAGTCTGCCACCCGCGGCAACGGCTTCACCTGCACGGGTAGAGGAACGGCTCTGTGATCGCTCTTCGTCCAGCGATGACCTCACCAGCTCGGGGTTACTCCGGAGGCTCTCGTTGGACTTACCCATGGTCAGGGGTATAATGCCCTGCTTCCGGGCCAAAGTGTTGGTGTACTGAGACAGCGATCGGCCGGGGATAGGCGGCGGCCTCGACAGCGACGGAGACCTCGACACGGGGGGAGACAAGGCTCCGGCGGTGCCGGAGCCCTTGACTCGTATTGGGAAGCGGCTGCCCGGTCTTCTGGCGGGCAGGCGTGGTGTGTCGACGCCCTCGCTAGATTCATCATCTCCTGCTTCGGATTCCGAGGCCCCGCCGATGGCCTGTGCGTTCAGCCGCTGGCCCAGATACTTTTTGATCTGGTCCGTCAACATCAACTCCGACACACTCTCGGACAGCGTCTCGTTTGGGGCCAGGTCCCAACGCTGGACTACAAAAACTTCCTTTGGAGGAAAGCTGATGGGGTTCCCGTCCAGTCTCAGCCTTTGCAGCGAGCTCATGTCACCTAAGCCGAGAGGCAGCGTCTTGATTCTGTTATCCTGGAGAGCAAGGGCCTTGAGCGAAGTGAGCTTAGCAATCTCAGGGGGGAGCTCTTCCAGCTTGTTCCGCCCCAGGTCCAGGAACTCCAGGGAGGTGAGATCGCAGAGCTGCGCATCGGTTAGCCACGGGGATGGGACGACGAGTGGTTATAGACGGCGACCAGGGGCTTGCTCGCGCATGCGTGTACACGTATGAACGTAAAAGGACATACCGGCAGCGGAAACACCTCGAAGGCATTGTTTCTGGCAGCCAAGTAGCGCAGCGAGGTGCACCGGGCGAAGCGGGCGGGCAGTGAGACAAGGGAGTTGTGGGAGAGGGCCAGACGCTCGACGCTATTGCGGAGGATGTCTACAACCTCGTCGGGAAGGGCGGGGATGTTTTTTTGGGTGAGATCAAGCGTGATGCCCGGCTTCAGGCCGTCCGAGTCTGGAGCGCGGTTCTCGTCGTCGATGCGCGCCTTCTGGAGGGCCTCGCGCACCAGTGCAGTGACCTGGCCCGGCGAGATGGGCGCGGTCGCGGCCGCGCCAGGTGGTGGTGGGGGGACGCCGACCCGTCTTTTAGAGCTGCTCGGCGGTGCGGGCGTCTCTGGGAGCCTCTTGATCGATGACGAAGACGAAGACGAGGCCGACGACTGCTGTCGCCGCTGCTGCGGGTTCTTCCAATCCATTTCTCGGGAAGCCATAAAAACGGATCGTTATAAGAATAATCGGAATTGAAATGCAGACAGACTCGAAGAGTCCAGGGACGAAAAAAGATATTTCTTTTTCGAGAAGAAATTCAATAAAGCCAAAACCGACCCTGTCCGGCCCGGTCCAGTAAGCCCTCAGCAGTAGCCCAACCACCCAGGCGGAGGAAACAGGGCGATTGTCAAAGAAGATACGAGACAGGAGCCGCTGGCGCGATCTCTCTAGGTGTAAGCACGCCCGAGTCCGACATGTACGCGCCCCCGATGTGTTGTTTTTGTTCCGTTCGTTCGTCCCAAGTTTCCGCGGATGTTGGAAACTTTCCACCCAAGATTGGATTGGATTGACACAGGGCCAGGTGCGAAGCGGGTAGGTATGGGGGGGAAAAGGAAAACAAAAACCTTAAAAAAGGCTGGCGGCAGTCGGGAATAGGCAGGGGAAGAAGATACAAAGGATAGAGAAGACGGGACCGCAGGCCACCATTAACAAAATGGAACTAAACTGAACCGAATGGGTGATCCATTTGACTACCTGAACCTTCATTATAGTTCGGGTAGCAAAAAAGCTCGGGCATTCAGTCTGAAGCCCGGGGCAGTTGCGATCGCTCCTTCTGAAACCATCTGAACTCAGGAGGAGCGGGCCGGCACGCGTCCAATTGGAGACCAATGCGCCCGCATTTTCCTTTTTTTGCGAGCGAGCGCGGCATTCATCCATTCCCATCCCCCCACCTTAAACCTAGCGGGCGAGCCGCGCTCACTCGAGAAGCCGGAACGTCCATAAACGGAGGCAGGCAGGTTCCATGGAGCATGAGCGTGAGTGTGAGAGAGAGGGTGTGTGTGTGTGTGTGGGTAGCAGGCTATATCGGCGCCCGCGATATTACACCACACCAAGTATGTCTTTGCTTTGATATTTTCTTGTGTCCATTTCTGGCTTCATGTTTCTCCGTTGCATGGGAGTACAAGTACCGCACGCTTGGTGGTACGTGAACTGGTGAAATATGCGCCGTCAACTACCTGAGAGAATGTCGGGGACTGCATCATCACACCTGACATTGGAGGGAGGACCCTTGACCTCTTGTGCTGCAGTGAGCGGCGTGTCGAAACCGAAAGAAGAGCAACACGGCGCTTGCTGGGTTCCCAAATAGGCATTAGGGATGTTGCGGGACACCAATCAGACAATGCCATCCATCGTCGCCCAAGTCACACCGCCCATTGGCTCATACATTACCTACCTTACCTAACATCTCAACTACGGACAATACGTAAGGTAGGTTGTCGGTAGAATACTTCCAAAAAGAACAGCTTAGGCATTTTCTCTAAATAAAAAAACATCTCAATAAAAAGGAGCTGCGTATGTACACTCTTGCCGCAAAGATCAAATACGAAGGGACACCCCAATCCCAGAGACATGAGGCAGCCTTCTCTGCGCCTCAACCGCGGGCCTTGCCCTCGTTGTACGCCTTGATGTACCTAGTATGCAGCTCCTTGACGGCGGGGATGATGAGGCTCTCAATCTCGAGCTCAGGCTCGCCCTCGGGCAGGCTCTTTGGGTCGAGCGGCTCGTCCTTTTCGACGGCCGCGGCTTCTGGTTCTGGCTCTTCTGCTGGTGTGGCGGCGGCGGAACTGCCATCGGCACTGCTCTCGTGTTGCTGCTTGTGGATGGGGATACGGATCCAGCGGTCTGGGAGACCGGGAGCGACAAACACCTTTCATCAGGGGCTCAGGTCAATACCTTGCATCTTACCGAAAGGGGGGGGGGAGTGTAGCTTTCAGAATCTAATGGCGTGAGAGAAACGAAAAGGGGGCCGGACTCACAACTTCCCACTTGCGTGTGGATCTGTAGAAGAACAAAGTAGACTATCAGCACAAGAACCTCGCATAAACCATTCGGGCCATAAAGACAAGAGCAATAACGTACAGCAGATTGCCAATGACGAGGTGGTGCTGGTACCGCTCCAGCGAGTAGCGGGCCTTGTGCACCAGGATGGCCGGGTCCGTCTCAAGCTTGAACGAGACGATCATGCCCTGGGGCGACCAGCCCTCGACGAGGTTCTTGAGGAACTTGGGGACGGGATCGAGGTCGACCACGAGGCGCTTGCTGCGGGGCACGGCAGGCGACGAGTCGAAGTTGTCAAATATCTCCTCGTCCGTCGTCGTGGGTGCCGTCTTGCTCCCTTTCTGGACCGAGTCGACGGCGTTTGTGCTCTGGATCTTGTGCTCCGACATGCGCTCAGGCTAATAGACATGCAAAAGCCAGCCCTCTTTGTCAGGACCACTGCATACAAGCTCGTTTTGCGCTTCGAATCGTCTACATACCGGCACGAAAAAGTCGCTTACAGCAGCAGCCAGGTACAGCAGTGCCTGCGGGCCGAGCGGACGCAGCAGCCGCGTGATGCTCCGCAGCTCGTGGAGGTAGTCGGATATGCTGACGAAGGGCAGCACGAGCAGCAAGTTGCGGTCACGGGCGTCGCGGTACTGGCGGAGCACGTGCAGCATCTTGCCGGCGTCCTCGTCGCGGGCGACAACGCTGCCGTCGGGACCTTCCCTTAGGAAATCGAGGAAGCAGTCCGTCGCATGGCTGTAGTGGCGAGAGAAGGGCAAGAGAGAGAACTGGCGATGCCTGCAGTGGTTAAGGTGGTCAGCTGGTTTTAGTCTAGGCTGACAAAACCAACAATAAACAACGGATAAGGGCCCCCTGAACAACGGATAGGCTAAAAACCCCCAGAAAAAAGAAAAGAGCAGCATACAGAAACAGAACGGCGTATCCGGCTTCGAGGAAGTATTCGGCGCTCGTCTGTTCATTTGTCTCAAATAAGCAAAGTGTTTACTCAAGACAAAGGTCGTGCCTCACAACAATCGAAAATACAGGGAGGCAAAAAGTAAATAATATGAAAGAACATACTGCTCCGCGTGTGCCGGCCGAGAAGTTGTCAATGAAGCGCACCGTCTGCTTCTCTGTGAAACATCCCTGTATCAGCAGGATGAGAAGGCAAAGCCGTTATTAATAAACATACCCAGCGGGACTGTGGTTCCGCCCGACGTCACAAGCACCAGCGGGCGGCCAACTGCGGCGTGGAAGTTTATAAAGTCGCGGGCGAGAGCCACATGCCTGTCGAGGTCCTTGGGGGGCGGGTTAGTGTTGAAGTACTGGTCCTCCGAGGTCGCGGGCGCGGGCGCCGCCGCCGATGAGTTGTTGTTCGACGCCATGCGGGCCGTTGTGTTTTGGGTGGGCGAGACAGCAGACTCCTCTGTTGGCGAGAGCTAAGTGGCGGCAGAGACGGGGACAAGGTTGAAGACGAGAGTAAGAGTGTGAGAAGAGGACGACGATGTCGGCGCCTGAGTCACCATCATAAGAGTCTTTTGTTAGAAACGATTCTCGGCGGGGAAACTCGCTCTCGGTGTGCAGAGGCACGGTCAAGAAGCAGGATCGGTATCAATAGCATGTCGGTGAGAGTGGTCCGCAGGCCGGATACGCTGCTGTTGTGTTGTTTGTTCAGGTGCACCGATGTGAGTCTTGCGGCTCTGCGTCGGCCGAGTTTCGACAACATCTCGAGGCAAGCAGAGAGAGACCGAAAGAGGCGGAGAGTCCAAGTGCGTTTGTTCAGAAGCGATATGGGATGAGAAGTAGCCAACTGACCTTTAGTTCCTCTTATAATCTAAAGTAGCTCATGCACAACAGTCAATGACAATGACAATAGCTGAGACGGTGATAACCCTGACTGGATTGACCGATGTCCGACCACTTGAATTATCGGTCGACGTTAATAAAACCTTGCTAGGATTTCCCTGCTCATCAACGGCTGAGGGGTTTTGTTCCTCTTTAGATTTCCTCCAAGTTGCCCTGGGAGGTGAACGAGTTTGTGAATGGCAAGTTGTTTGTGGGAGAGGGACGGACTCGGATGAATGAATGCGTCAGATGCGTCACTCTCCGGATTCCGGCAAACGGCAGCCGCGAGAGAACCCCGGGCTTGGCTTGCCTGTTACGTAGTGGGGTTTTGCAGCTAAACTGCGGGGAACATGGGACCATGGCCGGGTGAAGGGAGTGCCCGAGTGCCCTTCTATTTCGTTCGTCCCAGGCGGGTGATCTAGGTCCATCTATCCATTGGATCCATTGCACTTGCAATTGGAAGCCCCTAAACAGCCCGACAAAGGGCAACATGTAACCCCCGAAAGTTCCTCACTCTCGACACATACTGTTTACAGCTGATCCATTGTATAGGTACCCAGGTAAGAATTATATACAAACAGTAGCCCAACAATGAGCCGAGACGTGAGTCAGACAGCCTTTCTCTGACAAACAGATGATATGCTACATACTTGCAAAGATGAGAGGAATATAATTAGTTGACTACACGGCTCCAGTTCCAGCCTCTAACACCCCTGACACCGTCTAGCGCCCGTCTAGACTTTATGCACAGAGCCTGTAACGCTGAGGTATAGTTTAAAAAAGGGGCCGATTCCGGAGACACAAGACATCGATATGTCGTGCTCTTTCCTCCGAACTTTGCCCCTCAAAACCACCGCTTCGGCCGCTGCTTGACCGTCTTCATCATGTTGATCCTCCTCAGGCGCTCGCGGTTGGTGGGGTCGAGCAGTGCGTTGGGGTCCTCCTGGAAGAACTGGCTCCGGTCGCCGCTGTGGTGCTTGTCGACGCGCATCCTGACGCGCTGCACCTTGCGCAGCTTGATGAGTCCGTACCAGCAGACTATGATGGAGAAGAAGGTCGACACGGCCGTCACGGTCCCAAAGCCCCAGTTGGTCTCCTCGATGAAGTTCTCCACGTTCATGCCGTACAGCCCCGCGAGGAAGGTGCCCATGGCGAGCCCGAGCGTTCCCACGCTGAACTTGAGATCTAGCAGCATCAGAGAGTTGCGGTTGGCATCCAGGATCGCCCGGATACTAACAACACATTTCTCTTGTTAGCCGGGGCCGGGACTGGACTGCAACCTCAACATCCACGTCCGCAAAGAGAGGTCCCTACATTTCTTCGGTGTTCCTGATGCTCGAGACGAGATTGCTCGCCTCCTGCACCACCTCGTCGCAAATCTTGTTGTACGACTCTAAGAGCAGCTCGATTTCCGTGTGGTCGTCCTCGCCGCGGAAGAGATCGTGCGTCTTCTCGGTGAGGTACATGGCCGCGAGATCGTCGTCGGCTTCGAGCAGTTCCTCAATGGCGTCGCGCACCAACTTCGCCTTTTGCTCAAACGTGCTTACGCGCTTGGACAGGTAGAGGAGACTCCTCAGCTTCTCGCGGTCGATGACGTCCTCGAGCTCGCTGAGGACGAGGAGGATAGGGTCGCGGACGGTCCCGAACTCGGCCTCGAGCTCCGTCGTCACCGACGTGAGCACCGCCTCGAGCGCGCGGAACTCGTACGGCAGGTTGTTGGCGCCCGGCATCTGCTTCTGCTGTAGCTTCCCCTGCAGGTCGTACATGAATGCCGACTGCGAAAACGATGTCCTCGAGCCGTAGACGTCAAACAGCAGGACACGGTCGTGCTTGATAAGCACCTTCAAGTGTAGCAGGTTGAGTAGGATGGCAGAGGGGCGGACGACGATGTGCGGGAGGTTCGACGAGTCAATCTTGCGGAGATCTCGCGGGAGGAGCCCATACTATTCAGATAGATGATTAGCCAGGCAACGACGCGATATATAATGTGCCATCGTGGCCTCAAGCGCGGTCCACGCAGGTCGAAAGCGTACCTTGGCAATGAGCTCGCTTTTCTTGAGCTCGCCGTCAACCATGATCACGTTCCCGCTCCCGTCCACCTCGGTGCATCGCAGCCGGGGGTCCAGCGCCGCCTTCGCCGTCATGGGCCGGCGCGGGAAGATTGAGCCGGCTTGATCACCCAGGATCCTAAGATCCTCCTCTTTCAGCTGCGATGCCGCATGCGCTGCGTCCTCGCGCCGGAATATCCAATCCCGCCATGTGGGTCTGTTGGGCTTGTAGGGCATCTTGTCTGGCATGCAGTCTGGTGGTGCGTCAGGCGTGGGCGGCTGCTCCGGCGTGTTGTTCAAGCTGGTCGCCATGGTGCGCTGTTTCCTGCAGAGCGACCTAGGGACGATGGCGTCAAGATCCAGGAGGCCAGACCGCATCACGGCGAGGACGGGGCGCCTGGGCGACGACGACGTGCCCAGATACCTCACGAGGACCCGCGGTGTGCTGCTGGCGCCAGTCGAGACATTGCGACGCGAGGAAGCGGCATTGGGGCAGCGGCGGACGACGCAGGTTGCGCCGTGGCTCAGGCCAGAGAAGGCGAAGCCCTCGGACTGCGCGCGCAGAAATCGGAGGAGGCTCTGCGACGGTGCTGCGGGTTTCAATGCCGGCGGCATGACAGCGACGAGTTGGCTGGGGGTTCGTGTCGGGGGAAAGGCGCCAGCTGGAGCTCGTTCAATCGACGAGAAGATGGCCCCTTTGCGCGCAGAAAAATAATTGTCGTCAGAGCTTAAACCTGGGAATAAGCTTCTGTCCTAGCCAAACCCCCTGGCCCGGTACGAACTTTATAGTGGGGCTGCCAAGCTGGCCAACCCATCTTTCGGGTCAAGTCCAGCACTCAAGGAACTCCGTCATACCTTGTTGTATCTATTCATTCATGGAACACTCTCTCTGCGGCCTAACCTGCGGACGGATTGTCGTGGGATTTGAAGTGGTTTTTAATCGCATTATCTCTGCGTCTTAAGGCAGTTCGGGTCTTTTTCCCTCCCCTCAAATTTCTGCTTTTTTTCTCTTTCTCTTCTCTTCTCTTCATTCATCCCCGTGGCAGGTTTTCCCAAGTTGGGAGCTCAAACCAAGCAATTGCGCCATGTTTCCCTCTTATTAGACAACCCACAGTTCTTGTCTCCCAAAACACGGAGTCTCTCACCACCACAAAACACCAGGATTCTGGACCCGTCTTTCTTCTGCTGCGAGATCCCTACAAAGCCCCAGCTTAGACAAAAACCATGAAATTGACGCCGGTCAAGGTCCGCGGGAAAGGCCCCCGGAAGAAGGGCTGGCGTCCTCCCAACCCCGGGCGGTTCAAGCGAGCGCTCGGCGAGGCAAGGCGCAGCAGAGAGAAGAAGAACAAGAAAAAGAAGCCCGCGGCGCCCATCGAGCGGCTGCCGGCCGAGATCCTCGAGCAGATCCTGTTCATGTCGGAGAACCTGAACCTGCCGCGCAGCAGCCTGCGCATCGGCTGCCTGCTGTCGGGCCGCTCGTTCCTGTCGGAGCTGGCGGTGGCCGCGTTCGGGCCGACGTGGGACCTGTGGTTCGGGTGCGTCAGATCCCAAATCCGCTCGTACAGGGACTACGAGGCCGATTACCACCGCGTCGGCGGCAACCCCGAGTTCCAGAGCGCCGTGCTCGCCTGCCCGCGCATGAGCCTCGCGCTGCTGCTGGACGCGCAGAAGAAGTGGTACCGGCGCCACGGCGAGGGGCGTCACTACCAGCATGCGGATACCTTAGACGAGCACCGCTATATGGATAGAGATGGAGGCTCTAGAACTGGAGGGAGTCAAGACCAGCTTGAGCTGCGGGATCGTCTAATCAGACACGGCCGGGGCGGTTTCGGTCACGCCTGTGACCTCGAAGCCTGCCTCGGTAGTGACTGGGAGTGGTTTGAAAGGCCACAGGTCATCCGTATTTTTGACTGCGACCGAGATTGGCGGAGGCAGCGCTATATAGACCTGCACCCGGCCACGCGGATCCCCGACCACCTCCTGGCGGACCCGATGGACCGAGACAAGATCAAGTGGCTGTTCTGGCTGATTCGCGGGGGAGCGACTTTGTCTCGTCATCAAACCTGGGAGGTAAGTCTCTATTGGGAATTTACTATTCCGGCCGGACGTGGCTATTACTACCAAAGATTTTAATTCGGTGTTTCAACAAACAAGCCTTTTAACATGTCTTCCCCTGTGGGCTACAGATCACGGAGTGCGGCTACCAGAAAGCCATGGATGGTGCGGGGAGCAGTCCAGAGCTTGCACTACTGGTTATTCGCCTCTTCTTCGCTCTCGGAGTTTTCAGCCACCGCCACTGGCCTAAGTTCCTAGTTTCCAAGAAGCTGTCCGAGGCCTACGACGAATGCGATGATGACAACAGCACGGTTACGGCCGACTACATAGTTTGGAAGTATGCGGCCCTCATCCTCAAGAACACACGGGATTAGTTCTATATCGGGAACAGTGGAATGAAAACCAAAGCTTCTCCTGCGAAGAGATGGATAAACACGTTTCTGGTTGCCACTCAACGTCGAGCCAGAAAATGACTTGGTCTCTTTACCTGACACACAGAAGTTCAGAAGTTCACACAGGGATATCAGTTTCATTTTTGATCTAATTCGATTTGGAAGGGGCTCAACCCATGGCTGTGAACTCGGAAAGTTGAGGCTCTATTTTGGTTTGTTCAGTATACAACCACTAAAGGTGGGTTCCAACATTCAAATCACGATTTGAGTTGCGAACCTACTGCGTACGCAGCCGCCATAGAGACTAGATGGTATATCCTAAGTAACACAGAACAATCACACGAGCAACTATAAAAGGGGCACAATGGGTGTTTTTGGTTGGGTTTGTTGCTTTGCGTCTAGTCGGAGCCGAGTACTCCCTCCATCCAGGAGGATTTGTAGCAGAGAGAGTGTCGAGGTCTTCTCTAGTCGAGTGTCCTCCCTCAAAATATAGAGACATAAAGCATCGCTAGCATGCCCCCTTCATCCCCCATCTCCATCCCCAGCGCGAAAATGGCGTCCCCATATCCAGTACAGAAAAGCTAGTGCGGTGGTAATTTGATGACCATGGTGTTCTGTGAGGCTTTTTGGAACCAAAAAACTAGATTCCACACCTTTTTTTGCCGACCAAAATTCGTTCCCCCCCTCCACCGAAGGGAAATGACTGACATTTGCCGTTCACAGAAACATTCTCAACGGAAGCAGAGAAGGTTGCCCTCGGAAAAATATTGCGTGTTGAGGGCTTCGCCGGAAAGAAGAATGTCACCGCCGGTGAGTCGCTTAGGCAGTGGGGTTCGGGTTCATCTGTGTCGCAGGTGTGCACATGTCAGTTGGGCTCCCGCTTCTCTTCAGGAAGAGGGGCGAAACTCGGCCTCCGCCCTCCCCTGGGATAATGATGAAAACTTACCTTGCGCTTGCCGCCAACCAGGGTGACGTTGACGAAACGGCGGGTGTATTGCAGTCTCTTCTTCGCGCGGCCCTTACTGCTCAAATGGTCAGAAACAACTCACCACTCCAACTCGCTGCCCGTAAAAGAATCCGGAGGCTGAACGTACGGGACCTTCTTCTTCTCCTGCTTCTCGACCTTGGGGGTCTGAGACTTGACCTTTCCTGTAGAGACGTTGTCAGATTCGGTTCCAGATCATGGCATATCGGCGGCGGTGCCGACGGTAGTAGGTGCGAGAGGATGCATACCGGCACGAGCCAAACTGCAATCGAAAGAACGAGGTTAGCGATTTTGTTGTTGCTATTAAAATAGCGTGAGGGGGCACGCCTTACCTTCCGTGAACCTTTCCCATTGTCGAAGATTTCTGGTGGTCGCTGCGAGATCCTTGGTGTCGTCGTTGTCGTCGGGAAATAGGCCGATTTCAAACGATTCCAGCCGGTGTCAAGGTCGTAGATTGCCTCTGGATTACGGACCTGGCCACTGGATTTCGAGATTGATTAGCTAAGACTTGTGGGAGCCCTGCGGGGCCGTTTGGGGCTACGGGCACGAACCACTTGAGAGGGAACATTGAAGCCTGGATCTCAAGGTTCAACTCGGTTGTGGCTCGGTTGTGGCTCGGTTGTGGCTCGGTTGTAGCTTAAGGGTATGATCGGCTCGTTTCTGTGCCGAGCTGTTTTCTGTGCCCACGCTAATGCAAGGTATTCCACCTTCCTGATCAAGTAGAAATGTGGGCTTTTTCTGCCATTCGAGGTGCTTCATGCCCACGAACCCATGAAATTCTATGCCCACGAGAAATGGCGGGCAAGAGGCGAGCAGTGAGCAGTGAGCACGAAGCCAGTCTTTGGCCTTACGGAAGCCAGATAGAGGGGTTGAAGAACTGAGTTGCACTGTAATTAGTATGGTGGAGCGTTCGTCAAGGCCAACCACATACCGACGCCAATAACGATGATGTAAGGCGTGCAATCCTACTACAGCTGTAGTGGCTGTAGCTATTCAGAGATATCGATATCTGTTGTCGTGCCGAGTACTTCGAAACCGCCGAAACCGACAGCTTATTCACCCTAGCGGCCCTGTAGTTGCGAGGCACATCGCCAACGCCTTCTTAACCGGCTCGGAAACGCAGTTCAAGGACCTCTTCTAGATGTAGAGAGCAGCTTTCTTTGAGCTTGTTGAATGGCTTAAAAGCAACGAGGGTCTTGTTGGCTCTCGATACCAGTCAGCTGAGTAACAGGTCATGGTTGTGCTTTGGATCTTTGGCCATAGCGCAAGTCAACGCCAAACGGCACATATGTTCCAGATTACTCAGTGCGCTGTCTTACGGATCGTCAGAAAGCTATTGCCAATGCTCGTATCTTTACACAGGGCTTTTGTATGCCTACCTGACGACGACTGGCTGGACCCAAAGATCGAACTGGATCCAAAGCTCAACGTGTTCAGCGACTGTATCGGGGCAATAGATGGCACGCATATAACCGCCTACGTGAGGAAGGCTAACCAAATTCGCTAGCGAGATCGAAAGGGCCGTATTATACAGAACGTGCTAGCTGTAGTCAAAAGCGACTATAGCTTCAGCTATGTACTTGCCGGCGCCGAGGGCTCGATGAATGACGCTTCTCTAGTAGCCCAGGCTTTTGGGAGGGCATTTAGAGTCCCCGATAATCGGTATTACCTAGCTGGCTCAGGCTTTGGTACTCGTAATGGCTTAATGCTTCCTTTCCCTGCAGTTCGATACTATCTTCAGGACTGGATTAATGTAGAGCGCCGACCGGAAACCGCGAAGGAGCTCTTCAACCTGCGGCACGCACGCATTCGTGTTGTGGTTGAGCAAGCATTCGGGTAGCTTAAGCGGCGATGGAAGATCGTACGAATAGCGCCGTTTGAGTATAGTATGAGGAAGCAGGTGCAAATCGTGTATGCTGTAACTGGGCTCCACAACTTCTTGATTAAGCAGAACGAAAAGGTCGCGTTAAGTATAGAGGAGGAAGCTGACCTTATTAAGGCTGCCACGCGGTTGGAAACTTTGATGCCCGATAAGCACCCCGATGTGGTTCGGAATATAGTGGCGACGCTTTCTTGGGAGCAGTATAGGACAGTTAAGGCGGAAAAGAAAAACTAGAAGGAGGAGAGCATTTGCGATAGCTTTGGTGGCGTTGAGAGGGTCGTATGCGTATAGGGCAAAAGGTGATGAGTTGTAGCGTTTTGGCAGCAAGTTAGCTAGATAGGGAAAAGATTGCTCTTTATAGACAAATGCGCCTTTACAGCCAAATTGCCTCAACTTAACCAAGTACGTTAAATTGGTGTTAAACAACTGGGCACTGAGCCTTTATTATTCCTGGCCGTCACCTTTCTTCCACTTTTCTACATAATACTTCTTCATCTCCAAGCCAATCTTATTCCATAAAACCGCGTTCAAAGGGTCTTTCTGTAGGTTCTTGAAGCAATTCCCGAGTTCCCCAGTACTGAGTTTATCGCTAAAGAGCTTCTGTATATTCTCAACCGCTACGGCGAATTCCTTGGTGCCAGGTACCTGCGATATCGACCCAAATGCCTCACGAAGAGCATCACCGAATGCGTCGATAGCTGCGTCAATGGGTGCTTCAATAGATATAGTACTGGGTGTGCTTGGTGTTTTCCTTCTAACTGGAATGAGGGGGGGGACGCTACGCGTAGGCGTAATATCAGGATCGGTATCTCGACGATGCTGTTGCCTAGTAGTTAACCGGCGTGGAACAGGTGCAATCTCTATAACGCTCTCGTCTATAGATTCTTCGTCAAGGTCCTCTGGGTTATCGCAGTCCGAATCCTCGCCGTCGTTTTCTTGGTGTTGAGAGTCGTCTTGGTATTGGGATTCAGCTGCCTCGACCAGATTCGTACCAGTTGCTTTTTCCCGCCAAAAGACTGCCCGATATATCCACGTCACCCAAAGGAATAGTCTTCAGCCACTGGTGAGACCTGGAAGTGGTGTTGCGAGAGGAAGCGTTCCCAAGTGCTTTCATCGTAGTTAGGAAGCCCAGTCTCGTGGTTAAAGGTAAAGCCCGAATAACCCTCAAGCAACTGCTTCCAAGCAAGAAAACGGCAGCGCTCAGTATTCCATTTCTGGCTGATCTTTTTCTCTGACCACCTCTCATTTGGCCAATTCTCTTTACAAAGCTCCAAGACTTCCTCCCACACCTTTGTATAGTCGTTTCTCTTCGTACTGTTGAAGAGGCCTCGATCCTTGCACTCCTTGAACCATTCCATGACCTTATTAGTCATAGCAGTCGACCACGAGGTTCTCCAGGTTTGTCCGTTGTTACTGGGTTTATCGTTGGGCTTCTTGTTGGGTTTCTTCTTCCTTGCCCTAGTAGTTGAGGAACGCTTTCGCTTCGATTTCGATGATTCTTCTTGCGGTAACTGGGCCGGGGGAGCAATACTGGGAGTTGAAGGCTGTTCCCGGTCGCTTGGAACCGTTGAAGGCGGTTCCAGGGCGCCTGGACCTTCCAGCATATCTTCAAGCGGCGGGAAAGCATCGTCGCTAGCGATCCAGGCTGCAAGGCGAGGGTCTCGATAATCTGGATCATCAGGGTCGTTGTTGGCTGCCTAGGACACAGTAATGGCAGCCTCGGCCAGATTGATCAAATCGTAGACCGGTATGTGGTCGAATGCGTCTTGTTGTATGGCCATTCTGACTCGTTTGCAGCCAAAAAGCGGCTCGAATGCCACCAGTCAAGACAGAGGCTGGCACAGGCACTGACACGGCCGAGGCGGTGAGCCAAAGGGGCGTAAGCTAGACCCAATACAGCATATGGGGCTAAAAGTGGGCTATGGGCGATACTTTCGAAAAATCTACTTATTTTACAGGGGGTCAAATGTACTGCTAAGCCTCACGGGCACCATGCCCGTGAGTTGGCGGGCCCCAGAAGATCAGGGTGCTACGGTGGCTCCGTTCAGCTGAATTAATATCATGGGGCCGTAATGCAGGTAGGACAGTTGACCTACACACTGTATCTCTTATCGATTGGCGCTATCCGTAATCTGATTATGCAATGGGACTTTGGTCCGTCGTTATCCGCAACCCCGCTGTCGATCAATGTCTCGCCTGCTATCTAACGGCGCTGTATGGCGGGAGTTGAGAAAGCGCAATCGTTTGATGGAAGCATGATTTTGGTGCTCCAAAAAACATGAGGTTCATGATCTGTGTAATATTTACTATCAATCAAGCAATCATATTCAGTCTACCATATCACTACAGCTAAGAGGTGTACCGAAGCCTACATACATGACAACAGCAGTAACTCCACTCGCTTTGGCCTCGACTGGTGCTTACCTACCCCACCACAAATGACACAAATGACGCTAGGTAGGTATCATTCGATCCGCGGCGTAGTCACCCCCTCCCTTGCTGCCAACTGATAAAGGAGGGAAAGTCGCCGAGCAGGACTCACCTAGTTGTCTTACTCTCTTTTGTTCTTCTACTCACCTGTCTGTACGAAGAGATAGTAGCCCAGCAACAACACCACAGGAAATCAAACCCTGCCAGCTTCCCACAGCGGCACCGAAGCCGCCAAGATGAAGTCCGCCGCCGCCCTCCTCCTCTCGAGCTGCAGCGTTGCAGCAGCGGCCGCAGTCGAGCGCGCCAGCAGCAGCAACATCAACCGTGTACCAACATCATACGAATCGGCGGTGCTTGCGCGGCGGATCCTCTCGCTGACGCCGCTGGGGACGCTCGCGACGGTATTTCCCGCCTCCTCCAGCCACAACAGCCACAGCAGCAGCAATGACCCGTCAACAGAAGAGAACCGGCCGGACGGGCTTGGCGGCATGCCGCACGGGCTGATGGAGTACATCTCGGACTGCTCGGGCGAGGCGGGGCTGGGCGACGACGGCAGCCCGACGCTGCTGGCCATCACCATCGAGACGAGCTTCAAGAACGCCGCCGCGGGCAGCAACGTCAGCCTGGCCGTGCAGTGGACGCCTCCGCACCCCCCGGCGAAGCGGATCCAGAGAAGCGGTGACAGCGGCTTCGTCAACAGGGCCCTGTCGTATCTGGGGCTGCGCAGGACCCGTCTCGGCGAAGATGAATATTATGGTGATGAGGACGTCAAGAACGTGATGCCCACGCCACCAACACCGTACTCGGCAGCGAACCTGCCGCGGTTCTCGCTGCTGGGACACGTCGAGCGGATCGATGGTGGCGACGACCGCCGCGCGGGCGGCTCGGTGGGCGACGCGCTGGCGGCGTGCTTCACGCGCGTGCACCCGGACGCGCGGTACTGGCTGCCGGGGTCGCGCGTGCACGAGTCGCACTTTGTGCGCCTCGTGGTCGAGCAGATTTATTGGATTGGTGGTTTTGGAGACCGCGCTTACATCGGCTGGATCTCCGTCGACGAGTGGAGAGCGGTCACCCGCAAGGAGATTGAGAGCGTCCGGCTGCCCGGCGAGAAGAAGGGCTGGCACGAGTGGTCCGCCGCCGCCGCCCGAGCGTCCGGTGGCTCGCGGGACCTCTGAGGGGATTTGGATAGGTAGGTAGCCAAGCAGATAATAAGGCAGAGTATGTAGCAGTTGGTCCCTGTTGGCTTTTTGTCTTCCTTTTTTCTATGTCCTTTTTTTGCATGGCCTTTTTTGCGAACTGCTTGTTGCACCTGGGGCGGGGATAGGGGGTTTTAGGATTTCATTACATTCCGGGGCGAGGCGAAAGTGCTTGTATACCTTCTTGGTAACCAACCATGTGTATATTCTCGTACAGGCATCACCGCAGTTCCATATTGACAGTAACATCGTTGGTTTATCATCCATGTAGGATGCAAGTAACCTCCGTATAAGATCCAAGTCTCCTACATGACCCCCCATGTTCAGCCTTGCTCCATCCTTGATTTGGAAAAATACAAGACCAGAGAGAGGAGAAATACGAGAGAAGTATCAATAATGATCGCTCTTCATCACAATACTACATAGAGAGGGTATCGACAGCGTCTAGGCATGAACCAGTTAAAGAACCGTGTTTTCCTCCTCCGTCCACCCATTGCCTGAATGACATGACCCGTTTTGACGGTTTTCTTTTTTTGCTTTTTACACCGAGAGCCTTTTGTTTTGAATTTCCTAATCAGCTTTTTCCCAATAATTTCGTACAACTCCCCCAGGAGCTTCGTCGCATTTTATCCTTAATCGACTCTGATAATGACCTTCCAGCCCAACGCCCCGGCCTCGCGTATCGCACATGCTAAACAACCTCGTCTTCGCCTGCTGATCAGGGCGTTCCAGCCCTTCTCAGCGCAAAAAGCCCTGACAAGAATCTCCATGTCAGATCCAAACTGGCGGCGCCGTGTCTCCGAGTGCATCTTTTTGCTCGCGCTTTCCAGCGTGCCAGCAAGACTCCCAATCCCGGCACCACTCACGGCGGCCGTACCATACACGGACTCGGCCACAGGCCCAGGCTGAAGCGGCGACCAGCTAGCTGATGCTTGACTGCCTGACCGGCTTATAACCGGCGACAGAGGTATTTCGTGCTCCTGCGGCAACGACTGAAAGCCAGTGATGCAGTCAATCACAAGAACCTTAGCAGCGTTATTTGACGCAGGGGTCAGGCTAGGGCGGTGGGCGGTTGATGAATAATTGCTCAGAAATGCTTCTAGCGAGAAGTCTTGCTTCGCTAGCAGCTCCGACAAATGGAGAGCTGTATAAGTGTAGTATTTGTGCAGCGGATGGCCTGGGTTGTATGTCAGTCTCGCTAATAAGTTCGAAGATCCACGATCCTTAGTACAGGCTTACCAATAACGCTGGCGGTCTTACCGGCCGCAGAATCCCCTGAGAGATCAACTTGTTGGATGGTTGGGCTTGATGGCGACTTCAGTATCTTTACATGCTGAGACGGCACGCAAGGGTGGGCCGTGACGAAATTGATGTCTTTAGCCAACGCAAAAGTACGCTCCTCTTCCGCCCCCGAGTCCATGTCTGTTACCGTAAAAGATACCGACGACGTATAAGTACGGATTTCCGGAGGTCGACTGGCCTCAGAAAATGGCGTCGCGTTGAGGTCCTCGGTAGGGGTTGTGTAAACCGAGTCAACCGGGGCCCAAAGATTAAGAGCCCTGAGGTCAATCTTAAGGCAGGGGGGTGTCTTTTCCCGGTAGATGTTTTCAAACGGTATGATGAAGTCTGCTGGGAAGACAGATGAGGGATCAGTATCCCCCAGTACGCGTGACTCTCTTTCAATGTTTTGCTTCCCCCAAAGTCGAGCTTTCTTCTCTACGTTATGGGCGTCATCTGGAAACGAGTCAGCAAACACGGTTGCAGTCAAGCTGGAGGGCATGTATTGCTTACCGGGAGTTTCCTCAACTTCAATGTTTACCCAACCGTCGCCAAGTCTCTGGGGTTTAATATCGCTGGAAATCCAGCCCATGCACTCAGCAGAGCCTTTGCCAGCAGCGAGAACCCGGCCAACAATGCACGACGTGCTCCAGAAGCTCTTGCCGGAGTACACAAATCCACCGCATAGATTCGCCATGGGTCCAAGTCTCCCCATGGCCTCGCGATCATTTTCCAGCAAGGTCGCCATCAAAAAGTGGCAAAGTCCTTCACCTGGCAGCATCAGCCCCGACACGTAGCTTTTGGACAGCCAGCCTGCGGGGTGCAGAGCGGCTGATATCTTTCTTCTTCTGGACGGCATCCGCTTGACCTTCGAATCTGGCTTGCGCTCGCCAAGATGCGAGCCTCCAAAATATGAGGAGCGATGGCTGTCGCTTCGGCTTCCCGCACTGGCAAGTGAGTCGTCAAGGATGTTCCCCTCGGCGATGCTCTGGCAGTTCGCCGATATCCTCCAGGCGTACGGTTCGACGTCGGGCCATTTCAGCTGCCTCGCGAAATGGGTCAAGCCATCGACTTGGCGTTGAACGTGCCTCCCTCTGATCGCGTAGACGGGTCCGTGGTGCTGGCTACGGCGATGCGACCCGCCGTCACGAGATAGTGATATCCGCTTGGTCAGAGTTGCTAACCAGCCGGACGGCTTGTCTTCGGCACCCGGCCGCTCCGCCGGCTCAGTCTTTACCACCTCGATATTCTCCAGCCACGCCCGAGCAAGGTGCAAAGACCACTTGACCGACTTGTTCGCGTCCTTCTCAAACTTGAGGATTTCTGACGGCCGGATGCTCTCAACGCCAAGTTCCTCGCCCTCGGTGATTGCGTCCAGCCGGACAAGTAACTCACAGGCCAACAGGATTTGTAAAAGAAGCCAGTATCTCTCCTCATGGACGTCGCTAGTCGTCTCGCTCGCCGACTCGCCAGTCCTGACTGAAGCTCCGTCGTCAACTTCGTCCTCGATAGGGTTTCCCCATAGTAACTGGCCGAGGCGGATCCGCCACTCCACATGGGAGAAGTCAATCCACATGTTCGGGGCGGCGAGAACCTTGACGAGGGCCTGGATCTGCACCGAGAGACTATAGGGGTCCCGATGGTCGAGCACCTTTGTCGGCGGATGAAGGATCTGGAGGAACAACTCATTGTAAAGTTCGCTCGAGACACGACGCTCCCGCGGGTGCTGCTCGCTGTACCTCTGCCCATTCTTGATCAGCTGTTCCATGATGAGCGTCTCTTCCATGTGGCGGAGGCCGTCCCTAGAGGTGAGCATCTTCTGGCGTTGCTCAACAATGACGGGCGTCAAGGTGCCTATTTGCTCGAATCCCCATTGGTCCTCCTGCAAGGCGTCGGCCACGCCCAACTCAAGCGCCGCTTGATAGCCCATGCTCCCCTTCTCGAGGCCGGCCGAGCTCAGCATGCTAGGGCGCTCGCGGCACCGCGGGTAGAAGTGTGCTCGGCGCTTCTCTTCTGTAGCTCTCTTGGCGGCCGACTGGTCGCCAAGGATGTCACGCGTAATATGAGGCCATGCCGTGACCACTCCCCAAGCCTTGTCTTCGATCTGCGTGTGATCCGTGAGGTCCCTAATCTCGAGCTTCTCGTCCCACGGGAAGGCTACCGAGGGATGGGGCGCCCCCGTGTAGTGGCCCTCAGAACGGGCAAAGTACTGCGGGGCCCCTGAGAAGAGCTTCTCGATCTCGGACTCGGTCAGAGTTGCCATGATGCGGGCGAGTTTGAGTACGGGTTTGGCTGCGGGGGCTGGCTCGCTGCCCGGCGGAGGGGGTGATGGTAGCGGCTTATTAGGATTGAACGGGGAGCGAGGAGACAGTGGTGTGGATGCCCCCGAGACCTGGTGCGTACCACGAATTGTCAGTCAGCCGCAATGATGCATGCACGGGCTCCTTCATGTGGTGAGACAAATTGGCAGGCAGACAGCAAGCAAGCTTCATAAATAGTCTCGAGGCCGTCTGCAAGGCGCCGACCGCCCCTCGTACGGTTGGTGCAGGAACAGGCCGGGGGAAAACAAAACAAGTCACGCGGGACTCTCGAGTCTCAAATGGGAATAAGGGGAGGCAGGTAAAATCGGCTTGGAGGTCGACTGACAAATGCCCGCCGATGACGACGGATGATGCGTCGGCGGCCTTCAGCTGATTCCAGAATCTGAGGTAAATGGGAGTAAATGGTATTCTTGTGCAAAGGGGCCTAGAAGGCAGGACAGGACAAACTCGTCTCGCTTTGCTCTGCTCTGCTCTGCTCAGCTCTGTTCTGCTCTGTTCTGCTCAGCTCTGCTCAGCTCTGCTCTGCTGCGTGCACAGATCCAGATGCACCAAGATTCCAACGATTGCAGTTGCAGGTACGATTGAGGTGCACCCGCAGATCTAAGAAACCGTGCATCTGCACCTGGAACAAGATGAGGCAGAGCACTCAGATACCAGCAGCAGCAACAGCAGCAATAAACGAGAGGGGAGCAGCTGGAGCCGGAACATTGGAGCCCACAAGTGCACGGGCGGCCGGATGGGAAACGGCCCCAGATGAGGTGAACTGAGGTGTAGGCGGGTGTGGATGACGGGTACTCGAGGGCAAGCAGTATGTCATAACTTAATGCCTGGGAGGGAAGGGACGGAGAGGGGGAGAGAGTCTAGGGTTGCTCTTACCACGGCTGTGCCTCGTTGAGGTCGTGGCTGCTGCGAATCATGATCTCTTCCCCGCTGAGGGGTTAAGGACGGCGGTGGCTTACCCACTAGTCGGCTCCGGAGGTCGTAAAGCAAGTCCCTTTTCGAACTTCGACGTCCTTTCAGAGTCTGCTGCTCTGCACCAACATCCCCTTTCGAGTTCCCGTCTGGAGTCAGCGCGCTGCCGTTTTGACTTTGTTCCTCGACAGCACTGGTGTTGGAGCTTGCAGAGGGCCTCCGCGGCGACCTCCTGAGCATCGAAAATGAGGGCATCTCGGCCGGTGGGGCAGGTGGTATGACACCTGGAGGGGCCGATGCTGTTTGTCGAGGTGCTGTTGTCTCATTGATCAACGGCCAAAGACACGCCCGCCGGCGCCTGCGTCCTGCGGCGCAACCGCCTTTGCCGGTAGCTTGCAGATTCTGGGGACGCCCGGTGGCTGTTTCAGCTTATCGGGACTGGCTGCTGTGCCCGCTTCGAAAAGGGTAACCTGCAGGCAGCAGGAGAGGAGCCGAGAATGACGACGGGAGGATGGGACCGACAAGCTAGACACGAACAAACAAGCGGAAGATCAAAGCAGATATCATCCAAAAAGCGAGGGTAGAGACATAGAAGAAGAAAAATGCTGTCTGTCTCTGCCCTGGTAGATGGGCTAGAAATGCTGACGAGTTGGGCTGGTAAGGCAGGCAAGGTAGCTCAAGAGCAGCTAGCTGTCTCAGGCTCATCTGTTATATCATAGCAAGCATCAAGCGTGCCGCGGAAAGCCAATAACTGACGATAGCAGGCCTTTTATTCAATCACAAGCCTTAGCAGACGCTGCTTATTATGACCAGCACATCCTGGGGATGATACCTGATTCTGCGAGCGAAGGCGACCAGCAGTTGATTACCCACCACTACCCAGTCGCCTAGCAAATCACGGGAGGATTGCGCCGCTAACATGTTTCGAATCAGAGGCCTACATCTATAGGTTCGTTACCATTACGAACCTCGAGATTAAGGTTTTCCCTACGGAGGAAGAGTCCCAGGTTGATGGTGGATGCTGCGTGCCCTGTAAGTGTCGGTGCTGCCACTTGCCCGCCCACGCAGCACACGCAAAGACACCATGCGTGCAAACTTGGAATAAACTGGTTTGAATCAACCTAAGCCCATAGCGGCTAAGGCCAATACGCATCCGTTGGGCAAAGAAGCCGGCCGAAATTTGAGCGAGATCTAGCCCGTTTCGTTGAGTTGGATCGGGACCAACAAGATGTGACGCGCTTACGTCCGAAATGCACGTATGCCCCTATCCCTAGCCGGAAGTGTATAAACGGCTTTTTAGAGAGAGACGCCGGAAAGCGGCGAGTGTGGGCACTGGGCTTCCATGGGTTGCAATGGAAGCGTTCACTGTTCACACTTCACGGCGAGCACGGCAGCAGCCCCCGCGCAAACAGCAAGGGAAGGGGTAGGACTAGTAAGTCGTAATCAAAGTAGGAGTTATCTTGAGCTGTCTATCCACCCACTCATTTCCTTCTACGATAGGCTGAATATGTACGTGACCTCCGTAAACACGGACAAGGAGCACGACGACCGTTGGCGCACCGCAACAAGCAGTCCCTTCCCGTCGTGCTTCCCCTCGTGCGCGGAGAGCCTCAACGGCGTTTCCCGCCCCAGTCGCTTCTCCGAATCGTCCCGGAAGAACGGGTCGGTTTGATGTGATATTAAGCGGCCATTGTTTAGGTAAATCCAGCAGCTCGTGGGTTTGCCCGCTTGGAGAGCCCTTACTTATCAGCCGCCTCGACAAAGACTGCAATCTCGGGGTATCATTCAATTTCCAGCCATGGTCCATTGTTCGTCATCCATTGCCCACCATAGCCAGCCTCGCACTCCGCAGCTTACTTCATTTCAACCTCGCATCCAGAGCCTTGACATCAGCTTGGGCGCGCTGCTTTCATAATAGTGTATGTACGTGTCTTGCCAGCCGCCGAGGGGGGATTCGCCGCAGATAGATGAGCCAATCTACCGTTAGGTTCCTGTTCCCGTAGTGCCTACTGCCCCCACCCCACTCATCATTATGCGGGAGGGGTATCGTGAACTACGATCAACAGATACTTCGTGTCAGGGACAATGACAAGCTCTTGCTTCTTGGTCCGTAGCCGAAGCAATTTCAGCTCATCCTGTGTGTGTGTGTGTTTATGTTTATGTCAGTCGTGATGGGCTTAGGTCTCTCTCGAGCTTGTCGGGGTGGGTGCGCATCGGTACCTCCGTGTCCAGTTCCTGAACGAGACTGCCCGCCGTTCCCACAAAGTTCCATACAAGAGCTGCGAGTTCTTCTGCGCTCTGGTCCTGGCTTGAAGGGCTGGCGGTGGATTCGCCGGCAAACGAGCCCACGGTTGGGTTGGGCAGGGAAGAGCCCGGCGCCTTTACCTTGCGGACTGAACTGACCTGGCCACTGGTCTTCAGGATGGCCCCCGATGCGCGGTCGAGCACAATCGTTGCCTTGACGCCCGTCTTCTTGGAGAGACGGCCTAGCGTCTCCTCGAGAGCATCGGGGCCGGCGCCCTGGTCTGGTCAGCCTTACCTGGGCACGGTGTATGAACATGCCTTGTGGGCCTAAGCCGCAGAGAGTGAGAGTTAGGGTGAGGGCGAGGGTGACATACCAGGCCTGGCTCTGCCATTTCAGTCCGGTCAAGCGAGCGCAGGATGGTCAAACAGGCGGGATAATTGAAAGAAGGCTCGAAAGTCTTTGGAAACAGCTGCAGCTACTGTGTTGTCCGAAGCGGCTCATCATGGCATTCACACCAATGCGCGTGCGTGCCCGGTTTGGAGGGCCCCAGGGCGCCCCCAGCGAGCAACCAATGCATTCTGCCGCCCAACACCGCTAAAATTTTCCATCGAGCCCCACCAACGCAGTTATCGTTTGGGAGCATGTCCTCCATAGTAGGGAGGCACATCCGGCCTGCCAACGGCATAGCCAGTCTGAATACATAAAGAAGGAATCAATCTCCTCCCAATGAGACAAGAATGGGTTCTAGCAACAGGAAGAAGAAGGAAAAGAAGAAGGACTTCCACGTATGGTTGTCCCAAACCGAAACCCCCTGCAGCCACTCTTTCAGGAATTCTCACTAAACCCCATCTCAGAAAGCCAAGTTGAAAGTCGGAAAAGCCAACGCAAAGGCTGCCAATTTCACCGATACGAGCTTCAAATCCAAATGTGACAACTCCGGTGTGACCCATACGGCACCATTTTTGCTTTTGCTAACTTGCCGCAGCCATCAATGTCAACCAGCAGACCCTTGAGGGAGATGGGTCTGACTCGGTGGAGCAGTTCAAGCAGACGCTGACGACGGCCGCCACTGCAAAACCTGACAACCTGAGACGAGATGCCCTCTCTTACATCACGACCCAGGTATCGGCAAAGCCGCCGAACAACCCCGTCGGGACGGCCAGCGTGCTAACAAAACTGCTACCCCTAATCTCGGACGTATCCATATCGGTGCGCGCACATCTTCTGAGGCTATTCCGGGTACTGCCGCCTTCCGAGGTCAGGCCGCACGTCGAGAAGATGCTCATGTACATCCGGGGCGGCATGACGCACCTCTCGGCCGACATCCGCAGCGACACGCTGAACGCCATGGAGTGGCTGCTCGACGTGGCCGGGGACGAGGTCGTGTCGTGCCCGGGCGGCTGGCTGAAGACGCTCAACAGCTTCAGCTCGATGCTGGGCTGGAACCCTAGTGTCGGCTCCGCCATGAACAGCCAGGGCTGGACTTCGGGCTCCAAGTCCACGCTGGGCACCAAGAAGGGGCCCGAGGCCCAGGCGAGGCAGATCCAGGTCCTCGCCCGCTTCCTCCAGGCCGGCTTCCAGCCCGAGACCGTCGCCCCGTACAACCCCAAGGCCTACTGGGACAACATCTACCGCCTGCCCGCGACGGCGAACCCCTTCGCCTATCTCAACCTCTTTGGCGCTCCCCGGGACGAGGACAACGAGATGTACCCCGACCGCATCTCGAGGCAGCGTGTTTTCGATGCGAAGTGGAGGAGTTCTATCGTAGGTGGCATGGAGGGCGCGAAGAAGGAGGGTGGTACAGTCGGCAGAGCTGCTGCCTTGTTGGACAAGGCTTTGCGAGGCGGACTCAGGGATAGCGCTCCTCTGCCTGCGCGCTAACGTCTGGAGAGAGTCGAGAGCGAGAGCGTGGGCTTCGACGGGTTTGCCTCCATGCCCCTAAATCGACATGCTTAGCTAGGTAGGTAGGTACCTAGTAGGTGAGGTGCTTGGGTCTACCACGCTATATGTATATATTTCGACAGCATTCTAAGACATTTTCTGCCTTGACCTGTCTTTCGTTTTCCTCCCCAAAGCCAGAGGTTGACAAATTTACAGCAGAAAACGCGCCTCCACCAGCCCCCCTACGAGCCATTTTGGTCAGGTAGTTTGGCCTCGCCAAAATCACGTGAATCTGCTTTAAGCACTCAGCCAACACAATCATGTTTGCAATGCCTCCGTTGAACATGTTAGGAAATGGATACCCGCCGTGCTGTTAGAGCACATTGGCTGGCTGAGTACGAGTCTCTATTGTTGACCTCAAGTTTCTTCACTTTGCCATCGAACACTAACCACATCCAAACCAGCCGACTCCTATCCCACCGTGTATTTGCTGGTTGACTCGACTTCAATGTACACGAATAACCTTTACTAGTGCTAGAATATTCCCCTTCTCGACCCAGTAGGTAGGTGGCTTGCTTTTTGGCGGTCTGGGGGGGGGGGGGGCACGATCGGTCGACCGCCGCCCAGAAATACCGGTATCCACTTTCAACAGTTGCCCCTTTTCAACTTCCGTCCCTACTCGGTTGCTCCTTCCCTTTGGCTGCTCGGGAATAAAATCACTGCGCGAATTTGATTTGCGGAAATTCAAACCCGGCGGGCGTGCTTCTGAGTCTCAGGCGGCTGGTTTACGTTTCCAGCCAGGCTTTCAAGCTTGAGTATTTGAGACCGGGATATCTGCTCACTCCTTCTGTCAACAACTTCGGCGCCTCTCATCCTAACCACACAACTTCCTTCCACACAGACAGTCTCGCACGCCTACACCAAGGCACGCTCATCTACTACTCTGTCCAGAAACCAGGCAAGCAGTTCTTTCTTTTTCGTCTTCTCGTCTTCAATATCTCGCCCTACCCATCGCCCCGGCCCAGGGATCGGGGGGGCATATTGGCTTTCGGGTTTGTCTGCCAGTGCCGCTCCTGAGCTGAAGCTCCTTCTGTTTCTCGTCCGATCTACCTTGTTGTTGGGAAGGCACGTTTTTCAAGCCCACAAACACACAATTCCCTTCTCTTCCAACGCGTTCCCCCGTTTTCCAGCCCTTCCCACCGGGCCTACCTCGACAAAAATTGGCAATCACTCCTGGCCTTCCCCCCTACCCCACTATCCCTCTTTCTGACGGCCAACCTGTCAACCTTTCTCTTCCTGACATCATCTTCCAAAGTTCGCCTGCTTCTTGCCTACGCCTTGCAAGAGTCAAGCCCCGAATTTGATCCATCAGGTTCGTTCTCCCATCTCCTTCCTACCTTTTTCAACTTCCCTTGCCCAGATTCGTCTTTGGCCATCGGGCGCACGTTTATCTGGGGCGCGACTTCTGTTTCCCCCAGTGCTACTGCCGTCTCTGGTCAACGCACGTCCTTAATATTTCAGTGTCTCCTCTGGCACTCTCTACCTTTCACCACACGTTCACCTCTCCCATTGCTTCACCTCGGTCGAGTAGACCTATTCGTCATATTATTTCCTGCTCACAACCAAACCAGATTAGCGATCGTGTCTACCATCACTCCCTGATCTCTGTACGGTCGTTCTCGGCAGGTAAGAAATTCACTCCCAATGAAACATTCAAGTGACGCGAGGCATTCCCCTTGCGGTGATGTTGGCAGCCTGGAGTTGCTGCTTTCTTCTTCAGACGTCGCTTTCCGAAACTTGATTGCCCGTCTTCCCGAAAGCTTCACCCTCGTTTCCACCTTAGCACCCACTCATCCTTTTGCCTTTCGGTTGCTAGTAGACAGAACACTTGCTAATATTCCACGTCAGAAAACCAATCTTCAACCATGACGAGCCTCAACTCGGATACCCCAGGCGCGGTTGGCGGAGCGAGTGATTCCCTCTCCACCCAGGCCGCCGGTCTGCCCGATGGTGGCGCCAAGGTTGCCAATGACAAGGACGAGACTACCGACCCACCTAAGGTCGTTCAGAAAATCCCGGAGGCCTTGGCAGGTTGGGCTCCATTGACCCCGTACGACTACAACAATGAGGCTCCGACGGAGTGGGACGGCAATGCTGCTGTCTATCACTGGGATGGCGAGTTGGGTGAGGTCGGCCCTGAACACGCCGACCTTGAGATTCAGCTGTTTGGCCCCCCCAACCGTCGCCAGTCCCAAGGCATTGACTTTTCAAAGTAAGTCTATTCAGTTTCCCAGGTGGAATATGAACTGTTCGCTGACTTGTTAGAATCGCCTCCATTGAGTTGTATCAGGAGGGCCCCGTTCGCGTTAAGCCCATCTCGAAATTCGAGGATGCCGGCCTTCACCCTGTCATGCTTCGGAACGTTGAGCTGTCAGGATATAAGATCCCGACCCCGATCCAACGTTACTGCATCCCAGCAATCAACATGGGATATGATGTGATCGCCGTTGCCCAAACCGGTAAGTTAAACTTGAGGATTTAATACATTGGCACACATAACTAACCGACAAACATCCAGGATCTGGAAAGACGGCTGCCTATTTGATTCCGATCTTGAACAAGCTCATGGGCAAGGCCAAGAAGCTTGCGGCGCCTCGCCCTAACCCAGTGACTTATCGCCCTGGAATTGATGCTCCCGTCCGCGCTGAGCCGCTTGTTGTTATTGTCTGCCCAAGCCGCGAGCTTGCTGTCCAGATCTTCAACGAGGCTCGCAAGTTTTGTTACCGGACCATGCTGCGCCCTTGCGTGGTCTATGGAGGCGGACCTATGCACGATCAGGTCGATCAGCTTCAGAAGGGATGTGACATCTTGGTCGCTTCGCCCGGCCGTCTGGTCGACTTTATTGAGCGTCCTCATCTCTTGACTCTCCGTCGAGTGCGCTACATGGTCATTGACGAAGCGGACGAGATGCTTGAAACCGCGTGGAGCGACGAGCTCAATAAGATCATGACTGGTGGTGGTAAATTTTTCACCCCTTGAACTTTTATATCTTTTTCTAACTTGCCAAAAGAACAGGAAGAGGGAAACATCAAGTATATGCTCTTCTCAGCCACATTCCCCAAGGAAGCTCGGGATCTTGCGGCAACTCATTTGGCGGAGAACTATGTTCGACTTCGTGTTGGTCGTGCTGGAAGTACCCATGAGAACATCAAGCAGAGTGTCGTCTTTGTCGATCCTTCGATGAAGCGACAGGCGCTATTTGACCTGTTGCACTCGCTTCCCCCCACGCGTACCATCGTATTTGTCAACAGCAAGCGTGCCGCCGACGAGGTGGACGACTTTTTGTTCAACAAGGGTATGCCCTGTGCGTCAATTCATTCGGACCGGACTCAGAAGGAGCGTGAGGCCGCCATGCGTGCCTTCCGCGCCGGCACATCCCCGCTCCTGGTCGCCACCGGTGTCACTGCTCGTGGTATTGATGTGCGAAACGTTATGCACGTCATCAACTACGACATGCCGTCTCTTGACTACGGTGGCATTGAGGAATACACTCACCGCATTGGTAACTTGACTCATGTGTATCCGTCAATATTGGTTCGTGTGCTAACATGATGCAGGACGAACGGGCCGTATTGGTCACCGCGGTCTCGCCACTTCCTTTTACTGCGACCGAGATGAGCCTATTGCTTCTGTGCTCACTCGCACGCTCCTGGAGACCAACCAGGAGGTTCCTGACTTCCTGCAGCAGTACATTCCAGAGGGAGATGCCCGTACCAACCTGAAGTTTGAGGCGGATTCGGACTTTGATGAGACTGAGGCTGCTGAGACTGGAGATGACGGCGGAGTTTGGGGTGATGAATCCGGGGACCAGCCTACCACCGGAGACGGAGGTGGTTGGGGCACTACTGACAACAACAATGCCGATGCTGTTGGCGGAGGCGCTTCGGGCAATGGCAATACCTTTGCCAGCCCCCAGGCTGCTGTGGAGGAGTCAACCGGCTGGTAAATCTATCAGCTCTGCTGATACCAGCCTTGCTGATGTGTGGTGCGTTGGGAATCTTCTTTGAGTTATCCTGAATGGTGCGGGAATAAAAGTTTGACTAAGAGTTGTGGACTCTAGTGCCGAATATATTTGCCACCTAGCACATTCTCGATTAGGTAGCTTAGCATGTCGTGGTGATTCGGAATACCTGATACCGTAACTTGTGTGAACCGTGACTGTCCGAGTGTACACTCGATCCTTATTTCTATTTGATATAACCAGGCCCCTTGGTGTTTTAGAGGCTTGGCAAATCGTGCCGCTGGCAATCCAATCTAGACCGCCTTGTATGATACAAACCGCGGGCAGTGCTTAGTAGAAATCTTTCTAGGGTCCCAAGATGGACGGAGATTCTTTCCAGCCCTACCTCTCTTGCTCGGTTTCCGGCGATGGGTTCTCTTATGATATCCTGTTTGCCTTCAAGATACGAGTGGTGTACTATTTCAGGCAGAAAGGCCCCGACGAGAGCCAAGACGCGGAGTAGTAGGGGGGCTTTACGAGGCGCTTTATATTGAGCACACTAATGAAATTGTATATGGTATGTATTGTGACATTTCTACGTTTAATATTTTCAACTCTGGCAGAGTGAGTGTGGTGGTGGTATGTATTTATTTTGTATTTCCCGCCCGTCCCCCCATTTTCTTACTTATTTCCCCCCTAGGCCCTTTTGCCCCCCTCCCCCCCTTACAAAGCTACCTCCTGGCTTTGTTTTTGGCTGTCTTTGGTCCCAAACCAACATAATTCGCTACCACTTCTATCTTCTTTCTATCCGCTGGGGTTTTGGAGATCTGGTACGAGGAGAGAAGAGGGGAGTCCAGGACCTTGGGGTCAAGATTTGAAAAAAAAAAAATTTTTTTTTTTCTCAAGGCACACAACAGATCTCAACGCTCAATATTTTAACGAAGACGACGATGACGACGGCGATAACCGCCACGCGCGCAGGGGCAGGGCCTGCAATTGCAGCACCTTGGGGCGGATGAAGAGCACAAAGGTGACGAGGCCGAGGGCCACGCAGATGACGTTGACGATGTAGTAGCCGTCGCGGACCATGTCGCAGGTGCCGCCACCGGCGAGGCAGCGCTCCTTGTCGGCCTGGATGGCGCAACTAAAGGCTTCTGTGATGAGGGAGTGCTTTGAAGAAGAGGACGAGGACGGAGAAGGCGGGTTGCACGTGGCGCTAGTGAAGTAGTCGACGAGGCGCAGGACGAAGAAGCGAGGGAATGTCCCGCCGAGGTTGCAGACTCTGAGAGGAAGTGTTAGTTGTTTGTGGTGCAGCGTGTTTCTTTACAAGAAAATGAGGGAGGGAGTAAACTTACGTCGCGAGAAGGGTCATGTACGTGCCGCCAATGACAGGGTCCGCGATCCGGGCGTGGAAGGCGGAGACGGCGACGAACATGACCGTGTTGGTAAAGGTGGAGAAGATGTGCTCGGCGATAACGACCAGCAGGTACCACGAGGTGACGCCGCCGGCAGGGAACATGGCGACGGTAATTTGGGCGAGCACGGCAGCGAGGAGGCGGCCCATGAAGGCGCCGCACCAGAGGCGCATGGGGGTGAACTCTTGCGACCACTTGCCTGCGTAGTAGCCGAGGCCGATCTCGAAGGGGAAGTCGATCAGCACGGTCAGGGCCATGTTATCGGTGCCGAAGCCCTTGTCGAGCAGCTTCAGGTTGGTGACGCCGTCGTTGGCCTGGAAGCCGATCTTGGCGATGAGGTGAACAATGACGATGGTCTGGATATTGCGTAGCTTGAGCACGCCCCACATGATCTTGTACACGTCCCAGATGCCGTCCTCGTTCCTCGTCTTCTCCTCCTTCTTGATTAGACCCAGGCCGATGGTGACGGCGATGTACGCCCACCCCCAAAAGGTCAGGTAGCCGCCCAGGCCGATCAAGCCGGTGTCGAGCGGCGAGTCGCGGAACCAGCGGTTGGCAAAATCCTTGGAGCAAAAGGCCAGAAACACGGTGTGGGACAGGAACTGGCCGGCCGTGAGCCCGACCGTCTGGGCCGTTGACGCGTACGAGATGTTGCTGGGGCTCAGCAGGGTCAGGGCCCAGCCGTCAACAGCGATGTCCTGAGTGGCGCACATGAGCACCAGGAAGAACCACCAGCCCGTGAAGCCCCAGACGGTGTGGCCGCCGGGCTTGCCCGTCATGGCCATCATCTCCTCGACAGTCGAACCCAGCCACAGCATGCCAATGCCGGAGAGCAACTGTATGGGCAGGATCCAGCTCTTCCTCCGGCCGACCTTTGGACTCCACATGGCGTCGACAATGGGACTCCACAGCAGCTTGAGCGAGTATGGGTATGAGGCCAGGCTGAAGATGCCAATCTCGCTGTACGACATGTGGTTCTTGAGCAGAAAGGGAACGGAGCCCGTGGCCAGCCCTAGGGGGATGCCCTGCAGGAAGTATAAGAGGACGAGCAGGCCAAAGTTCTTCTGGTCCTGCTTGGGCAGGTCGAGGAAGCCATGGTGGTTGGCCGTGGGCATCTTGGGGTTCGGCACGGGGTCGTCGAGGGAGAAGGTCTCGCGGGACATGAGGTTGGCCGTCACGGCGCCCGAGGAGGCGTCCTGGGATATGTTGCGCCGCAGGAGCTCGACGTTCTTGTTCATCGTGGGGTCGTGGTCGTGGGTGGTGCCGCCGCCGCCGCCACTGCTGCTCGCCCCGCCGTTTGTTCGGGCGTCGTTAGGGACGTGTTTCGGGGACTTGGCCCCGTTCTGCGTCGGCGATTTTGCGCGACGGGACCGGGCACCCATAGATGTTTAGATGATCGTGGTGAATGCGACAGTGTTGGTTTTGGGTAGCTGTTTCTCGGCGTCCGGGGGCGGGCGCGTCGTCTTGCGGCGCGGCGCGGGCGAGTAAGCGACTTGGGCGTTGGCTTGGGAGTTGTAGCGCTTTACACACGAACCACGTCAATAAGAGTGCACGCAATGCGGACGAGAATGGAATAAAGCTTGCAGGTAGCTACCCTTTTTGGTACAATATTTTGAACGAGAGACGAGAAGTATGACTAGTGTGCAGAGTGTCGAGAAACGAATGTGGCCTCTTCAGAAGCGGCGCCAAGACAGGGGGCCAACAAGGTAGGTGGAATTCGGGTAAAATTCCAGAATGACTGCATCGAAATCTGGGGCGGGATGGATTGCCTGGGATCCAGCGAGCTGCTCAGGGGGGTGCCTGCCACCGCCTGGGCCTCGGCGCGGTCACAGGAGGGGAGCCACGGCAGCAGCTACCGTGGCCTTTTAGGTGGCGATGCACATCAGTAACCCGCACCACTATTCGCAAATACTTAGAATAGAGGAAAAAACCTAAAATATTGAACTCGTTTCCGTTCAAGCATGCTTCTTTGGTCCGTAGGCGAGAATAGGGCTCATGTAACTAAATTTCTGGAATAACCCCCAAGACATTCTGTAACTGGATTTTGTTACGGGCCTTATATTCAGAAGCCACCTACGGAGTTGTGCCTTAGCTAATCACGCCCAGGCTTCACGGCAGGCAGGAGCAGAGACATTCGGCAGCCAATGATAATGGAGGGATGTCCTAGGGATGCGCTAGTGCGGGAGGGGTCTAGTTGCATTCTCATAACCCACACTGACCACAGTTTGTCCAAGACGCGATAGGCCGTGACCGACCTGAGACCAAATCCGTACAAAAAAACTGGACGGCCTTTGGGCTCCTTCGAATATGAATAACGGGCATAAGATATCTCTTGTTCAGGCGACCCTAATTCCACCACATCTTTTAATGGCGATGAGCTGTCATATTTACAAGAATAACGAGCAACGGACGACGCGAGACGCGTTACGTCTCGTCAATTGAAAAATACCCTTCAGTGTTACTCCGTCCGTACATTTGCAATGGAATCGGAATTAGTATCGGCATCGGCATCAACATTAGCTCTTGATGATGGTATTGAGAATTTGCAGGCGCGAGGTATGTATGATAAAAACCCCAACCAAGTCTCATTGCGCACATGACTGACACGAGCCCGTAGTCTCATCCCTGAAGAAGCAGCTGCGTGTGCAGACTTCGACGCTCATCGCGGCGCCGTCAACACGGGAGCTGCTGTCCGGCGCTCCACGGGCCGGCAAACTGCTCGCGCAAGCGGCCGCGCAAGAGGCGCACAACCAGCAGTGTCTGTACCGCGCGTGTGCCTCCATCACCACATTTCGCGTGCAGGACCCCGACCCCAACGCCGTCGACGGCGGTGCCGCGCTGGGCCTGCGCGTCGAGGTCGTCAGCCGGGCCAAGTTCCTACGCCCATACTACGTACTACTCAACCGTCCCTATCCCAACGCCAGCCGCCACCTGCGCGTCCACCGCCACACCGTTCCGCCCTGCATCCCCTTGGCTGGCCTGGCAGCGCGTCATCTCCCTCCCCCGCCTGCCCCGGACCAGGGCCTGGCGCGGTTTGCGCGTTCGCTGCGCCGCGAGATTGTCCGCTACCACCACCGCCTGGGCGTCGTGGCTGATCTGCGTAAGGCCGCTGGGTTGGGCCGGAAGAAGAAGCGAATTGCCGAAGACGAGGGCGGTGAGGAAGAGCAGGAGGAGGAGCGACAGGCGCGGGGGCTGATCAACATTAATCCCGCCGATGCCGAGGCGAAGCAGCTGAGCATCGAATGGGTTGACGGCCGCACCGGTCGGCTGGTCTTGGGCGACGACGGTGAAATTCTCAAGTTTGTGGCTGTCGGCGATAACGGCCGAGACCGCGACGCCGTAAGGGAGCTCCTCGGCGGCGCAGCCCGGGTGGATGAAGTGGTGGAGCGGCTGGCATCTTCTGGGTGAAAGGCCTCAGCTTCTTCCTTGCTATCCCGTCGCGAAAAAAAAAAAAGGGAATCACTCGTGCAGATGAAGGCTGGCTGATGAGCCTGGCTGTATGAGTGGGCGCGCTTCTTTTTCGACCCCCACACGTTGCTGATTTCGAGCTCACGCACGTCGATCCCTCAGGAGCGCGGGCCCGGCCTCTCATTACCGAACTCGAATATCGCGTTCATGTGCCTCACGAGGAGCAGGAGTCCCGCGCCGCCCGCGCCGCGCGAGCAAGTCGGCAATTTCCATTTCCACACGCCCGCAATTCTCAAAACCTCGTTCCCCGCCTTCGCGTATTTAATTTTATTGACGAGAACAGAGCGGGCTATCAGCCTCCAGAAGGAACAGCTTTTTGTTTGGTCAAACATGCATCAGCCATCCTCTTAACCAGACAGGCTTGCAATGGGAGTGAGTCCCTGGTCTCTTGTCTAGCGAGAGGGCGGGTAATTCGAGGAAGTTGACCATGACCACCAGCGCCACGATTCCCGCACGCCAGGGACGGCGTTGTCTTGTTGAGAGGAACTTGGGCAGTCAACACTAGCCGAAAAATACCGTGTAGACCTACACCTTGGCTGTGTGCATACACACGCATATGCAACACGTCATGGGAAGGGGAGATGGTCATTTATACGGTCAGACGACGTGGCCGCCAGCGACGCCGCCTGGCGATGACCAGGTCAATATCTACCCTCATGCTTTTTTAAAGGGTGTCAACACCCAATCGCTTTTGCCAGCGAGCATGTTAGAATAGTAGCTATGGAGTTAATTGAGACCCCTATGCAGGCAGACAGGCAGGTCAGGGTGTCCGGACGTGCGGCTGGGTCAAGGCGTGCGTGGCTGCGTCGGTGTCCATGCTTCCCGTGCCCTGTAAGATGCGAGGACGGGACGGGCGGATAAATATAGCGGGAGGCCATGCGAGATGAGAGATGGGAAGAACAAAAAATCACGGCTATTCCATCTACCCAGCCCAGCAGGACCCTTTTCTTTTTGGCCCATGTTACTAGTAACCAGTATTGGAGCAATTTTCCCAGGTCAGTTGATCAAGGTTGCGTGCGGGGAGGGTCTGCGGCACGCACCCATTCCCTGACCGTGTAGAGAGAGATGATGGGGCTGTGCGACTTTTTACGTCCATAGGTAGGTATCTACATAGCCATTAGAGGCTGGGAATGAAGCCCGCCGTAAAAAGCTTTCGGACACACAGTAGCAGTAATAGCAGCAGAAGAGCTCGCGCGTCCTGGTTCACTTTTTTTTTTTTTTGAAAAAAATTTAAAAAATTTCTCACGCGGTAACAAAACGACAGACAAAAGAAGCAAGCCTCTCACGCGGGAACTATCTTCACAGATGGCCGAGAAAAAAGAGAAGGGAAAAAAGGGGTATTCATTAAAGCAGCCCGATATGCGGGCCTAGGGAAGAGAAGATGGGGTGAAGCAAGTCTTCAGTACTGCCCGTCTCATAGTCGGTCTCTCAGTTGTGCGAGGGCTGGGGCTGGAGCTGGCCTGGTTGTGAGCGGCCGCTCTTGCCCCGTTATCCCCCACCGTGAAAGAAAGGGAAAAGAGGGGGGAGGCTGTGAATAACAATAACAACCAATACGCATCATGCGTCGTGAGAGAAACAAATAACAGTCATTTCTTGTTGCCTTTCGTATTCTCGTGTTATCATTGTCGAAAAAGGGGTTAAGTCAAGAGAGTAACACCCTTTGATCGCCTCCCTCCCTCTCCCCCCCTTTTTGGTTTCCCGACAGCATAACACAACAGGAAGTTGTTCCCTTTTATCTCTCCCTCCAACCCCCCCACGCCTCCTCTCACAAAATAGCACAAGATTTCCCATTATCCCGATAAGAGCTTTTCCGAAAGAAATATATATCATGCGCGAGAGAGGGGGAGGGGGAGAACATGACAGTGAGAACAGGAACAGGAACAAGGACAGGCTTCGTTCCAAGACATGGCAAGACACGAGAAATCAACACACACACACACACACTAAGAAAGAAGAAACTAGAGAAGCGCAGCGGCAACAGCAATAGCAGCCAGCGCGCCGCCAGCGCGGTGGGCGTTATGCGCGGCGGCGGCGGTAACGGCAGCCGGGAACGACGAGGTTGTGGACAAGGACGGCAGCGGCGAGGGGACGAGGGAGCCGACGGAGGAGGTGATACTCGAGGGCGGCAATGGTAGCAGCGAGGTCGAGGACAGCGGGGCTGGCGGCGGCGGGACACGGAGCGTAGTGCTGGGCGGCGGTGGGGGGATGACGACGGCTGAGGTGGTGATGACGGGGAGCGGGGCCGTGGTCGACCAGCCCGGCGGCGGCGGCGGCGGTGGCGGCGGTGGGAGAGAGCTCGGCGGTGGCGGCGGAGGAGGGACCACCAGTGGCGTGGTCGTCACGGGGCACACGGTGGTGCTCACGGGGACGGTCACGGTGGTGACGACGGTGCCGCCGTGGGCCGGGCAGTTAGGCACGGCCGGCGGGCAGCCCGTGATAGTGTGCACACTCGTCGTGTAGATGGTGCTGGTCCAGAACTTGGGCGGCCAGGTTGGGTTCGGCCAGCCCAGCGTCGGCTTCCCGAACGAGTGCCAGTCGTCGTCCTGCTCCTCTCCTCCCCAGCCAACGCCGTGGGGTGAGGCAGCCGCGTGTGCGGCCAAGGCGGCGAGCAGGGCGGCGGCGGAGGTCTTCATGGTGAGCTCTTTTGTGTCTCCTATGGGACCCAACAATTTTGGTGTTTTAAAAACCTGCGACGGACCACCTGGTTGCCAAGTTGTTGTTACCAAGGAAGCCAGTGACGACTTGAACGAGTGAAAGGGTACCGCGGATACGGACTACAGAGGGGAGCAGCAAGTAGGTGAACATGGGCCCGGGGGGGCGTCGGCCGCCTTTTAAACATGGTCACCCGAAGGACGCACGCGAGAGGGGGCAACAACACAGACGGGCATCTTAAAGTGCGGCCGTGGTTTTCCTTGGCAGCCTGTCGAATCCAAAGGCATGGATTCCCAGGGGGGGAGGGGGTCAACGCCGACATGGCGTCGTGCGGCAACTCCAAGTACTGCATGGATGTCATACTATCCGATGCATTGGGGCCTGGGGAAGGAGGCAGGCACACCGAGCTGGGCACGGCGCTGGCGGCTAAAGAGGAAGTGTGCCCTGCAATCAAGATTTCTGTGTAATGAAATAATGAATGGGTAGGATAGAGTATAGTGTAGAGTGACTATAGGCTGGCGGACATGAACAGACCGCGTCGGTGACGAGGCAAGACAGTGCTGAATGCACGGCTGCTCCCTGCCCTGGCAGCACATCATAAATCAGAGCATGGCCTCGAGGGCCTTTTCCCCCGACCCAAGGTCAAGCAAGGCCTTGATCGGCCTGAATTAAGCTTCTCGGGTGATCGTCCGTTAGGGGGGTGGGAACTCCCTTGCGTGGTCGCGGGAACGACAGACAGGCAGGCAGACAGGCAGACTGTGGAGGCGGTCGGAGGATGTAGCCAATGTCAGTCTGATCTGATATGCACGGGCGACCTCGTTCCTGCATTGGCTGTTAATGAGCGGGCTCCCGACGGCCGGCCACCGAATGAGATGCGGCGTGGACCCCTGTGTTCATCTTGACTGCGGCGCTGCACACGGCGCATGTTTCGAGTTTTTTCCTTGTTTGAGGCAGGGCCTGCAAAATAAGCGAGCTGCTTACGTCCTGGACACAATTCCGATGACCTCGATCTATATGCAGCCGAAGAATCATTGAGATGTTATTAGGATTGGGAGAGTGGCTGAGGAATTGGTCGTGTATGAAGGGAAGAATCGATCGGGGCGGATCGATAGCGATACAACTATTATAATTCAATTCTCATCTATGTTTCCATGTTTTCCTATCGTCACAGTTCCCACCTACGTACGCATACAAATGGAAAAGCACCAAAATAAGTTGTTGTAAAATCAGGCAGGTATCTGCGTCTAAAGATAGATAAATTAGTATATATAGTTATGTTCTAGCAACCCTAATAATATATACTTACGACTCTGCTGGTATAGCTCGGGAAGCGTGACTGACTGATCTCTTCGCACTGGAGATCAACGAGCCGGACAAGAATGCATTCCGACCGAGATGTAATGTATCGAGGCCGATTTTTCTAGCGGCGAATCTCGGTTGATGTTCCTGGTATTCAGGTCATACCACTGAGGGCTGGGTCCAAGAGGGAGTGTGGTAGTACCACCAAAAGGGGGGTTGTGATTGGTTTGTTCTGTTTGTCATGTAAAGCTGAAAGTGTTGTGCGACCCTGGTTTCGGTGGATCTGTGCGCGAGCCCCGCGCGATCACGTGTCCGGTTAAGGTGGCACGTGAATCAGCACGTGACTCACGCACTTGCAATACAGCTACACTTAATATTAAAAAAAAATCTCGAAGTCTTAGAACTGTTATAATTCAATTTCGTAGGGTATGCGTGTGATTTTTAGCTAGGTAGGCTGAAGTGATGTACTATTACAAACCACTCGACTGTCAGAGCCGTCTGCCTGTAAGGGTGCAAGGGCACCACAGAGAGGGTTGCTGGGTTGGTGTAGTGAAGATTGAACAGAGGGCAAGCTCCTGTCACGAATCCCTGTGGATTCCCTGTGGTTATGCACAAAGGTGGGACATGCACTTTTGGCGCGAGCCAATCAAGAGCGTTCCAGGATTCCGAGCTCTGGAGCTCGGGGGCGCGGGACAGGTCCGGCCAGGCGGTGACCCGGACGCGGGACCACGGGACAACGGAACCACTGTTATTGGTTACGTAGATAGATATATACGACGATCGTGTCCACGGTCTTAGATAGTTCTTGCTTGGTTCTTCAAGCAAGCAATACACATTCACTGCACTCATACACTTTGAGTGGCATTCCGATTTGACTGTATTACCCGTGCGATAGGAGCTTGCCCTTTGTTCTATCTTCATAATTACCAACCCCAGCATTCTGTGGAGCCCGTGCTCCCTTACAGACAGACGACCCTGACAGTCGAGTGGTTTGTAATAGCTCCTTTTGCACGGGTGATACAGTCAAACTGGATTGCTACTCAAAGTGTATGAGTACAAGGAATGTGTATTGTTTGCTTGGAGAACCAAGCAAGCTCTAGCTAAGACCGCGGCTACAGTCATCGTATATATCCATATAGGTGGGCCAATGGGCGATGTCCCACTGTCCCGAGGTCCCGAGCGCGGGGCCTCGGCCGGTCGCCTTGCGTCCCGGTGTCCCGTGGGTTCGGCCCCCGGACCCTGGACCCTCCTGATTGGCCAGCCCCAAACAGTGTGTGCCCCACTCCACCGTCGTGCATTTCCTCAGGGATTCTAACATGTACAGAACGCCAAAAATTGGTTGTTGGTGGTTGGGTGGAAAAGGAAAAGAATTGGAGGGTGGGTGGTGAAATATTTCCAGATGCAGCGATCGGCGGCCCCACTAGTGGATACCAAATAGAGTTTTGCTGGGTTTTTTCCAGAACGAAGTCTGGAAGCGTGCAACAGAGAAGTCGCGGCGAAATGGCACCCTAGTTGTGGCTGGTACGAAACATACCTAGTCGAGCGTATCCGCAATTCCTTCGTATCGAGCGTATTATACCGTACCGATCGTATAGACGGGGACTGTAAGTGGCGCTGTCACAGGGGGAAGGGTTGGTGGGGAGTCCTCTGTGGCTGAAGCACTCTAGCTGCTAGCGTATGGCGGGAGACCTGGGGGCCCAGGCTCGCTCTTGGTTAACCGCTGCTGCAGAGGGGGGTCTGGAGACTGAGAGTGTCAACACGTTGTTCAAACAGCTCGATGCTGCCACGCTGCTTCGCTCGGGACGCTCTTCCATTCGCTTTCGAGTCTTCTTCTTCTCCTTGCTAGTATTATTATCTACCATAATTTCTATATACGTGCGGGCCGTGATAGAGGAATCGGGGAAAAGAAAGAAAAGAACAGAAAGAGAGGCACCTCCATTCTATCCTCGCTTGTGCCACCAGCAAGCAACCTTAACCTCCATACCGGGAAACAACCATCACGCAACAGTGTGTGCGACTCCGCAACCTCTACGCGCCAAGGAAACCCAACACCAAGACCCTTTTGTCCGAGGGAGAGCTCCCCCAGCTCCAAGCCGTCGTTAGCAATGGGCCTGGCGCCACCAGTTGCTGCTGCGGCCCGCAAAACCGTCTTGAGGGTCATCTTCATCTCCCTGCTACTGGACCTGGTGCGTATCTCTGCTTATTAGCTTCCCCCCCGGCCTCTTGCTAGCCTGGGAAGCCAGCCAGTCGACCCGACCCGTTGGACAATACTGACGTATCATGCTTTTGCTGTTTGCTCCCGCAGATCTCCTTCACCTTCATCCTCCCGCTGTTCCCCAACCTGCTCGAGTTCTACCGCAATGTCGAGGCCGACGCCGGTGCCGCGGCCGCGCCGTCAAAGACGATCCTCTCGAGCATACTAGGATACCTCAACGCATACAAGGCGGCCTTTGCCCGGCCAATTGACTCGCGATATGACATTGTTCTGCTGGGCGGGGCACTGGGGAGTCTCTTCTCGTGCGTTGGCCCCCTTCACCCCTTGCTCCCCCCCTCTTCACTCCTGAACCTGTCTCGGCCTAACCAACTAACACCCCTTTGTGATTTGCTATGCAGGATCCTCCAGGCGATCGCCTCGCCCGTCATAGGGCACCTGTCGGACCGATTCGGGCGGCGCAACGCCCTGCTGGCCAGCATGGCGGGCAACATTGTGTCGGTCCTGCTGTGGGTGGTGGCGGTCGATTTCCGGACGTTCCTGGCGTCGCGCATCGTCGGCGGCCTGTCCGAGGGCAACGTGCAGCTGGCCACGGCCATCGCCACAGATATCTCGGACGCCGACACGCGCGGGTCTACCATGGCCCTCATCGGCGCCTGCTTCTCCATCTCCTTCACCTTCGGCCCGGCGCTGGGCGCCTGGCTCAGCTCTATCGGCACCGTCGCCGCTAACCCCTTCGCCACCGCCGCTGGCGTCTCGCTCTTCCTGATCGTTACCGAGACCGTCTACCTGTACCTCTACCTGCCCGAGACGCTGCCCTCGATGGTGAATAAGCCGGCCGAGGTGCCTTCGTCTTCTTCGGCGGCCGCCGAGAAGATTGCGCCAACTGCCGCCGCCGCCCCCGTGCAGCGGACCAACTCGCACTTCCTGCTCAACTTTGTGCACATGACGTTCCTGCTATTCTTCTCGGGCATGGAGTTCTCGCTGCCGTTCATGACGTACGACCTGTTCGGCTACAGCTCGGCCAACAACGGGAGGCTGCTGGGGTACGTAGGGTTGGTGGCGTCCATCTTGCAGGGCGGTGTGACGCGGCGGCTGCCGCCGCTGCTGTCGGTGCGGATAGGCGTGGTGTCGTGCGTGGTGGCGTTTGCGCTGCTGGCGCGGGCGTCGACGGTGCCGGCGCTGTACGTGGCGGCGACGTGCCTGGCCACGACGTCGGCCACCGTGGTCATGGGCCTCAACGCGCTGAGCAGCTTCGAGGCCGCCGAGGGCGAGCGCGGCGGCAAGCTCGGCATCCTCCGCAGCTGGGGCCAGCTCGGCAGGGCCCTCGGCCCGCTGCTGTTCACCAGCGTCTACTGGTGGGCCGGCCGCGAGGTCGCCTACGGCATGGGCGCCGTCGGCATCTCCGCCGTCAGCCTGCTGACCCTATTCGGACTCAAGACGCCCCCCGGCTCGGCTGTGAAAGGCCGCGTTAAGGCCAAGGGCCGAGGGGGGAATAAGAAGGAGCTGTGAAATTTATATAGAAGAAGAAAAAAAGAGGGCGAATGCGCATGTGATAGCTTAGTAGGAGGGGGAAGGCAGGGTTAGTTGCATAAAATGTGGAACGAAGTAGAAAAAAAGTGGAAAAACAGATGTCTGTTCGATAGTCTATTTTTTCTTTCTTATATAATACACTACAGCTAGAAGGCTTTCTCTGTCGCCTCCAGCGCCCCGTGAGGTTGTGCCGTTTATGTGTTTTGTGGGCTGGGACTGGGGCCTTGATAATTCAGAGAAAAGGAGATAGATGGGTCTCTCTGAAAAGGGGCTTGCTGTAAATTGTCCTGGGTTTTGCGCCTCCTTTCTTCTTTCTTTTCTATTGAGGGGGAAAGATACCCCTCTCTCTTTTCTCCTAGCTGACTTCCGTCCGGGTCCTGCTAGGATCCAAGGTAATAATTTTCCGCGGCCGGTAGTACTTGTAGTAGGCGGTGTGGCAGATCACTAGCTAACGGGTTGGTTCATAGCAGGAGCGATGGGTTAGTGTAGCGTGGGTGAGGATGCGTAGGGTTGTGGCCGTTAAGGTCCTTACTTACTTTTCTTCTTTCTTCTCTTTTCGTTTTCTTCCATTCCATTTTTGTCTCATCTTGTTTTGAGAAGGCGCTTTGAACCATACTGTGCCCCGAGCCTAGTGCAACTGGTGGGCGGTGTTTCATAGGCGAAAACGCGGTAGCACACCAAACAAAGAAAGAGCCGTCGTCGCTCGCAGAAAGGCAGAGTGGCCGAGCGGTCAAACTGCTTGCACGCGAACACACAGGCTTACCCAGAGGCCTTCGTGGGGAAATGGTAACCCATCAGACTCCTAATCTGAGGATTGCGGTAGGTTTCGCGTCCATAACACTAACAACTTCTCATGGCTCCCTCTCCGCTTTGATCTGATGCTAACGAAGACGTTCAGGGTTCGAGTCCCGCCGGAGGTGCTTTCTTTTCTTTTTTATATTATAATTTAGTTCTTTATATTTTATTTCGCAATATTCTTTCGAGCATGACTGCTCCCTTGATCTCCTTTTGTTAGTCACTGGCAGACCTGGGCTCCGGATTAGAACTTTCTCGAAATAATTGAACGGCTACGGCAACTGCTTGAGACGGTCTCCTCTCGGGAGCTCTTCATCACAGCCAGACAAACCTTACTAACGTGCTCTTTCGCCGATCTACTGCTATTATTCGCCCGCATCCAGGCCGCCATCGGTCCAAGCCCCTTTTTAGGCCAAATTCGACCAGATCAGCCGTGTTTCCTCACCTAGGTGTGCTGTAGAATACTAAATCGGCAGTTGAACTACAGACCATCAAGCTCATGTTCCGCGTATAGGTGACCGGCATATTTCAAGGCTGGCTTTGGTCCAGCTGATGCCGTGCTCCGGAAGGACAAGACGGTGAGATCGGGCCGGGGTTAGTGTGGAACCCACACCCACGTTCACAACGTCTCGGCTCTCGGCTCGGCATCTCCAACAGACGACGCTGCTGGCTGCCCGGTCTCCATCAGCATCCACAACAGCTGCTGGAGGTGTGCTCACGCGGATATGCCGGCATTGCCTTTGTCGCCATTTGCGCACAACTGAGCGCGGAGCATATCGTCGATATCGCCTACTCTGGACAAGTCACCTCAACTCACCATGGTCTGCAACAGGGGTCTAATTGTCCACGTCCCTCGGTGAAGATATCAAAAAGAGATCCCAAATGAAATGATAGAATGGCGCTCTTTATGGCAAAATTTGCCAGACTTGTCGTTCATGGCTTGGCCGTGGCCTCTCTAGCCAGGCCCTCGTTGGCGCTCTCCGGCCCCTTTGATGTTCGAGAAGCCACAGTCGACGTCGTGCACAGCGCCCTCCTAGCTCGCCTCACAACATGCCGAGAAGTCATTTCGGCATTCATTGCTCGAATAGAGCAATTCAACCCCATATTGAACGGCGTGGTCTCGCTAAACCCAGATGCTCTCTCGGATGCGGACCAGATGGACGGCCTGATCGCGTCCGGCAACATGACGGGTGCTCTGTTCTGCATCCCCGTTCTCCTCAAAGACAACTACAACGCAGTTGGGATGAACACGACAGGAGGCTGCCTGGATTTGGCCAACAACAGGCCGCTGGTGGACGCCCCAACGGTGAAAGTGTTGAAGGGTGCCGGCGCCATTATCCTTGGGAAAACAAACCTGCACGAAATGGCCTTGGAGGGCCTGACCGTCTCGTCTCTGGGAGGACAAACTGTGAACCCCTACGACTTGACCCGAACGCCAGGGGGGAGTAGCGGCGGTGCTGGGGCGGCCATCGCCGCGAGCTTTGCTGTGGTGGGAACGGGCACCGATACCGTCAACTCGCTGAGGAGCCCCGCCAGCGCCGGCTCTTTGTTCAGCTTCCGTCCCACGAGGGGCCTAATATCGCGTGCCGGCGTCATCCCCGTCAGCTACACACAAGATGTAGTTGGCGCTTTTGCTCGCAACCCGCAAGATCTTGCCGTCGCCATGACTGTCATGGCGAGCGTGGGCTTCGACCCCAGAGATAACGCCACGGCCCTGATGCCGACAGAGATCATGCACACGGATTATTACAGGTGTCTCCTTGGCGGCAGTCTCAAAGGCTTGCGGCTAGGTCTGGTTGACGGCTTTTTTGATCACACGTCCTCGCCCGAAACCACACCAGTCGACGACATCATGGCGGGTATGGTCTCTCAGCTCACAGCGGCCGGTGCCGAAGTAGTCAATATCACCGAAACCATCTACAACTCTGCGGCTATCTCTGCGGCTCTCGATGTGCAGGTATACGAGTACCGGGAGCTCCTGGACACGTACCTGGCAGGGGAAGACCTCAGTGGCGAGCCGCGCCCTAAGAGCTTCGACGAGCTTTACAGAAACGGCAGCGGCGAGTTCCTGGTCATCCCAAGCCAGCACGCGTTCGTCGAAGCGGCGTTCCGCTCGTCTACCAGTAATACCAGTTACTTCACGGCGCAGCGCGGAATTCAGAACCTGACGCAGGCGCTCAAGGCCACGTTTGCCCGCGACAAGCTCGACGCACTCATCTACCCGGAGCAGAAGAACCTTGTCGTCACGGTTGGCTCGCAATCGCAAGCCGGGCGAAACGGTATACTGGCCTCACTGACAGGCAGCCCCATCGTTACGGTGCCGGCTGGCTTCTCGTCGCCAACCGAGGACGCGCTCCTCGGCGTGCCCGTTGGGATGGAGATCCTAGGCCAGCCATGGACCGAGTGTCTGTTGCTCAACATTGCGAGGCACGTCAGCGAGTTAGTGCCCGTGAGGAGAATGCCTGCTTTTGCCAACATGACTGTCGAGACAAAGGTATTCGACAGCGTGCCAGTGATCACTCCGAATTCGGCAAATATTGCTCCAGCTTATCCTGTGGGGGTATTCTAAAGTCTAGCTTGGCTCAAGTCAAATGTCGAGCTTAATGATGGCTATCGAGGGTCCTTCGTACAGTCGTATATGTGTGATATGATATGATATGGTATTACATGAAAGCAAAGGTATCGACATTGGTCCCCTCCGCCGATTAGCTCCAAGCCAACCACCCGCAGAATGCAGCGGAGAAGAAAGACTGGACAATACGAGAAGAAACCTGTACAACTTTGTCATGCAGATGCCCTCCTCTACAAAAACGATAAAGCAAGACGCCGTGTACCGAGCTTCAAATGCAAACGCTGCTCCTTCTAAAAACACACCGCCACCCACTTTGTCATGGACAGCCGGGTGTAGAATCAAGTACCATTTCTCGACCCCCGTCCGGCCGCCTCTCAGGAACGGCCAGGGGCCAGAGGATCCCGCTCGCCGCCTCCGTTGTACGGGGCAGACATGGCATATTCGCTGGTCCTGTAGCCACTGGGCACAGCAGGGCCCACGGCGGTAGAAGCAGGCGATGGCGGGAACATGACGGCGGCCGGGCCGGGCGACGGCTCGGGCGACACGGACAGCGGGTGGCTGGAATAATACTGCGCGGCCGCGCCGCCACCAGCGCCGCTGACCAATGACGACGACCTCGATCTTCCTCCTCCGGATACCGCCGAGACAGACGCGGCAGTGTTTGCCGGCGGCATAATCAGCGGCGTCGTGCTGGCCACGACGCCCATCTCGGGCGGAGGCCCGCTGCCGACGGACGACATGACGGAGACGGAGAATTCCGTCCTGCTGTCCTCGCTAGCCGCACCGCCGCTGAGTGCCGCGTTGTAGCCGTATTTGCCCGCGCCGCCGTCGCCGTACGGAGCTGTTGCCGCTGCTGCCGATGGCTCCTCCGCCCATGCCATGTCCCTTTGCCCCGTAGCAGTAGCGCCGCCGAACCCGTCTTCGCCCCCGCCCCCGCCAACCTTGTCGTACATGCCGCCGGCTACGCCGTCCTTGCTCTGGTGCCGCCGCCGCCGCATGCAGCAGCACTTCGCCAGCTGCTTGACGGCCCAGATGCCCAGCGCCACCTGCACGGCTTTCCACAGGACACGGCCGACGCGGAATTTCTTGCCCGTCTGCTTGCCTAACCTGCGCTCTGTGCGTGCGGGGTGCGGTTAGTCTTGTACGATTCTTTATAGCATAAGGGTGGGGTGTGCGAGTTGGGAGGATCTCCTTTCTTTCTCTCTTTTCAACTTACCCTTTCTGTAGTAGTGGACGAGGGCGCACAGGAACAGCAGCACGATCAGCGAGCCTACGATGATGACAACGATGGCCCAGACGGGAATCGCGAGGCCGGCCCCCTGCGCCGGGCGGTTGTTGTTGTTGATGATGATAGGCGCCCCGGCAGTGCCTCCCGTCTTGGTGCCCGATGTGCCGGAGCTTATGCCGGTGCCTGTACCAACGCCGACGCCAGCGCCAATGCCAGCGCCAACGCCGGCGGCAGTCCCCGACCCCGAGGATCCAGAGCTTTTGGTTCCCGAGGTCGACGACCCAGACCCGAAGCTTGAACCAGATCCCGAGCCTGAAGAGGAGCTGCTTCCTTTGGAGCCCGAGGAAGAAGAAGAAGAAGACCCCGAGTGGGACGACGAGCCGCCTCGGCCTCCTCCCGAGCCGCCGCCTCCGCGCGGGCCGCGCGTCTCAATCCGGGAGCGCGCGCCGGGCAAGACGCGGCCTCTACCCCTGAGCTGGCTCGGTGCCTGTTTGGTCGTGATGGGATTGCGGCTCCTCATGGCCGCCGACTTTTTTTTGCCGTTTGCTGCTGGCGACCTTTTCGAGGTTTGTCGACTTTCGGAAATATTCCCCACCCTCTCTTTCGTGCCCTTTTTTCGAAGTGCCGACGGCAAAAGATATGGCTTCTTTTCCTACCGACCTTGCCTACCTACACTCTCTCGACTTTTTGAGATTTCAGAGCGCCTGATTCATTATATAGGTACAATTGCACTGCGTTATTCGCGTGCTCGGTTAGGACAAGAATCCGGCCTAGGACGCGCTCGAGGCTGGTGTGCGGCTGAGGGGTTGCCAAGTCTGCCTTCATCTTCCCAATGCGGGCAGTTGGCCATGCACAAAAAAGAAAATCAATCATTGGACGGGATCGGCATCGCCTAAAAAGAATAAGGAAGCTCAACCTCTCTCTCCAGCGCGCGCCGTTGTAACGTCCTTGCTATTTCTAATCATATTTCTCGAATGCGCTGGCTGGACATTTTCGTTTTCCTTTTTTTGTCTCTCCTCAAAACCTCGTCTGAGCCCAGCCAGCTCAGCTCCGTGGAGTTTATAAGTGCGAGATTGACATCTCCGGGGGGTATGGGGAGAGTAGGGCGGGGTTGTATGTATGTTTAGCCAGCCGATCGACACGGGGAAAACACCAGGGGGGAAAGGGGGTCAGATCTCCGTTCGGAGTTCCGCGGCCGGGGCTGTGCCGCCAGAGCGCCCATCTCTCACGGATCCGTCCTCCAACAACACGCTACGCCTACACAGACAGCAAAGACCCCTGGGCCGCCGCGGCGCCGGGGTCTTGAATAAAAAACCAGCCTCTCTCTCCGTCTGCCTAGGCAGGGGCCGGGAACCGCGCTGAGCATCCCGGCTCCCCTACCTGGCCTACCCAAACTCTACACGTGTGCGTTGTGGTCTGGCTAGCTATGCATGCTTGGTTGACGGCCCCGGCGTGGGTCACGCAACAACAGCTCACCACAGACCAGGGCTCGCTTGCCTAGGAAGAGAGAGCAACATGTACAGGATAACAAGACCAGTCCATCCACGCTGGGATTCTCTGGTCTCGCCTCTGCAGCCATAGTACGAATACTCACAGAAAGGCAAAGCCGATAAGCAGATCCCACCCCTTCTCGCAGATCATGGCATACAAGACTGCCTCATCGACCACGATAAAAGGGGACTGAAGAGCGCCAGCAGCCGTGTGTCCTCCGCCTGTGTGTACGTCTATACGTCTGTACGTCTGTATGCACGTCGAAGACTAAGGGGGCAAATTCTACACACACACACACACACACACACACACACATGCACATAACAAATCCTTCTTTCCTTCCTTTCTCTCTGGTATCGAAGATGTGTTGATAATCCAGTACAGTTACCACACCACACCACACCATACCACACTACACTATGCCATACCTGGTGCGGAAGGCAGGAATGTAACTGTTGCATGTGCCGCTAGAGGGGGCCGGGTTGGGGAGAGACGATGCCGTCTTTCTTGGCCCCAGCCGCCCCAGGGAATCTAACACCGAGGACTGAAAGGATCCGTGCCGAGCCACTCAACAGCCAAATATGTTTCGTTCGGAATAACAAAGCTGCCTAGCCAGGGTACGGTATGCGCCCCTCGGCCACACCGCACTCACTGAAACGGCCGCCCAGCATTGACATGGCCTTCATCGCCCTCTTGGATCTAGCAAGGTAATGTTTAGCTACATCTCGGATCTTCACCGCAATGCCAGTCCCGCTCACACACGCGGTGCACTCGATGAGAACGGCTTTGCCATAATAATTACAACCAGCATGTATGTACTAGCCTAGCGTAGGACGGCCGAGGTGGCGATTTGTGACGATATAGCATTATTGTAGAGAGATAATGTGGGGAAAGAGTGCGTGACGCTGCAAATAAGGACAGAAACAAAATAAAAGAGCGGTGGTGTAACAAGTATCCCCCTGTCGAGACAAGTTCCAATCTCCACCCCCTTCTTCCCCTTCGTTATATGCGACTTCTCCCCCTCATCCATGTGACAAAGGAAACAAAAATTATGTGGTTGTGTAAGCTGTACAAACTCTTCCCTAGAGAGCCAAGAACTGTATAAGGGCCCGGCTTGCGGCACCATGCCCCCAAACAAACATACCTCTGCTAGTCAAATGAGAAGACAAAACGCAAAATAAAATCAGGAAAGCTTGCTTAATGGGGTATCATTCTAGTCCGGTCTTGTGCTGCGTGTACAGGAATGGAGCACGGTGAATTTCGGGTGAGTGGTGGTGGTAGTAGTGGTAGTGGTAGTGGTGCGTATGTGCTGATCATATCTGCCGTGTTCTCTTGAGTTGATAAAGAAATCACAAAGAAAATAGTTGGTCATTATACCATCCCTTCCTCCTGGAGCGTCTGTCTCCTGCTCTTCAGTCGTCGAAGAAGCCCGCGTCGTCGAAATCTTCAGCCTGAGCATCCGTGTCGTACGCACTCGGGCGCATCATGGGAGGAGTCACGGGCCCGGGAAGTCCACGACGAGGGGGCGTGTTTCGTGTTGACACATTGCCCCCATGCAACGAGGCCGATGACGGTCCACGGGGCCTGCTGGAGTGGTCTTGCGATGTAAACCGGCGGCCCGTATTCGAAAAGGCGGTCGGTTGCTTAGTCGAGACGGAGGCCGGCGGTGTCTGACGCAAACCTGATGCAGGAGGCGTCAAAAGTCCGCCGAGAAAGCTGTTCTGCCCCGGACTGCTCTTTGAGGGCGTCGAGCTGCTTCCGTTCGGGGGGCAGGCGACAACAACACGCTCCCTAGGCTGCCAAAGGTACCCGGTTCTCTCCCCTTGCGCCAATTTCCCCACGCGGCGGCCAGCGGACCGACCGCCTGGGCGACTCGCGGTGTTGCCGCATCCCGGATCGTAGCCGCGATGTTTGGCAGATTAATAGAAGAGCCACCGTTCATGGCCCTCTCGCGCTCCTGCTGTTCCATTTGCAGATTGGCCTTCAAGCGAATGGCTGCATCCTTCACGGCATTTCGATCATATTCCTCGCCACTCAGAGTGGCAATGATGTCTTGGAGGTCCGAGTGTCTCACGGCAAGGAGCTCGCGTAGCCAGATGATTTCGTCATCGCGCTTCGAAATCTTGGATTCCGAATCGGGATCTGTTTTCGAGAGAGCCTGTTCGAGCTCCTCGACTCTGTGCTCGCGCTCCTGCAGCTGCTCCTGTAGCACCATGATGGACTCCCGAAGAGCCTGTGGCGAGATCTTCTTAGGCAACTCCAAGCCGCGTGCGGAAGGCCTGGGCTGTGGAGCCGCTTCTGTTGCCATGATTGGTGACTTGGCGGCCTGGGCTGCCGCCTTTGCAGCCTCCTTTGCAATCTCAAGCTTCTCCTGTACGTCGGTCAGCTTGGATGTGGAAATGCTCAACCGTTCAAGGAGATTTTGCTCGGTTCGCTGGGCGTCTTCGGTTGTATTGCTGATTTGGCGTTCGTGGCGGGTTTGCAGATCTTCCATCTCGTTCTGGTGCTTGAGCTTGAGCTCCTCAAGATCCGCCTTCTTGGAGTTCTGTGCCTCCTCTAGAAGCATCTCATAGCGAGCCTTGGCCGTGTCTGCGTCCATCTTGACCTGGTCGAATTGGCTCCGGGCTCTAGCCAACTGGATGTCGAGTTCTTCGCGGATAACGTTGACTTGATGGTTCGCACTTTCCACCTCGGCCTGCATCGACTCGCGCGTGCGCTGGACTTCTCGAGCACCAGATTCCCTAGCTTCCTGGAACTCGGCTTGGAAGCGCAGAGTGCTCTGCTGCAGGTTGCTGTTCTCGTTGCGCAGGTCGATGATAAGACCCTCCAGTCTCTCAAGCTCCGTTTCGATGCGCTCCCGGGTCTTTGCCTCTGCCTGGAGTCTAGCGTCCAAGACCTCTTGTCGAGCCAGCATAGCCTGTTCCTTCTTTGCGCGTTGAGCATTCTCCTCCGTGACACGCTGCGCAGATTGTGCCATGTCTTCCTGGATGGTGATAAACTTTGTGCGCCAGCTGTCACGAATGCGCTCGCTCTCGTGCAACTGTGTGCCGAGAGTGTCGATGAGCTTGTGCAAGGCTTTCTTCTCGCCCAGGGCTTGAGCGAGATCATCACCCTGTCTCTGGGCAGTCTCAGAGAGCCGGTCCGTCTCGAATCGCCAGTGGCGGACTTCTTGCCGAGCATCCCGCAAATCAACCTCGAGGATATTAATGCGGTTCTGTGCTTCGCTCTGCGATTGTTGGGCATTGGACTGCGCGGCCTCTAGAAGCGTCAGACGCATGGCACTCTTGCTATGCGTTGCCTCGACAGACTTGATCTTCTGCTCGCGCTCTTCAGCCTGTTCTCTCAGCCGGACTTCTTCCTCGGAGGATATGCGAAGGAGCCTTTGGACTTCTGCGAGCCTATCTTCAGCAGCTCGTCGGCCCTTAACTTCCTCTTCGGTCTCCCGTTCTGCATGATTAATGCGATCCTCGACGTCGCCAATCCGCTGGTTGAGGGCGCTCTTGTTCATCATCTCAACCTCAATCTTGGTGGCAGCGGACTGGAGCTCCCGGCCGAGTTCTGCTGCGCGATCTTCGGCAGCCCGTCTAACAGCGACTTCGGTCTCTACCTTGGTCTCCTCACGCCTGAGACGCTGCTCAAGCTCTTCAAGACGAGTTTGGAGCTCGTTGACCTTGTCTTTGTTTTCAACCTCGACCTGAGGAGGAGTTGGAGGCATGCGGCGCTCGACCGCCTCTTCCACGATGTTTCTGAGATCCTCGCCACGGAAGTCGAGGTGCAGCGATTGACTGAACTGATCTCTCATCTCCGCGAGAGCCGCAATGATTGCCGAATTGTCAGCCGGCGCAGGAGCAGGTACAGGAGAAGCCTCCTTTTGTGGTTGGCTGCGTTGATGGGCTGCGAAAGCCTCCAAAACTGTGGATCGAATCTGTTCCATTCTCCGATCCCGACGAGGGCTCATTGAGCGCCTGGGCACAGGCATTTCATCGTCCTCGTCATCCGCATCGCTCTCACGGATCTCAGCAGACATACTGCGTCTTTCCCGTCGGCTGGCCGGGGTTTCCCTAGATGTGCCTGCCAAGGCATGCTTGATAGCATCCAGGGTATGCTCAAGAGGACCGAGGCGGGCAGCAAGAAGACCACCAACAAGCTCATTGACGTGGCCGTCAAAGAAGTTGACCCGAGCCTCGAGCTTCGTCTGTTCGTCCTCACTGAAAGCGCCATCCCAGTCGCTAGCCGGCAAACTCTCACTACCATTGAGGCGGTGAACAGGGCCGTCGAGAGACAGAGTGCTCTGGGGCGGGTCCACGAATGGATCCTCCAATTCGGTTGACAGAATTGGCTGCGATACATCAACGGGAATTGAGCGGTATTGGCGCGGGCTCGGACTAGGAGCATCGCTTCGGAAATAGCTCTGAGGAGGCAAGTGCAGCGGCGAAGCCTGGGTGACGGCAGCAAGAGAAATATGGCGAGTAGGGCTTGGTTGATGCCATTGGGGCTCGCTGGTAACCTTCTTGTTGACGCCCATGTTGGGGTTCTCGTTGAGATGACGCATAATCGCATCGATGTCTGCCAAACTTGGTTCATTATCTTCAACTCCCTCCACATACTCCTCTCCCGAGATAGGAGACAAGCTCTCAGAAGGAAGAACCAAAGGCTGCTGGACATCTTCGGGCTCAAGTGGTGATACCATGCCGTGGGTCTCATCTGTCTCGTCGAGAGGCGAGGGACTAGCAGCAAATCGCGAAGCGGTGGCTGCTGTTGGTAGCGGAACCGCCCTTGGGAGCGAAACTGCCCCTGGCGGGGGGGAAGGGCTTCGAGCGAAACGAGACGCTGCTAATCCCTTTGGCTTTGGAGGAGCTACAATATGCAGGGAAGGGGTGATGGCAAACCGGGGGAAGTTGGGTGCCTGTGGGGGCGTAGCAGACGCACTGGCAGGAAGAGCGACAGATTGTAGAGGCTCGGCAGCTTCTTGAACGGACTCCTTAACCGGCGTCTCGATCGACTCAACCACTGTTTCTTCGATTCCATTGTCAATGGGTTCGTCCCGCGCTTCTGCAGCCAAGTTGTCCAGCGGTGCGGCATCAACTTGCAGTGCCGAGTCGAGCTCTTCTGCAAGCTCTTCGGCAGGCTCGTCAGCAGGCACTTCGGCAGGCAATTCAGCGGGCTCGTTGGTCGAATCATCCGCTGAATCGTCGGCGGCCCCTTCCCATCCTGACACCCCAGGCACAAATGCTTTGGCCGTTGCCGACAGTGAGTTCTTGTGGCCACGCTTAAAGCCACTGTCACCCATCGGTCTGGCATCGTTAAATGCTTGCAGGTCGGCGGTGCTCTTAAACTCGAAAGGTGCCCAATTCATGGGAGCCTGGTCGGGAGATGTCTCTGACGGGCTGACAGTCGCTTGGGTGTCTGTCGTCTCAGATACCATCGTAGAGGACATGGTTGTGTCTGCCTGACCGTGATTGGACTCGTCAAAGGACTTGTCCTCCGAGGGAATGACCTCTTCCCCGTCAGGTGTCTCAGGCCGCGACTCCGGCATAGGCGTGAGCTCCTCAGTGGGTAGCGCAAACAACGGCACTGCATCGTCGTCTTTTCCATTAGCCCGGGCCCTCTTGATACGAGAATCGTCAATCATGCGGCCATCTGGCCCTTCTCGTACTCCGTCAGGACGAGGAGGCTCGGGGCTTTCAGGTCGAATAATGGGAACAGCTTTAGATTTCTTCGCGGGAAGTACTATTTCCGCGTTACTGATATCGATGTTGCCGAAGATGGAAATCGGTAGCTTGCTCTCGGACTCGTCCCCTGACAGGGGTTTCGTAACCGAGTTGGCAACCGAGTTCGACAGAGAGTGGGGCGTGAAAGCTGGCGCATCTGGACGGAACTTGGGCCCAGCAGCCGAAAAGCTGAAGTCGATGTGGCTAGGCGCAAAGATTGGAGCATTGACGTTGATTTTAGAGGATGCAATGGCCGGCAGACTGAACTGATTCGAGGTTGGCAGGGTCAGGCCGGCGTTGAATACCGAAGGCTGGAATGAGTTGCTCGAGAACACAAATTGCCCAGGCTTGAACGTGTTCGCCGGGTTAAACTTGAATTCGGGGGCTTCCACGTTGAGCTTCGACAACGACGGCTTGCTGCTGTGGCTCGAACGCCTCGGCCCAGAGCCACTGGCAGACTTTCCTGACTCGTTATCAGTCCAGGGGTTACTAGCAGTCGACAATGATCGCTGATGCAGCAACTTCGAGAAGTCGAATGATTGGACGGGCGTGCCCAAGTTGCTGGGGTTGGTATCGATTTCAGACTCTTCGGCCGATTGTGTCGCGACCCTCTGCAATGTCGGCCTGAAAGCTCCATCCCTAGATACGTCCTCCTCGGTAAAGTACTTCTGAGACAGAGAATGACCGCGGCTATGAGGCCTTGGGTGATGCAAAACAACGTTATCTGCAGCCCCGCCGAAGCGCGGAGGTTGCGGCGCAAACTGAACAGACGGCTCGACAGCCTGAGAGACAGCAGATGACGCAGGATCTGTCTCTGCGCTCGCGTTCTGGTTATAGGGACTATAATCCTCGTCATTGTCGAGCTGCGTTCGCATCTGCTCTTCCAAATGGTACTCGGCCTCGTCAATCTCTTTCTGAAGGCTGTTGCTGGCATTGTGACGAACGAAACTAGGCTCGGGGGTTTTCGAGGGGCTCTTGCTCGGAGCCTCTTCATCCACCTCGCGAAGCTCTTGTAAGCGAGGCGAAGACCTTGCCTGTTGCTGGAACTGGTGTGGAAGCAAGGGGAACTGAAGTGACTGGTGCCGTTGGTGTGAAGGAGGGCCAGGCATGCCGTCGACAGAGAACGGAGAGGTCGGTGACATCATCGCGTTGAGGTTAGCAAGCGATGGCGAGCCAACACGATGGCCCTGCGGCAGCATCATCTGCGGCGACCATCCATGAGGAGATGGAATAGAAATAGAAGCTCGAGGGTTGTATTTCCCGGCAAAAGATGCGGGCGATCCGCCAGTCGGAATGCCAGGGCTCTGGGGGGCGGAAGACAAAAACGAGGTAGGGAACGGGAATGCCTGGTTCGCCTGGTTGCTGGATGCCGATGACGTTGGCAGCGGCGGCGAGAAAGGTAGAGGTGGATATTGGTTGACTGAAGCTTGGCGACTTATGGTGGAAGCTGGTGAGATGGACGGAGCAGGAGGGTCGTCCTCTCCAAATGAAACGCCGAGCGCGCGAAGCTTTGCCTCGTTCAACTCGTCGACATATCTCTTCCATGCATTCAGGTCCGGAAGGAGCACTTTCCAGCTTCCCTCTTTCCGCTCTCGCACGACTTCGTCAAAGTCGGGCCAGGCACCCCTGCTCTGAGACTGCTCCCCCGGCGCAAACGGCCCGGCGGGCTTATCCAAGTCAAACCCTCTGATGCTGTAGCCAAGTTGCTCCCAGTCCCGCAGCATGCCATCGACATCGGATTGCTTCAGAGGCATCGGTGCCTTGCCTAGCTGGCCGCGCTCATCATCCCTAGGCAGGAGAACCATGATGTTTTTGCCCTTCCAGGGGACCTTCTTTTTTAAACGGGGCGATGCTGTGCTAGCAGCCCATTTGATAGGCGGTCTTGAGGGAGTTGTGGGTACATTAGGTCCGCCGCTATGCCCTGCGGCTGATCTGTTAACGGCTGCATCGCCGTTGGCATTTGGTGTGCTGGGCCTCTCGGTTGTGGATATTGACTCCTGAGGGATATCAGGAACGGCGTGTTGTGTTGCGCTATCGGGCGATGTCATCTCATCGGAAGACGCCATCTTTGCAGGCCCGTCTCTTTCCTTGCTCTCGAGGAGAGCTTGCTTCAATGTCTCGATACTTGACTTCTTTCTAGGTCGGCCTCGAGATATCTGCGGGTTGTTCTCTAGCTGCCGGTTTGCTCTGGGCGTCAGGATGTCGCTGTGCCCCAGCCAAGCAGCGTCTTCACCAGAAAATGAGCCGCTCAATGAAGAGTTCTCACTATCGCCGGTGCCGTCGCTGAACCAATGGCGCTTTTCCGAGTCACTGTCGCCGGCCGTGTGGTGGCGGATCCAGCCCTCGGTAAGGCCGTGCGGGACTCGCCTCGCGCGATTCGCAAGAACGGCGGCGGCTGCACTGATTGCAGGCTGCTGGGCGTCCAATTGCGAATCTTGGTCGGCGGGGACAGGTCGCAGGAATGGGGTCCGGAGCTCTAGCTGATGAATCGGGGAGTCCTCCGACGCTTCGCTACTGAAGCTGTCTCGGCGTAGGTGTAGAGGATACGGAGAGCCCCAGTGCGTGGCGTCGTCGTACCGGGAAGCTTCGCCCTCGTCAGGATTCGGCGGCGGAGTCCTCAACAGCCCGCGCACCCGGTCGGGAAGCCGTGGGGCTGGCAGAGGCGGGAGGTCGGGAGACGCCTCGCCGTCGGCGGTGGATGCGCTCGACAGGGCAGGAGATACAGCCGGAGACCGATACCGAGCCCAGGATTGCCGAGAGCCGTCCTGTGCGGATGCACGAGGAGGAGTTTGGGGCTTGGATTGCGTGGACGACGTCTTCGAGGGACCCTATGGCGGCCAAGAAGCATCGAGGTTAGCAGTCTGTGGTGTTTTGAATGGCAGATAGACGCAACGTAGACTGCGTGGGTCCAGGTGCTGAAAGTGGACCGGACGGGATTTAGACTCACCAGTCTGAGATCAGCGCAGACGAAGCCGAAGTCGTCTGCAGCTGATTCTCAAGTTCAGCGCGTCGCCAACATCCATGCACTTGAAACCTAAAAGGGCCGCAAAGAAACTTTTCTGTCGTCGAGCGGGCCGAGGCGCGACGCGTTGCCGGGAATCAGGGACCTGTGCACGCAGATGCTGGTTGAATAGAACAAAGCAACATTAAAAATAAAAATAAAAGCTTCCGGGCGGGTGCTGGAAGTGGCTAAAGGAGCGACGGAAAGGCGACAGACAAACGGCTCCGAATCTCTGGACACATCGAGTCGTAGTTGCTGCCAGGTGAAACTTGGGCGTGCAAGAAGTTGAAGGGACTCGAGTCGGCGAACGCAGCAAGGAGACGACGCGAGGATGCCGTGGTCTTGGGGGGTGAAGGGGGTGTGATGTGTCGTGGACCGTCGGGCCAGGATATTTTTTCTGCTGGGACTAGGCCTGGGCTGCTGCTTTAATGAACACGCCTCCCTGTCACCTCCACATGGTTGGACCGATAATTTCGCTCTCATTTGCAGATGGCCGGTACTTGCTCGAGGGACCCCCGTAGCCCATTTCACCCGAGCTTTCCCTCGCCCTCGAGGTACCTTGAAACAGTTGCCCCGTTGGTCTTCCCACTTTATTTTGCCCAGCCCGGCATCTGCCAAACGGGCGCATTGGGCTTGCAGAGCTCGACAGCTGCAAGAGCAATGGATTGCATCGATTCGTGCAGCTTGAGCCGAGCCTGTGCTGGGCCTCGCATCGCAGCCCAGCGCAGCAAGTCTCGAAAGCCATCAAAGGTTATGACGTGTTGGCATTGGGTACTGTACCTGCATCACGGCCCCATGACATTAATAAGAGCTCCGCCTTTAGTTTTCGACAAAGCCAAATGCAGCCACCGAACGAGGGCTGTTCCCCGAAATCCAGGGTCACCCGTCAAAGCCAAATCTTGTCTTCATGGAAGAAGCATGCAGAATGAGGGACATCACGACATATTGAGTCCTGCTCGGCGACTTTCCCTCCTTTATTAGTTGGTAGCTAAGCATAGAACCCCGAGAATTGAATTATAGTTACATCGCTATCAATCCAAATAGTTGTATCGCTATCGATACAGTTATGTTCTAGCAACCCCAATAATATAAACTTACGGCTGAGGTCGTGTAGCTGGGGAAACGTGACTGGACAGAGACTGATCTCTTCGTACTGGGTCAACGAGCCGGACAAGAGTGCATGCCGGCCGAAATGCGATATACTGAGACCGATTTTTCTAGCGGCGATCTCGGTTGATTTTCCTAAATTAATTAGTACCCAATATTAGTCCAGTGAAGATGAGAATAGAATAGAAGGTAGAGGGTGACAAACTCGGCGAGCAAATATGTGCGGGTATTAATGAACTCTCTTTTCAGATTCGTAAGGTCTTACTCAACTGATTCTAGACGCTCAACTATCGAATCAAGACGCTGATCCATCGGATCAAGACGCAGATTCATCGAACCAAGAGCTGAGTCAAGACGTGAAGCAGATGCCATCATCTAGTTTTAAAAAATCGCCATCTGATTTGTCAGAGACTCGATGAGGTCCCATTATGTCCGGAGCGGGGTCGTGTCAAGATCCATTATTGGCATGTATGTTGGCGCTGGGTGCACACACATTCTATCATCATCATCGAACCTCTCCACCCGGTAGAAAATTGAAAAGAAATTTGATGACAGAATGAGAACGGGTGCGTGCGACCGAAAGAAATTGAATCGATGGGACGAGAATGAATCAATGTTGATTGATCTATTGATAGGGATACAGAACGCCAACAGGTGGTTGTTGGTGGTTGGGTGGAAGAGGAAAACGATTGGAGGGTGGAAGAGGAAAAGAATTGGAGGGTAATATTATCAGATGCAGCGATCAGCGGCCTCACTAGTGGATACCAAATAGAGTTTTGCTGGTTTTTTTCCAGAACGATCATTGTCGCCTAGATTTAAGCCACAACCGAGCCAAAACCGAGTTGAACCTTGAGAAGGCCTCTATGACGCTCACTTCCTAGTACTACTAGATTTCCTTTGTTTAATAAATAGGGTGAGTAATGCAACGTTTGCTACGGAAGCTGTACCATTATACACCCATGTAACCGCTCTCGATGCAATTTGGGCAACTAAATACAGGCCAAGACTACCTAAATAATGTCAAACATTTGGCCACTCTGGCTCTCGATCAACTCCCCGTGTATTACGCCATGGACGTATTCTTTTCCTGTATCTTTAGACCTTTTTTAGACAGACAATTCAATGCGCTGTCAACTACGATCACGTGCAACAATCATCAACCAATGTGGCAACGGCAATATCCCAAACAACCCAACTCGCTGCCATTATAAATCAGTCGCCCAAATCGCCAAAGTTGCCCAAACGCAAATTAAAAAAAAAAAAAAAAAAGGAAAAAAAAAGTTTCCCAGAAAGCAGGCCAAAAAGAAAAAGGGCCCTTAAATATTTTAATACGCACCCCATGTTCCAACAGGTCTCCGGTCGCGACAAGTGTCGCGTTGACAGGCCCGTTCAGTTGAATCGCTCGATGGCTCAATCGCTCGCAAAAAGGAAACAGATACGAGTCACATCATTGATCGCAGAAAAAGTCGAAGTCGGCATTAGAGCTCGACAGCACAGGCGGCGGGAAGTCGAAAGCGGTTTTGGTCGCCGCTTGTCCGGTGCTCTTGCACTGGGCTAAATTCGTTTCAAGCAGAGCGTTCTCGTCAGCCCAAGCCGCGAAGAACAAGAAACCACTTCCCCCCCAAGCACGTTATGCGCAATACGCCCGGACTAAGCAAGTGCTCGCGGGCAGAGGCAGAACACTGGGAAAATCGGTACTTACTTGTCTGCTTGTCGCAGTCGCCGACAGCAAAATTTCCCTGCTTGGCGTTGGCCGCCTGGGCGCACTTGTTGAACTGATTATCGCAGGCTCTGATGGCGGCAGTCGGGAAGTCGTTCTTTTTGAAGTCAGCAGACATTTTGATACAATGGGATCTCTCTATTCCGAACAAGACATAGCGAGAAGGCGAGAGAAAGCGAACGGGAAAGATGCCTCTCCTCCGCCTCACCACTTCCTCATCGCTTTCTTTACGACACACACATACGGAGAGAGACCGAGGAAGACAGGCCCCCTTTTTCAACGGTTGTGAAACGGGGAAACCCAATCAAGAAAACAAGCCAGAACAGCAGCAGCAGCAGCATGCAGAGGCCAAACACCTACAAAGGTATCGCCGTCGACCTCGAACGGCCTGTCCCTGTCTCCCGAGAATGTAATGGCCGACGCCTTGATTCCGCCCAGGTCGCCGCTGAAGATCTGCAGGTTCGTGGCCGTGGCGGCGACCTGCTGGCGAGGGTTGAGCAACGCCATGCGGAACTCGTGCAGGGCCACGTCCTCGAGACTCATAGACGCCATAGCGGCGGCGACGCAGGCCGCGAGGGCGTAAAAGGTTGCGCACCGCATGGTGACGATGGTATGTCGGGACACTGATGAGGAAGAAGAAGAAGAAGAAGAAGAAGAAGAGAGGAGAGAGAGAAAGGTTTTATATTTCGCGTTCGTGAGATAGCTTTACCCGTATAAATTTGATCCACAACAAAGTGAAATAAACAACCTATCCCCCGAATGGTACCGGCGGAGGTAAGTAATAGACAATATTAAGAATGGCAGTTGGAATCTGAAGCTACCCAGCAGCAGAAACGGTGGTGAAAGAGGAGAGGAGAAATGCTTCCCAACAGCAGCAAACCCGCACCGCAATCGATTTTCGTTCCAGGGCAAGAAAGAATACCATTAGCCGTCCATTGCCCTCACCAATTAGATAAAAAGAACACACCCAGTAACTAGAGAAGAGCCAGAACGAGAGGAGAGCGCATCAACACCTGAAACCGTCTTGAGACGTGCGCTCGAGCAATTAAGGGGGGTGGACTTGTTGTTGAGCGAGGCGAATGCACGTGACATTTTCTCTTCTGGATAATAAACCGGCAAAAACAACAATACCTAATCTACAGCGAACGAAATGGAGGGTCACGAATGCAGAGGGCGAGCTATTCCTCTTGCTAAATTAGACTTTCTTTAAAGTGCCTGGCGGTCCAAGCGAAGGTTTCGCTCAAGTCTTTAGATGGCAGCTCATTTGACAGGAGACGCCAAAAGATAGTGTCCCTAGTTCATGCCTCGGGGACAACGTCGAAAATCCCAGTGTGCACACAGATATGTATAGCCGAGAGCGATTTCAGTGATGAGAAATCTATTAAAATGGTCCTACTACGTGTATGCAGCTATTCAAGGACCAGTGATGTCCCCCAACAGTCTGATCCTGTTTTGTTACTGTGAGAAAGGGAGAGAAAAACATAAGAAAAGGAAAGAAAAACACAAGTCCCTTTTTCCGCGTCCTGCAACCGACCAACTCTTTCCCGTTTTCTCGCCGTGTTGGGAGGGGGGGAAACTGCTCAGCCTAGCCTGCTCTGCATTCGCACTTTCTCCGACAGACCCGTGGATAAAAATCCTTCCTTCTTGGTATATGCCGATGCAGCGAAGCCAGTGATGAATTATGGAAATGTCTATCCTTTTTTCCCCTTGGCTAAAATGAGCTCTCAGAAATGCGAGAATGAAATCAATGCAAGAAGTGCAAGAACACTCCCGAGGTGTTCCCAGTACGGCGAAAGACAAAAGAGTAGAGGAATGTATGGACAAGTCGAAAACAGATGGGTGGCTATAAACAGGGCAGCCCGGCGCAGCCCATTTAACGAATAAGGTGTGATTCGCATATCAGTGATCAAAAGTTGGATGCTGTGTTGACCTGTGTAGGTGCGTGGTAGCTCTCGAGAGTGCTCTGGAATGGCGTCCGCCCAGTCATCGAGCCGGAAGTCTCGGTGGTCTTGTCGGCAGTGCTGTTGTAGTCCATTAAGCCGTCGTCGGCATCTGGGGTCTTCTTACGGCCCCAGATTCTGAAGGCGACGAATGCCAGACCCCCGAGTATGATGGCACCACCAACACCAACCACAACACCAATGACAGTGTTTCGCGTCTGGGTCGACATACCAGAGGACTGGCCGCTGTCATTGCTCACAAGCCCGGCAGTCGACGTGGTTAGCGACTTTGTGGTGACTGTCGACTTGGACCCATCTGAGTTGGTCGTCGTATAGGTCTCGGTAGTCGTTTCCACAACTTCGGAGCTGCTCGAGCTTTTATCGGTCGACGGAGGCGGTGAAGTTGACGGAGGCGGTGTCGTCGAAGAGCTGGAGCTCGTCGGCGTAGTCTTGGGCGGCTGGCTGGTGGGTGGAGGGTTGCTACTGGTTTTGGACGTCGAAGTTGGTGGGGTTGACGTCGGGGCAGTTGTCGATGATGACTTGGTGGGAGTCGTGTTTGTGCTTGGTGTGGAAGTGGGCGTCGTCGCGGATGATGACCCAGTGCCCGAGCTTACGGCATTCGCGGCATCATCGCTTCTCTCCTGTCTCTGTTGCAACTTCACACCATTTTGATTACGAACGAGGGTAGCCTCGACGACGGACGCCGCCGAAAGCCCGAGAACGAGCAATTCGAAGACGTTTCTGATATGCATCGTGGCTCTCAGGTACACGAGGCCTGTTTCGTGGTTGTGGTTCTCGTCTTGGAATCCTCGAATCGAGATCGTTGGAATCGATCCTGTTGGAAGCGGGGGGAGAGTCGCCAAAGAAAGGCGTTTTTTTTTCGACAGAGCCCTCGGGTTTTTCAGATGTGCTGCACCCCAGAAATACACTCGTCTCGGACTATTCTGGGTTATTCGCTGGCCGAACGCGAGAGCGGCGGCTAGAAGTTGTCGGACCAGGTCAGACCTCGCCACAGAAGTCGGTCGAAATGAAGGGAGGCGTGGTGTGGGACGTGGAGAGCGAAGGAAGTTGGGCCGAATATACTTCAGGTACTCGGAAACTCTTGGAATGGAAATAGTGAAAGTAGCGAAGGAAAGATGTCGAAACGAGCGGGGAAATTCCAAAAGGGAACGAATGGATGGGTATGGGTGCAGCGGTTTGAGGACAGGACAGGGTGAAGGGGAAAAGCTTTCTGTTCGCTGAGTGACCAGATGTTGTGAGATGCTTGGGACTGGGTGCCCCGGACACGCGGCAAGCGACTTATCCAATGACAAGGCGGCATTGGGCGGCAGGGGTGCAGGGTTTGCCGAAGCATTTCGTATCCACTGGGCGCCCATCGTGAGGCCCCATTCGATCCCTCAGCATCCCCATCAAGGGACCAAACGGCTTCCAGGCCCCCTCCTGACCCGGTCCAACGTCTGCAGCAATCGGCCTCCATCATCCAGAATTTATTTGCTAGGCGGTTTGGCGACGACTGCCTTTCAGCATTGCTTGACACTTGCCAGTGGTCGTGATTGACATGTCTGAGGTCAGCGCCTGATAGAGCAGCGGCCCAACCGATCGAGCTAAGTACTGTAATACCGAGATAAGTAACTCGATGCCGCTACCCCCCGTAAGCACTGCATGCATTGACTGACCTTCAACCCGTATTTCCGGAGTACTAAGTAAGGTAAACAGGTTCCACGCCACTTACGATGTCGTGCGTGAGATAGGCTGCAATGGCGCGACCCTGCGTGTATCGTCGGTCAGCCTGCATTACCCTTGGGTTGCTGATTTTTCTTGAATTCCGTTGTTGTTGGTTGGCTGCCAACAACAGAACAGCGAACCTGCCTTACCATTGTAACATTGGGCAAAACATGGAAGTCCTACGTCTTCAGTGCGAACACCCCCCATTCTAGGTGCAGTGTTACAGCCCTCCCACAGTTACCAACCTAGGGTAGAAATCGTCAGTCAGCTCCCGCATCGAGCTAAAAATAATGTACTAATCACAGATCGACTGTGTAGGAAAATTTAGCGAGAATAAGGCTGTGCATGCCAGGGCAATGACCAACAGCGAACGGGTGTTCGATTGAAAGGACCCCTGTTTTTCGAAGCCCAGTTGTTTATGTTTCACTGCAAAAAGGAAGGTTTTACTGTTTCAAAAAGGCCCCAGATCCGTTCCTGTGTATTCTTCGGTAGCCTGCGATCAACAACCTGTGCGTTCCGGGTCTGAGACTCACCACTACGTAGTACGTATCTTCATGCGGCGCAAAATGTGCGGTCGCACTGAGGTGTACAGTACATAACCGCGTGCTCGCCAACACATATCCATTGTGCCTCTGTTCAGAACTTGGGACGAAAACCGGTTTGCTGCCCTCGACGCGCCCCCACTATAAAGGTAACCACGCCTCTAGAGCCTCCGTGGCCGCAGCGATCCAACTGTCTCGATGACATGATGATTTAAGTTTTCATGTTTGGGTGGGTGCTTGCTTGCGATTAGGAGAGATCGTCGGCGCTGGGGCAAAGAGGCGCCGATTGAGCTGCTCTGTGCGGATCGCTCGTTACATCTACGTCCCGACGACATTCAGAAGCAAGTTTGTTCGTCGGCGACTGCACACGAAAATCGGATGCGCAAGCAAGCTGTCGAATAGGTCGTACATAACAGACAAGGGCCGGAATTTGCTTATCCCGTTTTTGGGGGTGTAGTTGGTCGAGTCTCGAGGTTCACCTTCGCGCTATTTTCCCTGTATTCATGACGTCGGCGGCATGTTTTTTGCGCCAACACAATTCGTCTTACACAGGGCTCTCGCCTTTGGCGTTCAAGAACAAGAACATGGAAACCGGCTGCTGAGTTATCCCATGTTCGATATTCTTGGTCGACCATATAAGGTCTGCTTATTAGGGGCGCCGGTCGCCTTGGCCGCCGGCCAGGTCCGAGCCCGGCATAGCATATTCACGAACCCTGACCAGGCCTGTGTTGCGGACCGATGCACAAATAAAGGTGCTTTGTTCTCAATGCGTGATAGATATCACAGCATCAAATCCGTGTGGTGCTCGGTGATGTTGTAGGCTTCACTGCCCATGTTATAGGTAGAACTGGGGGCAAATCTCCTGTATCTTTAAACGTCGACGTTAGTAGTACCTCTTCTAGAGAGGCCGGGTCCATGAAACTCGGTCGTCGGCTTTGTGGTAAAATTAAGGTGACCGGTCTCAGCGCGGGAGTCCCGAGAAGACACCCCAGCGGAGGCTCAAAACTGCAAGAAGTCCGATTCTTTATGGAGATTGGTCCTCAGGTCTATCCGGAAGTCGATGCGTACCATTCAGTGCTAGAGGAAAGAAAGAAGCAACTGAAACATGGAAATAAAACGCACCAAGGCCGCTGTTTTGTATCACAGGCTCCTTTCCCCAGTAATACTAGAGTTCGTCGATTCCTTTTTGTATACACCATTCCACAGTAATACTGTGATCGGTGTTCCCTTTTACCGTGCATGTGGTATCCGTCGTGTCCAAGTTCTGCTGAAAATACCGCCGAATTTATCTCTTCATATGAGTAGGAAATGATGAAGGAGATATATTCTACGGCAGCTACTATTGTTTGTCCCTTGGATGCAAATGACCCGCGGGTATTTCTGAGACTTATATAGGAACCCAGAGAATACGTACCTAGTCTACTCTACCAAACGGACCAACTGCCCTGTCAAGTAATATTCAGAATACGTTCATTACCTATCAATCACTCAACAGCCGTATGAAGAAGAGGGCTTGTTAGACCCATGAAGCCACTCTACTCGAGAGCATCTCGTCCAATGACATAGAATCTAGCTTCCGTGTGGGTAAGAAGCCTGTCACGAACGGCTCTTTAACAATTCTGCTTTTCTTCCTCAGCGGGGCTAAGTTTGCTTCCGGTATCTATGTCTATATTCTGTTAATACAGTATGCTAACCCTAGTTAATACCTTATTATGTTCATTTTGGTGTGCACATCGTGATTGGTATATACCATGTCACAATTGTGAGAAATCTAACACGATAGAAGTCGCTCCTCGACACAGATAGTAAACAAGTGAATAAAAGGCTTTGGTTGATGTTCTCCGTGTCCTTCCAAAAACTGCTGCTCAGGTTTGAGTAACCGTTCTGGCTATCTGGTGAGATCTATTCTCCGTTCATATAGCTCATGGCTGTATTGGTCTCTCCACTGCCCGTGTTGTGCTCGGTAGTGTTGTCAGAGGTAAATATGAGGTTGAAGCTGGGGCGCGTGATATATTTTCTGCCATGAGCTAAATCGACTACGAGTAGAACTTTTGCAGCGCGGTCCGAATAAGAGGCACAGCTCAGTCATAAACCGAGCTCGCGGAGAGTTATGACACAACGTAAAAGCACGAGTTGCCATTTTGCGTCAGTGCTGCAAGAATATCGCCAGTGTCCTTGTGCAGCAGACGACTTCCCACATATAGTGAGCGACCTCCCGTTGCAGGTTTTCTAGGGCTCCTCTAATGTAAGAGCCAACCAGGGGAAGAAGCACAATGCAAACCCTACTTTCTTGGGGTTAGAGGAAATGTAGTGCCGGCATCCCCAAGCTGAAGCCTCGCCTACACCCACTACAGTCAACTGTAAGCCTTGACATCGACGGCAGACGTAGCTAGACGGCCTACTCAGGCTTTAGCCGCAATTGACTCGAACACCGGCTGGCCGGAAGAGTTCGGAATGGGCTTGTTAGTTTTGTTTCTCATTTTCCTTCTTATTCCTCAGGATCTGTGTGGTTCCATCAGACTATCCATCACGCCATGGTACCGATTAAAAGAATAAACGGAGGTGCTCGGCACTAGACTGCCTACTAAAAAAAAGATTATTGAGGATGAGAGAGTCCGTTCGGATTGTCAAAACCGTTTGCCAACACCACAGTACATATGACACTACTCCCTGATATGGCTTTGACGAAAAAAACCGGCGTATAATCAAAAATGAAAGGGCTCTGGTGTTCTTGCTAAGAATAGTATTCTGTACAAACTTTCTGGGTTTATCTACTAGAGCTTTTTTGTATTTCTCTGACATGGAGACCTGGACGTGATTACCAAAAGCATCTTTCCCGGCCTACAGTCCAAAAGGACGTTTCTGCAGCCTGAGTAGACTCCCTCAAAAGAGAATACTATTAAAAGTAGTTTTGTCAATGGCATTTCACTGGCTTTGAGACAAAGTTTTTAGCCTTGGCCCTAATCCTACCACCACAAGTGAGCGAGCGCCGAAGGCTTCGGGGGCGGTCTACGTGAAGCCCCCGAGCTGTTCTCAAACCCGGGTCTCGCTATTCGTACTCCGTATGGGGAACTAGACCGCACCTTTAAACTAACTTCACTAATATATACCATGGAGAAGATTATGTACAATGAATTGCCTATGAATGCGAGAGGTTGTGTCGAGGGAGATACAACAAACAGCGACTCTAGTGATAAAACGCGCAAGCGAGGCAGACGTCTTGGCTAATTTCGTTGTGTCGCAGTTGCTGCGCTGCGCCCCCATGGTACGGGTTTCTCGCATTGGGTCCACGGCATCTCTTGACATGCAAAAGCTTTGAATACCAGCTCCGCGTGGGAACTCCATGGCCATTACTTGATTGAGGAAAGAAAAAAAAGAATTCAAGGTCGTGGGGGATAGAACGCCACGGCTTGGTAAAGGAACTAAAAGGAAATTCAAACGGCTGCCTACCAAGACCGATCGATGCCTTGCAGAAGTCGACGGGTGGCGTTTTTACAGCTTTGGCGCTGCGGGAGAGCTTCGATCGTGGGGGATCCCTGTTTTACCTGACGCGTGGAGCCCGGGTACCCCAGAATAAGAATACGCGTACGGTACCTGCAACGTCAGCGACGGGAGAAGCAGAACGTCTGGAGCCGCTATCGCGACGACAATCTGACTAAAAGCTCACCCGAGGACGGACGGATCATTTAGCATAAAGGCATATTCCTTGCACTCAGTCCGCACACAATCAGGAGTAGGCACTCGGGCAGAGCCTCATCTCTTTTCCAGGAAATGGCCAACTGCCCTGCTGGTTTTCCCAGGGAAAAGACTTGGACTCAAGTCGTCGCCTAGGGGCTAGAGTGGATAGTTCTCGGTATTTTCTGCTCAGGGCCCGCCATCCATAACAAGTTAATAACACCGCGCGGAAGGATTCGAGAACTGCCCAGGAGAAGAGCCGCTCCACCTTTTGAGAATGTGTGGCGGGTTCGGCGTGCGTGTCGACCGAATGAATGTCGGACGATGTGGGCTTTCTATGTCGCAATCTCATTATGTTTCGGCCCCCAATCCCGTCTCTCTCTCGAATCCGGGACTGACGCCTTGTTCTTTTGCAGGCGCCGAGGAAACCCAATTAGGGTTTTTTGGTGTGTAGGACCCCTGCCCTCGATTCGCTCATCCAACCACCTACCTTCCCCTTTCCCAGCGCAAAAACTTTCCGGGCTGCGTACCTAACGCGATCAAATAACGTTTACAAAGGCGCCCGTCTGAACATTTTTTTGACGCTGCTCTAACCATGCAGGCACACAACCACGACGTTCTTGGCAGGGGCTCTCCACTCCTCCGATTTCTTGGGTATCTTCTCAGTCGCCACCAGATCCAGCAGGTACCATCCATCTTGCCTTCTAGCTGTGCTTAGCTATCGAATTGCGCATCCACAGATGCTCCACCAACGTGGGAGTCGCCTTCTCCATTGGTGAGAAACGGGCACCGAGCGGAAGACTAAGAAGCTTGGAAGTGGAGTTGGCAAGTCGCAATTGGTCAATGGGATACAACTTGAAAGATCTAGCGTCTCCGCCCATCCAAGACGACCTGGGGCAATCCTTACTGAGTATAAAAACGAGCTCATGTCGAGGCTCTGGAGCCGAAGTGGGATGTGGCCAGAAACCACGATGGAAAAAAAGTGGAAAGGAAAAGCGAAATACGATCTAAAACATGGTGGTATCGGGAAGGGCCAACGCACGGGGTCTGCAATCTCCTACCCCTGCGTGGCGCCCTGTTGAGTCGACAGACAGATCAACTTCGCGATGGGAATAGAATGACTGTGCAGTTGCACGCGCGGTGGCCAGCGGGCAGAGAAGCCGGCGCATGCCCCGAACGGGCCCCCTGTTTTTTCATCGGCCGCTACTACGAAAGAGGCACCTGCGTATCGAGCGGTATCCATCTGCTGCCAGGTTCCCTCGTCGCTGGCCCAGACTGTCCCCCGTTCTGGTTCCTGGCCGCCCTCGGCACGAACGGCACCCCAATTCCAACACCCCCTCCTTCCAGGTTCTCTTCTCCCGAGTCTAGCGTCCGGGATCGTGGGTAGTATGAAAGGTAGCCCTGCCCTTCTCGTCCCCCAAAGGGGGACCTTTTTCTCTTTTTCACACGCCTCTTGGTCCTTGTCAAGTCACCATCAGCACCCGACGGCGTGCTCTCCTGCCGTGCAAACGTTTGTTTGCGTCCTTTCGTTGTTAATCTCGTATCATCACACTCTCTTTACGGCCTCTGGCCACTTCACTCATTTTTGTGGGTGCTTATTTGTATAATTATATACATATGAATCGCACGTTGTGTATACTTAATTCTAGATCACCATAATGTTCAACTACAAGACGACTCTGGCCGTTGCCGCTCTCGCCGCCTCGCCCGTCTTTGCCAGCGCCCCGGCGCCCCCCGTCGTGGCCTCGGAACCCATCGTCAACGTTTATTTTGGCCAGACTGGAACGCAGGGCCTTGGAGACTACTGCGAGCAGGGCACCGGCTTCGAGTATGTTACGGTGGGCTTCGTCAACAGCTCGCCTGAGCACGACCCGTCGGGCTTGAACTACGCCGGCACCAACTTTGCCGCCCACTGCGATGCGCCTCTCTACACGAACTCCAAGAACGGTGTCAAGTCGAACCTCCTGAGCTCGTGCACGTACCTTGCCAGTGACATCGCCAAGTGCCAGAGGCTGGGAAAGAAGGTTCTCCTTTCGATTGGTGGTGTGTTCAACCAGAAGACGTCCAACTACGAGATTTCCGGCCCGGCCAAGGGGAGGGAGTTCGCCGACTTCGTATGGGGCGCCTTTGGCCCTTACAATTCCAAGTTTACCGGCCCCCGCCCCTTTGATTTTGGTGGCAACCGTGTCAAGTTTGACGGCTTCGATTTCGATATTGAGACAAAATTTGGTACGTATTTGTTGTTCTCTGGATTCTGTGCCTGGTCTTTGCTGATGTGAGACACTGTAGAGGACCAGTCTGGCTACATTGCCATGATCAAGAAGCTTCGCGAGTTGACCGATGCCGCCACCGGCACCTATCTGATCACCGCGGCGCCTCAGTGCCCCCTCTCGCCGTCTCAGTATTTCCAGATGGACAACATCATCAAGAGCTCCGTCTTCGATGCCCTGTTCATCCAGTTCTACAACAACGCACAGTGTGAGGCCTCGAACGCTGCCGGCTTTAACTACAATGCCTGGGAGACCTACCTTACGGGCACCCAGAGCAAGAACGCCAAGATTTTCATTGGACTCCTCGGTACTTCGGACCCCAAGCTTGGCTCCGGATACGTGGGGCCAGACGCTGCTGTCACGCTCATCAACAAGTACAAGGGCAGGGCGTCGTTCGGAGGTGTTTCAATCTGGGACGTGAATCTGGCTAGCGCCAAGGTTAATGGCGGCAAGAAGACGTACTATGAGTTCATCCACGACTCCATGTGCGGCACCCCGTCCGTGACCACGACCGCCACCACGAAACCCGCTACCACGACCACGAAACCCACAACGACGACTGCTTCGCCGACTGCCTGTGTCACGTGGTATACAGTTAAGCCTGGTGATTCTTGCTGGGCTATCGCCAACGCGTTCGGATACGATGAGGCCACGCTGAGGAAGTACAACCCGTCTCTGAATGCGAAGTGCGACATCTGGGGCGGCCAACAACTGTGCTGCGGACTTGGATTTCCCACGACAACCACAAAGCCGGCCACGACTACAACCACTGCGCCGACCACGACTACGACGCCGACAACCACCACTACCCCGACTACCACCACTACGCCGACTACCACCACTACGCCGACTACCACCACTACGCCGACTACCACCACCACTGCGATCACTAGTCCCGCTAGCAGCACTACGATCTTCCAGCCGCCAGTTTCGGTGACAACCACTTCGGTCCCCATCTCCTCTGCACCGGTCAGCTCCGCCCCCAGCAGCAGCTCAACCACGACAGACGATGAGGATTGTGACGATGAGTCTACCACTTCCTCTGTACCCTCTAGCACTGCCCCTGCCTCTACTGTAGCTTCGTCGGTTGCTTCGTCGTCGGCTGCCTCGTCGGCTGTACCTGCCTCTTCGTCGGCTGTCTCGTCGTCTGCGGTCTCTTCGTCTGCACCCCCTTCGAGCTCGGTAGTTTCAGTGACTACCACTTCGGCACCGGTCTCTTCTGCCCCGGCTAGCTCTAGTGTTAGCAGCTCCACTACGACTGACGATGATGATTGCGAGGATGAGACTACTACCTCCGAGATCCCCTCGAGCACCGCCCCTGCGTCGTCTACTGCTGCTTCGTCGGTTGCTTCGTCGTCTGCTGCCTCGTCGGCTGTCTCGTCGTCTGCGGTCTCTTCGTCTGCGGTCTCTTCGTCTGCGCCCGCCTCGAGCTTGGTAGTTTCAGTGACTATCACTTCAGCCCCAGTCTCTTCTGCCCCGGCTAGCTCCAGCGTTAGCAGTTCCACTACGACTGACGATGATGATTGCGAGGATGAGACCACCACCTCCGAGGTCCCCTCGAGCACCGCCCCTGCGTCGTCTACTGCTGCTTCGTCGGTTGCTTCGTCGTCTGCTGCCTCGTCGGCTGTCTCGTCGTCTGCGGTCTCTTCGTCTGCGGTCTCTTCGTCTGCGGTCTCTTCGTCTGCGCCCGCCTCGAGCTCGGTAGTTTCAGTGACTACCACTTCAGCCCCAGTCTCTTCTGCCCCGGCTAGCTCCAGCGTTAGCAGCTCCACTACGACTGACGATGATGATTGCGAAGATGAGACCACCACCTCCGAGGTCCCCTCGAGCACCGCCCCTGCGTCGTCTACTGCTGCTGCCTCGTCGGCTGCCTCGTCCGGCGCTCCGTCGAGCTCGGTCGCTGCTTCATCCGCTGCCTCGTCCGCTGCCTCGTCGTCTGCTGTCGCTTCAACTATGGCCCCTTCAAGCTCAGTACCCGCTTCGTCTACAATCACTTCGGCCCCAGTTTCTTCTGCCCCGGCCAGCTCAGGAACCCCCAGCAGCTCAACCACTACCGACGATGATGATTGCGAGGATGAGACTACCACTTCTGAGGTCCCCTCGAGCACCGCCCCTGCGTCGTCCACTGCAGCTTTGTCCAGCGTTCCGTCGAGCTCGGTTGCTGCTTCATCCGCTGCCTCGTCTGCTGCCTCGTCTGCTGTTTCATCTACTGCCCCGTCCGGCGCTTCTTCGGGCTCGGTTGCTGCTTCGTCCGCTGCCTCGTCCGGCGCTCCTTCGAGCTCAGTTGGTGTTTCGTCGACGATCACGTCGGCACCTGTGTCTTCGACCCCCGTTAGCTCGGCGCCCGTCAGCAGCTCGACCACGACTGACGATGACTCCTGCGAAGATGAGACCACCACGTCCGATGTCCCCTCGAGCACCGTGCCTGCTTCGTCTACCGCCTCGTCGGGAGTTTCATCGGGAGTTTCGGAGTCCGCATCATCCACCATCACTGCTGCCCCCGTGTCGTCTGGTCCGGCCAGCTCTGTGGCCAGCTCGTCTACCACCGATGACTCCTGCGATGAGGAGAGCACTACCTCGTCTGAGGTCCCCTCGAGCTCCGTCCCCGCCTCTTCCGGAGGTGCCAACGGTAGCTCGGCCGTCTCTTCCTCCGCCCCTACCAGCGGATCTGCCTCGTCCACCGCGGCCAGCTCGGGTGCCGTTTCCTCGAGCGTCCCTGGTGGCCCTGGTGCCGTTTCGTCCACTGCCTCGGCCAGTTCGGGTGCCGTTTCGTCCAATGCCCCGGCCAGCTCGGGTGCTGTCTCCTCGGGCGTCCCTGGCGGCCCGGGTGGCCCGGGCGCTTCTGCCAGCTCGACCGCCGTCCCGTCAAATGCCCCAGTGAGCTCGGGCGTCTCCTCAGGTGCTCCTGCCGGCCCCAGCGGCGCTTCATCGACCGTACCTACAGGCACCGGCACTGGTGTCTCGTCATCCGCGAGCTTGTCAGCCTCGGTCTCCCCTAGTGGCCCCATCTCCTCCTCGGTGGAATGGACGACGTCTACAATCTACTCGACAACCACGTACACCATCACGTCGTGTGCTGCCACTGTCACCGACTGCCCGAGCAAGATTGGCCAGGTCACCACTGAGATTATCTCGGTCACAACGACTGTCTGCCCCGTGACCGCCGCAGCACCCGCCACTGCCACCGCCGCGCCGGTAACCACGGCCGTCCCTGCCGGCTGGGTCACGTCGACAATCTACTCGACAACCACGTACACCATCACGTCATGTGCTGCCACTGTCACTGACTGCCCAGCCAAGATCGGCCAGGTCACCACGGAAGTGATTGCCGTCGGCACCACTGTGTGCCCCGCCGAGGAGGGCTCCGCTGCACCCACACCTACTGGTGCTTTCGGCGCCGCTGCCGTCCAGTCGGGCTCGGCCGAGATCACCAACACGCTCCTCACAAGCGCCAAGCCTGTTGCCACCAACGTTCCGGCTGGCGGCGCTGCTGCTCAGAACAGCCCCAATCCCACACCTGCTGCCTCTCCGGCAGCCGTGGGCACGGGCGGCCTCTCGGCAGTCTCGCCGAGCGCTTCAGCTACGTTCCCGGTCACCGCCGGGGCCGGCCGCAACGCCGCTGTGACTCTTGGTATGCCGGCTCTTGTGGTCGCGCTCTTCCTTGCTCTCTAAGAGCCATAGGAGCCTGGCTTTTTTTTACCAGTTTTTTCTTGTGTTTTACTTTATGAATGATCTATCTCTTCGTATGTACTTTTGTGGCATTGACGGGTGGATAAGCATTGGCGATCAACTATTTTTTCCCCCCTTTATTGTTTGGATACATGTAGTGTACAATCCTCGCAATGAACAACATCCAATCAAACCCCAACGAGGCATGCGTGTATGCATCGGTCTCGCTAAAGTAAGATGTAAATGCAAAGAAGTCGGTTTCGTTCGGTCTAGAACAAACAAGGAAAAATCGGCCCAATGATAAACCCCCTTTTCCGCCGCGGACATTGAGAAAGACACTGGCCTAGCTGAGATCCATGTCCTGTCGTGTTGACGTCGTACTCCTCGAGTAGACTAATAAACCTTTGCCTCCGCGGCGCGTGAGGAGCACAACGCGTCGCTGCGCAACCTGCCAGGACCGTCAACGTGGTCACCATGCAGGTTCGTGTTACGGCATATTTCAGCTGACCGAGGTTTTCTGGGTCGTTCCGTCTGCAGCCCGTCCGTCCCAGCGAGACGGCGAGGGCTGTGTGGATCCATCTCCGCCCCATTCATCTGTGGCCACAGTCCTCCTTCCTCCCACTCACCTCACTTACTCTCGCACATGATCCTCCCAAAAATGCTAATTTCCCATGGGGTGTTTAGGAAGTAAACCAGTATGACTTTAGAGTGTGTACGACGTGGAAAAGCCACATAGCCTCCTTCGCAGAAAATCATTAATTTCTCACAAAGTTAGTTACCTACGTCAGCCAGCGGTGAGAGAAAAAAAAAAGAAACCCCCCGAAAGAGTCCGGGCACCTTGCAGGCTGATGATCGGCACCGACAGTCTTCTTCGACCCACACCTTTTTCATTTGTGGGCGGGAGAGTTCAATCACCGAAACGGCAAAGAACAAGAAAAGAAAAGACGGAGAAAGCCCTGCTGCCGGGGCATACAGACAGGCTCCTGCTGCATCACGAGCAACCTCGTCTGCCTTCATCAGAAAGTGAGTTTGCCACTTTCTCACATTTTTACGGTTACAGTATCGGTCCTTCACCTAAAGTAGACTTCATGCGGGCACGTGGCGGCGGGGAAGGAATCTTTTCTCTCTCTAGGTATTCCAACGAAACAGAGGACGAGGACATGAAAAAATAAATGAAAAAGAACCACACACCAAACAAAAAAAGCCAAGACCACCCCGTCCGTCCGTCCGTCCCTCCCTGCACCGACCTTTTGCGATTTTATTGGGGCAGGCAGCCAGATAGATTCCCACGCCGTCGGGACGGGAGCTAGTGCGCGTACTGCGAAAGGGTTACAGACTGCCTGACCTGACATACATGAATGGGGTGGAGCAATGGTAGCTGAGGATTTTGATGCTGTGACTCTTTTTTCCTTCTCTTCGCTTTGGTCGGGTAAGGCATGTAAGGTAGGTGCTGTGCGGAATAGCTGACCGCCACAAAGGTCTGGGCGAATGGCAATTCTCGATTATGATTATGAGACACTGATTGAGTTCACTCGGCCTCTCTTCCCCTTTTCCCAATCTCGTGTTTTCACTTCCCTCCCCTTTCTGTGTTTTATATTTTCTTTTACCTGATGGAAAGTGGGATTTGCAGCGGCACAGTGGTGGCAGGCTTTTTTTGGACCTCATCCAGTCTAATCCAATCATTCGTCGTCGACGAAAGGAAAGCGCGGAAGTAGCCCCGTTGTTTTGGGAACGAGAGAAAAAAAGAGTGAAAGAATACCCATTTCGGGCAGTCGCATCCAGAACACGAGAAATCCAGACTAAGAAAAAAAACCCCACCATTCGATTTAGTCTCGGCAGCTGCTGCTTCCCCGCCCTTCGACCTAACCTAACCTAATAAGCTGAACTGTGTCTGTATTCCGTGCCGACAGTATCCCGTGCCTCAAGTTCGAATGGATATGGATTCGCTGTACTGCTCGCACAGATCGCTGGCGGGTTCTTTCAGCTGACACTGGTGTGCTCTGCACTCAATTACTGGAGCGGCGAGAGATAACTTAGCCACCGAGAGGCAGGTTTTGTTGGTTTACTTTGGCCACTTGAAGTTGAATTTTCCGCGGTTCTAGGTTGCTGTCGAAGTGGCGATGGGCGTCGTACTTGGCGAGCCCGCCCCACATTCCGATGTACAAAGTACCTTACCTGCGCATGTCGGTAACTTCCTGGGTTAGTGTACTGAGGTGCTGCTGTACATACTGTACATTACCTTACTGTAGTGTATGATGCTCCGCGCCGCGCTGTTCCCGCAACGCAAGCAACGAGATATATGTTCCGTACCTGAGGAACATCCCTCACTGCACGATTTCGCGGGGAGCCCGGATCGCCTCCGAACGTCCCAGACCGACGACCCTGACTGCCGGGAGAGGCGCCCAGTCACCCAACATACCTACCTTACCTACCTTACCTACCGCAGGTACTTAACTACCTAGGGTCCAAGTAAGGGTTTGTTTCCAAAGGCACGGCCGAGCCGCAAGTCCTCGCAGCCCTCCCGTCTCTTTCCCTCGAACACCTAGCCCATCTCACTGTGCCTCCTCCCGCGGTACGGATACTTAGCTAGGTTTGCGCGGCGCTCGGTCGAAGCTCCGGAGCCGAATTTATCACTGCCCGCCTGCTCCATAAACCACCCACCACCACCGTCACCACCCCTCCACGTCGTCTCGTCGACGTCGTCCTCGTCGTGATCGCCCTACCCACCTCCCCCTCCCGGGAATCTGCATCTTTCCTCGAGCCTCCACCTCGTCTGCCTGCCCAATGCCCTCCTCTTCGAGGCCATTGTCCCACGATGGCTACTATCGAGCCTCGGTTGATACACCTCCTCAACAACTCGCAGACTCCTGATCTGCCGCCAATACAGCTGCTGCCCTTTAGCCCGTCGGCCGACCAGTCGCTGTCGCTGCCCCCGCTCGGCTCTGATGGCGGCCACAGAGGTGACAAGTCTGCGCCAAACCAGATCCCTCCGATATACGCGCCAGGCGACGAGCATGCGCCCAAGCAGCTCCCTCCCCGCGTCGAGAGTGCTTACGACAACGACCACAACAGCGCCCTCAACAAGCCGGCCCACCCGCTGCAGCGGCTCCTCGCCGGAGAACTGGAGCCAAGCGTGTCAACTCTCTCCTTACGCATGATTGTAGGCGACAACACACCCGACAATTCGGAAGATCTCTCTACCAAGAAAAGGCATCGAGCGCTCACAAACAAGGAGGACTTCGTCCAACTGCCCCAGCCACTGAAGAAACAGAAATCAACCCAGCAAGTCGTCCCTCCAATCATCAATGGCCTGCACGAACCGCCGCCCAACGCGGCCGTCTTCCCTCCCATCACGGGGTCCTTTGACGACAACGAAGCGCTGAACCTGGGCATGTTGAAGGACTTTACCAATGGCACTGAGGAACGAGCCCTCACGGCCCCCACGAGCGACGCGGAGAAGAACAACGCCAATAGCAACAGTACAGGCCCCAAGGTAAAAAGACGCGCTACAAAACCGCGGAGGAAGTGGTCTGACGAGGAAACCAATCACTTGCTGTTGGGGGTCAATCGCCACGGCGTTGGAAAATGGACGAGCATCCTGGAAGATCCCGACTTCAAATTCAATGATCGGACGGCCGGGGACCTGAAAGACCGGTTCCGGACTTGCTGCCCCGATGAGCTGCGCGGAGGCACGGGCATGGGCAAGAAGCGCTCCGGCAAAGACCCGGTCGACACACCAGCCCCGCCTCCTCCACCTCCGCCCCCTCCTGCACCGGAAGATAACCCAAGACCTCGGAACGGCCCGCTGCTCGAGAACATTCTTATTGAGCCCGGGGGCGCAGCCGACTTAGACGGGCCGTCCTTGTATCCTCCGCAGACGCCAGATTCAGGCCCCAAGCAAAGGAAAAGCCGAGCACACCGTAAGAAGATTGAGGATTTAGAGGAGCTAGGCATCCGTGGTCCCTTCAAAAAGTCGCACCGCCGTGAACGGCGGCCGTTCACCGACCAGGACGACAAGGAGATCCTGGAAGGCCTCGACCAGTATGGGCCGGCCTGGACGAAAATCCAGCGCGATCCCAAATACAACCTATCCAGCCGCCAACCCACTGATCTACGTGACCGTGTGCGGAACAAATACCCAAACATCTACGCGAGGATCGAAAAGGGCAGCTTCTACACGAAGGAGCCCGGCCGAGGGGGCAACCTCCTCGAGCCTTCCGTCAACACAAGCATGGAGAACTCGCTCCATCCCAACATGCCGGGGACGCTGGAGCCGCAGCTGAATAAGTCGGGCTCCAAAGACGACATGCGCAAATGGGGTTATTTCGAGTCGTCAGAGTCTCTGCCCGCACTGGCCGACCCATATACAAACGAACACCCGGCCTCGTCGTCGTCCTACGTTGCCACGAACAATAGTAGCGCGCCTGAAATGGACATTGGCCGGCTTCTGCTGGACGACTCCCAAATCACAAACGACAGCCACGCGACACCGGGGCCGTATGATGGGTCCCCCAACGCAACTTCGCGTCGGGTGGGCCAACTGATCCCCGTTTCCCAAAGCCCAGGTAGGCATGGTACCGAGTAATACGCCAACGCCACACGAGCTGGCTCCTGAGTTGGGTCTCTAGATACCTAAGCGTATCAACTGCTTACGCGTGCCGCGTTTTCTTTTTTTTCTTTCTCTGTCGAAGCTTTCTTCTTTCTTTCGTCCTTATTCTTATCATCTTCTCCTTTTTTCCCTGGTGGACGCTTTGCGAACTGCCCCATAAGGGGGCTAGTTGTTCGGCCATGTTCATGCTTTGCAGCAAAGATGAAGATGGACGGTTGAATTTCTCTCTACCTGTGCTGACTCGGGCGCTTCTCCCAGGAGTCACCACTGGTGCTTTTGCTTATTTGGTAGATCACTTAAAGGTTGGGAATTTCCTGTCATTACTTACTCGAAGATCCTCCGGGCGAGGGAGGAGGGGAGGAAAGATGGGATGAGAGAATCAGGGCAAAAATTGTACACTGGGCGTCGTCTGGGAAAGCACATGTGTTTTAAATGGAGGGGAAAAAAGCACTGCGCGAACACGACGGTAGGTAATGGGGGGAAGGGGGGATCTAAAGGTTAGAAAGGGAGCAATCTCTACTCGGAACGAGAAACATTTCTCAAAGGGCTGGCTTTCTGTCGCTTCATTGTCTCGGTTTCTTATCCCCTTCTCTTGTCTTTTCTTCTTTTCTTTTAGTTTCCATTTTATTCCTTCATTGTCTCTTTTTTCATCCACCTATCCGGTCGTGTCAGTCTACCGAATAGTTTCTCAGCTGGTCGGTCTCCAGCTTGTTTTCTCGCACTCTATGTCACTCTCTCTTTCTCCCTGTCTCTCTGCCTGTCCTTACTACTGTAAAACGAACGATTTAGGGAGGTTTTGCCCGGTCGGTGTGTGCGAGGGGAGCCTCACGGTAGCGGAATATAGTAATGCAAACCTGTCTTACTCGGCGGAAGAATATGAAACTGCGTCGTCGTTGAGGGTTGAGTGCTCGGGCTGGATTCCGCCACTGGATATTCCGTAAGGCACTTATTTACTTCGTCTCGATGGATCTCATCAGTAAAGGTTCGCTGATAAACCTAACCCTTTGGTTCTGCGCTCCTCCCAATCGCCCCGCAACACCTGTTCCTTCCGTCATCAACAAGCAAAGCGAGCCTTACTCCTTGCAATCGCCCTGCAATAATATACCTGTTCCTTCCATCGCTAACAAGCAAAGCGAGCCATACTCCTTGCAATCGCCCTGCAATAATATACCTGTTCCTAGCAAAGCGAGCCATACTCCTTGCAATCGCCCTGCAATAATACACCTGTTCCTTCCATCGCCAACAAGCAAAGCGAGCGTTACTCCTTTGCAATCGCCCTGAACTAGCTGATGGCGAACTCGATCTTGCGGTCGCAGGCCTCAACGTCGGCCGGGTCCTCGGGTGCACACACACTCTATCATCATCATCATCATCGAACCTATCCACCCACATGGCCGACAAGCGAACAATCACCCAGCTCGATCAGCTGACTCTCTACCCAGGAACACCTCCAGAGACAGCATCTCCCAACTCCCCTACACCGTCTGTGGGCTTGCCAGTCTCGGGCATCGATAAGATTATCGCCGAAATTCGCAATCGCATCTGTGGCCGAGTCGAGGTCGAAGAGGGGTGGTGGTGCATCAGCCTCAGCCGCGACGAGTTCAAGGCTTTTGAGGCGCGCTTTGAAGCCGAAGGGAATTACCGCTGGCCAAAGTAGGTAGCCTGTCCCTCTTTACCCAGTTGTCCCTTGTTCAGCGTTGCGGTGGCTAACCTCTAATTAGGTACGACTACTTCCCTTAGCTCGACAAGTTCCTCCTACGTATAGCGGGCATTGTCCACGAAGACGTTATTAGAGGATTCGAAAACCTAGTTATACGATAACTATGGATGATCAAGCAGAGTAACGACCAAGTCGCTACCGATTTCGCTCGGGGCACCCGCGCAAGAGGAAGTCCCAAGATTGAGAGTGATGGTGGTTCCCATTACCCAGACGGGTCGTTTGCGCACAAAGATGCGGAGGTAGAATGTATTATCTTGGAGGTCTCCCATTCATAACAACGACAAGATTTGCCATTCCTTGTAGATGACTACATCCTAGGTTCAAATGGGCAGACCCAAGTCGTTATTGGGGTTGACCTTGAATACCGGGAGGAGAAGGGAAAAGAAGCCAGGGTCACTGTATGGCGGCCAAGATATATTGAGGAAGATAGAGAAGCCGTACTTGAAGCAGCTGAGACGGAAACAGGTATCTTTCGGGCAGTGGATGGTAGTTTGGTCGATGGGGAACGGATCCTTCGTATCGGGCTCAAAGATTTTGGGTACTAGCCTAATTGCCTCAGAATCGATGACATCCCCGGGGAGATTACTATTTCGTTTTCTCAACTTTACGAAATGGTGCAGTGGGCTGAGGCTAGAGCGAAGTGTATGGATCGTACGCGTAGGAAGATCCAGGATGAGAATTGTTTGAAGCGGCCAATGGTTCGGTGTAACTCACAGAATCAGATGAGGAGCGGTTTCAGGCAGCCGAGAAAAGAGTCAAGAGGATTCTATTTTGGGGCAGGTGGCAAAGATAGAGCTTGTAGAACTAATAAACCTCGGTATACTTAGATCCGCGGATCCTGGGTTCTTGGTACCGCCTCTATATACGAGTGACCTACGAGATTATCCCATTTTCCGGAACTCATCAAGGCTTCCAAATTCGGCATACTTTACACCTACGACCAGGACTCATAGGAAAATTCGAGATCCCGTCCGCTCTCCCATAGACAATCCAATAAGGGCCAGATCAGTAGTTAGGTCGGTGGCGGCCAGCAAATCCCTAGTGTTGTATTTTTTTTCACCTTTTTTATTAGGTTTTTAATGATCTTTTATATTGTCCTTTTCGAGTGGATGTATTTTGTTTTGGTGTGGAGTTGAGACGAGGTAGCGGCTCTGGCCTTTAGGGAGGACTTGGAGCCTTGCAAATTTGGTGCCCCACCTCCAAGCACAGACCAGGAGCATTTCTGCCCCATCTTCCCGCCCGCCCACCAAACACACTAGGGTTTTGGAGGCACAGAATATTTTTCACTGGTTTTAGGTGCGTTCCTCAACTTCAGGAAATCCTCCCTCGTTTTCTCATCTACAAGCCAGTCGACATCAACATCGAGCCAAAATGGGTAAAGGACTGTAAGTCAGCCGAGATATAGCATTCCAATCCGTGTCGACTGTGGTTCGATGGCGCGCACTTAATTGCCGCGAGCATCTCGGCGAGATTCGTCCTGCGGGACTGATCGAGCTGCTGTCCGGCCACCAATTCGAGATGTGAAGGCCGCGATACTGACCCGCCATTACAGGAAGAAACACCAAAAGCGCCTCAGCGCCCCGTCGCACTGGCTGCTCGACAAGCTCTCGGGCGTGTATGCGCCTAAGGCGTCTGCTGGTCCCCACAAGACTCGCGACTGCATGCCCTTGATCGTGTTCATCCGCAACCGCCTCAAGTATGCGCTCAACTACCGCGAGACCCGGGCCATCCTGATGCAGCGCCTGGTCAAGGTCGACGGCAAAGTCCGCACCGACCTAACCTACCCCGCCGGCTTCATGGATGTCATCACAATCGAGAAGACGGGCGAGCACTTCCGCCTGGTCTACGACACCAAGGGCCGCTTCACGGTCCACCGCATCCAGGACGAGGAGGCCAAGTACAAGCTCGGCAAGGTCAAGCGCGTGCAGCTCGGCCGTGGTGGAATCCCATTCTTGGTTACGCATGATGCAAGGACGTAAGTTCTGTCGACATCTGTCAGCCGTTGGACCAAGCTTTGGAGGATCGTGTGTTTCCTTGCGAGAGGGCCGCGATCAACAGAAGAGCGAGATCTCGACGGCTGGTACGTCTTTATTTTCCCCCTCAATTTTGCTGACAGGCCCGCTCCGTTTAGCATCCGCTACCCCGACCCGTCGATCAAGGTCAACGACACCGTCAAGATCGATCTCGAGACTGGCAAGGTTACCGACTTCATTAAGTTCGACACTGGCGCTATTGCCATGGTCACCGGTGGTCGCAATATGGGCCGCGTCGGTGTCATTACCAACCGCGAGCGCCACGATGGAGGATTCAACATTGTGCACCTGAAGGATGCCATTGACAACACGTTCGCCACCCGTGAGGCCAACGTTTTCGTCATTGGACACGAGAAGCCGTGGGTATCGCTGCCCAAGGGCAAGGGCGTCAAGCTCACCATCTCTGAGGAGCGTGACCGCAAGCGCGCCACGACGCTGGCTGCTCACTAAATGGGGGTAATTGGGGAAAGGGCAGGGGCATTGGTTTGCTGACCTTAAAGCATGCTGGACGGAGTACCGGATGTCACTTTAGTTTGAGCTCGGCTGTCCAGGGCGTCCTGCGACGTGGTATACGGAGACCTGATCGGCTTTGATACCGGGTAGATTGCGCTATCGGACCGTGGGACAACATAACTTTTTTCTTCACAAATCTTGACTCCCTGTTCTTTCTGCTGCAGCCACATATTGAAACCGTGCAGCGTGCGCCGATTCCGCATGTCCGTATGGACTTACTTGCAATTGTGATGTTCAGGCGGTGAACGTGTTACACGGCTAGCCATGCATCTTCACCGACCGCGGTCGCCATTTTCCCTCTCCCCCCTCTTTGGGGCCCCAACCAGTCATCCTGCAAGCGCATCTACTGCACTCTTGATGAACCCCCGTTCTTTTTCTTAGTTCCCCCTATACGTCCAGCGGGAGGAGGTCAGGGGTGGTATGTTAGATCTCAAGAGGCCCAATGTCTTCTGGCTTTCCCGCCGCCGCCGTGGCGCTTGCGGCGTTTGCCCAGCCCAGCCCAGCCCACCACAAACCCCAACGCAACCAGCTCGTCGAGGCACGCACAGGCTGCATGCCTGCCTGTATATGACCGTCTTGAGACTCATAGCATGGCAGTGAGAGAGATGTGTTGTGTTCAGGGTGTGTATGTGAATATGGAGAAATAAGAAAATTTAGAAAATAAGACGACAATAGACTTGACGGTGGAGAGTTTTTCTTGCTTCTTTTATTTCCTTCTTTCATTTTATTTGCTTCTCTTCACTTTCCTGTGCCCCGCGGAAAAACAACAAGGGAAAAAGCAAAGAAAGGAAGAAAAAAAAATCAGAAGAACGGAAGAGGAAGAACGAAAACAGGAGAATAGTACCTTACCGGTGATGAGAGAGCCCTGTGAGAGATATGGCCCTCGCAAACATACATGGAGGCCACCTTACAGTGCGCATTCACATGTTCTTCGTTTGCTGCAATAATAGTCTAGACGAGAGAGTTCTATTTCCACAAACACACACCTGTCTGTCAGGTAACTAAGAGCCGCAAGGGAAAAGGGGGCGGGGCGGGAAAGCAAATGGGATAAGGTAGTGAACTGGAGCTGGAACTGGAACGAGTGCGTTATTTGATACCTGCCTACCTCGCCTACCGCCTTGCCTGCCTACCTACCAACCTTCGAGCTGCTCATATGTCTGTCTATGTGTCTGTCTGTCTACCTTGATGCCACAGCCTGGCATTGCCTGGCTATCAACTTCACTGTCTGTCTGCTTCGTCTTGCTATAGGTACTTATTACCTTACTTATGTGTGTTTGTATAGCCAGATGGGAGGCAGTTTAGCAGAAGACCAAAGTAACTTCCTGTATCTGTATTTATATACAAGTCAGATGTTATATCTACCTCACTGAAATCGATCTACTTGCTAGACGGGTTGGCAAGGCTACTACCACCTACCCCAGGTTACTTTGCATCTGAATGGGCAGACCACGGCTAGACCATCCAGGGGCATTTCTGAAAACCATAGGACCACACACATGCACATACCACGCATATACACAAAACGTTCTTCTTGTCCTTTCCTTTAGTGAACCGTTGCGTGCTGTGCCAGAATTTGCTGTGGGTGGGTACCCGTGTTGGCGGGAAACCTACAGATGAGCTTGCTTGCTTGCTTGTCTGACTGACAGTCGAACAACTACGTACTGTCTGTCTTTGAGTGTTTACTGTTCGGGCTTTCGGGTTGTATTGTACTGCCGCCGTCTGTGTGTCTGTTTGTGTCCGTTGAACGAATCGAAGCATGATGAGGGAAGAAAGGGGGAATCTGAAAAAAAAAAGGGGGGTGTTAGTAGGCCAGACTAAGCTTGCTGGCCCTGACAGCAGGTTCTGGAAATTTATCTCTTGAAACTGAAAGTGAAATCTATTGGTATTGTTTATTCATTGCAAGGCCGTAAGGTCGACACGCAGACAAGGAGAAGAAGACGGTTATAGAATATTTCTCTTGGTAGCAACAGAAGGAAGAGAGAAACAGGGAAGCAAATATTTGGTTTGTGTAGATCCGTGAATGAAGAATCTTGAACAAACGCGATGTAAGTTCCAAACTCCTATCTCAACTGCCCAGGTCTGAAATGGTGACCCAGAAAGCCCTCCCTTTTGGTTATCCCTTTCTTCAAGGTCATGTACAAGACTGCACACTTTCAAGCTGTTCTGTCCCTCAAGCGGTGTACCTTGTAACACCAGCCTGACGTTCCTGCCAATATAGCCTTTCTAAAGGCACATCTAAGTTGCTGTGAAGTACTAGTGTTAGACTTACCACTAGCTACAAGAGTGTGTTGGTTCCTCAACCCGACAGGCTCCTTAGTTTCGGAGATAAGGTAGTCCAAAGTTGTTTGCCTTCAAACTGCGCACAGGGTCGGCATTCTGATAAACTCATCAGTAACAGCAATGCGGTTGATTCGATACCAACAAGGCGTTCTGTGGTATAGCGTGCTAACCTGGGCAAGATTTACCCCGGACATCCCCTCTAAACGTGTATATAATACCTATATGTACATACAGCGTTGATCGGTCTGGTGATCGGGAAACCCAGTTACATGAATATTGTGATGGTTGTGCCTGTGTGCCCTTTGCCTCTTCACAGCAAATATGGAAACCAGAAACGGGTCTATAGCTGCATAGTAGCTAGCACGGTGTGGTCCCAGATGCGAGCTTAACACGCAATGAAGCACGTTATAGGGACGGGGGTAGACATATTATTGGATATGGATAACCAACAGGACCAATGTTTCCTTTTTTCCCCCGCCACCCACACTGTGTCCTGCCCGCTGGGCTCCGCGGGTACCAAGGGGACGGATGACCTTCCCGTTGATTTGAACCACTGACGTTCCATCTTGCGCCGTCTCGTGACCCCAAGCTGACGTGCGGGCAAATGCTTAATGCCCCGCTAACTGCTTCCCGGTAGCAAAAAAATAGGGGAGAGATTCGGAAACAACATGTTGTGGGATATCCCCAAACCAAGCAAGAAGATGGAAAGGGTTGGAATAATTGCCCCTCTGCACCCGGATCGTCAAATTGTACAGTACAGTGCATACGTATGTTCAGTAATGGGCCGGACTCACCGATGCAACTCACTAGCCACACGGACGGAGACACAGACACCTGGCTCTTGTTGTCGCCGAGAAACTGGCCTTCCCACTCTCGAAATCTTGATTTTGCCCGGTTTCGAGGACCCCGCAGCCCGGAGAGGCGGTCACATCTTTCCAGCTATCCAGGTGGCACATGAATTTGCCCACCTGCATGTTGCCAGCGAGGACTTTTTGAGACAGGGGCAGCTGAACGGAATCTGGCGGGAAGGCGAAGGTGGTGGGGTGCTTTGAAGGACTTGACAGCCTGGGCGGCGGACAAGCAAGCGGGCACGCTTGTACCCGTCTGCCCGGCTTCTTTGCTTCTTCTTTTTTTCTTCTTTTATTGCCCGCCCGAAGAAGGCGACTTGGCATGCGTGGCGCGGCGTTTGCCGGCGCCATCATGTTCCGTGGCACCAAGTGGGAAGCAAAAGGCCGCCGAGCCAGTGATGTTAACCCGTTTGGGGGTGCGATCTTGAGGCTTTTCCCGCCACAAAGCGTCACCCAAAGTTGTCACCGACAGTTCGGGGTTTATTGCCAGGGGCGTGCTGCAAGCTATTCGCTATCAAGTGAGGAGGCTATTGACTCTTTCATGTTTGCTGTGGGGGGAGGGAGAGGGGGAGGGGAAGTGGAAGAAGAGGTGGGGGTGACGAGGTGAGCGTGGCCGACATTTCACCCGAGGGCAAGCTTTGATAGCGATTTTACCCCCAGTCTGCTTGGCAAGGCGTTGACTGAGCAAGATTTTTCTGTAACAACTAACCAATGCTGCGTACTAATCTGCAGGAGACCAGCTCACAGCAGCTCTTCTGTCGAGACGGTGAAGCTCTCCGTCTCGTTGCGAGCTTTGTGCTTGGGCGTGGGGTAAGCCAGTCGTCCGTCGTTTGTGATGGTCATCCACTGCCGAGACAAGCTTCACCCGAACAATCTCCTTGGCAGTTGACTTGCTCTTCGGGCTGAGATGCAGACGGAGTCGCGGGGGGTTTGTGCAAGCTGACTGGCACGTGTCTCCCAAGCTCACAGCACGTGGCTCTCAGTCAATGATATTTCGTTTTTGATGGACGAGCTGCGCTGAGTCGGCAGTGGGCTCTACACGGCTGGATTGCCCGACTTCCGGCAGGCAAGGGTTGGGCTAGACGAGCAGCCACTAGGTACCGTGTAACCGAAAGAAATCTCCGGGCATCAATCGCATCTTAATTGATGAATACAATAGAGCGGGATAAGCGTTCCTGAGATGTACTGTACATAATATCCAGTAGTAGCACTGGGAATGGGAGGGTGCGGTAGTGGTACTGTAGTGAGGTGGACTGCAGGAGAGCGAGGAGGTCAGATGTTCAGTCTGAGCCTTTTTTGTGTCTCACCAATCTAGCGGTGTCCGTCGTTCAAGGAAGGCACGAAGGCCAGGCCACGAAAGACTACATCGAACGAGTGCAATGTACGAAGTACTGGGGAGTAGGACGCGGCTTCCTCCTTGAGGATAACCGCTCTTTCCTCGCTGCCGCGCCGAGCGAAACGTGAGCCAGACGTGCTTGAAGTGGCCCCACGCGGTAACTAACGGGAACTTTCAGTTTTTAACCAAAATCAAAACCACAGAGTCGAGAGATCCCCAGATTGAATCTCCTGATCAAATTTGCCTTGAGTCTTTTTGGAAACTAACTCTAGGAAGCCGGAAATACCAATATGGGGGGACAAATCCGCCAGGGTTCTTGCTTGGCGCTGGTCAAGACACCGATCCATTGGACCTGGGGTAGGGCAAGAAAACCCCCTTTGCTTCTTCCCCTGTCGCCAATTCTCTCGCGTGTTGCACAGCATCAATCCGCTGCCTGAGAGCATCGACCCGCCCGCTAGAGCAGGCGACTACCCGTCAGAGATGTTGATCTCGTCGCCGCCTTGGGCGAACAGACATAAAGCAAGTAGGCCCCAACTCCAAGGTACCGCACAGGAGGACATGTACGACGTGGGGCCCATGCCACACACAGCGTTCCCCACGCTCCGAAGCGGTCTGGGGAAGGAATGGAAGGTATCCATGACCGTGTTACTCGAGGATGACATCGCGCTCGCCTACTGCAGCTCAGTCTTGATCCTGGGGTTCCGATTCAACACTGATTCTGTTCCCATGACCCTCCAGAAAATTAATTTGCATCCCAACTATTCCGCATCTCGCGACACCAGCATGACAATGGAGCCTCCCGTCGCCTCTAACACCTCTAACACTTCCCCTAGCCCACCCTAGGTGTAGTTGTATCTCGAATTGAAGAATCTACCGCGAGCCGTTGCAACGATCGACAATTCCAAGTCCAAGTGGAGTCATTAATGGGCTGAGAACTGTTGTTTGGACTAACATTCTCTCCATTTTTTGGTGGGGGTGCTTGTTTTATTCTTTGAACCGCCCGATTTAGCACGAACCGGACCGCAGTCGTCTCTAAAACTGTCTACGCAGTATAGTTATCCAATGTGCATACCTTACCTTAGATACTCCGTACCTCCTCGCCGTCGTCGATCGCGTAAGGCGGCCGAGCCGGAAAAGAGGACTGGCTGGAGCAGCTATCGACAGGGGTAGAGTAGCACAGCAGCTTGGATAGTTCAAATTCCAGGGAAAAAGGCATGTGCCTAGTTTTCCACAAGAGATCGGTGCGCCAGCAGCTCCTAAGGTAGGTATAATTGCTCTGGGACTGAATGAGGACCAAGCCAACTCAAGAGAATAATAACTCGTACGCTTGTGATGTCTAGGAATCCATACACACGATGGCTTACCCCACCAGTTACGGGCAACGTTATCCCTTGAACAGCCATGAACCTGGTCTCCGCACGCCATCTTCATCTTGCCTAATCGATCTGGAACGCAACGATGTATAAAATGGACAGTATATGATATGGATTGGTTACAATTAGGAAGTTCTATAGGGACAGCAGCGCCGTTCGTTTCTACAACCCACAGCGAACCTCGTGACCGAGAAACAGAGATCGAAATAATAAGAATAAGTCCATACACCGCACGATAACCGCACTTCTTGACGCCTAACCGGGTATCCAGAGGTGACACAAACAGGAGCCTGCAGCGTACTTGACATTTGCATCCTTAAGTAGCTCCGGCAATAGTCGCCTCAACCTTTGATCTAATTACCTAGCTCCCTCCCCGTGTTTGACGAGACTGCAGCGAGACGCGGGGCGGGGAGAGTTGCTGTTGCAAGTATCCGTATCTGACCTTGGGTAACATTTTTGGCCATCTACTAAGTACACGTGCTGTATGTACCCGGATTGCGCCTTCTATGGCTTTTCTAGAAAGAAAGAAGAAAACTCCGGACATTCTCAGCCGGCCCGACTGCTCAGCTCTCCCTGTATGTACCTACCTAGGTTAGGTCTGTGCAATAGGTGATGGGAACGGGATTTTATTCTGAGCCCAGGTGGCCATTGAATACATGCGGATCGGTGGTACCGTATGTACCTTGACGGACAGGCACCAAAACGGGGCTGGAAGCGATCTTGTGCAGCAACAGCATCCCTCTGTTTCGAGGGAAGGCGCCATTCAGTTGACGTACCCGTATGTACTTTTGCACAGACAACTTTTTGGACGCTGGCTGGATCTGCAACGTGCATGGTACCTGCTGATGACAGAAGCACGAGAAATTTTTCTAGCCGTCGAGCTTTGATCCGCCCCAACCTACCTAACCTAGGTTCCCTCTTCCGCTTTCATTTTTCCTTCCGTTCCGCATATGTACGCACGCCTCTGAGGTATTCTCGCAGCCAAGCCGGCGACAACCCGCACCCCACTACCGTGTGGACAGTCTTCGAGACAACCCCGCGACCCTCAGTAGCCCGATACCTAAGTTAGCGGGCACTGGACGTTGACGTTGGCATTGACATTGGCGTGCAACGCTGCTCTCAGACAGGTGCCCGCGTCCTGTATGTACAGTACATACATCTGTACATATTCGTATAGAGAGGTACATACGGAATATGTCTGCGCATACAGGGCAAGACAGCCTAGAAGTCGCGGGTGGCCCTCCACGGGGTCTATCCCTGCCTGCCTGACGGACCCTTCTGTTCTTTCGTCTCGTTCGTTGCGCTTCCCACACCCTCCGTTGCCCTCCCGCCCTCGAGCCGCCATCCCATTTCCCTGGGCCGGTTCTCTCTTGGTTGCTACGCTGCACCGTGTGCACGGTTGCAGCAGATTATATGTGCGTCTGTACATACCTTTCTTCCCAGCAGCCGTGCTAAACCCTGTCCCTGATGTGGCCTCGGCCGTCCTTTTTCTCCCTCTCCCGTCGTCAACGGGCATGGAGTGGAGGGTTGGCTTCTATGTCCAACGGGCTTGGGGGCGTCATGGCTGGCTGACCTCCCGTCATTGTCCGTCCTCTCTTGGCCTGTGGGACAGAGAGTACCGTACATACCTACCTTTCTTTACCTTGGCCTGCCGTCCAACGGAGACTACCTTGCCATGGCTGCCTATACATACTTATACACATATTGCCTTCTCTTCTCGATGGCCTCGCCATGCGCTACTCTACGTGTGTGTGCCCGCCCACGCTGCTGCCCGGTTATCTTGCCACTCAGCAGCACCTCTCGCACCGTTCCTGCTTGTTGCTGCTATCCCGTGATTCGATCCACCTGTCACAATCACAACCGCCCCCCTTGAGACCTGACCCTCACCACGTCAAGCCCCTTCGCTGCTGGACATAGCCTAGTTTAGCCCGGGCTTGATTGGACCCAGGTACTGCTCCACCTGTGCTGCATCTGGCACCGGATGTGGAAGCGGCATTCATTCATTAATAAGAGGCGATACCCTACCAAACAACACGGCTTCCGGGCATCGCCCACTCGCATTATCGTCTCACCAGAAGATAGTGGCCGCGGAATTCGTATCGCCCACTATGGTCTCGTCATACGCACCCTTCAGTCACACATTGTCGTCTTAACTTGAACGGTACACTCCTGCCATCTCTCCTCTCTCCCAAGACCCCCTCTTCGTCAACGCCATCACGGGTTGGAACCATCAAATCTTATCGATTGTGTGCGCGCCCTTGCCACGTCGGTGACACCATCCCCGGGTGCGTTGGTCAAGTTCGAATAAGTGGAGAGTGGGTATCATCGGATCCAAGCAAGTGATTCCGCTAGACTAGTCAGAGGCTGATCGAGCAAATAGCTCTAGGGTATCAGTTATTCTCCGAGCCTGCGTTGGAACGTCCACCTCTTGTTAGATCAGGAGACTTGAAGAAGCTAGTGGACAGAAACCTCTGTTTTATTTAGTAAAGTGAGAGACAGGAAAAAGAGTCGTTTGGTTGCAAACAGCATTTCCAGGTCATCACAAGCAAAGGAGACGAGAGCCAATCCAATCCGCGCCTAGTGTTGCAATCTCACCCGCCGATTCACGGAGGAGCACCAGGTGCTGCAGAGAGCAAGTCCCGGCATGTCTGCAAACCAATTTGCGAGGGCTGCGAGCGCGGCCAAGCCCCTCAGCAGATCTCTTGCCGCCGGCGCCACCCGCACCGGGTTATGCGCTGCCGGCCGCCAAAGCTTCACCACCTCGGTAGTTCGGCGCACCGTTGCCGGAAAGGGGCATAGCCCCCGGATTGCTTCGGCATGGTCGTTCTCGGGCGTTTTGGGTGTTGCCACCGCTGCCGGCATGTTTGGATGGGGCGTATCCGAGCTTCGTCACCGGGGGTTTCCTGGCACCGTGCTGCTAGATAGCGTATTTCCCGAGCCCCGATACGCAAACTTGCGAGAGATGGAACTGGTATGTAGAACAGCCACCCTTTTGGCAACTCCTTTAGTAGAACTAGACCCGCCTCTTGTTTGTGCGCTCAGCAGTTGCTAACTATGTCCCTTATTTGGCGGCGTGCTTTAGGCGCTGGCTGAGATCCGCGATGAATTTGGAAGCGAGGACATTATTTCAACGGACCCCGATGACTTGCACGCGCATGGCTATTCGGAGTGGTCGTCGAGCAACCCCGAGGGGTTGCCAGTTGCGGTGGCATACCCGCGCTCAACGGAGCAGGTCTCAACTATTGCCCGCATTTGCTATAAGCATCGCATACCAATCATCCCCTATTCCGGGGGCTCGAGTCTGGAGGGAAATTTCTCTGCGCCTTATGGAGGCATCAGCGTCGATTTTGCCTACATGGATAAGATCATCAAGTTCAACAAAGACGACATGGACGTTGTCGTGCAGCCCAGCATTGGATGGCAGGACTTGAACGAACAGTTGTCTAAGCAGGGAAGTGGGCTCTTCTTCCCCATAGACCCTGGTACGTGACTTTTGATGGCGGAAGGATCGCACGTTCGCGTGAAGCTCCGACGACAGACATAGTAACTGACTTTTCCAGGCCCGAGTGCCAAAATCGGCGGCATGATTGGTACCAATTGCTCCGGCACCAATGCTGTCAAATACGGCACGATGAAGGACTGGGTCATTAACCTGACAGTGGTTCTGGCCGACGGAACCGTGATTAAGACTAGACGGCGTCCCCGTAAATCGTCGGCGGGATACAACCTCAATGGATTGTTTGTCGGCTCCGAAGGGACCTTGGGATTGGTGACAGAAGCAACACTCAAGCTTGCCGTTGTCCCTGAGGAATTCTCGGTCGCCGTCGTCACTTTCCCCTCGATTCGCGATGCGGCGTCCGCGGCTGCCGAAGTCATGCAAACCGGCATCCCGGTGGCAGCAATGGAAATCATGGACGAGGTGCAGATGAAAGTTGTCAACATGGGTGGCGCGACTTCTCCCCGGGTTTGGAAAGAACTCCCGACCCTATTTTTCAAGTTCTCGGGGACCAAGGCTGGTGTGAAAGATAACATCAACCAGGTGCAAAAGATCACCAAATGGAACAAGGGCGGCAACTTTGAGTTTGCCAAGGACGCCAGAGAGCAGAAATTGCTGTGGTCGGCTCGAAAGGAGTCGCTGTGGTCTATGCTCGCCCTGCGCAAAGAGGGCGAGGAAGTCTGTAAGTGTCTATTTGGCCAGAGACTTGGAAGCTCATCCGGAGCCCGGACAAAGGGGGCAAAGCTAACATCTACTAGGGAGCACTGACGTAGCAGTTCCGTTCAGCAGGCTTGCGGATATCATCGAGATCAGCAAAAAAGAGATGGACGATCTCGGCTTGTTTGCTAGCATCTTGGGCCACGTTGGTGACGGGAACTTTCACGAGAGTATCATCTATGATCGACGCAACAAAACCGAAAGCGACAAGGTCGAAGTCTGTGTGAAGAACATGGTGAAGAGGGCCCTGGAGATGGAAGGTACCTGCACTGGCGAGCATTCGATCGGATGGGGCAAGAAGGAGTCTTTGCTCTGGGAAGTTGGCCCCGACACTCTTGGGGTGATGGTTAGTCAACTCCCGAATCCCTCTCAACCGTCCTGCGCAAAGCATGATGGACCGCGTTGGATCAGATACTGACCTGTATAGAGGGCTATCAAGGCTGCACTCGACCCGCATTGGATAATGTTTGTTGCCAACTTTACGCCTCCTCCGCCTGTTTCCTCGTTCTCTGAGCGCTGGCTAACAAACCGTCTAGGAACCCAGGGAAGATTTTCGACCGAAGGGCTTAGAGGCAACAGGCAGGGTTCTCCTCAGTGAACACTCTGAGCATCTGGCATTCTATACATTGGGAGTGGGCAACCGCCACCTTTGGAGCATGGCTCATGATAACGATTACGTGTATGAGGCGTATTTTGCATTGGGAGACGGTTGAAGTTCAGAACATTTTTTGCCCGTGTTTGTAGGCTGGGCCTGTCACTGAACCCTAGGCAAAGTAGGTTTGAGCGTGGATTGGTTGTGCGTTTGTTCTTTCTGCATCGATTGTTTAGAGACTGGGATTTTTGCGCATCTGCTTCCCCACTAGAGGGACATTACCGGAAAGCTGCATTTTGATTATCAGGGGACCTGGGAAAAGTTGTGGACCTCTCGCATCCTACGTTTTAGACGAGACCCGAATGCAAACGATTTCACGACGCCCCTATCCGAAAAGACCTCTCTCTCAGTGGCTGCCGCATCCAGGTACGTACGTATCTAGACAAACTAGGCGTGGAGTCTCTCTCTTGTCTGACATGTCATCCAATCCCCAGCCTTGCCCCGGTCAGATGAATCCAATTGTGCCCAACACGTCCCCCCCACCCCTCCCCCGGCGCCGTTATAATAATATTATGAATGTCCACACATTCAGTCTTTGAACTCGTCGCCCGAGGATGCGAGATGGGTAATCTCTTTTTGTGTCTAGGAGATATACCATAGGTACCTACTCTGGAGGGAAGGAGCGAGTGTCTAGCAAGAGCACACCGCCACGGCAAACCGCCGAAGTGAGCAAGGCAAGTACGGGATCGAAACCACCTCACCTCACCTCCATACCTGACCTAATTCTTCACCCTACCCTATTGTATCTATTTCATCACCTACTCACTTATCTCATCTGAGCAGTCGGGAAATTACCTCTGGCTTTAGGTCTCTTCCCCTTCCGCTTCCCCCAAGTTCCATTTGCGGGCCGAGCTTCTTTTCTCGCCTTTCGCTCTTCACCCTACCACGCTAGCTCGGAGAGACAGGCGTGCACGTAAGTTATCGAGTTCGGGGCTGAGAAACGAACTGCGGTGCTGGCTGCTCCCTCAATTCTCTTTTTGCTTGCTTTGGTTGAGACCTATTCGAGATCTCATTTTCTCACATCCTCTCCAGCCAAGACGAGCGCGCTCCTTCTAGATCTTTAGTATTACGAGCAGCGACAATATTCCGTCCCTTCACCCTCCCCCGCTCAGCCCTTGTCGAACCGAAGGGCATATTGCTCTCGAGTGTTAGATGTAGTCTGTCGTCCGATAAAAGGACCCACACCTCAGGTCATTTTTATCACTCCCCCCTTCTCAAAACTCCCACGAGCCTCCGAGCTCCTCTAAAACCTCGCACATACATGCATGTGGAAAGCGCCAAAACTCACCTCGCATGACCGGCAGTCATTACCTCAGTTTCTCATACCCGAACGGATCCAAGGTAGCCTCGGGGCTGACACCTTTGATCTGTCGAGGCTCCTGCCCGCATCACAATGGCCGATCAGTTCCCCGGGGAACGGCCCTCGAAGGCACCCAGAGCGGAGGGCGAAGTTGGAGCACCACCTCCCGCCGTCCCAAGGAGCAGCACAGCCCCCGCTCAACAAGTCCTCCCTTCTCGTCATGGCTTCCCCTACATTGGGCCAGTTTCAGGGACGTCTGTAGTCCGTGCTGGCAATAGCACAATGTCCTCGGGGGAACGTCAATTCCGGCCTCTCCGCCAACCCCCCGTTGCCCAGCCAACTGTTATCCCTCCGGGCTGGGCTCGCCAGCGAAATGCACAGATGATAATCAGAGGTGTGCCTTCCGGGGCAACACCGTACGACATCTACCAATTCTTCTCAACCTACAGCACGGTCGTGTATATTGGTATGGATGACAGTCGAAGGAATGCCGACCGGACAGCTCGGGTGCGGTTTGAGCCCCCGCCATCCGACCTCAGCTTCATTCGAAATGGCCGTTGTACTCTTCAGGTCCAGGGGCGCATAGCAGTTGTCTCGGTCGAGTTTCCAAGGCAGCAGGAGGGAGAAGTGACAATTCGGACGCCCCTTGGTAATCCCTGCCCTGCGACTATCGTCTTGTCGCCTTTGAGTCTCCGATTCGGTGTATCGACTCGGCCGGAAACATTCATGCCCAAGAAAGCAATCCACCCTATTCCTGAGTTCGATTTCAAACTCAGTATCGATTTCAAGCACAAGATGCTCGTCGTGGCCTTTCCGGTTGATTGGAAGATGACCTATGAGGGCTTCCCGCTTAGTTTGCACCAATTCCGCATGAAGATCACTTTCAACACCATCAAAGACATCTACCGCCTGACTGCCTCTCAAGAGACTCAGGGCTTGGTTATAACTGTTAGCGACCCTCCCACTTTCTGGAGAAAGAGGTCTCGTTTAGGTGCTGCCAGGACCTTTTCCAAAGATCGGCTGTTCTGGGACGACAATGAACTGTGGGAGAGGGTCACAGAGATCAATAGGAAACATCTATGTGACCAGAATGACATAGTTTCGCTCGATGAAGACTATCAGCTTATCGACACAGGTCGTTGGACAAGCTACTGGATCGACATGGACCTACACACTGCCGCCCTATGGTCTACTGCTGAGACAAAGCTACAAGACTGGAACATCAAGACAACACCCATTGTCTCCTTCAACGTTATCCCAGAGCAGAAACCGCAACTCTGGAAGGTCCTGGGCAAGCCAATCACCGTGCGGCCGAAAGATTCTAGCACGTCTTCAAATGACGATCTCGCTCTCCTCGGTTCAACTTCACACAACCAACTACGTTTTGATGTGCGATACCAGCTGGAGGTTTGCATCTCCCAGGGAATCCTAAGCGAGTATGACGTTGGCCATGAGTTCGTTGAGAAGCTTATTGAGCTCTCGAGCCCTGAGAGCTTGACTCCAGACCGAGCCCGCCTGGTCCTCGAGTATGCTGCTGATCGGGGGAACAAAATCTATAACCCCATGGATCTGTTCGACGACAACGCCGCCATGACTTACTATCCATCCACGATGAACTTACCGGATCACTGTGAGCTGGTCAGAAAGGCAGTCATCACGCCAACCAGAATATACTTCAACACCCCCACAGTTGAGACTACTAACCGCGTGGTTCGTCAGTACAAGCATGTTCGGGACAACTTCATGCGCGTTCAGTTTACCGACGAGAAACTGAAGGGCCGCATCCACGGATGCACGGGAGTCAGGGATGACTCGCTGTACAGGCGCGTACACCGGGTTCTCAAGTTCGGCATCAAAATGGGGCAATGGTACTGGAGGTTTCTCGCATTCGGCAACTCGCAGTTGAGAGAAAATGGAGCATTCTTCTTCTGTGAGCCCGAAGGAGACCCCGAAAATGTCATAACCTGCGGAAAGATGCTCAAGTGGATGGGGCGATTCAGCCACATTACCGTGGTCGCCAAGCATGCTGCCAGAATCGGGCAGTGCTTTTCAACGACTCGGCGCGTGCCTGGAATATCAGCTCCCCGTATAGTCAAGATCCCTGACGTGCAGAAGGGAAAGTACTGCTTCACGGACGGTGTAGGCAAGATATCAGGTCTGCTTGCCCGGTTCGTGGCCGAAGACTGGGACATCATCAGCCCGGCTCCCTCGGCCTACCAGTTTCGCATGGGCGGCTGCAAAGGCGTTTTGGTGGTCTGGCCGGATGTCAAGGGTACCGAAGTTCACATTCGTAAGTCTCAGGAGAAGTTCTTTGCCGAATTCAACGGACTGGAGGTCGTCAAGTGCTCTCAATTCTCCAATGCAACCCTTAACCGACAAATCATCATGATTCTGTCCTGCCTGGGAGTCCCTGATCAGGTCTTTGTCGACATGATGAAAGAGCAGCTTACCAACTACGACATGGCTATCAAGAACAAGTTGAAGGCTGTAGAGCTGCTCACTCGGTACATAGATGAGAGCCAGACGACACCCGTCATTGCGAGCATGGTGCTCAACGGCTTCATGGAGAGCCGCGATCCATTCTGCGAGACAGTCTTGCAGCTATGGAGGTCCTGGTCGATCAAGGCCCTCAAAGAGAAGGCGAAGCTCATCGTTGAGAAGGGTGCCTTCGTTCTGGGCTGCGTAGACGAGACTGGAACCCTGAGGGGCCACTCGAAGCTACTCGAAGGCCAAGGAAAACCCGAACAGAACCAGCTGCCGCAGATTTTTATCCAGGTCCCAAACCCAGACGAGCGGAATGCCTACAAGATCATTACCGGTCTGTGCATCGTTGGCCGCAACCCCTCGCTCCATCCCGGCGATATTCGGGTCGTGGAAGCAGTTGATGTGCCCGCACTTCGACATATCAGAGACGCTATTGTGTTCCCTCTGGTGGGAGATAGAGATATTCCTAGCATGTGTTCTGGAGGAGACCTGGACGGAGACGATTTCTTTGTCATCTGGGACGAGAAGCTCATTCCCCCGTCCCAATGGGACCACCCCCCTATGGACTTTTCTCCACCCCCGCCAGTGGAAGAAAAGGAAATCCCAACCACCGAAAGCCTCATGGCCTTCTTCGTTCTTTATATGAAGAACAATAACTTGGGGTTGATTGCTCATGCTCACCTAGCCATGTCAGACTACGAAGACAAGGGCCCCAAGAGCCACCGATGTCTGAAACTCGCCGAACTACACTCACAGGCGGTTGACTACGTGAAGACGGGGGTTGCTGCTGTATGGAGCAGAAGCCTCGAGCCCCCGAAATGGCCTCACTTTATGGAGAAGAATACTAAGAGAAGATACCACTCGGGTCAGACTTTGGGCCAGCTGTACGACATGGTAAGGAAGGAGGCGTTTGACTCGAAGGAATGCTACAAATTACCATTTGACAGCCGAATCCTCAAAAAGTACCGCCTCGACAACGAGCTACTGAAAAAGGCACGACGAATCAAGAGCCAGTATGATGTTGCCTTGCGCAGAGTGATGGGCCAGCTGGAGGTCAAGACTGAGTTTGAGATCTGGACTACCTTCATCTTCACTAAGCCTAGCGGCTTGGGCTCCGACTACAAGTTGCAGGAAAAAGTTCGCGCCGAGTCGGCCAGCCTCAAACAGGCATTCCGCGACATGTGCATCACGGAAGTTGGATCTCGTGAGTTTGAGGTTCTGGGACCCTTTGCTGCTGCCATGTACCAGGTCACGTCGGAAGAGGTGCGTATCGCCCTTTACGAGGCCCGCCAAACCCATGTTCGTCCTGACGGAACCCTTGGGGTGCGGCGCATCAACGCCAGGTCCATGCCGTTGATCAGCTTTCCCTGGATCTTTGACGCCGTCTTGGGACGCATTGCCACGGGCACAACCGAGGCTCCCAGATTTTCGCCGGCTGCTACTCTTGGTGGCCACAACCCTGGCGCCCCGGGCAAGCAGAAGCATCGTGGGCACGCAAGTCAAATCATTGATCTTGGCCTTGACAATGGCATCGACATTGGCGAAGGCACGGATCCGCCGACTCGACTGAAGCATCATGAAGAAGTCAGCGAGATCATCGGCACCGATGCAGAGCCCGACCGGGCGCTCATGGACTACACGATCACCAGCGATGGACACGTCATCCACCGAGGCGAGATTCTTCACCTGTTTCGTCACGACGACGACGAATACGGTGACGACGAGGATGGGGATATTGGCGGCGTCGAAGAGGATAATGGCGTTGACGTTGACGTTGACGTCGAGAACGAGAACGAGATCACCGACGACACTGGCAACAATGCCGGCCGCGATGCGGGCAACGACACCGGCAATGAGACGGGCTATGAGACTGGCACGGACACCGGTACCGGCACCGGCACCGGCGCCGGCAATGAGAGCGGTAGCGAGATGCTTGGTGGCGGCGTGGCGAGCGAGCAGGAGGAGGAGGAAAATCTCATTACGATGTAATGCGGATCTTGTGTAGGGAGTCATGTAAACGGGAAAGCTTGGGAGGTAGACTTTGAGACAGGGGGGCCCTACAGCGGGGCTACAGCTAGGAGCTTTTATTACTGAGGGCTTTCAGGTAATCCTTAAGGCGAGCTTTCTAGCGAATAATAACACGGCACGTCTAAGATGCTACCTAGGTTAGGTAGCTTAGACACTAATAATTGCCTTTGCTTTCGGACCTGAGGAGAACATCATGCCAGTCAGTCAGTCAGTCACGAGTGAATGTGCCTCGAAGATATCAGAGCCTGCGCCTCGCTGGTACAGAGAAAACATCCATCACGACGGGTAAAACAATTCACGATATTTAGTTGTTTTTAATAATAATAAAAACTCAATTCAAATGAACGTGGATGAATAGATGGATGATGAGATGGATGATGATACTCGGGGGGGTATTTTCGCTTTGCCCATACAAAAGAGAAAATTCGGAAAACCCGGCAATAGTAACCAAAGAGACAAAAGGAAAAACTAACTACCAGGTAAGGAAACAAACCACCACCAACTTACAAAACATGGAGATATCCGAAGAAGGAAAGGGGGGAGGGGGGGTGGGAGGTGTGAAAAATGAGTGTCTGCTACCGCCGCCCTCCCTTATTCTCAAACATGTCTCCCCCATTCCCACTTCCGCATACAAATGGAATAGTAGCGAAACAAGAACGTACGCCGGTTATTTGGCAGACCCCTCGACAGATGTCTCTTGAGATTTCTCTCGTGCCACTGAGCTCCAATGTTCCTCTCTTCCTTCACCTATTCTGCAGACTCCGGTCGAGATCGATTTCACCTGATTGACATTTAGCGACGTGAACAACGAAATCGATAAAATTTGCTGCCTGCCCTGCTAAACCTCTTTTTTTTCTTGTAGGAGTTTTTTCTTCTTGGGAGCCGAGACTTAGTTTGAGAGCCTGTTATTGTCACCGAACGCACATAACGAACTATTCGTTAGACAGTCGCCCTCCTGTCCCTTTCATCCGGCTTTCGTTTAGTGAGTGTCGTGATTTAGACAACCGTCTTAATCGGGTCAACCTCGTCCTGGTACGGAGAGGGCTTCTCCTGGTACTCCATCAGGCCAGCCTTCTCCTCGGCAATGACGGCTTCCTTGAGGGAGGCGCGGTGGTGGCTGTGGTGAGAATGGTGCCGGCGGTGGCCGCTGCTGCTGCTGCTCGACGGGCGGCGGAAGAATCTGCGCCACAGAGACACGATCAATGTGCCAACAACCATGCCAACGCTAAGAAAAGAGAAATTGGTTAATTAGGGTGCTGGGAAAAACGGGGCATACAGTGAGGAAGGAGGAGAACTTACAGGCTCACGCTCACGCCAGCGACGATGCCAATGAGAACGGGCAGCAGGATGTGCGAGGCAATGCTCTTAAACAACTGGCCCCAGCTGTGCTTGCGATGGTGCGGGATCGGCATGGCCTCGAAGTCTGGCGCGGGCTCGGCGGGCTCGGCGGGCGCAACAGCCTCAGGCACGGGCATGACGGCGGCGGCGGCTCCAGCCTTGTTGCCGTGGCAGGGCCTGGGCTTGGACGCCTTCATGCCCTGGATCTTGTCGTGGACGGCAGCCATCCACCTGCACAGCACGGTGACGCACTCGGAGGGCGCCGAGCTCAGCGACGTCACGGGGTCGCTCTTCTCGATGCTGTGGACCAGGAGCCGGCCGTCGGCCTGCTTGATGAGCTTGACGTGGACGCTGGGGATGCCGTCCATGAAGACGGTGCCGATCTCGATGATGTCCAGGTCGATGGCGATGAGCTCGAGCCCGGTGGCCGTGTCCTTGATGGGAGCATGGACCTCGAGGCCGAAGCCAAGGGGCAGCGCCGGCCGAATGAGCTTCGGGTTGGGGCGCCGGAACTTGTGATGGCTGGCGAGGGCCTCCTCCTTGTTCTTCTTGGCATCCTTGCGCGCCTTCTTGTTGTTCCTCCGGTCAAGGACCTGGGGTGCGGCGAGGATGTTGTGCATGGGGTCTGCCACGGGATACAGCTCGAAGCCGTTTAGGAGAAGGCGGTCGTGCGTGGGCTGGTGGTCGACGGTGAAGGATAGCTCGAGGTGGTTCGGCTTGCTCTCGGCCGTGACGTGCGGACCCAATACGAGAGGACACCCCGGGCATTCAAGCTTGACGACATGCTTTTCCTGAATGCTGGGGACAGACGCCGCCGCATCCAAAGGACGGGGATCGACGATGCGGAGGTCGGCCTCGGTCAGCTCGGGGGGCAGGAGGAATGCGTTCACGGCAGGAGCGGCCAAAAGGCCAGCGGCCGCGATGGCGAGGGGTTTAAACAGCATGGTCGCTGTCAATCTATGCTGTAGTTGTCTCGGTCGGTAAGTACGGGGAGCGTTAATTCGTGTCGTTGGTTCTTGTTTTGTGCAGTCTTGCGCAGAAAAGGAGATCGACGGGAAGAACGGTGGTTGTCGTTCTGGTTTTGATGCGGCTTGTTTGGGAAATGGAGGAGGGATCGTGGTTGCGTGGTGAGGCGATGCAGGTGATTCAGATGATTTCAGGTGCGGTGATGTTGTTGGCCCAGCCCTTTGTTAATAATCCATTTGACGCCGGGCCTGCCGGAGCCCAAACCATTAGCAGCGAGTGGCATCGGCCATCAGTGACGAGCTGCTCCAACGAGAGGGCCACAGCGTGCCAGGGCCCCCTTCCCCTCAAGCCAGCCAGCCAGGCCCCCAGACTCCCGTGACACTCGACTCGCGCCAGGGAAGCAAGCACCTTGGGCTTGGCCGTCTCCGGCGCTAAGCTAAACGACGTAATTGACGGCCTGAGGCATGAAATTCCTGGCTTGGCTGACGCACATTCCCCTTCAAACAGTTGGTGATGTGCACTGTGGGGTATTACCGAGCCCGCAAATACACGTGTACTTTGTATATCCATGTCCTAGAGTGCACAATCTACAACTCATGCGGCTCTTCTTCAACAAGCTACAATTGTTTATTTTACGGTTTCGCGGGTTATAATATCGCGTGCATCTCCTGGAAAAACCCGTGAGCGTCTCTCGCCATTCCCCAACCTACCTTCCCCCCCACCGCCCGCCCGAATGCGCCGATGATGGCCCCACGTCTCCGATCCTCCAAGCTCGGAATCGTCAGTTTCTCTCCATTTCTGGTCAAGTATATTGCTCGTCCTCCGCCGTCGCTCCCACTGCACCCCCTTTGGGACATTGCCCCAAAGAGTCGCTGAATAAAAGCCGTCGAGGTCTATCTATGCACGGCCGGCGTTTAACTTTTTTCTGCGGAGACGGGCCACCAGAGCTGTGGAGATGGTGAGTGAGCCCGCCCATGCCGTTCCATGTTCCCGTGAAGCAGTAGTCCAATCCCTGAAGTTTAGTTTTTTTTTTTTTCCGACGGAGTTAATAGCTATGCGGATCTCCAGGTAGTATTCGAGACAGGGAGATAGGCCTCCAGGCTTCTTTGCTAGGGGTTCCAAGACTTTCCGCCTCCCAGTCCGGCACCAACAAACATTCAAGGATTGGACTGTGCCTATGTGTGCTCTCTTGTCCATGAGTGACACTCTACGAACGAGACCAGATACGTAGTAAATAACAACCACTCAGGTAGGCAAGGTATGTATGCACGTGGAATGCGCGCCCCTCCCTCACATGGGTGACCAATTCCCGAAGGTAAGTCACCTTCATTCATTCCACACTGATCTGAATATGACAAATAATTACTGAGCCTCCTTGTTAGTAGGATATCTAGTCACACACAGACAGACGCACACACGCACACAAAAAAGCAAAAACGCCGATGGCCCCCCCCCGGGTTGCGAAACAAGGCCCTGAGACAGGACCTCAATCGTTTTGCGACACAACAAAGGCCGGCACCATGGGCGGCGGCGGCGGCGGCGGCGGAGGCGGGACATGTAATGGTCGCTGGCCCCACTCTTTGTTGAATTTTTCCGTAGTGTCATCCATCATCATGCCCGATTTAGACAGAGTGGCTCGTGTGATTGGCCTGCGAACAAAGGGCCCCTAAACAGAGTCAGATTACGGATACGTCTTCTTCTCTCAAGGTAAATAACCAAAAGTTTACATGAGCTCTAGGACCAGAAAGAAAAGAAAACAAGTTATTAACTCTAAATATTGCGAGTTTTGTCAATGGTGGTATCTACATAAAATGTCCGCCCTACGGACATGGACGCCGTTGCTGAATCTCTCACCTGCCCGAAGCATGCAATATTCGGACAATGTCGTCCAAGAAGAAAAAAAGCACTTCCTGGCTAAATATTTGTGCAAGATGTTGCACCAAAAAACTCTCCCATGTGCAACCCCCCCCCCCCCTTTTTATGTTTATTTTCTGTCTCCGGCCACGGCCGGTTGAAACAGGGCCGAGGAGGTTTGGCAGGTGCTGACGACAACCACACAAAGCCACTTGACCGCCTTGGCCTCCGAATGTCATCACATTTTCGATCGTCAGCTCGGTAACGATACGTAGTCGTTACCCGAGCCGAATGGGGGGCGGGATTCGGCCATATCGCATGGCTCTCGAAAAGCTACGTGCATTGAGTGCCGACCTTCCGCCAACCTTACCAGCGGTAGCGCCCGTGTCGACGAAGAAGTTGACGAGATCGACCGAGTTTCCATTCCCGACCGTCACATTGCTTGCCACCTGGACGCTCACCGCGCTGCTTGACACGCTAGCTCCGGGAGTAGAAGAGGTGAAGAATTTTTGAAGTGTGTTCTGGGCTGTTTCGGCATTTGCAAGCGATTCCTTCTGGAGAATGAAGAGGACTGCAACTCGAGCAAAGTCAAGAACCTCTTCCGTAACGTTGAAGGTGGCTGTCGGGGCCGGATTTGGCGTACTGGGTGCCATTGGCATCGTAGTTGTTACGGTACTCGTTGTGTACGGGCGTGTGGACCTTCCGAGGGATATTGTTGTAGCAAACGTGCCAGGAGCAGTAATCAGAGTAGTGAAACCCACTCCACCGCCAGCCTGAGTAGTTGCCACAACTTGGGGTGATGCTTGGTCCGACGTGGCCCGGTCTGCAGTAGCGGGGCTCACAGTAAATGTGGTAAATTCCCCAACCATGATGGTTATTGTAATCATAGCAACACCGTTGACCACATTGACAGCGTTGACGACGCCCTGTGATTGAGCTAGAGCGGCACCATCGCGCGTCGCTTGACCGTCGAAAGTTACTAGTGCGTTCTCGGCCGCGCAGCTCATGTTACCTGCATTGAGCTTCGCAACTATCTCAGTGCCGGAGAGAGGAATCGAGAAATTGGTTTGTGCTTGTTGGATTAAGCGGGGAATGGCGTCTCCCACGGTGACGTTGTCAAGATTGTTGCCGCCAGCAAGCGAGATCGAGCTGCAGCCGATTGAGCCTGCGACTGCGCAATTGAACCCAGTGAATCCATTCTTGCATATGCAAGAACAAATGCCCTGGTTAACGACATTGGTGCCGCCATTCGAGCAGGCCAGCTGAGCTTGACATTGATCTAGGGCCGCCTGCTGGCTTCCACGGTCCACGTTTTGCTTGCGGACAATGAAGAACTCGACAGGAATGACCACGGCGGCCGCGATGAGGAGCAGGACCACAATCATCACCACAATGAAACCCCAGAGTGGTAGGCCGCAGCATCTGCGCCCTTCTTTGGATCCTGAGCCTCGTGAGCTGGAATTCGGTATTGCTTCCTGAGAGGTGTTTGGTGTGCGATTAGAATTAAAGGGTAAAGGCCAAGACTGAACTTGGTCTCGAATGCTCTCGCGGAAACTGCGGCGACTGGTGCCCGCAGCTGCCTGAGCAGGAGGTGGAAAAGCAGCAAGCATATCTGAAAAACCAGAACGGTGTTTCTCGCCATCGTCTTTTTGCGTGTCAAGTTAGCCTACAAATCTGTGCCAAAATCTCAAAGTTGCAAGGAAAAACTTACAGGAAGCATCTTTCTCAGCCCCGTAGTCATCTTGTCCCGAATAACCATCAAGGTCATCAATTCGGCTGGCTGGTCTCCTACCCTTCTCGAGGCTGGCAGCTAATCTTGTTGCACGGCGTATCAAGTCTGGCAAGCTGGTCAAGCTTCCTCGCGACTCGGCTTTTTTCACGGCGTCCAAATCTAGACGCGGCGGTCTCCGTATTGCCGATAGTCGACTGAAAGGGCGGCCATTCGAGGGAGGTTGAGGTGACGGCATTGGAACCGACGAAGGGCTGGACGTATCGGTTGCACTTGCGGATGAATACGCATTGAGTATGGCATCCGCCGTGAGCGAAGAACCAGCCACCCCTCTCGTTGTCTGAAGCGTACTAGACGAACTGGAGTTCTCCAAGTATCCTGTCCCATCCTTAAAGGGCTCGGATTGAACTGGGGCCAGGCCAGGTCGTTGACTCCCATCCACGCCCCGAGGAGCCGTCGCACCAACCAGCGTAGCTTTTGCTCGCTTGCCCAAACTCGCACTTCTTACAAGCCTGCTATCCTCCGCATCGTCTTCCTCGAAGGTGGATGGCCCTTCCTCCACTATTGTGTCGTCAAAGTCCGCATCTGGGTAATCAGGGCTAGGGCCTGGGGATGGTGTTCCCCAGCTTTCAGGCATCGCCGCGCTCGACGCGAATGAGGCGCGGGATCTCGAACGGGGGCTTTCTTCGGGAATTGGCGAGACATATGAGGCATTTGAGTAGAATGAAGATGCACCGCGCCTCGCTGATGGCGGGGGACCGAGATTTACACTCCGTCGTGGAGGGCCGGGGGGGAGCTGCGCCGGAATAGGAAAGTCGGGAATTGACACAACGGAGGATAGCGTGGATTGCCGTGAGAGACTCGAAGGAGTCTCCGGCACCGATAACAGTTCCATGCCCACAGATTCCCTTCCGGACTGAGGTCTGTATTGAAAGACGGGAGTATGGTCCTGTATCTTGGAGCTGTCAAGAATCGAGGGGACTCTTGAGGGACGTGGGGGTCGTTGAGGCGGTTGAGATTTTCCAGGGGGAGGTCGGTATGGCTCACCACCTGCGCCAGAAGCGGCCGCCACGGGGCCTTGCAGCGGCCACTGGGGAATCTGTGTCGGTTTTGAAATAGCCACACCGATTTGCCCATTCCTGGTCTGCATTCCCAGTGGTGCTTGAGGTCTCGGGAGTCGTGATTGTCCAGCAGTCGGTCCCATTGGAGTTTGACGTGCCATGGATGGCCGCGCTATCTGTGGTTCTTCGTCGCCAGGCATCGCCCTTGATGGTAGACCATCTTCCCTCGGAAGCCCAGCCGCAGCCCGCTCCCTTGCTCTCCTAACGGATCCTGCTGGTGGTGGTCGATCCATGTTTCTCCCATCTTGAGAGCTCATTGAGTTGGAGTCTCCCGGAACCCCCAGACATCCAAACTGCCTTCAGTCCCTCTCTCTTGCCGGATTTTCAAATATCCGCCCTGCTTTCCTCCGGGATTCCACGATGGCATGCGCGATATCCCACCACGGTGCGATGAAACTAGTGATTGGTTTCCAAAAGACCGGCTAGGCGGTATGGTGTGTGACGAAGTCGTAAGCCGTCGTCTCTGCGTCGCTATCCGCCGTACAAATCTCTCGAGTCTATCGGTGTAAACGAACGGTTGGCTGGCGCAAACGAGGGAGGAGGGACTCTATAATCCAAGGCTGTGGAACCGGACGTGTGCATGTATCCGTGACAAACGAAGAAGTGAATGTACTCTATACTGATGCAGAACAGACAAGAAACGAGCCCAGAGTGTAGCCTGAGCCCGGTCAGCACAAACAAGAAAATAAGATCAAGTGGCTGGCCAGCGGCCTGGACTGCGCGAAGCCAGAAGGACCGGGCAGTTTGAAGGCTGGAAGACAAGAGGTCAGCCCCAAGTATCTGGTTGCGCAACACGAGACACAAAAGAAAGGAGCATCAAAGTTGTTCACGGATCATCCCCATTTGCCAGCATGATTTGCCTGTTCAGGATGGCCCGAGGCCAGGAGGGCTGGGGAATGGCGGGAGGGTGACTTCACCCGCGGCCAGGACCAAACACTGAGCCCCTAAACAGCCGGGTCGCGGAAGGGGTGGGACGGAGGAGATCACGTACAATTGGCGTTTCGAGACCCGGACACGACGACTCCAACAGCCGTAGTTAATGGGCGATTTAGATACGCCCAGTGTATTTTTCTGTCCCTTGCGTGTGCGTGTTGGGCGACACTGCAGACCGGAGCGTTCGACGCCCTCGTGTCTGTTTGCGCGACTGGCCGAACGGTGGACGGCCGAGTCTCGCGGACGAAATAGCAGGCAGCGATGGTCGCTCCGATGGGTCACAAACTGAACCAGAGGCCCCAGAGTCGGTAATGGCAGCGCGCCGGGATGCCGTGCATGCACGTACTTGTACGACACGACGGTGGTGCGTGAACGGTAGGTGGCGTTTCAGGTTTGCGGGACGAGCAGAAATCGCAGCGGAACCCAACAGGGTGGGTGTTTGAGAGTAGATGATCAAGAGAAAATCAAGCAGAGCCTGCAGGCGTTCGCAGGAAGATAGACAGAAAGACGGGTACGAAACGTCGAGCAAAGAGACGCGCGATGAGTGTTTGTGTCTACGTGTGTGTGCTTGCGTGTTTGCATGTAAGGCAGGATCTGGGTCTTTGTTTGGATATACACAAGCAGGCCCAGCGCGGCGGTTCCAGGATCCTTAGACGGCAAGAAGGACAACCTAAGTGCAACTAGCAGAACAGGCTCAAGTGGCAAGAGGCGAAACGAAGGGGCCTTCCCAACGTGGGTGAGGTGAGAGACGGGCCGGGCGATGTCGTCAAGACCGCGCAAGCGAATCCCGAAAAGAAGGGGAAAAAAATCAAAATCAAAATGAGCGTCGACAAAGTTTGATGATTAGGCTTTGCAAGACGCAAGAGTAGGAAGCAAACACACTGCTTGACCAAGTTGCTTGAGCCCCAGCCCCAGCTTCGACTCCAAGCGCCAATTGGGTCAAGGTCACCGTTGGTCGACACAGCAAGCAAGCAAGCACAGCCGCGACCTGAGGCAGAGCAACTGCAGAGAGGAGACGAACGAGGAAGGGACAACCCGGGAGGCAGACCGCAGAGAGAGAGCTTGGACCGCGTCAGTCACCCCACGGTCCTGCCCGGGAGGCGCACTGCACTGCAGACCTCGGGGTAGGCATCACGGCCCCCCCTGGTCACCTATAGACCATAAACCGCCAGGGCGCGGTCCAAGACTCCATAGTGCTGCTTTGCTACAGGTCCGAGGTCCCTAGCGTCGAAATTGAAAGGAGATCAGTGCAGGAACGCTCTTGCGAACGGACTCCAAAATCAGAATCCCTCTCTATCCTGACGACCTAACCAGGATCGACACAGCTTTGGGTGAAGGGCTGCTGTTGGATATGCGCCAAGGGTGGAAGTCCCAAGAGTCGGTCCACTTCCAAGGTCACTCATGTACGGTACGGTACGGTATGGACACGCAAATCCCATGGAAGGCTTCGTCAACTGGATCAACGGCGCTGCAGGTGAGAGGCGCCTCTTGCCTGGTGGGTGGGTGATTCGTCCCAACGTCCATACAGAGAGGGTAGTTTGTGGTGATCCAAAAAAACGCAAATTGATCTACACCTTATTTTGGGAAACCCGACTTTTCGAACAGGCCAATGGGTGGGCTGGATGGGAACAAAAAATAAGGTCAGCAGCCGGCTTACCGCGCATCACTGTGCCCGCGTGCCGACTTCTCCTGTGATAGCTGGGACCACCGAATCGGTCTCATGCAGGGGAGGAAGGGGGGGGGGAGGGGGAGATCCCAGAATACAGGGCGCCTGCGAACACTTTCTAGAGGCTCAAGTATCTTTGGCGTATCTTAGTCTGGAAGTAACTTACCTGACTTACGTGGCCCGTGGTGTGTGTTGTGTATGGCTTAGAAAGATGGGGGTAAATCCTTTCAGGCATTTGGGAAGGAAAAAGGTTTAAAAGAAGCCTTTCCGTTGCGGCGTTGCGGCGCGGCGGCATGCGAGCAGTGTTGCTTGCCGCCCACTGCCGCCGCACCTTAAAAAGAAGGCTTCTTCGCGAATGCTGAACTGCGGCGGGAAGCATGGGAACCGGACACCTGTTCCACGGGATACATGGACACACGGCGCCATGCCATGCCATGCCATGCGGAGGGAGATTTCCATTCCCTCGTCGATCACGACATGACGCCCGCCTGCCCGCCCGTCGCCTTGTCGGGTTTGCCATGTTGATTAGCACATGTTACCACACGCAAGGACCCAAACCTACCAGCACAAAAAGGGGTGGACAAGCACCGCACCGAGGCTCGAGGACCCCCTTCCCGGCGACTCTAATGGAAGCTAAATCGGAAACGCTAGCACGGTCACTTGCAGCAGCTTCCCCTTATTTCAGGGGTACCTACCCCAAAGGCTCTAGCTCAAGTGGGGCCAGAACAGAAGACCACACAACACTCAGATCTGCACATACACTCGACTTCATATCATGACCTTTCTCATCAACCCCACGCCCTCTACTCCCTCTACCGGAAAGGGTAAAGCCCGCACATCTCAAGGGAAGACAGGCGCGGTAATCTTCAAGATCGCGTCAAGAGCGTTGTTCAGGTATTCAGGAAATGGCGACTTGGAGGCTCTTAGGCATTCACAGCACCTTCGTACTTCGTACTGTGCACGGTCGGAATAAGCAGTCTTATGTGACGAGACCGCAGTTTGTTGTTCTCTGTGATGAGAGAGAAAAATGAGTGACCCTAGGCTCTGGGACGGGAGCGAAGGAGCAGTGTCTTTTAATACCTCGGCTCTTCTCGAGGCTGATAGACCAAGGTATTGATACTGCTTTTCAACTCGTGCTCGGGTCAAGCACGTGATGGTATCTTTACAGTACATCGTATATACACAGTGCGGAAATAAGGTTGAGGAAAGTCTCACCTTTTTAAACCTCAACAACGCCCACCGCACGCAAAAGCACAAGCCCGCCAAAACCCCGTTGCTCGTCCTACACTGTGTCACTATGCAATGCGGCGGCTCGGGCTGCTAATCGACAACCTTATGTACCAACACGAGAAACCCGGCCGCCCGGCCCGGCGATCGGCCAACCTAAAAGGCAGCGCGAGACGGAAGCCCAGCAAGCAGCCAGTGCGGGAATTGCGGGAATTGCGGGAATTGGCCGCCAGGAACCTTAGTTACCTTGCTTATTGCGTGATGGCCATCTCAGGCGTCTCTGGCTGGATGTCCGCCCGGCCTCACGACCCGAATTTTAATTTTCTTTTCCTTCTTCATTCAGAATATATTGTCTTTGACGCTGTTTCCACAGCCCTCAGCTAACCTACCTTGGCCCAACCGCATATTATTCCATCGCAGCAGATTCTTTTTTCTGTGACAGAATAAATCGAACCGTGCACTGCGAAGACGAGACATCTTGCAAAAATCCGGAGAGGGCGAAGACGAGCGCAGGACGATAAGGAGACCGTTCCGTGAAACGAAACAGAAACAGGAGGGCTTACCAACACTTTCTCATGAGGGTGTGGCAAACCGCAAAATCCCCCCCCAATGACCAAATCAGGCAATCTCCTCACCATTAGAGAGCCCTTGCATCAGGCGATAGCAGACCTGAGCTTGTGCGGTCCATGCGCTCTACTGTGTATGTCTATTGAGATGCATCCCAGTTCACGACTCTCTTTGCACTCACCTCTTAGACGGACTCGCGAGGTGCCAGCGCTGCTACATACCTCCTTTACAAGCAAGGTGAGGTGACTTGTGTAAACTTGGGCGTGAGCTTCTAACGCATCGGTGCCCTGACATCGTTCCAATAATGCTCGTGGTAAGTAAGAGAGCTGATTTTCGTTGAGTGAGTTCATTCAATCTTTTGGGGGATCTGCGTTCGCGTCGTCCCGCGCTGCATCAGGAAGAAGCTGCTGCATCCATCTCAGCGGAAGCTGTGCCAGAGTCTTCCGTACCCGTTTTTTTCTCTTCCTTTCCTCGTCATGGGTCAAGGTTCTCCGTACTCCGGTACCGACTTTGCCGTTTCAGGTTGACGACGTGAATGCTGCTGCCGTTGCTGCCGCTGCTAGCTGGGCCGACAGACGAAAGGGGGCAGGAGGACTGGCCGAGCCGGAAGCTTCAAACTCGGCCAAGGTAGGGCAGGGAATTTATCCGACTGCCTTGCGCATTACATATTTTTCCGATTGCTCGCGTGCCCTCCGTTCGGTTGTCTATGTGTGCCGTCTGCGTAGGTGTTCATTTGGCAAGCAGCTGGCCAACCTCCTCAGCTCCCAGCCTACCCATCTCGTTTTGGTATCCTAGCCTCTTCCTCGCCGATGGCTGGATCGTGCATATTGCCAGGACCCAGACTGTACAGAGACAGAGAGGGAGAGGGAGAGGGAGAGAGTTGTGAAGCCGTCGCCGAGATAATTCAGCCCCCACCGCCCAACCACCCGGTTCTGCTCCCCTTTTACCCGCTCCACCCGCTGCTTCAGAATGCGTTTGCGAGTTTTGTAATACGTACGTAGAGAAGGAAAGTAAACAATGTCTGACCCGCGTGGGCTGCCGCCGCCGTCGGTTTCCCGGAGGAATAATTTGGCGTGGTTGCTCGCTCAGGAGTGCTGTGTCAAGTGTTTTATTGGAACAGCGGCATTCATGACCGTACTTTCGGTGCAGGAGGGAGGTAGCGCCAGGCACGTGCCGGCTCACGTGGTACGTGAGCGCATGGGAGCCTGCGTGCCGATCCACCGAAAGTAAGCCCACCCAGAAACCTTAAAATTCTGTAGACAATCAATGAACAACCATTACCCCCCCCACAGTAGTACTGCTACGAACCATTCCGGAATACCACGAACATGTTTAGAGGACAGAAGACCAATGCGTGTGTGTATGTGACAGCCAAGACGCCGAGAGAGATGCATGGAGCAGTGGCATACCTGATGTCTAGGCCGGCATTGATGTTGGATGGCAGGATGCCGAAAGGATTTTTCTTTAGTCGTAGTTAACCACTGACAAAGTTCGAGGAGAAGGAGCCCAGAGGCGTCACGGTCGAAGCAATCAACTTGCTGCCAGTATAACTAATCAACTATGAAGAGCCTGGGAGGATTTGGATCCATTGTGGTATAGAAGCAGGTCTTATACTCGGTGAGTCTCGGTTATAGCAGTGGCTGGGTTGGCCCTCTTTTCTTTCTGTCTCTGCTGGCTCAGCCTCTTCATGGCTTAAACTCTCCGCAACCCGGATACTCATGGTCTGTATCCGAAGTAATAGACTCTTCCCTAATCTCAACGTGATACAGAAGTGCTTCACTTTGATATCTTTTCTCGCCTGCGAATGTAACCTTGTCTTGTTAAACTGGTTTAAACATATGTCTCTTATCTTCTTGTTCGGTCATTTTTATTGAGATATATGTGTGCACGCGCATATATACGTGCAGTCTATCATCCAGTCAGGTGGAAGTAGTTCCATGGATTACCTCATGTTTTCGTACATGTTTTTTTGCTGCTAGTAAAAGGATACTATTGAGGGTTGGCCGGTTACACTTTCTCTTTCACCGCCTGTGAAGTCAGAAAGCCACACACATGTTGGTGGCGTCTGCTGTACAACAACAACCTCGAGACCCTTGCCTGGGCCAGACACCCATCCCTTCTTCCCCACGCGCCAACCACATGAGCGTCGGTCGGAATTCTTTTTTTTCTTTCTGTGAGGGTCGCTTGGGGGCCGAGAACTGTTGACTGGTAGCACACGAGGAGTTAGGGAAGATTTGACGAGGAGAGAACTCTTTTCTCTCCCTCTCTCTGTGTGTTCCATCTCCGCGCTTGTCTCTACCACGCACACAATCACACCGGTGTTGTGATCGATGTGTCATGCGGCGTAACCACCATTCGATGTCTCGGCCCACCAGCACGCCAAGGGCTGACTTGTCAAGGACTTGGAGTACGGAAATCACGCTAACTTCTCACGCTCAAGACAAGGTGCACGTATTGATGTTGGCGGCCAAGAAACAGTTTGTCCCAAGGTGCCTAGTCGATTGCCCAAAAACATATCGACTCCAAATTTTCATCTACTTGCTATCTACAGTTCTCCGTCTTCGGCCTTGCAACCACTTTTCTCGCTGCTATTGCAGGTAGACAAAGATGGAAATCCATTCTCGGCTCCCATCACACATGCACATGCATAGAGACACAGACACACACTTACACATTCACACACACACGCACGCACACCACTTGACAATCACCGGCGTGACCTCCGTCGATCTATAAACAGCAGCAAATATCACGCCGGCCAAGACTCAACCAAGAGACAAGTCAACCAACAAAGCTGCTCGTAAACCTTTAACCCTCCGAGAAAGAGTGAAAAAATCTCAGAAGAGAAAATTTTGGGCGGCTCTTGCTCGCCCCTGATTTGACGGCGGCGATCGTATGCAGGTGGGGTTGAGGTTGGTTGGTGGGCAGGTAATGTAAAGTACATGTACCTACAAACACAGTTACTCCGTCTGCTCCCACAAGGTAAGGCAGGGTAAGGCATATTATATGCGTAAACCGTAGGCCGACCCCAAATGAACAACAAGTAAAAAAAAACCCCGCTCGGTCCAAATCCGCCTTCTAACCTCCATAGGAAGAAGCAAGGGAGGGGAAGGGTGCTAAGGCAAGGAAGGGGTGGCGGGGCCGCCGCGTGGGCCGGCGGCAGCCAAACGTCACCCATATACGTATCAAAGTTTCGAAAAGAGATGGACGCCCATGCCGGCGGGAGAGCGGCGTCAGCGGCGCATGCGGCCCCTACCTAACCCCCTCTCTGCCGCTTCGGAGATATATGCCGGGAATTTTATTCCTTGCTATATTGCCCTCTTCCGATGTTACACTGGGGATTATGGACGACGACTTCGGATAAGCAAGCTACTGATTATCCCCAAGGTAAGGGTTATTAGTATTGCTTTGGTTCTAGAGTAGGTAGTAGTTGCGCGGATGTTACTTTGTTGCTTTTCTTCCGAGTTGCTCAACAGGGCGGTTCCGCAAGTCGCCTTCTCTTCGTGGATGCCATGATGGCGAGAACCCGTGGTTGTTCATCCAGAAAGTTAGGCAACTGTGCAAATAAACAGAAGAATCCCATGACCAGGTTCGTGAGCATGATTAATTGTTTTGGTAGAGGCGCCTTGCATGCCACTAACATACACTCTAGACTGTTGCTCGAGGAGCTGCCAACAAAACGAAGTGCTATCACTCGCATCAACAAACGCACATGCATAACCGATCCAAAACCATGCTTGCGCTACCGGTATCTTGTGTCCATCCCAGCATTGTGACTCCCTTCTGTTCGTGCAGAAGATCAGGCCATGGGAGATGCAGACACCTAAAAAAAAAAATTGAAAAGGAAAAAAAGGGTCGAAGACCAACCAGGAGGGTCTCGTCAAACTGACAGCCGTTTTATCCCACCATCTCTTTTCAAGAAGTTCATATCCATGTCATGATAAATCGCTCCTTCCATTTTCCCGCTGTCGCTCAGGCGTCGAGCAAATATAGCCCAATCTTAACCGCGGCTGAATCACGACCTCGTAAGTATGAAATGTGAAAGAAAAGGGGCACAGGAAGGGAAAGAGGAGCTCATAATATCACGCATCTGTGCTCTCGGTCTTTTCGCCTCCTCCTCTCCCGTTTCTTGGAAGATGCAGGATACTCCTGCTTTTGATAGTAATCGTCATCGCGTGTGTCTTCGTTGTAGTCATCGCGTCGTAGCATTTGTCGACAAAGGTCAACAAAGACTTCATCGACATTGGCTAGGCGGAAGGCATCATGGTTAGACAGGGGTTAACGGGCATGGTGATGTGGGTAGCGACGTACTTCGTGTCCTGGCACTGGCCTCGTAGTATGGGGCTCGCCACCGCTGAGAAAAGGAGAATGCCTTGGCGCGATCTACGGTCCGCGAATCTTCGAGATCTGCTTTGTTCCCAACGAGGACAATGGGGATATTCTCGTCGTCCTTGATTCTGATGATCTCCTCGCGTAAGGTTTTTAGCTCGTCTAACGAGGCGCCCGAGTTGATGCTGAAGACCAACAAGAACCCTTGACCGGTTTTCATGTAGAGATCTCTCATAGCAACTGAATCCGCTTGTCAGCAAAGAGTTTCCCAACACCTAAAGACACGGGAACACACCAAATTGCTCAGTGCCGGCAGTATCAAGGCTATGCACTATGTTAGAATAGACGAACAGGCTATAAAGGGACCATACCGAGTCTCACATTTCTAGAATCACTTGGCGTCCCTGACATCAAGCCACGTTAGCTCTAACACAACGAGAGACGACAGAAACATAAGAGGCATAGCATACATCGACAGAAATCTGAGTCCTGTAAGAGTCCTCGATGGTAGGATCATAGCTCTCAATCCACTCATTGTGAACGAATTGGGCTGTTTGCAAGGTTGGGTCAGCATCAAGAGGGAGAGGACAGGGATGAGGAGAGGTTGCTCAGGGGATGGTGATAAAACTCACCTGTTAGACAGCTCTTTCCAACGCCACCTTGAGGAAGCAGAAAAATGTCAGTAGATACACCTGGTGATGCTTGTGATTTCTCTGGGGAAATAAGCCGAATCGCTCGTGGCTTGACAAGCTCGAGAATGAGAGACATACCTGCACCAAGGACTACCACATGGAATTCCCGGCTAGTCCATAGTTAGCTTGTGAATTTGTATCCATCGAGGCCATTGAGCGTTGCTTAAGAAGGGTTGTTGGAGGGGAGTTGTGAGAAGGGAGAGCGAGGGAGCTGGAAAGAGGGCAAGGATGAGGATGAGGATGAGGGTGAGGGGGGGTACATGGAAGCTCACCAAGGCTGGAAACCATATTTCGACGGCATGATCCCCAACTTCAGCCAGCTCAGTGGAGGAGCGGATCGCTGCCCAATGCGCCTCGGGAGCTCGCCCTATTATTTTGCCGCCTTTTCACCGAAGTCTCGCACTCGCAGCTCCGACTCCTCACGGGACGCCTAAGGGCGGGTGCAACGATGGGCCGGCCCAGGGACCGCGGCATGCAGATATCGACCGGTGACGACCAGGACCCTTTGAGTGGAAATACTAAAGTTGAAGAAAAGGGAAGGCTCCGCCTTTTCAGACAGCTGGTTTTTTTTTTGCGCTCTCTCTTCTCCCTCTCCCTAGTCGTACTCGAGAGAGACAAGCGCTGCTAGGGCCGACAAATTTGGGGGCTCGAGAGGCGGGGGGAAGGCGGGATGCTTCCAGGCCGCCGTGTGGGAACAAGCTCAGATGTTTTAGTGGGTCGACAAGATGGGGGATGGAGGGGTGCAAGTGGCCAAGCACCCAACTTATGTTATGGCCTGCTGCTGCTAGGTGTGCTGCTGCAGGCGGGGTGTCGATGGCCCAAACTCCGAGCAACCGCGGGGAGATCTTCCTAGCAGATCTCGAATCGGAGGTTATAGAAGGGGGGAATAATGTGATATAGATATCCGCCCGCCGAATCTGGAATCTGGAATCTGGATTGGGATTATTTGGATGGATCCAGGCCTGTAATATCCCGACCCCGCTAGAAATCCCGGCTCGCTGGGAGGAAGTCGCGGCGGAGGCAAGCGAAAGGCACCAGACTAATGGCGCCAACAGTCGCTAGCCTGGGCGGAGCTTGAACGGTGGGTGCTGGATGACGTGAGAGAAGTCGCGGGAGTCAAAGTACTAAGATGGGGCTGAATGCCCTGGTAGTGTAGACGGGAGGTATTTGTATTTGTAGTAGTGTGGTTTGGGGTGCAAATCAAAATGCGGATACACAGCAATCTAGGTAAGTGGTAAGGCACGGAGGTCCATCCATGGCAGCTAGAGGTATCCGTACTTGGATTTTGCCCCTCTTGGCAGCTCTAGAGGTGCCGGTGCGGCGGGTTGACAACTATCAAAAGCCGTTTAGGTAAGGTACGTAACAGGGTATGCACGTGCTTTACCTTGGGTAGGTATCCCTCCTCGAAAGACAGACATGCATGGAGGCGAGGTGCAAGACTAACGGACGGAGTGACTGACTGACTGACTGACAGGGAGGCGGGGGAATTCCGAACGCTGTCATGGTGCAGTGGCTGGAGAGAGACATACAGGAAAAAGAAAGGATGGATGGCATAGGATAATCCAATCCGTCCACGGGAAGCACATCCATCTCACCTCACGTTATTGGACTTGTCGGACGGACATTCAGCTTTGGTGCAGCACGGAGGCGGCAAGCGCCCTGACTGCCAGTGTGTCTCGGAGGAGGGACGGACTCGCGTCTCTTTTGTGCTTTTCTCTCAAGGAACAGACGCTGGAATTGGTCGAGACGATCACAACGGCTGCAGTCACGCAGGAGGCGACCTATGGCCCAACCCTAACGAGGCTAGACTGGAGGGCGGGCCAACTAAAAGAGAAAGTCCAGGCGAGCCAGACTGCAGAACATTGGCTTCCCCGGCCGCGGGGGCCCTGCGCTGGGTGCTAAAACGACAGTCTTGGAGCCAAAATCTATCCAACCAATTCCCCCCCTTTCCACCAGGCTGTTACCTTTACGTGCCTGCGTTGCGCAGACTTGAATGATGCTCGCCTTGTGGATGCGCGTGCCTTACGCACCCACCAGCCAACGACACTTGGCCATTCAAGCGAGACGCTGCAAGGACGGACGCCAAGGACTCCCGAGCATCCAACCACACAGCCAGACAATTGACGGGCTTCCGGTGGGACTAATGCCAGGAACGAAAAGGCTTTCAGAATCGGGCAGGGACGAAGGAACACATGAGCCGATCACGGCAGGAAGGAAGGCCCTGGGCAGGCATGTTGGTAGGACGTACCTTCCATGTTTACCTATCTCATTTCGTAATGCAATTAGCCCTACGGTATCCGTAGAGTCCTGGCGCTTGCTCTCAGTTCCAGACACACAACTCCGCCTCCATTGAACTGAATGGCTGCAGCCCGCCACTGGTTGCTTCGCCTGGCTTCCATTGAGCTCGGCCGTCAGCGGTATTGATGCGTGTGTTTAGGCCCCCTCGTGTACGAATTGGCTCGGCGTCGGAAGTGTCTGTCGATAAGCATCCGTCGGTAGTCCGAACGCACGACTCTGGCCTATCGAACTCGAGCACCGCGGGACCGCTGGCCTAGCAAGGTCCAAGTGCCTGACCTGACCTTGGAAGGCATCGAATTGCCCAACCACAACAACAGACATACGGGCCCGCCCGTAGCCACTCCGCCTCTTGCTTCAGCCGCTGGAGCTCCTGATACCTGTATTACAGGAAGCGTTTGTTGGTAGGTAGGTCGGTCACGGCTTCCTTTCCATCATTATCGCTCACCAGAGGCTGCCACGCCGCCCAGGAAAAGCAAAAGAAAGACGCAAAAAAAGAAAGAAAAAAAAGAAGCAGATGACCTGCAATGACAGCGTGGACAATCCAGCGTGCCTTGCTTTCAGGGCGCGTATCGTTGTCGTGGCTGTAGCCGTCGCCTCGTCTTGCAGGAAATCGATCCGTCCGCTACGTCCTCCGGCCCGTCTCTAGACATGGACCATACCTAGGCAATCATAGTTGGGCATCACCGGCCAGACTCGCTGGCCGGGTTACGCTGCAGCTCGTATCTCGCACGCACGCACATATACCTCTTTCCCGATGACCAAGACGTCCTCCGACTGGACAGTAGCTGTGTCGCGCAAACCGGCAATTCGTGACATCGTGACATGGGGAATGTGCGCGCGATCCAGGGGTTCAGTTGCTATGGGCTCGTCTGAGCGAGTCGAGGCCAGGCGGCGCGCCTGGTCCAACATCGCCGCCGTTTCCCGTTTTGTCTTTGCTTCTTGGAGCAGTCCGCCGTTGTCCGTTGGCCGTAGCCAGAACTTGACACACACTAACCAAAATATAGCTTAAACGGCCGTATCGGTTGAATACGTCCATCCTATCTATCTTTGCAATGGGATCTCTCACTGGGGACGCTAAGAGAGGCGTCTAGATCGAGGAATAATGGCTCGGTTCTCCCATACCACTTTACAAGCAGACGGCTTGAGCGTCGAAGACTTGGCATGCTCAACTGCCGACACATCTTCGGCCCCCCGAACTCGGAATGCTACGCTCACACTCGCCTACCTGCCTGCGTCCTATAGGTATTGGCTATTTGGCGTAAAGTCGACCCTCGGTAAGCTCTATTGAACTTCTCCTTTCTCATCGTCATCGGCTTCTTTCCCCGACAAGACTCCATCCACGGCCCGACGAAGCCTCTCCTCTTACCGCCGAGCCACTGGCTTGCTACCATTAGCTGTACCAGCTAGCACTCCATTAGTGTCAACTCTCCGGAACAGACCAAGCTGAAAGACTATTGGGACCTGGCCAGGATTAGCGCCCAGCCTTTTCGGGATTCCATGGTCGGCAACTAAAAGAGTACATGCTGCTGTTAAAGTTTGGACGGCAACAGCCGCCAGTCGGCCATTTTCTACCCAACTACTCAACGTCCCACCCATTACAGCAGGTTCAGAACGTTATAGATGGCCTGATCATCCCTTTTATTTTAAGAAATCACAGTTGATCAATAATACGCTAGTGGCTGGTACTCTTTCGAACCTCTGTTTATCTTGAATGATTAGTAATAAAGCATCAGCAGATGAGCTCTTACGTTGGAAGGTTAAACCTCGACGGCCTACTTTTCCAACTATTATTTGTCTATTACTGTATTTGGTGATTACTTGAGACGCTCATCATTCATGTCTTTAAGGCTCTGACGACATTCGCCACCGTCTGTTCTGTCTTTAGTCGAGTAGATCACCAGTCTCCATGCTGTTCTTGGCACGACGGAGAGTCCAAGCGACTCATCTGGGCCCTAGCGGAACGTGATCATCCGAGAAGCCCTCTCTCTCTTGTTTGTCTTCGGTTGTTAAGCCGCCATATCCTCTAGCTTTCCACTTCGCCACCCGCAGACGGGCCCGGGTCCAGTGGTAAAGCGGCATCAGCGGCGGACTTTTCAACATCTTGACTCGTCGAGCTGAGCGTCTCGGTGGCCTTGCGCCCCGAAATATCGTTCCAAGCTTTCCTCTCGGCAAACTTGAAAGGGTTTCCCTGTGCTTCGTGCTCGGCCAGAAGATCATCGAACGTCTTACCCTCTGCCGCGGCCGCTTTTCGGATCTTGCGTGTGCGTAACAGCCAAACTAAATGGGAAGTGAATATGCCAATCTCAAGGATAATGCTGCGGAAATCGTCAGAACTTTGTGCCCAAGTGGGTTGCTTGTTTCCCGCTTACCAAATTATATAGAGAACGCCACCCAGCACATCAAACGAATTCTGTACGACTTCAGGGGTTCGTTAGCCACTTGCTTCTGCAGGGATCAAAGACCGAGATGGGATCACCTACCGAGCGCCAAGAGCGAGAAGAAGGCTCCAGACCAGTCCATGCAAAGGAAAATCTGCCTTGCGTTAACCGCGTTTATCCCCAGAGGCTTCTGGTTTGGCCAGACATACCCAGTTTATCCCTATTACACGACCTCTTCGCTTCCATATTTCGCCATATGGCGGAAGGAGGCCGATTGCAAGAAGCACCGCAGCGAAAATTCCAACGACGAAGATTGGAACCTCGTTCCCGTCGTTATACAGGGGCTGAAAGGTCAGCTTTACTGTCTCGAGTTTCAAGGTCTTCACCTGTGGAGCTTACCCTCAACGTGAAGATCAGTGCTGCCTCGACGCCAGCAAAGACAGCTGCGATTGTGAGGGCTAAAGCTGCTGCCTTCCACACCACCCACTTGCTATGCCTTGTCAGCCCATAGTACTGATTGGCTACAGGAGTCGCTCTTCGGCCACACTAACTTGTGGTACACCAAGATTTGAGCCCAGCCGACGAGACATAACCCCATGAAGGCGTTAGGTTGCACCTGCAACGGAATGTTGAAATTTTGGGCGATCGAATACACGCCGAACGGAACACCACCTGTGGTCCGTCTTGTCAGATCTGGCGCCTGACAGACCGGCACTTTTCTCACTCACAAAGCGCCCACATGAACATCATGGCCCCTGGCAGCCCGTCTGTCTTCTTGGTCCGCCAGTTCGTCCATACTTGAGGAATCAACTATAAGGACACATGAGTACAAATTGCGTCGCGGCAGTGAGACCAGTCGGCTACTCACTTGGACGCACCAAAGTCTAGAGCGCGAAGAAAGGGAAAGTTTAGCACGGGATCTCGCCAAAGCCGAATTTGGGCATCCTTACACTGCAGAAGGTATCAGCAACCATGCCTGTAATTTCCGCCTGCTAGGTGGGAAAAGAGGGCTTTACCTGTGCCAATTGTCTAAACATATTGAAAAGGGGGATTTAGTTAATAAACACCCAATTCGCAGGCAGACCAATCTGCTTCAGACTTACACCTAAAACATTCGCAGCCTTTCGCAATGAGAATTATATCGTCAGCAATAAGCACAAGCACACCACCCCCGGTCTGAAAAATCCACCGGACGAGGCCTCGGAGCAACTTACAAGCGGGATGTCTGTCTGCGGCGCCATTTCTGTGCCGCGCGGCCAAGGGTATTGGAAGAAGAGAGGGGGCTTTTGGCTTCACCGCGAATTTGCCCTATCTTCTTCACCCTTTTACTGAGGAAAGAGCGGGCAGGATGAGGAGCGGTTGAGCAAGAGGGGGGGGTGGGGGGGGGGGGGGTGGGTTGTGTTTTCCAACTAGGACCGAGGTATTCACTTGGGCAAAGACAAGCGACGGCATCAAGGAGTGGCTTTAGACAATTGAGAAGAAACTGCAAAACAGCCTAACATAGGTAACAATTCCCTTCTGACAGAGTAGTAGGATTAGAAGGTACGTCAATTAAACTTCAATGGACAAAGAGAGCAGCAGGGAGACGAGCTTTTGTTTTTTTCTTGGGCCGAAAATGGGGGGATGAGGGGGGGCTATTCGGCCAATCCAGAACAAAAAGAAGGCCGGCTTCGAGAACCCACACACAATGGTCCTAGTTATAGATAAAGGAAAAAAAGGCGAGGAACAAAGAAGAAAGAGTCCACAAAAATAAATCTCCTAGAGGACGTAAAGGGGAAAGGATGAGAAGGATCGTTGGAAGCATGAGGTCACACTAAGGCACAACGAGCTATTAGCGCCTCGCCCTCGCTTCTTCGCCATCCTACGGCCCCCTCCTCTCATACATAAACCACGAGAACGAGTGCAAATCTGAATAGGATTGTATTCCAACACTATTGTTACAATGATGGAGAAAAGATGACTCGATTGGGGTCCAGCACGATTCCTAATCGAAACATTTAATAAAGTGCTGAACAGAAAGAGGAAACAACCAAACCCCACACATATGAAAAGCAGCCTCTTTTTTTTGGTGGGCTTCGCCTCGATGACGCTATTCGTCTCCAGCGGGGGGGAGGGGAGGAGACAACCCTTCGGCGTGAAGAAGCAAACTGCAGCTTTTCACAAAATAAGAAGAGAAATGTCGGGGATGTCCGTGTTCCCTGACTACTAATTATTAGATAATGAGAAAAGGTAAAACACGAAGGAAACCCTCGGGGCCGGTTGTCGGAAAGGTGGTGGTGGTGCGGTGCCTTAGCCGATGTCTTGATGCAAGTCGGGACGGACAGGTTCCTGGTGGCGTTGGTGCAAATGGAATGAATCCACACCCGCCGCTTCTCTACAGGTTCCGTACATGAAATTAGCGTCTCTTTGTTTTCTTTCGAGATATGAACGACTTGTGCGCTGAAGATTAGAAGGAAACGAACCGTATCTTTTTGCACTACAGATACAGGAGCACTCCATGTCTACCGGATGGCCGAGTTGTGAACGAATCCGACGTGGTTGCGGCTCCGAAATTAAGCGAGCCCCAGCCCATTGGATGACGCCGACGACCGCGGGGGATGAAGCCGGAATCGATATCAACTTCAGGTGCCTAAGAGAACAGCCCCGGGTGAAGAGATAGAGGCAAACATTCTAGCATTCCCGACGTACTCTGTACGACCAAAAATCAAGCTGAACTAGTACAGTCCGTGTCAATACTCAGCATGGCCAGTTACTATGTATGCACTTTGTGATAGGAGAGTATAGTACATACAATCTAAGCCCTGAATGTTTGTTAGCAGGGGCCGTTCAAGATATAAATGGCCTCTGTAAGGAAAGAGCCCCAACCCACACACACGACCAACCCACACGCGTACCGAGCGGGCCAAGACCTCACTCCTTTGTCATGACCTCTCGCCCGCTAGCCCTGCACTCTGTCATGTATATAAGCAGTGGCCCTCGCCCCTTCCTTTGCGAGGGCCAGGTTGAAGCCTCTTACCAATACCAGTCATTGCTCGTCCTATTCAGTACCTTCGTTGTGACCACCTTGATCAGGCGTACCTGCCTTCACTTACACCTCAGTATCCTACGGCTCGCCCCAAACGTCTTTCTCCAAGGAGAGTAAGAGCTATCGATTGCAAAAGCCTTTCGGGGTTTGGACTGAGAGACCGGGGAAATATTAGAAGCCGTGAAACTAGCACTCGGCCCTAGAATGGATTTCAGATGCCAATCCCCTGCTTTTCAGGACCTTGTCCACTGAAAGTGCTGATACCCGCTGTAAATACAGTGCGGATTGGTTGGCTGAATTAGCACTGTGCTCTCGCGAAATTTTCGTCCTCGCATTGAATACAATAGACCGTGAGATGAGTGGAACCAGCGCTCACCCTTCAACTTGATATCAATCTTTGAGGAAAGGGCTTTATCCAAAGATTTGAACTTGTTTGGGTATAAGTCATTTGACAAAGGAAACGGATCACTGCTAACGGTGTCTTCTGATTATTGCTTGCCCAGGAAAAAAATTCCGGGCCCAAATAAGCACTCTCAAAGCCTCCAACCCCACGGGTCTATTGAGGCCAGGGTTCAGTACAATGGCCGCCCTCGAGCAGAAAACAGTGAAGAGGAAGGCGGATGACGACGGCAGCAAGAAGAAGAGAAAGAAGGTGCGCGAGGACGAGGCCGACCTCGATGTCGAAGCCGGCCTGAACAGGGCCTTTGAGCGCATGGACAGCCAGCTTCTGGCCGACCACATCGCCCAGAAGACGAGCCGCTTTGGCACAGACCTGAGTCCCATCGAGCTGTCGGATCTGTACATTTCAGGTAAGGAAAGAAAGCAGCCGGAGTTGCGCCGCTGGTGCTTGGCCCGGAACCCCCCCCAGAACAAAGTGCAGAGTACAGGTTTACTGACGGGCGAAAACCGGGGGGGGGGGGGGCAGCGACGGCTATCAAGGACACCACTTCCTGGCAGAAGCCGCGGTCGCAGAATAATTTGCCTGACTTCCTCGAGGCTTTCTCCGAGAACCCGGAGAAGCTCCAGTCGGCCCCGAGGAAGCTGGGGGCGCCGCACACCATCATCGTAGCCGCAGCAGGCCAGCGCGCCGCCGACCTCGTCAGGTATGGAGGTCCAGCACGTCCATCTTGGACTCAATGTCTTGAGATGTCTTTCAGGTCGACTGACTAATCTGGTTCTATCTGTACAGATCCGTCAGGACGTTCCAGCAAAAAGGAATCCCTGTGGCGAAGCTGGTAAGGCCTTGCCGCGCATTTTCGCTGCCCTTACAAGACTGGGGGGGCTAACTCGTTTTTTTCTTCTGTGCAGTTCGCCAAGCACTTCAAGGTAGAAGAGCAGGTCGCATTTCTCAAAAAGACGCGGACGGGAATTGCAGTCGGCACGCCGCAGCGCTTGATCGACTTGATCGATGACGGTACTTGATTTTTATCTTCTCTCCTCTCTCCCTTACCCATCTGTGTGGGAAATGTCTAATCTCCTTATTTTGCTAACTTGCTGAAGGCGCCCTGTCTATTGAGCATCTGAAGAGGATCGTGATTGATGCCTCGCACATCGACCAGAAGAAGCGAGACATCACTAACATGAAGGAGACGATGCTGCCGCTGACAAAACTGCTCTCGAGAAAGGACCTCAAGGACAAGTATGCGAACGAGGAGAAGCCTACGGAATTGATATTTTATTAAGTACTACTTTCGGGACTTTCTGAAACAGTGAAAACCGCCCCGAACGATGCTTGAGGCCTCTGGTCTGTTCCCGGGTGCCGAGTGCGGGTCAAAAGACAGCTGAGTGCTTGATGTTTATTATTGAGTTTCTGAGGGGCCATGGCCCTCCGGTTTCTTTCTTGCTGCTGGTAGGGACCACTCAGTTAGCGCCTTCTTGCTCTTGACAAACGGAATCCTGCCGTTGGTGTCCCATTCTCTGGATTCGTGATGAAACTGGAAGGCTCGATCATCATGGCGGAAAGTCGCTATCATGTGGGACTGCAAAGCGCGCCTGCCTTTACTGCCTACACAGTATTCTTCCTTTGGGACTCTCGCAATATGCTCCTTCCACGGCTGGTGCCCATGAATTCCACGCTGTATTTAGTGCTTCTCGCCGTGGTGCACTTCCAACTTCTCTCCTCCATCACAGCCACCCATCATCAACCATCTCCTTTTTGGACGTCCCTCGTTTTTTTGGATTAGGTGCCCAGATTCTTTTCACGTCAATCGTTTGAACCCCCTTTTTGGAGATCATATCTTTGCCTGCAGCTCTCCGGGCCACCGCTGGGGCTCTCTCTCTCATCAGCAGCCATGAAATCCGCAGTGCTCTGGAGCTTTACGCTATTCTCAAGCATCCCGTCAGTTTTAGGGCTAGATGCGAGCAATCTGCCCGATTGCGGTGGGGGCTGCCTGGAACCTAGCTATCTGGGCTCGGGATGCGCCGACCTGCAGTGCGTCTGCCAGCGAGACCAAGAGCTTCAGGCATGTCTTCTCTTCGCCCAAACGCCGTCGTCTCCGAGCTTAGCTAACCATTGTGGACGGCAGAAACTCTTCCAATGCCTCTTCACCAACTGCAATGCCGAGGACTACGTTCCCGCCATCAAGCAAATCACGGCTGCCTGTATCAACTCGACCGTGACGTCGACGGTTCACAGCCTTATAGGGACCCAAGACCCCAGCAACATCACGGCCCGCGGCTCTCCCATACAACTCAATGTCAATCTTCAAATGGCGTACGAGGGTGTTGCCGAACCAGCCATCACTGGCACGCCGGTTGTTGTCAATGACAAGTCAGCAGTCACCGACGCATTGCCTGATATCTCCCTGGGCAATCAGTCCCCAGTCGAGATGAACATCAACCTCAATTACGGAAGCAACAAGCCTGGCACCGCGACAACGTCTAGCAACCCCGCTGCCGTCGCTGCCCGGCGACTCCTCGGTAACTCTATCAGTCTCGTCAACGACACGTCTATCCATCTCGACTGCCCCCCTGGACAAAACCCCAACGGTGGAATTCACGACCCAAGTCCTTTCGTGACGAGCGGGCCTCCTTCAAACAACGGCAACGGCGGCCCGCCGGGGCCATCTGTCACAAGTGGACCTGCCGCTCCCGGCCCAGGCGCTGGCAACCCGGGAGGCAACGGACAATCGCCGCCCTGCCCACCCGAAGGTGGCCCTGGAAATGGGGTTGGCAATGGGAATGGTGCACCTCCTCAGGTCACAGTTACCGTTGCTATTCCAGTAACCCCTGTGGGACCACCCTATGGCTCTCCCATGAGCGGCAATGGTGGGAATCCCGGAGCAAACGGAGCTGGGACATATGGATCTGGTGCTGGATCTGGTGCTGGATCTGGTGCTGGATCTGGTGCTGGATCTGGAAATGGAGGCTTCCCGAACGGCTGGGGCCCTGTCGGGAATGGCGCCGGTACTGGTGCTGGGCCTGCACAGTACGGACCACCAGCTCCAGCTTTTCCTCCTCCAGCTCCAGCCTCTCCTTCTCCAGCTCCAGCCTTTCCTCCTCCAGCTCCTGCTTTTCCACAACCAGCTCCGGCTTTCCCTCAAGCAGGCGGGCCGGCATGCGCAAATCCAGCGCCCCAACCGGCTCCCATGGGTCCGCCTTTCAATCCAGGCGCAGAGTCTGGAACCCCCAATGGCAATGGCCTGGGAAACGGATTGGGGGGATCACCACCTTGCCCTCCTGGCCCGGACTTCGGAAACGGCAACGGAAATGGGAATGGTAACGGCTGGCCGGCTCCAGGTTTGGGGTCAGGTAGCGGTGCAGCTAGACCCAGTCCATGTCCGGCTCCAAATTTGATGGAGGGCCCGTTTGTTGAAACAGTCATTATCATGGGAACGCCAAGTCCCGAGGCAGTTGTCCCAACAACATGTCCTTCGCCCCCACCTCCGCCTCCGCCTCCGCCTCCACCACCTCCACCACCTATGCCGGCAGCCCCGCCCATGTCTCCGTGGCCCATGGCTCCGGCTCCATGGCCAGCATCTCCGCCGCCCCCACCCCCTCCTCCGCCGCCTCCTCCGCCACCGCCACCAATGTACGGCCCGCCACCTACTCCATGTGCATTCTACGAAGCGAAGGCCGCTGCAGAAGTTAGAGCACCTGAATTCGTCACGGTCACTGTCGCCGTTCCAGGAGGTAATCAGTACGACCAGACCCCTGCAGTCGTCGGCGGTTACGGCAGCCCAGGATCGGCCCCAGGTAGCGGGGGCGCCGGAGCCGCACCCGGAAGTGGCGGTGCAGCAGCTCCCCTGCCAAACATTCCACCAGCTCCCTGGAGTCCTCTCCCGGCACAGGTTACCGCATCCCTGTCACACAGACGCGGACCGTCCTTTGCGCTTCTCACCATATCAACCCTCGGTGCTGCTCTTGTACAGGCTGCCCTGCTTTACACCTAGGAATCAATACTCTTGAGTCTTGTGTGCGGCAATTTTCTGGTCCCGAAGTATTATGTTACAGCAAGCTATTAGAACGGAAACAGGATGCATATCAGTAACTACGGCGGTTCTCGAGACATATATTGGGAGGAGTGGTTGTGCTGGTATTGACATGATATCGAACAGAGGACTATTGTATTGATGAGGGCTGACCTCGGTCTCGTACCCCGCTTGTGAATTCTCTTGGGAAGGCATAAAGGGGTGGCGAGTAAATAACTTAGATAGACAATTAGAACGGCTGTGGTCCAGCTTGGGAGTGCTCATCGCTTCTGCTGTTGTGATGGTCGTATTCCATCTTGATCTGGTGTCTCTTCCCGTGCATGGCCTCTACTCGTTCTTCTCGCCAGCTGGTTAGTAGGCTGAGCAGGGCAGCTTCGGAGGCGCCTTGGGCCACCAAAAGTGTGCCTTGTCGGGGGCTATAATCTGCACTGCAATTTTTAGCTGAGGAGGGCCTTCGAATTTTTAGCCCTTTGCTCTCCTCTTTTGACCTACCTGAAGGCAGTCAAGCTTGCACTGTGATATTTAGCTCGAAAGGAACCTCGTAAACCAGAAAACTCGTCCAACTGCGGCCGCTCTTGCACTGCAAATTTTAGCCCCAAGGAGGCCAAGTTGCGACATGTGAATTGGTTGAAACATGATCAAACACTGGACGAGGAGCTTTGGAGATGGAGTAGCGCCGCAGACGAGGTCATGACGAGCCGAATATACGAACAAGCCGAGTGAATGCACGAAAGTTCAAGTCAAACGCAGTTCAAGCATGGCAAGATCAGGAGATAGAAGTTATATGGCTATAGGCACTATAACTATAATGGCCAACATCCAGTTATTGCCGGTAGGTAAGATTCCTTGCGAAAGCGGCCCAAAGCTACGGATATGACCACCGACAAAGAAACAATGTTTGTAAGGGTGTAATTATATCTGTCCTGAGCAATCCAAAGTTAGCCAAAATGTTGCGCGCCATATCAGATACAGCTAGACCAATATTTGTATGGACGGGTCGTTCAGAATATGTAAGAATGGACTATCACTTTGCCACCAGATATAGCAGCCCCGGCGAGGGCGCCACCTGATGGCTATCAATCGCAAATTACGCTCATCATGACAACCTGAGCCACGAAACTTGTGGTTGGTGGGGGAGGGGAGTGTTGTGTTTTTTGTCAAGAGGATGCATACCTGATGAATTTCTGCCGGATTTCCCCCGGGGACGAAGACTGGCTGGCTGGCTGGCGGTCTTCCTCCCGAGAAAATCCGGGTGCGGTGGTCGTGGTGACTACCACGCGCGCACACACAAACACAACGCACGCCTGCGTGCGTTGTGTGGGTGAAGAAAAACCCCGAGGCCTTGCACGAATCGCTTACTATCGCTTCTCTCTCCCCCTTCTCTGCTCGTGCAAGAATGAGTTCCGGAGAGGGGGAGAGAGAGGCGTGATAGTGTTCGTTGCTGAAGAGGTTTGGAATTCGAGGAGGAAGAAAAAAATTGAGCAGAGGTTAAATATCTCAAATTTTTTGAAGGCCCGCTTACTTAAGCTCCTTCACCCGTCAAAGTCAAGGCTTCTTTTTGCTGGTGGAGTGGTGGGGGGATAATTGTGGGCCAAGAGGTGGGTTGGGGGACAGCACTTCCAGGCTGTCTCTGGCAGTTGGTGATTGGGGCTGTCGGACCGTTGGGCAGCCAGGTAGGTGGGTGAGTGGGCAGACTTGCTGGACCTCGTTCCATTCCTTCTCTCAGTTCACCGCACAGCAAGCAACCCCCCTGCCAAGGACAGCATGGTGCAAAATGCATGCATTGCCGATGCGGCAGCCTTGTTGATGGCGAAGCGCGAGATATAACTTGCTATTACCCACATGCTTCATTTTGCTTTCTCTTGACTTGACGATCCTCGGACCAAGTCGCCCCATTTTGTCTTGTTTTGGCGATACTGGCCGGACGCTTCAACCGGACAGATCTCGGTTTATGTGTGGTCAAATAGCACCAGTGTGATACCGAGCGTAGATATTGACCTTCATGTAGTATTAGGCCAGCTGGGTGCCGTGTCGCTGCGACGACGGTGATGAGGCGCTGGAGCGACGATCGCCATCGTTTCGGGTAGCGATATCAAGAGAGACAGGGCAGTATCAGACCATGGGGCGGGCGGGCTCATTTTTGGTCAGGCCAACCAACGATAAACTGCCGTCTACGGCCGTACGGCCGTGGTTGGCTGTTCCCAGCGAGCGGCGCGGTTGTTGGACTATTTGTTGGGCGCAGACATGTTGTAGCCAGTAGCTCTGTCCAGCAGGAGACGTTGAGGCCCAGAGTAGAGAGCCGAGTAGCGATCATGTAGCTCATGTGCCGCGTGCTGTGCGACTGTTGGCTTTCTCGGGTGGCCAAGTCGAGTCAGGCTACATACCGTCGCCCTGAAGCTTGCTGCTGCTGCCAGTGTGAAAGAGACAGACACAAGACAAAGAGGAAGGAGAGAAAGAAACGAGATGTGTTGCACAAGCAGCACGTCGAGATGCGTCCCATGCGGTGCGACATGTCGGCAGAGCAAGCCTCACACACAGCCTCGCGACGGATACAGACGCCTAATTATGGTGGAATAAGTAGATAGTGGAATAGGTAGGTACTGGAATAAGTAGGTAGTGGGATAAGTATAGGCCGAGGTGAGAGATGCCTAGATGGGCCGCCGTGATCAACCAACCCTGGGTGGTCGACGAAGATGCGCGTGCCCATGCCACAGATCCTCGGTTGGCTGTGGTTATGGCTGTTCACCGCCGCCGCTGGCCATGCTGCCCTAGGTTGGGCACTGTAGGATCTGGCGTGATCTCTGTTTCCCCCCCCCCCTCAGGGCACCAAGGATATGAGGCTGTTCGCCGGCTGTGGCAGCCGGTTTTCTAGGTCGTTCGTTGCACAAGGCATTGTCACGCGTGGTGTGTGTTACCTGCCACAGTCTGGGGTGCCTGTCCATTGAGAGGGCGCATTGACAGCTACGCTGGCGAGATACTACCTATCCGTGTTTTGGCGGGCATGGACGTAGGGAACTAATAAATAAACAACAAGGCTGGAGTCACTCTCGCATGATTATCTTTTTACTCTCCCACTCTCCTAGGTAGGTACATGGGGCCGGGACTGCACGAGTTCGATTCCGGTCGTCCACGTCTCTCTTTTCTCTATTTATCCCCCCACGTGCACACAACCCCCATCACGAAACGAGAGAGAAGGAAAAAGGAAAAGGGGTCTTGGTTCAATATGGGGAAACCAGGGGAGTGACGTTACACACACACACACACACATATGGTACACCTTGGGGGCCGCCGGGGATCTCTGGCGGAGGCAGTAGGCATTCCGTTCCCCAGGCCATGGTCATCCTCCTTCGCCTCTAAATTTCTCAAGAGCGAGCCTGTTCTGTGAAGGAAGGAAGAAGGAATAATAACGGAAGCGACGCGGTTGCTTGTGCTGACAACATTGGTTTGTTAGTCCTAGACGGACTAACTTCGGCCCTGTCTGTCTGTCTGTCTGTGAGTCAAGAAAAACAAAAAGAAGCAAAAAATACCAAGACAATCCCATAGAGAGAAAAAAAATGCGAGGCCTAGAATGCGAGTTCAAAAAAAAGAAAAAGAAAGAAAAAGTATCACACACTCAACCCGCTTTGACTTTCTTTTAACCAACCTGATAACCAGTCAAACCCCCCCCCCCCCCCCCCCCCCCCACACCCTGCCACCAACAACAGGGAAAGGGCAGTTTCAGCCGGTTGCACAAGCACACGCATATACGCGCACATACGCGCACATGCACTCACTCACATCAAGCTTTGCCACAGAGGTGCGTTCTCGGTGAAACTGCCTTGTGTGCCTCCTTTTGGGTTCTATGCTATGCTGTTCTAGGCGCATCCCGCATGAGGCCAAGATGTCCAGCGTGGCGGGGGGAGAGGGGTTTCCCGCTGGGAGAGAATAGGTACGTATAGAAGGATGCCGAGTCCTTGTGTAACCAAACTGTCGGGACCGCATCCGCGAGCCGGGGACAGCCAACCACACACACACACACACACACACACACACGCACACACACACGCACGCACATACTGGCGGCTGCTGCTGCTGATAAGGCGGCGTACCATGCTGTGTGATCCCGCAGACTTGCCCCGTGCCATCCAAAACTGGACATGCCCATTACGGATTCAACAGATGCAGCCTCATCCACGTGGCCAGCACTAGTCCCGGTCTTCTGGCGTCTACGGCTTACACACTGTCACACACACACAAAGAGAGCTCTGTGTAACCATGCCCCAAGAAGCTGCGCGGCTAGATTCCTTGGCTTATGGGAGAGTTGGCTTACGGTAATTCATTATATTTGCATACCCCTTGGAGACCCTTCCCCAAACCTAAAAGTCAAAGCAACGCCGTACCATTTCGTTTGAACCCGCTTTCACCGAGTCCTTGTCGCCCCAAACTTTTCCACCAGAATTAAAATGAAATTAAAAAGTGAATTTTGTCCAACATGCAATACAATGCTTCCCCGTCAGTTTTCGTTCCTAGACCGATCTTTTGAAAGAAGAGAAAGAAGGCCGGATCGAGATCACCTCTGCGGCTCTCACACATCCGGCGTTGCGTGTGATTTGGTGTTTGGTTTACTGGCCTGTGTTCTGGTGTGTGTTTGGTGCCGAAAGCATGCTGTCCCACAATGCCCGCAAGCGCGGCCTCGTATCACCCAAACTTCTTGGCCATTGCTGGCGCAAGTTGGACAGCGGACACCGGGCAGCTGTTGGATCAGGCGTGTTAGGTCAGCTTGCACATGACATGGCCGTGATGCATGACAGCGGCACTGTCTTGCGGACCCCTCTCAATGACACCGGATCCGAGCGGTGGGGCCACAGTCCGACAAACACATGGGGCCTGGATGGAACCGGCTTACCATTTTGGATATGTAGAGTGAGATGAGCCGATCTCGTCAAGGTCCCGGTTGCTGGGCTGGGCTAGGTACGTCTGATGTCCGCCTTTCAAGAGAGCCGTTTAAACGTGAGGCTTCAATGGCTCTGACTTTGGGCGCGAAGTGGGCAGACTGGTGGCCGAAGACGACGAGGAAGTGTGGTGGTCGAGATGAGAATGGAGACTGGGGAAGGACTGTGCTGACAGATCCGGGCGGGCTGATGAACCGAGTAGCAAGAGGCGAGGTTGAGGTTGAGGAAAGCGAGCGAGGCTGCTTGATCATTTATACTCGACCGAGAAGCTCGCGAGGAGGTACGAATGACGCCGTTACCTCTGTCCTATAGACTCACGGACACAAGCACCAGAGGGCGAGGACGAACGAAATGCCTTAGTCCGTGTCTTAGGGCGAGATTGGCCATCGGAGAGAGAGAGGGAGAAGGGAGCGGGAAGCGGGAAGCAGCAACGCTCGTTGAAGGTCCTGCACCCAAGGAGATAATATCATGGGCTGGCCGGGGTCTGATCAGCGGCGTGTTCCCGGTTGTGAGGTCGACACTAGACGGGCACTTGCAGAGCAGAGGGACAGGCCTGTGTGTGAGACGATGCATTCCGCGCTCCGGGAGATTCGGACTGGGCTGCCACGCTGCCAATCTTCCTTCCTGGGGCCGGTGGCCTGGGCAAACGACCACGAGCATCGTGGCCTGGGCGTGCCTCCTAGACCCGGGCCCTAGGTTTAGGTAGCGTGTGCGCGCTAGCTTGGCGAGTTACGAGATAGATAGACAGGTCGAGACGACAAAAGGCGTCAGATGTCAGATAGCAGCCCCGCAAAGCGAGACCGAGAGGGGAAACACTCATCTCCAGCCATGGGGCGGCTCCCCATCACTGTCACTCTCTAGTCACTTGTCCTTGCTCTCCCCTCGCCTTCAATCGGCCTACGCCCGTTTGGTGCTGAGATGACGTTCCTAGAGTCACAGGGAGCCTCGATTGGTTGCGCGCAGCAATTCGGGATGGGTGTTGGGACAGGGTTCAGACGGGAGAAGGGGGAAAAACGCAGAAAGAAAAGCCTGGTAAGCGAGTGTTGGCTTGTCGAACCCGGCCCATAGCAGTGGGATTTAACCCATGAAGTCCGCGGTGGCTCTAAGGAGTTAAAGGACGCTTCACCACGCTGTCGACGCACTACCCAGTAGCTGCATGATTTAGCTCGGCTTGCAGCTCGCTGCTGCTGAATGCGTCGTGCATGCTCCCCACAACCACCTCAAACTTTCCAGGTTGGACATTTGCGGACTGGTGCCTGCCTTTTTCAGGTAGCCCGGGCATCGTGACCGCCATCGAAGCGCTGAAGGTGCTCAGAAAGCGCCTGCCGTTTCCGTTGTTCAGGGCTCTCAGTTTTCAGGTTGTCAGCCTTGTCTCTGTCCGGGATGTGGGTGGCCGACCAAGACGCCGAATTCCGGCCTCTGGGCTTCAAACCAACGGCATCCTTGGACGTCAAAAATCATATTTATACTGTGTTAGACGTGGCAAAGTACGGCACCGTCCATCGTTTGCAAGAACCCCACTGTCCGAGTTCCCAAGTAGCTCTTTCTTCGTTGCCCAGTTAAAATACATCAGCGGCACCAGTGTAAAAGCTCGCCGCGTGTCGATGGGGTTCAGGGATCGACAGTCGCCAATCTCAAAGGAGCGCTGTGCATCATAGGCCGTCCCCAATCTGTCCCACATCTGCTCCCCCCTGGCTGGTGACCCGAGCCAGCCAACGGGAGAAGTCAAACGAATCCCAGCCACGGATGACCAGCTTCAACATGTTACCTCAGCTTGGGGATCTGCGCCATGGAAGATAGTATCAACAGGTCCCCCGATCCAGGAACCCAATAGCGTGTAGTATCATATAGAGTTCCGTGCTCTGCAAGGTTGCAGGTGGCCCCTTCTGTACGACTGCTTCAAGTGCTAGTGTCAGGAATGTAAGTGCGTACTCGTATGCCCAAAATATTGCACCATGTGTGGAGACTCGTGCCTGCGGCCGAAACAGGCTGCTGCTTCCTTGCATCACCGCGCAGCCTGTCACTGCACTAGTCGTCGAACTACAGCTGTCGAGAAGATGGCGGGCGCATAAGTACTTAAGGTATAGATACTCAGTAGACCGCCAACTGCCAAGCAATGACCAGGCATCAATTATTGCCCCTCGGAAGCCGTCCTTGGGCTTTTGTCACACTCAGACTTCTCTTTCGTCGAAATCCGAATGTGTCGGGCACGACACGCGTGCGTGCGTGCTCTCCGTGACAGGGTCGCCCAGCTCGCACCTGCCCCTCACGTTGCCTGTGTTAGTTTGTGGCCGTCTAACACCGCCATTCTTTGTTTCCTTTCGAAATCCAACCAAATTCTACGTCCTACTTATTGGGTGGGTGGGGATTGGCGCGTTCCCGGCCGAATCCCCTACCTACATATAGGACAAACACCAAAAGACTGCCATTCCCGTCATTGCATGCTGTTGTAATCTAGATTCTCACGGGTGCGGCCCTCCCCCGCCAACAATCCCGGGGATCCGAGCTAAGACTGTGTCGCCGTCGGCGAGTCGACATGGTTCGGGCATAAGCTGAAAAGTTCGAGCTTATCTTAAAACGGGGTTGTTAGCAGAGTGAGTCTTGGCCTCGTGAAAACTTGCGTCCCATGTAACTAGGCATAGAAGTTCGGTCGGTTGCTGACTCGCTTGGTAATATTATGGAATATCACAGATGAACTTTATGATCCAGCAACTATTTCAAATCTACGCCGGCACTATCGGGATCTGGCCAGGAGAGACCTTGACCGACTTGTCAAAGATAAAACTGAGGCAAGGAGAGAGGGCAAAACGAATATGCGCCAAGTCCGCCAAACGCTCGTAAACGACTCATCACAAAAACATACCATGACAACAGACCCAACTACTCCTCACCGCGATGTCCGGGAAAACGCCCCTATCTTTCTCAGCAGGCGGCGTTTGCATTCACTCGACTTCCCTTGTCCTTCTTTTCCCTCCCTTGCGCAGCCAACCGCCCAAGGCAGGTGAGCGAGCGAGTGCGTAGTAGAAGAAAGTGGATTCTTCGTTCATGTCTCTCTCTGTATCTTCCCGTTGCGTTCGCCGTTGCGTTGCGCGCGGCCCACTCATCAACAGCAAAAGAACAATGCCCTTTACTATATGCCCTTTGTTTGTCAAAGAGGTCGGTCCCCTACACCCCTCTCTTCACCAAAGAAGAAGGAATACAAACGCCACGAGATGCGGCGGGCGGAAAATGTGGCAGATCTTATCAGAAAGATTTTAGGTTCCTCCATGCGGTGTTGTTGTCTACTCCTGACATTTTATGACCTGGGGAAGGAAGCAAAGTCGACAAACGAAGCACGACAGTAACAGATGACCTGAGTAGGGGGAAGAAGAAAAAAATAGAGTGAGGGAGATGAAGGAGGGGAGCTACCTATTTCCTTGCCATTCTCCTCCTACCAACGCCGCATATATTTCCCTTCCTCTCCCTCATTACTCCCGCCATGTACCGGTCTAGAACTGGCTCTAGAACTCAAATCCTCTACTTCCGTCACACACACACGCGCGCGTACATGGACGAGAAGAAAAAAGCAGCGGGTGTTACCTCATTAACTGTTGCTAGTGTACACCACTCAGCTCACACTACGGGGTATCGAGAGAGAGGTAGAGACAGAAAAGAAGGAGGAGAAACAACAAGGCGTGGAAAGGGTCTAGAAAGAAAGAAGGTAGGGGGGGCGGCAACAGGCAGGCAGGCAACCTCACAGCACAGCACAGTACGGTGTATTGTAGACCGATAGAGGATTTGACGGGATCGGACACGGATGCATTTTCGGCGGGGGGAACCGGAACCAGACTGTCGGGAACGAATCACAGCTAATCATTCATTCTCACAGTGGGTTGCGTTGGTGACACACCCAACTCCCTCCCGCCGCTTCAACGCAACTCACACACCGCCGCCTGTTTGTCCCCACGTTATGTCCCCTAGGTAAGTACTTTACTTACGCATCTCTCTCTTCGCCTAGAAACAATGCAAGATGGGGCACAATAAGGTTCCGAATTGTAGTAGTAGTCCTGCTGCACGTTCCCCTCAGTGCACACACACTTCTAAACGGGCTGCGCTGTCGTTGGCCGCCGACTGATAATGAAGACTGTTGTTTGCTTTGCCTAGCCATTTCATAACAAGGAACTGTAGCGGCAAATTTCGTTTTTGATTAATGTAACCTCCAATTTGTTTGGGTATCTCTGCTCAAGTACGAGAAAAACAAGCCAGAAAGACTTTGCCCTGGGAGTCAGAAAATGCTCCGACCGGAAACGCCAAAACCGAAATACCCAGCTAGCTAACCAAGAAGATAAATGTTAAAAAAAAACGCTTATATCCACTGCAGCCCGAATGCTTGCTTGCCTGCCATATGTTCAAGGCCGAACCCAATGATATGTACCGGTATATGCTAATAATGCCCCCATGTGTGCGCCAGGACGCTAATAGTCTAGAAGAAGAGAGAAACGCGGAAAGAATAAATGAGATAAAAGATCAACGGCAGTAAAAAATATTACGGCCGCATGATTCGGGTTTTTGGATCCGGCCAATGCAATATTCCGATCATCAGACCGGTGCAAAAAGCGCGATATCCGTTCATGACCAGAACGCCTTGTCGATCTTGACAAAGAGCTGGCCGGGACTAGGGCGGCGAGTGTTCGGGTAGACGAGGTCGATGCACCTGTATCCCTGCTGGAGGCGATCAAGACGGATGCAGGCCCACGCAACCAATGGTTCACGAAAGTTGCTCGTGCTATCTTCAACCCTGAATCTGCACATTAGAGTTAGCAACTGCTGCAACATACTGGGAAATAGAGCGGTCTGTCACCGCTGTTCGGAGACGGGAGGAGACGGGAGAAGAGGGGAGGAGACGGGAGGAGACGGGAGGAGACGGGAGGAGACGGGAGGAGACGGGAAAACACAGAAGGAAAGCAACTGGGCGTTTGCGGAGAGCTGGGCAGGGATTTCGGCATCCAACAGCAAAACGGCGCGAGTTCTCGGGTCTTTGCTGCGTCGAACGATTCTGTCATCTCTTGCTTCCTGCCGCAGCTGGCACCCGCCAGACATGCAGGAGCCCGCCGCCGTCTCGTGATTTTCCCTTCCTGAAGGCTGACTGACGTAGGCACCCAGGTGCGTCGAGAAGCAGGTCTAGAAATCGTCTAGAAGACAACATGGAAAGGCACACGGCAGCTTGCATCGGCCGATAAGGCGAAGCGACTTGCTTTCGTGGCGCTCAGAGCATTGGGGAGGGATTTGAGCTAAACAAAAAAGAAGGAAAAGAATTAGCGCCTACCTGACAAAGCTGAGTTCCGGAACAATGTTTTCGACATTGAGGAACTCGCAGGGAGAGGCACCGAAGCCCCAATCCGGGTTGTCTGTTTCGCGGGCAGAAGACGTCCACACATAACCAATCGGCTTGGTCGGCTTCTCGGCATGTAGTTCGACCTTTACAAGGGGGCGGAATTTCTTGTCACCTCCTACACCGACGCCACTCTGCTTCCGATCTTCGGGTAGTGGAATAAACTGGCCCGCCAGCACCGTGATCCGCAAATTCATGGTCTGTTGCGGCATCGAGTCGACACTGAGCGGATCGTCGCTGAGGTATCCGGCCGGCTTAAGCACCCATCCATTCGTATTGGCAAACATGGCATCATTGACCATCATGCCCTCGTCAGTCTTCTGCCAGTTCATGGCCACCATCTGCACACCTCTCCGCCAATGAAAGCTCGGGTCGGGATTGCTGCTGTCGACACGTAGACCCTTGGGGTAAATCCGCATGAAGAATTGCCGGTTATGATCGATGAGCTTCCGCAGCCTCGTGGCGTCCTGGGATAGGGCAAAAAATTTGTCCTCGCTCAAGCTGAAGATGTGGCTCGGGGTCCGCGACGTCAGAGACTTCATGTCGTCAAAATGCTCACTATGAGTATAGATGGCCAAAGCAGCGAGCGCATCGCAGATGGGCGGCTTGGAGTTAATAGACGAGGTGACATGCAGAGACCGCCCTCGGTCGACCTCGCCCTCCACGGTGCTCTCATGTATCCGCTTCACCTTGATTAGAATCTTCCTAGACAGCTCTTCCAGACGCGGTTGCCGCTCGTGAGGATTGCAGAACTCAAAGGGCGTATCGAGAAGTAGCCCGTCCCATTCTTCTTTCATTATCTGCACCATCATCTCCTGCTGCTCACGGTCGGCGCCAACCTCGAGGCTGACAATGATAGGCAAAGGGTTAGTTTCGAAGGCGCTCTGTCGGATGGCCTTGCAGACTTCCCGGAATCCAACAGTTGATGTCATGGTTCCGTGATGGTGCACGATGGGCTCTCCTCTGCGATTGGACACAGACGAGTCCCTAGAGCGCACAATCCGCTTGTCCGCCTCGGCCGTGTCGAGACCAAGACCAAGACCAAGACCAAGACCAACCTGGGTGGACTCGGTTGTTGCACTCGAGCCAGTTGTTGCACACGAACCGGTTGTTGCACCCGAATCGGTTGTTGTAATGGTTTCGGTTGTTGCGCTGGTCTCGGCAGTTGCACCAGACTCAGCTGATGGCAGAGAAGGCTGGTTCACACTAGGGGAACGGCTGTGAAGGCTCACTTTGGCGGACATAGCCTGCTTGACTGATTCAAACGTCTCAGCAGCAGCCCGCGGGAGAGACGCGGTCGAGAGATGGCGCCGGTGGTCCGGGAGAGGAGATTTGGAAGGCAAGCGAGAAGTCGGGCCATTCCAGACGTCAATCTCAATACAACGACACCCATTTTTTAGAACCTGTGGCCGAGAATTAGAAGTCATGTACAGAGAGGTGGGCGCTGGGTGGGGGGGAGGGCACTTACGGCACGGTATGCATCGGCAGAGCTCTTGGACGCAAGCTGGTTTCCCTCCAAGTAAGTATTGTGGCTGCTGCTGATAAAGTAGTTGCTGATGGCTCGGTTTTTGGGGTTTTCGTCGTCTCGTATCCTCCGCACGGCGCTCCATGCCTCGTCCCTGCTGCTCCAGACTTTGAAGAACTCTTTGAAAGTGAGCGTCTCGAATTCCGGCAGTTCGACAGTCGTCACACCCTGAGTCCGTTTTAAAAATGTGATGAAGTTGGCGCGGGATAATGCCCTGTCGCCGTCACAGGCCAAGTCGTAGGCCCGCTCCACATGCCTCCTGACCGACTCGTGGCTGGGCATGTAAGTCTTTAATAACCCGTCCAGTGTGCTGTCGCCGCGCACACTCGGCCTCATGTGTCCTGCAACCGCGGTTCCCAGAAAAGCGACATTCATCATGGCCGACCTCGGGTGGTTTGGGGAGCCCTTTCGAAAGGTCGTCATCCTACGCATGAAGTTGGACTTTGGCTTCTTGTGGGACTTGTCCCTTCGGAGTTGCTGTGGCGCAGGAGGAGTGTTAGAAAGCAAAGTCAAAAGCAGAAGAGAACGAGAAAGAGCCATTGAGTCTTCAAAACGGCAGCAACAGCAAGAAACAAACGGCACTGGGAGGACGCCCGGCCAGAAGCAGGGGCTTTTCTGGGCAGGCGCGTTTGGCAAAACGTACGGATGGAAGGCACATCATGATGGCGGGGCAGGCCAATTGGCCGCGAGAGCCTTGTCGTTCCGCGACCACCAGAACCCAGCTGCTTCCGAAGCCTTGTTGCACTCAGCCTATCGAGACATGTGATGTTGTCGACGGCGAGATAGGTGTGCAAGAGTAAGTGATAAACGCAACGGATGCGATGTAAGTATTTAAAAACCGAAAGGCAAAACGAAATCAGAAAGAAGTGGAAGTTGGAGGGGTGGCGGCACAGATATGGTCTTCCAGCTTCAGCCCAGTTGGACCTCTTTCTCTTTTGGTCGTCCAGAGCCTCGCCCCCCCCGCGCCCGCGCCCGTGGTTGGTGTCGCGCTGGGGCTGGCTCCCGTCCAATGGAAAATGCAACACACGACTTGAGGTGCCCCACCCAATGTCCGCGTTTGGCCTCGGTGGCCCAGGGATGTGGTTCAGGAACTACAACGCCGTTCTGACCAAAACTCCCCTCTAGTCTGTCACCAACGGCTTCCACGGAGAAGCACTGCTTTGCGGTTAAGTTGCGGATGGGTTCAGCTTGTCGCTCCTCCCGCCTCTTGTATGGAGAACCGTACCTTAAAACGACGCAGTCATCGGGCAGCAGGTCGCCCCAAAATTATTGAGTCTTCTTCACTCCGCTGTATGCCGTACAGGGCTGTGCTTGTCGGTGAAGACGGAGGGCCCCCGTGTGACAGCGGGCCGTCTCGCTTCTCCAACTTTGAATTTGGGGCTGCCCGGCCCTGGCAGTTTCCAGCTGGGCCCAAAATGCTGGAAGGTCCCGTCTTCGATTTTGCCAAGGCGAATGGGATGCCCCCTGGCCCATCAGCCTTACCAATTGCTCAAGCACTCACCAGTGGTCGGGTGTCAGCAAGCCACAAGAACAAGTGCCCAAGCGGAAGCACCCAAGCATGGACCTCCTCACCTCCAGCTTCCTCAACTCGGCCGCACCGACAGATACGTAAGGCTAATGCAGCACGGGTGGCTGTGCTGTGCCCCAGTTGCCCAGCGAACAAATCGCTGCCTGGATCTTTTGGCCTCAATCCACTCCCGTCTGGTCTATACTATCGCCCAAGTTGCACTGCATCGAGTTGCTCACGTTTAAATTCTGCCGAATGCGACTGAGATGGCCGTTGTGCGTAGCTGAAGGGTGAGACTCGGGCCGCTATGTAACCTATCAGCCAAGTAATAACCATACAGATTGCGTGCTGGAAATCCTACGACACCCTAATAAGAGCCATTGTGTAAGTCCCTCCCCGGGTCGGGGACCGGACCTACGATCAGTCACGGGCACATTCCATAGGTTTGGGTCACGGAAACACACAACAGCGAAATCCTTCCTTACCTGGCCCGACTGTATTCTAGCGCAGCTCTTGGAATGATCATACCTTGGTTCATCTCGCGTCGGTAGGACGGAAAGCTGTTGCTCCTCACGCTTTCCGCCAAATCGGAGAGCCAATCACTCTGCATGCATCACATAAGGTATCCATTGGGAAAACCCAGGGCCGCCGCTGCTTCACTGCAGTTCGCGGGTAAAATTCATTGCACCCAAGATAGCCGGCCCCAAGAGCAGCGCGCACAGCCCCAAAAACGAGGCACAGCAAATCGACTTGTAGCAATCTGTATCACTCCGGCGAGACGACTCATTGACAACGCATCCCATTGGAAGCCAGACATATTCGTCAATCAATCCTCTCTCAACATGGAAAGTGTCCCACGGGCGTGTTATCCCGAATTGGGTGACGATTCCGGCCCTCGATGTCATTCTCGTTTTGCTCGCCGATTGCCAATTACTAACCGTTCGGAATATACCAATTCGAACACTTGCTGGATCAAGCAAGACTAGAAAGAGATTCCGTCTGCACATACGCACTTCGTACACTTACGCCGTATGCACAACCTCAGAGAGAGGAAGGGGTTTGAGGGGCAATCCCCCACCGCCACCGCTCTTGAGGCAACTTGCAGAAAGCCATCAATAAGCCACCACCGTCACGCACCTCCGCAGTACCACACACTCGAATTCCCATGGCCATTAACAAATCATACTCCTTTTTGTTCCGTTTCTGCACGAATCAATTCCATTCTCCCCTCTCTCGCCGACACGTGAAGCACATCCAAGGGCGTGGAAGATACCCCAGGACCGGTCTGGATACACGCCACATCAGACCCCCAACAAACAAGCTTAAGCTGCTGATGTGATCCCCTCCCCTCTCTTGGCACCCTGGTGTGGGAGCGGAGAGTCTCCCGTCTCTTTCCCTGTAACGGGCCGGAGCCAGGGCTGGTCCAGGTAAGGTCAGGCCATGTCAGCACTGGCGGTGCGGTGCGGGCAAGGCTTGCCGCTGGCGGCTGCTACGCTACGTTTACGTTTCTTATTAGTAACTCAGGGTTGCAATGCGCCCTCTCCTCTGCAGTAGAAACCAAGGCAGGAATCTGATCCTTCGCCAGCTTTTGTTTGGCAAACAAAGCAACATTTTTCTCAGGCCTGCCGGCCAGCGGCCAGCGGCCAGCAGCCTGTGCCGTGACCGTGCCGTTAACGGGTAAGAGTCCCGCGTATTGATTAGGGGGCGGGCTCCTTGTGGTCACAACGTTAGCAGCTGCAATAACAGCCCTCGAAGAAGTCTTGTTACACAAAAATCCACTACCAACAGTACCTGTGTATGTATAAACTAATGATGAGACGAAAAAGAGAGAGAAAGGGAAAAAGTTAGAAAGACATCGGCCTGACTGTATCTTGGAGCGTCATAACATCCATCGAGTCAAAGACAGGGTATAGCAGCAGCTGAGTGGGGGGGGGGGAGTTGCCCGACAGTAAGGCACTGTACGGACCAAGCAGCGTAATACTGTAGCAAAACATACTAGCACGAGAAACACCCCTCGGCAGACCAAAGACGAAACTCGAGAGACAGACAGACGGACAGACAGCTTTGCCTGTCTAGCATTAATAAGTGCCAAGAGCAAGCAAGCAGAACACCGCCTCCCCCAACTTTGTCGTAATATCATCAAAACCACCGCCAAAATGTCAGCCAAAAAGAAAACACATTTGTAATCCATCCTCGCTACACCAAGATGGAAACTTATCCCACCTTAGAACAGGTCCGCGGCGACGGACTTGAATCCCCGTTCATCATCCCATCAAGCTAGACTTACGCTTTTTATAGAAATGTCTAAGGGCTTGTGACAATTTTTCCGAGGCGATTCACGGATCATGCCTTGGGAAACTGACTCATCGGCAGTCGATTCCAAGATCACAAAAATAGAAAGCAAAGAAGAAAAAGAAAAAAAAAACGTACAACACCTAGGATTCCCAAAGCTACATCCTAAAATCAATCCAAAGCAGAAGGGTCTGAGCATGCCGAGATAATCTAATCCACGAGAGCCAGAAGGGGTTATTAGTTGGGTCAATTAGATCCTGGGGATCTAATTAATCCAGCAGACCCGGACGCTCATTGGCCAGCTAATAGTCTACCTCATATAGTTACGCTCTAGTGCTGCCTCTGGGGATGAAGAGCTCTAGCTATCAAATGTATATACCTAGTTTCTAACGTAACGTTGGGCTGTCATTGGGATACTACTCCCGCAATCTGTGCACCTAAGGACTTATGCTTCAGTTTATTTGCAACCTACTCAAGGTACTGTACTAGCTCTGCAATACTCCAGGCTACCTCCACCCACCCACAAAATTCCTGCTCATATGTTCAGTTTCCGTAGAACCCTGTGTTCCAGATTGTAACTACCGGTACCCAAGGTAATTAGCGCTTGCGAGGCTCCTTCGTGATCTCGCTCCATGAGCCCTTGTAGTCGAACGCCAAGACACCCAGAGCCTCGCCACCGTCCCAAGACCGGGCCGTCAAATCGCCATTGCTCGAGACCGAGGCATAGGCATCCCCCTTGGTAGAGGCGATCCTGGTGGTTGTCATCTCTCCGCTTGAGCCCTATAATTATCGTCGAGAGAGATACGATTTGTTAGTTGTCCTCTTCTTCGTCGTTGTTGTTTTTTAACCGTATCTGGGCCCAAAGGGAAAGGGGGATGTAACGAACCTTAAAGGTGGTGGGGACCACTTGGTACGAGTTGCCCCTGATGCGTGAAAAGACCGAGCTTGTGAGGGTAGCTCCGGCGATGGCCAGCCCTGCAATCTCGAGTCCGCTCATGATGGAATAAAAGCTCGGCTGCTGTTTGTCTTGGCTGAAAAAAAGTTTGTTCGTGGAAAGGTGGTCAGGCGGGCTTGAGAAGGGAGGAAGGGAGTCCGGCCGAGGCTCTAGCATGCCAGCATAGGTGGGATTCTGCACCTTTTAAACTATCTACCCACGTTCTCTTGCTGCTCTTTCATTTCTACTTTGCCAATGCTTCCTATCGGAATTTCCCAAATTTGCCGTTCAAGGCAGCGAGATATGCTCGCTTCACTTTTAGCCCTATCTTGATCCTGCCCAGTCCTTATTAAGGTAGAGGCCAATGACAACCGACCCAGAGACACCACTCCATGATGAAAACTATTGCACGAAATAGTGGCGTATTTTGCACTTTTGGATGTATGCTTTCTATTGGATATGCCGCCGTGCAGGGGAACCGGCACGGCGGCGGTCGAGCGCAAGATGGGGCGTGTCGGTGCAGGCCGGCTCCAGCCGGGCGTCGGTGTTCAGGAACGGAAACGAGACGGTTGTCAACTTCACCGGCAAGAGGAGGGCCGGGGTGACTCGCGGGGGGGGCAGATCTGGGCCAGGGTCAGAGACAACGTGGCCGTTGTGCAGTTCTCTGACGGCGAAGGAGGCGATTCCTCAGATGGGGAATAATTGTTGTTGTCAGAAACACTACATTCACTTAATTTAGGAGGAAAATTAAGGGTTGCAAAAAAGCGTGATTGTATTTGCTTGCTCTGTTGGTCTCTGGCTTTGCCAGAAACCCTGGTTTTGTATTGATTATGTTTGGTTGCTGATCAGGGGTTCATCAGTGGCCGGATGACAAGGGGGTTGTTCACACCCCTATCCAATATATTCTAGTGTACTTTATGTACGTTTTTCTTGGCCTACCCACCTTATATAAGGTGGCCCCCTCTCTCTGATCAGGGCCCCGGCATCGCTCCTTAGCTTCTTTTCTAGCCAGCCTGTAGAAATCACGTCTTTTTACCATGAATTGAGATCCCCAGACCAGTGCACGCAGCAGTGCCTTTTTCTCTTAGTCACCGCTTCAGTGCCATCTCGTGGCGTTACGAAATGCATACATTGCAAAATGTTTGCGACAGCGAGAGCTACCAACAGGAGGGAGGCCTAACCCCCCTTAAATAGTCTGAGTCTTTGGTTCATGTAGGGGGCTCCGTGGGGTTCTGATGATCCGATGATAGGACATCCCAATCTTAAGCCAGGAGAACAGTCTTCAGTTTCGGGGAAACTTTTAACGAGAGCAATCGCTCATCTACAATTTGGCTTGTTTCCATCTATAATACAAGTACACGGCCTAAAGGATCAGTCAGATCCTTGGGCCAGTAACCCCATTTTTCCGTCAAACAAACAACTGCCGTCTTAAATCCATCCAAACTTTTCTTCAGGGTATATCCGGTTGATATCTTTGCCATCAAGTTAGTCCCCCTCCAGTAGAATCGAGAAATGCCCGTCAACAAGCCCTGTGTGTATCATCAACCCCAAAACAAAAGAAAACATGAGAGATTTTAAAAGAGTTCGTCGGTTTAGACAACTGGGGTCGGCTGTAAAAAGCCCTGCCGTGTGCCGGTTATGAACATGGGATGAAATGTTGCCCCAGATGGTAAATATACAGGCCCAGATGATCGTCGAGTATTAAGTCACCTGGGCCAAGATTATGTTCAATGAAATAATCACAGACAGCGCATGGTCCGTGTTGTCATGTTGGAAGTAAAATGTTGCAGCGCCAGAAATGTTGGATAAAGAAAAAGAAAGTCGTAAGAAATCAGTGACGCAAAAATTGTAAAATAAATGAAAGCGGTGCCCGTCCTGGACGTCGCGCAGAGAGGCTAGCCCCAGATCGGCACGTTTCGATATGCGGGGGAGTTATAACTGTGCAAGATTCGGTATGGCGGATTGGTATTGTGACCGCTGCGGTTTCCTACACTGTGCGTTCGGTGGTGACCTCGGGGCACGTGTGGTGGGTAGGGGCCATCTTGGATACGCTGTCCGACTATGGCATCAAACTGGTTGCTACTCCAGGGGTCAACCGCCGGCTTGGCAGGAGCCGTGTAGCCATTTGACATTGACGGGGGATGGCCTTTTTGGATACGCCTCTGTTGGTAGCTGTAACCATCGTAACTCGCACGATGCCGAAGCGGCGGCGGCTGGCCGTTTCGGGCCTCCCAAGCCTGCGCACTGTTAGGGCGTTGCATGCTAGCCCCACCCTGATTTTGGACTGAAGCAAGCGAGTTATGGCGACTAACCCCATTCAAAGAGGTCTGAGACGAACGGCGACTCAAGTCATGGTCAGTTTGCACATCCCAGTTGGGAGTTTTGCTTTGAGAAGGCTGGGCAGGCTGAGAGTGTCGAAAGGACATAATCCGCCGCGGGTCCATGGTAGGCGTGGAAGCCGAGTGTTTGAGACTGTTTGTCACCATTTCTCCTTGCTGAGAGGGATAACTGTGGATGCTGTCTCTGCTGGCCTTCTTCGCAAGCGGCTGTGTAGATGGGTAGCTTTGAAGGCTCTCCCGGCTAGACTGGCGGGTAAGGCTTGCTGTCGACGACTGCGACCGCAAGGGCGGGGGTACTCTGAGCGGCATCGATCTCCGGGTCATCATGCTAACCGGTGGAGACCTCCTCGCCTTGGTCTCCGCAGAAGCCACTGCTCTCGCGAGGAGCGGACTCGGAAGAGCGGAAACTGGGAGGTCTGGGTTCGAATACATAGTCGTCGGCGGGATCACAGCAGGCAATCTCGCATCCCAGCCACGCGCGGTACCTGCTGTAAGACTCATACTTCTCCTTGTCGGCGTTGGCGACAGGATAGTGACTCCGCCATCATCCACCTCGGTACGCGCTGCAGTGATATTGTCAACACTGCTCCCGCCTTCGCTGTCTGTTGTCGATTCTGCGGTATCGGGGACCGTGGAATCTGCTGTTGGCGTCTCCTTCACGATTTGACCCTCCCCCTTGAGCGACTGGTGGCCGACAGGAACCGGTTTCCTCGCCACTGGATTTATCATATGAGCCGCCACCTGTACAAAAGACGAGGGCGCTGATTGCAAGGTCTGCTTCCAAGAGTTTCCTTTGGTCTCGGGGGCATCTTCGTCGTCGACCTCGACAACTTTAGCAACAGTTGGGACTGCGGTTGGGACGGAATTGAGAGCCTCGACACTGGCGTCCATGCTTCCGACGCTGAAGATGGTTCTCAACGTGTCCATACTGGAACGAGGTTTCAAAGCGAGCCTCTTGGTTGTTGTGGGGAATAGCCCAATGCGCTCGCGAAGCTTATGCTCGACATCCTGGGGTATGGACGGAATGCCAATCTTCTCAACCACGTGCGTCGCGTGAACCGTAAGTGGTCCAGCGGCAGGGTGGCGAGCTCCGCTGAGAAACCTCTGCAACTTCCCGGGCCGGCGTGACCCACTCCCAATGCTCAAAGCTGAGCACGAGTTGTCAGATCTCACGGACGTTGCGCTTGTTGGGGTGAGAGGAGTGGTTTCGGGCGATTTGAGTCTGCCGGCGTCGTAAGGAGGACTGAGGATTGGGGATGGAACATGCTTCGCTGCCCTCAATGCGCCTGCCGGACTGAGATAGACCTCCGTGGTGCGGCTATGGTCAGAAAGACTCCTCGTCGGAACGAAACTCGCTTTTATCGGCGATGGCCTAGGCGAGGTCGAATGGAGGTCCTTGGGGGGGACGGGCGGGGGAGGGGGATCTCTCTGGGGTGCCGCTGGATACAAAACACCAGACGATACATCATGAAGCTGGCTTGGTAAGCTCGGTGTTTCCGAGCTTTTCTGACTTGACTGAGACGGCTGTTTCTCAAGTGATAATTCCAGGCCTTCTTGGAGGCCCTGGGTCTTCAGTTGGAATGATCGCAGCGAAACATTGGAACTATATCCCGAATCGGCCTTTGTAAGAGGCTTGTGGGCTGATTCTGTGGACGGGCTTTTCGTGGACACAGACACAAAGCCACTATCGGACCTCTCAACGGCAGTGTCGGTGGTACGGTCAGCCTGCCCGTGGGGCGGTTTCGCATTCGGATCCAGGCGAACATCGAGCACCTCCACAAATGAGTACTCTGGCTGAGCATCATCTTCGAACAGCTCATCATCAAGAGCGGTAGCCTTGGAGGTGGTCTGTAGCTGCGGGCTAAGAAGCGGCGAATCACTCAGAGAGAACGGGGTGAAGTCGATCTCGGCCAGAAACTCGAACGGCACGTCCGATGTGGTTACGGCAGGCTCCTGAGACAGTGAGCCTGAGACATTACGAGTAGTCTCAATGCTCAGAAATGAGGAAGCAATCGGGCTGAGTCGTGCAGCCCGCGGCTGCGGAGCCTCAATCCTCGGGAGGGGCGCTTCGGTCTGCTGCACAAGCGGCTGCACCGCCGCACGCGCCGTACCACCAAATTCTCCTGGCTGTGCTCCTCCAAAATAATCACCTCGTCCCTCAATGCCGTCCTGGCCCGGCTCTCCCCTTTTACGCGTCTTCTCGATCTCAGGGCTAGCAGCACCATTTGTTATCCGCAGAGACCCGAGCTTGAATGCCCCAATTGATTGATATTTGTCCTCACAGGGCGTTACTACCCGAGGGGTAGAATCCGGGTCATGGAGAGGGGGCGGCAGCGACACAACCCCACCCCGGTAAGATTCGAAAGACTGCTGCCTCGACAAGTTTGGCGTCGGCGGATGGCTGAAGCGGAAATTCGGCATCGACGCGACAGGGCTCTCGCGAGCCGAGTTCGAACGCGTCGCCACGCCCGGTGTCTGTATGACAGACCGCCGCCGAACCGGCATGTAAAGTGACAAGTCCGAGTTGACACGGCTGACTGGAGTGCTCGCCGGTTTTGCCGAGTTTGTCGGATTCGAGCTCTTCCATGTCGTCTCCGTGACCACGGTTCTGCTTTCAGACATGGTCGTCGCGAGCTCAAGAGCTGGTTCTTCGGCGAGGTTGAGGAGACGCTTGGCTTCGTAGGACGTCAAGTCGTAGTTCCACGAAGTACGTGATCTCGGCGGCACTGGCCAACTGCAAGGGGGGCGCTCGTTAGACAGATGCGGCCTTCGCAGGAGCGTCGAGGGGGGCTGCTTACCTCTCCGGGCCCGGTTGTCCATAGTACGCAACTGCGGATTCGTACGTCATGGAATTTGCCCTGCCCACCTTGTCTGCCACCCGCGAAACTGGCCCAAGGCTGCTGTTCCGCCGCTTGGGATCAGAGGTGGCCTGGGACGACTTTGAGCGAAACAAGCTCCTCCTCCTCCGCTCTTTGTCTTGGGGAAGCGGCACGATGACCGACGCGCTCCTCTCTATACCCTGTTCTGCATTGGCGGTTGTCTCGTCTGCGGACGTCACCGTCGTCGCTGTTGTTGGCGTAGAGGCTGGTGACGGGCTTGGAGGTGGTGGGTATGGGAGGTTGGAGCTCAGGCGGGCGTTCGAAAAGCGTCTCGAGCTACTTGAGAAGGCGTTGGGGCTCAACAGGCCTGCTGTCGCATGATTGCCCGTTTTCGGCTTCGATAGCCTGTGCGACAGCCTCCGAGGAGCCTCAATGGAGGACTGTGTGTTGCCCATGGTGCCGTGCTAGTCCTGGGACGGGTGCCAGCGGAGCGTCGACGGGAGGATGTTGCTATGCGGTTATAGGGGCTTCCATGCCGCAAACCCGACCCGTGGTCAACGACAGGCGACACACGGCTTCATGTACATGAGGAAGGGTGGGCAATCAAGTCAAGACACCGGGGCCGGCCAGCCTAGACTTTTGATGCCCGGCAGGTAGGTACACGTGTAGGGGGTAGCTTGGGTGTTCGGAGGGGGAGATCGGTCTGGAAAGATGGGATGGATGGAGTGCCAGGTGGGCAGATTCGGATTAGGAAATAGACGTGTTAGTTCCACTCGGTATGGGGAGGTATCAGGTCAGATCAGGAAACGAGACATCGGGGCTGGCAAGAGGCGGCAATTTGAATAGCAACAGGGACCAAAGGCTGCGAGGAAACGGGAAAAAACGAGCAAGAAATCAAGCAGCCTGGTCAAGACTTGGCTGGGCCTCTGGGAGCCATCCGTAACCCGCTTGGTCTGAGACGGCAAGGCGAGGCAGGAGTAAAGGAAGGCTAGAGCAAGAACTGAGGGAAGCAAAGCCAGCCAGTAGAGCATCGAGATTCCGGTGTGGAGGTCGGCTGCATCTCGATGACCAGAGCAGGCGCACCCCCAGCATCCCACTTTACCAGCTTTGTCCAGCTTTGCACGGCCCAGCTCGTCAAGGTATTTTTCGGTACATTGGTACATGCAACCTTCACTATACTAGTAAGTGCCCAGGCAGGCACGCAAGCTCCAGGTCCTGCGGGCCAACTTTGTTGGGGTGCCCTGCGGTGCGGGGGAACGTGCGCCAGCTCCGACACAGGGCAGGGCAGATCAAGAAGCAGGCTGAGGCAGCTTCTACACCATCAAAGCTACCCGCCCAGGCCAGGTATTCGTGGAAAAGAAGCCTAGGGAGCCCACGCTGGAGACGATCGCCGGCCGGGATCCCACCACCTTCCTACGCCGCGTTACAAAACCAATGCACCACGTACCCGACCCCCTCAGACGAACACATCGTCCTTTTCTTTGAGGGGCAAACACCCGACGGTGTAGAACTCCGGCCACACAGGCGGTTGGTTCAAGATTTGTTAGCTACCTTACTCCGCCCGATGTCTTGATTGGCTTTGGACGAAGGCTGGAGGGGTGCAGGCCGGGAGTGCACTCAGTGCAGACAGCTGCATCTCGAACACTCTGGGAAGGAATGAATACCTTACCCTACCTGATCTTCTACTGTATGGCCAGCAACTGATACATACCTGCCTGCCCGCCTCTCCTGCTGCAAGGCGGAGGTCGGGAAGCGGACAGTTGGCAGAGCGGCAGCTCTGAGACGCCGAGGAGCAGTGCAACCTGATCATTTCGTCCCTTCTACTTCCGCCTCGCGGCACAATGAAGGTTGACAAGGACCCCCGGCCACCATGGCATCCAAAGCCTGATTTCTAACCTAGACGATGATACTGATCCGAACAAAAGCTACCCAAGCCATCGATCATCGATGATGTGGACGTCTAATCTGACGGAATGTTTCCTGCCAAAAAGTGCGAAAACGAACACTGACTGCCCTGAAAGTCTGTTGCACTGGCCGCCTGGTCACCTGAGGTGGTCAAAGACTGGACGGGTGCACTTGGAATGGTATTCGATAGGGCCTTGTCTATCCAAGCCGACGACGACATGGTGATGCCAAAACGAAACTAAAGACGCGGCTGATCCGACGCCGCCATGAATGCAGGCAACGCATTCTGACAGTCACTGGAGTCGGAGCAGATGGCGGCGGCTGGCTGGCGTGAGCGGATCGGCAGCTGTTTCAGATGCAGAAGTCCAGTGCAGGCAATTTGATGAACGACGCCAAAGGGCGTTTTAACCACGGCTCAACGATTGAAGTGCGAGCGTCCCGTCTGTTTCCCACCCCCCACCCCTTAAAACATGCAGCACCGCGCCCAAGGCGGCCCTCTAGCTGCTGCACCAACGGCGTTCGGGCGTGGGGCTTGTCCGAACCACCTCAATTCTCGCAGGAGAAGGTATCCGTACGCCGTCGAGGACACAGCTGCCTGCCTAATGGATCCAACCTGAAAGAAGCTTTGTCCATGTCATCTGCTGCAGCTGCCAGGGAAAAAAAGCAGGCAGAAAGACTGCCACGCCAGAAAACCGGGCATTTGGCCTACAATATTTATGATCAATCGTGGCATCTCGGTTCTTGCTGCAGTTAGATGGAAAAGCCAGTGTTGGTACGAAATACTGGGTTATAATTACGGAGCACACCGATGGCCAGCTCCAGGTCTGCCCCCGCAATTGGCTCTTGATGGATGTGACGCTGGCCGGGACAAAAACGTCATCGCATTTGAAGCTCCTTGGCCGGTGACTTGGGAGAGATCAGAAACAACGCAAAACTCTCAAGCCTGCGCCGTTCAATGTTTCGATGGAACACTGTAGTGGCCCCTGCGGAAGCTTGGCTTTTTGGTTCACAAGCTAGGGCAGCCAGACTTTATTTCTCAAGATTTATCAAAAGTTTGGAGGCTCTGATCATTGATGAGCGGCTGGGCTGGTTCAAGGTTGACATCGGCCCCATAATCCAACACCGTCGTCCGGACCATCGTGTCCACATCCTTGTCTAGACGTTCCTAGGTCAAGGAGTATTCAACCAGCGTGCATGCGCTTTGCCTGGCCGCCTCCACCGCTCCTCAACATGAGGTGAGCGAAGACTCGCTGCACGATGGTGGCTCTCTAGTCTCTAGAGGAGACTAGCGGTCAGTTAGAATCGAATTGGTTTGCATCTTTTACGGCCTCATCCTTCCCGCCCCCTGCTTTGGCCATCGACTGGCCATCAAGGCACCGCTCCGCTGGCCAATGTCGCCATCGACAGACGCAAACACCGCGCTGCACGCACGCCAGCGACTTGGACGCCACAGTCACCACACGTCCGAGACAGTCCACGAGAATGCTGAAGCCACTCATCTCCACGGGGATCCGAAGATAATTATGAATACCTACCGACGGACACCCTACGGACAACGACAGAGCTTCGAGGTTTCTTGTCTTGGACTTTCGATCCTGAACGTCCATGTACATGCCGGACAGCGTATGATTAAGATGTGATCGCTTCCTACTTGTCTTCCTTAAATGGAGGCCAGCCACCAAATCGGGCCTCTCGCCGAGCACAAGTACCAGCCCGCTCTCCGAAGCTCGCGCATGCCACGCTACAATCTCTCCGACCAGGAGCCAATCGCAAGGCCTGGAACCGCCACAAGCTCCCTCGTCGTAGTTTATTGCCCGGCTTCCAGATTCGTCTGGTGACCACAACGCCAATCCCAGCCTTCTCTTAGTATTATATATGTGCAACTCACACCAGAACAATCAAAGATGACAGAGAGCCGGGGTTAAAAAAAAACCAACACTTCGCTTGGAGGCATCTACCGCTCGACAGAGGCCTAGCCCCAACCCAGCCCTGCAGGTCATGTCATGTCAGACACAGCAGAGTTGACGTGTCACGGGCATCATCTGATTGGTCCCAAACGGCTGAAGGCGAAACTCGGATGTGGGGAACGCATAAACTTGTCAACACCAGCCAACTGCCGGCAAAAGTGACTTCGAGACACCAAGCGGCCAGATGAGGCTCGCCTACCTTATGTTAATACTGCGTAAAAAGTCTTGCCGGACTCACCCCGGCATCGCGGGGAGGACCCTGGGGTCTCTGGGATCTCTTGCCGCAAGGACCCGAACCTTCCGTCCTCCTGACGCCCCCTTTCTGGAAACCTCTCCTCTCCCCCCCGCCCGCGGCCCCCCCGGCCTGCGGCTCAACAACAGTGGAACCCATCCCATGGCTCACATGTGTACATACACGTAGTAAGTGTACAGTATACAACTTGCGCTAGCCCTGGCTGGGAGATCGGAATGGGGGTGTGTGCGGCACGCGCGCGCGCGAGAGAGAGAGCGATCGCTCCGGGATCAACATCCGCGAAGCGCGGGATCTGAGGGGTGGTTGCTGGCAAAACCAGGAGTTGGTGCTGAAACTTTTTTCCCCTCTCCCAAAGCCCGCTCTTTCACTTGCCTGTCTCACTGCTCACATAAGGTCTTGTACTTTTTGATCGGCCTTGCAACCTACCGTCGAGCATGCAAGTAAGTACGTGTCTGTATTGTACATGGCAATGTCCGCGGGCGTCGACACCAAGAAGGTCCCCCCCTCCCCCTCAACCTTTCCTTTCTCGGTCTGTCAAAGATCGGCCGTTTTAGGAAAGTTCTTGAACACCTCTGCATCCCAGATCAGCCATAGAGCTTCGTTCCCCAGCCAGAATTTCACGGCGTGGGATGTACGAGGTGACGTGTTAATAGCCGGTTCGACGAAAAAAAGGGGTTCTCCCAGTGAGATAGCAACTACTCTAGTGCGGTCGGCTTTTCTATACAGTAATGCATCCCGTATGCAGCGTGTGTGCGGATGGAGTGGCAAATAGAAGTCCGAATTTGGATGGGTCGTACTATAAACTCTTCCCAGGGGTTAGGTGTGTAGCTCCTCATGGCTTGGGTTCCCAAGCTCACGTTTGCACGATATTGCTTGAGCCCCAGCCAGCCAGCCTTGTCGGTAACGTTTCCGATAGCTGTGTAAGAGGGTTGAATATCTGTGAAAACAGGTTCCCTCTTTGTATTTGTGACCTTGCTCTTGTCAGTCTCTGTATAATGAATGAATGTGCTGCTTTGTCTCGCCGTTTCTTCAAGGAGACTCGCATGTTTCCGATGAGTCTTTTCAAAGAGGGGTAGAAGGCGCCATTGATACATCAGCAATGTTTTCTAGCCTAGCGTCTAGTACTAGCAACTTATGGTGCTTGCCTAGGTAGGTGGTTGTTGACGATACTACGCCAGAGTCCTGCCGCTGTTGCAGAGACCGAGATACATGTCACCATCACAAGGCGGGGCGTTTTGGGAGAGACTTCTACTCGCCAAGGGGTCTTAAAGGAGGCGACGAGAGCGATAAGAACACACGAGAAAATTCGATAGCCTTCTCGACTGCTATTGTCTGTGTCCACCCAATGCTGTAGTTTATGTACGCTGTGGCGGGGATCTCATGTAGAGGTGTTACAATTAGCAAACAAGTAACGTGGAAATTCCCTCTTGTCCTTTGGCAGGTCTTGTGTATCTTGACTCTAGCTGAGGGGTCTGCCAGCTGTATTTTCTCTCTTAGATAGTCGCCGGCGTATTGGAAGTAAATACGTGGTTTGGAGAGCGGAAAGGGGGTCGGCATTTGTGTACGTCACTTTATTCCATTTGGCAGAGAAAATACACGGGGAAAAGGGGGATGGCTGCTCAAGTCGAGAACATTCCCCCCGCTGCCGAAATGCTCTTGTTAAATTTATATATGTACACACAACCAACTTCAAGACGGTTGCTGATTTTCAGTCCTGGACAAGCAGTCGCCGAGCTCGTTGAACGGGATCCAGGGGCCGACCATGGTGAGGAGGGTATGGGACCCGTCGACGGCGCGATAGTCGGGCCGCCACCGCACGTTGTGGGCAAGACTTCGCTGTTACGAAGCCGCGTAAGGTTGGCGGTGAGAACCCTCTGCCCCTGACCGTCCCGCACGGGAAACGGGTGGTTGCTGCGGATCCAGACCGAATCCCCGGGGCTGTTGTTTAAGTTTCCCACCATCACCACGCCGTGGGCGGACGACCTGCCCGAATACGGCACGATGAACTCGACCTCGGACGACTTTTAATTCAGAAGCAGTGGTTGTTCCAGTCGCCGCCCCGCTCCCGCACGAGGATCTTTTGGTAGTCTCCAAACTGGTTGTCATGAGGAGACTCGAGGTACTCGCATGGCCTGGGGCCGTTGGGGTCCCTGTTTTCCCTGTACCGGTAGCGGTAGACTTCGAATTCGAATATGGTGAGGCTTGAGCCCGACTCTGGGGACTTGACCGACTTGTGTTAGACGCCGACCAATCTCTAAACGACTCGCCGTGATAACAGGAGAGACAAGCTATGGCATCTTACCGCAGAACTATCGGCCGAAGCTTTAAAGAGCGGAATAATATAAAAACACAAAACTGTTTGGCTGTTTATATTTGATGGCTGAAGAGAATGTGGAGGTGTAGGCAAGGAGGGTCAACCCGAGGAGAGATATAGCAAGAGAGACCGGCGCGGACAGCTTCTTTCCACGGGAGCCCTGGAAGAAAGTTTTGATATCCGACAAGCAGTGCAAAGACTGACGCCACCGTTGAGATGTCAAAGTATGGCTGGCGTATTTGAAAATCGTCAGGTTGCTTCCACTAGCCGCAGCCAAAACGGGCCAGGAAGCAAGATAACTTCAGCAGATCGCCAACATATCGGACCGGAAGAGGAATTGGGTTCAAAGACAGACTAGTGCACCGGCGAGAAAGGTATAAGGGGCGGGCAAACGACGACCTGGGCTCTGGGCTCACGGATCTACAACTTCGGTGACAAGCTTATGTAGAAGCAATGTGTTGCATCGAATTCGGAGACATGGTTTTCAGCCTTGGTCCATTCTCTGATCAAGAAGAGTGTAGCCATCCTTGGTGCATAGTCTTCCAGGATACCACACACGCCAAACCAAACAAGACGACACCGCACACGGCGAACCAAACAGGACGCACGACGCACGGCACTCACGACGCTCCAGTGACGTGCAGCTAACGTGTCCATTGGGAAGAAGTCATGGCATAATTCCGCCAGCCAGCCAGTCGGCAAGCCAAATATACGAGGTGGTGATGTAAGGGGGGACCTGAAATGGGCTGGAGTCGAGCGTTTTTCTTTCTTTTTTCATGGCTTGCTTTGTACATCTTTCGAGGGCGCCTCCTCCTTGGACCCCAGCATTTTGGCCACCCACTCAGCAACCTCCTTCTCGGCAGCCTCGTCTGCGTCACCTCCCTGAAGGTCCATTGACCGCCTTGCCATTCTCCTGAGGTCGTCAACAGAGGAGACGTCCAGGGCCCACGACAACCCGCCTGTGGCCATGACGGCAAAGCTAATCATGTTGAGTGTAGCTAGATTCAAGGCCTCAAAGGCTACGAGGGGATTACGGCCCTCAAGTTCCTTTGCAGCGTCGCCCCTCCTCCCTGTATTATGATTCGGCTGGTAGAATTTGAGCTGAGATGCGCGCATGTGCTTTGCGACGGCGCGCCGGGAGATTATGATGGAGAAGACCATGAAGCTGGCGCCGCCACAGAAGAGACCGAACTGCTTGAGCGTGCGCTTCGTGGGAAGAGGCGAGGGCTTTGTTTCCAGGGACTGCTGTGGCCAGGCCTCAACGGCAGAGACTCGAGGCGGATCGGCAGGAGGCGTCTGTGTCTGGAGAGGCAATGGCAGTGAGGGAGGCGGAGGAGGTGCAGCCGCAGCGGCTGCCGGCAGGGACGGGGTGCTTCCATTCGCTGGCTTGGAGCCGGAGCCAAAGAGCGACGAGAAAAAAGACATTGTCGGTGTTGTAGTGAGCGTAGTTTAGTGTACTGTACTATGCTGTGTTGAGCTGAACCCGCAAAGAGGAAAGGAGAAAGCCTCTTGATGCGCAGGCCGAGATGTCGAGCGACGCCCCGAGACAGACACTGACTGCGGGTTGCTGTCACGTCTGTAGTCTAGACCGCGCGTTGTGGTGTGGGGGGCTAGACCGAATTGGGTTGCCGTTTGGGAATTGTCGTTGGGAAAAAGAAGCCTAGCGTTGACGGGAGCTTGAAGCTGGCAGGGCAGGGCAGGCCCATGAGGGTCCACCTCGCTAGTGCGTTTGTTTTTTTGCGGGGAAATGCACATCTTATGGTGGAGTAACGTCAAACAGGACCGTCCATACGCACGCAGTAGGGTATCTTCATGTTGATAGCAGCAGCCCAGACCCTTTACTTCTGAACACGAATTGAAATTTGCAGTATTCTGTATTCCATAAACCGTAACCTCACAGAGCCCTATTGCCAAGTTTGGTCTAGGAAGTACGGATACTACGTTACGGAGTAATTGGCGGGAAATTGGCTGCCCCGCCAAGCCAGGGCGTTCAAGAAGTTCACGACGAGCGGCCCCGAGTTCGAGCCTGAGCTTTGGATTAGGTCTACAGCCTTATGATGATGAAATAGATTATCCGCTCGTTCCCCGTTTAGTCCCATTCTCTCGGCCAACCCCTGTTACGAACCGCGAAACGGCCCTACGCCGGTGTGTACATGTTACACTAGGGGCGGGTAGAAGATCGATCAAATCCTCATTCTCGAGGGTGGAGGGCTTGGGCGGATGCGACCCCACTCAATCGCGAATTCCATCTTTGCTGCAAGACTTGCACACCATCCTCGGGATTGGATGTGCGGCACTGAGGTGGGGGTCTACTTACTACTTTAAGTAGTACGAAATATTACCGGTCCAGACTGCAATCTAACAACACGCGCATATTTCAACATTAGGAACTCCATCATCACCCCCAACAGACCAAACCCCCAACGGGTAACCCGTATACCACCCATTTTGTGTGTGCCAGGCGAGGCGATAGAGTCGACAGCCAGTCGTATCTCATCTGGGCGTACATATATACAAAAAGCACTGTTCACAGCTCAGGGGCGCCCAACTGGATTTGGTCAATTCCATAGTTGTATGTGGACGGCATCACTCCCATCTTCGGCCCGTAATTATCATATTCCCAGAAACCGATAGTCGCCGCCACTGCCCTTTTTGACTGGCCGTCACTCGGCCATTGCAGCATCAAGTCTGTGCCCTTTCCGTGAAACAAGCAGTAATAGTGAGTTTCTGACAAATGCCTTTTCGATACACAGTACATAAGACAGACAATGGCAAAAGACAAGCGTGCCAAAGCGGCGGCGGCAGCCCTGCAGAGCAACAAGCCAGCTCAGCCACTCCCAGTGCTAGTCAGGCCGTCCTGGCCGCCATTCAAGCCAGCTCTGCCCGTCGCGGATCTGAGCCTCGAGCCCGTTGTCCCGGACAAAGTTGTCGTTCTGAGGTCCTTCTTTCCTCGCTCCCTGTGTCGGGACTATGTCTCTGTCCTTGGCACGCTGCCTCTCACAACCACTCCTGGGAAGCCCAAGCGCGGAGAGGCGTTGCGCGTTAATGATCGCTATCAGATCGATGACCCAAAATTCGCCGATCGGTTGTGGTCTGAAACAGGACTCAAAGACGCCGTGCTGAGCGACGATGTGGCTCACTTGTGGTGCGTTCTGTTCTTAGCTCTTGTCAACACAGGAAACTATCCAAGAGAGCAGTACCCGCGCTGACTGCAACGCTGCTGGATACAGGGGCGGAGACGTCATTGGCCTGAATGCAAACATCAGAGTATACCGGTACTCGCCAGGGCAGTTCTTTGATGCTCACTGTAGGCCGCCTATCTGTCTCTTTTCCGTCTTCCCTCTTCCCAAGAGCCCTATTCCACTTGCATCTGATGGCTTGCATGACCTGCAGTGTGATCGGCTTCCACCCCCCAACCATCCTCACCCCGACTTCGCTCTTCTGACTTCGAGGCCCGCGACTGCACCTCTGGCGCAATATCTGCGAACTACTATTGACGGAATGTCGAACATCCGGAACAAGCCTCCACTGCTTCAACGTGATGTCAAACTGCCCTCACGCGTGTCTTGGACACAGCACCACCGCCTTTGCGAGCTGTCACTTCTCCACGTCAAGTTCCGCTGTCCCCCGAAGCCACCAGCAGACCCGCCCGTGTTCTGACTGCCAATCAATGCTAACCGTGATCAAGACGACGACTCGAACAATGTCCTTGTCACTACCGAGACGGGGGACTCACTCCCAGCCAAGACGACCTGGACCCTATTGCTGTACTTGACTTCGTCGAGTGATGGCTGCGTTGGTGGTGAGACTGTGTTTTACCCATACGACAGGCAGTCCGCTAAAGAAGCAATCATCGTGAGCCTGGAGACGGGGATGCTACTCCTACACAAGCACGGCCATGACTGCATGCTGGTGGGTTTTGTTCGCCGGCTCCTTTCCCTTTCTGGGAATTTTTGTTGTCACCACAATTGTCACGGCCGCTGACGTTTTTTCGGCGCCGTCTTCCAGCATGAAGGCCGCGAAGTCACCGCCGGAGAAAAATGGATTCTCAGAACGGACCTTTGCGTCAAGAGGTAGTGCTACAAGCCTGCGAGGGTGTCGAGTGGAGAAAGGTGTGCGCCTCTGTGTCAGGCTAGATCCGCTGTTGCCTTGCCAAGAGAGTACTCGCAGACCCTGAAACCATCCAAGGGTCCAAGAAGATTTGACAGGTTCGTGCCAAGAGGGGAGAGCAAAACCATGGGATCGAAAATATCCTTACAGGCTTACCCGCCGTCTCTCTCTTCGTCGTGTATGTACTGAATACCTACTTGGGTATTTTCATGATCGACAAAGACTCTCCGGCATGAGGAGCCAGCCCGAATTCTCAAAACGGAACAGAGCATGTACACTCTACTTCCGAGTGCCATTAACGCGGTATGTACTTGGACAGAAACAGAAGGGGTTTTGCGAATAGGCTCGGCCCAGAAAACGTTGTCCATGTCTTAAGAATCTGATTTAGGTCTTGAAATAGCCACAACTTCTTTCAGAGAAACCCTTCAATACGAGCCAGAAGGCATCCGTGCCTTTCGAGTCGTGGGGGCTTTGTCCCACACTAACGACATATCACGGCCCGGATATGGGATAAATGTCCTCGTGGACAAAGATAGCATCGTGCTGGAGGGCGTGGCTAGCTCGTCGTCCTTTTCTCGGCAGCCCTTTTCGTTCTACTTGGCTCATCTCGGTGATGTTGTCTCCTGTCTTCCTAGAGTAGTAGATCTATACGAAACCCAGTGCGGACGAGGTGTATGATTCCATTTCGATGCCGCCCCTTTCCACGCCGTATTCTCCTGTTTATTATTACCGACTCGCAACGAAGCTAGAAGCAGTGTGTACAATGCACCCAGACGGCCATCTACTATTGCCCTCCTCTGCAATCGCCGCCAAGACCTTCCTAACTCGTCCGCTGCCACAGTCACTAACACGCAGCTCATAGGGCTAACCCTAGCCCGCGTTCACAATTCGGCAACCTGGTCTGCATTCTCCTTTCGTTTCTTTTGTTTCGTTCAAAAACCCTTTACAAGACCTTGCCTGGGTCGATCTCCAGGATGGCCCCGTCGGTTTTGGATCGGACGGCAGCTTCCGCTGTGGTTGTGCCTTGTGATGCGAGTAAACGGGCGGCATCTCGCTTTTTACACTACGTTATTCCGTATATGTATACAATTCGCAATTTGCATCAAATCGCCAGTATTTTATACCCTCTATCTCAAACTCTGATGTGCTAGCACACTAACAATTTGGCTTTCTCAAAGCGGAGCTCGTGCGTTGTCGGTCAACAACCTAAATCTTGTGGGTTAGCCTTGCGCATAGACTCTCGTGTAACCATACAGACAGCCTGCAACCTAGGTAAGGTAGTCTTGAACACTCAACCACAAATAACAGGAGTTGGTGTTGCAATCCTATGCATTCGAGTAGTATAATTTAGGTGATTAGGAGACTGATGATGGCGTACTTTGCAAGAGAAAGGAATACTTGTGCGGATAGTAGAGTACCCAACTACACGCAGTATTAGTGCCCAAAGGTACCTGCACCTCATGTACCTCCTCTCCAGTTCTCAGGCACCTCATCATCCATGTGATGCTGTGGAGAAGGCTTAGAAGCAAATCCCAGCGCAGCGCAAGGTACCGGCCGCCGAATGGGCCGCGTTTTGGGGAGGTACAGTATCTGTAGGGAGGGCAGGTTGGGTTTTGTGCTGTGCAAGGGGAGGATTTTGGTTCCCCACATCGACTTTCTCTCCGCCTTTTCTTGGGGGTTGGAGAAGGGAGAAGAGACCGGCAGAAAAAAAATATTCCACAACCAGGCGCGTGCATGAATGGTCAATCGCAAAGCTCTCAACAACCGCAAAGACGATTGTTTACACTCTTGTCCCCCTGTTCCCCCTAATTTGAGAAGCAGAAATTTCGCAAAACCAACATCACGTAAACACTATCAGCCATGGGGAAATCATCCAAGAAGAGAGAGCGCACCGAAGAAGATATCGCCGCGGGGCAGGAAGACGCCAAGCCCATTCTCAAGAAGAGCAAAGTCCACGCCAATGGCAAGGCCGAGGTGACGAAGCAGGCCGTCGACGACGAACCTGCCATTGAAGAGGTTGTGAGCGATAAGAAGTCCAAGAAGGAGAAGAAGGACAGGAAAGAAAAGAAGAAAGCCAAGGAGTCCAAGATCGCCGCCACCGCCGTCGCCGCAGAGCCCAATGCGGCCGCATCTAAGGAGGAGCCCGTGAAGGAGAAGGAAAAGAAGGACAAGAAGGAGAAGAAAGATAAGAAGGAGAAGGACAAGAGCAGCAAGAAGAGCAAGAGCCAAGACGACTCGCCTGCGCCCACATCAACGCCCAGCAAGGCGTTCAAGACCGACGCTGGTGCCAGCGCTGAGGCAGAGTCTTCGTCCAAGAAGGACAAGAAATCCAAGAAGGAAAAGAAGGACAAGAAGTCCAAAAATAGCAGCAGCAAGGACGCCGCCGAGCCATCAGCTGACACCACGAAAACCGGCGAAGCCACCGCCTCTACCGCGGCAGACGACGAGGACGACAACAACGCCGAAAGTGACAAGAAGACGCGCTTCATCTGCTTCATCGGCAACCTGCCGTTCAGCGCGACGACGGAGAGCGTGCGGGCGCACTTTGCGTCAGTGCAGCCGACGGGGGTGCGCATGCTGACGGAGCGCGCCAACCCCAAGAAGTCGCGAGGCATCGCCTTTGTCGAGTTTGGCCGCTTCGACCACATGAAGACGTGCCTGGAGAAGTTCCACCACACCGAGTTTGACGACGGCCTGTCGCCCGCGCGCAAGATTAATGTGGAGCTGACGTGAGTTCTCTTCAAATCTTTCTTTTCCTTCTTCCATTCCCATGTTTTTATCACACACAGTCATACACAACAGAGATGAATATGAGATTAGAGAAGAAATCTTTCTTCTCTCTCACACAAATATACACAAATCCACACGAACCTACTTTCTTCTCTCTTCCCCCTTAAGCTCCCCGTCTCTAATTTTCTCTCTTCTTTTCTCAAACAGAGCCGGCGGAGGCGGCAAGACGGCCCAGCGCAAGCAAAAGATTACGGAGAAGAACAAGAAGCTCAATGAGGAGCGCGTGAACCGGATGCAGAGGGAGGAGGCCGCCAAGCTGGAGAAGGCCAAGGGCGGGGACAAGACCAAGAAGGCCGAGCCCGCGTCTGACGGCTTGACCCAGAAGCAGCGGGAACAGCAAGAACAGAACGCCATACACCCGAGTCGGCGGAATTGGGTCCAGCATGCAAAGAAATAGATAGACTAGAGGCTTGCATAGGAGAGCGGGCTTTTGCATACGTGGGTGGACTGGTTGGGTACACTACGGTTTCGGCAATGACATTAAAAGATACCCCCTTCCTTTGTAGACTCGCCGAGACGCAGATACAGTGTATAACACGGTCAGGAGAAAGCAAAAAACCCTCGGCATGTTTGGCAATTCTATTAGTGAACAAGGATTTCTCGCATTCAACCATACATTCATATCCACACCGCCTCGGCAAGTCCCTGCCAACGGGGGCTGTGTAAACTATCTACAGAAACAAGCGGGATATCCTTTGTGATGTTGTTCTCGATGATAATGCAAATTTGCTACCTTGAGGCGCCAAAGCAGGGAAAGACGACCATGTAGAGCAAAAAACGGAAAAAACAACCGATTCCCGAAACCGTTCTTCTCCTGAGAGCACTGGGTAATATCAAGGGAAGAAGAGGGGCACACGCAGGCTTCTAAAAGTGCTCCCTCATCGCAAACTCACCGACTTCAGAAAACCCTTTCGTGCTTGCCGCTCGCAAAGACCCCCTGCGGGAGGTGAGTTCTTATATCGAGCTATCTAGCCGCTAGATGCGGAACCGCATCACAGCGAAGCCTAGTAATAGCTGGCAACAACTCGGAAGAAAGGGCGACGAGACGTTAGGGGAGGGCATATATGACTTCGAATTAGGTTATAAGCCAGAAGCTCCCCAGAAATTGGCCGAATTAGAGAATGGTGCACTTTGGCTTCTTCTGCTTCGGCACTTCCGTTGTGGGGTTGAGTACAGCGCTAGGGGCTAGTTAGTTCTGCGATACTTCAGGGCGACATCGAACGACGAGTCACTTACCGGATGGCCTCGTCAAACACAGCCTTCAAGCCTATCTGCGTAAGGGCAGAGCACTCGACATATTTCTTCGCGCCGATCGCCCGCTGGGCGGCGAACCCTAGCATGGGATCTATATAGTTGAGATCACCAGCCTTGGCACCCTCCTCCTTCTCCGATTTGCTGCGTAGATCGATCTTGGTGCCAACGAGGATGATAGGGACGCCAGGTGCGTGATGCGAAATCTCGGGACCCCACTGAGAATGCGAGTCAGCCGTCGTTTAGTGTATCCTGCAATACTACTACTACTACTGCATTTGGGAGCTTGTCACCAACCTTTTCTATGATGTTCTCGTAGGAAGATGTGCTCACGGTGGAGAAGCAGAGAAGGAAGACATCGGTCTGGGGGTATGAGAGAGGGCGCAGTCTGTCGTAGTCTTCTTGGCCGGCAGTATCCCACAATCCCAAGCTCACAGGGTTGCCATCGACCGTTACTTTTGCGCTGTAATTATCGAAGCTATCGGGTTGATATCATCAGCACCGTGGCGCCATTGCACTGGGTTGCTCTCCAGATGATCGCGCCCTTTGTACTTACACTGTGGGGATATACTCGCCCGGGAAGGCGTTCGTTGTGTAAGAAATGAGCATACATGTCTACGCCGCTAGCCGTTAGTCCCACGGAAAATGAGGCTCGGCAATGGAGGGGCGAAGCCTGCTTACCTTGCCGACAGCACCGTCACCGGCGACGACACACTATGCAAATGAAGATGCACGGTCAGCTTCAAATGAACTCTAGGTGGGGGAATTTTGGCGGTGTGGCGCCGGAGCAGAGACGGCTGCCGACGAACCTTGATCGATTGGGTAGCCATGGTAGCAGCACGTCTCTAATCTCTGTTTTTTTCAGGAAGTAGGGTTTCTGTGCAACCGCCGAGTCCCACGCTCAGAAGGCGAAGCTGTCGGAGCAAATCGGTCGAGGAAAGGTTCAAGGATGGATGGAAGCGGAGGCCGAATCCAGGGAGCAAGGGGGTTGGTTGATGGTAGGTTGCGGAGCAGCGACGGCGACAAGATGGCCGACACGGAGGAAAGGCTCAAAGATGGCTTGGGGTCGAGCCGCTGCGTAATCAAGAGAGGCCGGCTATGGTTCTTTCGATAGCCCTACTAGAATGGGAAGGCTCGGGATGAAGAAAGTGGAAAATGAGCTGCACCGAAGGTCAGAAAATGTTTTGACACAGACCGGAACGGTTTGGTGCCGGGGGAGGTGTCGAATGGAATTTAGGTGCAAAGCTGGGGACGGCAAAGAGGAGATAAAGAGCCAAGAGCCAGGGCATTGGCCAGTGGCACAGTGTGCAAGTCCCGCTGCCTGGGTAGTGGTGTGGTGGGCTCGAACGTAACTGCCCGCTGTGGGTGACACTGGCTCTTTTTTTTTCGGGGGGGGGGGAGGAGGTTTGGAGTGGGCGCCTTCCTGCACAGGACGGCGGCGAGGCGGGAATTACTAGTGGAGCTGCCCGCTAGCTGTGACTTGCTCGCACGGAGTGCCATCACATTGGCGGTACGTATCTGCCCACAGCGGGGCGACTTTCGATTGGGAACCAGGAGTTGCCTCTAACACTTTCGGCGTCAACCGCCTGACGCCAGGCGACGCGATTGCCCGACAGGGACAGGGCCAAACCCACGAGTCCAGCATCCCAATGGACGGTCCGCTCATACAGATACAGCCGAGCGTGGGGATCCTCGAAGGTAAGGGCAAGAGCAGGTCCATCCACGTCCGAGCGAGACTACGACTGCGACAGCCAGCCATGGATGGGAGCCTGAGGACGAAAATAAAGACCAAAAGGAAACAAGTGAGCCAAGGAAAAAAAGGCGCCCCCTCACTTACCTGAATTGGATGGAGTGAACGGGGTGGCTGCGTTGTCCCTGCTTGCTGCCTCGAAAACGTCGGTGACTGCGTCCCTGCGTTGTTGTATGTATGTACACGCAAACCTCTGATCGCCTCCTTGGCAGAGGTTGATGGTGGGTAGCTATGCGAGCCGGATGCAAGGCAGGACGGGGGGCGGGGGGATGCGGGCGAGGATGCGGCTTCTTACAGGCAGCTTTAAAAAGCCGTAGAGGATTTGGGGGAGAGGTGGTGGAGGTGGTGAGTCAATGGGACTGGCTAGCGACGGGCCTCATGAGGTCAAGATGTTGGAGGGAGGTTACACAGTCTCGGACTCAAGTTGCAATGGAGCTGGCTCAATCTAGACGGGCTACATCTGCCGGCCGCGGACCGCAAACCTGAGCAGGCTTGTTGGAGCTTGTTACGAAAATTGGGACCGTTTCTATTTGTGTGGACTTTTCCCCGGCACCAACGAAGGAGGTTTGTATTCGTACGTGGATTCAGAAGGCACCTATGGAAAGTAAGGTATTGATCAAGGTTTCAACGGGCATCGCCCAGAAATCGGCATGCGCGAGGAACCGGACCGCCGACCGAGGTGCGCGATTCAGCATGGGGAACAATAAAAAGGGCTCCTTTTCCCCTCTTGTCGGCCATCACCGACAGCATGCCTGGTCACATCATCGAGATGGACGTTTTTGCCGATAGTCAGCCATTCGCAAAGATCGACCGTGCAATGGGAGGTCAGAGCCCCCCCCAGGAGTTCAGGCGTTACATTTGACGCACGTCTGTAACAAGGCGGTCTCTATGGAACACTCGACGAAGGTTCCTGCAAGTCAGAACGGCCAAGCGTCTGGCCGTGGCGGAAGCGCTATTGTCCTGATTCGTCTCTTCCCACCAGCCCTGGCCCACTCGAAGGGGCCAAAAGCTTCCCGGCCTGTTGGCTAATCAGCCGACAACCTGTAATGATCGCGAGGTGTCTCTCTATTGCGGTCGGTGATCTCGACAGATAAAACCCCAGTGCATTCCCACTGCGCTCCTGACTGAGTGGTTCGTACGCTGCGACGGCGACAAGGCTCTTGGCAAACCGTGACAGCTCCCTTTATGGCGTAGTCAGCCGAAGCATCAGAAACGACTCCGTATTCCCGGCTATCCATACGGGCATGTACTATCTCCTTAAACTGGGGCGGGAAACCAGAGCACTCGTTGGAAAACCCTAATGCATAGCGCCGCAGCAACATGACATGCCTGATGTCCTTCGGCGTGCTCAGGGTACAGCTGCCAGAAACCCAACGGTGTGCTGCGCCCAGATTCGATGTTGGTAGCATGGATCGAAAGGTGAGTCGGGCTTGAGGGGCACGGGGCCATGGGGAAAACCACTGATACGAGTCAGAGGCCACCTGGGCCATCGTTTGATACTAGTAGTAATAGTTATGGTAGGTAGATAGACTTGTGTTTTGCTATGCAAGATGCTTGACCCGTTCTTACAGGGAGATAGGATCTGACCCGAGATACAAATCGAAATGGATCCGTAGGCGTGGAAAAGGTAATCATCACCCCGCGCGCGCATCCCTCAATCCCTGTCTGTACTGTGCCGCGTCAGGAATTTGCACTGTACTGTACTGTACTATAATGATACCGTGTAACCTGTCCATTGTACGGAATAATTTCTCAGGCTCAAAACGCGTCTCGCTTGCAGCGTTTGGCGACCAGTCGCGTCACCCACCGACTCGTATTTCCACTTCAATGCGGCTCTGAGTGAGAGCAGGTTGATATTACCACTCCGATGCAATCGACCAAGGCTCTTGTAGATCCGCTAGCCATTGCATCAATGCCAGGGGTCTAAGAAACCAGCAGAGATCAGGAAAGGACACCGACAAAAAACACCCGCCACCAATCCTCGAGCTCGGCCTGTGATGCCCATTGGAAACGCGAGCTGATGCCCATGGCGCGCGAAAGCCACCCCCGGGTCGACGTGACCCCGAAACCGCGGGCTGCGAGTGCCGACCCGGCCCCGTCGACCAGCCGGCGCTCCATCAAGACACCGGGTAGTAGTCAGGCACGGGGTGTGCAGCGCCCGCAGGGCCTCTCGGCGTCGGGCAGGAAACCCGCACCCCTGGTTGCGACTCCGCATGCCCGCGCCGCCTTGCGGGCCATTGACTCGCGGCGCGCAGCCATCTTCACACCTCACCGTGCGAGACGCCAGAGCCTCCGCGAGGCCCGCGAGACCCCGCGCGACTTTCTGCTTCCGCTGGGACGCGTCCTTGCGCGCAACACCAACATCATCAACTCGTCGTCGTCTCCGCGCGATCAAAAGACTCCCGGCTCCGGGGGCGGCGATGCAGATGGCGACACGGCCATGGAAGAGGATGAATACGACGACGAGGATGACGACCTCCCGAAGCGGCCCAGGTTGTCGCTCCCGATCGACGCGGACGATGATGACAGCGACCTGCAGCCGCACCGCTCGGCCGGCCTGGAAGACGACAATCTGACGGCCCGGTCGATCGAGCTGCCACGGAGAGCCTTCAGTGAGCAACGTGGCAGCCGGTATTCGCTCGCTAGTATGCGCATGAGCGACTACTCTAACGGGAACGATGTGCCGCCGAGCGAGGAGGTTGGCATCGATTCCGGCTTCTTCCCCCCGAGGAACGCCATCGATCAAGATACGCTCGATCTTAGGGCGGGGGATATATCGGCCTATGAACGGTAATAACAAACTTGGACCCCCCCCCCCCCCCCAAGCATGAATAATTTTCTAATGCAGAAATAGGCTTGATTCGGATGTAGGACGCCGTGATACGGCCCGATTTAGTGACTTTGAGATTGAAGTGCCGGTCAACATGAATGAGGACACCTTCATGATAGCGCCGCAAGCTCAAGAGTCGCCCACCCACGAAGCCCCTGAGCTTCATGAACCTGTGGATGAGAGCGAGGCTCTCGACCCGCAAAGCGACGATGATAACGACGTGCCAGAGCCGGAACTAGCCGAAGAAGCGAGCGACGCCGGGTCAGAAGCAGCTGTAGAAGCTTTTGCCAAGTCGGATGCACAGCGAAGCACAAAAAAGCGAGCCATCAAGATATCGAAGCACGGCATTGAATACCCGTCTCTCCCACCTGCCGTAGTGAAGCGGCTTGCGCAAACATTCGCAAAGACAAGCGGAGCGAAGGGGAAGATCACCCCTGACGCACTCAAAGCAATCATGCAGGCGTCAGATTGGTTCTTTGAGCAGCTGGGGGACGACCTGCAAGCCTATGCAAAGCACGCAGGCAGGAAGACGATCGAAGAGAGCGATATGCTCACCATCATGAAGCGGTACGTCACTCTCGGACAGGGTATCTTACGATGTATATACTATATAACAGTGTGTTTTTTTTTTACATGACTGACCCTATCTACCTCAGACAACGCCAAACTAACCCCCATACCACGCCCTTTGCTCTTGCACAACGCCATCTGCCAAGGGAATTACTTCAAGAGCTGCGCATGACACCCCCTGCTCCAACGAAGAGACGGCGTAAGGCTAGTGGCGGGAACGAGGACAAAGAGATTACCTGAACTGTGAAAACAGCGCCGATCACTTTTTACCAGCTCTTGTTCATACGAACACGCCGAGTTATGTCGGATGGCGGCTTTTTGACCACCAGCCAAAACATTATTGAGGTTGCCACAGCAAGGCCGTACCTAAATACGTCAGTCAACTAGGGATATAACCAGCAAGGCCACAAGGGCCACCCGGTGGCACGACAATGGTTGATGCATTGCAGCAGGAGGCAGAATCAACATACCATGTAAAAATGTATTGGGCGTGGTTGTTACGCAGGTTCACCTCGGCAGGCCTGCCAATGGGGATACCGCGCGCCACGTAGTCATAGAGCTGAAGAATGTCGGGGTCTGCGTCTGCTGTGTCAGTCTTGGTCCGGGATAGTAGCTTTTGATGCCAGAAAAAGGGGCATGTAGATGTAGAGAGGGGGAAACTCACCCATAGTCTGCTCAATCCAGACGGGCTGACTCCCGGTCAACTGCGCCATCTGGTGCACGTCGGGAAAGTAGAACTCGCCCTTCTCGATGTTGTTGTCGGGCGTGAACATATTCTTCTTCCACGGCTCTCGCAGCATGCCCTCGACGCGCACCGTCTCGGGCTTTAGGCTGTCCATGCGCTTGCGCTTGTCGGCCTTGTCCTTGGATATCCACCCGCGGTTCACGAGCACCGTCGTCTCGGGCCCGCCCTCGCGCTCCAGCGGCGTCACCACCATGTAGCCCTGCTCGCCGTCGCGCATGCGCGGCCCGATCAGCATCTCCTGGTCGTGCCGGTACCGCCCCGTCGTCCACACCCGCCGGTAGTCGAAGTCGGGGATCGCGTCCGCATCGATGCGCGGCGGCAGCGGCAGCGGCGCCCGCACCAGCCGGTCCTCGCACTTGGCGATCAGCTCCGTCTTCCACTCCAGCCGCTTCACCTGCCACGTGCCGAGGATGAACGCCGTGACCGGTATGATGGCTGGCCACGAGGGGAAAACAAGGATCAGTCAGTCACATGTTGGGCCGGAGAAAAAGGTGTGGGTGGAAGAAACGCACCGAGGATGATCAGGCCTGGGCCGTGTCTGCGACCGGACCGGACCAGTTCTGGGGGGTTGTCGAGGACCGAGGTGAAGCCCGGCTCGTCGGCGGCCTGCCGTGCGCGTCGTGGCCGCGACGTCGAAATGGGCCGGCGGGCTGCCCCAGCCCGCCGTATGGCCGCCGCGGGTGTCGATAATGTCGCAGCTCGGCATGTTGGGGGGGTTTGGGATGCCGCCGCCGTCCATTTCTGGGCCACGCCGCCAATTGAGACCCTCGGCGTCCGCGCTGGACGCAGCAGGCAATTGAACACTGTCCCGGCCATCCTACCTGTTCTTTTATGATTGATTGGTCCGGCCCGAGAGGCGAACAGAAACACGGTTCGTCTGCTTCGTCTTGTTGACCCGCCGTCAAGAAGTGTTGCTGGGTCGATGTGAAATGTCCAACGGCGATGGGAATCTTGAATTTCCCACGCGTGGAGGTTGTAGGTGCTTCCTGCAGCCCGCGCCTATCCGTAGCGTCCGTTCGCCGAGCCTAAACCGTGGGAGCGCAGCGGCTCATTGGTGCAACCGGGAAGCTTCTGTGCCCCGCTGCACGGCATGGCTGGGGCTGTAGTCTGCGGGGGGAGGGGGCTCTCTCTCTGTAAGCAGGGGTCAGGGAGCTTCAACGTCATCCATCGCGCTTCGCTTGGAGCTCATCCATAGAAGCCACCTTATTAACTTCGGCTCAACCAACACAAGGCAGCCTTCTTACGACCGTCGCCAAGCCAATTTCCTCTCAGCTTACATCTGCTTACAGTCTGCGGTTTGAGATAACTAAAGGACACACCGCCGTCTCTTGGCCCCGAAGACTACGTACGCACGAGTCGCGAGGTTGGGAAGCTTCCGTTTCAAGCAGCCATCGCCCTCCATAGTATCTCATCAACACCCTCATCAACGCCGCCGTCATATATCACTCTTCTCATCACGTCGCCATGTCCTTCTTTCAAGGGACTCTTCCAGAGGGCATCGCAACGGCAGTCCAGGAGGCAAAGTCCGTCGTGTGTTTTGTGACAGGTGAGTTCTCAGAGTAATACAACACACCTCTTGACATACAGACTGCTAACCTGATAACAGACGGCCAGACGGAGAGCCAGTCGTGGGAGGAAGAGTTCCTCGCAGTTGAAGATGTGGGTGTCTTTGAGTTGCCATTTGCTGAAGCGTTATAGATGAGCTCATGTCTAACAACAGAACTAACCCCGCAGATCGTCTCACTGCTTAAAGACCAGGCTGTGACACTGCGTCTGGAGGCGGGATCGCAAGAAGAAGGCCACCTTATTCAGTTCTACCCGGTTCCCAAAAAGCCCACGATCGTCATAATCAAGTGAGTCTGTCTATCTACGAATGGACATATTCGGCTTAGACTTGAAATGCTAACCTGCAAACTAGGAATGGCGAGCTGAAAGAGTATATTGCCGCTGGCGTATCAAAGGATGATTTCATGAAGCGGATTAGCCAGGCGCTGCGGCCCGCCGTGGCTGTTCCAGTTCAGACGGAAGCCACCAGTGTGCCGGTACAGACACAGGCACAGGCACAGGCACAGGCATCTGTACCTGCCCCGGTGTCCGCTCCAGCTTCAGCACTGCCCCGGACTCGGCCAACCCCGGGAGCTGGATCGACGGCGACTAGCTCAAGTCAAGTCACGCCGTCACCGGCAAACGAAACCCGGGCTCAGATACAATCATACCAGTCAGCACAGAAAAAGAACGAAGAACGTAAAAAGAGGGAAGAGGAGGAGGCCAAGCGAATCCGCGCCGAAAAAGCGAAAGCGAAAGCAGATGCCCAGGCAACAGGAGGGGGTTCAGATCCAAAGGCCAAGCAGGCCGAGCTGTTGAAAAGGAGGCAGAGGGAAGCGCGAGAAGAGCGGCAAAGGATCCTCAAGGCCATCGAAGACGACAAGGCTGCGCGCCGGGCGCTGCAGGCCGAGAGGCAGGCCGAGCGCAACGCGACCGTCGAGGCCGAAAAGGCAGCGCCGGCAAGCCAAACCCTCACGTCCAAAGGCCGGCCGAGTGAGCACTGCTCGATCCAGGTCCGGCTCTTCGACGGCTCCACGATCCGCAACCGCTTCAGCAGCGCCCAGACCCTCAAGGACGTGAGGCAGTGGGTTGACAATACCCGCGAGGACGGCAACACCAACTACACGTTCAAGGTCCTCCTGACCCCGCTGCCGAGCAAGAAGCTCGACGTGACCGAAGAGGCAAAGTCTCTCCTGGCGCTCGGGCTCACGCCATCGTCGACGCTGATCCTCTTGCCCGTCCAGAAGTTTGCCGCGGCCTACGTGGGGGCCGATCCGCAGGGCAACGTCTTCTCCCGATTTATCGCCTTCATCCTTGCCATCGTCAGCGGCTTCTTTGGCGGTGTCGCGGCCTTCTTCTCGACGCTGTTCAGCAACAGCGGGCCGCCAACGGCGCCTGATCCGGCTGCTGCCCAGGGCCAGGCGTCTGACCAGAACAGGAGTCGTGTTTCGAGACTTAACAACCGCAGCAGTGGAGCTGACAGGCGAGATGAGCAACAGTTCTACAACGGGAACTCTGTGAGTGCTACTTCCTTCAAGTGCTCCTCGCGGCTTTGCGATTTTGTTCATGACGAATAGCCCAGAACCACTCACTAACCCAGATGCAGACAAATTTCCAGCCAAGACGGAACGATGACGAAGAGTAGGCGGGAGGAGACTTTCATTTAATAAGGGGCTAGGGTGGGGGAGTCTATTGACTGCCTAGGAATTAAAGCCAGAGGTCGATGTAACGCTTCAAGAGCAGAGTTTATTGTCATTTGGGTTTTTTTCTTGGTTTGTATTTTACAGCAATTGTCCCTTGGGCCATGTCAAGCATGTAAATCGAAGCTTCCCTTAGGGGGTCTACGACAGGGGGATAATGATGCTCGGTGTCTGGGCAATTAACAACCGTCTCCTGCCTCCTAACCCCAGCATACACGTCGCTCACTTTGTCAAGCAGTGCGATTGATTGCATGGGTGCCCTAGTATTGGCTGGCAGCGGCCTGGCAAGCCTTCTACTCGGGGGGTCAGCATATCGTCAAGTAACGGGAGTTTGACGCATGGCCGTAAATTGTTGAGAGAAAACGTACCAGCTGCTCCAGATACCACCCGCAGATCTGCATGTTGCCGCCCTGCTCGTCCATGCACTTTGTGAACTCGGTCGTCGCGCCCTGGCAGTTGTTGCCCCAGCTGTTGCTGCTCTGCGCCGGGCTCTGCTGCTGCTGCGTCTCGGCCGGCGCGCTGCTCGAGCCCCCGCCAAAGAAGCCACCGATGGCGTGTCCGATCGACGAGCCTACTGCCACGCCGCTAGTGACCAGGAAGAGAGACGTGTTAGTTCGTATGGACATAATATAGAAATATATATATATATATATATATATTTCTCCAAGACAAGTTAAACGCCCGGCTTGGGTTTGCGGACAGCCCCCCCCCGGGAAAGTCTTGGCAACGAAGGGATGGGGAATGGGAGAGGCTAGACCTACGCAGCGGTGCTAGCCATGTTGGCAAAGAGACCCGGGCCCTGAGACGTCGGGGGAGATGCCACGGGGGAGGCGGCGGTGGGAGCACGGGGCGCCTGTGCCGTCGGGGCATATGTGGCGGCGGGCCGCGTCTGTTGCTGCGAGGGCGCCGAAGAGCGCGAGGGGACCGTGGGGCGAGACGGGGCGCGGCCGCCGGAGGATCGTTGACGAGGCATGATGGCTTTTTTTTTTTGGGGGGGGGAGGGGTGATTGGTGATGTGCTGGAGTCTTAGCGGAGGTCAGTCTTGTTGGTTGGTTTTTTGCGGAGAGGAGAAAGTTCGAAGTTTGTTTTAGGCGGAGGCTGCTACAACGACGACGAGGTCAGGGGTTGTCTCCGGAACTTCGGGTTACGTGGTGACCGGATTTGCCATTTGCCATTGGCCACTTAAATTAGTGTTCAAGCTCAAAATTGCCGAGACGGCAACGCCTGGAAGCCAATAGAAGGCCGCTAAACTGATGGGGCAGTTTCGATTAGGGGCAGGAGAGCAAACATTTAGCTCGAGCTTGGACCAACCCGGCCGCAAAGGTGCTTGTCTGGTCTTCTTTCAGCCCCAGGTAATTGATAATTCATCTTCCAGCCTTCTAAAGTTCGTGAGTCGGCCGGTACGACTCTGTCGGTGCCATTTAATTGCTTGAATTTTTGCTGTACCGCGGCAAATACCTGTGTTTACCTTTAATGTAGTGTGGTGATGGATATGGGCCATTTCACCTTTGTGATGAATCTAATTAACTGTGGAAGTCCTTCCTTGAGCAGAGCGTTGTTGAGCGTCTCCGTCAAATCCGCCTGGCGTCAATGCTCCCGAGGCGTATCACGAGGCACCCAACGATTTGTGCACTCCGATCCCTGGATGTTTGTTAGCGGGGGACTCTCCAAGATTTGAAAGGCCTTGATAACTTACGGCCCGCCCTGAAGGTTTTTCGCTGAGGGAGGTAAAAGCTATTGGAATCCCTGTTTTGGAATCCTAGAGGCTTTTCTCTATCTTGGAAATATCTATGAAAGGCTTTTCCTAGCTGGTATATTTACTGCGGTCTTTAACATAAGACATGCCCCCCACAATCCCGCGAGATGAGTACGACCGAAGAATCGAGCTCGCTATACAGGCTGAGGAACTCATCAACCGCCACGCACTTACACAAGTGCCTTGAAATTTTGACGCCGTAAAACTTGCTCAATGGATGGTTGCACCACCAAGTTTGCTTGAACGAGAACCTTTACTCGGCGAATACGGGATCGTACACCTTGAAAAGGCCATAAACCATGGGAGTTCCTGCTATGGCAATGTAAGGATTCCGTTTTTGAGTAAAAAGATTATTGCTAATTGAACTATGATTAGTTCTGTCGGACTATGACTATCACAGGAACATTGCCTCGCCGACAGATGTTAAAGTCGGGAGGGGAAAGAGTGACGCGAATAAGGTAAGACCCATGATATAACGGTCTTGTAACTTTCAAGCTGGGCTAACATTCGGCTGGCAGTGTATAGATAGGGACGGGGGAGCCTGTCTTCTCCTTGGCACATCGGGCCCTCATGCGATAAACTCGGACTTGACCCGAAAGAAACACTTGGCCCGACCACGAATCCTTGGTCAAACACTACTGGGGCGACTTCATTGGGTTCAAATCTGAGCCAGCGGCAAGTGACAAGTCGTGGAATATGATATCACTATCTCCACAGCTTCACGCGTGGTTAGACAGACAATACTTGGGCTTGGAGTACACCGGAGGCCAGGCTCTACCAAACACGAAGTTCCCTGTTCAAGTTCGGTTGCAATGGCTATCCATTCAGCCAAAGGTCGACCGTGATGATCCGTATTTTGCGAGGCCGGTCGATCTCCATAACCCCGACTGGTTTCCAAACGGGCTCCAGTTCGTACCCAAGACCCATGGCGATAGAGAGAGTATGCACCGGTCAGATGGCGTAACAGCCATCAGAGATACGACCTCAGGCCAGATGCTACTCTCCGGGAAACTCTTCCACATCGATGTTGACGCCGATGACGGGCCAAAAATGGTGAGAGCGTTACGTATAGATGTAGTGGGCTCTGATCCGCATCGCCGCGATGAGTGGTGCTGGGAAAGCACTGGACCTCCTACGAAATAACGACAAGGACGGAGGGCCTTCGGCGGAAGAATTTAGGGCCACGATGGTGTCATTATACAGGAGGAATGACGATAAGCCATCGGCCCAAAACAGAAAAGCCCACGCGAAGGCGATTGCCCCTATCGCGAAAAAGAAAGCAAATATAGCTTCACGACATGGCCAAACGCCTTACTGTTGTATACGCCTTGTATTAGTTGATTTTGTAGTGAAGGAGTGGACACAGTAGGTAGTGTTTTCAGGAATCGTAAATGGGCCCATAAAGGCAAGATGCTATGTTTCCTGCATAGCTATCTAGGACACAATGTCCATTCATTCTTTGGGTATCAAAGAGCTCGCTCATTGCGCGTTACCGCGAGGACCAAGAGGTCGAGCCACGTCCCAAACCCTAGCCCATGTACCAAACTCCTGCCATTGGGTATCAGAAAGACTGTCGTAGACTCTCGCACCATCTGCGCCGCTAGAAGCAGCGCGGGTATAATTCTTCCCTTTTCCCTCAGAAAGCAAGCCGAGGCTGTAATGTCTCACCGACATCTCTGGTCGACAAAAATGTCAAGGGCCCAAAATCGGGCTTCGCGTTGTTTGTACGAGCCCCGACCCGCAACTTGGTCGTATCAGCATCGTACGGTGCACTTGCACCTTCTTCACTTTGGCTTCTTTGAGCCGTCATGCTTGGGCTTCTTGGGCGGGTTCTTGTTGGTCTGGCTGGAGCGGTCTCCTGTATCTGACGGCTCATCGGCGGCCGGGCGCTTATTATCAACCTTGGCTGCCTTGAGCGCGGCCTTTGCCCTCTCCTTGGCGATCAGCTCTGCCAGTTTGCTGCTGATGCCTTTATCGCCGCTCTGCATTTACGTAAGCATGGTGCTAGCAACGTAGGGGTAGACACAACCTACAAGATCAGACCTAACAAAGCGAATGGCGGCTTCGGTGTTGAGGGTGCTCTCGCGCTCGGCAGCTGGGGTTTCTAGCTTTTGGATCTTGTTAAAGTATTGCTTGACACGGGTCAATTCTGAGAAGATGGCATGGTTCTTGGTTTCCACTTCATTGAGGCGCAGGCTAGCTTCATCGCGAGTTAGAACAGGCACGGGAAAGGAGCGGGAGACGGTCTTACAAAAGAGAAGCGATTCTATCGCGTACGAGACCAACACGTAGAGTTTTGCCTTGTCCAAAAGCGGCAGTTTGGACGAGACATCCGCAATGTCGCCAAGCAAAGGCTTCAGCACATTCTGAAGCTCGATGAGGCCACTGTCCAGCTGGTCCAGCTGAGGCGTGATGTCGGTCACGTCCATTGCGAGAATTCTGCCTGTGCAGGGGCCGCACGAATGAGAAACTTGCACGCCAAGTCTGGGGCCGTGTCGGAGGGAGAATTTATCGAAAAATCCCCGGGTTTGCGGATTTAGCTAATGTTTGACCAAAGAGAGCAACAGCGAATGTCCGAAAGAGCTCGAGAGGACTGATGAACAGATGCGGATATGCCTTGAGTTTTGAACGATGGTAACATGTGAGTCCTGCCCGCAGCCCAACCCGGCTTTAGTGCAGAACCGACTTTTGCTGGCGCAGGGGTCGCATTACCGGACCACCCCCCCTGTTCTTTGGAGCTTGGTCTTGAAGTGGGAGCCAATTAGCTGTCGCCAAAATACGCCCCAGCGATCCTCGCCAGAAAAGTACTCATTAGTATGGAGCGCGTCAGAAAAAAAAGTCCGGCTAGGACAATATTTCGAGGTTGCTTCTACAGCTACTGTGCCGTACTTGAGTGCTGTCGCCATCCGTCTTGAGTCTCGCCTCCGAATCTGCAACTGCATCTTCTGCCAGCTCTGTGCACCATACATCCATCATCCGAGCCTCCCGACGCCTCCCTCTCAGACCCCGACAAACTCTTCGAGGTGTCTACGGCGCCGCAGAAACCCGGTCCCATGAGCCCTCATGATACTATATGAAGACCGGCAATCTGTATCTCCGCCGTACTCTTCTTCGGTCGCAAGTATTTGCTCGAATACCTCGCCGGCACAGATTATGGTGCCCAGGTAGCAATGCGATAGGCCAGGGGGCCGCCAAATGGCTGTCGAGCGCACCATCCTTGGCCCCGAACCACCCTCCGGGCCGCGGGGATCAGGAGAGCTCCCAGAACAAATGGGGGGCTCTTGAGGCGGCGGTCAATGAGCAGGCACAGAGGGCCCCGACGATACAAGCGTCTCAGACGAGCGCCCGGCAGGACGAACCCAAGCCAATTCCTAAGAGAGGGCCACATCCACTGATACCACTGCCACATGGAGTGGTGGCGATGCTAAAGGAGCGAGAAAAAACAATAAAACGATTAATTACGGATATTTCAGGGGATCGCCGCCCGAGTGAAGCTCGCCGAGGATCAACACCAGCAAGCTCAAGTCCACATCCTGAAGGCCCCTCTCCACTTCGCAAAGCTCCAGCGTCAGATAGATTTGCGGCAGTGCTCAATGTGCAGCCCGAGGACACAGCTTCTTCCCAGTCTTCCCAACCCACATCCTACCCAAGTCCAACTTCTACAACAGAGAATATCACCACTTCTACGATAGGGAACGAGCCTGCTTCTATAGCACAGAATACGAATACCCCATTCGAGTCAGATCACAAGTGGGCGGGAGACGCGAAAACGCTTGACGAGAGACTGGACCTAGAAAGCGCCGGGGAAAGCGTCGACCACCATGAAGTGCTGCCACATCAGACTAAAATACAGACTAGGTTAAAACTGTGGGACGCCGATTCTCGACGGGCAGAGGAAGATGAACCAGCACGCAGGCCCGCCCGTTTTCGCGGATCGGACCAGATACACATCGTTGGAGGCGGGCTAGGTGGGCTTCACATCGCCCATCACTTGGCCGGCTGCCACACATTGCCCCCGGCTCACTATTTGTTTCATTCGCTCTCCCTAATGAAAAAGTTCATCAAAGCCGGCCGCCAGCTGACCCTACATACAAGCGGCGGGACTGCCGTCCATGACCGCATTATCCCAGAGGCCCAGAGTAGAGATAAGCCGAATAACGAGATCATCGCGAATCTCATTGTCGCTTGTCTAGCACACAACGTCAACTACGCAGTGGGCACTATCAAGCATAGGCTGAATTCCTCGTCAACTATCTGTCTCATCCAAGATGGTCTGGGGGTTGCTGAGAGTCTCATCGAAACGCACTTTCCCGACGAAGCATCTCGGCCGGCCATCCTGCTTGGCCACTGGACCACGCAGATTGAAACCGCCGATGAGCCATTCGCCGCCGTTGAGAAAAAGCCAGGGAGGCTCTATTTGACGATTTATACATGTCACAATCAGAACCGGGCCGTGTCGCTCATCAAGCGGCACCCCCCAGTCGAGCGGGTTGTCAAGTCGACGCATCTTCTCCGTCTTCTTGCGCAAATTCCGGGACTCAATGCTACCGGGCACCCGCCAGCCCAGTTTCTAAGGGCAAAACTACCGGCCGTGACCTTCCGAGCCATAGTAGAACCCCTTAGCGCCCTTTTCGACTGTCACTACGACAAGCTCCTCACCCAAGACGCGAAGCATCTCGTGGATCAGCTTCTGTCGGAGGTCTTCCTCGTGATATCTCGACTTCCAGAAACCCGCGGTATCGTAGGTTTTGAGGACAGCATGGCGGTGGCGAGCTGGCTGAGGCCTAAGATATACGAAAAGCTATACCGCCGGCGTCATCATTTCAACGACCGGGAGAGGATGAAGTTTCGAGGGGGGCAGATTGAGCTCGACTACTTGACGGGATACTTTGTACGGCGAGGCCGCGAGCTGAACGTTGACGTCAGGGGGCTTGACACGGTATTGCAGATGGTCCGGATCAAAAAGTATTTCGACTGGTTGAAGGGGGATTATGCAATCCCCATGACGGGTTGGGACCCTGACGGCCTAACTCGGCGGATAAAGCCAGGATCAGAGCCTCGCAAACACATTCTCGACTTCCCGTTGTTCCGGGACGGTCGCCCTGACGAAGAGGGAGCCGAAAGGAGGGGTTGGAGCGAACACGGCATTGGTAATAAGGATTAACTTCATCGGCGTTGTATCCCACGATGAAAGTAAATAGAATTTGGATACGGGAGGATCATTCCTGTACGAATATTGTATTGTCCAAGTACAACATGTATATATCACCAAAACATAGAGGTTGTGGGTTTTCTTTTGTTGGGCGCTCGAATACCTTACCTGACGTACCATCGTTGGGTTGTACATACACAAGTCCTAAGGCAGCCAGCAGAATCAAGACGGGACGAGAAGCCGACCCCACCATAACCTTTTCGACCCCGCGACTGAATGCGCGAGGGTGCGATTTTCCCCGCTATACATCCCATACGTGCCGTTACCTGCAAAGTTACCCATCTGTTCTTTTTCCTCTTCACCCCTTCCAGCACGCCAAATTCAAACACACGAGACAGACATACCCATATTAAAGAAGATGGAGGATTCAGAGCTCGCAAAGGTGCGCCCTCCGCATCCCGCCCTTCCCTTGCTTGCTACTGTTTCCCGACACTGACGCAGCAACCCCCCGTCTGCTCCGATACAGATCAGGCAAGCTCGCCTCGAGCAGCTCAAGGCCCAAGGCGGCGACCCCGGCGGCGGTGGAGCTGGACCCAAGCTCGGCGGCGGCGGCGGCGGCCAGGACCCAGCGCAGCAGAGGCAGTGAGTGCATATATATCTACCTAGTTTGTCGGGTCGGGTCTTTTTCGCTCTTGTGCGAGACAAGACAGGCGATTCTCGTTGGGGGGGAGGGCGGCGAGTGTATGCTGCGCATACCGTCTGGGCGCGCGCGCAGGATTCTTCTATGGACAGACATGGCAGGACACGGTGCTAACAGTCTTTTCTTTTGCGTGCGCGAACAGACAGGCCGAAGGTATACATCACCACCCGACTACAGAATCACTGCCATCCCAGTCCCATTTCCGCCCGAGGTTAGGTTAGGGAGGCGGGAAAGAAAGAAACACTAACACACAAGCCGTTTTTTAAATAGCCGAAGCGCGTCAGTCGATGCTCAACCAAATCTTGCAGCCCGAGGCAGCTGACCGGCTGGGGCGCATCCGGCTCGTCAAGGAGCAGCGGGCGACTGAGGTGGAGAACCGGCTGATCATGCTGGCGCAGTCGGGCCAGCTGCGCGCCAAGGTGACCGAGGACCAGCTCAAGGAGCTGCTCAACGCCGTGGCCGACAACAAGGAGGAGGAGAAGATTGTGGTCAGCCGGCGCAAGGGCTGGGACGACGACGACGACGACGACTTGTTTGACCTGTGAGGGTCTGGGTTTCTTATTTCTTTCGGGGCGGTTTCTTTTTTGTTCTTTGTCTTGCCCACTTTTCGCAACCCAGGTATATGATATCCCGCAACGTTTTCTTCGTGGGAGACGGGAGTCTGTGTCTATTTTTCTGTTGTCTATCTTCCGGGTATCTTACAGCTCTTGGTCTTCTGAAGCTAGAATACATGTGCAGAGGCAGTAACGGATATTGCCTTTGCTGCCTGCCACTTGCGTGAGAGCAACGAGCCCCCTCCAAAAACGGCATTGGAGCCCCAGTCCCAAGCCTACATCTACACCACGCCTGGCTGCGACGCAGAAGGCTCTCTTGCGGCCTTCTGTCTCCTGCGCTCGTCGCGCTCTGCCTGGCGGATGGCGCGCAGGTCCGGGGGCGGCTCGACGCCGAGCTGGCGGCGCAGGTCCTTGACGTCGCGCTCGAGCTCCTCCTCCCAGTAGACGTTGATGACCTCGGCGGCGCGGAGGCCGTTGCGCACGGCCCAGGGCAGGTAGGTGGTGGCGAAGCGGCGGCGCTCGCTCTTCTTGAGCGTGGCGGCGGCGAACACGCTGAGGCCCGTCATGGGCAGCAGCGTGTTGGCGAACTCGAAGGCCTTGAGAGCGACCTCACCCTCGCGCACGACGGGGAGGCCCGTCAGTGCGTGGTAGAAGTCGTGGCACTCGCGGTACCGCTGCATGACGTACGCGCACTCCTCGTCGTCAATGTACCGCACCGCCGACCGCGTGTCGGGCGACACGCCCTCGCGGTCCAGCCACGCCACGTACGTCCGCCCCAGCGTGTTGCCCGGCAGCGCGCGCAGCCGCGGCAGGTCCAGCGATGTCGATGTGATGCGCGGCCGGTCCCGCAGGATCCGCCGCCCCGTCGCGGACCCCAGCATCGCGTCGCGCAGCCGGTAGATGAAGTACGGCGTGGCCGTCACCTCGGCAAACGTGGCGATCAGGTCTGGGAGAGTGTGTGAGTTTTTTTGTGGTGTTGAGAAGGGGGAAACAGTCACCCATTTGTATACATACCTCCTCGCCGCGGATCCCGGAGCGACATCAGGCCTGAGCCGACTGTCAAGGCAAGCCGCTCGAGCCTCGTAAGGGGGACATGGCCGGGGTAGTTTGGAGGCGGCCGCGTGAGGCTCGAGAAGCGGTAGTGCTGCTGCGACGGGGATGCATTGTGCGGATGATGATGATGCGACGACAGATGCAAGGCCGCCGCCGCAGAGGGCCATAACATACTGCTGCTAGTGCTGCTGCGAGCTACGAAAGCCGTCGAGCGTCTGAGGGCGACCTCCATGGCGAATTGGGTCGCAGACAGGTAGTGCGCATCCTGAGCTCGGGACGGTGCGAGGTGGTGGGACGAGATGGCTGATGGGTTCAGAAATGGTTCGATCTCGGAGTTTAGCTAAGGTACTTTATGGGCTTGGTCGGAGCTCTCGGTGAATGGGACCCCCACCTCTCCCCATTTGGGTTAGCGCAGCCCCTCCATTGACCCCACGACTCCATGCCCTTCCGCCAAAGATAATAAGAATCCTTCTCCACGGCGTCTCTTTCTTGTATTCTTGACCTTTTGTCCTTCTCATATTCCTCACAATTACACCAGCATGCAACAACGCGGCGGCTGCACTTGATCCTTCATTTTGGTTACGTCTCTTTCCGTCCTCGTTCGCCCTCATACGCCCTCGCTACATCGATCGCGCCGTCGTTGTCGTCGATCCTCACCACCCACCCACCCTTCTGTCCAGCGCACCTCGGCACGCTACTTGTCGTTTTTGGGAATCTCGCGACATTTGCCATTTCATTTCGATGCTCGCTCGACTCTGGCCTTTGCTAGCCTACGCTGAGCGGCGAGGCTTGCCGTGTTGAGCCTTTCGCCTCCTCACTCGCGCATATATCCTCTCCCGGGGCCGCCGCCACGTTTGCCCGGGGGAATCCTAGGCTCAGCCCCGCTACTGCCCGATCTAACGCGCGCAAACGACATGCCGAGCCTGCGGGGCACCTTGGTTCTCACGACCGCGACGGCGGCGCCTTCAAGACAGCTCACGTGATGCACCCTTTTGCAGGGTGCTGGAGCTTGCCAGGCTCCAGCAGCGACAAGTGTGGGAACTGCTACTACTACCGAAGAGTTTGCTCCTAGACCCGGGTCGACGACGCGAAGCACAGTAGGACTGCCCAGTACAAGGCCAAAATTCACTCCGCTGTCGAGTACCACTTTGCCAACCTCGCAACGGTCAACGTCAGGCCGAGCCGCTAACTCCACTCGTAGCCTTGATCTGGAAGGAGTGAAGACGTCGAGAACATGGAGATCCCGCCAAAGAATTCAGATGCAGATGCAAGCACGATTATACGCAGAGAAACAAACAACCCATATGCAAACCACGACGGGCAGCAAGCAAGCAACCCCGATCCATCTTGTTTCACCTCATGCTAGATCTGGAAAATAGAGAGAAGTTGCCCCGCGGTTGTAGCAGTTCCACGAGAGCGTCTGTGTCGCTGTCTGGGCCGCTATTTTTGGCTAGTGTGGCCCCGCCATTTTCATGAGTACGTACCCCTCCAGTGGCTTCCTCCACGCATCTTATAGATCCCAACTTCAAACTTCAACGCTTCGCCATGGCGGCAATCATATCGAGGTCGACGACATCTCCGTCGGTATCGGCTTGGTCGGTGTCGACTTCATCGGCAGTTCCGTCGGCGTCTACCATACTTACTTTAGTTAAGTCGACGAAAGATAGCGATCCCCCGACCGTGCGATTTACCAATACGCAAGATCTCTTTGACGTTATTAATTCCACTATTGGGGATTTCCTTGCCGTTACAAGTACGATATCACCCTCTTATTCTATATAATATACTAATTATTTAGACGTCTCTCCTAATTAATTTACCGAAATCGAGCGTGAGCGAGACATTGAGCGAAGGACTGGGCAAAAGAAACGATACCGAAAGTTCCGTTTTCGCCGCTACAATGCTAATTCCCAGATTTTGATCATCACAATCCTAACCGATCTACACGAGGCCCTTCACCTGGAACTTTATATGCAGTATCGTGACCAGCTTGTCCGGAATGGCACGGAGCAAAGCTGGAAAAATATTGGGTCAGCTACATTTCGAGCAGAACAAGGTCATCCTGGAGGAGATAGCGGAGAAGGCGATTCGACAGGCGGCCCACGGCCGGAACGTATAGGAGCAGGTAATTGGCCAACACTAGTTATTGAGCCTGGACATTCCGAAACATTACCCGAGCTTCACAAGGATATGCGGTGGTGGTTTCAGGCATCAAACCACGAGGTCAAGATTGTCATTCTGGTGAAATTTGACGACCGGCAACACCACATTTTGCTAGAGAAATGGGAGGAAGAAATCTCGACTCTACAAGGAGCGATCACGCGGAGTCGGGTTGCTGCAATATTGTAGCAGAATGGTGTTCTTAACCCAGTGAAACGGCAGTCAATCACCATCACCCGCGATGAGACAACAAATCCAGTATCGTACAATGTTACTAGGGGGGCATTAGCACTAGGATTTCGACTTCTTTTTCTTCGCGATCCAGGCCCGCAAGAGGGAGATTTTGTACTTAGCATTCAGAACCTGCAGCTGTATGCAGAGAATGTCTGGGCTGAGCTGCCGAGATCAGACTAGCCAATCAGAAATCAGTATTGATGACCCAACATATGGCCAAAAACGGCAGCCCCAAGAGTGACACAGGAATTGTCGCTAAGACAGACAGAGCGTACAGAGCTAGGTGATCTGTTGTCCCAGGTGATCTGTGAGCAGATCACCTTGAGCAGGACTCTGATTGGTTAGTCATAGTTCCATATAGGAAGAGCTGGGAGCTCTCTTGGAAAGAGTGTTCCCCAGCTATCAATGCATATGGTTTATTACTTATTGCTTGTGTGATTGGGATACTGCTCCCGCAATCTGTGCACTATTGCACTGCTCCTTATACTTCAACCTACCTGTGTGGTTCACTCCTCATCGATCACCCACCCAAACCCTCACGATCCTAGGCCGAGCCTAGCTCCGTGGAACTCTCGGTGTTCGAGATTGTAACAGGCCATACGACGTGTATGTTCGATTGTTGGAGCTATGCCACGATTATCCATTGATGGGATCCACTGCTTAAGGGCTGTTTCTTCGGCTGGTGATAGCTTCCTGTGGGAACTACCAGTCAATCAGAGGATGCAGTCGCACGTGACTGGTCGACGGGCTGCACAGCCTCAGTGGCTGCTGACCAGCGCGCGGGCCGCCATGCGGCACGTGCACAAGGCGCAACCATCACGTGACCTCCAGGCATCGCTAAATCCACCCCGCATCCTGTCCCCGTAGTTCGTGATCCTTTTAGAGAGACAAAGAAGAATACAAGCAACACAACCCCCCCCCTCCACCCTTCGTGACAGTTACTATAGTGGCTAATGCGCCAATGACCTTGTCATTCCAACACTTCCGTTTGCTAAGATTAGTTCGAGGTGGTTGACCGCGTAGTCGTGCAGATACTCTGGTGAGCTACATTATAGACGGTTGCAGTATTCCGGATACTTGTAAATTTACCTGTTGGAAAGCCTGAGTGGCCAATTTGACCCGCTCTGGAGTACACAGTACAGAGTAATTGACGCCGTATTGTGGTGGGGTGGTAGGTACGCGCGTGAGCCGCGTTTGAGTGGCTCGTATGAGTGTTATGGCTCGCCGAGGTAGAATACGTTATACGGCAACTTGATGGCTCCCACTAGGCGCACAGGTCTGTGCGCTTACATAAGCCTGAAATTGGCGGGTTAGGGTCATGTGGTGACGGGAACTTCAAGGTTCGCGCCACCTCAACGTCAATGGACGATGGCATCGCAATTGTTGGCAACTGAGCGCTGTATCTCCACGTAGTGCTGCTCTACTATACCAACGTGTTCCCAACACAATAAGAAACGGACATTGCCGGCTTGGCGCACAAGAACTGAGCAAAATCCAGACCAGGATGTAGGAGAATATAGCTAAAATTGAACGCTTCGTGGACTGACTGGAAAGTGCAGTGACAGCGCGAATATCAATTCTCAAATCGACTAAATGCTTGAAAGAAAAGCACAGTTAATACAAAACCTCGAATCACAAGTACCGGCACGGAGTCCGATACCGCCAGTCTTCAGCGCCCGTGCAGTGGTGACCACTGCAGCAACAGACCTGTCCCTTCCAAGCGACCGCCATCATTGGCGCATCCAAGTATTCTGTTTGTCATTGAGAGCGTTAGTGGTGAGTTCACGAATCCATCCAAGGTCCTGGGGCCGGAGAGACTTGCATCGCAGAACTTGACGATGTTCCGGTCCCAATAAACGCCAGGCGGGAAGTCCTCGGGCGTTCTAAATCGTCCCCACGTGAGTTCGCCGTTAAATGCCCAGAGCTCCTCATCGTCGCGAGGCAAGCGGCCGCCTTCGTCGTAGTAGCGGAGGTAGGCCTCGTAATTGATGCGCTGTTCCGGTTGCTCGTTTGCTCCCATCAACTGGCGGAACAGGGCGATTCTGGCGGCCCTTTGTTGGTTCTCGACATTGGGGCGAATTTTTGTCACGGTTATTAGGCCGTCGGCGCCCCTTTGCATTCTGTATCTAGTCAGATGTGCGTTGGGGCCCGTATCCATGAATTCCGGAGGCACGGAAAGGCCGTTGGATGCCGGGAAGACTGCTGTTGTCACTTCAGGTTGCGCATCCCTCGCGCTGTTGCTGCTGCTGCCGCCGCCGCTGCTACTACCGCTACCACTGCTGCTGCTCATCGTGGCTGAGAAGTGTCCGGACTCGAAACGGCACGGAGAGTAATCATTTCAGTGTTGTTGCAGGTTGCGTTTGGGACGGTTTTTGGTTGCAACAAGGTTTCGACTTTGGAGGGGTTGTTGGCTCTTGGGATGATGTTGGTGAGCGTCTGACCACCATTGATACTTCGCCGTACGTCTGCCTGCTTGATCATGTTCTTGGCACTTTACCCCGCTTTTCTGGCCAATCAGACGCCGGCTGACATGTTTCTCGCAGTCCTTTTTAAACGAGTTGCACAAGAAAAAATCCACTCTCTTGACATGCACAAAGATGGCATCATTGACTACTTCTAAAGCAGACAGTTTTATTTAGCACCGCGCGATATAGTTAAGCTAGATGCCTACCTTATCCACTCACAGATAAAAACCACTTGACCAAGGTGACCAACTAAGTTAACTAACCCAGATTTGGCCAGGCCCTACATTTGGCCCATGCGCAAGCCACCATGCACTTACACCGAGGGTGATTGACCGATTTTTCTTCATCACACCGCAACTTCCTCAAAACAAGACCAAATTCTTCCATTTCTTGGTTAATCGAGAGCTCAATCAATCCTCTATTTACCATGCCTGAATACGACGAATTGGAGATGCTGACCGCGATGAAGTTTGTGCGAGACGGCGGCAGTGTGCGTCAGGCGGCAGCAAAATATTGTGTGCCGAGGAGTACACTTCGGCACCGGCTGGCCGGCACAAAAGCCCGTTGCATTGCGTTTGAACACATGCAGACTCTAGATAAGCCTGTGGAAGAGCGTTTGACCAAGTGGATCGTCATGCAGGGTGCCCTCGGCCTGCCTCCTACGCATGCGCAGGTTAGGGAATTCGCCCGCCGGCTGGCCCGGGAGCTCGGGAAGCCTGACGAGATCGGGGTGAAGTGGGTGCGGCATTTCATGGCCCGGAACCCGACCATTAGGACCCAGAGAGCACAGCGGATCGACTCGGTGCGCCTCAACGGAGCTACGAAGGCAGCCGTGACGGCCTGGTTCGAATACCTGGCCCTCCCGGTTATTCGGGGCATCAAGCCCGAGCACCGTTGGAATAAAGATGAGACAGGCATTCTTGAAGGCCAGGGTTCCAACGGCCAGGTCATAGGAAGCTCAGAAAACAAGGTGTTGATGAAGGAACAACCCGGATCTCGCAGCTGGACTACCTTCGTGGAATGTATCTCTGCGACTGGCCAGTCCCTACCTCCTGCGGTCATTATGAAAGGAAAGACCGTTCAACAACAACACTACCCAGAAAAGCTCAAATGCTTCGTTGGTTGGCACTTCACAAGCCAGGAAAAAGGCTGGATTGACGATGCAAGGGCATTGGAATGGCTTCAGAAGGTCTTCATTCCTAGGACCCGGCCAGCCAACGGAGAAAAACGACTACTTATTATTGACGGCCACGGCAGTCATACCACCGATGATTATATGTGGTCATGCTTCCAAAACAACATCTACCTTCTTTATTTACCTCCACACGCTTCTCATGTTCTTCAACCTCTCGATTTGACTGTCTTCTCAGTCCTGAAGAGGGCATACAGGAAGGAGCTCAATAGCAGGCCGACGTTATCGCACAGCACGGTTCTAGGGCGCCGGCTTATGTTGCTTTGTTATTTCAAAGCCCGGAAAACCGCATTTCAGCCCAGCAACTGCAAGGCAGGTTGGCATGCCGCCGGGTTGTGGCCTGTCAACAAGCAAAAGCCCTTGCGAAGCAAGTTGTTGCTAGAAAACAGGAACTAAGGCACTACAAATATATAGCTTCATAGGCCCTGGAGGAAGCCAGGTCATGAGCTTACCTGCAGCAACAGGTATATGATAAATACGGCGTCTGGAAGACTCCTCAAAAGGTCACGGAGCTCACGGTCTCCCTGGCGAAATTGAACATACATTCGGCGGCTCGCCGCACTCGCCGTACGCTATTCAGGAAGATCGAAAAGGCATTCAACATCAAGGACTTCGAATTGGCTAAGCTACGACGTGAGAATGAAGCTCTCAAGGCCGAAATTGAGAACAAGAAAGGCAGCAAGAAGAAGAAGGTCCAATTGAGCCCGAATTCCAAGTTTGCTACGATTGAGGACATTCGCAAGGCACAGAGGGCAGCTGGGCGCGATATTGACAGTTCAGACGAACCAGAGGGCTCGGAAGATGAAGAAGAAGACGAAAGTTGCATTGTAATTAGTTGATTTGACCTTTTTCTATAGCTTCAAATGTCATGCGTTGCGTTGTGTAAGTGCGGGCGGCGCCCGGGCCAAAAGTGGGGCCTGGCCAAATCTGGGTAAGCTAACTTAATAGCTGTGTTTCCCTGATCTAGAAACCAAGCCTAACACAGATGGCAATAGCAGTATCCGCCCTTATCAGAAACAACCAGACAGCAAAACATCACACCCTATCCCCCATCATCAACTCAACTCCGTAGTTATCCAGCCCCGGAGCAAACAATCTCCTTTTGCTTGATTCAAACAAGAGAATGTGTAATTGCTTTTCTCCCGAGCCGACTTAACATTCCTGAATCGAGTCTCTCCCTACATCACCCCGATTCTCGGCCGCTGACAGCTTAGAGGACGTCCTGAGCCAGACATGGCGACATGAAACATTCGAGCTAGCGAACAGAGCCAGGTTCATTCACGAGGCCTTGGCCTCCTTTTCTTGGCAGTCTTCGCATTTCCAGTGCTCGCAAAGAACACATTAATGTCGTCTGGAATTGACCCACTTTTCATGGAATTGGACAGGCCCTGGTTGACATGCCTCTGAGCTTCCTTCATTCTTTGTTATTTCCTTCATTCTTGACTCGGAATGTCCTCATTTCATTCGGAATGCCCTCTTTCGGGCTGATTACAACGCCTCCCTTGCCTTCTCTCCACGAGTATAAGGAAGCGTTCTTTTCTGTACTTTTAGACCTAGGGAGCAGACAATTCAATGCGCTGTCAACTTCGATTGCGTGCAACAACTAATTTGCCAAGGTAGGATTCTTCTACTCATCTTGGCAGCATACCCACCACGTCTTGGATAGTTTAGGCGGTGGCGGTGCCGGTTGCTGCTTCGCGTGTCCATGGTCTTTTCCTTTCTTACTCTTCTTCCTCTCCTTCGTCGACGTGCCCATCTTAGACTGTAGGATTGTTTTAATACAAATTCTCTCTGGGATATAGAGAAAGAAGAGAAAGCTAGCCTTGCGTATGGCTGCAATCCGAGTAATTGAATAAATGGCGTACCACTTCGGTTGTCCACTAAGGTAAACCTTAAGCATGCCAGGTATGTGCTTTTATAGATACTAGGAAGTGGCAAAAATACGTGGTTGAATTTTTAGGTGTTCTTTTATAGTGACTCAAGATATTTAGTTGGAATTTGAATATTCCAGAGTATTGACGACAAAGAAAGCTTCATTATGGGCTTGCTGGTTATATAACCAATTCATAAACAATCAAATATGCAAAACGGTTGATGATTGCGAGAATGACCAGCCTGAGCTCCGAAATCCGCCACAATAGCTCCAATCCAAGTCGCTTGTGATCATGCTATCTGTAGTCATTACTTTCAATTCCAGAGTCACTTCTTGCCTTAAGATGTGCAACAACTCCTGTTTGCCACCACTAAACTGGGGAACAGTAGGGTTAATGCTTCGAATCCATGACTTTTGGTAAGACTTCACGATCCCTCGTCATTTGCCAGGATCTTGTCTACTCCACTCCAAGCTTTAGGAATCATACACCTTTGCGAAGGAAAATATTGAAAACTGAAAGATTTGAGGCTTGATATACGCACCCACTGAATCCGTCGCCGCACCTACCTGTCGGTCCCGTACACCCGATCGCAGTTTAACATTAAAGAGGCCAATTTCAGTACGGTACTGTTGGGATGACGCGCTAGTCAGCCACGGAGGGTCATCCACGAAGGTGGCTGTGGTGGCACAGGGCCACACACTCTATATAAGTGGCCTACGGCCACTTCCACCCTCTGTCTTCTAGATACACACAGACATCAACAAATCCATCACTTGAGCCACCATTTTTCGGCGTGCAGTTGCTGCCTGTTGCTTCCAGTACCGGTACCTGGTGATTCCAACAGGTACAAAGAGCAATCTCAATGCCTAGATTTAGCTACAATTGTGACCGGAATTATAGCTAGGACCTTGCGCATACTAAAAGAAACCCGCTGTCCAGAGCCATCAGGTCGCTGTCGAGAGGCATCAAGACGCTGTCGAAAGGCATTACGACGCCCACAAGTAGGTAGGTGCGGTGAAGGATTTGGTGGGTCCGCATGTATATCAAGCCTCAATTCAAAACTAAAACCGGCCTAAAAACCTTCAGCCCTCTTCATCCGCCAGCCCAGCTGCGCTACTCCCGCTACAAGAATGCTTGGCGTCAAAAGAAGAAATAAACCAGTTGGCACTATAACAGGCAATCTGCCATGCTCTGTCTTCTTCTTCTTCTTCCTATTCTTCTTCCCCTTCTTCTTCCTCTTCTTCCCCTTCTTCTTCCACTTCTTCTTCCCCCCCCCCCCCCCCCCCCCCCCCTTTTTTTTTTGTCCATTTCTTCCTTCCCTCTTCCGAGATATGTCAAATAATCCAGCCCCAGCCCTAGTCCGGGGGATCCATGTTGGATTCGATGATCCAGTCATCACAATCCGGCCCAAGCTCAGCTTGATACCAGCAACAAGGCGGCACTGGCCGACATAGGTGCCTGCCTTCTCAATTAAGCCGGCATATTGGCCATAAGGGTCGTCTTGTTGTCGGCCATAAAAAGAGACGTGTTGCCCTTGTTTGTAGCGAAGAAGAGCTGACCGCGCATGGCGGATCCACTCAAGCAAGGTACACCGGCGGGCTGGATGATGCCCAATTCAGCCACCCAATTATGCAGGTGCTTCCAGCCACCTGCAGCGGCCGGGTCCTGGGCCACGACACGGATCTCGAGATTGCAGCCTCTCATATTAACGGGGCCGGTGGCCGTGGTAATTAAGCCAGGGATAATTGGAATGTTGAGGCCGGCGGTCAAGTAGTTCCAATCAGGGTCATGCACAACCTGCCTGTTGGATCCAGTGTCGTTGATGCCTAGGTAAGTATGTAGCTGTTAGTATACATAGGTAGGTAGTAAACTATGTGAGGCAAAACAAACGAGGCTATCGTAACTTACACTGCACGCGAACGACCCGATTTGGATCACCGCCGAGACCAACGGGGATTCTGATTTCGACATGAATCTATATTCAATTCTTAGTTAGTATTGCTATTCCTTATTTTCATCAGATTTTTGAGGAGAGTCTAGACTCACATAATGCATCGCCTGTGGAGCCTGCCCGGCAGGGACGTCGACTCTTGCCCATAGCAAAAGCGCTTGGGCGTCAGTGGCTTGTACCTTGATACTAGAAGTAACCACTTGATCACCGCTAAACGAAACTACCTGGGTGCCGATGGACTGTAATCATAACTGGGCATTAGAAAGACAGGAAGAAGTCGAAAGGACTTCCAGACTTGGGCTGGAGAAGACACATACCCAATTGGCGGGCCACTCTTTCTCTCCCTGTCTGCCCTCATTATGCTTGATAAAGTCGGCTATATACTGTGTGGCGTCGCCCACTTTGACTCCTCTTTCGTCCGTGAAGGTCCAGGCAATCTCCCCGGCAGGCATTTTACGGTTCGGATCTTTGAAGTATGCGAGAAGCCCTGCATACTTTTTCTTCATCGCATCGGTGCCCGTGGTAGCCAACCTCTCTAAACTAGCTATGGTCAGAACGTGGAGGTCGGTCTGTTGGTTGCTCGTCATGTTGGGCTAGGTAGAGTTGATGGACAATGGCAAGAGTGCTAAGAGTCTGGTTGGTTCTTAGGACGCTTGAAGAAGGCGATGGCGCTATGATATCCAGGATGAGGTTGTGAGTGAGCATTTTATCACGTCTATCCGGGGCTCAACGGCGTTGATTATATACACGTCGAGGGACGGAGGGTCCAAGGCAATGCCGTCGAGCAGCCTGCACTAACATGGATGTCTCAACCAAGACCATGTCGTATCCCTCTCAACCAACGACAAAGCCTCAATGCCCAGGATAGCAACACCCTATGTCTTTGCCGCCCTTGCCGTGAGGTGAAATGGTTGCCATGTTGGTGAGGGACAATACCGCCGCAACTCATCCGCGGAATCATGGGTTTGATTAAACTAAGTTTAGCCTTAGCCCTCGGATTTTGCTTATTCCACGCTTTATCCTACGCCAATTTGTGAAGTGACTTGTCCAGATCGGGTCAGATTCTTCGACTAGTTGCGGTAATTGCGGGAAAACCGCCTCGTCTGCACATGTCCTCAATCTGGCGCAGGCTTACCAACAGCAGAGGTAGTGGAATGGCAGGAAGAGGCGGAAGCGCAGGAAAGATGCGACAGGGCGCTTTTGAATTTCAAATTCACTTCCTTTCCCGCCCTAATCCTGCCACAAGTACCGCCCTCTGACAGCATCGAACCACCACTGAGGTCCGTTTCGCCGTATCTGGGTTGGTCCTCTGGTTGGCTGGGGGTGGGGATTGGGTGGTGTGGGAGTTTTTTTCACAGAGGGCAGATTGACTGCAACAGGTGGACTGCAACAGGTTGATTAGTTGAAGAAAACCAGTTGAGACGGTTGATCTATGCTGCAGTGCGAGTAGCTGCGTAGAAGCCTTGGCTTTTATTGTGAGTGGGCCTTTCTGCGTGCTGGGCTGAGTTCTATTTAGACCTAAGACTACCTGGCGTTGTACAAGACTACCTTGGCGTTGCACAAGACTACCTGGCGTTGTACCTTTTAGTCTCTTCGCAATGGGCGCACCACGATTGTCGTGCCCCTTGGCTTGCTGCCAACATTGCTCAGGTTCCTGCTCGACGCCTCTCCCTTTCTCAGGCCCAGCTGTACGCCTCCCCGGGAATGGCCCAACCTGAGATAGACGACGTCACAGACAACAGGACTCCCAACCTTTCCTCTACGCGCCGTCTTTCTACTGGCCTTTGGACGCCTCCGCGGCTTGGGCCCCTGTCACGCAGCATCTGCAACCAACGACCCAACAGCCTGGCATCCGGGTCCAGTGGTGGACTACTTGGCTGTGGTCTGACACTAAGAGCGAGCGCTCGCACTCCTGGCAAGGGGCACCGTTCCTGTGCGCGTACTTGCTGGTTAGTGCGTCTCAACAGACGAGCGAATGCCTGAGCCGCGAGAATTTACACGAAGCCAAGGAGTTGGCCAAGGAGTTGGGCAAGAAAGCCGCTGACTCGATGACCGCTGTCTCTGACCCTATCACGCCTTGCTGTGCCGGGTCATAACAATTGATCAGGGTCGGTAGTCAAGTGGTATGACGCGTTGGATGTGTCACTCTTAAGGGGAAGCCACTGAGCTTCAGATGCAAATGGTGCAGTTTCCCCGCACAGCAGAGCAGGCGGTGAGCTGAGGATTGTCCCAACGGCGGTGGTCTTGGAGGGTCTGTCAGCGAGGCCGTGTTCGATCCCTGCCCGGCTTACTGCCTTTTCGCCGATCTTTTTGTCGTCCGCCTCAGTGCCCCTTTAGAATCGTGACAGCAAGCTACCGAGTCGAGAGTGCCGTACGTCTGACGGATTTCGGTGGCGGTAAGGCGTCTCACACAGTCAGATTCACTGTTATAGAGTTTTTTTTTTGAAAGCGGTGGTTATTATAAATAAAATGAACTTGATTACTTGCTAGGGGGGTGAGGTTCCCCGAGAGGGAACTATTTTACAGGGTGGTCCGTAGCTTAACTCGTCTAACATTACTACTATCCGGGGCGCCTCGAGGATCGTAACCCGCTCGTACTAACAACCGAAATTGAATTTCTCGATCACGCTCTCCGGCAACCGCTCCAGATCAGATAACGTCGTGTCTTCAAGGTGCGATCTTTCCGTATGGCTAGAGAGGCAGAAGAACAAAACACGTTTCTACTTCCCTAGTCAGCGTTGCGTGTGTTGTGTCTTTGGTGAGGTGAAGTGCGCCCGTGGGGCCAGAGTTGCAGTTGCCTGGTTGTGGTGTCGACCTGGGCTGCGGCCAATCATGGTCCAGAGGGGTGCTGACGACGACGATGCACAGCCCCGGGGGAGGGGCAGCTTGCGGGAGGCCGACGAAGCTAGGTACGGAGTCCCGTGCATTCCTTCAGAGATTCGTAACACGATGCCCCTCCTCCGAGGTTAGCGCCTCGACAACCTACGCCTTCCCGTCAGTTGACGCCTTCCTAGTCGTGAGCACTCTTCCATCCTTCATCGCGCTAACCGCAATGTCTAACCGGGTTGCCGGGTAGGAAAATCTCGTCGCGCCCAGCGCAAGCTCAACTCCGACTCTATCCTTTCGGTATACGTTTCCGCGTACGGATCTCCATCCTCAATACCTTGCACTAATTATTACCGATATAACTGTAAGGAAAGAACCCCAACCCCCACACACGACCAGCTTACACACGCACCCAGCGGGCCAAGACCTCACTCCTTTGTCATGACCTCTCACCCGCTAGCCCAAGCACTCCGTTATATATATAAGCTGTGGCCCTCGTCTCCTTCCTCTACGAGGGTGTAAGCGAAGGCAGGTACGCCTGATCAAGGTGGTCACAATGGAGGTAATGAATAGAGTGAGCAATGACTGGTGGTATTGGCGTGAGACTTCAACCTGGCCCTCGTAAAGGAAGGGGGCAAGGGCCACTGCTTATATATATGACAGAGTGCTTGGGCCAGCGGGTAAGAGATCATAATAAAGGAGTGAGGTCTTGATAAACGCGTGTAGGTTAGTCGTATACATAGTATATAGGTTCCTTTTATTGTGGATCACGTATTAGGGCTTCGCACGGACCACACCCTAAACAGCTACAGCCAGTCGGCACGTGCTTCCTAGCGCCTTGTCTTAGCGCCTGCCGTAACAGCGTGCTCTTATCGAGGGTCGGTGAAATTACCTCGTCAACGCTAGGCCCGTTCCGGCCACTTACCCCCGCCTACATTTCGCCCTGAAATCGCGTGCGCACGCCCGATAAGGGGATTTCGATAAGCTACCCGCCTTACCATCACCGCCGCGCTTCAACTGCAGACAGCGCGCGCGCGCGCGCAAACACCACACACACAGACGAAGTATACACACACGAAGCACACACATACGAAGCATACACACACGAAGCACACACATACGAAGCGCACACACACGAAGCACACACACATACACACCGCCATGGCAGACGATTCCTACGCAGCCGCGGAGGAGCGGGCCCAAGGGGCTCGGAGGGCCGGCCTACAAGCGAAGAAGGAGGAGCAGCCGGCCAATACGGCGAGGAGCTATGCAGCCAAGCAGCGCGAGTGGAAGAGGTGGTGCCAGACGCCCCGCGACGGCCCAGACGGTATACCCTATACCTGGCCAGATGGCGAGCTTGTCACGCCCGATAAGCTAGCTGCGTGGCTCAAAGAAGATATCCTCCTCCGGCGCATCAAGGTGCCTGACAATAAAAAAAGGGGCCATATACCACTACTACAGCCAGTAGAGGCAGAGGCCCTTGCAGAGGCTCAGGTCCTATCTGAAGCGCTATCTATACCGGTGGCTGAGGCAGTCCAAGTTCTTTCCAACGATCGGGAAGACTACATACCACCAGCTACGGAGCGGCTAGCAAGGAAGAGGAGGGGACCCTATTTACCAAGGGTACCGTAGACGCCTATATCGCAGCCGTCATCGAGCTCTGGCGAGTACAGGTGGCCCACGGCAATAAGAATACCGAGAACCCTCGCGGCGCCGCCGTACGGGGGTTTCTCGAGCAGCGTGGCCGCCAGTGCGGCCGCTATAAAGACCGCGGTAGCGAGGGCATCCAAGCTGGGTACTCTACCGCTGAGTGGCTCAAGATCCAGGAATACCTCTTACGTACGGCCCCCACAGCGCTGCAGAACCTCCGTACGCGCCTAGATCTTCTATTCGGCCACTACTACCTACTCCGTGGAGAGAACCGCCGTAAAATGGAGCTTGGCGACCTCTCTCTACTCGATTACCCGCTCTCAGAGGGCCCTACTCTATGCGGCTGCCTCGTATCGCTTCTCCAAAACGGCAAGATGAACCAGACGGCTAAGAAAGAGTTCATGAGGTCTCTTCGCCATAAAGACCCTCTACTTTGTACACAAGGCGCCTTAGCACAGCTCTTTTTCTGGCGTTGGCACATTGCCGGTGAGCCAGCTCCTAGTTTCCGCCACCGCCAGGATTGGTACCATATCAAGGTCTTGGTCGGCCAGGACCGCGAGCAAGAGCTCTCGTACAGTACACAACTTCAAGAGACTTGGCGCGTCTTTGGCGCTATTGGGTTTACTACAACCAAGAAGACACACCTTCCGCGGCGAGTCGGAGCACAGGATGCAGAAACCTACGGCACCTCACTCACACAGATTTCACAGGCCGGCCGCTGGAATCAGAGTGTGTTATGCCAGGCCTACCTTACCCACCTACCACGCCAGTTCATGCGTATTGTAGCTGGCTTTTCCAATACTCCAGGGGACTACTTTCTTGCACGCGCGGTATACGAGCCCCCTACTACCCTACAAAGGCAGCTCTGGCCATGGATCGAGCAGTGGGAGGCCCGCTTTGAGGCGCGCGCACGCCGATGCTGGTGGGCACAGGGCGGCCTGGATGAGGACGACCTTGCCGGTGACGGCTTCCTCAAGCTTATGCGGCGCCTCCGTATAGTGCTCCTCCAAGACCTGGCCGTTTTACAGCCGCGTTTCCCATTACTACCCTTCTTTACACATGCTCCTTTTCACGGCCCAGAGTGGGAGGAATTTGCCCGTACCGTACAGGCCAGCATAGTCGATACTACCGAACCACCGAGCCTCCTCTTACAACGTGCATTACCAGAGCTACAAAGCCTGGTTGAGAGCACACGCACAGCCATCCTCCACAATAGTCGCCAACTAGCTAGCCAACTAACCAGCCATATAACAAACGAAATAACTAACCAACTAGCTAGCCAACTAGCTAATCAACAATACCAATTCCTTCAAAACTTTCTTAAGCTCCCCCTTACTATTACTGGCTTCCTAGGAGCCGGCCCAGGAGCCGGCCTAGGAGCCAGCCCAGGTACAGGGTGGCCACTACCGCAGGCGCCAGAGCCAGAGCCAGAGCCAGTTAGCCAGCCCACTGGGCCTCCTATTATGACTAGCTTGGCCAAGGTACACACTGTTGCAGATGTTTGGCGTGAGTGGAAGGAGGGCTATGCCGGCCAGCCGGCCATTCAGGAGCTTGAGAGCCAGTGGGGGAGCTGTTGGCGCCCAGGGAACACGATCAGGGTACAGTTCTGTCGCCGTAAGGTGATCTGGGATGCGGTCTCGGCCTGTATAGCTAGTGGGAAGAGCGAGAAGGAGGCGGTTGATAAGATAGAGCGGTTGCGAGCCGGCGAAAGCCTCAACCGTCTTATAGATCAGCTTAAAAAGCGTAGACGGAATAGATAGGCCTACAGTGGCTCCATTGCGCTAAATTATAGTGGACTTATAGTGAGTGCGGGGGATAAGGAGGTAAAATCGCTTATGTGTAAGATCTGAGTAATCACACCCGATTAACAGAAATTACTCAGCAAAACGCCCCCACGATAAGTTCTTCTTATTAGGCCCTGCTTTTCGGGAACCTATCTGCTACAGGTGTCATCCGCAGAGCCACACAACCCGCAGGCTTACCCCGCGTCCACTAAAAAAGTTAACTAAAAAATTTGGCGACACCCATTTCGCCCCCTACTATAACGATACAACTATTATAATTCAATTCTCAGGGGTCCACGCCGCATCTCATTCGGTAGCTGGCCGTCTTTCCGTGAAACACAATCGCCGACCAGCAGCGAGTCGAGTGCATCTTTTTCTTCCAACCTAGAGCCGCCCACTTTCGCGTGTTTTTTGCTCTTTGATTCGCAGCGCCTGCCAGGGGTCTTTTTAAAATTTACGCCGTGGGGTCGGGCCATTGCTACTAAAAAGGTGTTTACCGATTGCTCACTCAGGTTGCTTCACGTATTGCAGTAAATACTCCGCATTATACAAATGGATGGATTGAATCGCAAATCTGATTTCCCCAATGCCCGTTACCGCATTATCGTGTGGGAGCGCTGTGCAAGCTGCCACCAACATCCCGACTTGACCACTCTTTGTTTCAGACCGATCCGATACACCTGTACCTCCCTTAACCAAGTTGTTTGCGGGATATCAGAGTGAGACGCGGCCCATCGGAGACATCTCTCCAGCTCCAGCTCCAGCTCCAGCTCCAGCTCCAGCATCGATTTCCTTTTTGTTTTCTTCTCCTTCTATCTATTGCTCTCCGTATCATTCCAAAGTTAAAGATCAAATTTGCCCACTTGTTCTCTCTATATTGTACACACCTACCTATATATATCAACTATATAGCAGAGAGCAAGCACGAGAGCCTCGAAAGACCGCAAAAAGAAATAGGAAAAGAAAAATATAATAAAAAGTCATGGAGGCTTACTCGGAGCTCCTCCTCTGGGCGGGCGAGCACGGCGTCGTGCTGAACGGCATCGAGCCTCACCGGATCCCGGGGCGCGGCATAGGCATCGTGGCGACGCGAGCTCTCGAGGTACGGTCAGCTTCTCTCTCTTTCCAGTCAGACGTCTTTTTGCTAATCAGTTATGATTAGCCAGGCGAGAAGCTGCTGCACGTGCCGTCGGCGATGCTGCGGACCATGGACACGGTGCCCAAGAGGATCTCGCGCAGGCTGCCCAAGAAGACGAAGATCCACGGGCTGCTGGCCGCCGACCTCGCGCTCAACCCGCACCCGGGCAAGTACGGGAAGTGGAACGCCGTGGTCCCCTCACGCGCCGACATCTGGGACAGCCTGCCGCTGACCTGGGACCCGAGGCTGCAAGAGCTCCTGCCGCGCGCCGCCCTCGACCTGCTCCGCAAGCAGGAGGCCAAGTTCGCCGTCGACTGGGCTGCCGCCGAGGAGGCGTTTCCTGCCACCTCTGACACCCCTGCGCTGTCGCGTGACGACTACCTGTACGCCTGGCTTCTGGTCAACTCGCGGACCTTTTACCACGAAACGGCGCGGTCCCTGAAGCTGCCGCCCGACGACCGCATGGTGCTGCAGCCCGTGGCGGACCTGTTCAACCACGCCGACGCGGGGTGCGCCGTGCTATTTAGCGCGGCGTCCTTCGTTTTCATGGCGGACCGCGCCTACGCGCCGGGGGACGAGGTGTTCATCTGCTACGGCAACCACGGCAACGACATGCTGCTGGCTGAGTACGGCTTCGTGCTGGCGAGCAACCGCTGGGACGAGGTATGCCTCGACGACGTGATGCTGCCCGCGCTGACGGCGCGCCAGCGCGCCCACCTCGACAACCGCGGCTTCCTGGGCAACTACATGCTCGACGCCGCCACCGTGTGCTACCGGACCCAGGTCGCGCTGCGCCTGATGTGCGTGCCCCTGAGGGAGTGGCAGAGGTTTGTTGATGGCGCCGACGACGGCGGCAAGGGTGACGATGATGCTGCGCAGGCAAAGGCGGACCGCCTGCTGGCATTCCTTCTTGGCAAGTATCGGGAGACAATTGAGAAGACGATAGACACACTTGGCTCGCTCCAGGCCGGCCAGCCGTCGCAGCGTGAGCTGCTTTGCCGGAGGTGGCGCCAGATTCAGACCTTGATAGATACCACAATCACGAGGCTTGAGTCCTGATTCCTCGCTTGCTCCCATTGCGAAACACGGTCAATGACAGCTCCCCTGGCACGCTAGTTGTCTAATGAGGGCCTGTAAATACACAAGCATGTGCAATCCCTTGAACTCTGCTCATGTCTTTCCCAGACACCAATCGACCATTGTTCCGAGTCCAGCCAAGCAACCAGATCCAAACAAAACAGCCCGAATATAGAAGAGCAGAGGAAACCCCAATTTCAAGCAGCCCATAACCAAGCGCCGTATAGTCAATTACTACCCCTTAAGGACGCCGAAAAGCAAAGCAAATCGCCCAGATATATCCCTCACATCGTGACACACGTACGCACATCCAGAAACGCTACATATCCTTCCTCCATGGGAAAAGGGGAATCATAAACCAACCAGACAAAACATCACCATTACCATTGCCGTTACCATTGCCGTTACCATTACCGTTACCATTGCCGTTACCATCACCATCACCATCACCATCACCATCACCATCACCATCACCATCACCATCACCATCACCATCACCATCACCATCACCAGCACCACCGGCACCAAGCTTAGCAGACATGACGTGGCATGACATGACATGAGCACTAGACACGCTCCATCCTGGAGCCACGCACTTTCAACCCCTCCCCGCCACCATTCATGTGAGTGTGCCTTTAAAACAGTGCAGATAGACAGATAGACGGATATAATAAAGAAAAAAACCTCGACTTTGCTGTCGTTGCTTTACGTGCCATTTCCCATTTCCCAGTTCCCAGTTCCATTCCTAGTTCCCAGTCCTACTTCCCAGTCCTAATCCCAATTCCAGTGTGTTGTGCGTGTCCATGAGACGAAAAGTGATTTGTTTGCGCGAGAGGAAACCACGACAAGAGTGTTGTTCCCCTCTGAAAGGGACCTTGATAATAAATGAGAAGCGACCCTGAGATTAAAAAGGAAAAAAAAAAGCAACACAGATAGACCCCTGTTGAAAACACCCTCCCGAAACGCCCGATAGCTCCGCAGCCGTGGGTCCAGGTAGTGGTCGTGTGTGGGTGAGTCTGCTACTAGTAGAGACCTTGAAAAAGAAGAGAGGACTGTCGAATTTTACGTCATACAAAATGTGGTAGTGTAGTTCGATAGACAAGACGAGACAGAGAGACAGACAACGAAAAGGAAAACAGATAGACGGACAGTCCCGATGAACCCCATATCCCACAGCCAAATGTACCTCAGGTTTGCTCGGGCGGTTCTACTCCTCCCCATCTTCCTAGTAAACTGCAGCAAGCGTACTGGGGGAAGGAGACGGACAAGCCCAAACAGGAAGAGGGTATTCCGATAGCGCCCTCTCAGCAACCAAGGCGATGTGACGGTGGTTTTTCTCCTATTTTCTTGCCCCCAAATCGACAAAGTGGGCGGAAACCGACAGAGGGGAGAAAAGAGAAAAGGAAAAAAGGAGAAAAGGAGAAAACCCAAAGACACCCCTCTCAGCTCGAGACCTTCCAGAGAAAAACAACCTAAAAGAAAAAAGAAAAGAAAAGGCCTATCGCCGTACTCCATCAAAACAACTTTAAGGGTGTCGAGATAACCATACCGTATCACTCCACAGGAGACTCGGGATCAGGCATCGTCTGAAAATAGCAGAAACTGAAGAGGCCAAACTCCTCGTCAAGCTCCAGGCCGTTGTCAGAAGCAATGGAGAAGCCCAGAACGCCAATCAACTCATCCTCATTCAGGTCGCTCTCGAGACGAACGACTACAGGCGTGGGAACGAGTAAGTCGCCAAGGCCAACCAGCCCGGGAGTGTCACTGGAACTGGAATCCTCGGAGGTTGACTTAGAGGACTCCCCGGAGGTTGAATGTGGCGAGGTGGCTGCTGGAGAATCTGTGTCAAAGTGATCAAGGAGATCGACTGCTGGAACGTTAATTCGATTGCCGAGCTAGCTGGGACTTGGAGGAGCGGGGTGGTTTACATCCTGGGGGCGCGGTACTGTACGGGGTTCTGCGCGATGGCGCTGGGGCTTCTTCCTACTCGCCCCGAGCTCGTTTCGTGCCGTGTGGGTTCTGCCAGTCGTTGCCCTGGTTGCCGCCCCCGAAGAAAGCCGGGTTGAATTGGGCTGGCATGCCTTGGAAGCCTTTGAACGCAGCATTGTCAGACAAAGTTTGAGAAGGACACGGGGGACGATTGGATGGCAAACTGACCTGGCATGCCGCCGCCCATCATACCCATGCCGCTCATGGCTCCGGGCATGCCGCCCATAGGAATTCCACCCATGGGCATGCCGCCCATCATGCCGTTCATGCCGCCGCCCCTGCCGCCGCGCATGCCGCCTCCGCCGCGCATGCCGCCGCCCATCATGCCGCCTCTGTTGAAGCCGCCTCCAGCGAAGCCACCGCCGGCCATCGGGTTATTGAAACCCATATTGTTGTTGTTGAAGGCATTCATGTTATTGCCTTGGAAGCCACCCCGGGAGAATCCCTGATTCATGCCGCCACCTCGAGGGCCGTTAAACCCACCCCGGCCGCGGAAGCCCCCGCCAAAGTTGTTATTGTTATTGTTGTTGCCCGCAAAGTTTGAGCCACGGTCGCTGTAGCCAGGACCTGAAGGCACTCGGCCCTGGACATCCTTGGTGGCACGGTTGGGCGCGTCCTTGGGCAGCGTGCGGAAAGGGTTGGTGGTTGGGCTGGAGTAAATAACGGTTTTCTTCTTTTGACCAGGTTGCTCACTGTGCGTGCTGTCGATCAGGTGCTTTGTGGCCGTAGCAGCCTGTTGCGATGTGAACTCGATATACACGCTCCTGTCGAAGTTGTTAGCCAAAACCTTAGGGAGCCAACCAAGCCCCAAACATCCCCGTTGGACACTCACCCTTTGCTCTTTCCGTTGACCTTGTGCTCGCTGAAGGTTATGTCCTTCAGCTCGCCCTCGCAGTTAGCTTGTCGCACCCAGCCTCGAATATCGTCGTCTGTGTTCCACCAGTTCAGTTCATTGACCAGGATGGCATTGGTGGCACCAGGATCTATGGGTCGCTCATCGGAGCCCTCCTTTCGCTTGACGCCTTGCTGAGGACGCTGGGATTGCTGCTGCTGCTGCTGAGTGGCAGGGCTGGACGATCGGCGATGGTCCTGGCTGTCATCCATCGTCTCCTCTCTCTCGTCACGGTAGTCGTCGTGGCGGTTATCGCCATTCGCGTCCCGCGAATCCTCTCTGTCGTAGGCCGGTTGGTCGACGTCGCCGAGACCGTCGCCACCTTGATCATTGGCTGCGTCGCCATAGACGTCGATCTCAAATTCCTCCTCAGCCATGGCGATGGACTTTGATTCCGAGTCCGATTTGTGAGTGGTGATGGGAATGGGTCTTGTCAAGAAGTGGAAACCTCTGGAGATTTCTTCCAACTCAGATGTGAATTAAAGGGCCTGGCTATGGATCAGAATTACAATGCGTCTGCAGTGTACAAACCCAGAATCAGCAACTGCTAGGAGCGCGGCCCGATTCCCGACGCCGGCAGCCGACGACGAAACGGCAGGAGCAGACAGGTTGGTGCTAGGACGAGTGATGAAAAACGACAAGAATAGAAAGTGAGAGCAAAGTGAGAGGAAAACAAAAAAACAAAGGTGGAGAGCAAGTGATACGTACAATTCCGATCCTCAAATGACGACGGAAGACTGCTAACTTCAGAAGATAGACGTACGGGCCCGGTAAAAGAGAAAGATGTTTTTTTTCCAAGACGAAGCTCTGTGCTTGCGGTCTTTTCCGACAGGCGGTAGGTAGGCTTGTTCTTGCGATCTTGCTCTTTTGACCTTGCTCTCTCTCCCTCGTAGAATCTTATTCTTGGACAAGTACAGGCAGTGGAGGACCTGGTTGGAGTCCTTTCCTCTAAACCGAGAATCCCCAAACTCTGCTTGACTCGTGCAATCGCGATTATCTCGCTTTTCTGAAAGGGATCACTGCGGTCTCGCTCTTTAAATCCCCGGGTGGTTAGTGACGGGCAGCTAGGAATAGGGAGCGGCTGCAACCAGGGTTATTGAACGGATTCGTGCAGGGCGTTGGGGGCGCGCTTGAGGCGAGTGAATTGGTCTTGTCGAGGGTTATGAGGAAATCAATAGGAGGCGGAATCGGGATGGAGGGAGGAATGTGAACGGGTCGTTCGTTGCCGCGGGCAAGTTGCGACGGTGGTTGGACGATCGAGGGAATTGAAGTGAAGTGTCGTTGCACAGGGAAAATTGTTGGAGCTCCTGTTTGGCACTCGATTGGGGCGCGACAAGGCTACGCCGCCGTACCACCAGCTTAGCGGGTGCACGGTGCACCTGCCTTGGAATGACTGTGTAAATGCACTGTGTACACTATACATATACAATACGGAATATCAAGCTAGTTTTATGGATTGTTGCAAGAACACAAACTTTACCTTACAGATGGACTAAAATTAATCTAACTATGGTACATTCTAGTGCTTTACAGTTCCTCCCGAATACCAGGATACTTAGAGAATTACACTTAAAATGGGCATGCAGAGTTTTCCCTACCTCTGTCTGCCTTCGGTTCCTCCCTCTTTTCGGGGAACGCCTTTCTAGCATCGCGGACGGGGTTAGGGATTTTTATCTAATGATTCCTAGAGGGTGAGGTTTTGCGGGCTGGGTGGATGGAAAGGTGGACGATTTAGGGGGGTAGAAGCTGGGAATTAGCAACGTGGAATTTCCTGTCTCCTTCCTTTTCCCTCCTCTGCTGTATGATTTGTGCTGAAGTCTTCATACTATCTAGATGGCTAGCTGTCTGGCTGGCAAATTTCTCGAGTTGGTCTGTCGCCGTTGTTGCGTTTCCTCCCATGCTCATGATGGTCTTGTTTCATCGTTCCAAGTTACCGACGTAGAAACACAGCCGAGTAAATATCCCATCGTAACTCAGGCGATATCCGGTCCCAACCCAGATGCGACCTCGCCACAACTGGAACAAAACCCAGTCCCGACCCAGAGGTTATCTCATCGTAGCTCGGACGATACCCAAACAAATGGAAACCAAACTCTAACTCACCAATCTCCAAAATCCAGATTGCTTAAAACATCAGTGCTCACTAACGGTACCAACGCAGAGGATAGCAATGTCCCGTCTGACTGTTTTTTTATAATTTTTTTCCAAAATAAATCAGTCTGCTATTAAATAAAATTGTAGTGAAGGAAGTTGAGGTAAAGGGGGGGGAGGTAGGCAAGGTAAGGTAGTTAGTTTCAGCGCCGCACAATATCAACATCATCCATATCAACCAACAGACCATGCAACAAAGAAAACCACGGCCCCCCTCCATCTCATCCGCTATCGCAACCACCATCGCCGCTCCACACAACAGGATTGACAAAGAAGAGAAGTAGAATATAAAATAACAAGAAAACACCTGTGCAATGCAATGCGTGTGCATCGGTCCGCTCTCTCTCGCTGACAATTCTCAATCCAGCTCAATTCACCCACTGACAAAGTCCGCTGTGTACTCAACTTTAGCCATCTCACAGGCTCGGTCTGCTAATTCACTTGAAATCCACCACTCAGCTACCCTACCCGCCTGCTCGCCTGCCATCTTCCAGGTTTACAAGCGACAACGATAACACCAACTAAACAACAAACAGAAGCTCACAGGGTTCGAGAGAGGACACGGAAAGGAAGCCAGCGGCATCCCAGTTAAAACCCAAATGGGTTTTGAGGAGCTACAACACAATACAGGTTAGTCAATCCGTCCTCAAAGACAAACGGCCAGAAAAAGAAAATAGAAGGAAAAACCTTACTCGCAGCAGACAGATTCGCCCTCCTCCCCGTCGGTTGTGGGGCGAGTTTCTTGGGCTCGGTCACGCCGAAGCGGACGGGCGGCGCCGGCCCCGTTCTCTGCGGGACAAGAGGCTGCATCGGAGGCGGCACCAGCGGAGGTTGCATCCCCGCGTTCCCAAATCCTTGGGCGAATCCGCCAGGGCCCATACCCATGCCTGTAGGCTGCGGTTGCTGCATCGGCATAGCGGTACGCTGGGGTTCGAGCGGCTGTGGCAAGAAGTTATTGGGGTTGCCTGTCATGTACTGCGGTAGTTGAGGCTGCTGTGGCTGCTGGTTGAACCCGCCGAAGCCAGTTGGCTGCATCTGAATAGGCGCAAATTGCTGGGAACGGGGGTCTGCAAACGGGCTCTGCATCTGCTGGGGCCCGTTCATCATCCCGGTCGGCTGGGGCATGAACTGGTTCGGCACAAATCCCTGCTGCTGCGGCATACCCGTCATCATGGGCATCATCTGTTGCATAGGCTGTATGGGCTGCATCTGTCGCTGAAGCTGCTCGGCATACTGCTGTTGTAGACGCGCTTGGGTTATGTCGTTCAGGCTCTGCCCCGGAGGCGCGATCTGAGGCTGGTAGCCTGTCATCTGGGGCTGTATAGGTGGAGGCGTAAATGAGCTGGGCTGCGCGGATTGGGGTGCCGAGAGCGGCCGGGCAGGGGGCGGCGGCATTAAGCCGCCTTGACCTTGGGTGTATTGAGGTGCCATTGGCCGTTGCCTTGCCATTGCCTGTGGCATCTGAGAAAACTGCTGCCCGTTGACAGTTGGGGGCTGCATCCCAGTGAAGAAGCCTGGGGTTGCGCCGGTGGGTTGCGAAAACTGTGCGGGCGCCGACACAGGGGCCTGGCTCGGGGTTGGCTGCGACGCAGGAGCGAGATTCAAAGCCGGCGGCGCGGGAGCCGGAGGCTGAACCTTCTCGGGCTGGAGGGGCTGCGTGAGTAGTGACAGCTCTTGCATCGATCCAGTCAGCGGCGCGGGGGCAGTGGCCGCAACAGGAGCCGCAACGGGGGCCGGAGCAGGAGCAGGAGCCGGGGTTGGGGTGGGTGCGACTACCGGAGCTGACTCGGGAGCACGAGGAGCAGGCTGTGGGGCCGGCTCTGGAGCCTGAGCCTTAACCGGCTTGACGTCCCAAGCATCATCATCAAACCCGCTAGAAGGTTTAGTTGCTGGTGGGGGTGCAGCAGCAGCAGGAGCAGGCGCTGCATTGGCAGGAGATGCCGACCCATCGGGATTTGCCCCGGAATCCTTCTGCGAGGAAAATGCCTTTGGATCGACGACGTTGTTTGTTTCGACTGGGGGCGCTGGACGTCCTTTCCTAGTGTTATTCCGGAGCGTCCCTCCTGGTCCAGAGAACAGCCCACCCGCCGACTCGCCATCCTCTCCGGCGCCGCCCTTCTTGGTCCGACCGTATTTGCTATCCAAAAATCGCGTCACCTTGATAATGTCGCCTTCGCGCAATCCCAGGTTCCGCAGCACGCTGGCATCCACGTCGGGGAGGACGCTCTCATCCATTGACTCCCTCGAGAATGCCTGCGCATAGCGTTCGCAGAGCCCAACCTGGACGTCACAAGTGAGGAAGAACTGGAACCAGTCGTACTCTGGCTTTTTCAGCTGCTCGATGGTGGCACCAGCCCGGACGGCAGTTGTACCCGAAGACCTCGAAGATTCCCCGGCAGCGGCGGCTGCAGTAGCCCTCCTCTTGAGATCAGATAGTGGCTTATCCTCGTCAAGGGACAGGCCGGTCATCCGCTCAACATACTCGAGATCCTCGAGAGACATCTTGGAGACAGGCACGGCAATCTTGACACCGTTCATTTTGTGGAGGTTTAGCTTACCATCCTTCAAGCCGAGGAACTGCGCGTCGACACTGAAGGACTTGGAGCGATCCGTCCACGTTCGCACCTTGGAGGCGTCGGGTTCTAGGGGGGGACAGCCGTGTCAGTTCCAAACGATGTTATAGGGTGAATAGCAAAAACAGGGGAGGACTTACTCGATTTGCTCGACTTGGACGGCGCCGAGGCTTCCGCGCGGCCATTTTCGCGCTTGCTGCTTCGCTGCTGTCCCGCGCTGTTACTTTCTCTGGCCGATAGACTACTACGCCGATCTGGCAAACGCATGCCTGGGCCTACCTCTGAACCTCGCTTTGACCTCTCCCTCTGCTCCTCTCGCTGGGCCGTCTTGACCGCCTCCTTGGTCAGTCGTTGCTCTTCCAGTCGGTTCTGCTCAACTGTGGATTTGCCTGCGTTGATGCCTGCAGTTGAGGGCGGAGCCGGGACGTCGGCAGCGCCGGTGACTTCGATGTAGCTGCTTGGCACAACACCCTCCTTGCCATTCTTGACTCGGCGCACCTGCCACCACTCGTCGCTCTTTCCATCATCCAAAATGATGACCTCGTCACCAACGCCGACCGTGACCTCGTCTTCGCCCTGTGCCATAAAGTCGTAGAGCACCACACCCTTCTTCTGCGTGTGCCCCGTCCCGGCCATGATGACCTCTCGCAGGCCCTCGGCTCGCGCAGCTCCCGCCAACTCGCCAAGCATGGCGACGATCTCTCCCGCGGTGTCCTTGGCACCTGCGTGGAAGTCGACGCTCTTGCTTGGCCGTACGAGCTCCATAAAGATGTGCTTGCCCTCCTGGGAGTAGTGTGTCATGCGGTCGGCTGACCACTCCTGTGACGGGCCGTCTTGGGCGTGTTCTGGGGCGATAAGTATCATGCCAGTCCTTAGGTTGACACCAAGCGTAGTCGGCATCTTCTTCTTCTTTCCCATGACCGACACCATCTCGTTGATGTTGTACATGTGAAAGTCCCCGGGGGTGAGAGGCGTCGTGAGGGGAGGAGATGCCGCCGCCTGTGGGGCTTGAGGACTGTGGGTCTCCCGGCTTTGCCGGGCTGGTGCCGGAACAGCCCTGTATGTCTGCTCAACAGAAGCCTGGGAGCCGCCACGGGGGCGCTGCGGGAGCGGTGGAGATTTAGGATCTCCCTCGGACTCGTCAGAAACGTACTGCTGCCGCGGCGGAAGGCTGATGGGCGCTGGGGGGTGGGACGAGGACGATGCCGAGCGAGCGGCCATCAACCCGGCGAGAGCAGCAGCGGGGTTCGGTGCGACGGGGCTGCTCGGCTCGGAGGGCACGCTTCTTGCCGGAAGAGGCGGACTCGCCACCTCGGCCCGGACCGGGAGCGGCGGCGGAGTAGGTATGGGTGGCCCGGCATCGTCATCGTCCTGGTTGTCCTTGCCATCTGCGAGTTCGATGTAGTTAGCCGGGGCAAAGCCGTAGTCGCCGTCGTGACCAACGAGAATCCAGTCTGGATCCGACGTGTCGAAGACGGCGAGTTTGGCTTCCTCGGGGAACGAGAGCTCCTCATCCGTCTGGCGCGTGTATTCGTACAGGGCGCGAGCATGTCCTTGGGGTTCGACCTGGGGTGTGCACAGAATGCGTCAGCAAGAACAGTCTCAAGCAAGGAGGGAGGGGCAGATGGGACGACAAACCTCTTCGATGTAATTGCTTGGGATCAGGCCGACGGGCTCGTCTTCGTCGTCTGCGGTTGCCTTTTTCTTGGCCTTCCACCAGTCGTCATCCTGGCTCTTTTCTATCACGTAGAGCACGTCGCCCTCGGCTATCTGCAGCTCGCCCTCGGCCTGGGGGGCATAGTCATAGACGGCCTTGTAGACGCCAAGGAAGCCCATGGTTGTTGCAGAGGTCTGGTCGCGTCGCAGTCAGCAGCAACAGCAGGCCGCATCGGAGATGGCGCCGATGAATGTGATGACGGCAGCGCCGGACCGCAGACGCACGACACAGGAGGCGGGAGGATGGCTATGGGCGCGCCGCGGACAGCTCGGACACGCAGGGTCGATTATCGACTAAAGCCAAGATGGGGAGCTCTATTTGCTGTCGTCGAGCTAGGCAGTTGGTGACCTAGGTCTACTCGTTTATCGAGGGGTGGTTTGGGCGGCCGCTGTCGTGTTGAGGGCGCGACCGGTAGAGGACGAGGCCGTGCACTTGCAGGGCGGGTCTGCTTTGCTGGCGTGCAATTGGGCTAAAGCGAGGGAATTAGGGATAAATCCTGTCTGCACCGCAAGCTAAGGTAGTTGAAAATAAGAATGTGGGTTGCGTCGTCGAAGATTTGGGATCCTCCTCGATGTCAGGGGGGGCTCTGGGCTCTGGCTGCGCTGCGTGGTCTGGGCTCGATTCTTGGGCTTGCAACAACTAGGGAGTCTCCAAGGCAGGCTATTCCCAAATTGTTTCACGCTCCAAAAGTCCGTACGTAACATGTCGGGGGTTCAATTTGCGCCTTGCCGAAAATGCCTGACCCACCTTGTTTGTAAGGCCAACACGGCGCGGGGTGTGTACGGAGTATAAGTACCACCGACACCTCGTAGATCCGACAACACCTAAGGTATATTCTAGAAGAAATATTCAAGATTTATCAACGTCTGGAACTTGTTGCTTCTTCTGTCGCGTGTCGCTTTCGGGAGGTATGCAGCAGTCGGGCACGTAAGGTACTGTACGTAACCTAGTACCTTGCAGGCTCACCTGCACCTCTTTAAATCAGGTAAATATGGAGGAAAAAGACCACGGGCACGCATCGTAGTTCTTTTTTTACTTTGAACGTGCATCGCAAGGCCCCTTTCTTCTCTTTCCACTTCAACGTCATATATTAAGCTGTCTCTCTACGTCCAATCGGTCAGCAGCTCGTCTCAAGATTGAACGACTCATCTCGAGCGACCAATACACGACTTTATAGTCTAAAAGGGTGTCTTTGGTAAATAAAAAAAGAAAGAAAAAAGAAGAGGAAGAAGAAAAGCAACTCTCAGTCCTCACGGCCGTTCATACACTTGGAACTAGACTTCCTTGATGAGGGAGAATGAGAATGCGTTGCTTTTTGTCTAGGTTACTACGTCAGGTTACTACGTCAGGTTACCAAACCCACTCACCCGCAAACAAGATCGACAGAAAAAGATGGAGATATATAGTAATATATTTCCATGCGTCTGAATACTCAGGTCCAGCTTCTCGATAAAAGCACATAAAAGCAGCAACACTTTTTACACATTTGCAGTCGGCCAACGATGCTTCCGTAACCTCAACACCCGTCACCAAAACACAAAGTGACAACCACCTTACTACCTGGTTTAGACGACGGCAACGGGCAGCTAGGTACCTAGATATCTTCTGAGAACTCTCCTCACTGCCCACGCAAGAGGCGAGGGAGGAGGAAAAGCTAGGAATAATTATTAACCCCTAATAAAATCCCATTTAGAACAACACCACGACGGCGCATCTAAACCACTTTCCCCCATCAGATACTTGTTTCTTTCACACATTCCTAATCCGACAATCCCCTCCCCTTCAAGCAACACAGAAGTCACCCTCTAGCAGCTGTCACCCTAAAACAAACATGTATTCCCAAACGAAGAAATGAAAAAACATAGGATCCGGTGTGAATCGGGATATTTCCATCCAAACATCTATTTATCTAATATCATCCCATCCAAACAAACACTCCCCGGCCCTAGATGATCGCTCATCTAAAAATACGCAACATGGAAAACCCGGTGGCCATGATCTGTCCTATCCAACTCTCAAACAAAAACAAAAGACTTGAAAATATTGTCAGCCGGGTATCCCAAATCCCATTTTTCATTCTTTTACAAATACCTAGCCGTCATTCAAGCTACGCCATGTATGTATGGCATTCAAAAGAGATTGCTGGAAGCGCCCCTCCGCCCCCGCTCCAAAAAAATCCTAGCGCCTAACGTACTGCGTCTGTACATCAGCTAGCCGATTAGATAGTTTGTCATCAGTCTTCCAATTCATTTGCTTGGGGCGTGCTGGTCACTCTCGTGCATCGAGCTCTGCCGCGTGCTGTTTCTCCGCGGGCCCCGCGATACTACGCCAGGGAAGTATCTGGGTTCGTTGCCAGAGAGATGCGGCTCTCGTGTGGCCTCGACCGGAGACCAGTTGCCGCTCGCCTCTCTATCCGACGCCGACGCCCCAAGCGGCGAGGCTACCACGGGGTTGGAAAATATTTGCGGCTGGCTCATGGCGCTCATATACGGACTGCCCGTGTCGACTTGGTGGCTTGTCCGGGAAGTGCTCGAAGTGTGTAGATTCGAAGAGGCTGATACCTGGCTCGGATGCTTAGATTCGATAGTAAGTCCCGATGGCGTGTTGTTCTTTGACGATAATGCGGGCGACTTGGGCACGACATGCTGAGGAACATTGCCGTTGTAGTCAGTGGCGGCGGCGCTTGCTACCGAATTGTCGGATCCAGTCGCATATCTTTCCACCCTGTTGCGTTCCGACGAGTCAGTATCATATTTCGCCACAGAAACAGCAAAGGCCAGCGGAACCATCGGGAATGGACCCACATCTTGAGCTCTTCCAAGAGAGTCCGATAGCGAAACTCCTCTCTCCGGTCAGGGACATTCGTCTTGACCATGGTGTTTCCGGCCGCCCCGGGGTGGTGGAAGCTGGGACCCAGCCATTGCTGCTTGACCGAAAATTCGAAGCCGCTCTGCTTGACCGAGTTCTTGGCCAGCTCGCACATGTCTACCGAGTTCAGCTTATAGATCTGTGCCGCCACAGCATACTCCTCGATAAGTGGCTCCTTGGTGAAGGCAAACTGGAGCGGGTCGTCAGTTGACAGCGACACGTTAAGACCGCGCTTGAAGTACTGATGGAACGGGTTCCGCTCGTAGGCCAAGAAGAGCGCGTTGTTGCTCAGCGGCGACATGGCGATGCCAATCTGCTCGAGGTAGAAGATGTACTGCAGCAGCGGAACCTTGCGCAAGAGCAGCCCGTGGCTAATACTGTGGCAGCACAGAGCGGCCACGGCAAGATGCTCGCTGTCGCCCGCCTCTCCGCAGTGGGGACGCAAGACAAACGTGCTGAAGCCGCGTTGCTTGCGCCACGTGTTCAACGACACCATGTTGGCGTAGAGGTAGTACATCCAGTAGCTATAGGGCGGATTCTGCTTGGCGGTCCACGCGCTGGCTACCGGGAACTTCTTGTGCTGCCGACGCTCAATCTTACTCTCGTCGTCGACGCTGTCTAGGCCTATTACCCGCTGCAGAAAGATATGAAGCTTGGGGTGGCTCGTGGGATCTTTTGTAACCTCGAAGAGCGGCTGGAAGACGTTCTTGACAAGCTGATCGAACGTGGTCATCAGGCCGCTAGCTTTGTAAACGTCGTACAGCCGGGGAATCTGAATCAGCCACCGGACGTTGGGTGAGATGAGCTTGTTGTCAATGACCCAGGCCGCAAGCTTGTCCCATTCGTCCATCGACTTGCCGTAGATGGAGATGCGCCACTCCACCATCTGGTACTTGCTAGACTCCAGATCCGAGATGACCTCCTTAGTAATCTCTGCCAGGTAGCGCCCGTTGATGAAGTTGTCCGTCTTCAAGAAGATTGTCCGCAGCCGCGACTCGCCGATAGGGTTGTACTTGAGATTGAACTTGTCAAACCGGTGAAAGGAGTCGGTATGGGCGTGCATGTCTAGGGTGTCGATGCTGAGGTCGTAGGCGGTGAGGTTGATGCTCTCAAACACCTCGGCCAAGGTCAAGTGCTTGCCGTCGCGGAAGAGCACAATCTCGTCGGGGAACTTCTTCATCTTGCTCTTAATGAAGCGCAAGAGATGCTTTTGGTTCATGCATGCCGAGTGGTGGACGTGCGTGTCCACCTTTCGGACGTTGTAAAAGTCGCGGTGAGGCACCTTTTTGCTGTCGGCAGTTTCCTGGTATTCGTTGAGCAGCACATAGAGGTTGAACTTGCCCTCGAGGTACTGCAAACGACGGAATGCGAAGCTCTTGCTGGGGCCGTCCGAGGACGTCGCGAGTAGCTCTTCTAGGTCTAGGTAAAACTCTCTGATTGTTGGGACGTTCACAACAGGAGAGCCGGCCTGTTCTGACTCGGCGTTCTCGAATACCTGATATACTCCGCCGCCATCCATGCGGAACCCCATGTCGCTCTGGCCTGGCAAGGGCATCAGGTCTTCCATGTCAAAGTCCTCGCCGATACCCTGGCCCGGCTTGCGCTTCTTGGCAGCTGACTTGCGCGGCGTCTCAGGGCCTCTTTCCGAGTGCTTGTCGACATTCAACACCAGGCTGTTCTGCAAGCTGTTGCTGACGCTGTTGGGGGCCTGGGTCCCCCCCATGGCCTTGTCACGGTCATCGGTCCAAGCCGGCTCGGGGGGGCTGGGGTATATGTTCCAGCTTGGGTCGTCCTTGGGGTTGTCGCCCGGGCGTTGCAGAGAAAGCCGCATGTATTTGTGCCGGGCGTCGAGGATCTGGTGGATATTCTTGAAGATTGTGGTTAGCTCGGCGGTGATCTGGGGGTCAGCGTCCACGTAGGTGCTGCTGCCAATGCCCGCAACGGCTCCCGTATTCAACAACATCTGCTGCTGAACGGCAGGGTCTATCTGGACCCCAGCGCCCGAGGCCACACTATTGATTTGGGCGAAGCTACCGGCCCTCGGTAGGTTGCCCGTGGCGACGTGGCTTGGGTCCCTGTGCAACTGCTGCCCAAGCATCTGCTCTGCGACGGCGCCCGGGTCTAGGTCGGAGAGCTTCATATTGCTCAAAGAGACTGGGAGAGTGGACATGGCGCTGGACGTCAGATCAGCCGGGATCTGGGCCGATATGGGGCTGGAAGCGGCGGGCATGAGCGGGCTCCCCTGGGGTGTGGCGTGGGCGTGGGTGAATATCTGGCTGCGCGTCTCGGCCTGGCTTCGTTGGTAAAACAGCTTCGCGTCCGTCTGGGTCATCTGGCGCTCGGCGACAAGGTCGTAGTATGCTGTCTTGTGGGGGAGGTCCCTGGGGAGCATGCCCTCTTGCATGTCGGCGTCGTTCACGTTATTATCGTCGCGGATGGGGCGTGGGCCGTCGCCGGCATCCGGAGCTGAGTTGGAGCCAGGGTTTGCGGGTGACCTGAGGTGGTGGTGGTGGTGGTGGTGGTTGTGGCTATGCATATGGTTGCTGGGCAGGCCCTCGGATTCTGTATCACTCTCCCCTTGCGCTGTGTACTCTTCGTCGTCCGAATCGTGGGCCGGCAGTTGAGTCGCAGGGAGTATGGGCGACGTCGAGGATGACGAAGCATCATGCAATAGTGAGCTGTCTGGCAATCACGGGTGTTAGTGCTAGGAACTCTCACGCATGGGACGAAACATCGCTTCCGTCGGGGACTTCCAGGTCGTGCCAACTTCAAGCTCGATACTGACTGCAAGCTTCAAGCTCCAACTATCTAGGTAGGTAGGTGGGCAGAAAAGTCGGTCGGTCCCATCGCCCAATGCACCATCACCACCAAGCGGAACCAAGTGTTTGCAGCACTCACCAGCCATGATTCGAGGCCGAATTTTTAGGACAATAAGTGCCAATTGGATTATTGAATAGTTGCACGGCTGGTTTTTGGTCTCGGAGTGGCAGGTGGGATCCTAGGCCTGGCAGTTGTCGACGTTATCAACGTTGTCGAAGACGGGAAGGCCGTTGGCAGTTGGAGTCACCGCCCTACCTTAGCATCCACCCGCCAATGTGGAATTTCGGGCCTATTTTCGTCTGCACCGTACCCTCCTTACCTTAGGGGCGGCGCAGTTGGCCGGCCCCATTCGGTGACGTACCGGAACTGCCCGCTAAACGTGCGGCACCTGGGCTGCCAGGGGGCGCTGGCAGCTGGGCACCTTTGTTTCAGCGGCAGGCACATGCCGACCCTAGCCGTAGCGGCAGGGAGGACCCCTGAATTTAGGGCGCTCATGGTCAGCCAACAGTTTTTCTGGAAATCTTGAGATGGAAGTTTCGCTGATTCCTTCCACCCGCCCAGATACGGACGAAATGCGATGCTACCCCTCCCAAAATGCCCAGAGGCACCGGAAGGGTCGGGTCGATTCGTTCGGGCCAGATCAGAGAATAAAAATGCAGAGCTTGCCGTCCGCCCGCTTGTTTTCTATATGCAATAACAATATGTACAGAGAAATGCAGCCAAAGTCCCCTGTCAAGACTTTGCCGAATTTCTGTTTCTCCCCTGAGGCTTTCGTTTCCCGTCCAGGGAGTACAGCCCTCCGGCGAAAAATACAATTACAGCCCCAATGAGCGTCCCAAACGCAAGGCGGTTTCCAAAAATCCATATGCTCAAAAGCAAGCTGACTAGCTTGCGGATGTTAAGGACAATGGTCACTGTCAAGGCCGAGGAAGCCGCGGCCAAGAGGTTGACACCCCGGATGCATGCATACTGTGTCAAGACGTTGAGCACAAGATAGAACAGCTGGCTCGGGATCTGTACCCCCTCCAGGCCCTTTTGCACCGTCGGTGACAGGTTCGGATAGTCGTCGAAGGCCGGGAGCGGAAGCGCTAGCGGCGCACTGTTGGCGAGCTTCATGAACTGCCTCGACAGCGACGGCAGGAACGGCAGGAATAGAGGCAGCGACAGAAGATGCGAGTAGAAGAGATTCTCCTTCCACTGCGGCCCGTAGATCCGGTACGTCTCCTCTGTGTAGAGGCCCATGATGGCCGAAAGAACTTGCGCAACAAACAGAATGGCCAGGCCAGTCTTGAAGCTCGGGTTACCGCGAGGCGCCTCGCCGGATGATCCCTTGACACGATGGTCAGCACCTGCACATGAAAAGGGGGACCACGGCAACGTACCTTGTTCATCGAGTCGGACCAGGCCGCCGTGATGACGCCAACTGTGAGCAGAACGACTGCGGTAATCTGGATCCGAGAGTATCTCTTCCCGTACAGGCTCCCGGCAATCATCGTCGTGATGCTGCCCCCCGATCGCAGGATGATGTGCACGGGCACGGATATATCGTAGCTGAATGCATGGTTATTGAGCACGTTGATGCTAAAGAACAGGACGATGTTGACCAGCCACCGGCGGATTGGTACTCGGTTCGGCTTCAGGTAGTAGGGCGGGCGCGTCCGGTCAAACTGCGACGGCAGTCCAATCAAGGCCACGAAAAGGAACTGGACGAAGGTCAAGAGCGTTCCTAGAGGAAGTACTGCGGTCAGCGCCAGATCGTCCAGGGCCCGGCGGCCGCCCGGATGCAACGCCTTTGCATCGGGCCTTCGCCTTGTTGGAAAGACAAGAGACGGAGCCAGGGCGAAACAACAAAACATACCGCTCGCGGGCTCGACCTTGATGATTGATTCGAGGGCAAAAACGTTGGAGCAGCAGCCGCCGAATATGAGGGAGAGCATCGCGCCCACGGCCAACCACTGCGGAATGGTCTCGATGAACATGCGCCCGGCGAGGGCCATGGCGCGACTGAAGACGGGCCGGTCATCGTCAATGCCGTACATTTCGGCCTTCTCGAGCGACGGGGCGGCATTAATGACACGGGGCGACGGGGCCGACATGGTATTTGTGGCCTTTTCACCACGATCCTTGATGTTGCTGCCGAGGGCACTCTGCTGTTTGTGCAGCGCTGGACGTCGGCGAGAGGCGGTCATGGCGCGGCACGGGATGACCAAGGCATAAGGTAGAGCTGGAGTGTGCTTGGCTAGATCGCTTATTCGGGCGTTGTTGCGGGTGCGCTGGCCACAGCAGCAGGGCAGCAGTGCCGGGCCTCAAAGGCTCAAACGACGGGCGCTGGGGCGGAATGCCGGGGGTCGTCCTTCAGTGGCTTTGCCAGTGGTTGTTGTACTGGTTGCATCCACCAACGGGGGGCCTGATGGCGGGGCAGGGCAGGCAGTGGAAGCAGGGCAACCGGGCTTCAGCCTAGGCGCAAGTGCAATGGAGGCGACTGGGAGCCTAGACTCGAGACGTCTTTTGGGGGGGGGGGGGGTGGCAGGAGCTGCGAATCAAAGAGCAAAAAACACGCGGAAGTGGGCAGATCTAGGTTGGAAGAAAAAGATGCAGTCGACTCCCTGCAGGTCGGCGATTGTACGGCATAAGAGCGCCAATCATTCCCTGTTATGGGCACGTTCTTTGAACAGCTATTGCCCATCCCCATCAGCATTTCTTCCCTCTGCCGCGGAGTCCAACGTTGCTTTCTCTGGAAAGCTCCATCTGGCCACAAGGGTGGGACCTGAGAATGGACCGAGTCCCAGTCGCAACCTTAGCACAGCTTCTGGCCACTAGAATCGCAGCGCCCTATGGTGGCTTGAAATTTGCCGATCCGGGAATTGCACCGTCCAGGCCGACTAAGGTTGTGGTGGTGGGGGTGCCCCGGCTATCTGATCAGATCTTGCCTGCCTGCATGCCCAGATTTTTGAAGCCGGCAGTTGGGCTCTCCAAAATGAAAGAGGCTAGAAAGCTGCCTTTTATCCAGGAACGTGGGATCTCATGCTGTAAGTGGCTTGATGGTGAAGGGTGACGAACAAGGATCGAGGTTTATTCCGCCTTGCTTCCCAGGTCATAACTGTCGAGTGGTTAATTTTGTCAGCAACTAGGGCGGGAGACATGGTCATCGTAGCTGATGAGGCAACATCCATGCATGTTCCATATTCTGAACGCAGTTCCTAAAGGGCGTATTATAAGCTGAGACACAAACGACCGGGAATATTGGCCTTTGAAGGAATTGCTGGGTTGTAATTGTCCTCTAGTCAATGCCTACCAACAGAGCATGAGATAAGGTATTCAAAGTTTAACATCCATCTCAACCTGAGCGTGTAAGCTGGCAACAGAGAGTCCGAGCTGGTCTAGGCCAAGTCTAGTGTGACATAACCCTAACCCCGACGGCCACCTCCAGTCAGCGTAAGTACACATCCAGGACAGGCAATCAGGGCAATCATCCCAACGGCCCCGTCCCAGCCCTCATCAGCAACGCCGTGCACAAATGAGATGCTCAAGACGGCACTGCCACGAGCCCCTTGAATCATCTACACATTGGTGAAGCTGGAAACGAATAGAAAATAACGCACCACCAACGCAACTAGCAATACGACACGGCAGTCCATCCGTGTCGCCTTCCTCATCCAGTGCTCACACGCTTCCGTCAGCCTTCTCAGTCGGTGTGTGTAAGGTGTGAGATGAAGTCGTCGCCAACATGTGCGTTTTGTGCCCGGCCCTCTCACTCTGCTGCCGGACTCTGCTGAAACTAAGAGTGTGACCCAGGACCGTATTTGCCCTTATCATCATCAACAAGGCTGGAGGCCTGATCTACAACAAGACGTTCTACGAGGCCGGGCTGAACAAGATCAGCACCAATGACTACCTCGTCCTCGCAGGGACCTTTCACGGGTAAGGGGCGACGGATGCTTTTTTTTGTTTGCATTCATACCAATCCCAAACCCAACCCCAACCTAACCCCCCCTTGGATATGAATGAACTCCATCTATAGCTCGTTTCGTTGTTGTGCTCACCAACGTGCGCCATACGCATTATCCACCCCACCGTACAGAGTCCACGCCATCACATCGCGACTAAACCCCGTCAAGAACCCGGCCAACCGGGCCTCTGCCTCGGCGGGCGGCATGTTGACGCGGCCCGACCCGCCGTCGGGCCTCGAGGTGCTCGAGTCGGAGAACTTCCGGCTGCAGTGCTTCACCACGCTGACGGGCGTCAAGTTCCTGCTCTTCACCGACACCACGCAGGCCAACGTCGACCAGACTATCAGGCGCGTCTACGACATGTACTCGGACTACGTCATGAAGAACCCCTTCTACCAGCTCGAGATGCCCATCCGCTGCGACATGTACGACCGGAAGCTCTTGTCGTACATCCGGGAGATCAACAATAGGTAACTGATCAGGAGCGGGTCCTCTAGGAGGGGAGGGCGGCTTGGAGCAGATGTCTTTACGAGCAGGCATCATCAAATACCTTGGGAATTACTTGGCGTTTAGGGAAATGTCGTGGGAAATGTGTCGTGGAGTTCTCGGTGGAAGCGAGCTTTTCATGTGGTTTGGCCAGAAAAGCTTACCGCTCCCGTTCCAAGTTAATGCCAAGCAAATTCTATTCTACAATGAGTCCAAGGGGAGGACCGGACGCCGCTGAGAAAACCTCGCGCAATAAGCAAAACAAATCATGAGGTATCCATCTTATCGTCGTCCTTGCTGCTGCCGCTGTCCTTCTCGTCGCCTTTGCTCCCGCTCGGCTCGCCGTCCTTGCCTAGCAGCGGCTCTGACTCGCCCTCTTCCTCCTTGACACTCTCCAGGCCTGACGCCTTCTTCGCCGCTTCCGCCTCCTCGCGATCCCGCTTCTCCTGCCGTAGCTTCTCCTCCTCCATGCTCATGCGCAGCGCCAGGGCAAGTTCCGGATCGATGGACGGGTCGATGCCGAACGGGAAGTCCTCGGACGAGGCGCCGCCCGCGGCATCGCCACCGGCGCCGCCTCCCGCACCGTCGCTGCTGCTGGCATGCTCGCCCAGCAGGATCGACGACGAGATAAGCTGGTCGCTAAGTAGCTTACCGTTGGGCGGAAAGACGACGAGGTTCGACCCTTCGCTGTTGCCCTTGACCTCGCGGTTGAACGCCTCGAGCTTCTGGTGGTTCTCATCGTCGATGTCGCCAAAGAGCACAAAGTCGACGTTGTTGTTATTCTTCTTCATTTTCTTTGCCAGCTTGACCAGGTCGCCCTCAACCTCCTCGATAGGCGAGCAGACGAAGACAATGATGCGTGCCCGTTGCGAGGTGTTCTGCCTGTGTTTGAGCGCCAACTAAAGTCCATGTCACATATGTGTCAGCCGCCGAGCCTATAGCCTTCTATACTGTGTGCAGCTGTATTTGCAGCCCCTCTATGTCTCCATTGTAGGGCAACCTTTGAACTTACGCCTGCTACTTGAATGCCTGTCGCAAGGTGCGCAGAGCCGCGGATCTTCTTCTTAGTTCGGTGCAGGCCGTCCAGAATCTTGCCCTGGTCCGTCGTGAGCGTCACTAGTACCTCGGGGCCCTTGCCGCCCATGCTCATCAGGCCGACCGAGGACTCGGGGTTGCCTTGTACAACATTTTGGAAGATGATGTTGACTGCGTCGGCCTGGGCGTCGAAGCGCGTGGGTGTGTAGTCGCCGTTCCGGCTGCTTTCGCTATTATCCACCACGATCATTACCGCCTCGAGACCCATCTTAATAGACTCGTTGTCGAGCAACAATAAAAATCGATGGCAGCTGTTTATACGATTCAAAAACTCGGGTCGGGGCTGTCTTGTATGTTTCGGTTCGCTGTGGAATTTCGAGGTGGGTTATGTTGAGATAGAGGTTGGCGATTTGGAGGCACGAGTGATGCTGGGAAGCAGCAGGAGCTCTGCGTAAGGCGGTTCAGCCTGGAGTAACGAGGCCCAGCAGCCAAAGTAGCCTGCACTTACACGCCCGTGCGCTCCGCCGCCAATAACGAGGTACCCGCTACGTGGGTTGATTTGCCAAGCCTTTTCCAGCCCGCACGGGGAGCCGTGTCCCCAACACCTGGCTGAGAAGCTCTCAGTGGTCCGAGCTTTTTTTTTGTTTACTCTCCAAAACACTGGCCATTCACGTCGCAGCGCCAGCGTCCCACGGCACCCCTTCTAGCGAACTTCAAACAGTAAACCGCTCCGAAGCAAGACCTCAACAACAAACGACAACAACAACCGCCGTGGCCTTTCGCAACAACCAATCCTTAGAAACCTCGCCCTTTTTTACGACGATCAACCCATTTATCAACGAGAATGCCTCCCGCGCGCGGCAGAAAGCGAAAGTCGAACCAATCCACGGTTTCGAACGATGACGAGCACTACCAGCAGAACGCGCCCGTCATGGCAACAAGTCCGCAGAAAATTCCGACAAAGACAGGGAGCCCCAGCGCAGCAGACCAGCGCCATCAGGAGAGTCCGGCCAAGAAGAGAAAGCTGAACAGCAGCATCACGCTTGCGCAGAAGCAGGCGCTGATTGACAACTTGCAGCTTGAGAGTGAGTTCACCCAGCCCAATTCACACAGAACCCTACATATATCCCATTACCTCTAGAAGCCCCGCAAAAGCCTTTATACTGCCGTTTCCTCGAGAGAGCGCGACGCTAATTTATATTTCTAGTAACGGAACGGGCCCGGAAGCTGCGAGCAAACTACAACATCCACGCACAGAGTCTGCGGACGCGGATTGAGATTCGCGTCAACCGCATCCCGCTCTCGCTGCGCAAGGTCAAAATGGGCGAGCTGCTGCAGAAATTCTCAGCCGAGCAGCAGCAGCAGCATCAGCAGCAGCAAGCGCAACGGACAGCAGTAGTTGCTGCTGCCAATGCTGCAACCAGGGGCCCTCCGGTGCCCGCGAAAGACGCCGTGACCAAACGCCCTCCCCTGGCTAGCGCGCCCATGTTCGCCTCTGGATCTGTGTCTCCGATGCGGCCAGCTAAGAGACTGAGGTTTGTGCACTATCCCCCAATTCTCACCCACGCCACTTGACGAGATCTCTGTACTGACCAGGCGTTCCATTTCACAGCCATGAGATATCTGGCGGTGGCGACAAGGAGAACGACTTTGAGCGCAACATTGAGAATCCAAAGAAGAAGACGCGCGCCGGCCCGGCCACGGAGCTCGTGCGCAATCCGGGGCAGGTGCTGTCGCCGACGTCGTCGAACTCGCGGATCCAGCGCGGTGGTGAGCGGGCCCAGCCTCCACCTCCGACGCCAGGTGGGCGGTCGGGCATTGCGCGCCCCGTGTCGCCAACCAAGATGGGCGGCACGAGCCTACTGAGCAACATGGTAGAGAAGTCGCGTTCGACGCGCGCTGCGGCCACGGCACGCAAGACGACAACGTCGACCACAGCGAGCTCCGCTAACGGCGGCGGAGCCACGACGACGATGACGACGACGACGACGCGAACGAGGAGGGGAGCCACAGCAGCTGCGCCCCCACCGCCCTCGAGGCCTGCAACGCGGACGGCGCAGAGAGTTAGTGCCACCAGCGAGTCCAGCGACGGCAGCACCTCGACCGTGGTGAGGAAGCGGCCAGCCACGGCCATGGCAACACACAAGGCTGCGGCGCCAGCCCCCGCTCCCGCCAAGCGCACTGTTATGGGCACGATCAAGAAGGGAGTCGCGGCCGGCACGAGCAGGAAGGCCCCCGCGAGCAAGACTGCCCCGCCAGCGGCTTCAACGGCTGGTACTGGAAGAGTTTTGAGGAAGCGAGCTTGATGGCGCCCCGTCCTTCGGTAGTTTGCATGAGATTAGGGGCGGTTGCCACTGGCGTTTGGGAAAGCATTACATATCGATTGTCAGAGTGAGTGATTGACGCATGGTTTATGACGGATTTTCCATCTCAGTGTCTTGTCTGGATTATAGTTTCGGCGGAGTCTGTTTTTTTAGAGCTGGCAAATAGGTTTCGTTCTCGAGTCATAATGTCATCGGACAGGTAGTACGTCTACCTACGGGATACGGTGGCCGTTTCGGCACACACAATTGGAGTTATTGATATTCCTGTCTTGCGCTGTTGGTACCGATGGTAACTCTCAAGTCTGTTGTCAAACACCGATCCCTTCTCCCCCCGCGTGTGGTCTCGCCGGAGCGTACCTAGCCAGCGCCGGGGCCGGCGGCCTTCTTTTTCTTGTCCTCGACGAGCTCAATATTGTCCTCGGGGATGTCCTTGTACTTCTCTAGCAGGAACTCCTCGATCTCGCCGCTGACGTCGCCCTGCACGACGATCTCCTCGCCGCCGCTCGGCACCTTGGTCACGGACGAGCCCGTGGCGAACTTCTTGCCAAAGTCCTTGGACACCTTTTTGAGGTCGAGCCCGAACGCCTCGAGCCCCGACACGGCCGTCACGTACTTGCGCTTGTTGCGCTCGATGCGCTTGATCGTCACCACGCTGTTCGCTAGCCGGTCAGCGTGCTTCTGCTCCGCCGCCTCCGCCTTTGCCGCCTTCTTCTTGGCGTCCTTGGCCGCCCGCTCCTGCGCCTCCAGCGAGAGGGAGGCTGTCGCGGCTTCTAGGACTTCTGTAACGGTGGGCAAACAGGCGTCCCCCGTCAGCGGTTAGCGAGATGGGATAATAATAATGCATGGGAAAAGAGACTCAGGGGGGGGCAGTTTATGCTATTGGGAGTGGATGGGCTTTTGTTTCCTTTGGGTCTTGATTGTTGCATATTGGGGGTAAAGGGGTGGTGGCTGAGGTGAGTGGTCGGACGGACGGAGAGCATGACGAACCTGGCGACCATATCCTGGCGTACATGTCCAGGTGCTTCTTCTCGAGCCACTCCTGGCACTTCTTGACTGTGCCGCCATATTCGCAGTACTATACCAGATGCCGGCGAAATACCGAGTAATAAGCGGGATTGCTCAAGTTGTTTCGTGGGGATTGGAGGGGGTGTAGCAGCAACGGCGTTGGGAAAGCGTACCTCAGGTGGCAACGTGCACACTAGACGAAAGGAGGGAAGGGAGGTTGCATGTCAGTACCTATTGGCGGGAACAAGCTTTTGAAAAGGGGTACGGAAAAGGGGTAGAGGGGGAAAGAGGATAGATAGATAATCGCGTCAAGGGGGTTCGTGTTTACCACCGCAGTAAGTGACGTGACGGGCGACCGGGGCGGCGGGGGCCGCGGCGGCGGGCTGCTGCTCAGCCATGACGAAAGCTGTGTGTCGCTCGCTCGGCCTCGAGAGCCGGAAACAACGGAGGTCGCCGGAGGTCGTGTGACTGGGGCGGCGGTAGCAGTCGCGATGTGGCTGTGATATTGGTGCAAAGGGTGCTGTGGCGGGCTGTCACAGGCGCGTGGTTAAGCGTGTGTGCCCTACGCGTCGTCGTGGCTAAGGTAGATCCTGGTGCAGCAATCTTGTCTGGTACGTGTTCGTCGTCTTGGTGAAGTGCAGCAATAGAGCCCAGTTCGTTCTGCCCCTCCTCTCCTCGCGTATTGGATTGATTGCGGGGTACCTTTTTTTCCCCGGCGCGGCGGGGCACAAAAAGGCCAAGCTTTCTTGCACGCAGAACGGAAGGCTTTGTTGTTGGCCAATCATGTGCGATCTAGCAAGGGAGCAGAGACCCACAGCAACGGGCGGCTCGCCTTGCTCACGTCCCTGCGCGAGCTGCTGCTGCTTCCTACGGTCTCACGCTCCAAGGCCTTGAGTGCCACACTGGCACACTGCGTTCCATGCCGTGACGGGACCTGGGTCGTCACAAGCGCCCACCTATGTCGCCTCGTCCTTTCAGCGCAGTTCCTGCCTTTACTGTATGGATGTCTCCACACGCTCTCCAGTTCAGCCAAATATTTGCTGCGGCTGCGCATTGAATATCAGATTATCATCACGAGTGCCCTGCCATCGAGCGTCATCCAAGTCATCATCGCAATTTGCCTCCTGCAAGCTGCAAAATGCGAGGCTCGACGGGGGCGGTTGCAGCCCTTGTTTGTGCTAATGGCCGAATGCTTCGCGCCGATGGCCAGCTTTCCATGTATTTGACTTGTGTGGGTTTCCAGAAGAATTGGGGCTTGCACCCTAAAGCAAAGCAGCATTTGCGAATTATTATCCGCCCATGAAATGAAGCCATTTAACCGTCTGCAAAACCTCTTGGTCGACGGCTACCTGGGGGCGAGTTGGTGATCACCGAGACGGACTCGCCTTTTGAAGGAAGCAGCTCGCGGCTAACTTGCAGACTTCTCTGGCTGCGCCGTATCGGCTATGCAGATCTACATGACACAATCGCCAACTCGGCTCTTACCGGCCGAAAGAGGACCAGTGAATGGCCGGATATGGAAAGCCAGTTCCTCAAGGAAGAACAGTCAGCACATGGGATCATTGGCATGGCTTTTGCTGTGCCGGTGCCCTGAATGACAGGAGGACGGATGGACCGTTGTGGTGGGATCGATGGCGGCTCATATGCTGTGTACTGTGAAGGGAGTGGATGGCGGTTCAAGGCGTGGTTAACCAGCGGCACAGGCTTGGCATATGGCATGTTCGGATTCTCGATGCTCGATCTCGATATCCGTACGGAACTGCACATACATTCTTGCAACTGTTACAACTGGGCTGGGCTGGACTCTGGGGTAGCATGGCAGGCAACTCAAACTCCCGAGCCCAGTTCCCGGTTCAGCATCATCTCGCACGTACGCACGCACCGTCCCGTTCGTTCTCTGCACGGCGCGTCTCGAAGTGGCGCTGCAGAAGTGAGGTAGGTGGTCTGGGCCTGCGACGCTGCAGATTTCTTCTCGCGCGCTGTCTTGCCCCAGGACTCGTCAAGAGTGGCTTTCGCAATGCGCGCATCATTCCTCTTGGCCAGGTCGACGGGTCCCAGCTCCCCGAGTTATGTTATGTACCTACCCCCGTGCAGGTGTTGCACACTACTACTAGAGCTAAGAAGATGGGATGTGGCCTGGGCTCGCCAATGAGGTGGCACAGCCGCCCTGAGGCTTTAAGCGCCCGTCCGACCTCTGGCGTGGTACCGGGCCGCCCCATTGGCTGAGCTCTCTTGCAAGTTGCAGTAACTTGTTCCCTCGCCCACGCCAGGGACGACATTGGCGCGCGCCTTACATACGCATGGCATATATCGATTCGCTGGCTCCAGGCCGGTACCGGGTCTGGCGCGCCCTGATTCGCCTGCCCCGTTAAACCTTCCCCCCTTTCGCTCTCCTTCGAGTCTTGGGCTCGCTAGATCCGACGACGACTGGCCTGTGGATGGTGCCCAACCCAATGGGCCCGCCTCGGCCGGCCACTGCTTCCACCAGGCTTGCAGGGCCCCCGCTGCAACGCGAGACCCGACTTGGGAAGCTTGGTCCAGCCTGCCGCCTGCGCTGCTCCGGACGTGGCCACCACTCCCTGTCCGCTCGTCGACGTCGGCGGGAAAGCGAACGCCATATGGCTCGGCGTCGGTCGCGTGCGTGCGTGCGTGCTACTGCTTAGAGCCTTAGACTGCCCGTTAGGCGCTCAGCTCTGGTAGGAAATGCCCCCCCATGGCCCATTGCGTGTAGTAGGATGACTGGCGTCTCCTCTGCCCCTCCCTGTCTCGATTCCTTCCTTTCAGGTTTATAATACATGGCATCCCCGGTCACCTGCGAAGGTGCCGTCTAGTTGCCCTCCACTTCCTTTCTCCACGCCTCTTGCGCACGTTAAACAATAGTGCTTCGTTGATCGAAGCTGGTCCCTCGTTGACCATCCCCTTTTTTCATTAGTGCTTGTCGTATTGCCCCGACGCTGGTCGTCTCCCACATCGCCTAATCAGGCCTATTCCATGTTTGTGTGACCCAACAGCCGCCCTATCGATATTCCTTTCAAAATCCCGCCGAACAACAAACAAGCTTCCGCCTTGACAATGTCGGACTTCGTGCTATTGCCCCGAACATTTCGCCCGCCATCCCCGCAGGGTCGGAGGAGGTTGGGTCGGACCCTTAATCCCATAATGGAGGAGCCTGAGCAAACAAAAGAGGCACTCGCCGCCGGTGAGAGGAGGAGGAGGCTCCGGCAGCCGACTGAAAAGATCGAGCAGTGGCTCTCCCCCCTGAGTGACCACTTCCCGACTCCGCGCGGCCTACACTTCCTCGCCGCCCCGGTCGTGCCGGCCACGCCGTCGTACCAGTCGAGTGAAGGCGAGGTCGACCTCGACCTCGACGACACGAGCTCCGAGACCTCCTCGTCCAACCCGTCCAGTAAGATGTGGAACAACCGAGGAAGCATCGGCACTGATGTTACCGAGTTTGACGACCTCTACGACGTTTCCGACGACGAGATCCACCGCAAGGAGAGGCTTATGGCCAACGGCATTGGCCGCCAGGGGAGTGCAAAGAGCTCGAGGAGTAGTCTCAGGACGTCCTCGCGGTCCTCGACCGGCTCGCGCCGAGGCCTGGCTCCTCTCGTGATCCCCTCCGACGCCGCCCTCGTCGCCGCCGCCAAGAAGGCCCTGGCCTCGCCCATCGCGCCAACACCAACTTCGGCCGTCCCCATGTCTCCCGCAATCATGTCCCTCATGGAGCTACGCCAGTCGCTCGAAGTTCCCCACATGTCGGCACCGCCGTCCCTCGACGGGAGCATGAACTCGGAGGAGCTGGCGCTCATGTCGGCACCTCCCACTCCCCTAATCGGCGCCCAAGACAACGTCGACGAGGAGTGGTCCGGAGTCCGCCTCCAGCCCGGTGCCCTCGAGACGCTGCATGCTCTGTCCGGCAGCGACACCGAATACGAGGAGTCCCCCACCACCCAGGTCATCGAAGTTCCCCAGGAGATGTCCGAGATGCGCCAGACCCAGCAGCTTCCGCGCTTGATGACGGGCATCAACAGGGCCCCCTCGGCCCACCGCCAATCCCTCGCCGAGCTGAGCAAGCTCGACATCCCGTCTCCCGGCGGCTTCTTTGCCGACCTCTCGTCCGCCACCCGCCGGACCTGGCACATGGGCGTCGCCAGCCCCGTTTCCAACCCACCCACCTCGACCACGGCCGAGAACTTCTACAAGAGCCCCTGGGCCCGAAATGGCGAGAAGATCCCGCCTCCGCCGCCCCGTCCATTGCACCTTGACAGCCAGCCCGCGGCTATTGTCGAGCGCGTCGTCGAGGTTCCCGAAGGGGTCAACCCTGAAGATCTCCCCACCGCGATCCGACTTGAGGAGACCCCAAGGCCCGTCACCGCCCGCAGAGTCCCGCCCACTCCCGACTTTGTCGTGCCCACGCCCATCACCGAGGAGTCTGCTTCCTCTCCGGTCGATGCCACCGAGATCGTAGTCGAGGATCTGTTGCCGCTGCCTCAGTCCGAGAATGCCCAAAGCCACGAGGACCGCACCGAGATGTGGTTGGCTGCCCAGCGCGCCTACCTCCAGGGCGTCGTCGGCTTTTCAGACGACGCCGAGCCCGTCGAGGCGGCCAAGGCTGAGGAGTCCGAGGTCGACGAGAAGGCCCAGGTCGCCGCCAAGGAGGTGGCTACCGAGTCCGAGTTGAAGAAGAAGTCTGTCCGCTTCTCCGAGGCCGTGCTCTCCAAGGAGAACCTTCCGCGCAGCCTTCCGTCCAAGCTCCTGCGCCAGGAGTCTGCCTATTACCGTGCCTTCACCGATGCCTCTGTGAAGTCGTGCCCCACCGACGTCTTCGTCCACCAGCAGCCCCGCTTCGAGGTGCTCCAGTCGCAGCGCGTCTCTCTCAAGGACAGCCACCGCAACCAGCTGCTCGGCAAGTACCAGCTGTCTGTGGTGCCGCAGTCGTCCAAGAAGCGCATGAGCGCCAACGTGGCCCGCGGTGACGACATCATCGCCGAGGACCCGGACAAGCTCCGCGCCGAGAAGGAGGCCGAGGCGCTCGGTCAGATGAACATGCCCACGTGGCACGTCGCCGCCACCAAGATGCTCAACGGTGGCCGCCTCATCGCCGCCCCCGTGGCCAAGCGCCTGGCTCGCCAGAGCCGCATGGCACCCGGCCCCGACGGCCTCAGCAGTGACCGCGCGCGCATCCTCGACCTCGGCGGCCAGGGCGCGTGCGACTGGGCCTGGGCCACGGCCATGCAGTACCCCAACACCAAGATCTACACTGTCACCACCAAGGCCATCCGCCAGCTCAGCAACAGCAACATCCGCGGGCCCTCCAACCACCGCCAGGTGGCTGTCGAGCGCCTCACCAAGCTTCCCTTTGCCGACGACCAGTTTGATCTCGTGTCGGCGCGTGAGCTGCACGCCGTGCTCAAGCTCTTCGGCGAGAACGGCACTGACGAGTGGGACCTCTGCCTCAAGGAGTGCATGCGCGTGCTCAAGCCCGGTGGCTACCTCGAGTTCAGCGTGCTCGACTCGGACATCATGAACGCCGGCCCCCTCGGCAACGCCAAGGCGGTCGAGTTCGGCTTCGCGCTCCAGACTCTGGGCTACGACGCCAATCCCACCCGCAGCTTCATCAGCCGCCTCGAGCGCGCCGGCTTCGACGACGTCCGCCGCGCCTGGATGTGCCTGCCGGTCGGCCCCAAGCCTGCCGCGCCCAAGGCGCCTGCCGCCGACCGCGACAGCACCGTGACGGTCCCCGGCAAGACGCTCGAGCTCGAGGCCATCGTGTCCGGGTCCACCGACAACGTGGCGGCTGTCACAGGCATCGCCGCCGGCTGGAGCTGGGAGCGCTGGCTTCTCCGCGCCGAGATGGAGAAGGCCGCCGGCGACCTCCGCCTGTCCGACACCGTCACCCCCGGCGAGGCCATGCGCGAAGCCGGCAAGATGATCGCCGACGTACACGCCGTCGTCGAGGAGGGCCGCGCCGTCGGCTCCGCCTTCCGCATGCTCCGCGGCTACGCCCGCAAGCCCAGACCCACCACCCTCGACAGCGGCATCATCACCATGGTCTTGGATATGGAAACCATCTAATTGGGACAAAGCACACCCCCATGCTTCTCTTCTCTCTCTCCTTTGTCTCCTCTCTCTCGTCCCGGCGACGGTGTTGTCGGTGGTTGGCGGTCTTCACACATTGGCAAGATAAAAAAGACTGTAATAGGCCGCCGGTTGGGCGTGTATGTGTTTACCACTTCTTGTATTTGATGGGGATGGTTGGCAGGGGCAGTTTGCGGCTTGCTAGCTAGCTAGCTGGTGTATTGTGGTGGTGGTGGCGGCGATGGTGGTGATGATGGTGGTGATGATGGTGTTTCTCCCTCCCTCCCGCAAAAGAGTCCGACCTTCTTCCTCTTCTTCGATCTATACCTTTTTATCATATACCACACCTTTGTAAATTCTAAGAACACACGTCGATTATCTTTTTATATCAATAACATGGATTGATACCCCTCACTCACTCACCTTTGATCGCAGACCGTAATCATTTGGTCTCTTGTTGGACTCGTTATTTGTGTTTTGATGAGTGAGTAATAAATGTTATGTTATGTTGTATTATCAGGTACTGCATGTACGTATATGTGTGCGTGGTACAGAGCAAGATCGGGAGTTATGCTACTATGCAGGGCTGGCGGGCCTAACGTTATGAAAAAATAGGGGAGTTGTGGGTGGGGGCTGTTTACATCGTTCTGTTTGTTGTCCGTTTCAATTCAACAACGGCGGAGGATTCTGGGAATTGATTCCCGTGTCAAGATTTCAGAGCTCACCACATCATTGTTTTGTTGCCATCTCAACTCAACTCACCTAACCTCGCCTTACCTCACCTTACCTCATTTCACTTCACCTCACCTCATTTTACCTCAAATAGCCAGTCCATCTACATGTAGACCAACGGAGATTGTTCCCTTTCTTTTCTATCAGAGAGTCATTTTGATTTCGTCTTTCATTTTTATTCTTCATTCACTTTCCTTTTTTTGGGAGCCCCATATACCAATTGATCAATTACTGACCACCAGCGGCGCCAGCTTGAGAAGATTGTGAAGAGAAAAATCAAACGCTGAGCTCGGCGGTGACGGCCTTGTCGACGACGGCGCGGTACGGGCTGATCTTTTGCTCGAGCACGCCGCCGGGCCCGCAGAAGCGGTCGACAATGTCGACGCTGCGGCCAATGTACAGGTCGGGGCGCAGCATGTCGTCGAGTTCGGGCAGGATGGGCGCGAAGAAGGGGGTGGCGCGGATGCGGTCGACGAGGTCGTTGGGCTTGCCCTCGTTCTTGACGACGCTGCCGGCCTGGTGCGACAGCACGCGGATCTGCTCGTGGGCCTCCTGGCGCGACTCGCCCTTGGCCACGAGCTTCATGATGATGCTCTCGGTGATCATGAAGGGCAGCTCCTGCTGCACGCGCGCCTCGATCACTTTCGGGTACACGACGAGCCCGTTAGTGATGTTGTCGAGCCCCATGAGGATGGCGTCGGCCAGCAGGAACGTCGACGGGATGTCGATGCGCCGGATCGCGCTGTCGTCCAGGGTCCGCTCCATCCACTGGTCCGACAGCGTGTTGGCGAAGCTCGCCGGCTTGGACATGAGCTCGCGCGCCAGACTGTACATGCGCTCCGACCGCATCGGGTTGCGCTTGTACGCCTGGTTGTGCGGAGAGTGGATAAATATTAGCGTGAGATATGGATGGGGGGTCAGTTCGTTTGTTACGCACCATTGCAGACGAGCCGATCTGGTCCTTCTCAAACGGCTCCTCGAGCTCCTTCCACGTGGCGAGGTGGCGGATGTCGCCGCAAATTTTTTGCGTGGTGGCGCCGAGGCCGGTGATGGCGTTGGCGATGATCAGGTCGACCTTGCGCGTGTACGTCTGGGTCGACACGTCGTAGCAGCCCGCGAAGCCGGCCTTCCTGCAGACGAGCTTGTTGAGCTGGTCGCACTTGGCAGCGTCGCCGTTGAAGATTTCCAGGAAGGACGCCTGCGTTCCCGTGGTTCCCTGCGCGCCTGTTTGCCGAGAGGTGGCGTTAGTCGTGATTACCTTGCCAGATACACCAGCGGCTCGGAGAGCTAGGTGGTTTTGATTACATCTTCAGCCCAAAGTAGAATTCTGAGAATCATACCTCGGAACTTGAGCTCGCGGCGAACGTGCTCGATGCTCTCCAAATCAAACATGAGATCCTGCGCCCACTGGGCGGCGCGTTTTCCGACCGTGATGAGCTGCGCTAATGAATCATTGGGCAGAGCGCTCACATATTAGCTACTGTTTTCTCATGAGTCGAGATGATTCTCTGTTGAAAAACGGAAATCAGTTAAGCCACTTACCTGGCTGAAGATGGGTGTAAGCCAGGGTGGGCAGGGCCTTCCACTCGACGGCGAACTTGGCTAGGTTGTCAAGGACCTTGGCTAGCTTGGGGAGGAGCAGATCCATTGCGTCGCGCATAAGGATTAGCTCGGCGTTGTCGGTGACATAGCAGCTCGTAGCCTTGGTGGTTTTGGGGACTCTGTTAGCAGGTTCTCTGGATGATCCCGTGATGGCTAATAACTAACTCCGTAGTGGATGATGCCGGCAGCTTTGGGGGCGACGGCGCCAAAGGCGTGGACGTGGGCCATGACGTCGTGGCGGCGCTTCTTCTCCTCGACACGGGCGACCTCGAAGTCGGCGTCGGTGAGGACGAGGTGGGCGCGCATCTGGTCGAGCGCGTCGGGGGTGACGGCGCAGATGCCCAGCTCGCTCTCGGCCTCGGCCAGGTAGAGCCACAGCTTGCGCCACGTCGAGTGGCGCGACCGCTGGCTGAAGAGCCGCGACATCTCGGGGCTGCAGTACCGCGCCGTGAGCGACGTCTGGTAGGCATCGAAGACGGACGAGCCCGCCTTGATCTTGAGCTGCTCGAGCTGCTGCTGCAGCTCCCGGATCTGCGCCTCCATGTTTGGCGTGTCGGCCATGTTGATTACTAGGCAAATATCTTGCGTGGTGGCCAAAAGACGGCTGTTAGTCGCTGGCTTTACTCTTTGGAGACATTTATGGACGGTTGGCAGGGGTTCTATACTCAAACTAGGACTGGGCACAAGGGTTGGCCGGGCTGGTTTAAGGGGGCGACTATACCAAATTATCCCACTTGGTGAGGGTGAGCGAATTTTTTCTCTTTCGTGGTCGGGACGCACCGGGCAATCGGCAGTGGGCACACTGTGGGGCCCCACTTAAGGTGAGCTGATACACTCCATCCGTATTGATTCCGAGTCTGAACGCCCCACGACACACATCATACGTGGGTCACACGGTTGATGCATGGGAGAAACTCTATCGACTAGACTCTCTTAGCTAAGACAAACACTTTGATTTGCGTCACTCTATCATCTAGTCTTTATACGGCAGGAACGAGTCGAGCCTCTGCGCGCCGCAGCGCAGGTGCCCTGCATAATGCATTTTCAAAATTATCGTACAGATGAGACTCTGGTTAAGTAGGCTAGACTGGAGAGGAACCAAGACTCTGTCATAAATGTTTAGGATTGTGGGATCTTGGCAGAGGAATATCCCTAAAAAAAACCCCCCATGAAGTGACCGCTATTTATTCTCTTACTTATCAACCCCCCTATCCGCAATTAGGCATGCAAACAGATCTAAGCCAGATCAAGCCCACGGTGCCTGCCTGCTCGCCTTGCGGCTTTGGACAACCCTTATTGGTCGACGGGCTCTGCCCTCCTTCGCTTTCGGAAAGCTGAATCAAGAGTCGCTTTCAAATTCCTCGTGAGCATCAACATAGCATATCACTTCACTTCGCCGAATGCACACCACACGATACATCTTCAGGCCATAAGTGTGAGAGAGGGCATGTCCATCATTCGCAAACAACATCCACAGCACGCGTCGCTTGCTGCCATCTCGCGACGCAGACGATTCGCCGTCTACCCTACCAGCCAGCCAGCCAGCCAACCACCCTCGCGAATATAGAGCAGACCATTTCAAAGCCCCAAAGTTCAAACGCCCAGGACAAGGAGCCTGACTTTCTAACTGCCTTGTTTATCGCTTGTGCCCCACTCATTGCCCTCTTTCCCCGTTTCTGCCTCCCAGGTGGCTAAACAACGACGGCTCGAAGCAGCGATGCCTCCGCCGCCTGCCAGTCGAACCAAAGTAAAACTGTAAACTGTAAACTGTAAACTGTAAACCCACGCAAGCGGTCTCATTCCATGGTCGTTCGTCTACGAAATCAAACTCAACGATGCCGGCTCAAAAAAGTAGCAGCTACGAGAGCACGTATCCAAAAAGAATTTGAATAAAAAAAACCCTCCCAAAAATAATATGAAAGAGAAACGAAAGTTATAAAGAAAACCTATATACGTGAAAGATATGCGAATTTAAACCTCTTTAGAACGTTTGTTAGTATTGCTTAGTCCGTATCCATGCCGTCCGGCGGCACGGGCGAACCCAGAGTCACCTCGGGACTTCGGCGGACCCGCAGGTCATGGTAGGTTTCCTCCTCTCGGCTTGGGTTTCGGGACCCATGTTGTGCTGTCTCGTAGTCCTCAATGTCCATCGCTTCTTCACGAGGTCCGAGCGCAACTTGTATTTCGAGCACGTCTTCGGCTTCTAGTTGACGCTCGGTCACCTGATCCTTGGCAGAGCCTGACATTGGCGCGGCCTGCACCTCTCCCCGAGGTTCTTGGTCTTTTTCTTCTCTTCCACCGTCCGTCTGCATGGCTTCTCTCTCATCGGCGCGATTTGCCGCCTCGTGATACTGGCGCTCCTCGTACGAGCTGTGCCCGCCGTGACCGTCTCCCCTGTGGTCCTGCTCCATGTCGGTATCCTGATATTGGGCCTGCGGCTGCGTGTCAATGTCTGGCTCTTTGCCCTTGTCTGTGCTCGCCGTCGTGGGCGTCCTGGTCACAGAATCTTTCCCAAAAATCGCGCTCCCGCTTCCGCTACCTGCCGTCTTTGGCGTCGATGGCACAATAACATTGAGAACACAGTCGTCCAAGTGCTCGTAGAACTCTTGCGCAGTCGCAAACTGGCTCTGGCAGATGCTGCACCTGGCTCCGACACCACCAACACGTCCTGCCCCAGTTGTCAGGATCAGCTTTCTGCTGTTTGGCGGTGTCTGCTCGACATTGTGCACGGCCGTCAGGTGGCGCTTAAACACGTCGGCCCGGTTGAATGCCTTTTCGTATGGCGTTCCGACCCCCGCACAGAACGGGCACACCATTGTGCCCTTGTAATGCGTGAGCGCGTGTCGGTTCTTGTCATATTTGCGCGCAAACCCTTTGACGTGGTACTCGCAAGATTCTATAGGGCACTTCTCAGGCCGCTCCTCCATATGGGTCAACATGTGAGCGGCGAGATCCTTGAAGACGCGGCCACACTCGGGATGGGGACAGCGGTTACGAACGGCCGACAGTGAGGGACTAGGCGTAGGGGGCTCTTCGGCCTTGAGAGATGGGGTAGGGGCGATATAGGCCCCTTGGGTGCTGTGGATGATGATGGGAGGCGGTCCGGGTGGACCGACCCGGTCAAGCGGACCTACTCGATCGAGCGAACCCATGCGATCGAGCGGGCCAATCCGGTCGAGCTGGCCAGCCCGGTCGATTGAGGGTGCAAGCAAGGGGGCTTGCGACGGAGGTGGAGGTGGAGGTGGAGGCGGAAGCGGGAGCGGGAGCGGAAGCGGAAGCGGCGCGGGTGCGAGACGTGGCGCTTCCAGTATCGGCGAGCGCCGGCGAGGCGGCGACACAAACTCGTGTGATGATTTGTAGTCTGGCCCTTCGTCCTCCCCGCTAGAATCGTCTGGATCCTGTACATCAATCGATTGCCGAACCTCACGCATCCAGTCCTTCAGTATGGACATGGGAGGCCAATCGCCGCTCGCCTTTCCGCCGCGATGGGGATTGAAGTGGGCCCTTCGGAGATGCGCGGCGGCATTGTAATAAGCCCCGTAGCGCTTCTGAGTGACGCAAGCTTTGCATTTCGCCAGAGGTATAACTGGTTGGGGCGAGCCAGGAGGCTCCTGCGGTTCTGTGCACACCCATCGCTTGACCAGAGCTGCATGCTTCGATTCGGTATGCCTCCTCAACTCATGCTCGCCCCGGAAACCCTCTGGGTACTCGTTGCATTTTCCGCAGTAGACCCTCCGGAGCGGAGGCCGCTGGTAGGACGACCTGATCCTAGAAGCGGGTATTGGTGATGTTAGCCCTCGGCCAGCTTGCCTAATAAATGTCGGGCTTTCAGCAACAGTATGCCGCCTTCCTGGATCGATGGACTGCGGGGATGTGAGCATGCGATCCGGCTCCCCTTTGAAAACATACGTCTCTCGTTCCGAATGGGTGCCAATAGACAATGGCCAGGTGTTGATCAGGGGGCGCATATCTGGAAGGGGTTTTCTTGGCTCGTCCCCTGATTTGGTTATCGGAGGGAGGACGAATGAACCGTGCCTCAGCGGCGACCTTTGCTTGACGAATCCATTGAAAAAGTTGGCCTCAATCTCGCCGCTGCCGAGGAACATGAGAAAGTTTTTGGTCGTCAGTATTCCACGGTCCATCCACGAACTCCTTCCCAAGACTGCTCCCACCGAATGGAGCAGTTCACGATCGTCATTGCTCATATCCGTGTCGGACCCGTCCAACAGCATCGGTGCAGACCACGCAAATACGCTGACGAGTGCCTTGTAGACTGCGTGCATCGCCGCCGATCCGGCTTGCGGTGGCGGGCTGAGGTGTGATTGAGCAGCTCTGTCGACCAAGATGGTCCTCACTAAGCTGAAAATACACAAAGATAAAAACATAGCTACCCAGGTCTTGGTGTCAAGCGAGCCGGATCGGGCTGTTTGGTTCTCGATCGACTGTAGAAACTGTGACGTGCAGCTGTACAAGACACGAAAGCGCCCATAGGAGTCGGCGTCATCGAAAGAGATGTGCGAGCTCGAGTTGTTTACTTCGGCGTGTACTACTGGCTCAGCTTGTTGAAAGTCATGGAAGAGGGTCTCGCGAAGCAGAAGTTTTGCGCGGTACAGCACAGGGTATGCCACTTCTTCCGTCTCCCTGGTTCCGGATATTGCGCCGCTGAGCCTGAGAAGTTGCCAGAAGTTGTACATGGTGCCGCTCATGTTCCAGCTTGATGCCAGGATATTGAGAATTGGGGGTGGCCTGTCGCACGAATCTTTGGAGAAGGACGCAAGAGTCGGGTTGGCCGGTGGAAGGCTGGCGAGGTCTTCCGTCCACCAAAAACCGTCATCGAAGTCGAGGTTAGACTTCACCATGCTCGCAGTCTCTTGGGATACCAGGTACGTTCGTTCAAGGAAGTCGTTCATGTTGCGACGGACGGCGAGAGGCGATGTCAGAGGTGTTTGTGTCTGCCTTGACGGGGCAGATGCTGGATACCAGTCAGCCAGCGCGTCGACGCCAATAAAAGGGTACAGCATACCTGGCAGCATAATATCGGCAAAGCTGCTGAGGGAACCGCGATGGCACCCGAGAGCTTTCCAAAAGTCGTTATCTGGAGAGTTTGTAATGTCGGGACAGAGCGTACATGGGTCACTCGAGTCGCACTAAGACCGTTAGCAGAAGCACCCCCTGATCCGCTTGCCGAGAGTAAACTCACCCCTTTTTTCAGTACTTTGCATCGCAGGCAAGGGCCGATATCGCGGAGAAGCCGTAGCTCTTCAATCGACTCTAGCCGAGACTGTCCCACACGGCTGCGCTTCAACGGCGGAAGTAATGGGTCAACTTCGGAATCGATCGAGCCTCGGGGTCCTCCCGGGTACTCTGGCACGAACGAGTAACTCCTCAGCGATTCCCGGTGGTCCTTTGCCTGGCTGCTCGTAACTAACTGAGCAAGCTGAAACCCAGAGCCTGGACGGGGTAGGTACATTGGTGACGGCTGCTTATTGTAGTCAATGCTGTAGCTTCTGTTTTGCTGGTCAGGGAATATCAACGGGGGTGTGCCGCCGACGGAGAGCCCCGAGTCCCTCTTTTGCAAAGTGACATGGTCCTTCGCATGTTGATCGCGGTCGTCTTGGTGAGGATAGCCGTAGATGTAATGCATACAACGCTCGTCCCAGCACTTGTACGAGTGGTGGCTGCGGAAGCTCAGTGGAAGACTGTCCCTTAACCTCAATGCGCGAGAGATGGGGTCGTAGTTGGAGAAGTTGTAGTCCAGCCAAGCAGCATACCCCTCAGGGGCCTGGTCCCGAAGGTAATGATACTTGAGGGCATCGAGAAACCTGGGGTCGTGGAGATCCACGCCTAACGTACAGCAATTCCATTAAATTCTAGGCCTAGACAGAGGCGGGACGCCGTGCACCTACCTTGGTCCAGACATGCCGTCTCGATGCACTCACACTGATACTGCAGCGTTCTCGCTTCCTCGATGTCGGACAAGAGCGGGACCTTGTCAGACAGTTCTAGGTTCTGGCATTAGACCGAGTTGCACACGAACAAAGGAACAATGGGCAGACAAGAGGAGAGCACGTAGAATATGGCGCGACGCATCGGACGGGGAGCGGAACAGCACAGCATATGAAATAGGGGGCAGCTCACGATTATCGTCGATATAGGCGCGCAAGACACGGAGCTTGTGGCGCAGCATGTCAAGCTCTACCTTGATGTTGGGGCCATATCTCTCGGGGAGTAGGAGGGCAAGCTTCGCCTGAATCTCTCTCTGCGCTGCGAGCAATTCCCTGACTGTAGGGTTCATAAATGGGTCATCTGAATGGGGGATAGAAGAAGAAGACGAGGCAAGGGTCTGCTGGTTCGCGGCACCAGGAGGGCCGGGGCCGGGGCCGGGGCCAGCAGGGGCGGCTAGCACCAGCTGCGGCGGTTGCAGTTGCGGTTGCAGTTGCGGTTGCAGTTGCAGTTGCGGTTGCGGCTGCGGCGGCTGCGGCGGTGGCGGCGGTGGCGGCGGTGGTGGTGGTGCGGTCAGCAAGTCGCGATCGGGCCGTAAGAGGTTTGGCGGAGGCGGCTGCGATTGCGACTGCGATTGCGACTGCGACTGCGACTGCGGCTGCGGCTGCGGCTGCGGCTGCGGCGCGACATTTTCGGCCGCCATGGCGTGCGGGCGCGAACGTCGTCGTCGGCGGGCAGGCGGGCGCCGCTATGGCGGGCAGGGCCAGGCACGCGATGGCGTTAACGTTTGAGTTAACGTTACGGGTAGCCCAGGTCGAGATGCGGGGAGGCAGGCCAGAGCAAGCTCCGGATTCTTCACCGCGACGGGCGCGGCGGCGCGGCGCGAAGACCCAGCTGGGGCTGGGCTGGGCTGGCTCTCGGCTGGATTGCACGGCGCGCTGCTTGCTCAGCGTGCTGCTCAGCGTGCTGCTCAGCGTACTCAGCGTGCTCGCCCACCGTCCAGCTCCAACGGGGTTTCTCGCGCATCAACGACGGGGATCTATGCGTGCCAGCTTGCGCAACATGATAGGGACTCGGTAACGTCGACTCTCGGGTGCGGATATGCATCACAAGGCCATTGTGCGCGGGGGCGCGGCGAATTGGCGATAAGGTGAAATTGGCTCGTCCCGGCCTTGAGCTCCCATGAAGGTTCGAGTTCGAGTTGTAGATTTAATTTTCGAAGCGGTCGTGGAGCAGCGCAGCTCTCAGTCGGGGAATTCTTGCAAGGGCAAGGTACCAGTCAATTGGGGAAGTGGGGCAGGTGTTTTACGATGGGAAAGTAGAGGGGCGGCAGATTATGAGATCCAACGTCTTCAGGTCGGCTTCCCAGCAGATGGATGGATCGTCCACAATCCGTACTGCTGGCCAAGCATTCCGTAGCGTCAGTCTGGACATGACATGCCTCAGACCGCGCTATGTATGTGAGGAAATGTACCTACGGGACGGCGGAGTCCTGACTGAACAAACGAGGCAGGTGCGAGGCAGGTGCTGGGCTGTCCCGCTGCTTCAACTGGCGCGGGTTGCAGGTCGTTGCAGGTCAATGGAACAACCTGTGCGGTTGTGCCTTCCTCTGCAGCCGCCTGCATCTCCAGGTCTGCAAGCTCCAGGTATGCACGATAGGTGAGGTAGGGAAGAGCTACTCGAATCCGGCGAGCCAGGGAAGGAGCCAGCCAGCCGTAAGTTAAGGTAATAATGAAGCGTGCCGTCTGCCTCAATCCATCCTTCCTCTCCAGCTCGCCCAGTCGCCGTGAGGAGCGCGAATACCCTCGCTTGACCCCTCCTGCAGACAGTGCAGAGCAGCAGCACCAGAGGTCCCATCGCATCAAGGGCGTATCTTGGCTGGGGCCGTCGACTGGACGCCTCAACGCCCAGCAAGGGCGAGCTAGGGCTTGCTCTCGGTGCTTTGCCGGAGCTGGTCTAGCCTGCCACGCTAGCCCAAGAGCCGAAGACCGTTGGAACATGAGGCAGCTGGTGCGACGGAATCGCTACCGTCACAGCAGGCCGTTGTCCCATGTTCCCAACCTGAGCGGCAGGCATGGATATCAAAGGAAAAAGAAGTACAGTACACGCGGCCCAAATTTCGCGCATCGCCGCACCTTTGAGGTTTGCGATGGGGCCCGCGTTTCACTACCCTAAGCTACACTATATGTGCCTAGGTATACTTCCACACATACAGCTCGAGCTCTATCCGATCTGGAGCTCAGATGACCGAGCCATATCGACAACTCACGCCAGCCAGCTCGCCACCCCGCCAGCAGGCTGGGAGGAGTTACCCGGTCAGCCGTAAGGCAGGCAAGGCAGGTAAGGTAGGCTGGCTCTATATGTGCGGAGGTATCCGCCGGTTGTACAGACCTTACTCACTGCATTGATGGGCTGCGCTGGAGTCGGGTCCAGACACCAGACACACGCAGGCGGTATCTTTGCCGACGCTGGATGGAACCCACCCCGACGAGCTCGCCCTCCTCCTTCGACATTTGGGTGGTGCGGTCGAGTTATTTAGTCGTCAGCTGATTCGTTTCTGGCCAAGCTTGCACTCGCAAGGCGCATGCAGCCCCTTCGTGCATGGGCAAGAGAGACGGAACGACTAGTGGTGGTAGGTATTGTCACGCCAAGCGTGTCGAGCCTTGCGCACGCCGTTAGTGTAAGTGGCCTGGAGAAGTATGTATGGTAAGGCCAGGCCAAAAGGCACTACACTGCAGTTGCATTTATTTATCGATTAGATTTTGGCCCCCTCCCCCTCTTCCATCACTAGGTGCCCTGGGATTTCCCTGCCGACACTTCTCCGGCTTTATTACTCATGTAGTGTGCATCTTGTCTCAGTGTGCTGCCATTAATCAACTTTTGTGTGCCACGGACTTGTTGAACGACGCATCCCGTACTATGTGAGGGTATGGGCGGGCTGGGTCTACAACGTTTTTTTCCCTCTCCCGCACTTCGAGATTGTCGGACTCCCCACGCACGCTTTTGCAACGGCGTAACATCGGGCGATGCGCGCTGCGGGGTCAAGCACATTCTGCCCAACCCCCGAGCCTTCCGTCGCCTCATTCGCAGTAGCTGGGCTGGGCGGGCTCAACTCGACTGATCGACGCTCACCAGACGATTGAAGGCCGCCTTTTATTTTCTCCGCCGCCCCAAGGTGCATTAGGTGTTAGCTGAGCTGAGGACAACGCCGGTATGCCACAGCCCGAGCAGCAGATTCTTGAAAGGCGAGCTCGACAGCATCCCCTCCTTTGTACCTTCCATGCATCGAGGACCTACCGCAGCTTTAGAAAATAAAGGTTTGCCGTGGTCTGCTCTGCCCCATCGTTTGTGGAACAAACGATGGGGTCGCGGAGTTGTTTCTCCTCTGCGTGTTTCACGGACTGTTCAGTCGGGCAATTGCTGAGAGACGGAGGCACGCAGCAGCACGACCACCTAGCAATGTCGACGGTGACACAGTCTTCTTTTTAATACGTAGCGATGGCTAAGGTATCGGGAAAGCTTCACCACCTCAGCAGGTGTCGCCTGCCTGCCATTGATCCTCTCTCCCTGGCGTCGGTGTCTGTTCGAGTCTGGCCCGCCGTTAGCTACGCACGCACGGCCCCCTCTTCTAGTCTCGCGTGGGATCAGATCAGCCACGAATCGCTGTTATCCGGCCCCCTCCATCAACGACGAAGGAGCCTTGAACCCTTATCTGACAACCCTGCAACAACCTCGCATTATCCATTTCAGCGAATGACCGGCCCGCCCCATCGCAGTCTCCAGTGGCCAATCGCCCCAGCCCGCCCCAGCCCCCCAAGTTCAATGGAAGTCCAGTCCTGCCAAGTGCCAACCGCTCACACGGGCTCCCACCACTCGTCAGCTGAGAGGGCAAGGCGTCTAGCTGGCTGCCTCTTTTGAATGGCGGGGCGGTTCGCCTCGTCTCTCAGCTGCTTCAGCTCCACGCCCTGTCGTCCTCCTCTCGTCCTGCTCAGCCGCCAGAGGCTTTCTGCTAGGCGCCTTGATATACCGACACTTCTCCCTGAGCCTGTCATTTGCACGTCTCGGCCCAGAATCCGCAATTGCATTTGTAGACTCTGCATGTCTATGCATTCATATCGTGCCTCAAAGTCGACAAATGCCACATCTGCCAGTCGTGATTTGATGGACCAATAAGTTATGGTAGAGATAGACTATGCTGCTTCCGTGCCGTAATCTCGTAGCGTCACTGTTATATCCGCCATTGGCCAAGAAAAAAGATACAGTGACAGTGACAGTGGCAGCGACAGACAGGCAAGCTCGGACGATAATCCATCTTCCGCCAGCTCAAGACCAGGCTGCGGCATCTCCGAGCACACACACACACACACGCACACAGGGGGTCGACCGTTTACCACCCTTCTACAGACCATTCCCAATACAAATACAAGGAATAGCATTACTAGTATGCGAAGCCCAGGGGGACTACTCCGTATATCTCAACCTTTCCCAGTCTATCTCGACTGTATTGTCCCGTCCCTGCCACACATCTTTGCTCTCTGCTCACAACTGTCAACACGCTCAAAAGCAGCCATGTCTCTATTCGCCAACTCTCTCTCTGTGCAAGAGCACCCCCAGCTTGTTGCCTTCTCGAGCATCGTGCTTGTTCTCTGGGCGGTAGCCTATTTTACCGGAACCAGAAACAGGCTTCCCAGTCTGATTGGTATATGTTTCGTCTTATTCCTCCTCCCCTTACACGAGACTTTTCCTACTGTAATCCCAGCCCAGTGGTCGTTTAGCATCAAACAGACCCTCCCATGCCTTCCAACATCTCACTTACACCTTCCGTCTAGACCACGAACACCAGTCGCCTCCCCCTCAGCCCCAAGCAGCCCTTCACCTCCAGAGAGAGAAAACGGACGAGAAGGGCCGCGAGGAAGAAGAAGAAGAGTGCGAGGACGAGCACTCCTCTCTCGAGGAAGGCAACAACCTGCGCCCTCCGCCGCCCCCCGTCGTCGTCATCCCCTGGCGCGCCTCATTCGGCCTCGGCATCCCGCCGCCCACGCACGGCCTGGCGAGGCCGTCCTGCTCCGCCGAGGCCCGCAAGGGCTCCACCTGCACGCAGCACTGCTCCGACGACAGTGCTGCGCTGCTTCTCCTTCTCCACCATCACCACCAGCAGCAGAGAGATGCGGGAGGTGAGTCGGCGGCGGCTCTGGCGGGCATTGGCGGCCAGTTTCCTCCTCCGAGAGGGGATGATGATGATGACGAGGAAGAGGATCTGGGGGATGATATTAGGCGCTGGAGTTTGTGTGGTTAGGTTTCCTTTCTTTGAATCTCGCTATTTTACTCACGCACCCTCACTCTCCTTCTCTTCGTATACTGTCGAGCGCTTGGTGAGGAAAGTATCGTATCAGACTTTAGAGTTTGTGTAGTTCCTTTCCCCCATACTCACACAATCACACGCGCTTCACTCTCCTTCTCTTCGTATTCTGTCAATACTTTATAAGAGGATTGTTATGTGGGATGGTTTTTTGTCAATAGAGCTAGACTTTCCCTACTTGGATAGATGTCGTGTTTTTCTGCCTATCTGCACTTTCTTTCTTTCTTTCTTCCTTTCTCTTTCTTGAAGGTACTACGACATAAACAATAGATAGCCCATCGGCTTGCGGAGATATACCCATCTACCTTGAGTGTGTTGACAACAAAGACATAACCCGCCGAATCTCTTCTCTCTTCTCTCTTTCATACATTTCTACTACGAGTACAAAGACTCAACGGGCAGATGATAACTCCTAAAGCGCAGTTGTGGCCCATCATCTAGTCCTTCGTCCTGCTCTACTTGCCGCGACGGGGCCAGACTAAACCACCGGCGGTCCTGCTTTTCAACCTTTGATGGGTGTCTCTGACAGCCACTAACCTCCATAGGCCGGTACAAACACATGACATGCCCGATCCAGGGATACATGTTGTTGTTTCCGGCTTTCGCCTCACCAGTCTCTGCTTCAATCTTTGTGAGTGCCGGCAAGTCGAGCAGCTAGCGTTCCACATAGTAGCGGCAAAGGTGGATCTGGGCTGCCGGCGGCATGATGCGCACTCCAGAGTTTAGAAAGTTTGTCTATTCAAGGGGCTGTTTTAGATGTCTGGCTTATGGCTGTGTCTAGCTCTTTGTCATTCAGATTCCACTTGTGGTGTTGTTGTAGTTCTTGCAGTAAACCGGGTTGTTTTCACGCTATACGGCCTTTGACAACTTTCCCTTTCGGGCGCTCTCTATTGCCTTGCGGGCTTAGCCCATCTTGAACGCGATCGCAGGTTTCCTTCTCAGAAGAGATGGTTGGGTCATCGAGAACAGTAGTAAATACATCATCTTTAATCTCATTATAATGACACTTCTCGGCCCAGTGTTACTCTTTGGCTCGGTAAATGGGGTTGAAGACTTGAGGCCATGGTCGATAATAGTTTCATTCAGTAGTGATAGGGCCATATTTTAAATTCGGTAGGATACCTTCAGTGGCGGCAATCTGATCAAGTTGTCTATTTATCTTCACTCGTCTAGGGGTCCAGCTAAGCCTCAGACAGCCGGTATCAGCCTCAAGGAAAAGGGGGAACCCAACTACTCACTGGCCCTCTCGAGCACACACACACGTACACACATACAGAGAGAATATAACAGAACAGGACAGTATCAACATTCACACATCGCCACACGTTTCTGGCAATAGTTCGCAATACCCCGTATGTGTATCCTCCCGAGCCTAGTTTTTGTACATGCCACTACAGCCCCGTGAGATATCGTACGGGGCCCAATTGTTTATGCGAGCTACAACACGGCGGAAAGAAAACGAATGTATCACACTCGATGGGCCGACTGGGCATTGTCAGCTCCCAACTAACAGCGCGAGAATGCAACGGCATCGATTATCTTGACTTTGGACCGTACTACGAACGAACATCTTTCTTATAGAGTTGACATGCCTTGATAACATGGACTCACTCGGTGCGCCTTCCGATCCTCAATCAATAGACTGGACTATTATCTTCTCTCCCTCTCATCTCCCTCCATAGATTCAAGAAGGGGCTGACAGGACAAGGAATAACAATCCAGGCAAAGCAGCCAAGAAGACCAAAACGCCCCTCTTTATCCGGCCGTAAAATTGCCCGAACAAGCCAACCAGCCAGCCAACGTCAAAGAACCACTGACGAACAAACCGACACAGAGCAAGCTGCGGCTAGCAAAGCAGGATACGAGGAGAGTAAAAAAGACTGAAAGCGAGAATCTCCAGACAACCCTCTCCTCTCCCAGCGGCACAGAACAACGATCAACAACGGCGTGTCCAGAAGTAGAGAGAAGAAACAGCCGACCCACTATCTCCAACAAGCTCGCCAACAGCAAGCAGTACGGCTATGGCCTGCTTCTGCGCCGCAGCTCACCTCACCACCAGAGAAGAGAACCGAGAATTACATAACGTCAGCAACGGCTCAGATCCTTATTCCAGAGCTTCGGGGAGAAAATGGCCAATTAGTTTTCCCACCTCCCCCACCACATCCCAACCCTTAAAAAGCAGCAAGCACCTGAATTTGCATTAATAACCTGGCGTCTTCGCCTACCCTCGCCCTAATAACAACCTTCGCTACGATTCCTACTTCAACCTCGCCCTGATAATAACCTTCGTCACGATTCCTACTTCAACCGCGAATAATCTTAGGAATCGTCAAGAATGAAGAATTTCCTATTTAAGAAGGTAACTGAAGTCAGGCCAAATCATTAAAAAATGCAGTCTTCTCAAATTGAGCACGAATTCCACTTAAGTGGGGCCAGCCAGGGCATACAGGCATGGTTACGGGCTCCCACAAAAGTATCGCAAAATGCGAAGTTTCCGCAGTGGTGATGTTTTCTATGGTGTTGCGTATGTTGCAGAGCCGCAATTTAGTCCCCGCAGAGCCTCAATGTGGTCCCTCAGTCAATAACGAAAGGATCCCTCGACGAACTAGCCCGCTGAGCCTCCTCAGAGCCTCAGGCCTCTGAGCCTCAAGAAGCCGTAGATCAGAGTCATCTTCGTCTAGCGGAAACATCCACAAATCCTCATCTTCACCGTACTCGAGGGCGAGTAGGCGTGAGCGTTCGGCCGAGGGAGGTAGAGAGGGAGTTCGTGATGCCATTTAAATGTAACCGGGTTCGTCAACACGGCATAGCGGCAGGAAGCCGAAGCAGTCATTACTTACCTGGATTGACGAGACTTGAAAAAAAAATTAGCTTCATTCGCGTTGGTGGCCGTTGCAGGAAAATTATCATATTTTCCCGAGGGTCAAGACTTTGGCCGAGTCTCTTCCGAATAGCTTCATAATTCAACAAGGTTGACCCTGCCATACGGTGGGCTAGTTGCATGGCTAGTTGCCTTGAAAGTGGGCATTTTTACGTACAAAAAGGTGGATCTATGATGACGGGTGCCAGGCCCACGATTTTAGGGATGGTGGGTGCACCGAACAAAAAGGGTGGGTGCGCGCAGCAATGTCTTCGAAAATAATCACCCAACTCGGTAGGTACAAAAGACTAATAATACGTCTGTAGGGGATTAGTCAAATAAAAGGGTGCTAGGCAGTCCATGCGCATCCTCCGGCCAGTGACAACCGTCTCTCAGGTAGGTTAACTCCGTGTTGCCGTTGAGCTAGGGTCAATATATCATTTTGCAGTTGCAACTTCCATCGTGGTTTTTGGGACTCCATCAAGAGACCACGCACTTTGCTACTGGACATAGCAGCATACATTCCGAGAAATGGCGAACGCGATACTACGGGCGGCATTGGCAGGGCGTCATAACAAAAGCTCACCGTTTGCTCCAGTTCTGCCGTCCTGGCAATTGCCGCTGGGCGGGCGGCGTCGGATGCTGGCCTGACGGGCTCTACGCCTCTGGACCGGCCAGAGCCGATAGTTCCCGTGGACTAGGCTGAGCCCTGAGGGAAGGTTGCGGCTGGTGGTGGTGGTGGTGGTAGGCAATATCGAAACGCGCGGAAAGGTGGGTGGGAGCAACCTCGCGTCTGCTGGTACATGTCAGGCCGCCTTGCCATCTATAGCAACCAGGGAGCGGCGTGGCTGCCGCTGCGTAGTAATAAAGCCGGCAAGATCGAGATGCACAGGCAAGAAAAATGACGACTCATTGTTGCACGACAGGCTCCGCTACCAAGATTCCACACTGCCGCCAACCTCATGTGCTGAAGGCCCGAGATCATTCTCTGTCTCTCTGCTGCATCAAACATCAAACAGAGCACACGACGAACGACGACAAACACCAACGTTAGTGTGATCGCGAGACTGGACACCCTCACACGGGAATAGAATGCAAATAGACGTTCGCAATTCGCACTATGCCGATATAGCTAGGTGTGCATGGCGCAGGGCTGGCTGAAAAGAGTGACGTTTATGAAGAACCTAGGGCTAGGGGGATTGCGGCCTGGCTTTGGGCCTCGCAGCCCACCCTCTTTCAGTTCTGACACGGCCCGAAGGGACCCGGGCCTGCTAATCAAACAGACCGCAAAGGGGCACACCCGGCCTGTAGCTGGAAGCACGATGCGACTCGTGGGCTGGTAAGTGGTTGGGGAAAGACAAGATGGACGCGGGGGGATGACTCTGTTGGTGTAGCGAGAGGGGTGGGACATGTGCCGGTTTAAAACCATAGGAAGACATCATAGCGTTGTGGCTCTGAAATCCCTCAAACGTACGGCTTGTTATGATCTGGCAACTAGGCTAGCTGTGAGCAATCATGGGACACGGTAGAGCAGGAGTCCCGAGATGCGTTTTGCTGGTTGCGAAATGATTGAAGAAGAGAAATAAGGGAAATAAGGGAGAAAATCCGTGAGGCGCGCTTTGTAGGAAAACTCACTAGCGGGAAACAAGCGCTGTGGATTAGCCAGTGCGCAGTGGAGATTTCGAGACGTTCTATCACACTATATAGTCAAAGACATGGGGCCTCGCTGACAGATTTCAGCCGCCAGCGATGACTTCACAGATCGACGGCTTGCATCAAGCCTCGCTGTCGATCAGCTGCGATTGGTTCCCACCACCAAGGCCGCGTCGTCTGGCTGATAACGAAGAGATCATATAGGGTCTCCTTGCGCGATGAGTGGTCTGCGACTTCTTGCGCAATAGTTGTCTAGACATTGTTGGGCCAAACATTGGAAGACTATCGAAACGTTTTTGCTCGGTCCTCGGACCACTTGGCCGACGTTCACCTAGACTGACGAAAAGTGGCTGGCTGACTGACTGTGTGCTTCGTCTTCCGGGCTGACGTATTCGGGCCATCTCCCCCACGGATTTTGAGTGCAAGCAGGACTGCGGCGTCGGCAATGCGGTGGACAATGGGGGATCACAGACCAGACGGGGCAAGTGGCACAGGAGTTGCAGATGACGAATTTTGCTCATGTGCTCTCCTACCCAAGGAGATTCGCTCGTGTCTCGGCCTGGAAACAATGGGCTATACTTTGCGTCCACGGCCTCGAGATTGTCGACACACGTGGGAGCGATGCTCGATGCATATTGGCTCCGTGGGACCTTCAGCCTCTGGCTTAAGGCCTCACGCTCAAGCCAAAAACGCCTCCTGACCAAAAGAGAACGCCAATTTAGGTCGGCCTGCAAGGGCTCTCCAAAACGATCAAGAGACTGCCATTGGCCCTCAGCAGGGTCAGTTTGGCGTGTCACTAAAAGGTTGAAGTCAAGGTTCATGATAGGGCAACGAAAAGCATTTATACTTCCCTACCTACAGAACCGTGGTGCGCCAGATGTAGAAATCGATCAGACTCTGAACATGCAGACTCGGCGATCCTCTTCTTGAGGGCTTTCCATGGCTTAGATTTATTGAAAATGGAAAGAACGGATTAGGAAGCAGGGCATCAGCGTGGCGCACAGTCACTTCCTACCTAACGCCTGGGGGCTCGGGAACAGCGTCATCCTGACCTGACACGTTGACCCGCCGTTGTGGTGGCCACCAAAGAAACCATTGAAATATTTTTACAGGCCATCCACCGCCAGTCTAAAGACCCCCCCCCCCCCGACCCGCACACTCCCTCTCGAGGCCGTCCCTCCAGTCCCTTTATTTTCTTTGACAGTTATGTAGAGAAAAGATTTCGAACGAGACTGTGGCCTTCCCCCACCCCCCGGCTGCCATTGCCTCTTATTTTCTCTCCTTTTCTTTTCGAGGCGGTCAGCGCAATGGCTCTCCAGCGCGCCCTGGTTCTGGGTCTGGCCCTACTGTGCCATGGCGTCATTGCCAGCGCGCCGGGCTTTGCGGCGGCTGAGACGAAGGCGCTCGACCAGCACACTCAGGGCAGCGCCCCGCGGAGGCTGCACGGCAGGTTCCTGCATATTACTGGTGAGTTTTTGAGCCTATCAGACAGAACTCGCCGATCGGCGTCGCTTTTCCATTCCATGCCAAGATACTCAAACCATCGCGAACGCAGATCTCCACCCCGACGAATTCTACCGCGTGCACTCATCCACCGACGAGACCGACGCGTGCCATCGCGGCCACGGCCCGGCTGGCACCTATGGCGCCGAGACATCGGACTGCGATACGCCCTTCTCCCTCGTGAACGCCACCTTCGACTGGATTGCCGCCAACCTCAAGGACGAGATCGACTTTGTCGTCTGGACGGGCGACAGCGCACGCCACGACAGCGATGAGGATCTTCCTCGCAACCAGGGCCAGGTGCTCGGCACGAACCGCTGGATCGCTGACAAGTTCGCCGAACTGTTTGCCGCCCCCTCGGGCCACGGCCTGGCCATCCCCGTCGTGCCCACGTTTGGCAACAACGACATCCTCCCGCACAACATCCTACTACCGGGCCCCAACAAGTGGCTGCAGACGTACGCCCAAATCTGGCGCAAGTTTATCCCCGAGGAACAGCGCCACAGCTTCGAGTTTGGAGGCTGGTTCTACACCGAGGTCGTCCCCGACAGGCTCGCCGTCTTCAGCCTCAACACACTCTACTTTTTTGACCGCAATGCTGGCGTCGACGACTGCGCGAGCCCGTCGGAGCCGGGGTACAAGCAGCTCGAGTGGCTGCGGGTCCAGCTGCAGTTCATGCGCCAGCGCGGCATGAAGGCTATCCTGATGGGACACGTCCCCCCGGCGCGGACGGAAAGCAAACAGCTGTGGGGCGAGGTCTGCTGGCAGAAATACACCCTCTGGCTCCGGCAGTACCGGGACGTGATTGTCGCCGGCCTGTACGGCCATATGAACATTGACCACTTCCTGCTGCAAGACACGCACGACATTGACTTTGGCCTGCTGTCGGGCGCCGCCGACGGAGTGGTCAGCACACGCGAGTCGATGGAGGACGAACTCTCAGCGCAGTCGACTGCAGACTATCTCCAAGAGCTGCGGGATGGGTGGGCGAAGCTGGACCCCCCGGCGGCCGGCTCTTCTGGGCGGGTGAAGGAAGACAAGAAGGGGAGAAAGGGGAAGAAGAGTAAGGATATATGGGGCGAGCGGTACCAGCTGTCCTTGGTCAGCCCGAGCATCGTGCCGAACTACTTTCCGACTCTGCGAGTTCTCGAATACAACATAACCGGACTCGAGGATGCCCCCGTATGGGCAGACCCGTTCCAGACCTTTGAAGCCCCCGCTACTCAGGAAGATACCCAGAAACACCTCGATCTGCGGAATACTTTCGAGTATGACGTGGAGGTAGGGTCCGCGAGCAAGAAGAAGAAAGGCAAGAAGCACAGGGGCAAGAAGCCCAAGAACCCAAAGTTTGTACTTCCGGAGGCGCCTTCCAAGTCGTCACCACCGGGGCCTGCGTACTCGCAGCAGCCGCTGTCCCTCACCGGCTATACGCAATACTTTGCCAACCTAACCCACATCAACAACTTGACGCTCGATGTTTCCGCGGTATGGGACGGAGACGAATCTGACTCTGACGCGCCGTCGTCATGGCTAGATGGCATCGCATGGCTTCTCAAGTGGCGGAAAGGCAAGCACGGCGGCAAGAAGCCCAAGGCGCCGAAGCCGGACCCGCGCGAGTTCCAATTCGAAGTCGAGTACAGCACGTTCCACGACAAGATCTACAAGCTGGGAGACTTGACGGTCAACAGCTTTGTCGATCTGGCCTACCGGATAGGGGAGAACGACAAGAGTGGCGGCAAATCTGCCTTGGCGGATGCGGAGGGACGTGATTTTGATGATGACGAGGTTGAAAGTGCTGATGCTGAGGACGATGATGAGGAAGAGGAAGAGGATGAGTCAGAGTTTGACGACGACGATGACGAGTTCGAAGCTGACAAGAAGAAAAAGGGGAATAAAGACAAGAAAAAGAAGAAGAAAAAGAAGAAGAAGAGCCAAAACAAAATATGGCACCACTTCTTGGAGCATGCATTTGTTAGCACGCTGGAAAAGGGCGAGCTCAAGAAATACGCCTGAGGTCGGGCTTGGAGCACTCGGAGCATGTTTGTCTTTTTTTTTTTGAAGTTGGAAAGCTGGAGTTTATGGGTTGTTAGCATTTACAGCATATCTGAGCATTGTCGGGGCGTTGTTATTTTGTTTAAATAAAAAAATTTTAATTCTTTTTTTAATTTTTTTTTAAAATATTTCAAAGCAGTTCACAAACGGAGAAGATGACTGGAGGTACCTTGATCAGCGCATGAATCAAAATAAGCACTTGATAGTGACAATCCGTACCTCTATAATATCGGGTTGAGGTGTATTGTAGGAAAATAGTTGCTCTAGAAATTCAGGAGACGGTGCTTGCATACGTTGTTGAAGGTGGCCAGCGGCTGATTGGATCAATCGGCTTCTGTGGCGCTGCTTGGCACTGTAATGGCTACCTAGCTTTTAGCGTTTGCGTTGTTGGTTGGCCCCCTCTTGGATTTCTGAAAATGGAAACCTCCAACCTCGACTCCAATTTATCGAAAGGATCAATTCTCTCTAAAAGACACGACCGACACTAGCGCCCCCCGACACAAACCGACGGCTCGCTCAGATGGACATGGTATGGTGTACTCGACAATAGCACACGCGCGCGCAGCAGCTAGAGAATCGGAGGGGGGCGGTCGCGGGGTGCTAGGCACTAGCACCAGCACTAGCACCAGCACTGGCACCAGCAGCATCAGCAGCATCAGCATGCTCGTCCGGCTCCGGTCGATTCTGCGGCTGCCGAGCAGGCTCCTCCGCCGCCGCGCGCGACGCAGCCGCATGGCGGCGCTGACAATCGCCGCGGCCGTCGTGGCCGTCGTGCTGGTCCTGCCGCTGTACATCGTCTACAAGCCGCCGTCGCTGCTGATGCGCTACTTTGCCCACCGCTGGGGCGACGACGTGCTGTGGCGCCTGTGGCTGCCGTCGTCGCACCGCGTCGTAGCCCTGACTATCGACGACGCGCCCTCGGACTACTCGCCCGACATTTTGCGCGCCCTGGCCGCCTCGGGCGCCCGCGCTACCTTTTTTGTTGTTGGCTCCCAGGTCCCCGGCCGCGAGGCCGTCCTGCGCGACATTGTCCGCGCCGGCCACGAGCTCGCCAACCACGGCATGCACGACGAGCCCGCCCGCACCCTGTCCGACGCAGAGCTCGAGCGCCAGATCCGCGACACCCAGCGCTACATTGACGACGCCTACTGGTACGCCTACCACTCGCCCGACGACGGCCCCCCGCCCGATGACGTGTACGCGCCGCCGCGGCTGGTTGGTGGTGGTAGTGATGATGACGATGACGACGACGCGTACGAGGTCCCGCCGCCGTCTACGGCTGACGGAGACAAGACCTCGCCGCTGTCGGCCGGAGGGAACGGTAACGGGAACGGCAGCGGTGATGACGACGACGGCGCCATCAACCGGAGAGTCGATAACGACAGTCCTGCTGCGGCGGCGCGGCGGGCGGTGCGTGGAGCGCCGGGCCCGCCCATGCCGCGCAAGAACAACTACTACCGGCCGGGGTCGGGCTTCTTCAGCGCGCGCATGCGGGCGCTGATGCGCAAGCTCGGTCGCCGGATCGTGCTCGGCAGCATCTACCCGCACGACGCGCAGATCGGCTACTGGTGGGTCAACGCCAAGCACATCCTCAGCATGCTGAGCCCCGGCGGCATCATCATCTGTCACGACCGCCGCAGCTGGACCGTCCCCATGCTGCAAAAGGTCCTGCCCGAGATGCAGCGCCGCGGCTACCGCGCCGTCACCATCACCGAGCTGCTCGACGAGGGCGCTGCGCTGGCGGGGGATTAATAGGAGGTGGGCAGCGTCTGGTTGGTTCTAGGTGGCTTTTGTGCCTTACGAACCTGAGTGGCCGTAGCCGAGAGAACCGGCCAGGGGGTGATGCGCCCCTTATTATTGAACCGAGGCAAGGAATAACGGCGGTCAACAGCAACGCCCACAACGAAACGCCAGGCTTCGCACTGACGCGGCCACAGATTATTGGGGAATAGCCAGCCCAACAGCCGAAAGATCGTCACGGCAAATGAACAAACGTCAGGAAGGACTAGTCACCGAGGACTTTCCCCTCAGCAGCGAGACAAGATGTTCTCGCTGCCATAGACGTAACACTGGAACCACCGAGATGCGGCCCACAACAGATGCCGCTTAAGTCTCAGATCGTCCATATGCTGTCGACTAATTCGAGCCATTGAGTCGGCTAGAGAGTACCCGACGAGACTGTTGTCGGCTTACCTAGATTAACGGCCGACGAGTCAAAATTACCTTGTATATCACCATCAACACCTTTAAATCTAATGTTTTCAGAGCTGCGTCTGTTTCTTGGTATGACGCTCCAGCCTTGCCAGGCTGTCTCAACCCGCAGTCCGTGGTCCCGGATCCCGGATCCCGGATCAGCTTGTCTAGTGTAGTTGTTTCCACATCCTGGCCCGCCCTGTCTGCAAGTCCTCGCCTTTGACAAGCTCCACCCTGCAAGTCGCCATCAAGTGTGCCTCTACAAGCAAGCATGACCCTGAACTGCGTATATATGAGTGGATACGGCCGGGATATGCGCCTGCTTTGTACAATGTGCCTACAGTACAGTACTTGGCTTCTGGCCCCAACAAACGGGCTGAGGATCCCCATGCCATTTCCGCGCTGTGCACGCCCTTGGCTTGACGTTGCGTGAAATGGGCTGGCATGATCCGATTTACCACGCGGTAGAGGATCCCCTTGCCATTTCCGCGCTGTGCACGCCCTTGGCTTGACATTGCGCGATAATGGAGAAGATTGGGTGTAGGTGGGCGCCATCAAGATGGAAAAAAAGCTAGACGGGGCTTTCCCCCTTTGGCCCCGCCCGCGCCCGCGCCCGCGAGTGGTCTTCCGGAGCCGGATGTCTCGAGAGGCAAACTTGGCTATGACTGTGCTTCCCCCGACCCTCCCACGCCTCACCATCGCCCAATCTGCCTGTCACTGGATAGCGAGTGTTGAGAAGAGTGTCAGTCCAGAACTGTGGGCAGTCAACATCGGCCGGGTAGACAGAACCAGAGACCCAGAGACCCAGAGACAACGAACGGCCCCGAAACGAACCCCGCGCCCAAGATGGCCTCCGATTCCGGAACGCAACCGCCCGCCGTGCTCAAGGAGGCCGAGCAGACGCCGCAACTAGACGGCCCGGGCCAGCTTGCTGCCGCCTTCCCCATGGGCCTGTCGCTGGCGTCCCGCTCCGTCCATGCCGACGACTACATCAACTCTCACCCAGCCGTCGCCCCGCCCATGCACGTCTCGACCACGTTCCGCTACTCTCGCAAGCCCGACGACCTGTCGCCCTGGACCAACGTCAACGTGCGTGTTTTGTCCCCCCTTCCCTTCCCCTGAACACACTTTTGTCATCCACCAATCCTGACTCTTGACGTCATCCAGCCCGCGGCGCCCTATGACTCGCACGTTTACGCGCGCAATAGCGCGCCCAACACGACGCGGATGGAGGCGGTGCTCACCTCTGCGCTGGGCGGGCCGTGCCTGACGTACGCGTCCGGGCTGGCGGCGTTCCACGCCATAGTGGTGTTCCTTAACCCGAAGCGCATCGCCATCGGCGGCGGCTACCACGGGTGCCACGGCGTCATCGACGTGGTGGCGCGGCTGAGCGGGCTGCAAAAGGTCGATCTCGAGGACGAGGCGGCGCTGGCGACGCTGCGGCCCGGCGACGTCATCCACGTCGAGACGCCGCTCAACCCGACGGGCGAGGCCCGCGACCTGGCGCACTACCGCCGCGTCGCCGACAAGCTCGGCTGCTACCTCACCGTCGACGCTACGTTCGCGCCGCCGCCGCTGCTCGACCCGCTCGCGCTCGGCGCCGACGTCGCCATGCACAGCGCCACAAAGTACTTTGGCGGCCACTCGGACATGCTCAGCGGCGTGCTGGCCCTGCGCCCCGACCACGCCGCGGCCTGGCTCGCCCGCCTGCGCGAGGACCGCCTATTCCTCGGCAGCGTCATGGGAAGCCTCGAGGGCTGGCTCGGCGTGCGCAGCCTGCGCACCCTCGAGCTGCGCGTCCTGCGCCAGAGCGCGAGCGCCCAGGCCCTGGTCGACTGGCTCGCCACGGCCACCACCGCTCCCACCGCTCCCACCGCTCCCACAGACGCAGACAGCGACAGCGCGGTCCTCTCGTCGTTCGTGCTCAAGATCCAGCACGCGTCGTTGCAGCCCGAAGCCAAGGACCCAACCTCGTGGCTGCGCGCGCAGATGCCCAACGGCTACGGCCCCGTGTTCGCGCTGTGGCTGCGCGACGCCGACGACGCCCGCCGCCTGCCCAGCAAGCTGCACCTGTTCCACCACGCCACCAGCCTCGGCGGCGTCGAGAGCCTGATCGAGTGGCGCGCCATGTCGGATATTGGCGTCGACAAGCGCCTGCTGCGCGTCAGCGTCGGTGTCGAGGCCTGGGAGGATCTCAGAGAGGACCTGCTGCAGGGCTTCCGTGCGCTGAGGGCGGATGCTGTTGCTGCTCGTGCTGGTACTGGTGGTGGTGATACTGCTGCGAGGTAGGAGGCAGACAGGCAGGTAACCGAACTACCTATACCTAGGCTATAAAGCAATAGAAACATTATTAGTGATGAGAATCAATTTGTCTCCTGTGTCTCTATCACTTGCTCGGTCCAAAGGCCGGATGCAATCTCCCCTTTCCTTTGGGTGAGTTTTGCAATACCAACATGATCAGTCTCACATACATGCACACGCATTTGCAGACGTCCGTCCATGAGTGACTAGGTAAAGTGAATAACAACCAGGAAATTTAGGGTATTCCCACTTGCTTGCGTCTGTGATTCTCGTATGTATGTACGTATGTAAACACCCAACACCACCACCTTGCTATTGTTCATCGTATAGTAAACTTATTTTCCACCAACTCGCTTCCCTGCCCTGAACAGGACACGAATATGACATTACAACCAGGGCCAACCCCCCCCCCCCCCCCCCCCCCCAAAAAAAAAAGGCTCAGAAACCGAGCGTACACCACCACCACCACCGCCGCCGCCGCCAGATGGGTCCCGGCCCGCCCGTTTGACCTGGCCGGCCGGCGGCTATCAAACCCCCCTTTCGACCTCGTAAATTAACCTCGACGTGCCGTAGCCGTGGCCGTGGCCGTGGCCGTAGCCGGGACCATGTTTCTTTTATCTATTTTGCAAGATCAGCATGAATTTCACACACACACAAATCCTTCCTTCAGTTTGCACAACTCAGCAGAGAAGCACAACAACAAACAATGATAATAATACTTGCATGGTGTATTTTATAGTTTTGAATGCACAAATATTACCATATGCATAGTCGTGTATATTCCTGTACATACATTACTTCCATCCAATCAGCTTCAGCTTCCCGCCGGTCTAGTATTGTCACAACAGCACAAACATACGAATCAACACCACATCACACCATCCGCCCCATCGCCCATTTTCCCGCTTTCTCTACCACAAAACCCGAGACCACGAAACCGATAGTGACTGATTGCACATGACAAGGAACAAAACACCAGACACGGACCGTAAAGTGATGAATGATGCAGTGTGATGCAATGCAATGCTGCTCCGCCCGTCTCGTCTAAGACCTCCTGTCCCTTATCAACGCGTTTACGCAACAACTTACAAGGAAAGAAAAATAGTAAAAGGAATTCTTACAACAAGGACAAATTACCTCCCTCCTTCTCCTCGCATATACCCCATACCGTGCGACTCCCGTTACCCAAAACCCCTAAGAACACCGTCAAACCCCCATAGTAAAAGTGTGTAAAGAACAAGAACATATTATAGTATGTACAAACTAGTGTTGCTCAGAAAGTTAAAGTTTGACACTGTAGGCCCGCCGCCACACGGCTGAGTCTGGGGTCTCGTCAGGACTGGACCTCCTGGGCCTGCAGCGAGGCAGAAGTGGACGTCGGCGGCCTGTCCATCGACGACGACGGCGGGGGCGAGTAGATGACGGGCATGGCACCCAGCTCGGCGCCCTGGCCGCTCTGCCCTCTCTTGCGGCCGGGGAGGAAGCGGGACATGCCCCCCTGAGCCGCCGCCGGTGACGTGACGCCTCCGCCGGTGGTGCTAATAGGACCGGCGGCGTTGCTGTTGTCCGCTGTGGCGTCGGACCCGAACTTTGCGAAGAATCCCCGTTTCTTGGGCGCTTGCGCGAACGGCGACGACTGCTTGTTGTGGCTGTTGCTCTCGTCGTTGAGCCCAACCTCTTCAAAGTTCTCTTCGGGCGTCGGCGGCTCGCGCTCGAAGCGCCGCTCGCCTAGTGCTGACCGCGGCATGCGCGCGAACCGTGGGGAATCAAGACTTTGCCGAGGTGCTGGGTCGGTGACGACGATGGGGCTCTTAGCGCAAATGTCCTGTTCTGGGCGTTAGTTTGATCCGTTGTCCGTCGTCACGTTTGCCAAGAAGGCGCAGTTCGTTCTTGGGGTGACGTACAAAGGACCGTCTGTACGAATCGAACGACTCTCGTGAGATGGAAAAGTGCTCAATCTCGGCCACGCTGCTCCTGTCGCTCGAGGTCCGCGACAGGTACCGCCGGGGCCATGTTGCTTCCTTTTCTACGGGAGACGGCTGTGAAAGACTGCAGTCAGACGAAGGTGCTCTCATCAATTGGGACGCGATTGGGACGCAATTGGGAACGCTGTCTCATACCGGTAGATAGACTCCGCTATCGTTGACCACTGTAATTCGCGGCGAGAACCTATTAGCCAGGAGCACGACAAGTCATGGGACGAGCGGCTTTCATCGGATGTGTGGCTTGGATTGGCGTTCGCGCCCTGGCGGGGATGGCACAAAAAAAAGGAGGGGTCGTGGATTTGGGGATAGGATTGGGCCGCCGCCGCAAACGAACATTCAGAGAACATACCACTCATCTTGTACTCGCCGGTATCCTGGCTCCGGCGGCTGCCAATGCTCAGCGCCGACGAGGCTTTGGACCCGACCGTGTCTACTCGCTCGAAGCCGGGATGCGCGGGGTCGTCGGACCCAGACCCGGCAGACGACGAGCCGGGGCGCACATTCTCGTCCTGGACGGCAAGGTTGCCGCCGGGCCGCCGTGCGAAAGGGTTCCGGATCGGCATTTTTTTCGAGGGCGCGGGGCGATAGTAGTTAATGGATTACGGCTATACCGGCCGGAAACCAAAAAAAGACCACTGCAGGTGGAAGAGGAGAATATCGGCTGCCAGAACCGCTTTGAATTGCTACTGCTATTGCTCGCGCAGGTTGGTCTCAAGGTAGGCAGTTAATGGCTTGAAGGCCTGGAGGGGTGCTGTTTAAGAGCGGGCAGGCGGGCTGTCGAACAAAGCTCGGCAAGTCGGGACCTGGTATTAGAGACAGGGTATAACTCGGAATTCGTGACCGAAGAGCCGAGACAGAGTTTGAGAGAGAGATGGGAACGAATGCCTGAGCGAGGTAAGGGTAAGAAAAAAGAAGAAAGCAAAGCGAGCCGGGCAAGGCAAAGTCGGCCGTTAAGAAAAAAAGAAAAGGTCAGACGAAACGAAATGGCGCCCCAAATGGATTGCAGATCACGCAGGGAATCTGGATCGATGCGCTGCCGGATTCCCAGTCTGCGGGTCCTCCAGGCCGACCCCGGCCGCTGCGGCAGGTGGCACCGAGGGGAGGTGGATGGGTGCCACAAGACAAGACCTCGCAACGCCCAGGCTTCTGGTTGGCTCGCTTTGCGGAGCCTGAACGAAGGGGCGGGCGGTGCTGACCTGACATGGAATGGACCCCAGGGCAAGCGGCCCCCAGCTCGAGCGCCGCAGTTGCGCCTCGCCCGTGCGTGTGCCCCGATTCTTTAGGGAAGCCAAAGCCACCGATCTCGAGCGCCCACCACCCACCACTGCCCCGCCTCTAGACTATTCCAAAGAGACTTATTACTTGCCAGGGGTGTGCTCAGTATACCTTACACCTACAGTTGGTTTCCTTGGAGGGGCATTTGGTAACGGTTAATGGATTGATCCATGCTTCCACCTAGACAGCGTATTCCGAGCCCGATTAGGGACTTCCACTCTACCAACCAACCAACCGCCCCTCGTCCAATGCACCCTTCCAGAGTGCGGACTTCCCATCATGACGTCCCAGTCCAGGCCGATCTCGAAGCGAACCGGGGGGGGCCAGCGGTGGTCAGTGTCTTAGCGTCTGTCTGTCCCGAGGAGGTCCTTTAAACCACATCGAAGATCCCCGTTTTAGTTCCCAGCCGGGCCAAACGCTGACAAAAACGCTGCAATACCACAAAAGGCAGCGGAATAGTCGATCTCGTAGCCGTCTATCTATTTCCCACATGTCAGAGCATCCTGTCTCGCAAGCACCAACTATCACAAGCAGGGGCACCTTTGCGAAACACGATGAACCAGAGACTCTAAACTCTCGAGCCCCCCCCCCTTCTGGTCTGGTCACACGCAGGCAACAAACAACCCAAGGCTCGGCAGGGTCTCTTTAGGGTTGCCGTTGCCACGTTGGTCGATGATGGCATGGGGATTTACGCTCCCGTCCGCTTCTAGATTGGGCCTCTTTCCCCTGGCAGGAATTCGTGCGACTTTTCTAGGTTGTTTGCCACGTCGATCGCTGTCGGTGGACGGAAACCCGCGTGCCGTGCGGGGGAGGAGAAAGGCGATCCCCATTCTTTCCTTTCCCAGAGTTGCAGAGACTGTCATCTCGATAGGTTCTTTGGCAAATACCTCTCTTGCCCGTCGAAGCACCGGATCGAAACATCAACGTCGGATTGGGCACCATCGGTTTCTACCGGCATTGGTTTCCTCAGTGCGTGTACCACCGCTGAAAAAGTCCAGGCCCGTCTTACGGATGTGGCCGATAACCACGACTCGGAATTCCAAGAGCTATCGAAGCTTTCGAGGACCGCACCTCAGCCACACGCCTAGGCAACTAGGCACTCTGCTTTAGATTAGTGTATCTGACTAGGGCTTTTGCTCTGCCCCCCCACCGTGCCACCGGCTAAAGTCTCAACGACGAGCAAAACAGGTAAATCCAAACGTCTTACTAAGAATGACATTGTCAGATCGCCATCCGCGAGATGCTCTTACATGGCGGTCATGATGCAGCCAGGCAGTAGGTCCTTTGCGGGTTGAGTGAGGCTCTGGTCGGGCGTGTGTGTAGTAGTTCGTTTTCCTCATGATATCTGTTCGTGTCTAGTCCGAATCACTGTCCTCGCTGCTCGAGAAGCCATTGAACTCCTCCTCGGTTTCGTCCAATACCCCCACGCCAGCTCCGTTGCCATTTTCTTCGTCATCAGGTTCATCATCTTGCTCTTCAGTCTCAAAGGTGCCACTGACGTCCCACCTATCGCCCTTGGCGCTCGCGCTCACGTACTTGACGAAGCGCAGCGTCCCGCTGTCGCGCAACACTATAGTCATTTTATTCCACGACGCCGCCTGGAAGAAGAGAATGTTGTCGTCGTCTGCACTGCTCTTGTAAATGGCGGCGTCCTCGTTGCTGTCGTCGTCGCCGGCCATGTACACTTCGTGACCACCAACCTCCGATTCCTCGACGTCTTTGTCCACAGCCTTGTCAACAGCCTTGCCATTTGCCTTTGCCTTGGCGCTGTCGCCATTGGCTTTAGGTTTGCCGTTTGCTGTCTTGCCTGCGCCATTGTGGATTGTAGACGCCTCTGAGGATGCCTCTGAGCTGTTGTCGTCTTCGTCCTCTTCATCATCGTCTTCAGCATCATCGCCCCACCCCTCGGTCGGCGTGATGCCAATGTTGACTTCCAGCCGCGACTTGCCTTCGTGGCCGGTAGCAAGTGTGTAGTCCTTGCCCCTGCGGAAGCGCCGTGCGAGAATATCGTGGCTCTCAACCACGGAGCGGGTTGCCATCTCGAGCCACAGACGGAACTGCCTCGATGGTAGCAATACCTCTACCAGCTCCTTCAACGGCGAGTCTTCTGAGCCGGCATCTCCGGGCTGGAGGTACAAGTAGCGGTGCTTGTGTGGCGGGCGGGCGACTTTCCAGGCGCCCTTCTCGATCTTCTCGCTGTTCTTTGGAAGCGGCTTGGCCTCTTGTGCCTCCACATACTTGCGGACCTTCTCGGCAAACTTTGGGTGTAGGATGTCTGGTAGGGTGATGCTGAACTCTTCCTCAAAGTGCTCGGCGACATTCTCGATCGTATCCGGCGTCAGATACGTCGGGGCGATATACTTGAGCAAGAAGTCGAGGTCGTCTGCGTCCAATGTCGCGTCGTCACTTTCTTGGCTGCTCTCGCTGGACCCGCTCCTCTCGACCGGCACCGGCCGCGCCTGGGGACGGTCGTGCTGGTCCGGGTTTCCCTGCAGCTGCATCAGGCCGCTGTTGCGGGCAGCCTTCTCCTCGGCCCCCTCGACCCAGCCTTCCTCCCCGATCTGCGGGATGTGAAACCAACCGCTGATGGCCATGCGGATGCGGCCGCCGTTCTTCTCGAGCTCCTTCTTGGACGCGGCCTGGTAGACCTCTTCGACGTCGTGGAAGGACTCGCCCGGCTGCACGGCAAAGAAGGACAACTGGTTCCAGGCGGGCGGGATGACCTTGACGGGGTCGGGCTGGGGCGTTTTGGCCACCTCGCCGTCCTTGCCGGCGCGGTCGGTGACGGGGAAGAGACGGAGAGCGCCGCCCCAATCGGCCTGCCACGGCGTGTCGGGGTCGGTGAGGTACAGGATGTAGCTGACCTTGCGGGAGCCGATGACGTCGTCGTGGCACAGCAGGTAGCAGTTCGGGGTGTAGACGTTGATGGCCATGTCGGTCTTGCGCCCGCTCAGGGGCCCGCAGCCGGTGATGTGTGACACGTAGTCCCGGAAGGTCTTGGAGTAGAGGGCATCGCGCAGGGTGAGGAGGGAGGGCAGCTTGGCCAGGGCATCATCGTCCAAGCCGTCCAGGTTGGCCAGATCACCGCTCTGGTGGATCTTGTAGATGTCGGTCTCCTTGGGCGTAAAGGAGACGTTGGCCTTGACCTCGGAACGGACCTTGCGCAGGAGCCCGTCGTCGACGAGGCCCGAGATGACGCTGTGCTTGTAGGGAGTAGCCGAGGCATAGTCGGCCGTGTACTGTTCCAGGACGGGCTTGTCGAACAGGCCCTTGCGGAAGCGGGCTTTGGCCTCGCCGTCGGTGAGGGCTATGGCGAGAGGGCAGGGTCAGCATCCCGGGGGAGGCGAGCGGGACATCAGGGCAGGTCAGGAGAGGGGGCGGGCGGGGTGTAATACAGTTCTTGGACCGCTTCTTGACCGGCTTCTTGCCGTCAGCGGGCATGTCTGCCTTTCTCTTCATGCTGGCGATTCAATTGGAGCTGTTGCACGGATTTTTATCTTGTGGGAAGTGTATGATACGACGAGGACGCCGGCTCCCGTGGAAATGGGCAGACTCTCCGATACTAATAAAAATGCTGAGGTGGTGTTCAATCCTAGCTGCAAATTTGTGGATCCGGAATTTTTTATGCCCCACAGTCGAATGTTGATGGCCTGCTCGTAGTCCTTAGCCCTTTCACTGTGCTGTGTGCTGTGCAGTGTTGTATGTCAGCGGGCAAGAAGAGCATTGACCCCTGAGGCGCTGCGATCGATTGGCTGCTGCGAGGGCAAAAATTGGAGTTTCAACGCCGGAGGTTATTTCAGGCCAGGAACCTAAGAGGACGGGAATTGCTTCTCAGCTCCCGCCCGCATCAACTAAAGGACCTCGCCCAACTGGACTGGCAGACTTGCATGAGGCTCCAAGCGCTCGTCAATTTGGCGCGCCGGCGATCGCGACGCGGGCAACACTGTGTCTGAGGCCGAGGATGGCTTACACGATAGCAGAGGGGGCAGAGAAGATGGGGGAGCGGCTTGAGGTCCTGTTGGTATATCATTCATGCCATATGCCCTCCCCCGCCGGACCGAAGCGCATCGGAGCTGCTTGATAGAGAAAAAGGTTGACGCCCGGCGCTTCGTGCCAACTGCTAACAGCGCCAGCGTCGCGCTGGTTGGGCCTCTCATTGCCCGTGGGCGCGAGCTGATAAGCCGCCGCGGCGTTTGCTAATACCAATACTCCGTAATGCTTGGGGGTCAGTCGCTGAAACCCAGCGGGAGCGAGACGAGACGAGACAAGACTGCCCGAGCCTCCACCTCCAACTCCACCTCATCCATCCCACGGCCACAGGCAACCTAAGTACTTACTGTACAGGCACAGGGGCTGCATGACATGACATAGACGCCCGCCTGCGCATCGGTATCCACTCGGACAGCACCACGCCCATCTTGCTTGATGGGGCGGTTTGCTAATAATTATCGTGACTTCTGGCACCCTTTGTGGCATCTCAGCAGCCCGGCTCGTGGATCCGTCCTCAACCCACAGTCGACTGAGAAGCCCAGTTGGCCAGTCAAAACCGCGGACCCGGGTTGCGTGTGTGTCTTGGGTTTGGTTATCCACCTCTCCGCTGCCCTGCCCAAAGCGGAAACCCTGGAGTAGGTCATTGTTCTCCGCACGTTGGGCTCTGCTCGTCGTTGATCGTCGACTTTCGGTTTTATGTGAAGGTTCTACGGTGCCTCGGCCTCTTAATCTCGGTGCCACTGGCGCTTCTTTGTGCTGGACTTGCTGCGTCACCGTCACCGTCACCGTCACCGTCACCGTCAGCCCCTATTTTGCCCCGTATTTCCATTACACGACTTTTAGACAGTCGGCCACGCAAACATACCTTCCAACATGTCTGCTGCCAACGACGAAGCCTTTAATATCGACCAGGTGAGGGCCAACTTCCCCGCATTGGCCGGAGAGCAAGTGTTCTTTGACAATGCTGGCGGCAGCCAGGCTCTGGGGGCGGTGGCCGAACGGTACATACATACATTCCTGCTGCTCGTCCTTAGTACATGTCTAGTTGAGCTCGTAGCCTCACGGTCCAGCGCTCGCTGATCTGGGGTTGTACTGTTTGTTAATATGACGATGGCTGTATCAGCATCCGAGACTACCTCTTGAACACCAACGTCCAGCTCGGGGCCAGCTATGCCACGGGCAAGGCGTCCACCGACCGCTACAACGCGGGCTATGCCGCGGCGGCGGCGTACATTGGTGCCCCGAAGGACGAGATAGGTAACATAACCCCCTTTCACCCCCACTCGTAAATCGAGAGCACCCTCTCGTGGACAAGGCAGCGGCTAGTTGGTCTCACACAAACACATACACATACGCACCTGAACCACAGTGCTCGGCCCGTCCACCACACAGCTGTTTCGAAACGTCTCATACGCCCTGTCGTCCTTCCAGCCCGGCGACGAGGTCGTAATCTCAGTGCTCGACCATGAGGCCAACATCGCCCCCTGGCTCGATCTGGCCGAGCGGCAGCAGCTGGTCGTGAAGTGGTGGCATCCCTCGCAATCGTCTAGCAAATCGAACCCGAAACTCGCCGCCGAAGACCTCGGCCGGCTCCTCAGCCCCAAGACCCGGCTTGTGACCTGCACCCACGCGAGCAACATCCTCGGCACCATCCACGACGTCGCGGGATTTGTCCAGATGGTGCGCGCCAGCGCCAGCCCGGACGCCCTCGTGGCCGTCGACGCCGTCGCCTATGCCCCCCACCGCAAGATCGACGTCAAGGCGCTGGGCGTCGACTTCTATTCCTTCTCGTGGTACAAGGTCGGCTGCTGTGCTCTTTTTTCACTCCCCTTTCTGTCTCTCTCTCTCTCTCTCTCTCTCTCTCTCTCTCTATCTCTCTGTTACAGCAACAGAGTCAACATCCACCCCCTTCCCACCTCTTTTCCTCCTCCACCACTCCCTTTCTCCTCCCCTCCTCCTCCTCCTCCTCCTCCCTCTTCAGTTCCCTAACCCCCGCAACCAACCACAGGTCTACGGCCCACACATCTCACTACTCTACGCCAGCGCGCGCGCGCAGGCCCGCCTACGCTCCCTCGGGCACTACTTCAACGCGCACGCGACGCTCGAGAATAAGCTCGGACTCGCCGGGTCCAACTACGAGCTGGTGCACGGGATCCCCGCCGTGGTGGACTACTTGCCCGACAGCAAATGGCCCGGCATAACCGCGCAAGAAAGCAAACTACAAACGGCGCTGCTGGCATACCTAAACACACAACCCGACGTGACCGTGTGGGGCGAGCCCGCCGGCGCGGACCCGGGCGCGCGCGTGCCGACGGTGAGCTTCACTGTCGCCGGGCGCAGCTCGCGCGCGCTCGTCGAGGCCGTCGAGCGTGACTCGGCGTTCGGCTTCCGCTGGGGCAGCTTCTACTCGGTCCGCCTCGTCGAGCAGGTGCTCGGCCTCGACGCGGGCGACGGTGTTGTGCGTGTGAGTATGGTTCATTACAATACTGGTAAGCTCTCTCTGTTTCTCTTTTTTCTTTTGGTTTTGGGTTTAGTTTGGGCCTCTGGGGTGCCGTAGACTAATCAGCAAACCCCTTTTCGTGACACAGTGGAAGAAGTCCAGGCGCTGGTTGCGGCCATCGACAAGGTCTTATCTAGGGGCCAGCAGCTGTAGGCGTGGCTGGGCTGGACGGTTTCGTTGTGGAAGAAGAATCATGGGGTCTGGATTTTGTAGCAGTGGCTGGCAACTATCGTGTCAAGCTGAAACATGGGGTTCTAAATATCGTAGGGACGACGAGTGTGGATAGCTTTCGCTTAGAATATTACTCGATTAGCTATATTAATCTATATGGCTGCTCGTTTCCTGACAAGTATTTCTCAAATCGCGGCACACGTCTTGCGTATCGGCTGCGTTCAGGACGACATATATATATATATATGTATACCGAAGCTACACGGCGCGCCTGAAACCAGAGCGAGTCATTAAATCTACTCTACAGCTTCCCGTTTCTCTTGTCGACGGCTTCCCGGAGCAGGGCGATGACCTCGGCGGGGTCCTTGGCGCCAAACACGGCGCTGCCGGCGACGATGACGTTTGCTCCCGCGTCGGCGGCCTGGTCTATCGTGCCGGGCCCGAGGCCGCCGTCGACCTCGATGTTCAGGTCCGGGTACCGCTGGCGGAGCGCCTCGACCTTTGGCAGCTCCGAGGCCATGAACTTTTGCCCGCCGAACCCAGGCTCGACCGTCATGACGAGAACCATCTGCGAGAGAAGAAAAGAATTTCATATTAGCATATCGGGGGCTGCTAGCCTTGACGGCAAACGAGCCCAGTGTTTGTTTGGGGAAAAAAACAAGGAATCCGTCCAACTCACATCAGGACGCTCCTTCTCGTTGGGGCTGTCCAGCACGTCCCACAGCACGTCGACCTTGGTTCCCGGTTTGATGGCGATGCCGGCCAGCATGCCGTTGTCGTGGATGTAGCGGATCAGCTCGCGCGGGCTCGTCTTGAGCTCCGACTGGCCCTCGGGGCTCGAGGCGGCTGATGAGGAGGCGGCCTCGTAGTGGAAGCAGTACAGATCGCAGCCGGCCTTTTTGAACTCCGTGACCCACTTCTTGGGCTGTTGACGGTGAGACAGAAGAGCGGGCTGTCAGTCGGCGGTCACGCAATAACACGCGGCCTTGTAAGACGGGGGGCGGAGGGCGGAGGGCGGAGGGTGGTGTACCTCGGCAATCATCATGTGGCAGTCAAAGGTGCCCTTGCCCAGGCTCTGGGTCGGCCGGTCGACATGGCTGCGGATCTTGACGACGACGGGAGGGCCAAAGGTGAGATTGGGCACGAAATGGCCGTCCCTGGGCATTTCAGGTCAGTGCATGCCGTTGACCCAACTAGAGACATGAGTAAGGCCTACATGATGTCGACATGGAGCCAGTCGGCGCCCTGCTTGATGGTCCGGGCGCAGTCGGCGCCGAGGTCGGCAAAGTCGGCCGACAGGATCGACGGTGCTATGATTGCCGGGGGCGCCATTTTGCTATGAAAAGTAATCACCTTAAGGAAGATGCTCTGGGATCAATGGAAATCGAAGGTAGGTACTTGGTAGCTGCCCGCTGTGACAGAGTAAAGTCGAGCTCCCGTTCAGATTCGAAACCCCATCAACCTTTGGTGGGGGAGGAGGGGCAGAAACACCTATCGAGCGGGACGGAAGCCAAGGATCAATTGACAGGGGTCCAACGAAGTAGCGACAGTAGGACCCGCACTGACATCACCTGAGTGGGCACTGTGAGTGGGCAGCTGCCAGCAGCAGCTTTTGACGCTCAACATCCATCACCTCAACATTGTCATCCATTACTAGCGTGACGACATTGACGGCGGTGATGCTCGCGGAGCACCTCAGCCCATTGCGCGGGGAACCCTAAACGAGGCTCAATAGACCCAAAATTGAGCTGGTAAATTAAACTCAACGAGAATGGCGGGGATTCTCTCATATATACCGCTGGTTAACCGGCTGGTGGCGCCTGGCGCGGCGGCAATCGACATTGCGCCGGTCGAGGTGCACGACACGGCGTCCAACGCGGGCAATAAGGGGCGGAGGCTCCTCAACCACCTCCTCAGGGCCAACCACGTGAATCACTCCATCATCTACCACAGCCTGCAGTTCGACAACCACCTGCCGCACATCCTGTGCTCGGCCTACCTGCTCGGCGCCCAGCCGTCCCAGATGCACCGCATCTACGAGGTCGAGTCGGAGAGCTTGGAGCCCTGGAAGGACTCGCCGTCCGAGATCATCGAGGATGACTGGCGCGACTTCCTGGGCGACAAGCGCTACCAGCGCGCCTATGTCGACTTTTTCGAAGACACCCTGGCCATGAAGTTCAAGTACGACTGGAAAAAGGTCATCGAGGATTACGTGCTGAAGGGCCCCGAGCCCCTGGTCAATGGCCTCATTGGCGGCCGTACGTTGCCACGGGAAACTTGGCAGTAAACATCCCCTCGGCTAACACGCAGGCATAGTTGGCCACCCCCTTATCCACCTTGGGTATGCTTACGAGTTTGACAACCGAGAGATTGCCATGGAAGCCCTCGGACTGGCGGCTACCCAGTACAACTTTCTCCACAAGTACCTCGACGATGCGTCGTACACCAGGAAGCCGGCCTTCACATCGACGTCGCCGACCGAGCTGCTGGACAAGATAGCCCGTGACGGGCGGTTCGACGGCATCTTCACTGAGCCGGGATACGACAACATCGAGCCGCTGTTCGAGGAGCACGAGTCGCTGGTGCTGGAGTACTGGAACGCGTGGGAGCTCGCCAACCCCGTGGAGCAGTTCCGCGAGTCGCAGGAGGCGGCCGTCGCCCTGCTCGTCGCCACGGTGCCGCCCGGGACGCACGCCTACAACTTCTTCATCGTCCACCTCCTCACCACCAGCCACGCCGTCCGGATCCTGCTCCCCCTGCTCCCGGCAAAGTTCCACCTCCCCCTCGTCCGTCAGTGGTGGCTCCTCACGCTGGCCGTCTACGTCGCCGAGCTGCGACCCGAGATCGACCCCGACTACATCCCGGCCGACCTCAAGGGGAAGGGCTGGCACTATGTCGAGACCAAGGCGCTGGAGTCGGAGTGGGCCATGGATGCCCACTATGTCAAAGGTAAGGCTGTATTTTGGCATGTCTCTTTATGGAGCCATCACTAACGCACCCGTAGCCATTCGTGCCATCAGAGAGGCGGCCCGGACCTGGGGAGACGTTCACGACCGGTATCTTGCCGCCGCGGTTAGATTCGTGAACGATTTTGAAGGCTGGACACACTAACAACCCCCCCCCCCCCCAAAAAAAAAGTTGTCTATCTATTGCTTGAGGCGATATCCAGAATGTTTTTCCAGAGCTCTGCTGCCTCCTGCTTGGCGTTACATACCTTGGAACCATGTTTAGAATAAAATGACAATTTTCCGGCCGATACCAACAAAATGTAAAAACCATCCATCTAGTAAGTAAGTAATGCGCGATTCCTGGCCGAAGTTCATAGTGTCCGAAAATCTGGGGGTTTCAAAAAGAAAAGCAATGATTAAGCATAATATTTCTTCTTCTGAAATGGTGTGCACCTGTTGAGTTGGCTATTTCGTGACATGTCATTTCGAGGGTTTTATGTAGCGGCTTGTGAAAAGCACTCAACGCGAAATCGACGAGTCGCGTCTTGGGCGATGAGCGCCACTCTAAGGGTTAGGGTCAGCGATTAGCCGTTTCCGCAAGGCTGAACCCCTGCAGCAAGCTGCGAGTCTAGCTGTGTGCTGTGGCCTGCGGTGCCTGCTCAGTGCTGTTATTGTTTTTTTCGTCGCGCCAACGGCGGTTTTCAACCACGTCCAACATCCAGCAACGCCATTGAACCCAGACAACGTCTGCATCTCGCTATGTGACAAATACCGTATCGTGCAAACTGCAGCATTCGGAATGGAGCCGCCGGGAAAGCGACGGAAGCGGGCAATTGTCGACGATTCCGACGGTGACGGCGACGGCGACGGCGACACCATAGAAAAGCAACCCACGTCGTCCAAAAACACCCTGAGCCGCTTCCTGTTTTCCTCGCCCGACGCACGCCAGGCCCCCAAAGCAGCAACCGCCGGCGGAGATGTCGCCGACTCTCCCAGTCCCGTGCCTGCCCGGAAGGTCACGCGCGCCGTGGCATCCAAGCCACAGCCCCCGGCGAACTCGCAGCCTGCTCCCTCCTTCGCGAGCCGTCTCGCCAGGAAGGCTCCGACCAAAAGCCCCAGCACCAGCCCAGACAAGTCGCGGACACGGGCGCAGAAAAAACTCAAGCTCGAAGAGAAGGAGAAAGGTAAGACAGCAGACCTGAAGACGCTCTTCTCCAGGCAGGCGCAGAGGAGCCAGCCGTCGTCGTCCTTCCCGGGCGCCCCCAGCGCCCCCAGCGCCAGCGCCAGCAACAGGGACGCAAGCAACCCGTTCGCTCTCGACGACCTTATCAGCGACCCCATATCCGACGACGACGTGCCCCTCTACAAGACGGCGTCGGCGTCGAGCATCGTTGGCAAGGCGGCCCATAAGCGGTTCAAGGAGGCCGGCGGGTCCCAGCCCGGGACCGTCGTGAATCCAGCAGTGGGCCAGAGGTTCCTGAAGCAGCAGCCCAAGCTCCCCGGGGGCGCAACAGCAGCGTCCAACGACGGCGACGCGCGGCCGTGGTCGGAGCGGTTCGCTCCCGTCAACCTGGACGAGCTGGCGGTGCACAAGAAGAAGGTGGCCGATGTAAGGAGGTGGCTCGAGGACGTGCTCAACGGGCGCATGAGGCAGCGGCTGCTCGTGCTGAAGGGTGCTGCCGGCACCGGTAAGACTACGACAGTGCAGCTCTTGGCCAAGGACATGGGCTGCGAGGTGCTTGAGTGGAGAAACCCGTCCAACTCGTACGGTGTCGCTCAGGGATACCAGTCAGTGTCTGCACAGTTTGAGGAGTTCTTAGGGCGTGGCGGCAAGTTTGGCCAGCTCGACTTGGACTCGGATACGACTCCACCTCCTCTGCCTACGCCGACCCAAACCGAGTCTGCAAAAGTGTCAGATCGAAGATTGATACTAATTGAAGAGTTTCCAAATACTTTCATGCGGTCGTCAACCGCCTTGACGTCCTTTCGGAACACGATATTACAGTTCCTGGCGGCAAACACACCCGCCCTCGCAGGCTATGGGCAGAGCTACTCGTCGGAGCCCGTTACGCCGATTGTCATGGTCATATCGGAGACGCTGCTTACGACCACCTCAGCATCGGCCGACAGCTTTACGGCACACCGGCTACTTGGCCCAGAGATCCTCCGGCATCCCGGGGCCGGCTTGATCGAGTTCAACTCCATTGCGCCGTCGCTCCTTGCGAAGGCTCTGGAGCTCGTGGTGCAGAAGGAAGCCCGCAAGTCCGGGCGTCGGCGCACCCCCGGCCCGCTTGTCCTCAAGCGCCTGGGAGAGATTGGGGATGTCCGAAACGCTATTGCGTCTCTGGAGTTTCTCTGCGTCAAGGGAGATGACGATGCCGACTGGGGGTCCAAGGTTGTGTTTACGAAGCCCAAGAGGGGAGCCAAAAACATCCCGGCGCTGACCAGGGGCGAGCACGAGAGCCTCCAGCTGGTCTCGCAGCGCGAGGCGACGCTCGGGATATTCCACGCTGTGGGGAAAGTGGTGTACAACAAACGAGGGGATAAGCCATTTCCTCACGGGTCGGTCGAAGCAGCAGCAGAAACGCTGCCCGGCTACATGGCAAACCTCTCCAGGCCTAAGAGATCCGAGGTCTCGGTCGACACCCTGATCGACGAGACCGGGACCGACACGCACACCTTCATATCTGCCTTGCACGAGAACTACGCCCTTTCCTGCGAGCAGAGCAACCCGCTAGACCCAGGCACTTCGCTCAACCACGTCAACGGCTGTCTCGAGTACCTCTCCGAGAGCGACTTCCTCTGCCCGTCCTGGGACGTGTTCTTTGGCGGCAAGGGGTTTTCGGGCGGATACATGGGCAAAGACTCGGGCAGCCACATCCTGCGGCAGGACGAGATGGCGTTCCAGGTCGCCGTCCGCGGGCTGCTGTTCTCGCTGCCGTCGCCCGTGAAACGGCAGACGCACCCCACCGGCCGTGGCGGCGACTCGTTCAAGATGTTCTACCCGGCCTACCTCAAGCTATGGCGCGCCAAGGAAGAGCTCGACAGCGTCGTCGACATGTGGGCCACCAAGATGCTCAGAGGCGAGGACGGCGGGCCGGGCCCACCGCGTACCGGCAGCAGCGCAGCGACGACGACGGCAGCATCGCTCAGCAACGGCGCGTCTGCGTTCCTTAATAAGAGTAATAGAATGGCTGGCACGGGAGATCGGTTTAGAAATGCCGGAGCGTCGTCTGCTGCGGCACCAAGCCAGGGTCTAGGCCGAGTGGTGAAACCGGAGCCGCAAGAGGACACGGTCTCTGCGCCGCTCCTCTCTCTCGGCACCGCGGGGCGGCAGGAGTTTCTGCTCGAGCGGCTCCCGTACATGGCGCACATTGCGCGCCGACGGCGAGGAAGCAATGGCGGTGGTGGGTTCGGGTCCATGCGGCTCAGGGACTTTGACAGGGTGGTGTCGTTTCAGGGCATCGGGGCGCCGAGGGCAGAGGACGACGACGACGACGACAACGACGACAACGGGCAGGACGGCGGCGGCGGGGGGGGTGCGGCTGGCGGCGACACGTCCTGGGCCACGGACAAGCCCACGGAGGAATCGGCCAGCCCGCGCAAGAAGAGGCCGCACGGCCTCGGCGCCATCCTGAGCAGGTCCAGGACGGCCAAGAGCGACGGCGACGACATGGCGCCGGCGGCCAGCCTGCTGCCGATCCAGAGCCTCGTGCTCAGCGACGATGATATCGAGGACGATTGATTGATTTCTCTCTCTCTATCTTTGGGAGGGGGGCAGGCAAACGGGAGGCGTATGGGCATGGAAATGGACACGGATGGACACCAAGCAGGCCTATTCTTCCTTTTCCTTTTCTCTCTTTGGGGCAGAGACTGCACTGCACTGAAATAGGGGAAACTCAACTAGATACTCTGCATAGAGACCTGTTCGCGTCCCCTTGTTTGTGCACACATACACGAGCACTTTCTTTAATGAGGATATATACGCGACGTACAGAGTATGTATGTATTTATGTGTAGAGAAAAGCAGAAAGCAAGCAGTTCCCAACTCGGTTTTGAAGAGAGAGCGTGTGGTGCGCTGCAGCTGTTGCTGTTGCGGATGAAAAGGAACGTAGTAGAGAGAGGTTGTGCTCCTTTTTTTGAGAGAGAGAAGGTGGGCAGCAAACAAACACCATGAGAAATATCCCGATTGCCGAGTCGTTGGCTGGCTGGCGGGCTGTATCTTTAGAAATCGATGCATGATGATGGATTCAATTAAAGCATTGCAGTAAATGCGTGCACTCTATTAATCCTGTTTCTTTTTCCGTGTCGAGTGCGGTGCTTGTGAAAGGCTTGTCAAAATAAGTGTTCTGTGAAAGGGGCAAGCGACGGCGGCGATACTCGAAAAGAATAGGGGGTTGATCAATTATTATAGTGAATGGCGCACTAAACTTTGGGGGTTGGAAGGGGGGTCTATCAGTGGCAATTTTAGAGTCGCATTATCGGAGTAGGCCCGCCCATTCCGAACTCATTTCCTGCCTTTTACCGGATGTGACCGTGGGTTGGCCTAAGAAACTCCATTTCTCAATCTTTGGAACAAACTCTTCTGGAGAGATCCGGAATTCGATTCATATTTTTGCCCAGTTTTCTTTTTTCTTTTTTGTTAATCGTTTCTTATTCTCTGCTGATTCTGAGGCTCGCAAAGTGTTCTGTGTGGAATGTACGTTGGTTCTGGATTTTACCGAATCGAAATGTGGTGGTTTGCTGCATCGTTAGGGGTTCTTTCCGTCTCCAGTTTTCACGCAGAGTACATCGTGAGGCTTGAGATGAACAAACTCGGCGAGGGAGACGGTCTTTGCAGACTCTAGCCTCGAATTAGCTATAGATAGGCGTGTAAATAGAGCCATCTCGGTTTTGGAGTTTCCACTTGTTCTAATATACATGCTTTCTTGTTCAATGGCATCCGCATCGTGGCGATTGTGATGCTGGAGAGCTCTCTCATTGAAGAGCGCGCCTCTCGGTATCCGTACTCCAGATTGAATGAACCCCAGCAACCTGCAAGCTTGCGCTTCAATTAACACAGTATTGCTTCAATCGTCGGTAGACGTCTTTCCCAGCCCTCACTTCCAGTTGGCAACCCCGGATTTGGGTCCCAGGAAAAGACATCTCACGCGCCCACTAGCCGAATGCGGCGTGCAACCCCCAAAAGCATAAATTGAATGAACTACTGTAATGCAACGGGACCCCGACGGGAGGAGCCTCCTTCTGCACGGGTGCGCCCAGTCGCACGCGCGGGGTCGGGAGAGTCGTCTTGGCCGGGCTCCAGCTTGCAACCTCGGCTCGTTGTCTGCGTGCCCTGCCCGGTTTCGTCGCGGCCGCGTTCGACGGGAGACTGGGGAGCAACCGAGGGCAGAGACGAGACTCGGAAATGCGAACTCGGCCGGCCAGAACAGGTGTGACTGCTGTTCAGACTCCACGTCCGGTGTTGTCAATTGGCGTCAATACGTTTTGTTTCATTGGCTGGCAAGTGGCGGTGGCGGGTTGACAGACAGGGCAAGAGCAACAGCGACAGAAACAGCAACAACGACACGCCAAGACTCCTCCATTCCGATCTCGATCTCGATTTCGACAGGCTCCAACTCCAACTCCAACTCCTCCAACCTTTTTTTGCAGTGAGAGAGAGAGAGACGACGACAGCAATGGCGGGACGCGTTCGCCAGCCCATCAATGTCCGGGCGCTCGAGGCGTGGATCGCCAAGTCGGTGCCCGAGATCGAGGTGCCGCTCGACGTCAAGCAGTTCGGCTTTGGCCAGTCCAACCCGACGTACCAGCTTACGTCGCCCGACGGCCGGCGCTACGTGCTGCGCAAGAAGCCGCCCGGCGCCCTCGTCTCCAAGACGGCGCACAAGGTCGAGCGCGAGTACCGCATCATCGCCGCCCTGGCCGCTACCGACGTGCCCGTGCCCAAGGCCTACTGCCTGTGCGAGGACCCTAGCGTCATTGGTACCCCCTTCTACATTATGTCCTTCCTCGACGGCCGCATCTTCGAGGACCCCGTCATCCCCAACCTGCTGCCCGACGAGCGCCGCGCCATCTGGGCCGACGCTATACGCGTCCTCGCCAAGCTGCACCGCGTCGACCCCCGCGCCGTCGGCCTCGAAGCCTTTGGCAAGCCCTCGGGCTTCTACACCCGCCAGGTCGCCACCTGGCGCACCATCTGCGACGCCCAGGCCAGCGTGCGCGACGTCGAGACCCACGAGCCCGTCGGATCCCTCCCCCACTTTGCCGACCTCATGGACTTTTTCGCCGACGAGGCCCAGCAGCCTGTCGACCGGGGCACTCTTATTCATGGCGACTTCAAGATTGACAACCTCGTCTTTCACAAGACGGAGCCGCTGGTCATTGGCATTCTGGAGTGAGTACACAGGCCGCGGGTTCATGAAGAGTCACTGACGGTCTCTCTCCTTTCCTCTCGCCAGCTGGGAAATGTCCACCATCGGCCACCCCCTATCCGACCTGTCCAACCTCCTCACGCCCTACTTCACGGCCCGCCTCGACCCGTCCAGGAGCATTTCGGTGCACACGGGGTTTCGGCCGCGCGCCACGCGCGGCCTCCCGACGCCCGAGGAGATCTCGACGCTCTACTTCTCCGTCGTCGACCCCCGCACCCCGGCCTCGCAGTCCTCGCTCGAGCTGTCGCTGACGCGCCAGACCCCCGGCGAGCCCGACCGCCGCCGGGAGCTGCAGTGGGCCCAGGCCTTCAACATCTTCCGGCTCGCCGCAATCTGCCAGGGCATTGCCGCGCGCCACGCCGGTCGCCAGGCGAGCAGCGAGCAGGCGCGGCGCTACGCCGACTCGCGCGCCCCGCTAGCCGAGTTTGCCTGGGAGCTTGTGCAATCGACCCGCGCTGCCGGCGCCGGCGGTGGTGGTGGTGGTGACAGTGGGAGTAGAGGATCCAACTCGAGACTTTGACATGACATGAACATGAACATTGCATGACGGGGGTGAAAAATTATGGTGCGTGCGTGCGCGTGTGTGTTGGTTTACCGAGGGGAAAAGATCATTACATCTCTTCAAAGCATCTTGCCGGCGTTGCTTGTATATATCCACACCTACATAAGCATTCATATCTTTTTTTTGGTGACGGTTTCTCTTTTGTCAGGACACCGGTATCTCGGAGAATCCAGCTTGGCATTGTTGGTGTTCTCTCTTCGCAGCACTCGGCGCAGGTTCTTCACATTGAAACCCGACATGTTAAACCATCATGCCCACTGGCGCACTGATACGGAACTCTTGCCTTTTTCTCCCTCGGCACGCCCACGCAGTTGCAGCTCTCGACTGTCTTTGCTACCTACCTCGGTCGACTGCTATGTCGGCAGACACGGCTGAGGCGCAGATAGGCTTTCCGAATGGATATCTTAAACATCCGCCGCTTCAAGTGCCATCCTTGGAGGTATTTTCTCAGCCGATATTCCGCATGCCATTCTATAAAAAAGAAAATTAGAACACAAAAACTAGAACGGGGGAAAAAGGGAAAAGATAAAAAAAAGCAAGATCTAAAAGAAATACTACAAACCACCCCGTAGAAGAACACAAAATAGGATGACAACACGATAATAATAAAAAGAATAGATCAAAAAAAAGACTTCAGACCGAAAAAAGCCCATAAGACGAAAAGGAGAAAAAGACAAAAAAACGAAACATTATGATCAGACCCGGGCTTGAACCGGAGACCTTCAGTGTGTTAGACTGACGTGATAACCAACTACACCATCCGACCAATCATCGATGCATAGCAAAGGAAATAGGGTCCCTGATATACCTACCCAGCATTCATTGCATGCCTGCAATGGAGCCAGCCTTTGCGACTCTACAGAATACACCCTTTTCTTTAAATTCCCTTCTAAGCTCACAGATTCAAGCGCGTGAATTGCATCCGCTATGCTAATTACGGATACTTGGGAGTATGTATTCTCTTTTACCAGCGGGACATATTCGGGTTTGCCCGTCCATAATGAGGCCGGTACGCCAGGACTGCCCGACACATGACAGGCTGTAGAGGAGAGCAAGTAAATGCTTCATCATAGGAATGTCAAGCGTTTTTGGATAGACGAAGAAATAATTACCGGCATCAAGGTTGCTTTCTGTGAAATTGTTGGTCGATTGAGGTAGTTGGCCGGAACACATGGCCTGTGTCGTGAGCCCCACTACGGTTGGGTTTGGGCATCCTTCCAAAGTCGCTCAAGGCGTGGGTTGGTCATGATAGATATAGTCCGTTAATTGGGATGAGAAGTGTTGGGGCTTTACGAGACTGCAGAGTGCAACGAACAGCCGCTGGCCTGGGGTACTTTGCCGACAAAAGCGAACCCTCGAGGGTAATAGACACACACGAGCGCGGCCTTCTTTGCGGCCCAAACCTCTGCGCATGCAAGGCGTTGGGTTGCACGGGAATGAAAGGCGCCATCGTGCTGACTCGGTTTTTGGTTTTGGATACGTTCGTAAGGCAGACCCTAGGAGAAGTCCAATATCTTTTGGCCCCGAGTTCTGGGCATTGTCTGGCGCCGCATCGTCAAGGCGGCCGGCGCATCATCGTCTGAAAAATAAACAGGCTTGCTACCGACAGACGGCGAGATACTTTCCTTTGGCCAGGAAGGCGCCAGGCCTGCAGTCGGCTCGGTCAGGAAGGTCGGCTCAAGTGGGCAGGTGGGCAGCGCAGTCAAGGTGAGGCAGGTTCGGCTTTTTCTATGCTCTCGGCCACGTCATATTTCAGTTGGTTGAAACACCTCCAAGACAACTGCAGGCGGAGAGTATCGCATTGGACCATGTAGAAAGTGCATTGGTAAAAATTAGTAACTAAACTGGAGATGGAGCTAGGCTCGGGAAGTGAGTAGCAAAGGCAAGCAATTCAATGTCGTTCAATTATTTCACTTTTTACTACGCCGTGGCACATGCTTAATTTTCTTCATTTTAGTGTGTGAATGGTGATGGTTATAAACCCCGTAGAAGATGCTCCTAGAGTAGAATAAAAAATACAAGTAGAAGTTCATAAGTACGTGGCAGTTCACAAATAAGGCACACTGGATTTCGTCGCCAACGACATCTATAGGAGCTGTTTTGACCAAATACTCGTCAGATAGCCACACGCTAATATGATATGGTAACCACATTCACGGCCTGATCCAAGGGAATCACTGGATCAAAGGGCCTTACTTGATACTGTAACGACAATAGCACTATCTAGCACATGAACATACAACACCCCTTATTTTCTCGGGAGCCTATACTTGCCGCCCACGACCTCGAGCTCGCCGTCTGCAATCTTTTCGCCCAGGAACTCCTGCAGCTCCTCGTTGCTCCACGGGAAGCCGTCCGAGATCAGCATCTTCATCATCATGGCCATCTGGCCGAGCGGCATGGTGGCGCTGGCGTTGGTCAGCATGCCGCAGATGTACTGCCAGTACATGGCACGACGCTCCTGTTCCTTTGCGCTGGCTCCCGCCGGTTTGCCGCCTGCCGTCTTGCGCGGCGGCTCGCCCCCGTCTTCCTTGTCTTCTGCTGTTGACATGGCGGCGCCAGGCTGTTGCCCGGCTGCCGATCCAGACGAGCCTGCGTTCGCCGCAGACGATGAGTCCGCATTCGCCGCCGCCGCGAGCGTCTCGGCCACAGCATACACGTCGTGCTGCACGTGGCGGAGGATGCCCTTGGCAACCCAAAAAGTGAGAGCTGCAGCGATCATGTCTTCGTCCATCTGGAGTTGAGCGTACAGCTCGTCAACAGACCGACGCACCGACGAGTTTCCGTCTTCGGCGTCAGGGTCTTGGAATGCGTAGATAACGGTCGCTTCCACCGTTGTACAGTCGACCGTGACGGAGCGGTCGCGCAACTCGAGCTCCACGCGTGCCTGGCCCAGCTGGTTCAGCCAGGTGAGCTTGCGACCCGACTTGAGACCCTGATAGCCAGACTCGTACCGCTTCTGCTCCTCGACGATGGGGGTCGGCAGGAGGAAGTGCTCGCGGTCCAGATTCGGCCAGAAAAGCCGCGACAGTATCCGAGCATGGTACTCCATCTCTTTTGCCCCTTGCGCTGATAGTGCCTGGTCCATGGTCTGGCCGGCCACATTTTGTCTCGCAGCGGGGTTCGATACACCCGGCGTAGCCGGTGATTTCCCCTCGTGCCTATCCTTGCGCTTCCGCCGGATTAGGGTGTCTACCTTCCGCGAGTCCCTTACATCCTTGATCATGACATCGCAGTTCTGCAATGCAGGCTCGCCGAAGCGGCGCTTTAGCAGGTCGAGGACCCGCAACTCTTGGTCAAAGTTTGCCGGGTCCGTCAGCAGCCGGTCCGCGAGCACCGAGGCAAACTCCTTGATGAAGACGTCCTCGCTACCCAGCGCCGAGATAAGCGTGCCGATGACGTCCTCGCTCTTGGGCCGCTTATAGTTCGCGCTGGCATCAACAGGGTCTGGAACCCACGTCATGTCGTTCCAGTCGAGGTCCTCGTCTTCTGGCGAGGCACGGCGAGACTGCAGCGGGTCGTTCAAGATCAGAGAAAGCTCAATAAGTTTGGTAGAGGACAGATCTCGAGCTGCCTTTTCGGCGTCCCCGGGCCCTGCTTCAGGGGTGCTGTCTCGCCGTTTTCTCGTGCCAGGTGTCTCGCGGTATCCTCCACCTACGGCAGGCGTCACGAAGGGGCCCGGTTCAGGCCCTCCCCGATTCCCGGTGCCGGTATGGCCTGCCTGAGAACGCCTCTCCATCGGCTTTTTCGCCGTCTCGTTGTACTTTCTCGCGACGCGCAGCTCCTCGGCGCTGGCGAGCAGGCCAGTGACTACAATACGGACGGCATCCTCACGCTGGCACAAGTACAGCTGCAAGCTCGACTCTACATGGCCTAGAAGAACCTTGCTGTGGTCTAGGGCATGTAGTGTACGGATTATGGCAATATAGGTGCGCAGAATCTTGAGCGTACTGTAGCCCGGGTGGAGTAGCCGAGTCTGAAGGGTATGCGAGAAGCTCGCCGTAAGTTGCAGACGACGAGCTGTGGTGGTGATTGTAGCACGCAGATCATCCAGGGCTCCGCGCGAGGAGGGCCATGCTAAAACAATATCAAAGAGCTCTGATATGCGGAGAGCGGCCAGGCGACCAAGAGCCAGCGACTGATATGTCTTGACATCCGATAGCTTGACAGGCGAGGCAGCCCCTGGGGATACACGCGACAAGACTTCCAGGCTGAGGCGTGAGAAGTGGTTCTCAACCCAGTCGCCGAGCGAGAGTATGCAAGGAGAAGTAAACGAGGCACCCGCTGTCCGGGATATTGTGTTCATGGCCGTGGCAGCTGAGAAGCTTTGGGTGTCGGACGCACTCCAAACTCCGGCATAGGCTCCCGTCACAAAGTCGGACATCATCGAGTCCATGATCTCAGCAAACAGAATCTGGAACCGCTCTCCTGCCAGTCCCACATTGTGTAGCTGCTCGACGAGCTCATGTAGGCGTTGCCTCGTAGCTATGGCATTAAGGTCATCGTCCGTAGGCGGTGCTAGCCGCTGGGACGATCGTACGGAGCCAATATCATTACTGTCATCCCCGGACGGTATGCCGAGGATTGTGCCCGTGAGACGCACGAGGACGATACTTACGGACCTCATCAGCTCCGGCGAGGCCGAGTTGCCGACGAGGGCATGTATATCCCGGCGGAAGCGTGTTGCAATAAGCTCGGGATCTACTACTAGTGGCTTGCCGGGGCCGTTGGCGACGGCGAGCTTGTGGAAGCCCCTTACGAGCATCCCGAAACCGTAGAAGTAGAGCCTTAGTGCTGCCTCCAGGGTCCGGATACTGCTCATGACGATCACCATGTGGCGCTCGTAGTAATCCCCTCTCCTCCCGGTGCCACGGTAGCGGCCCCTATTCTCAGCCCCTGGCTCGTCGCCTTGGTCGTCAAGGCAGCCAGACAAGAGCGGGACCACGTGCTGGGCAAAGTGGGAGCGGGCCTGCTGGGCGTGCCAAGCGACAACGTCCTCTGTGTGGGTAGCACGGGGCAGGAGAGCAGGGGCCTGGACGATGAGGGCCAGAGCATCGTAAAAGTCGACATCAGAGGTGTAGGCTTGGTGTGGCAACTGCGAGTCAGGGGGCAAGGTGCCAAACGAATCATCAGCTGTCGCCGACGCTGGTAGGGCAATACGGGCGGTAACGACATGCCATGCTCGATCAAAGACAACTTGGTCATCCGCCGCCGTGGCCAGTGAGGGGAATAGGGGCTGTGCCAACTGAGACCGGGCATCAATGGTACTGAGCGACGAGGTGAGGGTGGGTGATAGTGCAGGGGACGGGTCTGCCGCGTCCAAAGGGGCGTGTGCGTGGGCTCGGCGAGCGTGTTGGTGTCTCTGCAGTAGGAACTGGACGTGGTCCTGGGTGGTGGCAGCAGCAGCTGCTGCTGCAGCAGACGAAGCTGCAGCAGCGTCTTGGGAGAAGATGACCGACGGCGTTGCTGTGCCGTGGCCATAGCGGTCCACGATTGGTGCCGCTGGGCCGCCGAAGGGCTGGCCCTGGTCGGGAAATCTGATACATGGAGTCGAGTGGGGGGTGGGCTGCGAGTCGTCTGTATGGAAGACGGACTGGAAGACGCGGCGCCGGCGCTGGGGCCACTGTGAAGCAACAGCAGCCGACATGGCAGATGGAAGGCCGGTTCTGGCAGCGACAGCGAGATACTGTTCTGGGTCTGGGTCTGGGTCTGTCTCTAGTCAAGGTGCCACAAAAAGCCGGCCGGGAAGCCGGCAGATTTGCGGTCCTGGCGCTTGCTCCTAAGCAACTATTGAAGGCGGGATGCCGATCTGCGGCCAAAGACGAGCACCTCGATGGCTTCGATGGCCTTGATGGCCTCGATGGCCCGGGCTGATCTCGAGGGCCACGCACGAGAACCCCCCCCCCGCCCGGACGAAAAGGGACCGCGAAGGTGCCGGTGGCGTGACGGTAAGGTCGCCACGAGAGGGTTGGCTGCAGGACGATGCCAGGACGAGATGTCCCAGTGTCGATCCCAGAGTCGGTCGCCGTCCAGACTCCAACTCCAGCGTCGTACCCTAACCTTGGCTTATAGTACAGCTTGGATATTGACGTTTGATGTCAACGTCCGACGTCGTTAGGGCGGCCTACTCAGGCAGCCCGGTGGAAATGAAGGCCAGCCAGCTTCGGGATGGATGGCGAGCCAAGACCACTTCCACGCCGCACATAAACCAAGGTATCCGTACTAGTAAGTAGTGGAGTGGAGGGGAGGTGAGGGGATATTACTCGAGCATGCCAATCACGTAAGTAGGTAGGCAAAGTAGGTAGGTCGGCAGGTAGGTAGTCGCCGAATCTGGTGCAACCCAGGTGGTATGTGTGACGCCGACCGCGAATATTGCGACCCTCTAAGCGCGGAGATGGGCCGCATGCAGGGGGTAAGTAGCTATGTAGATAGCAAATAGACGAGGTGGGTAGCCGTAGCCGCGACAAGGAATCGGAAGTTGTAATTATCGCCGACGATGACAAAGGCTGCTAAGTGCCTGGCGTGGCCTAGGTCCCTTGTTCGCCTTGCCTGCTAGGAACGCTGCAGACAGACTGAAAGAGGTGGTAGGGTTTCTCAAATTATTGGGTTAATCTTGGTGGTGTGGGTAGTGTCTGGCGGTTTGGTGAGGGCACCCAGTGTGAGGGCCTGGTCTGAGCAGTAAGCTCCTACCTTAGCCTTGATCCGGTTCTATCTACCTCAGGTAGAGGACAGATTCATAAGGTAGGCAAGTACAGACGGAACTGAGCCGTGGCTGTCGATGGACAAGGTTAGGCTCAACCAAGGTGCTCCTGCTCGCCTCTCCGAGTCTGCGCGCCTGCAATGGCAATCGCGACCCGATGTCGATAGCCGCGACTTCCAGGTCCGTGGATCAGATTGAGATCAGATTCAGATCCTAGGGCGTCTATCGGGTGTCGCTTCCGTCGCTCGGCTCAAGTCCCAGTGCCCAAGATCTCCCTTGCTCGACCCCTTTCACTGCGGGCCCCGCGTGCTGCAGCCCTCGACTCCACGTTGACGAGCTGCCAGGATCTCTGTAATGAATTGATGCAAGGATAAGGACACACTCAATAGTGTCAACGGCAGCGGTTGTACAGCCTGGAGCGCAGGAAATGACGTCCTGCCCAGAGCTTCCCGGCAGGAGCAATCCGGTCAGTCCACGTCGATGGCGACTTCCCCCGGTAAGGTGGGCTGGTGGGGTGTTGAGGTGCCAAAACGGTAGCTTCGGCCCTGTGAGTGGTTCGAAAGGTTCCCGTGGTAGGTGCGGATATTCCGTACAGGTCAGTATCAAAACATTGGCAGCGGTGTGGCAGCCCCACCCCAAGCGGCGGCTACCCTATGCCGTTGGGTGTTAAAATTTGACTGTCTAAGCGCCCGTAGGATCGCGTTACTAACGCGGAATCCACCAATAAGCAGTGTCGCGCTTGAGAGGGGGCGCGCTTGTTAGAGCCGAGGAGGGCAGGGCTCGCCCAGGACTGGTGTGCCACCAGCCTTGTTGCTTCCACCAGTTCCAGCCGCGAACGCGCGCTTGCAGCGGATTAATGTCTCAAGGCGGCTAGGAGGCTGACCACAAACGTTAGCTCACACGCGCACCAAGGGGGGGAGGGGTGTGGGTGAGAACTTAACCTAGGTGCGGAGTGTACTTGCTCACGTTCGAATACCCCGTATCCAACCCAACCCTCTGGGACGCAGCAGCGGAATATGACTGAGAACCTTACCTGCGCGGCAGTGCGGTGAGCAGCAACGTCCATGGAAGTTCCTTCCATTCTGTGGCGCACGAGATTGGAGAGACGGTTGCTACCTGCATACAGCAACCAGCCGACGCTCTATGCCGCTACGGGACAACCCAAAGGAATTAGAACACAAGCGACCAGCCAGCCCCCAAAAGCGGCAAGCAGTCGCTTCTACTTTGACCTCTCGGTCCGTACTTTCCGTCTGTGCCTTGTGCCTGGGGGCAAGCTATAGCCACGACCCACGCCATCTCAGTGCTCGCTCCTTCCAGCTTCACATGGACGGTATCCGTAGGTGCATACCCCGCCGTTTCCGATTTTTTTTCTCTCTAAGTTCCAGGTTCTTTCTGCTGGTGCGGCACATGAAGCGCATCTGAGGCTATCTCCATTGTCTGGTGTGAATGCGAGTGTGAGTAATTACCGTGTGTTTCACACATGTTCCCAGTCCAGTCCAGTCCACTCACCTCCCTCGCCCGCCAGCCCTGGCCAGGTTTCCGTGCCTCAGGGAAATCTTTCTTCTTTTTCCGGCATCCCCTTTTCCCCCCTTCCTTCCTTCTATTCTATTTGCAATTCTTGTTTTTCCTGCGTGGCACCAGTGCTAGACGCCGCCACGCCCAGTAAGCCGGCTCGTGGGTCCAGCCACAGCAACAAAAGAAGAGTTGGAGGAAAGAAACGAAATATGACATGTTCGAGAAAAAAAGAGGAGACACATACTTTTGCCCCGGGCCTGCTTGTAGCTGCAGAACAATCAGCCTCTGACCTTGGGGTTATTTTTTCCTTCGGGACACCTTGCGTCTGCTTGCCTTGCGCACTCACTCACTCATCACCCGAGTACCTACCTACTCGTACACACTCTATTTCTGATTCGCACTATCACGGCCCCTTCTTGGCATCTAGTGCGTCGTGGTCCGTGTTTTTTTCCCCCTTCTCTCTCGGCAATCCTCCGGGACTTGCTGCCCGAGCTTTACGAGCCAAGTGTCTTGCCAGCCACCCGGTCGAATCTGGCCGAGGCCTATATCGGTGTCTGTTGCAAAGCTACGGGCCCGACATGGCGGCATCTCTCCTCTCCCCTCCCTTCCCCTCACCCCTCTCTGTATCCAAATAGCACACTACCTTGGGTTCTCTCTCTCGTCGGTCGTCCCACGGTCGAGACCCCAAACATCCGGTCACGAGAGGACCTGCTATGGAGCTCTGCCTCCTCCATCCCGCTTAAGCATTGCATCGCCCTCCTCTTTGACTGCTGCCTCGAGCCTTCCCCGCAAAGACATATGTGCTTTGTTGGGGGTATGATGTGATTGCTTGCTGAGTCGGGCCAGTTGGCTCAAGCCGGGTTGATTGCGTTCTTCCTGTTGCGTCAGTGATGCTTTGTCTCTATCTTTGCCCGTTCTCTCTGTTGGTCCCACGCCTTGGTGTATGTGTTGGGTACGGCTGTCGCCAACCCATCTCGTATCAAAAGTGGCGTATTTCTATGCCGTTGTGAGCCCCGGGGCCGTATCCCTCCGTTTCGGCGTCCATCTCGGGCGATGACGGCGATGCCACATGGCACGAGCTGCCAATGGGGAGGAGAGGGGAACCGCCTGCCGGCCTAGCACCACGCCCACTCTCACAGAACCGTCTTCCCGCATGTCAGGAGCCAGTGCCCGTACTATTTTTGTCTCTCTCTCCTGTCGATTGCAATGCGTTTTTTTATTCTCGTAGCGCCCAGATTCTGCTAGCTCGTGCCGGCAAGATGAGAAGTGTCGAATCCATAGTCTGTCCCCTCAGCGACCCCCGCAACTTCACCTTGGCTCTCGCGGCTCCGCTCCGTGCACACGTCAGTAACGGCACCGGCTTGACGACCGCGTCACCCTGTCTAGCTTACCTTCCTTCCAATAAACCTTGTGTCTCTGCAGCCCCGCCCAGGGCCCAGACAGTTTATTTTTCTTTTCTCTGTTAGGTTTAAACTTCTTCGGCAGGCAGGAAGCGGTGGCGGCGGGGGGAAAAACAAAGAGGAAGGATTCGAGTGGCGGGAGGAGCGGAATTGGCCCTTGCTGAGCCTGACTGAGGGCATAGGAGGGGGAAAATGGGAGCGGTATCGCGGGACAAACCGTCCCGACATACGAAACCTGGGACGGCAGCCTAGGCGGAGGACGAGGTTCTCCTCCAAGTTGCATCTTCCGGCCTTGTTTGCTCCTTTCTTTGTATCGCGGGTCGCTCTTCGGGACCATCTTGTCACCTTTTTCTCCGGTGCAGGAATATGACAGGACATAATGACCCATGAACCATGACCGTGACCCACCTAGGACGTATCCCATGCTCAAGCTATCAGAGATCTAGGAATAGCTGCTAGTTGGTTAGTTAGCCGGTTGGTCATGTATCTCATATATACTCGTGTATAAAGAAGTGGGAACCAGCCCACTAAGCCCAAGTTAGAGACCAGTCGATGATTCGTACGTGTGCCTGTCTTGGGTAGTAGGCGTCGGATCTAGATGGCTGACGGGTATCCTACACAGTAAGTAGTGTAGGATGGATGCATTTAGCTTTGCCTAGCGGTAGTTCCTGCGGCCAGATCATCTGGAAATTCTGGATAGTCTTCTCAGTCTGTTCCTTGAAACTTTTGACCAGTCGGTCAAGCAAGAGAATCTCGGCGGCGGTACTTGCCGACCCTCCGGCTTTGTTTGCTTGTTGTAAATCCGGCCAAGGAAAAGGAAAAACAAGGATGAAGAAAAGAAACGACTGCCTGGCAATGGTATGATATGCCAAATTGGAGCATTGCCAACAAGACTCGCTCGGCTATCTCCCTTTTGGGAATGCCGTCAAAGCCAACTATGGCGGCGGCCTAGATGTCGTTCCGTTCGTTGTGGTTGCTGTTGTTGGCCGGCAAAAGAAGACTAGGTAGCCTAAGGTGACTTTGCATGCGTGTATCCCCCCGGGGCGCTACTCTCGACCGTTACCCGTTATCCGTTATCCGTTATCCGTCAGTCAGTCGGTTATTGAGATCTAAAGACACCCGAGTCCAGTCCAAGCATAACGATAAAACGGGGCCTTGCTTGGCCGAACAAGGATCCATCCATCCATCCATCCATCCATCCAGCATCGAACACTGGATGAAACAGAAAAAGTAGGTATAGTATGTAGGTAGTATGTAGCATCGGAGAGGTGTTTTGTTATTTATTTATTACCATGGGTTGTTTCCACCGCGCCGTAGGCTAGCTTGCTTGCTGACTGCTACTACTAGTACTACTACTACTACTGCTGCTGCTGCTGCTACTACACCCACACACGTCTTGAGTCTTTCTTCCCCGTGTTCCCTTGTTGGGTCTTTCTGTTCATGTTCAATGTGAGGTAGTTTATAGAGTAGTACGACATGGGGAACCCCTTGTTCGCCCCTGGGTTTATGTCATAACCCTGTCAGAAGATCGACCGTTTGGACTCAAGGAAAAATGTCACTGTTCCCAGTTCCAGTCGTCCTATGATTTGCTGTAAGGTGCGTCTCCGCGGCAGGGCCCATATGTATGTCTATGTGGGAAGTTGGCGCAGACGAAAACCTCGCCCGAAAATTAAAATGAAAATAACCTCTTTGTCATTCGACTCTCCCTCTCCCGATATTTACCCTTGAGAAAGAGAAGAGAGAGCACAGATACGGGCGTGTGCGTGTGTGCGTTGGAGCAGAACGAAAAAAAAAAGAGCCAAGGGATGAACCGATAGGAACCATATCGCGGTTCTTATGTTGTCGTGCGGCGCAAGAGAGCTTCCATTCCCTTCTTCCGCTTCTTTCTGTGCCGCTGGATACGCCCCTTCCCCTCCCTCAGTGGTACGTTTCAAAAAAAAAAAAAAAGAAAAAAAAGTGAAGAACTTGATTCTCAAGTGCTTCCTCAACTACCCGATAGATAGATAGCAGCATCAGGCGGGCAGGCAGGGGGTCCGGGGTCCTAAGTTGCTGATGCGCATGGTCTGTTTGCACTTTGCACCTTTCTTTCTAGCCCCTCCCCCCACCCACCCCTACATGTCCTATAGTATCTGCATCCTCCCCCCCCCTTGTCAGTTCACTCCTTTCTGTGGGAGCGGGGAAAGGGGGGTTTGGCTACCGCCATGTTCTCGTTGTTGGTTGTTGCCAGGAAGCCTTGCTAAAGTAGCTAGATGAGACGGCATGTTCCGTCTCTGACAAGTGCGAAAAAATGTGGCAGGGTTTTGTTTTGGAGAGGAGACGCTTGTAACAAAAACGGCCCCCACTTTACGATTTGATCGGTCGGTGAACCTGAGCAGACCGACCGACCGACCGACGGACTGACGAACTGACTAATACCGAACTGGTTGGTTGGAACTTGGCTGAATACCGGTCCAGGAACAGGAACAGCAACAATAGCCGTGATCACCGGCAGCTCTGTGGTTCTACTGTCCGGCTCGTGCTTTGGGTTTTGTACGGACGCGTTGATGAAGAAAGAAAATACACAAGAATACCTACCTTGGTAGCCCTCCCGCCGCCCTGCTTCCGGGGATCTGCACTACTCCGATCTTTAAAAAAAAAAAAAAAAAAGTCTTCTGGGAACAACTATTTCTTGGGGGCTGCCCGAAGGCCCGGGACCCGGCTTGCGGCCCCGACCGGTCCAGACAGCAACTGCTTCCATTACTGGCCACAGCTGGGTATCACGGCAACATGACAAGGGGGAAGCTCTGGTTGGTCGGGGTGTGGTGCAGTTGCTAAGTAATCCCCAACGGTGAGATATCCTTGGCAAGCCAGCCCCAGCAACCCGATTCCGGAAGGTGTTGTTGAAAGAGAAAGAACGCCTGGGCGAAATACTAGGTAGGTATATAAGATTGCATATAATTACCAGCATGGATGTCAGAACCGGTAGTCGTAAAGAACAAATCGTCAGCACCTTCTATGGCGGGGGAGGGGCGTAACTTTTGGTCCGGTACAGCCTAGCCCGATGTCATGTCATGGCGTGCGTGTCTACATGCCCGAGTACCCGACCTGGAACTGGAACTGGAACTGGTACGATAAACGAACCTAGGGTAAACGAACCTAGGGGATAATTTCCGGGGCCGGGCAGCCGAAGAGGGAAACGGCCTAATCTTCTTTTCCTTCCATTTCACTTACCAGGTCCTGCAGGCCAAGCGTGAGGAACCTTATAGTAGCCGTCGATCGCTGCTGGTGGGCACGGGTTGTTGGGTTTGTGTATTGTGTGGTTGTTGTTGTCAAATTTGACACGGGTGCCAAACGGCTCTACCTAATCATGCACAACAGAATGTGGCTTGATATGGGGTGTATACCTACCGGTACGGGGCTGGACCATGGAGTGCCGTGCGTGGGCTTGGTTTGTGGTGGCGCTGATAGCTAGGCTTTTCCAATCAGAACATGGCCAGGCAATTGTGAAACAAAAACCTGCTGTTTCTTCAACACAGGCGCCCCTGCAGATTTTAACCCTGCATGATTGGGGGTGTGTTGCTGCCGAATGATAAAACTCAAACAGGACTAGCGTGATTCACGGACCGAAAGACGAAATCGGTTTGAACTGTCGCCAACCAACGCGCTTCTTGTTTGCCGTGATGCGCGACTTGAGGTTGCATGGAGATGTGTGTGATGGGTGTGATGGGAGTTTAGGTTGTTCTGTTTCTCTGCTGCAGCAAAATAAGCTCTCAGGCCTGTCAACTTCCCTTTGGGACCACGCCCGGATGATGGATATGATGGAATTTTTGGGTGGAAGCCGGGGGGGCCGTTGCGGGCCGGCGGGCTGCCCCCTCACAACTCCTTCCCCGAACGTAAGCTCTCCCGATTGCGCCCTACAAGGCCCGGCGGCTGCTGACAAGCGGGCACGCATGCCCTGGTGCTCGTCATATTAAGGTAGGGGAGTAAGATGAGTTGCGATTTGATGATGCGATGGGACGAAAGAGATGCGATGCTCAAACCAAACCTAGGATAGGCAGGTACGGAATGCGAATCATTGCCCAAGCTCCAACCCTGCCGTCGTCTTCGCTTTCGACCTGTTGGTAATAAAACTCGCACACACAAGATCAGAACAGTGTCCAACGAACGTGCGAGCGTCTTCACACCCGCGCCGCACGCCTCTTTTCTTTCTGCGACGAACAAATTTTCTAGTTCGTCATGCACAGAGACTCCACTCCATCCATCACCCGTCTCGGGTTTGACGCAGCCATCCATCTCATCTGTGAACCGGGCCAGCCTGCCAGCATCCGCGAGCGAACGGACGTCTGATCGCGGCAGCCGTTCTGAACAAAGAGAAAAAAGCTGCAGCCGAAAGCAGCCGCTTGTTGGGGGACTGCACTGCACTGCACTGCGCTGCAGCACATCGGGTCCGCAACCTCCATGGACCTGGAAAGCAGAGGTATCAGACAGGGTCGGTGCGTGCGCCGTGCGGTACCGACGGGAGCGAGACCGAGGGCCCGACCGAGTGGAGGGGGGTCGCGTCTCTTTCGGGTTGGTCTGCGCCAGTGCCCACCCACCACCGTGTCCATGCCTCCCACCACTAGCACCATCACCCACCCCAGGGAGCATTGCAGCCAGCCACGGCATTGGCCAGGGCCCGACACGCTGGGTTGGGGAAGGCCTTGCAGTTGGTCCACGGGGCTTGCAGGACCGAGGTGTGGCGCCGGTACGCTACGGTTTAACCCGTACTGTACGGAATTCTGTGCCATAAATCCCCCCACTTGGCCGCCACGGCGCGCTGACACGGGCTAAGTTTTTTGTAGCATAAGTGGGCCCGGTCTGCTCAGGAAATTCCGGGGCTTGCTATTTCCAGCGAGGCTGTGATGTGGAGTCGTTACCGCAACCTGGAGTTGAAGGCTGAGTTTGTGTTGGAACAAGCTACACACCAAAAAAAAAAGGTTGACTTCGCATTTTCAGTCAACAGCATTCTCTCCATCCCAATTGGCGGCTTCAATCTGCATTGGGGTGCGGCTCTTGACTAGCCCTCTTGGCGAGTGGCCTTTTTTGTTTATTTTCATCCTCAGGCTCTCGAGTCTCCACTGTCGAGTCGAGTCGAGTCGAGTCGAGTCGAGTCGAGTCTAGTTGACGGGCATGGCATGTCGTGCTTGTTGGTCCCACCGTGGCGACTGTTTGCCCCTTTCCCTCTACTTTTCTCCTGTGTTTGCTTCGCGGCGTGGTAGTAGATCCTATCATCGCATCTCAGCTTCCCGTCTATCCGTGGTACCAGAGGAAAAGATGGGATTGCCGTCAGAGTGATGTACTCTGGGCTGTTCTATCATTTCATCAACCACTGGTATTTTACCAGCCAGTGCTGCAGTCTGTCTGCACGCTCGATTTCGTAGTCGTCTGATTTCCTAGCCATGTTTCACTTGCCACGGGGTAGACATGATTGACCAGCTGCGCCGCTCAGAAAACGGTTTTCGAAGTGGCTCCGGACCTCTAGCCTCCTCCGTATCCGTACTCGCTACCTCTAAGAAAGACCAAGAGAATAGCGGGTGGTCGCGCGTCGTTAGGCCTCTTGACGGTAGCATTCTCGGGCCGCGGTTCTTGAAGCTGTATCTAGGCAACGGTTTTTGTCCCATGCTCCCCGCCGTTACACAGCCCGATGCGTTGGACACTGGGTATCTGGCGAAGGAGCAAGTAAAATGTTCTAGCCGCCAAGGCGGCCGTGGGGCGGCCGGAAAAAAGATGGCGCAGGGGAGGGCACAGAGCGAGAGTTGCTTGTCTGCTGTTCCGCAGCCGTACATTAACTCTCGGCTTTGCAGCCATGCTGGAACCCTTTCCACGTCACCCTCGTCACAGGACCCAGGTCCAGGGCAACTCTCCCGTGGGGACGCCTCGCCCTCGGGCAAAACCGAGTTGGGGTCGGTGTCTCTTGTGTGTGTTTGTTTCCTGCATCTTGTTTCAAGTGGCGTTCATGCTGCTATCGCTGTGCGTGGCCTTTTTGCCTTTGCCTGGGTGAGTGTTGTGTCGAGGTCGGTCCCGCTTGTTTGGTGCCTCCGCCGTGTCCAAGAAAAATTCCAAGCTTCCCATCAGGCCTAGAGGTTTTAGCTACCTTGCTAAGAATGCTAATTAGGAAAGGCGGTGGCCGCCGGCCCACCCGCCGCGGCCGCCAACCGCGGCCAGCTAACGTTGGGGTCGGATGCTAACATCTCGCAGACACTCACAACCTACCTAAGGGAAGACGTTATTTTGTCGATGGCTTCGATGCCTAGTTCTGGAGAATCGTACGAAGTTTAATAGCGAAGCCGTGGGCCGTGGGGGACGGGCTACGTGCCGGGTTGCTGCAGAGTAGCCAGAGACGTTTTTTTCTCGACCCTCCCCTGCTCGACCTAGGGACGTACGTAAGGTAGTAAGGAAGCGACCTGACAAGGTTAGCAGTCAAAGCAAGTCGCCGACGTCAACCAACACAAAAAAAAAAAGCACGCACATGCCTGTCCAACAAGCTCTCGCCGTGTCCGTGCTGATCAAAGTTACCTCGTCTCTTGTAGTACGCACCATGTTAGTTCAAGAAAGACGGGAGCGATAGTATGGTTTGCCAAAGCCGTCTTGTTTCAAGCCATCGCGCACTGAGCTAGGCCCAAGCAAGACTGCCCGGTTGGCTCGCTTGCTCGCGGATTGCGTAATTAGAAAAGTCGCGTTAGAAGTCGTGCAAAGTGCATGCCAAAAGTTCGGAACCTTGACTTTGAATTCTGGACTGCCTGGGAATCCTCCAGAGCCCTGCCATCCTACCACTAAGGTAATCTGCGGCAGTCCCGTCTCGTCTTTCCCTTTCCTTCGGACTCTGCCCCGGAAAAGAGGGGCAGAAGGAGGGGGTTTTCTCATGGGCGGCAAGTGCCAGCCAGCCAGCCAAGCAAGGGATGGAAGAGCGGGAAGGACCCAGATGTGCTCCTTCCCCGTTCAGCCATCAAGGCCAGGGGCTGGTCATCGCAACCCGTAGTAAGGTAATAACAGCGGCTTTTAAATGAAATTTAAGAACAAAGTACCAACGTTCTCAGTACGTAGTATCGCCGTCCCAAGGCACTCGTACTAGGACCAGGACTAGAGATTGAGAGTGGACTTAACTATCTCAGCAATGTCACGCATCAACAAATGGGGTATTCTGATCAACAGCATCGTTGACTATAGGTATCAAATGTTGCTATGTATGTACGCAGCCTAAATTGCATAGAAAGGGTATATCCACAAGATATAAAATTCCGCCATCGGAGACCATGTGTTTGGACCGCCGTGGTTGAAGAAGGATGAAGAAAAAATGAGGGTAATAAAGGGGAGAGACAGAAGTGAAGCGGAAGAAGAAAATGACAAGAAAAAAAAAGGACAAAACCTCCAATCCTTCGATCCCCCGCCCCTTCCAAAAAAAAATTCATGAACGCTCATAATGATATCCAGGTTTTCGCCCAGTGTGTACCGCCCCTTGGTGACCAAGGCCATGTTGTGTAGCCGTTCCGCATCTAGCAGATATATCCCCCCCAAAAAAAAACAAAGCGAGCCATATCCCAGAAATAGAAAAGGTGAGGCTTTCCATACGCCCCATTCTCCAGATTTTGTACACCTCTTCGTCTTTGTCGTCCTCTTCGAAAAAATCCCGGAAAACTTGCAAAGCAAAACACCCCATGTGATTATGCGCCGAAAAAAGAGCTCCTCGCTCCACGCAAAAGCCAAGATGCGCCTCTTCCACATCGCTCGCTCTAGTGGGGCCTAGCCGCTTTTCCTCTGCTTGCACTTGTCGTGTAATAGGTGGCCGTTCCTCGCTGTCGTTCGGGTGAACTCGGCACCGCAGTTGGGGCACGATGCTTTTGCGGCTTGCCCCGACTTCTCGCGCTGGTGCCGAAGTAGGTTGCTGAATGTAGAGAATTGACGCCCGTTGCATCCGTGCTCCCAGCATTGAGGTTTTGGCCGGCTCTGGACCACTCTAACTTGACCCGAAGCGTCCTGGGGACCGGGGCCCATCACTGGCGGGCCTGAGTACATGCCAAGGTTGGGGTCTGGCATGATCGGTCTCCTACAATAAGTCAAAGGGTTAGCATTCGTACAATTTAGTGGCCTTGGTCAGTTCTGAGCCGTACCCATAGTGTGACGACAAGCTCGGCGCTGTCGTCGTAGGGTAGCCATAGTCGGTCATGTATGACGGCGGAGGGTAGTGGCTGGCAAACATGCCGGCTTGGTTGTGGTCCGAGAGAGGCGGTGAAAAGGACGGCAAGTACTGCGACGACGAGGGTTCGGCCAAGAGGGAGATTTGAGGCGGTGCGGTAGTGTAGACAGGCATGCTCGATGAGCCCGTTGACAAATCGGCCATTGTGACTGGTGGTGAGTAGACTGAGGAAGAGCTGCTTCCCGTTCTCCGGTTCCGGACGTTCATCTTGGAGTTGTGCCGGGCGTGGTCTCGCTGTCTCTTGAGTTCTCGCTGGTCCGGGGTGAGCGTCCCTCTTGGGGGGCTTCCGGTAACCGATCTCGACGCGCTGGGGGGCGTCAGGCTAGCTTCAGATCCGTAGTGGCCCATTTCAGGGCCCATGAGAGAATTTCCCGTCTCCATCACTGGCAGGTTGTGAGCAAAGGCTTCTAGAGAGCTCAGAGCTACAAGTGAAGCTTACCTGGCCAAGTAAAAGCAGACCTCGCTCCCATGCTGAATCCAGCGTCATACGAGAGGGCGACAGTGCTGAACTTGGGTTAGTATCGTGGCAAGACCCAGCTCGTGCAAAGCACCTACCTCATAGTTCCCGGTTGGATAGTCGAAAGCGGTGGTGGTGACGACGCCGACGGCTCCGCGTGTCTTGGGGCGTGTTCTACTCGGAGTAGAGGCGTGCCCTGGGGTCGATCTGCCTCGAACCAGTCTGCATCCAAGACTCCCTCTGCTAGTCGCTGGTAGTGCGGCTGGTGCTGGGAGGCAGGCGTGGGCAGGTAGGCGACCGAGTGGGGTAAGCTCGGGCTCAGATACGGTGGCGAGGCAAGTTCCTGCGATGATGGCGGTCTGCTGGTGGTATAAGACGAAGACTCGAAGGTGGAAGGCGTGTAGGCCGGAGACTCGGCAAGTCGTAAACCCTGGAAGAGGCCTTCTGTCGTCGACCCTGCGGTGGTGCTGGAGGTTCTCGATCTGGGGTTGTGTGAGTAAGTTTCACTGAAACCCTCGTCTTGATACATGGGGTCCATCTTCTTCGAGGGAGGAAGGAAAGAAGGCGGACGGCTGAGAGAGAGTAAGCAGCACATACGTTATCCGTGTCGCGATGCGGATTCCGGTGACGACGAGATGCGGTGCGATCAGCTCAAGCCACGGCGACCCTGTGGACTTATATGAGGAGGGCAGAGGGGAGGTCGGTAGCGAAGCTCGGGGCCGGTGCGTTCAAAGCGATCAGGTCTAGGTAGCAAGATAGGGACGAAGCAACAGAATCTATCTTTGGGGGGGTGCTTGAATTTCAAGATGCTCTCAGCCTCAGTAGGTCATGGAGGAGCAGGGCCGGGACAGGGAAGGCTTATAAGTCTGCGGAGGCGGTACGGTACATCTCCACAGGCACAGTGCCTGGGTAGAGTTGTGCATGACGAGGAGGGCCAAGATTCAAGTCCACAGGCATAGACAGGTAAGGCCCATAGCTACTTGGACGGATTAGAGTGTGTATGGGCAGACAAGGAACATGCATGTACGTGGGTGTGAGTCTTGAGGGAGGAGCTGCCAGAGAAGGGCCGGGGACAGGGTATGGGACAGGGGACAGGGAGCGCATGGGGCAGAGGGGGAGGGGGGTGAGCCCAAAGAGTCCAGAAAAAAGTACAAGGGTACATGAAGACCAGCGAGCGAGCAGACGACGAATGCACGATCAGGGGTGGGGAGGCCCAGGGAAGACGTCCGTTTAGCTTTCAAGGTGTCAACGGCCTTACCGGGGAGAGTGGGCATGCTCATGAAACTAACCACGGCTTAGCGGGGACAGCTCGACCAGAGTACGTACCCAAATAACCTACGTCCCTCCCCCCTACTGTAGTTGTACCCATCATCGAGTGACCGGTGGCGCGGCGTTGGCTTGGTTCCCTGCGCGACTGTCGGGCTCATTGGCCTGCCAGCCGACATCAGCAACGGAGAGAGTGGCGCGGGCAAAACGGACCATCGTTTTGGCTAGGCTGCAGCATTTCTCTGGCTGCTGTATGGATAGCTGTGCCGCGCTGTGCTCTGAAGCAGATGAATCCATGTGCCGTTGCCAAACAGGACCCAAGCCGACCGACCTCGTGGCAGAAGCAGCGTGGAACTTGGGAAACACGCTCGACAGTGTTACCACGATGGGACTTTTGTCCCACGTCCACGGAACATGGACAGCCGACCCAGGCCGCGGCTCCGTCAGCAGCAACCGCAGTAAGAGAGTATAGAGTGTATAGGGCGTAGACTTTTGGGGAAGCGGTGTAACCGCAATTGCGCATCTTAGTTACTGTTTACTATCGCAGACAGAACTCGATCGTTCGGTTCCGTCTCAATCGAGACGAGGATTCGATGCGATCTGTCTACCATTGCCATTGCCATTGCCATGGGCATAGGCAAACTGCGCGGCTGGCGCCTGTCCCAGCGATCCGCGACAGGCGGCCAGACAGCGACAGGGTCAGGGAGCGAACTTACGTCTGCTGCTCGCTCTTCAACAGGAAAGCGACCAGCTTTGGTGTCCCAGCGGAGCACTTCGCTGCTGCCCCGTCCATCCACAGGCTGGCCAGCTAGCACAGGCTAACACACCAGGCGGGGGGGGGGCAAGCCAGACGAGTGAGCGAGCGAGCGAGCATTGCAACTCTTGAGGTAAGTTGCCTACCGGGGCAGGATCACCCGACGAGGGTGGTCGGCGAATGGATACGGAAGAAGGGCGGAGGGGAGCAAGAACATGCAAGTTGCAGAAGCCAGAAATATCCATGCTGGGCTAGCCCCGTCGTGGCATAACCTCCATTCTCGTACTGCGTAAACTGAGTAGCTTTGTATTGTACGGATGCCGCCAAATACTTAGACCGTGTTGAAGAGAAAAGAAGTTGGAGAACATGAGCAATCGGACGGGCCGTACATACAAGATGCTCGGTGACTCGACTCGAAGGAAATAAGGAACTTAGAAGGGCGCCGGTTAGTGCGTGAGGTGCCGACTCGAAAGACCGCCGCCCGTGCAAGAAGACGTCACATCACGAACCCATCAACAAGTTGATGAATCGTCTGCGAGTTCGACGCCTGCTTGTGGCCCGGGTCCACGCGGTCTGTCTGCCTCTGGCAGCTCTGTATTGAAGCGGCAGGCAGGGGCGGGACGAGGAGCATTGATGCTGCTGTGGACGAGGGCAATCGAGCAGTGGTTTGCTTTGATTGTCTAATTGTCGGGTGCCAGGACCTTAGGTGGGCTCGCCGTGGCAGACTCAGGCACTCACTCAGGCAGAGAGCACCAGCACTGACAGAGATGAAGCAGCCAAATTGACATGAAGTGGAAGGATCCAAAACCCTGTCCGCCAGTTGCACTTTCCGTTTAATTCGATTGCAGGGCACAAAACGCACCTACCTTATCAGGGTAGCAGGGTAGGTAAAGACGGGTACTTGCCTTACACAGGGTTGTAGTCAAGTGGAGGGGAACCGTTCTAGTGCCAACGAGCCGGCCGGGTGGAGCGGTAGCAGGGACAGTTTGTCTGCCCCAGACGACCTATGCATACTTTCCCGTCACTTTAGTTGGGTTAATAAACGAGCTCCGCGCGTGTCGTGTCCTTGCGCCAATCTCGCCAGTCCCGTCCCTCGCCAGTCGCCAGGCCGGCAGGCGTCTACAGTGCAGTCATAAGGGTAGGCAGGCATCTTGGGTGTACTGTATTGTAGGGACTCAGGGAGGTAGGCGCAGCAGCCCAGCTTTGGAAGGCAGCCGTGTCTCTAGGCTCTCCAGCTGGGCGTTTTTTGGCCCCTTTAATTGACTGCCACTGTCACGGCCTGTGCAACCCTCCCTTCACCTCGCCAGCAAGGAGAGAGAAGGCGACGTTGCGGCGAACGCATTTAGCTCTGCCGCTTGTCGACACCTGCCAAGACAGCTACACTACTGGCTCTTTTCATCCATCCCGTCACATATAGTAGCTCTGCCATTGTTCTCGAAGCCCGTGAACCAGGAGACCGGCTGTCAGGGTCTGGCACAGTTGTACCAACCATTCTACTCCTGCATGGGACTTATCGCCCTAATTAATTGCCTTCCATTCTTTGAGTTGTATGGAGTGAGTACGGAGAACGGATACGTTCCAGCACACTTGGGATTGCAAAACGACACGACCACCTACTCCGCACCGCGCCCAGTATCCGTATACTTCCTCCTTGTTATGTAAGGACTCTCTGAGGTCCACCTTTTTTTGATTGTGAATGCCGTCGACGGGGTTTCATTTTCTCGGACCACACATCTCGGTCTGGTATTCTGGGTCTAGGCTAGGCAAATCCCATTTCCCTGCCCGGGTAGCGTTGGGAAAGACAAAAGGAACCGCACATGCCCACCTCACGCTTCCCTACACAGGAAAGAGGCAGAGTATCAGCATCAGCACTTAGAACCTGCCTCTACCCCTACTTAGTACCACTAGAGATTAGCCAAGGTCCAACGCCCATCAAGCGGATTCCATTGTCTATTATTACACACGCACTAATCCACACTGTAGACCGCTGTAACTACCACCTACCTACATACTCACAACCAACACACATACGAGTGCATACGAGCTCCATTCTAAAATAGAAGTATCACGTTCATGACACCGAGGACAACAAGAGCCCAGTTGCGGGTTAGCAGAATCAGCTAGCAGTGTCAAAAGAAGTAATAAACTGCACATCAGGGACGTCTGGCTGAAGCGGACTCGTCTCTACCTTAGCTGGTAGCTAAGGTAGCTCTCCGCTGGGGGACTGGTCAAACCCCACATGTGGCCCGATCAGTGGGGTGAAACATTTGACCTGCCGGATGTGGAAATCGCTCAAGATGTGTTTCCTGTCCTGAGGTAAACCCCTAGGAAGAAGCGTCTATTGCGCGACTGGCTGCCACAGTCCACCAACCACTTCGAGTTGGACGACGCGCTTAACAAAAGCAATACGGCGGATGGTGAATCGTCAAAGCGCGAGTCGCAAGCCCTTGCCGGCCAAGGGTTAGAATGGCTTGAGGGCGACCCAATCACGGAAAGAACGAGCAGTGGCTGCCGTAGCGCGGGCGCTTGCTCGCAACTGCTGCGTACTGCTCCTTTCCCCCCCCTTGGGACTGAGCCAAATCTCTCTCTTGGGCACAAGAAATTTGGGGGCACCTTACTTGGGTTTGCGTGTGTGTTCTCGCGGCACTGTGCCTCAATGTTTCGGAGGGGGCTAGGAGTTCAGGACGCCACTTAGGGCACTAAACATCCGAAGCAGCCATCATTTTTCAACATGCCCAGGAGTCACGACCCGTCGGCTCTCACAACTTGGTCGCGCCAAAACGTGAACGTAACAGCCGCAGATCCCGACGATGCGATGGGTGTCGCGACGACAAACAAACCCCCACCTACCTCCCAACTCCGTACAGTACATACCTACAGTACCATGTTCCGTACCTTTCTTTACATTGCTTCCATCCGAGTTTCTACTCCGCACCAGAGCGCACTTACATTACATACGACGAACAATATACATAAGGCTAGGGAAGGTTTGACGCCACGCGGGCTTGCTGTTTGGCGGCCAAGGAAAAGCGAGAAGGGAAAGAACGGGCATTGCGACAGCAAGTGCATCAAGGGCCATGTGCGTGAATGAGGGGATTTCGCGACAACTGTGCCGCACCGGCACGCCGTTCACGATTGGTCATGTTCGCGGGGCTTCCGTCCGTCATCCACAGACAGCTTCGACCCTGGAAGGACTGCGAGGTGGCGTGCGCGCCAAATCTGACTTGCTGTCTACGTATGTATCTCCCCTTTGCTTTTCTGCGTTTGCTATCTTGTAGCAGTACTCCGTAGATGCACAAACGAGTGAGCCCCCCAGTCAGAATCATGCATCTGAGATGGGCCAGGTAGGGTTCCAAGTTTTTAGTTCGAACCGGCAAGCCAGAGAGCTCCCGGCACCGAGGCTTCAGCTTCACATGATGGCAACAACTTCCTCAGTGGCGGCAGCCTTTTGCTAAAACGGTCTTACGTGGACATTTTCCTTGCGAGACTGCAAAATGCGGATTGCTGCCAAGACAGTTATCCGAGCACATGTTGCGCCGGATACTCGGCTGCACTCTCTTGAGAATTTCCTGGAACCAACGGCCATGATCATACCCTCGGGCAGCGTCGGAAAGAAATCTACCAGGAATGGAAGGTCTCGGTCGGTACCTCCTTGGTATAGAAAGTGCCGGGAGAAAAGAAACCATGGAGGTATCATGGCCAGGTTCGTGATAGGAGAAGCAACTCTGTCATCTCCTTCCATCTCATGTTTCTTTCTTCTTTTAATTATCTACAGCGTGGCCAGTGTAAGCAAACAACGCCGCCCTGATCGGCGTATCGGCCAGGAGGCTTGCATCCGAGTCGCACTCCGAGTCCCCTGAGGGCCCACCACACGGACGTCCAATCGCTGTGGAGACACTAGCTACGGGACCGGAGTTAGGTCCATGGGCGCAGCCTTACGGAATTCTCTTCCCTCCCCGGATTCCGCTCCTCAGCCCACTGTTGGTCGGGCCCGTGCAGCCAAGGGGCCGCCCAGCGGCCTTGCCACTTGGCAGCCACAGCTCATCAGGCTTAGCTCCCTTGTTTATTTTGTTGCCTGAATAAACCCTGAAGGTGACCAAGAGCATGGCCACACTCTAATTCTGATACCTGGACTTAATCCGTCGTGCCAAATCAGATGCAGCAATTCCGATCTCGATACCGGACTGCCCCCGCCAGCAGTTCAGAATAGGGTCGAAAAAGGTGAGAACTCAAATTTCGGCCTTGCGGCACACCGCGGCACCGCGGCTGTACGGTGGCGTCCACCGGCCTACGACAACGTGAAAGTTGCGCCCCGAGCTCTGTCTTCACTGCGCGCTGCGTAAGGTACCTTACCTACCAATGTACCTACCCTACCCCCTTCGGTCCCTTCAGCTGGGTTTGTCTGTTGGAATGGCTTACGTAGCTTGTACGAGCCGGCATGTCTCAGAGGCCAATTTCCGCACGCCTTGCAGAAGCAGTATTCTTTCTAATGAGGTGGTGTGGGGGATAGACCGTCGATTGGGAAGAGGCTCTCTCTAAGAGTTGCAGAGTGTGGGCGGATTTGCGCTTTGGCGCCTAACCCTCCCAATGACAGCAGCCGCCAAGATCCCTTAGTAGCTTGGAACCCTTGAATTCCTGGAATCACATTCTCTAGCTTAGCGCCGACAACGCATGTTTGCTGCTGCTTGCTGCATGGCGCTGGTGCTAGTGTGGGTTGTGTCGTTGCGAGGATTGGATGTTTGATCTCGCGTGTGGTCAGCAAGCTCCGCTTCGAGGCCGTAAATGTGGACGGTTTATTCCGTACTTGTGTTTTCTTCTTCCTACGTCCGTATTACGTACCGGGGGAGGAAACTGAGCTTGCATCGCTCGCTTAAGTTGACCAAGCGCGCGTGTCATCCCCGCCCGACAAGCGCTCGTCGAATCGTCTTCTTTTTGGTGCGGCACAGGCAACAAGCTGTTCGCTGCCGTTTGTCTCACGGCAACTCACGCTAGGACGATTTCGGCTGGTTTCTGCGTCTGACAGTTTGAGGCTAGCCCCCGCCCCCACTCATCTCATCGTGACCACCGTCAGGAGTCCCCAGAAATTCGACAACCACCTCATCCGGCCGCACATGTCGCTGACCGTTCGGGATTTTCTTTTTTACCTTTGCGTATGCATTCGGTAGTTGGCCAGGTATTATACATTACCAACATGCACTCTCTCATTGTAGGTATGGGAGGTGAGAGGCACACGCGGCATTGGCGTGTGCTGTCGCGCAGGGTCTTGGCTCCCATCCGATGGTCCCGCCGCCAAGGTAAGAGCTGTGGGGTCCCAAGTGGCGTTCCAGAACCGGACGAACCAGGGCGGGACGGTGGCTCGATGAAAGTGAGATTCTTCCGATTGGACCCGAGCCTTAATGGCCCAGGTTCGAGCGCGGGCAGCGATCGGACTATTTGACACTCACATCCGCAGCCTCAATTTCGGCCTAGGCTCGCCGATCCGAGGGGGGGGAAGGGGTAGACGGAACATGCCTGCCCTGTCTGTGTTGGAACTTGGGATTATCCGTATTATTTCAAATTATCTGCGCTCCCCTCCGGCCACATTGGCCAGGCGCGTGTAAAATCAGATCAAATAAAAAATTAAAATAAGAACTGACCGACACTCGTTTAATCTCTGTCCCAAATGCGATGCGGTGAGCTGCGACATAACTGCTCCCGTGTTGCACATGACGGGCAAGCGAGCAAGCGAGCAAGCGACCGACTTTTCTTCCCTTCGATGCGGAAAAAGCCACCCTTTTCTCCCGCAACAGCGCACAACTTATCCGTACTTGAGACTACCATGGCTGTATGACCGCAGGACATCGTCCGGCAGTTACGTAAGCCCGGAATAAGGCCTGTGCATCCACAAGCGCGAAGAGCAAAGGGACGATGCTGGTCAGTGGAACTGGAGGGCATCCATGTGCTACACCGCCTGCTCAGTTGTACGACTGAACACCGGCCTAATAGGCTGCGACAACCTTATATCGGCTAGCAAGTGACTACAAGTGTGTGTTGCTTCTCACTAACTTGGCCCACAACTCGGGGAGCGGACTCAATATGCGGGGTACAAGCCCGCCAGCATTATTCAGCACGATCGTCTGAGACCCGCGCCTTATCGTCGCGTTCCACGTGCACAAGAGACCGCAATGTTTGTCTACAAACTCTCCCGCACAAGTCGCGTCGAGTGAGGTGGGTGCGTCTACTAAGCAGTTCTTCGTAAGAAAGGTTGGTCGGTGGCCGAAGGCAAAGATGGGAACGATTTCGGTTAACCAGCCGCATTTTGTAGATTTGCAGAGTCGCACAACAAGAATTGACAAGAAGTCTATACTATTTCTCTTTTCTTTTTCGTCGGTCCAGATCGCGCACCTAGTCTATCGATCCTTTCGGCAGAGATGCTCCAGACTGCCGCATCACGAATGCGCCGTCATCACATCTTCATCGAGTAAAGACTCATTCATTGAGACACAGACCGCCCAGTGTGGTGTACACAGCACGAAAACAAGTAAGCAATGCAATGGATGCTAATGTCTTTCGTTCTCGTTGATATCAAGCCCGCTGCAGCTTGCAGCATCTTTGCCCCAATGGCGCATACTTTTTACGTGCTGCAGAAAAACAACCTCAGGCAGACTGCCAATTATCCTTCCTGCCTTGCCTGCCGGCTCGACAAGTCTCCACAATACCCCGTCCGTGCGCTGGCGTGGGTGGGATGGGTGGTGGGCTGGTGGCTGCTTCGAGAAGCTGACCCCCCACTGGCTGCCGTGTCACACACCACTGCTCCACATCCAATGCTCTCACAATTCGCAACAGAATTGCCCACCGCCCTTCCTCGTTCCTTTGGACCGTCCGGCATCACGCCTTCTGCAAGCCCCTCCTCAGGCCTATTCTTTCCGTGCTGGGCTGGGCTATCTTTGCACTGCGATAAACTCGCGGGCGCAGGGCTCCAATGGCACTGCGATTTGAATGCTGCTCTGTTCTTTAAACACACCCCTCCACTGCCGCTATCAACTTCACCGACTCTTTTCCGCACTTTCTGCATAGTTCTTGCAGCGCATCGTGGAAGGTTGCACAAACCCCGCTTCAGCCGCCACTTGGACATCCCATAGGGCTGCGACATGGGCCTGGTTCATGATTTCATCTGCCACCGCCCTAGCAACTCGGCGGGAGCGAGACGCAACGCAATGGAATAATTAATAATTCTGCAGTGCCTCGTCCGCTAATCTGCTCTCCGCTAACAGGGTGAATTGCCATTGAGCTCGACCGAGCCGAACGGCATCGGCGCTCGCCGGCCAATGGGAACCCCACGCGCCAGACTGCACACCATCGCAGCGGCACGATGATCTACGCACCTCACCTCATTATCCGCTAGTGTTGTGTGCTGCTGTGCAGCGCCAGAGAGCTATCACGTCGCCGACCCCAGATCTTCCATCTCGAGGTGCCTAGGGTTCAGCCTTGGAGCCCGTGGGTGGCTTCGGATGGTAAATCCTCTCATCCTTTCCCGTTTCTCCTTCCCGTATGCATCCCTACGAGGCGGTCTGCAGTTGTTTCCGCAAGCCGCTTTCTATCTCTATCGTATCGCAGTCGATATCAGACTACCGATGGAAAATTGCATCATACATCCCCCCTAGCCAACAACGTCTTTTCTTTATCCTGTACGTACGAGTGTGCGCGCGAACGGACACGGGCGGTGAGCCAGTCCAGTCTGTGTTTTCTGGCTGTCCTGTCTGTCAGATCAGGGTTTCCTTTTGCGTTGGTTGTCGATTAAACCCCTAAATAGGCAGGTTGGTTTGAGCAGCGGTCACGACGGCAGATCGGGCGGCGAAAACATTTCTGCGAGCTTCCAACCAATCACAAACTCGCTTCTGGACGTGGAAAAGGAGACGAGCCAGTCAGCCGGCGGCATGGACTCGAATTAAAAATCTTTGGTGAGGGGAGAAAGAGAGGGGTTAGCCCCCTCACGACCACTAATTACCTAGGTACGGAGTACGTCAGAAGCTCAATGAGGGGCAATCCCACTCACACGCACAGCCCTGTAGGGCCGGGGCAGGCAGGGGGAATGAGGGGCTGGCCTTCGCGGACACATCGTCACTGCACAACCTCTTTACGGCCCATTGCGGGGACGAGGGGACGGTCTTTAGAAGGCCTAAAACCCGATCCAGTGGCTTGGAGACCCCAGCCTCAGGCGCCAGCCAGGTTCAAGGCAGGCAGCACAACCAAAAGTCTTCTAGGGGTTCTGTCCGAGCTGTCAACCATGGACGAGTTGAATTTGTCATCGCTCTATCTCTTCCTTGATTGAGCACCCGATCAGGGACTTGGAGAGTCCGACGCGAGAAGACATCTCGCATCTACTCCGTACTTCGTTTCTCTTGCCGGGCGGAGCCTTGGAGCCCAAATGAAGCAGTCAGTTGCAGGAATACGGATAGACGCCTAGTCGGAATTGCCGGTTTGCCTTGGGCTACACCTAGGGCCTAGGTGTCTAGGACTCTGGGTATTATTCCTCAGGGTCCCTTGCATACCTGGCTCCAGGCTCTGGACGACGACGTGACCATTGCAGTTGGCATGGCTCGCAACTCGTGTTGTACATGGCGGCCTACGTCGGGTTCTTGCATCCGCCGCCTATCTGGCTCCATTTGCAGAGACCAAGGTAAACCATCGAATGTAAAGGTGGCTACCTTATTATTGCTGGGCTGCTGATTCCCTGAATAGTTTTCGCCTTTTAGCGGCCACTCGCGCGGTTCATGTGAAAGATTATACCGGGTTGTTGCATCACTACTCGGTACTTTAGGGACTGCGGGCCGCTGGGATGCCTAGCTTCCCAATAGACAGGCTGACCATCCGGTATTCGGCACCACTTACGTACATACACACGCCCGGCAGTTGTCCAATCGACTTGCTACAATTCAGAATTCGCAACATCTGGCAAAGAAGTCTGGAGTCTGGAATCTGGAACCTGGTTTGATCTGCGGTCAAACGGGCCTCGCTGATGGCCCGAAAACAAGCCACACAGATGCTTCAAGATTACCTTGCCTCTCTCCGTGTTCCCGTGTTCTCGGAGCCTATTATTTCCACCATACGGATACCAAGTTAAGTTCCTTTTGGCGTCTTCTATCCAAAATGTGGTTGGCCAAACAGGTATCCATCATCGCCCGCAATCCACTCGTCCATCTCCACCAAAGGGCCCAAGGCAACATGCTTAATACCAACTTCCACAACGCACGCGCACCTATTAGGGACCCTGTACCCAAGGGGTTCGAAATCCCGATATTACGCCCTTGGCAGTATGTGTAGATCGGCCAGCGTCCTGGGGACTAGGGAATGGTAACTGAGAACAGAGAACTGGCAGCTTCGGGCTTCCGAGTCAACGACCTTTCCAGCTCGGTGGTTACGGAGATAAGGCCAAGGTAAGGACGAGGTAGAGACTGGCTGTTGGACTGATTGTTGAACGAGGTACCCCCCCTCCACCCCTTTATGCCAATGCGGCGTCTGTCGGTCGGTCAGCCAGGCCATACACCGTCCACAGTCGGCCTACACTACTTACAGCAAATGTCCGTGTCCGTGCCAGTGACGCGACGCAAAGACCTCTGGAGTCTGGACGTTGGCGTTGGTGTTGGCGTCGACGTTGATGTGGTTCGGAAGCCACGGGCTCGTCCCGTCCGGGTCCATGAACCAGGGTCCAGGAGACGACAACGCAACGGTACCGTTATCCAGCCCTGCCCCAGGCAGGACAGGGGCCTCTCAAATGCCAGCCGGCGAACACGTCGGTCGGTACTCGATCATGTTGGACAGCGTCGAGTTGGTTTGGGAAGCTTGGGGAGCATCCGCCCCCTTCAGAAAAACCGAGAGGGAGCCAAGTCCGAGCCGTCGGCCCCAACGCCGCCCCAGGTTATCCGAACTCTGGCACTCGGTTTGTTTCTCCCGTCCGTCTTGTCTGGTCCCCAATCACGCCGGCGAAGTTCGAACGAACCCTATGGGGTGCCTCATGTTTTGCAGCGGTAAAACGAAGTCTTGGCTTTTCTTCATTTCCCGTCAAAACATGTCTCACGATTTCTTGCTCGTCCTCGCCGCTAGGCGTTGAACGTATCTCCCAATGCGGCAAGGTCCGGCCGGGGTGGTTTGGCGTCAAGTGTGAAGCTTAGCCCCAGGCACAGCGTCCGTCTCGGCCTTAGGCGAGGACGCAGCACCGCATTTCGCTCTCACTCGTTCTCATCTTGGCCTGCTTATGCAACTCAGCCCTATGGAGCGAGCAGTGGCGTGGACTCTCCAATGACATGACGACGACTGCACACTGCGCTGCGCTGCGAAAACTATTTGCACATATACCCTTTTTGAGTGTAGCAGCACTGTCATCATCTTAGGGCCGGCTCATCCTTCGAAACTGATACAGGCCTTCCGGTTGGGATAATCTTCCCCACGCTTTGCTGCTGCCGGTCAGCCACCCAACGAAACCAAGATGGCTGCATATTTTGCTGCCAGTTGACATTCGCACGCCCTATTCAGATCCTTCTTGCTCTTCGGCTGCACTTTCCCCCCTCTCTGGCCGCTGCAGGTTTAATGAAGCTTGACCCCCTCCAACCTCGGTTAGACGCCATCGCTGCGTCCGAGAGTCACCAACCGCTTTGGCTATTCTAGCGGTGGCTATTGCGGTAGTCATAGCCATGCCGGCAGCATGGTGTGCGCCGGTGCGTTGAGGGATGGAAGAAGAACATGTCGACGCCAAGACGGTCCAGAGCTAGTCTGACCTTCCTTTTTTCTCTACACGGTGGTGGTCGGTGAAGCTCCGTCTCGGTGTCCCTTTCCGTCTCGGATATATCACGACGCCTAGCTTCTCCCTACGAGGTTAGACGTCGAAAGATTAGCGAATTCGTGCCACTTGCATGTCAGCTATAGTTGCTTTCTAGCTGGTCGAAACCCCCCGGCTCGGCCTATGCTCTTGCACGCCGAAGGTCGGTAGAATCTTTGTGACTAGGGGGAGATGGAATGGGGTGAGCGTCCCGATCCGAGAGAAGTCGGTAGCCCGGCAAGGCTAGCCCGCAAGGGCAGGGCTCAAGAGGATTAATGGGCCAGCCCATTCGGCACTCGGTAGTTGAAGCCACGGGCTTGGCCTGGCTGGGCTTCTTTTTTCTTTCTTGTTTTCTGACGCAGTAATCCTTCCTCCGCGCCCTGCGCCCGAGAGCAAAAGTTCCCTGCCTGGCTGCCATGCCGCGGGGGACCTGGGATCAAAGTTCAACTCTGACGCCGTCTGGCCGGCAACACCAACAACAGCACAGCGATAAGAAGAAGACACAATCCTCGAAGAAGCACACAATTGGTGGTCCCGGCCGTCTATTTTCGAACCGACTTGTTCTGGTTTCGAAACAATTGAGGCTATGTGGCCTTGAGCCCCTCATCAGGCATCTCTGCATGTCCCCGGGTTATGCTGTTGCCTTGACTAAAATTGAGGCTGGACAACTACCTCGGTTTGCTTTGCGTTTGGCCGGCCGTGGGCAAACCTCAACGAAAGATGATTGCTACTTTCTGACTGTTGCAATGTTTTATTTTGAGTGACGTAGCAGCCAAGGAACATGCAATTTTTCTTCTTGTGCCTGTTGGTTACTGGGGCGGGCGGTAGAGAGACGGATAGACGGAAACAAGGTGACAATCAGCTGCTGCCACCCCCTACCTCTGTTCCGAGCAGAGAGACATCTCCATGTATGCAATATACACCGCGGAGCCGCTGCGGGACAGTCATAATTACCATCCTGCCATGTCGTCTTCTAGAAGGGGGAGGGGTGGGTGTGACAGCCGTCTCACTACCTACCTACATACCTACCTACCTATGCATCGTCCTTCCTTTCCCGGGCATATTTGGAATGCTCTCTGGAGAAGCACAATCTGCTCGTTCGCGGCTCGTCTGTCTGGGCAAGGCTTGAGACTAGCCCGCCTTTCCTACCGTTAAATCGTTTGATGGCATCTTCTAAAAAAAAGTCCGAGGTGAAATAGCATGCCATTGGCAAGAATACCTACCTACCTGCAGCTATACCTGCTCCGTGCCCCTACTACTAAACAAAACAGCTTCTTCTGGGCGAGCTCGACACCCCAAGTCCGAGCAGCTTTTTGTCTAGCTGGCCTGGCTTGATGAACCACCGCCATTGCAATTATGGCAGGTGACAGCTCCGGTCCTGAAGACGGATGGGATCTGCGTTTCCAGCAAGGGTAGGTAAGGTAGCTAGCTGGTGCCGTCATGGCAAGGGGAGGGAAGACGCGCGAAGAAAAGTCCGGCTATCCACGTTCTCGGGAAACGAAGATACCACGGGAATGCGAGCAACGCATATATTCGTTCACTGCACATGCTTAGGTGGGAATAGCCTCATCAATACAGAGAGCCGACAAACCCACCCTCCTCCTCCTCATATTCCCCACGGATAGCAGCGCAACTCTATCACCCTACCGGGAAGCGGCCCCAAAAGGAAGCCCACGCCGTTGGCAGGCTTCTCGCCCTTGTTTCATCATTCTGCACTAGAGGGCGCTCGCAAAAAGGCGCATGTACACGTGTGCATGGTGGCTAGAGAAGAGAGGGTATGTACTGCTGCGGCAAACATAGCCTACGGGACGGGACTCACTTCCTGGTTGCTTGTAGGAGGTAGCGTCCTAAAGCCTCGTAGGCAGAAAAGAAAGAAACAAGAAAATCCCCCCCCCGCCAAATCATTAGTTGCAACCCAATTCGCCTCGATTCAGAAATAGACACCACGCCATTGTATTCCTTTCTCTTTTTTGCCTCTCTTGTGGATTGTGTGTTTCAAGTCATCTTAGCGGATGGCGGGAATGGATGGGGGGGGTTCTTTCTCCAGGTTCCTGTCTGTGCCTCTTTTTCTCCCCGCCGCCGCCGCCGCCGCCGCCGCCGCCACCGCCGCCGTGATATGATTTCTTTTCTTTTCGTTTGGTAGCAAAGGGATTCCCGAGAGAAAGAAAGAAGCAGAAGAAAAATCCTTCCCGCCCTTACCACCCTCCCAGAGATTACATTATACCCGTGTCATTCATTTCATAATCCCATTTTTTAATGTACACACACACACACATCTTTACATTACTACCTCAACCAGAATACTACCCGACCGACCTCCTTATCGATGATATGGTCAACCACACAGCCTTACCGTGCCGCCTACCACCGCCACCACCACCAGCCCTCTCCCGCCGCCCCTGCCACCACCGCCGCCGGGAGCGCAGCACAGCTACGCCAGACGAGGGCGAAAAAGGAACAAGAAAGAACAAAAGAGCGGAGAAGCTCAGTGATAAAAGACAAGAAGACGAAAACCCACCGAGATTGGCTGGCCGGCTTGCTGTGCTTTGCCTGATGCTTGATGGGTGTCGTGAAACAAGTTTCAAGAAAGCTACCTAAATGGCCGAGGCAAGGGAGCTAGCCAAGGTCAAGGTGGGTAGCTAGCTGGTGTTTCCGGAGCGGAAGAACCGGCCGAGAGAATTGACACACGGACGGAAGAAGAAAATGAGGCATGACTGCTGCCACCTCCCTTATCTACGTTAGGCAGACAAGTTAGAGATAGATGGATTGTAAAAACGGCAACGCAGATAGGTGTGTGTGTGTGTGTGTTTCACTCACTCACTCAGGTCAACACATGCGGGTACCTGAGGGATGGAGTGACTGATGGATGCGGGATTCCCATCCGTACCCGAGCGGGCGGTCCTGGGAGTTCTAGAAGCTCTGGAAGCTCTGGAAGCTTGGTGGTGGTGGTGGTGGTGTTGAGGGTGAGAGTGGGGGTGGGGGTGGTGAGGGTGAGGGTGAGGGTGAGGGTGAGGGTGAGGGTGAGGGTGAGGGTGAAGGTGAGGGTAAGGGTGAGGGTGAGGGTGAGGGTGAGAGTGGGCAGCAGTCTGATGTTAACTTTCCCCCATCTCCACCATACTCTCTTTTTGCATTTGCGTTTGTGTTTGCGTTTGTCTCTCCCTCTATCTCTCTCCCGTGGAAATGAGACGGGCGGCATGGAAGCTTCGCCGGCCCTTTCTCTTCCTGTTCGTTCATCCGCGCTCCCAAACAAACTTGATACATACATGTGCTTTTTTGGGATTTGGTTTTGTGGGTAGTGGTGTTTTGGTGTCTCCGCGTTTCCGAGAGCGGTGTAGCTCTGCCCGCTGTGCTCTTTTGTTCCGCCCGCTGCATGGTTCTTTTGCTTTTCCCGGCTCGTTTCTTTTCCCTGTCTTGTCTCGTCTCTTTTCCGCCAGCCAGACAGACCCCCCTGCTATCCCCGCAGAGATGGCAAGCTATTGTTGAGGGAAACCTTGTTTATCCTTCTTGGCGGTTCATTCCCTTTGGTGCCACCACATGACAGGTAGCGTAGGTGTTGTCGCTGTTGATCTGTAACGCTCGCCCTGTCGGCGGTGGCGGCAGTCATGGGGCAGAGTCACATGGCCCGCCGCTTCCCTCGACCTCGTCCTCAGTCAACCGACGCAAAGCCTCAGGAACAACATGTGGCGCGCGCGCGCGCGAGAGAGAAAGAGAGAGAGTGTGTGTGAGTGTGTGGCGTAAGTGAGGAGGTAAGCTGCTGCTGCGGCTTTTACATGTCACACACATACCACATACGCCCTTTCCGTTGCCGCGTGCACGGGAGGCAGACAGACGGCTGTTTCATGGCATCAAACTCGACGGCCCGCGGAAGTCTGCACAATGCCGAGGGCCAGGCAAGAATAGCTTCAAATGGTCCTCTTCTAGTTGCTTGCTGCTGCTTGTTGACCAAAGCCGCTGGGCAGGTGGGCGAGAGAAGGAGCCGAGGATGGGGCAGGAAGAAGGGCAACAACCGGGCCGTCTGGAGATACGAGGGATGGGGCAAAGGGAGGGCAAAGCGGTCAAGACAGGTCCGCAGCACCCGGCGCGGACACCCGGGCCGACGGCGTCAAACACCTCTCGGCCGAGAAAGCCGAACTTTTCCTTGTGTAACCGTTTGTCTCTCCCGAAAGGCAAGCCGCTCGCTCCTTGCCTCCGTTTTGCCTCTGTAGAACCACACTCCCTTGAGTCTATGAGATATGCTGCTAAAGAGGGAGCGAGGTACGGAGATGGCGGGCCTTTGAAGTGCAGCTGGCAACGATATCGAAGCGGTGAGCCTGCCTCGGCGACCTCATATGTATCAACTTAGTGTTAACTTGATGTAACAATAAACAAACCGAAACAAAGCTATACCGCCGGCACCTTATCGTATAGTCTGCCATCACATATCAAGTCAAGTACCTGGTAGACGATATGCAATATCTTGAATCTCGTCCATCAGAAACGCACGCTTCCTACTGGGGGAGTGAGTGACGCCCCGGCGGGCGTCGTGGCTGGCTGGCCGGGTTCCTGAGCAGGAAGACAAACAGACAGAGAGAGATACGAGGATAGAAGATGCCCTTCCTCGGGGACGCCGTGCCCGGCCAACCTCCGACAAGCCGGGCCAGTCTGAAGGCGGCGGCAGAGTGTTCCACGTCTTCTTCCAGATCCCGCGAATGTTCCTTTGCTGTCCACCCACCCCCCACTCCCTTTCTCGCCATAGCCTCAACCATGTGCGGCCGGGACTGGCCATGCGTGCCCCAAAGAGGACGAGGGTCACGGTGGGAGCAAGTCTCGCCGGTTCTGGTAACCAACTGGTCTGCACCTCTGTGAGGACGTGGAACCGAATCAGGATTCTGCTGCCACCAGCAAGGGAGAGCGTACCACTACTCCGTCGGGATTAACAGAAATCCGGACAGGGGGGGGGGGATGATTCAAGAAGGCATGTGGGAGCAACGGCGAGAAGCGCTGGAATATCTAATGGCTCGCGAACACACAGCCCTGTCCTTTCTGAGACCGGCATCGATCTTCTGGGGCGGACAGCCTAAGGGATGGAAACAAAGGCTGCGTGGACTATTAAAGAATAGAAGGAAGTGTGGGAAGGTTACCGGAGCAGAGTAAAACACTGAATCACATGTGTCAGGTCCTGCCTTGAGTTCCTACGACGCCAGACTCCGGCCCCGAAGCCGTACAAGAACTATAGCGGAGACAGTCTCAAGTTTCTCGGATATATATATCAAGTTTCAGCTCCGTATATTTAGCTATCTTGATCAACACGTGTAGCGTTCAAGATAGTCTGTTTGTGCCAAACCGAGCATACCAGGAATAGTCGAAGCTAATGATGGGGAGAGGCCACAAACAGACATTTCCGGTCGACCTCCTGCCTGTGCCAAACCACACCCTCAAAGGGCTCACGAGAACAGCAAGACGCTGCCAACACAAGGCCTGAACTAGAGCTTGAGCATGGAAAGCTCTCTTCATCTTCACACACACACACACACACACGGCCACGCTAACGAAGTGCCCCTGAAGCAATCGATCCACGGGAAAAGAAACCGTTCATCACCATCACCATCACCACCACCCCCAGCGCTCTCAACTCGGCCAGGCCCGCTAATTCCACTCGCGGAGCAAGGTCGAGAACCCCCGCCCACCGAAGTCACAATATATACAACACACAATATATAGGTACAACAAGCCTTATCAGAAGCCTCACAACCAGAGCGCAAAAAAACGAGACGAAACCCGCTCTGCTGGCTTGCTGGCTTGCTTCTTTACGCTTCAGGTGAGGCGGCGACACTTTTGGTCCTGAGTGGGGGTAATATTGCGCACTTGAGAGTCTAGATAACTAATTCAGACCAGGGAGACAGGTGCCTAGCGGGAGGGTAGCCAGCGAGCGGAATTATACGGCAATGAAGCTAATACCTTTCCTCCTAGGCAGGTTGGTACTAAGCCATCTTTCTTGTATGCCATATTGTACGGGGGAGTATCGTGCTGACATCTCATAGGGCGTTTCATTGGTCTTTTCTTTCCAAGCCATGGATGTACATGTTTGTCCGTGGTTCGTTTCGCAAGACAGACGGCACTTTCTCGCTGCCTCATGGGCCAGCGATTGTCTGGGTGCATGCTGGTGCGGATTGCCATTGATCTCCAGCAAAGGCTCGGGGCATCTAGCCTGCCCAACTCACCCCCGAATCCGGCTACATGAAGCAAAGTTAACCACACGGGCCAATGCATTTCGTGTCTTCTCCGACTGCTGAGCTTGATGGCTCAGCAATGATTTGAGTGTACACGCGGCCTGTTATGCGGACAGTTCGAGACGGGGCCTTGTTGTTGTCGCTGTTGCGGAAGTGGCTGCATACACGAGCACAACCGCCGCCAGCGGCAGAGAGATGCTCACAGCTACCGGGAGAAGCGCCTTCCCATCGATACCACAGCCAACTGGCTCGCGGTCTGGGAGAACTCGAGACGATAGCCCAGGCAAGACGGAGCACGGACGTGTGAGAAGATGCTGCCGCAGACCCAAACCCACCCCGAAAGACATTGACTATACAAAAGAAAACCTACAGAATAGAAACCGGAGGGCATTGAGAGCGGAGCAGACAACCCAGACCTACCACAGACGTGAAGCCAGCCTTGCCGTATCCTGTTCACGGCGTCGAGGTTACACAAGACGGCCCATAGACGGATGGCAACGGCGCCAAGAAGCCGTTTTTCCAGCCCCCACGCTCCAGTTCATAACGTCGAACACGCTCAAATGGCTGGTTGTGGTGTCGCAAGACCCTTTGTTCTTTACATAGTACGTCAAATAGTCGTTGGTTGGTTACACTGCGCGTATAACTTGTATTCGTGGCACATGGCCTAGATAGGCGCGGACTTCAGGAGACTTGCCTACTCTTGGTTGCTAGGGAAACCTGCAGTTTTGTTAGATCTTAAAGCAACTAGTTCAACATGTAAAACGGACGAAGAGGGAAAGCGTGTCGCAATTGACTCATACCAGCTTTGGATACTTGTGTACGCTCTTCAGGGGGGAGGGGGGGTTAGAAACCAAACACAAAAAGGGGGGATAGCGGATTTGGGCACATGCAACGACACATTACTACCTGGTCCATCAGAAAAGAAAAAGTAGGGAACTTTCGCCAAAGTCCGTGTCAAGGCAGACTTTTTTTGCCGGCAGACGACGACGACGACGCGTAACCGTAACCTCACTCAAATGGGGGGGATTGGGGGCTAAATAGCAACCAGTATCGAGGCGCGCTCGAGGCGGGAACGCCAATGCTAGCCAACCGCCAGCTCTGCCAAGAAACGCCACAGTCCGTTGCGGCCATCAAGATATGTATATAGACGCAAACGTATCAGGGGCACACGTTCAGGCACAGGCAGAATGGGATGCGCCGCAGTAGGTGTGATACGAGATATAGCAGCCGAAGAGGAAGCCATGGAATAAGAGAGATAAAGAAAAAGGGGATGTTCGCAAAATAAGTACACTCGGTCCCTCAGCACATACATCGTGGAAGAAGAATCAATTCTGTGCTTTTCTTCTCTATAACAATCGTTTGCTTGCGTCTTGCTTCAGTCTCTCCAATCTGATCATACAGTCGTTCTCGTCAGCCAGAATCTCTCAACATACAGCACGCTCGAATCTCTGTCTCCAACACGTCCCCCCATATTTCTTATAAATAAATATACCTATAGCGAGACTTGGTTTTTGGGCAGCAGCACTAGCGAAGGGAGACCGAATTCTGAGTGATGGATGCCCAAGCAACCAATGTAACGAAGAGAGAGGGCGCGACGAGAGAGGGTGGGCGAGGGGAAAGAAAAAATCCTTGGTATAGTGCGAGTGAAAAGAGGAAAAGGGAATGAAGTAAAGGCGAAAGGAAATTTTCTTCACGAGGGGAAAGAAATTCTTGACGAATTTCAAGTTTCCTCGGATAAAAACCTAATGATTGACAAATTTCAAGTTTCCTCGGATGAAAACCTAGTGTACGAGGGGACAAAAATTCTTAACGAAGCACATGATTGACCCACAATCTCTACCCCGGAGTCGTGATGGCGCCGGCAGCGGTAGCGATGGCACCAGGGATTACGATATCTCTAGGAGCGACCGTTTCGAAGGGGCGCGAATGCCACGAATGCCGGCTGTACCTATGGGGCCGGTTTCAGCAAAAATTGCATTTTTCCTCCAGGAAAGCCCTCAAGATAATAGGTCACGAGACGGTGTGCTTGAATAATAGGGTGCCTTCCCAAAATCTCCAGGCTTATTTTAATTTTTCTCGCATAGGGAAGCGAACTGAAAGTTGGGAAAAAAAGCTGCCCACTTCTAATTCCAATTCCTTCTTTCTCCCAAACCACCAACCTTCAGAAAGCTACCTGCGCCCTCCTCGCCTCGCCCACCACATCGCCAACTTTGCTGGCACTAAGCTTTCGTTGTGTCTTCTGTGCCTTTGGCACAAATACCTTGGCCTCTCGTTTCGTATCTTGGGCATATCTTTGAATTGCGTTCTCGTGCGGTTGGCGACTGCTGCCTTAGCGCGGCGCTATTTCTGCTTCGTAGTATTGGTAGCTTCGGCGCCTTTGCGTTTTCAACACCGTCGATTCGATCTTCGGTTGCTTTTGGTAGCTTCGGCGCTAATTGCTCAGACTTCGGTTTTCTTTCGTGAGCACTGCTGCCTAAGAACCTAATCCCCTGCCTAAGAACCTAACCCCGTCGATGACTGACAATCTGTGTAGACCAGCCGCTCATTTTGCATTGGTAGCTTCGGCGCCTTTGCATCTTCAACACGGCCGATTTCGATCTTCGGTTGCTTTGGTAGCTTCGGCGCCATTGCATATTGACTTGTGAGTATTCCCACGAAGCTGGGGTTCATGAAACTAGCTGACGCTGAGAATGATAGGTCTACACAATGGCCAACCAAGCTCAACCAACCGTCACTGGCCGTGGCCACCAAAAGTATCGAGCATCCGATTGCGCGCTGCTCCTCAACCAGAACCCGTGCCAGGTCATTGAAGGGCTTACCATTGGATTCGCCGAGAACCACCGCACCCAGTTTGTCGTTTCGACCGGTTCGAGCGGATGCTGGTAGGCGACACAAGAAGGCTAACTATGTGAAACGAATGTCCCATCTTTGAACTGCTACCAGACTACAAAAATATCCTGGCGAGCATATGAGATAGGAAAAGGAGGTTGCAACCGTATAGAGGCAACAACGGGAGTGATTCTCGCTCTGAAAGATCCAAGCAGTTAATCAAGTCACCGCAAACAAGTAACCGCTTCTGCTCGTCCACAGAGAGATTCTAGTTTTTGCTCCCTCCCTAGAAACCTCCAGGAATATATCCGTCCTGCCAGAATGATCTAGACATTATGCCAGTTTCGCCAACGCAGGATCTTAGTCTCCATCTCTCTGTGACGGCAGGAATTCTAAAGCACCAAGTGCACAAGAGCCTATAAGAACTTGGAGAAGTCGTCACACAGCCTGATAGTCACGTAGCAAATCTACATTGCGTCTTCATATTTTAATTGGTCGTCTGAGAAAACTAAGAAGAACACGGCCTCCTCTATAAAGCTTTTCTTGCAGTAGGCCGGCCTGTGCAGATCTGTCGAACGAGAACCCAGACTCGGGACAATTTCTACAAAGCTCCTTTTACAGGGGCAATATCTCCCATCCCTGAAAATGACCAAGAATAAGCACCAGAAGAAAATGGCAGCAGCTGCCATCATACGCGGGTAGGTAGTTCCAAAACTAGCAAATATCTCAATCTCGGAGACTTAAAGAAGAGACACGTTTTGGTCATCGTGGACAACTTGCTGATCTCTTAGCCCAAAAGCTCCTATCGGGGCTTCGATCTGTTGTGTCTCGTCTCATCATTTACCCAGAGGAATGTAATTGACGGCTTTCGTGGCCACCGCTGAGTCCAGTCTGTTTCCTTCTCTAACTGGCTGACTGACTGACTAACTAACTAACATTTTCCTCTCTTTGAACAAATTCATTGACCTTTTAATCAAAGACTCTAGAGAAGTAAGAAAGGAATTTTGAACAACAAGACTCACTAACTTGGCTCGCCCGCTCACAAAAAAATTTCCAAGACTTCTCAACACAACCAAGCTCATGGAACAAACTCAACTAGCAGCCCTAAACAATCGAGGTTTGTTTATAGTTACCGAAAACCAACACCTACGCACTATAGTCCTCCCAACAACCTAACAGGAAAGAAAAAGAAAAAGAGAAAAAGAAAGCGAACTTGAGAAGCTGCAACCGACGATCCACCCAGGAGTCGAACCTGGAACCTCCTGGTTCGTAGTCAGACGCCCTACCGATTAAGCTAGCGGACCACGGGCTTCTTGTTGAGGAGCTTGCATTGCTTGTATGGTCCACAGTTAGGAGAAGACGTTATGGGGCCTCTGTCTCTCTGTGCGTGTTTGTATTTGAAAGCGAAGGTTCCGCTTTGTCTAGAGATGTCTGTGGGCACCTTTTGTATGTGGGTACCGTTTCTGGGTATTTCCTTGTAGTTGTTGCTCAGTTGACTACAGTAGTTGAAGTCCTGTATTATTGGCTTCTTGCTGGACGGCTTGGTAGGTCAGATATACATCAGCCGACTGCTCTGCTTTAAATCCGCTCTACCTCTACTCTACCCTGCGAGAGTGCGTATCGGCCAAATACATCATACACCGCAACTCTGTAAACACCTTTGAAACAATACTATATCTCTCTCTCACACACATAATCCAACAAACACCTATCTTAACTGCTCACTGCCTGTTTAGCAATGGCGCCCAGTTGGTTATGCCCGAAGAATTCCCTAAGTACCCGGTAAGTAGGCAGTAGCTGTGTGTTGTATACCAGATATCTCGGCAAAATGAATGCCATAGCCAAGCAAAGCAAAGCCAGAGCCGGAGCCAGAGCCACGACGAGCAAGAGACAAGGCAACACGAAACTCGGAGAAAGAAGTCCGCACACAGAGAGACACAAGAAGAAAACACCAACCCCAGTTCTCTCAACCGTCAGGGTTATGCGGTTATGATTCGCGTGTTTACCAAATCGTCATCTCATGGGGTAGTTTATTCCACCACCTGCCTGTCTCAGTTTGCAAACGACATCCACACGTCCACCCATACAAACAAGCAAGCAAACGAACAAAAAAACAAGCACGGCGCAAACCAGACTATACCAGTCAAAACCAGACGAAACGAGACAAAAGGAACACGAGTCCGCCTCATGGGCAAGACCGAAACACGAAAACCAAACAGTAAACATCAAGACCGGTCCGTCAAACCCTCGTGATATACAGATCAAAAGCGAGATGGCTGTGACAGATAGGTATATGGATAGACGAACAGATGGGTGGCTTTGACTAGGTATGTTACCTTATACACCAACGGCCTGTCAGCGTACAGACATACCGTCAGTTTATTCTCTCTCGGTCTCTCTCTCTCTCGGTCTCTCTCTCTCTCGGTCTCTCTCTCTCGATCTCTCTCTCTCTCGGTCTCTCTCTCTCTCTCGGTCTCTCTCTCTCTCGCAGCTGACTCTCGCCACGGGACAACAAGCAGCAAAATACCACACAAACACCACGCCAGCATATGTTGTTGTTATATGATGGATGCTTTCTTTGCCTACCTACCAGTCTGCCTGCCGCTACGCACGCACCACCATAACAGCCGAGAAGAGGGGAGAAGGAAAGAAGCAGCAGCAGCAACAGAGAGAACATGTGCGTGGATGGTGCCCCTAACTCGGGCACATCATATTCAGCCAGGACAGACAGTGAACGAGCGAGCGAGTGAATGAGTGAACAAGTAACACTACTACCCATCCCTAATACCCGCGGTCAAGAACTCCCCCCCGCTGAAATTTGGGCTTTAAATGAACACGACAGACACCTTAGCTACGGTAGGTATCCTCCCTCGCCAGCCAACCGGCTCTGGCTTTTCTCGGACCGAAGGAAGGAAGGACACTGCATGTCGTTTCGCAGTTCCGGCAAATAGGTACAGCACCATACGGCCGCCGCGGCAACAGTCCCAAGAACGACTAGAAGTCCGTCTGGGAAAGAAGGGAGACGAAGAGAAAAAAAAAACCTCTGATGTCACGCAAACACCATCATTCTTCACGGCGCCACAAATCGAAACATCAGATCGTCTCTCTACTTTACTTTCGGGTGTGGCCGGGGGTGCAAGAGCAAGTATGTAACCATGTATATTTCCGCGGAGCTGAGGAGCCGACATTTGGGTCAACCACAGGGGCCGCGCGCGCGCGCAAACACACGGCAGCGGCGGGGGGGGGGGGGCAAGTCCGCTCCGATCGGCGGTTTCGGGGCCCATCAGATGCCCAGTTTTCGTCCACGCCCGGACGGACGGGCATATGTCCGTCCGGAGAGGAGGATAAAAGTGACAGGGAAAACGCAATACCGTGTCAGAATGACGGAAACATCCCCTTCTCCTATCGGCCGAGTCAGCCACTAGGAGACGGGTGAGGTAGATGGGCCCACTGCCACCATCGATTAATCGGTCTTGCTTAGGTTGGTTTGAAATCCGACCTGCCCTGCCATCTAGACTACTTGGAAAGGCCGGAGGCACGGATACGGGGTGCGGATTATTATTATTATACGCGGAGAAGCGGAAGCGGGTTTGGAATTTGCAAAGACTGGGGCTGGGGCTTCGGCTTCCGGGACATCGGTCTCACTCTCACCAGCCAAAACTACCTGGCAGCTGAGGTGTGATTATTACCTACTTCGTCTCAGTAATCCATACCTATGCAAATGCGCGGACGACTCCGGAAGGGGGAAGGGGTGGTGGTGGTGGCGGGTGGTGCGGGGACAACACCCGCACAGACAAAGCGTATCTTGTCAAATGTGTATTTGTGATTGTGATTGGGGGCTCTTGTGTCATGTGAATGTTCTCTCGCTTGGCTGTGCCCATCGCCAATGTGTACAAAGGCGTGTAGACGGTGAGGACCAAATGAGCCGGTGTTTGTGCTGGGGCTCACTCAAGCAGACAAAACGGCCAAGGGTGGTTCGCGAGTGGGCGCGGGATGGACACCACATCTTGGAGTTCGCAACCCATCACAACTTACTACCTATGTAGGTAACGGCGGCGCCTGCTGACATACAGAGGCAGGGCAGGGACAGGGAGTGCGTGCTGGCCGGCATCGTCTGTTTGGCGGAGGCGGAGCGCCTGCTAGGCTACTGTCAGTGTCAGAGTGGTGGCAAAGACCTGGGCAGTCCAGACAGAGACGAGGTTCCGTTCCTGGGCTGTGAGAGCCTTCCCGAGAGGCACAGAAAGAGCGATGCGATGCACGATATATACCAACTCCCGAGACTATTGCAGCCCGCTGGCCCACCTTGACAAGCCAGCTGCATGGGTGCAACGTGACTCCCCGCATAGCGGCGCCGCGTCCGACCAAGAGAGGCATAAGATGCGTTAGGTGTTAGAGATCTTAGGCAGGGAGGCGTGGAGGTGCTCCATACCGTACGTTGTGCGGTTAATACGCTGTTGGCCGATGGGGGAGGTCGGCCAGTCGCCAGTCGTCAGTCGACAGTCAGTCAGTCGGTCATTCAGTCAGTCAGCCTCAACATGGAAGCAACTTCCCGAACGGCCCGCGCGGACTTGAATCCGAGAAACGAGCGGCAATGCCAGGTCCTGGAGTGGATGGGTATGCACTCGGGCAGGTCAGGTCAGGTCTGCACGGAGCCAACAGTCCAACACAAAACAAAAAAAAGGGAATGAATCAACCGGGTGGCTTCGTCTCTCTCGTTCGAGGCTCCGCTCCGCTCCTTG